TTTGTGTGAAGCGATCGGATGATTTGAAATTCAAAGATACGTACTCGCATATCTGCTTAATACCAAATATTAAATTCATATACTCCGTGTACTCGGTATACTCCGCGGCTCATTTGTAGATATGGTTTCCTAAAACGGCAAGTCGACTACTTCAGACTCCGTGCTGCATTCAGCGATAAGACCGGTTTATCGGTCTGTAGGAATGAGTCACGACAGAGCGACAACAATTTGAACGAAGAAGAATGAATGACGCCTGGTTTATCAGAACAGCAGGCCGGTCGCATCGCATCGCGTTGGGCCACTACACACAGCCCAGACAGGATTTCAACAAAACACCACGATATATATTCGGAGATTATACTGACGTGGCTCAGATTCGTCTTCACCGCCAGGTTGTTGACAGCCTCAAAGTATATACGTAGTATAGATAGCATGGATAAGGGTTAAGTTATGGGGCGGCATGTCAGCTGGCTGCATGCTTGCATGCATGTATTTCAGGCATCCATCGGTTATGTTTACAGTTTGTGCCAACAATTAACATGGATTTTCTCGAGTTTTGATCGTTGTTTTTACGTCAAATATTCAGCAATCAGAACTCTTGCCTAAGCGTGATGATTCATCGATGAATAATAGCAGGCAACAATCACAAGGCAACAATCACAGCCGCCGTCTGCGCGACGTATTTTGCACGTGCCTGATTCCGCCTTGTCTGTCGCATGTGCTGTCAAGTGTCTCGAACATGAAAGTTTGTCTGACTGATTTTCGGCGCAACCGTTGCATTTCTGACTGTCACAGCCAACGTTGACAGTTTCTGTTTCATATGATTCTGTTGACTCACTTTACGTTCCGTCCACTGTGTCTACTATTTCTGTAGTCGGGTATGGAGAATAACCGGGGTAATTCAACCAGAGCCACATTAACCGTCGGTAAATCACCGGCCGAGCTTAACGTTGTTCTTGGGATGTGTTGCCACTGTTGGTAGAGCGATATACCGAGTTCCTCGATTCAGCAGATCCGTACGTACGTAGGTCCTCATACAGAGTCCTTCTCTCCGCCTCTATTGTCGGTCGGAATGTGCTGGATTGTCGATGTATTGTTGCTAAGAAATAGCTAGGTAAAGGTACGATACCGCATTGAGCGGCTAACAATGCAGTAAAATACCATATGCGGCAAGCTTGAGCGAGAAGAGACCAGATATGAAACCATGTTTCAGACAACAGCTTGAGAAGAGTAATACTATCCGATATTACTTCCTTGCGCGTTTACCTCTTATCGTTCGACAGTATTGTTGGTTATCGTGGAGTGTCGGGTTTCGGCGCGGGATTTGCGATTACATACACTGAAACGGCGATACGTAACACCACAAATTAACTTACAAACTCTCGAGGTTACGCGGTTGTTGGTTCCTAAACTTCTTTGTACGTATATACGGGGGCAGCACGGCGGGAATTCTTCCGTATTACCCCGTCAAAGTTTCATAGTCTGTACAGAGTTGTATCTAGACTTCCATAGACCGACTCACTGTACGAGGCAGCTCTTCTTACCGCCTCATTTTACTTTTCATTGATCGTGTTGGATATTCATTTTTGGACACACTCCCCGAATCTCCTCAAATATTGGATGTGGGCTACTCGCCCACAAAACACTTAGCCGACGGATACTGCTTTCTGACTTTCTACCGGACAGTTTGTGGGGAAAGTTGTCAACTACCGTGGTCGAAAGTGTATGTATTCTTACTCCCCATCTTTGGAGCAGACAAAAGTATCCCCCACGTTCGGCGGGTCGCACGACCATCGTCGACGATCAGCGCATGGAGGATCTAGATACTGCATTAGCTGCATCGCAGTGTGTGTATACATCAAGAGTCTAAAATCAATCTCAGTCCAACATTTATTCTTGTAGAATTTTAGCGGTGAGATTCAGTATTCAAGAACTCAAATATCATTACAGAATCGATTCAATAATCAACCTCCGCATTTTCAGTCAAAGTTTTGTGCTCCGTGAGTCCGCAGAAGCGAAAGTCTACATACGTACTTACTCCAACAAAGGTGGAGATTGGCGAAGACAAAATTCGCCTCCTCCGCACGGAATATACCCCTTTTGCTGTCCCGGAAAAATGTTCGAAAAGGTAAAAATCGGCTACTTGCTAGATGGAGAAATGGAGCGATCTTCTCCATAATTTCCCTCCACATTTCCAGATTTTGCATTTGTCCATTTTTCCGTCCATGTTGTACGCGTCAAGAGTTTGGTTCTATGTGGAGGGAGGATCGGAAAGGGTCCCTTTCCGAGCAAGGTCGGATAAATGTATCGGCAGTTTACGTCTAGGAATGTGTATAGGCTTTGGATGGAGTCATGAAGTATTCCATTACTATGTTTTTATGTAGCAACGAAGGCTATAGGATAGATATTGCAAGGTTCTTGATTATGCATAGGCATCAAGTGATCACTTTACGTAGTCGTGGCCATAGCCGTAGCCCTGTGCCAGTGCTCCATACATATATTGATGGTTCGTGTTGGCCGGACAGAGTACCTAGAGAGAAACCAACCTTGTATTGAAGTGAGTCCTTCAAATCTCGGTCATGAATGGTTAGAAAGATACAATGGAAAGAAAAAAGTTATTCTAATTGGAATTACCATGCTATACTGATATTCTGGTGATCATCGAGTAATGCGATCAAAAGAGAAAATCCGGGGTAGCACGTGAGGCTGTGAACCCTAATGTCTATCCGAATTGCACTGTGTATTGACTACCTCGAGGAAGGTGTAATGAACAACATGTTGTGTCAGGGAAATTTATGCTCATGATCTATTTCTGATTTTGTGAATGTATCCGTAGATGAATTTATATAAATTGATCACTGCGTATGTGTTTGAAGTATTCATCCAAGCAACACTACCACGACGGAGTCGCTATCGCACGCGGTGACACATCTTTTCTGGACTCATTCCTCACGAAAGAAGCTACCGCTCATTTCGCTTACTCCCTCAATGTTTTCTCTTTTCTAGATCTCTTGAAGTTATCAGACTCGGATATATGTAGAAAATGGTCAGCAATAAACTAACCATCTGGACATTACTATACCCAGATACTCCACCCGAATCTCATCACAAACATTGAATATCACCCATTATGCCTCCCGCCATCAAGAACCGCGACGACATAGTCGATGATCTCTCAATTTGACAGTCTCGTGGTTCAGATGAATGCCCCCGATGGCAGTCAATTCATTTTCGAGGACCGGGAGCTTGGGACCTGCAAAAAAGCGGATGGCTATCGTTGAGCTGCCATTTCTGTAGGTGTACTGAAAGACATACTATACATTGCAATTTGCCCATCGTATTGATTTGATGCTGCCAAAGCCCTTAAGATGCTGAATATTATGATACCCAGTCCTCCACCTATGCCGGATGCTATGGATGGATTTCGCGTCGAGTGACATATATGTTGATGCCTTTCGGAGAGACTTTCGGATGCTTGTCTATATTGTCGAATAATTTTTGGTGATCCGGGAAATATCACAAAATGTACTGTAGAAACTCAAAGAGCCGGTCTCTAGATCAATTGAACAGACTATTTCCACCAGCACTGTACTATCGATTACCACTCCACCCACACTAAATCCTTCAGGTAGGGCTACGTCCCATCAGCTTTATTGCGGAGACTTGTATTTAGTCAATGGTCGCGACGCGCGAAAGGCTTGAGAGTGGTAGATCTGTGGTTATATGCAGATCACCAAGCAGCTCATGATACAGGGAATAATATTTGCAATGCTTGAAATTTTTGACATCTTCCTGATTACGATATCCTCACGCTTTCCTTCAAATACTTATGAGGTTATGGTGCAGCCTATCAAGTGACCACAGAAGTTGCCAGCATGATTGAAGAAGAACGTTCTCATTGCTATCAAGGTATCTGCTCAAAAAAGGCCAGCTTGGTATTCCTGAGGTCAAAATTCCACGAGAGAGTGTGAAGATGCTGTTACCCTAGTTCGACTTTATCTATCAACAAATGAACTTCTATCGCTTTTTTGATAACTCTCAAATGCCTGGTTTATATCATGGAACAACGTAGTACTTGCTTGACTCGTTCACTCTTGTTTGGCTATGAGATTTTAATGGCGTTCGTCTCTCCGTTCCACAAATTTGCCTTCGGTTGGCAAAGATGTTATCTGGTAAGGATAGCATTGTACATTAGAGTCCACTCCTGCTTTGTCCCCTCGTGCTCTACGCATTATTTGCCCACGGGTCAGTATCACGATTGCCCCTGCGTTACACGCTCGATTTTTGGTGATATTCTGGTCCTGATACGTCAATATGGCGAATACCTAATTGAACAACATCATAGGCGCCTGGTAATCTCCTAGTCTTTTGACCTGGTAGAAATATCTGATACAGTTTGACAAATGCCTTTTTATTAGGCAAAAATGGCTGTTGCTCATCGGGCGCATTTTAAACGCCCGGTCAGCTGACCAAGTGGGACAAAGGAGGCAATCGAGAGGTCAAGACAGGCAGMTGAGGCATCTTAGCCAATAAGCATGCCTCGATTGATGTTAAACTATCTGCAAAGCGTTTGAATCCCTGACACAATGGGGCAGATCACCCAGGGTCTTCGATATCATCAATTTAGGACAGGGCTTCTCTGAGACAAACGCTGTTAACCGGGGACCGGTGACGCCTGCCTTCACCGTCTTCCCATGAGGAAGGTTGGATTTTTAGCAAGCTCGTCTTCCTACCCGGGTAACTATAAAAATCCCCTCCCCAGCCTCATCTCCTTCTCTTCCCTTCTTCCCTCTTCAACCTCCCCAAAGTCTTGACTCTTATCAAGCCGGTCTCCGACTGCTGATAAAATCTTTTTCCTTCTTTTTTTGGTTTCCCCTTCGTCTTTCCCTTTTTCTTCGAATATCAACGTCCCTGGAGCTCTCCATACGATCACAGTCTTTCGAATATCCCTTTCTTCCGTCCTCTTGTTTCTCAATATCAACGTTCCTGTTGCCCTTCACATGGTCAAAATCCTCAGTAAGTGACCCTGCATTCGTTTTGATTCTAGTTTGGGGTGCTTCTCAAGAGACTAATGTTAACTGGATATTAACAGACTACAAGGGCGAATTACATTGATCAACTTATTCCAGTAGTCAAGATAGGGTATGACTGGTATGGTGAAACTTATGCAGCGCGATTTATCCTCGGGGATGGCACTTTTTGCCTGCCAAGCCAGATGTTAAGCTTCAGCTCGTGATTCGCATCACGAATCCTTTGTTAGATCCGCGATTGCAAATCTTCGTTGACGACCTTGACAATCCGATGCTTTTGGGGTTTCAAGCAAGGCACACAGGCAGACTAAGACTCGTCGCTTCCATAGGCGGCCTCTCAGCGACACATCCAAATGCTGCTATTGAGGCGATCCGCAAACGCATCTTCAGTGTTCCTAATTCTCACATTTTTCTGGGTGCTGTTAAGTTCCAAAAGTTTCATGAGTCCTACACTTCTTCGTCGATAGCTAGTGCGCAGGCCATTGTTCCCGCTAGTGTCAAAGCCTTTGAGCCGGATCCCAACACATGGGTTCGTTACAACGCAGTTGCAATCCCTAGTGTGTTTCGGTTGCCGTGACTTACAATGTGCTGTTTCAATTTACGATGTTAGGAGAAGGCATACTCTTCCCCTCGACAAGAGCGGCTATGCACATGATATCTTACATGAATCATACTATGTCATAATGAGACGTCTCAGCAAACAATCATAGATACAAATGCTCGGCCTCATTCTTCGAGGACTCCGGATTTGGATGGCATCACCCTTTCCTCGACAAAGAAGGTGCACACCTTGACAAGAAGGGCTTTACACACGATTCTTCGCAGAGATTACATTACGTTCTAAAGACACGTCTCAGCAAACAAACATAAAAGCGAGTTTTCGGCCCCGTCCTTCAAGGGCTCCGGGTTTCAGCAGAGCCTTGCGTCCTACCGAAAGACTTCTAGCACACATCTCAGCTCCCATCTATCATAAAACAAGTGTCAAAACGCATGAAGATTCAAGGACACACTGCATATAGATTGGCTAGAGTTCATTTCGGCACTCAAGGACTACGCCACTGGTGACCATGCCGGTTCAGATAACTTTGCTTTAGAGCAAGCGGATGCTCCCTGCCTTCTACCCAACACGGAGCTTTCATGTTGGAATTGCGAAGCCACAGATTTCGGTAACCTGGTGTGAAGCCTGAAGCTTGGACGAACGTACGTGGCGATCAGTAGAATGACTTCTAGCTGGGGATCAAGGTATAGCTGTGTTTGGCACCAGTGCCGGGATGAAAGGTTCATGGGAGGAGAAAGGGACTATGAATGGGTGCTCTGGCGACAAGCTCTTGGCCACCACAGGCTGCACATGCGGAGGCAACTGCTGAATTCGACTGGTGAATGATTGGTTTAAAATGGAAACGGACATGTATCCCCGGTAGTCGGCCAGGTAGTATGTAGTTTGAGGGCCCTGAGAATCTAGTATATTATGATATTGCTACGGGGAATGATCACGATGGATGCTGTGAGATTGATAGTATATATAATACTTAGAATGAACTGCAATTGATCCAGTCGAATCGATACAAGTCCGAGTTCTCCAATATGGCATTTTATCATGCCGTAGAACCCTGATCCTCTTTGGCAGCAAGTACCGGTACTCTGTAGCTCGAATTTGTCTGTCAGGCTCGACTTTGATATCAATGGCTGAAGCATCTCCGTCTCAAGTCCCGTCTGAAGCGCTAGTAGAATAGGGCTAAGGGGTCAATGTGTAGCATCAGCGCTTGGCCAGTGACCCCTCCCAATCAGTACCAACTTCCGAGTTGTTGCTTCAGGAACGGTGGTTGATCGAATTTATATCCTGTGTTGAACTCGTGTCAAGTGGACAATGACCCAGACTCATCAGAGCAGATAAAACACCTTTTATGCGGCACTAACCAAACAGGGAGAAAGTGGGCTGCCTTGTTGCCTTTGCTGTTTCGGTCGTCGTGCACGTGACACTGCCAAGCCATCTTCGCCCCTAACACGCAACCGTCTGTCCCGCGTGTCAACGTCCATTGTCCAGCTTCATCATCCATTTCAACTTCACAAGTCCACATACCAAACCTAGTTTATCAACTTAAGTTTATTTTCCAAACGAGATCGATTTTGCCGACCTCTTTTCTACTTTCCGAACCTCATCCGCCGTGATACCGCCATAACCTCGTCGCGATAACACTCGTCGACTGCCAACATTCAGCCGCAACGCGACAACTTCAACAAATTCTTATCATCCATCTTCTCCTCCATAATCATGTCTTCCAAACTCGACCAGTCTCTTGAAGATATCTCCAAGTCCCGTCGCCAGAGTGGACGCGGAAACAACCGTCGCCGCAGCGGTGCTAAGCCTACCACTACCAAGGCGCCCGTTGGAGGAATCAAGAAAAGCACCAAGCCTGCGAGAAATCCTCCCAGAGGTCCTGCCAAGGGAACGGCCATCGGCCCTACTTCTCCTGTCAACGAAAGCAAGATCATCGTCAGCGGATTGGTCAGTCTAATCTAATTTTGATGAGAGATGTAACACGCGCTAACTTTTCACAGCCGCACGATGTAAGCGAAGCCAGTATCAAGGTATGTTAATCGAGAGGCACGCCTTTGGTCTCGTCGCTATTCTCTTTCGAAACCTTCGAGATGCGTTGGCTTCTGTTGCGATACCGCAACCAGTCGAGTTGAACCAGTACCAGATGGGTGCTCCTCTCCGCGACTATCTTCCGTGACCGAATCTTGTCAAGGAGAGTCGAGCTCCGTCGTGTCTAGCACATGTAGAACTATGGCTCGCCGTTGATTTGGCTGACTGCCTAGTTGGTCATATTGCAGACGGTACAGGAGGTGGTTGAAAGACACCGCTCGACTTATCCTACCTTGGTGGATCTTTATATCTCTCTTTCGTTTGATTCGGGCATCAGCGAGCGCATTGGTACAGTACACTGGATTGTTATATCTGAAGACGAGACCCTCAATGAGTCCTTCTGCCACTGATTGGTGACGTTGCGGTCACTTGACTTTGGACTGGCCCAGATGGTGATTCATCTGTAGCATCGTGCCATGTGGATTTGCAAACAAGCAAGCGCAATCTGATCATAACTCTGATGACGCCGGCGGCGGGCTTATCAGTGATGAAACTGTTCATCTACGGGCTTCTTGGCGGACCCAACGCGCTTGTTCAATCATAATGCAAGATCCAAGATACTGCCGTCATTTCCCTGGTTCCTAATCTATGTCCCTCATGTGAACCATATTGCCAAAGCTTCTGTCATGTGCTCGCTGGTGTCTGGTCTCGATTCGATTTATACGCGCGTTATCTCGCTGTTCTCGACGTCTCAACGGTTGCAACATTGCTTTAAAATACTGATCAGTCTTCGCTATAGGACTACTTTGTCAAAACTGTTGGCCCCGTCAAGCGGGTCACCGTCACCTACAACCAGAATGGTGTCAGCCGGGGCATTGCATCAATCGTCTTCAACAAGCCCGACACCGCCGCCAAAGCTGCCAAGGAATTGAACGGAACACTGGTCGATGGACGGCCGATGAAGGTATACAACACTCGATCTTACTAGATGGATACACATGCTCATTCGAACCAGGTTGAGGTTGTTGTCGATGCAACCCATGCACCTCAAGTTGCCGCTCCTAAGCCTTTGAGCGAGCGCGTCGCGTAAGTATCCCACTAGCCCGATATTGTGGAGCACCTCTCACAATCGAACAGCCAACCGAAGGCTCAGCCCAAGCCCGCCACTGCTACCAAAAATGCCGCCGCCGCAGGTCGCCGTGGCCGCGCCGGTCGCCCAAAGAAGGCCAAGGGTCCCGCTCAGCACAAGAAGACTGCTGAGGAGTTGGATGCGGAGATGGAGGATTATTTCGTGGGATCAGAGAATACACCTGCAGGTGCCGCCGCCACAAACGGTGCTACCGCCGCTGCTGGTGACGAGACCATGGCCGAGATCTCTGTAAGTATAGCTATCATCGACGTGCATAGTTTTATCTAACGTTGGTTCTAGTAAACAACTCGATACCCGACTGTTGTGCGATACTTTTGCGAGGGTCGCCTGCAATTCCATAATTTAACACGCGTTTAATGTTTCCTCTGCTTCGACTTGGTTCATGGCTTTTCTATTAACACAACTTATTGGATAAATTGAATGCTTTACATCCTATTGTCTTATTAGCTTTTCTCATCAATTTAGGCGGGTTCCTTAAGGATGCATTTGCTTATATCACGAAAGTAGAGACTATATACACATTTGAGGACTTTACACTTTACAATTGAGTATTTGCGGCTTCCACTAGTTGCCATTTTCCCTGGAGTAATGCTACAGTAGAAAGCGACAGACAGCAGACAAGACGAGAAAACTTGGGGCAGAAATCGGGTTTTCAGCTCTTATCTGGCACCATCGTACTCATCCATCGCCTTGGCGCACATCTTGTCTTGTCGTGACTCTTTCACGTCTCATTCTTCAATATTGTTCACTGTGATTAAGTATCAATTGATGCAATGGGAAAGCCCAAGGACTTGTGAACGGTCCTATCGAAAGAGGTCAAGATGGGGGGTGGGCGAAGGAGGAATGAAGAATTCATTCAATCTTCCAAATTTGGTAGCAGCGGAGTTTGCAGATGAATTAGTCTAGAAGATAGTCTTGCGGCTGATATACAGGGGTTCAAGTGATTATTGACTGGTCGAATAAGAATCATGAGTAAAGTTTTGGACAGATGTAGTGATTAAAAAGACAAGTAGTAGAATCCTTGATATATGTGCATGAAATGTATATAGCGAAGAGACGCCGGTTTAATGATAAGTAACCAAGCCGACATATATTGCGCCGAAGAATCTGAACATCAAAGCTCATAAACGATCATACAATGTAATAGTTGCTCTCATAAGTGTCTGATCCGAACTTGCGCCGTAGAATCCAAGGAGAATGAAAATAAAAGAAGAGATGGGTTTGCGTGGTAGGCTGATGAAGGAGAAATGACACCCTGTAATATACAGACTGATGCATGTTCAACTCTTAAGCGCTTCCAGACGGCCTCGCATTTGTTCAAGAGTAGCTTCCTGGTCGTCGAATTCTTCCTCGGCAGTTGGTGTCTCCTCCACGGGTATTTCGGGACGTATAGGCTCGACTTTCGACAGTTTGCCCTGTAAGACCTCCTGTAGGATCTTATCAACTTCCGATTCTGCTTCATCCAATTCGTCTTCCAATAGCTCATCGTTGGGTAGTGCATCGTCTACCACTTCCTCTATGATCCCTGCACGCACGAGCTCCGTCGAGAGTTGTCGCATTGTAGCATTCAGCTCTGGCATTCGCACAAGGGTGTTTACGTCCTTCATAATACCGGCCGATTTTTGAAGGCTTCCCTGTATCTTCCGTACTGAGAACGCCTCATTCACCTGCATTTGTACGCTTTGTAATTGAGCTCGACTCGTATTGAGGCGTGTGTTTTGTCTTCGAATGCGTATTAATTCTCGGGCGTATGTCTTGGTTTCTGCAGTGGCCTGTTTGGCCTGCGAGGGATTTCGCTGAGCTCGACGAGAGGCATTGACAATCAACTGCCGTGTTTTGTTTTCGAGAGTCTTGAGATTTGCAATGTCACGATCGAGCTGTCGAGTGTTTGATCTAATAAGTTGATTGCACTTTCGCATCTGAAGAAAGTCAGTGGTGACCGATAAGGCAGTAGAATTGACAGACCTGCACTTGCGGATCTGGTCCGAAGAAGACTGCCTTGAGCGTCTCCATGGCGATTCGGTGTGAAGCGATTCTAGAAATGCCCAAAAGATATGGATGCACACCCCATTAAATGTTATTTCCTGACTGTTCAGCAGACGAGTGGTAATCAGAGACTCCTCTCCAAACTCCGAAGGTGTTGATGATTGATAGTGGCAGGCGGGGGRCGGGACCAGTGACGTTGCGAGTCCCGTGCTCGGGTCGTTCTTGGCACGCGGATCGCCTTCTTTCCCGACGTTCCACCTCAGAGACTTTGTACACATGTACTGCGTTGGACTTGGTTCGAGCCTAATATCGAAATATTGATGAAAATATGCGCTGCTTCGCCGATATCATTATGAAGTCTCCATCTCTCAACTGCTGGTTTCACAGGACTGATTGCTGTCTTCATCTCCCATGATGGAAGATTCATTACGCGACCGCCTGCAGTTGAGTTGGTTCGTGTTGTAAATAGAAAAACGCGGCCCTGTGTACTACTCTTCATGAACGATATGATCGTGGAGATATGCAGTTTTGCTGGTGTCTACAAGGACCCGACTACTGCCGGACTAGAAATCGCTGATCAGTGCAACCCCCAGCTTGAAAAAGTAGCCGAGTTCGATCAGATTAGACGACAAAACTGAGAAAGGATGTCTTGCCTTGGTTCAATATCGGAGAGTATATGTCTTGGAGTGGGAGATGCGTAGGATATGATTTCTATTCGCCTTTACTCATTTTCACGATATCGAGATATCAAAGTACCCGCTAACATCGCCAACTAGTGATTTGTCTGTTAGTATCACTTTCAATTCGTCTTGAAGAATTACAACAGAATTTGCGTACCAATTCTAACGATTGCTGGCGCGGTGTTGCCTTTCCAACGAGGCGGAGAGCGAGATCTGACTCCTCCTGGAAGCTGGATGACTGGTTTATCCGAGCACGTGAAGGCTTAATGGCATAAAAGCTCAGGGAATCATTTTTTATGACCCAGTTCTCTTAGTCGCTCTCGCAGTCGTGAGCTGGCGATTGTCGTGAGCTATCGACATTCGGGATCGCATACTGCCCCAAGTTTGCCTGCTCCAGACATCCCGGCTTTCTCTTCTGTTATATCAAAAAGTTATCAGAGGGTCTTTTGACGATGCTGCGTATCAGCGCTGCGAAGAGCAATATTTGGCTGATCATTGCTGAGCTATTTGTGGACATCCGAAGCGCGTCTACCCCTCGGTCGCATCCAAATTGCTTGTGGTTGCGGCCATCCCTCTCTTACCAACAGATCCTACTCCGACTCACTTCTGGACCTTTCCGACTGCCGTCTCTTGGCTGTGCGCATTATTGCGCACCAGAATGTGTCTAATCCACGAGGCTCGACGTGTCATTGATATTTTACACTCTTTCAGCTCTGTTCACCAAGTTGAGGCTAGAGATTTACTTGCAGGGAGACGTTGTGGACGTTTAGATGAATACAAAGCAATTCTGAATGAAAGTTGCACTCTGAATCAGAAACCGGGCTAGGGCCATGTCATAGATAATCATTAGGTAGATGCCGCGCCGCGTGATAGCCGCTGTAGAAAGAATCCTCCACTCCCGACATCCTCGCATTTAAGACCTTCAAACTTACCACCTACCACAACTTTCCAACACAACCACCATGTCTTCGTCAGACACCTCATCACTGTCATCGGCGCCGCCGACAGATGATGAGTCTATGTCTGGAGTCACTTACGCGACCAATGCTAAAATCACAAATTATTTCAAGGAGGAGACTCCTCCGCCTCCAAAGCGCGCCCCATCTCCGCCACACGAATATGTTCTCGCGGACAATCCAGATATCGCGGTATGTGTTCAGAAATTTTCCGGTGGCTCTGAATTGGCTTGCTACAGTTTGGCGCGTTATTATAAGGCTTTGACACGCTTGCTGATGTTTTGTGCTTTTACTATAGTTCATCGTCATGTTCCGCGCGCGTTTCAGTGACGCCTTCCCGAAATCACTCCCACACTATGGCCCACAAGACATTGAGCAAGGCGTGCAAGATATAACACCTGGGGAACATGTCGAAAGGCTACTGTGTGCTCTTATTGGCCTAGTCCTCAATCGCAAGAAAGATGTTGAGTATGACTTTTCCTAGCAGCTTGAAACGTTTCCTAGCTCTAACAACCTGGAGCTATTTGACGCTGGAAGAAAGAAGGCTAATTGTTCCTGTGATAATAGGAAAGGACATTACCAAAGAGCCCTAGAAGAGGCTGTACAAACACATAATTCACAATGGCCGCGTGCCTGGGAAGGAAAGAATCCTCTGCATGGCGGGCGCACATTCACAACCATGAATCCTGAGGAGAGGGTATGACATCCTGTTAAATACTTATATGCCACCAGTCTAATGAGTTTAGTTACGTCTGCTCAAAGCTCTTATCTTATGGTCTCTTTCCTCCTCCGATGCGATACAAGCGAAGATCAAGGATTCCTATAAGCAGGCGCGACACGATGACGACCTCAACCAACCACTGTCGATACAACCATGGGGAAGAGACGAATTGAAAAGACGCTACTGGCTTATAGAAGGCCAAGATGATACTCATTTTCGCCTCTATCGGGAGAGCAATCCAGCGTTGAAGACAAATACCTGGTGGAGTGTTGCAGGAACTATCGACGAGATCCGAGAAATTGGCGAGAAGTTGGCACAAGAAAAATCACAACATTCCAAGAAGTTGAGCGAACGGATCATGCATGCAATTCCTCGTTTTGAGGGTGGAGAAGAGGTGTGTTAATATGCTACCCTGAGTTTGCTTGTTACTTATCTTCGCTTTTAGAAACGGAGACGGCGTGACTACCGATTAGCACGAAAGGCTGCATTTACACGCCCGGAACCAGGATTCTCCCTCTACGAAGGCCGTACGCGTGGCAAGAAGCTCAAATATACTTACTCTGAAGACGAGGATATATTTTCTGACGATTTGCCTACTACTCGACGATCGACACGAAATGCGTCTGGCATCACAACCCCGGGCGAACCCGCAGGACCAACAATCACAGCTAGCGGTCGGCAGGTGCGAGCTCGAGCTGGCGGCATATACGGAGAGTCAATGTTGAGTGGACAACGAGCAGATCACCATGCAGATGACGATGAGGATGAAGAGGTTCGACCTCAGCGTAGCACGCGCGGTCAAGCGAACGGCTACCCGTCGAGATATGCCAATGATGCTAGCGATGAAGAATCAGAAGCTGCGTCTAGCTGGAAAGGTGACGACGAGTCGAACAACGAGAATGATGACTTCGAAGGTGACGACGAGGAAGAACAAAGTGAGGACGAATCGATGCTCGATGTTGATGAGTCTGAACAAAATAGTCTAGTTGTTCATCTGCATTACGGCAAGACGAACCCGAACCAACCACTCAATCTAATTGATGGCTTGATTAGTGAATCCGGTGGCATTCCAGGTTCAAACACCGTGCAGACAGAAGTTGTAACTGACCTGTCTAAAAGGCCACTCGAAAAGCCAGCTTCAGAAGGAACTTCTCAAGCAGCAGGCACAACGAATGGATCATTGGGAGAAAAGCCTCAAGAGCTGACGGTGCCAAGCTCTGCGGCGATTTCGCCCTATGAGTACTCCAAGGAGAATGTGTCTGCCCAGGGCACGAAGTCAGAGGATGTAACTGCAAAATCCACACAGGAMCCCGCCGTTGTACCACTCGAACCTTCTCGAGTACACAATGGCCACGAGTGAAGTGCTCTTTCATAAAGTCATTCATATCCATGAAAAGGTCCTGGAAAGTTGGGCCGGATTAGAATCTACGGTATTTGCTAGTCATGGGGTTTCAGATACACGGAGGCTGTACGGATATTTGCTTTAAAGGCGTTTTTGAGTTTCTGGGACAGCTGAGCGAATGGCTTATAGCGAGTGTTGATTTCAGTAGGGAAACTTTGTCAGCTTCTAGATTCAGAATTGAGTGAAGTGGTATCCGTCATATGGGACGAGATTGTCAATACAGGATCAATTATAACAATAAATATTTGTTCATACGCCGTTCCAGGAGATGACATAGATATACAAGCTGCTAAATCCTGCAGCATAAATCAATCGCTGAACGCCTCTCAAATGCAACTTGTAGTATCAAAATGATTATAAAGTTCGTTATGACGCAAATCAAGTATCAATAGTCGGCTAGTCAATCGCTCGAGAATTGTGCAGTATAAAACTATCCAGCCCAGTTAGTCAATGTATGCCTTTATGAAAGAATAGCCAACTCACGTCTTGCACTCGCTCAGCAAACTTCTTGTCCGATTTGAGTCGCGGAGGGGGAATAGGCCAATTGTTCACCGAATACCACCATCGTCGCAGCCGTGTGCCGAGCGAATTTCCGTGGTATTGGGCATTGCGATTCCAAAATCGCCAGCCCTCGAGGCCGAGTGTCCAGAACGTACCTTGGATCAAGGGTAGAAGGACCTGCATCGTGAAAATGCTGTTAGATCTTGCAAGCAACATAGGGTATGTATGTGTGGAAAGCCTACCTGATCCCTAACAGTAATCCAAGCAACGCGCTGCCATGTATCCGCACCTCTCAGACTAGCTAGATAGCTCTGCTCAAACCTCAAATCCGGCAACGGAGGAAGATCTCGTCTGCGCGCAACGGGTCGAAGAACCGGTTGATCAAGAATATCTGAAGTGATACTAGCTGCATCCGATGGGTCCGCTTCTTCGTAGGGCACTTTTTCCGAAGCGGCTGTGGACGGATTGATGTCGTGTCGTGGTGACGGATGACGTTTGATGGAGGCGCTCTGGATCGTTTCTGCGATCCCCAACGCGGAGTGAGACATTGTTCCTTCAAAGATAAAGTCGGCAGTAATTTTCAGTCGAATTGAATCGGGAATAGCTCCGTTTTTGCTTGGTACAGGTGCTGAATTGTGGTGTTGCTGAGCTTGCAGTCCGATGCGGTAGTGTTGGAGAGAGAGTTCCAACTTCCCGGACACCGAAGGTCGGCTCCCATTGCTAAGCTACCTTTGAAGACCCCCTCCGTCCCGCAAACCCCACGTCTAAATAAAAAAGATATAAACCAAACACAAGATTCGATTTCTTCTCTCCTCTTCACTTTAAGTTCAATTGATTGTTCATTTTTGTGCAAAGACTATACACAATGGCTGCTCCTCAAGGATACCCTCTTCTCTGCCTCGAGAATCCTCTCCTCGGTTCGTACGCTATTTCCCCGAGTTTGTTGGCTGAGTATGCTGCTAATTTTTCAATGTAGATATCCAAGGTGTTGGAGACGAAGCGCTTTTAGAAAAGTATGGAGTCAAGGCCAATGATGCCATTCTCGCTGAGGAGAAGCACATGGGTGTCTATGAGGATCTTCTCCAGAACCACAACGCCAAGTTGATTGCTGGTGGTGCTGCTCAGAACACTGCTCGCGGTGCTCAGGTATGACTTCTATTGACCGGCAAAGCCACTCATACTAATCTAATTCTCAATAGTACATCCTCCCCGAGAACTCCGTCGCCTTCATCGGCTGTGTCGGTAAAGACAAGTACGCCGACATCCTCACAGAAACCTGCCAGAAGGCCGGTGTCCACACTGAGTATCGTGTCGACGATGTCCAGCCCACCGGAAAATGCGGTGTTATTATTACCGGCCACAACCGCAGCATGATCACTCACCTTGCTGCTGCCAACGAGTACAAGCTTGACCACCTCAAGCAGCCCCATGTCTGGGCTCTTGTTGAGAAGGCTCAGGTCTACTTTGTCGGTGGATACCACTTGACTGTCTCTGTGCCTGCTGTTTTGGCTCTTGCTGAAGAGGCTGCTTCGAACAATAAGGTATATTCAACTCTGGAGTAAAGTAAACAATCGCAATGATGGCTAATGTTACGTGTTTGTATAGCCCTTCGTCTTCTCCCTCTCCGCCCCCTTCATCCCTCAATTCTTCAAAGACCAGCTCGACAGCGTCATCCCCTACGTCGACTACCTCATCGGCAACGAAACCGAAGCTCTCGCCTACTCCGAGAGCCACGGCTGGGGTTTGACTGACATCGCCGAAATCGCCAAGAAGCTCACCACCCTCGAGAAGAAGAACACCCAGCGCCCCCGTATCGTGATCATTACTCAGGGAACCCTCCCTACTGTGGCTGCTGTCTCGACTTCCAGCGGCGTTGAGACCAAGGAATATCCCGTTCACGAAATCTCCAAGGAGAAGATCAACGATACCACCGGTGCCGGTGACGCTTTCGCTGGTGGTTTCGTTGCTGGTATTGTCCAGGGTAAAACCTTGGAAGAGAGCATTGACCAAGGTCAATGGCTCGCCCGCCTTAGTATCCAGGAATTGGGACCTTCGTAAGACCTCCTTTTCTGTTTGGTTGATTTATCTGGTGATGCAAATCCTAACATGGTCCTAGATTCCCCTTCCCTAAGCAGACCTMCTCCCGCCAATAGACGTGAAAACTTCCGTACTACGACGACCTTGACGCCTAACATTTTCATCTAATGATTCAACCCATTATATACCCTGTCTCAGTTGCTTCTTCACGTTTCTAAGAAGAGGATGAGATACAAATTTTCATTTTGAAACAAACAAAAAGATGCATTTTCTGCTGTTCTCCCATGATTCCTCGTTCGTCTCGATATTCTTTTGTCTTGCTTGTTTTTGGGGCTTATTTACATCAGAGCGAATAGCAGGGAGAAAGGAAGGAAGAAACGCAGGCTACTCTCATGATCAATGGGATGAAGTAGAAAATAGAAATGCAAAGTCTTCAACAACGAACAACAGATATTTGATAATTTTTACTGCGATGAAACCTCCCCGATTGTGCTCCCTAGCAGGCATCCCTAATTCTGCTGGAAAGATGGCTTATCAGTATATCAAAGATTCTGGAATGGAGCGTTCTTAGGAACGGCTTGATAGACGCAAGGAATCCAGTTGTTTTTAAGGTCAGAACCTCACAGTCAAAGTCACTCCTTACTATAACTCAGCGATCGTCTGGATTGGGCAGTGAGAAACTATACGAGCCCAAATCACGTGGCTAAGCACCTGATGCAAACCAGACAACCTGACATGAAGTGAAATATGCTTTCCTGATCCTCTTATTTCTGTCTTTTTATCTGTCATATTGGCGCCCATACCTCAGCATGACAACTATGGGGCTGATCAAGGAAGATGTGCTTGCTCGGCTGGAGAAATTCGTTGAAGTAGATAAGGAGAGGGACTCCCTACTGCGTGTAAGGGCTTTTTTTAGCTCTGCTTCCTGAATTCTGGTATTTTTACTGACAAGAAGCCAACGACAGGTTCTACTTAAAACTATTAACGAAAAAGAAGATCAGCTTCAAAAACTTCAATTCGAATTGGAGCACGAACGAGACTCACGGCTTGGATATCAGCATAAGATACGTGGATTACAGGAGGAAAATCAAACACTTGATAATATCATTGTTCGTTTACAAGCACTATACCCTGCTTTGGCTTGTGGCCATACAGGCAAATTGACTTGGTTCAGAAAAAAGATCCCTTTGTGACAGTACTGGTGGATGGCGATGGAGCTATATTCCGGGATGAGTTTTATGAGAATCCTGCAGAGGGGGCTCAAAAAGCCTCTGTGGCCTTGCAGCAAGAGGTCAGAAATTATCTTAAACAGACGCAGCCCGATCTAGAGGATGTTCCGATCTTACTTCGCATCTTCGTCCACCTCCACGGCCTTGCGGGGGTACTGCGCTCGTTAGATATAATTGGAGGCGAAAAGGATATGCGCCTCTTCGCCGAACATTTTAATAAGAGTCGTGCAGAGTTCGACATGGTGGACGTAGGAAGTGGTAAGGAAAACGCAGATGCGAAAATGCGAAGTAAGCATATCAGCTGCTTTGAAAAGCAATTATGGAAACTTCTAATTCGTCTCAGAGATGCTTACCCAGTCAATAAAGCAGTTCCAGTGCAAAAAGATATTCTTTGCTGGCTGTCATGATTCTGGCTATATGCACGACTTGACTGAATACCAAGGTGACGACAGCGCCAAAGCTCGTATTATCCTGCTGGAAACAACGCCTGCGCATTATAGCTTCCGCGGAATGGGCTACCAGATAGCACAATTTGACCGCACTTTTCGATCTCTCCCGCTTGAGACTGTATTGAAGCCGGTTGCTGCTCCGACACCTCCAGTCATTCAGTCAACTTCTCAGGACGATACTTCTCTAGCTAGTCATGGAGCGTTATCAATGAATCCCCCGCAGAGACAGCCATCTATCGGATCTGAAAGCCATATCAGTTCAGGCAATGGCGGACACTCCATCACCTACGCCACGGTGGGAGGTGCCAATGGCCAACAAAACATCACTCTAGTCAAAAAACCCAGAGCTCCACTGACCATTAATTACAACGCCAAAGGCCACCGATTAGMCCCATCACTGAAGCAATTCACTAACGATCAAGCCATAACCAGCTATTCAAAAAAACTAGAGGCTATTAAACCCAAAGGTTTCTGTAATGAGCAGTATCTTGTGGGCAAATGCGGACGTTCGTTATTCTGCAAAATGGACCATGACACAAACTTAACAGAGCAGGAGACAGCTTACCATCGGAATCGAGCTCGCCTGACCCTCTGCGTATACGGGCCCTCTTGCGAGAGGTACGGGTGTTTCCTTAGCCATCATTGCCCGTGGGACGTTTGTACCTATGGCAAAAGTTGCAAATTCAGATCCACTAAATTTGGGGATTTACATTATGAGAAGTCGGAGAGAGAAGTCGAGTCAGTGCAACCCGGGCGATATTCTAGGAATAGTTTCTCATCTTGAGAAGAAAGAAATCTGACGCGTGGCCCAAATGAGTGTTTAGGACTATATGGACCGAGGGTGCTGAATTCCCAGTACGCAGTCGTACACTTGATCTTTCGGTTTAACGAGCCCCGTATTTGACCCTGGGAAGTTATGGAAGGATCGGCTAAGGGTGGAAGTTTATATTTAGGGCTATTGTTACATTAAAATCTATTAAGTTTTACCGTTCGTTCATTCATTAAGCATCTCATCCTATGTCTCGCAATTTCTCTTCGTCGACTATAAGTCTTTCCTGTAACCGAGAGGCCACCATGTGGAGTGCAAGGGAACGAGAGAACCACCACTACAAGTAGCAGCTAGGGAGAGATCCTCTACTGCCTTACTCTGCTTGCAGCTTTTCTCTCAAGGCAGAAGACACAGAGACGTGGACGTGCTATACCTAGGTACAAGACTTTACATCAATCTACATCAGGGGTCCAACTAAGTATCCGAACATATACGTAGGTAGGCTTTTGATTTCCTGAGAAAATGGTTTATGGAAACGATGTTGACAACATTCGCATTGCTTATCATATGGTAAAGACGTAAAGTACACAGTATACAAAGACTGGATATGAATAAAGCGATCGACATGAGAATAAGAAGTATGTGTAATCTCCATCCTGTCAACTTGTAAGTGCAAAAATCGGAGTTAGGAACAGTCTCGGAAACGACGCTATCTTTGTGGATTTGTAGACATCCTATACACTGCCGTGGCCTGGACGCTGGGCAGGGCTCGTATGGCGAAGCCCCGTTGGGTTGAATTGTACGGGGTGACTGCCGTAGTGATCAAATGCAGCCTAAACTTCTATGATTCAAAGTACTGAAGCAAAGTCAAAGCCGTAGTCGAGGATTCGACGGCCGGGGCAATTTGATGGCAGGATTCTCATCTGGTATCGGATGATCACTTCAACCTGCCTGTCCATAGGGAGGTGTTTGCTGTCCAATAGTGCCAAAACGACCAGAAGAATCTTGAGTACTTTGCCGGCTATCAGAGGTATGTTGCGGAGACAAAGTTGAAGCAATAAACGCATGGTTGTGCGAAGACGGGAACTCATAGCCTGGAGGTGGCTGCATTGAATGTTGAAGCAAAGAAGTACGGTACGGCGGCAAATTTTCAAACTGAGGTTTACCCCAGAGCGGTTGTGGTGTGGACATAGATTGTGGTGTCCAGCTCGACCCGAATTGCGATGACGATCGCGCTTGAATCTCCTTTTCTTGCAGTAATAGATCATTTTGCACGGCAACAAGGCTAGGGCTCGGCGTTTCTAGCGTGTAAGGGCTTTGTCCTCTTAATAGCTGCGAGTCAGGACCGAGACCTTGTGTGCTATSGAGCCGTTGTGATGATAAATCATGCGTTAAAGATGGAGGGTTCGGTCCCCAAATACTTGAGCTCGAGAAGTAGGGTGTAAATGTTGGAGACCGTGAACCTTGTAAACCAAAACCAGGAGGCACCATTGGCGTCGGATAAGGAAAATTATTCGAAGGCTGAGTCGGCCGCAGAAACTCTGGCAACTGTGGCATTGCTGGCGGCGCTTCGTAGGTATCTGACTCTACTAGCTTTTCGACCCCCTCAACGATGCGATTGAAGTTTGTAGAAGCCGAAATTGAAGCTGATTGAGAACCACCGAAGGCACTCCGTCCTTCAATCGTGTTCCTTGCCCGCTGCACGTTGCGTATTTCATCTCTTTGCACGTTTGTCGACGGAATAGCAGGCTGATGACCTCGTGGACTTGCATAAAACTGGGACGGAAGTCCTTCCTCTTGATAAATGAATATTTTACGTTCGTTTTCATCAACGAAAGCTATGGGAATTCGCTATTGCAGCAGATTAGCGCGTGGTCCGCCGGACGAGGAACGTACTAATGATACTCACATTATTAACGACTAGATCTAATCCCTCGATGACGAATTGTCGAATTCGAAATAGCATTTCGATATTAGGATGATTCCTCTCAATGCCAGGATCAAGCATTCTCGGTTTTGTTGTGCCTTTATCTGTCTTATACCGCTCTTTAGTAGCCTCGGTAATGAGAGGCGAAAAGCCAAGCGTCTCTTCGTCCTCCTCTAGAAGATACTCCACTTCGAGAAGACGCGGAACATCAAACGTAGATGCCAGCAATGTCAATGTATTGGCATAACTCTTCCATAACTCTTGGACTTGTACTGAAAGGACGGTATCTTTATCTTGCTTTTGCGCTGTCAATGAGCCACAATTGATGGTAAGCCACGAGCTATAGTTTCGAAGGGCGGGTAAAACACGACGTGCAACGACAGTGACCTTTTCCGACCCATGCTGAGACTCCTTGGAGTCGCTGTCTTCAGTTGCAAAACGCTCAAGCTCACCCAGAAGGATCTGTAAGAGCGTGAAAAAGGTTTTGACATTGATTCTCTGGAAGAAAAGTTGTGCGTTATGAGTTGGCTCATCTACGCGCGTTCAAGTTAGTATAGCACACCGACAAATCCACAAATAAACACTCACTTTTGGCTGCTCTAGCTTTAGCGAGCTCTTCTGCAGCAATATTTATTAGAACGAATTTTTGGAGGGTGCCCTCAAGCGATTTTTCCTTTAGATCAACCGCCAATTGACTCAGCACCTCGTTTTCCAGCTCGTCGTGTTCTTGGAAATCCAAGCCCTTGTAGCACTGTGCATGGAGATACACAAACCAATGAGTCAGTGCCTTCCCAGGAACCCCAGCATCTTCGCGTGGAATTAATTCTCCTCTGGCCCAAGCAGCAAGAATCTTCTTGTTCTCGATCTCTAGATTCTTCTTAGATCCCGGACGCGGCTCTTGCGCCGACAATGCTCGGTAAAGATGGTATGTAGCTCTGAGATGATTACCATCGGCCAACGCGATGACCGCCAGCTGATTGTGGGATGCTCCAGATTCCGGGTAAATGATACCGGCAAGGTCATAGTAGCCAATTGCAGGACCCCAATTCCTCTCTTTACCAGAAACAAGCTCTGTCTCTCGATAACGGGACAGATCTCCCAAGCGAATCAAAGTAGCATGGCAGGACTGGAGTACACTGCTGCGCAAATTTGCATCAGGGATGATCGGGGTGTCCACTGTGAGGTCTATGGTTGAAAGTGTCAGTTGACATGATCAAAGGTCCGAATGAATCAGTGCATATTACTTTCAAAGCTAAACTTTTTCGCAACCTGCTCCAACTCTGGGATACCAATGTAATGCGACGACAAATGTTGAATATATCCTCTGTAGAATTTTTGACTCAACTTTATAAAGTCAAGATAGTGTTTCTCAAGCTTCCGCTTTTCGACTGGTTTCTTCTTGCCTGCATCGTCCCGGAACTGCAATGCGCATCGACTCTTAGTGGTTTTCCCAGACAGGTGTACAGTAGCAGACTGGTACTTACTCGCGACAAAAGTTTGCGAAAACGAGTATTTATCTTGACATGAGCCTCCCATAAAATGTTCTCGGCATTTTGGGCGGCAGCGGCGTTGAAATCGACGAATATAGCGTTGCGGCAAGCCACACGGAATCTGTATTGCAGTCATATCATGAGTGGATGTTCATTTTTCGTCGAGGAACGGTTGGAGATGTGCTCACTCCGCAAGGCAGTGGGCGATTTCTGCAAAGGTTGGCTCTTTGTCTGCGAGTATCTTGGAGAGGTTTCCTTCGGCTTGGACTGCGATTCTGTTCGGAGAACCAGTAAGCATCATCGTCACTATCACCACCATCACACAACCATCCGATAATCTCGGACATGGGAGACCTACTGCCAAGCATTCTCAAATGCAGTCTCCATGCTCAAAAGCTTCTCGAAAACGGCGCGCGCATAACCTCACTGATCACCTCGCCGTCATATAGCTGGCTTCCGGTTCTCGAGGCGCCAGTTCCGCGAATGATCCATTAGCGTTTGCGACAGGGTTGGAATGTTGCGACGTAGTATAAAATCGGATTCTATTGCGACAAATAACAGCCGACAGCTGGCAAGTGCAGCCTCTGCAAGAAGGGAGAAGTAGTCCCTGCCCTCTCTGTTTGAAGAGAAGAGAGATAAGGTTGGTCCAAGGCCGCGGGAACTCTTCGCTCACCTTCCCGTCTCAATTTAATTTTAGGGAAGGAGGAGACGCAAACAATAAAAAAGGTGGTTTGTGGAGAACACCCGCTGATTGGCCGCTCGGGGCCGGGCTGTGGCTGTTCGTCAGATGATGGCGTGGCTGGTGCAGTATCACTAGTGTACTGTGCTGTGGCTTGACGCCTAACAAAGACATGATATCTCCCATCTCCAATTTCTTCCAGTGGAAGTATCACGCGAGACTGTCAGCCCGTATGTAGCCTTCTGCTGCATTTATGGATGGACTCAAATCCACCCACGAATCGAAATGGCGAAACGATCAAGATCCAATTCGTATCTAGACGAGCAAATATCAGATCCCTCTCATCCACCACTCTCAGGATCAGAATTGACGACGACAAAAGTACCACCCACAAAGATTACAGTCCCCTCTCCAGAGCCTCACATCGAAGCACAAACCAAACAACTAATACGATGCTCACTCCAACCTCACAAAGAGACCCTCACCTTCTCAACATATGACGACTACGAATCCCACTACCTCACAACCCATGTTAATCGCTGCTCGGAATGCGGCAGGAATTTCCCAACACAGCATATACTAGACATCCATATCGAAGAAAATCATGATCCGCTGATCTTAGCTCGGCGGGACCGTGGAGAGAAGACCGTAAGCAATATACCCACAGTATATGTATATATAGAAGGAGTTTGGCTAACTTAGAATGCTTAGTTCAGCTGCTTCGTAGAAGGCTGCGACAGGAAATGCTCAACGGCTCAGAAACGTCGACGGCATTTGATTGACAAGCACATGTTTCCTCCAGTAAGTCCCGCCCAATTTATGTCTACAGTGAAATCGAAACACGACTACTACTTACATATCGTTTTTGGTATGACTAGAACTATAATTTCTTCATCGTCAACGATGGCATCGACAAACAGAATTCCTTGTTACGAAACTCAAATCATGGGCATTATCGTCGGCTCTCGTTAAAGTCGACGCAGCAGTTGCCGCAGGAAGGTCGGCTAAGGAATAGGAAGACTTCGATATCTACTACGACCTCGGTGACAACTGCTAAAGAAGAAATTGAAAATGTTGAGCAAGGAGCAGCGGGTGATGATGACGAGGTTGACATTCTGACTTCCTCGCTTTCGGCGCTGAGATTTGTGCCGACGAGTGTGACTAAAAGATTCGGATCTGAGCGTAAGTAGATTTTCCGTACTGAGCATACCATTATAGCCGATTTCATTACAGATAAGAATCGAAACATAACCTTGGAAATCAATATACATACTGCATTCCTGAAAACTACGAACCAAGAGCTTTCATCACCCTTGAAAGTAAAACAAGCAATAGTACAGAAGACAAAAATTCAAAAAAGGGAAGAAACAAATATACATTCCAAGGCCGTTATATCATAGATTTTTGTGGTAGGGTAGAAAGTAGAAACGGATGAAAAAGGGGTATCAAGCATGATTCAGGGGTCGATAGTGGCCTAGTACTTGATATAACTAGGGATTGACGGGTCAACCTTCCAAAAGATCGGCATAAGCCTCAAGGCTGGATCCAATTAGATCAACAATAGCCCAACTTGTATTGCCCTTAAATGTACGTGCCCAAACACGCACCACAGCAACACTCAACCGCCGAACCTTGAATGGATCTTGGGTGAAATCAAGATCATGCCCATCGACGGATGACGTTGCTATTGCCATATCAGTCTCGTCCATCATGCTCTTGATCCATAAAAGTAGTTTTCGTTCATGGTCAGATAATCTCTGCTCGCTTTGCGTCAATGGAATCGAAAGGAGCCATTCACTCAGCAAAAATGCGCATTCCAAGCTGCAGAGCGAGTGCTGAATACTCCAAAAGAACGAATGGGTTCGCGCAACAAAGTCGATCCCGAGTCTCACGGGAATGGAAAGTGCATGAGCGGAATGAAGAAGAGCCATAATCAATTTTGGACTGCGTACAATCGGCGGCGATTCCTGCAGGGCTCTTGCAATTTGAAGGGGATCTTGAGTCACTAGCCGTCGACATGGTCCCATATCTAGATGGAGTCTGATATATGCTAATCCCAAAAGGGCGGTAGATGTGAAAGCAATCGGACCTGCTGGATTCTGAGGGTCAATGCTTGACCCAGGAGTTCGTTTCCACCCTGCCTTCCATGCATTCAATGCATTCTCCAATGCTGTGAGGTCCTCTGCGCGAAGACTTGTGCTCGGCATAAGTGGAGATGTTATGCGCAGTTGACGAGCAAAGAATATTTGTTGAATGATTGCATGAATCAGAATATAGTTTCCAAGAGGGGAAATAGGGCATGGATTCGGCGGCGGTGTTTTCAAAAAGAGTTTTGCGAACGCGTCTTGAAAAGTGACGATTGGTTCATGCCGCGAACGATATATACGTCGCCATTGCGACGCATTATTCGCTTTCCAAATTTCGTGCGCGCATGGCATCCTCAGATTCAGCTCCGAGTTCATTATAAGCGGGGGGATATTGTACATGATAGAGTGCAAATTAAAGAAACAATAAACGATCAATTTTGTGCGTCGGTTACCCTCCAAGCGAGCCCATTCATCCCAGGCCAGGTTATCAGAGACGATAGACGAGTCTGAGAGCCCGTGTTCCCGTACTAATCTGGCCAGGGTGCTTTGTAGAGCGAGTATTTCTCGAAGTAATTCGGGCTGTCTTTCCCAGGATGCGAAAACAGTCAGGAGTAGGAACGTTTGAATGACTTCCATATGAGCTTCGGACTCATCCATCATATAGCTCATGCTTTCCAGCTGGGGAGGGAACTTTTGGGCTTGAAAAGGGCTACCGGGTGCATTCGAAGGCGCCATAGAGCTTCTTTGCGACGGTGTACTGGGAACATAGACATCCCATGTCGGCGTGGGAACTTGCTTCGCATCCCTTCGCCGTATCCGCTCAAACAAGATTGCTTTCGCTGCATGGAAGAGCTCAATGCCTCGACTGTTCTCAAATCTGTAGTGAGACCCCGCAGCAGCGAGAGCCAGGGTGAGCTCAGGAAGGCATCGAACTACAGATAGCGTCGGCACATGAATAAATGGAAGATGCTCATTGAGACCATTAATATAACCGGCAATGAAGCGTGATAGAGCATGTCTGGACGGCGGTACGAATCCGCGAGGAAGGACGTGAGCAAATTCGTCAAGTCTAGTCAAAAACAACTGCCGATCGGTGTTGGAAATATCCCATGCTGGACGCGGATTTGTAGGATCATCAAGTAGACTGGCGCGCTCATCGGATTCTTGAGGTTCAGGTTGTAAGGATGGGAGCCTGGATCCAAAATTGGAGAAGGACGGAGCTTCATCCGCTGACGCCCGTTGTTCACTGAGGATATCCGGGTTCAGTCTTGGCTGGCCATATTCCCGGCCTGGCGGCTTGGTATCAAATTGTATGGAGTTTGACAGTAACGGATCTGTCTCGACTGATGAGAAGACACCTGAATCCCAGTCGGTTGATAGCCCGACACTCTCTAGAAAAACCGTGAAATCTTGAACTGGATCTCCAAGATCGGTGAGATCAAGAAATGATGGCTCCACACTGTATGCATCAGCGATACTTTTCTCTTGTACCGCAGCCTGTAATTGAGGGGAGGGTCCGGTTGGGAGATGCGGTTTTCGAATGGATTCCAAGGCGAGCTCTTGTTGGTTTTCCAGAGCGACATGGCTGGCAGCGTGCGAAAGGAGATTGAGGTCGTAGCCCCAGGAGGGATTGAAGTGATTCGGCTCGATCAACGGCGCGTGATGTACCTGTACCTCCGGCGGCGGTACTGGTGGATGCGGAGGTGGTGGTTGCTGAATGCCAATGGGGTCATGCATGTCCAGCACGCGAGGCTCATGATGGGCAGGTGGTATCATGGAAGCCGGGCTCAGCGGGATTGTTTGATGAGAAGCTTTTACATCAGTTCCAGACCGACGCTCTCCTCGGTGCGTAGCCGCTTCCCCGGGGTGCACCAAACGCTCATGTCGGACAAGGAGGTCACTGTTTTATCTCGCGATTTAGTCATACGCAAGGAGAGCAAACGTTTCACAGCAGGGCAAGCAATGGCGAGGGACGTACCTTCGAGCAAAAGACTTGGAACAAATATCGCATGAGAAAGGTTTTTCTTTGGTATCTGTTTTCGGAAAGCCACGACCAATGTTAGCAAAGCTCAATGGGAGAGTCGCACTTCGGGGACTCTGGGCGGGCGGGGAGCTTTTACGAGTGCGGAGATGTCTTTGAAGATGCTCGAGCCGCGCAAACGAGCGATGGCAGTACTCGCAAGCTAAAGACTTGCGATGCGCAGCCGAAGTCGTCTTCTTGCGCGGTTTATCCGGAGAAGGCTGATCTGCTTCCATCGTCTCTGGTGATACCAGGCACGTACACGTATCGCAACGATGGATGAAGCAGGAAGGCACAGTTGGGGAATCCAAGGCTTTAAGCGGGGAAAGAGAAAAACTGTGGGGTGAGGGGAGGCTAACTGCCGCATGCTGTTGCTTCGCATACACTCAGCGCATATGCTTAATTCGATATACTTATTGATTGTTGCCCTTGTAATTGCTATCATTATTACGCTTATCATAATTTGTATTCTATTCGTGCAAAAACGTTCATTATCAGAACTCAGTCACGTGTAGTCCGACTGAAAAGATAAATGACAAGTGAGTCGCGATGAGTGTACAAAGATCCGAGTTCTGTCAATAGACTGTAAGAATGCTTTAGAGGATCTAATATTAGAGTCGACGATTACATTGGAGCACGACAATGAGAATAGCGCTGCTAATTTGTTCTATATAAAGCTACTGTACAATGCGATTGATGCCTCAGGCATCAAGGTCTATTTCATTAGTCGCTGCCGCATACTCGCCGAATCGCTGAAGAGATGGATGCTCCTGAAGAACAACGACGCCATGATCGTCAACTTGTGAAGAAATGTCTTGCTGCAGGAACAGGAAGAAGAAGAAGAATGACTCGCATCATAGCTCTGTTGCAGACTCGCACATAATCATCCCTTGTCCGGAGCTGACTGGCTGCGCCCTGTGCTTTGGCAGCGCGAGTGACGAGTTTCAGATTGTTTCAAGATGATACTCAGCATCCCGAGCGGCGAAACAAACATCAGCGATCAGCAATAATTACTACGTAGAATGTGCCATGGCACTTATTATAACTCTGAACAACGAGACTGTCTGACGTATTTACATATTTGTTTCCTCGTAGGATGTAGACGATTCCATCAGTCGTCGTAAGGCTTATCGTCAGGTGCGGCGGCCTATCTCGATTCGGACGGAGACCCGTGCCCCTAATCGACCAACTTTAATAATCACCATCAACAGTCTCAAACCCTTAACTCGTCAACCCCTCCTGACCTTTTCAAATTATATCCACTACAAGTATCCTCCTCCGTCGCCTGCTACCGCCGTCCTGTTCTCCTCCGCCGCTCTGATATCGATCTCGTCGGTCTTGGTTATTGTTTAGGTGGCGCATTTTGACGCCTGATCAATGCGGGACAATAGCTCAATATCATATATTATTGCGAACTCACCACCAGCTTCACGCTACTCGATCGCACGATATCGCACACTGTCTGTATAATTTAGGAGCCGAAGCTAATCGACCCTTGCTCCTGCCGTTCACCTTGTCGTCGTTGCCATGTTTCAATCGCCTAGTTGACCGGTCTTTGGGTATAATAGTCGTTCGGTAACATCATTTTGGCGTTGGGATCGGAGCATATATCGGAGCATGTAATCAGTGCTTGCCTATAGTCTACCCACCATAAGCTCTATATACAAGCCGTTTCCATATCCTCTACCGATCATGTTGGCCTCGAAACCTGCCTATCAACCCACGTTGGGCCATTCGGCATCATCATCGACTCCATCATATCAATCAACGACTTTCCATAGAACCGGTACACCTTCAATGACAAGCGATGGAATGTTCACTTCTCCCACCGAATCGGAATTTTCGGTCAATAATGATGGATTGGATTCAGTCCGGTGAGCGATGATGCTCGGCAAGATGTCATGACTCTTCCGATAGCTAACTCGCTCAAATATAGGTCGTGGGACGAGAAAAAGGTTGCCGATTGGCTCCATAGTATAAGATGCGGACAATACGAGCCTCTATTTAAAGGTATTTTTTCGATCTTCCTTGCTAGGTGCTCACGCTAATATGGCGGACAGCGAACAATTTTAATGGAGACAACCTGCTCGAGTGCGATCAGAAGATCCTTCAAGAGATTGGAATAAAAAAGATCGGCGACAGGGTCCGCATTTTCGTCGCCATCAAACAACTCCGGAATAAAGCTCTCATCAATCGCAAAAAGAACAATATGGTAAGTCCATGAGCACAGGATTGTCTCAACAAAAACGCTAAAAAGGTATAGGACCCCCTTGCGGCCCTCGAAGCTACGACATATGCACCTTTATCAAACGACGTATACTCATCTTCCACTTCTCGCAATCCGCTAACGTCGAAGTGGTCTCGTCAATTCGATGCTATTGGCGGCCGATCGAATTCACGGCCCTCGTCGCCTATGACCATGGATGATAGAACACGAGCATTTCGATACGCTGGTAGTCCGGTAGATGGCCCTCGACGAGATGGTATGCCTGGTTATTTAAGTCATCCATCTTCTGCCGGATCAGGCTCTGGACGGCACCCGATCACACCGGGGGATAGTTCGCAGATTTCGCATCTAAGACAAAACCCCAGCATCGACGGTTATACCATAGGCTCTCTTCCAGCGAACTCTCATGTCATCCGAATCATCTATACTGGCGGACAGACAAAGGCTATGAACGTGAAAGGTTGCAAAAACGCGGAAGAAATCATGCTTTATGTGCTCAGGAAACTACAACTCCCAGAATATCAACACCGGAGCTATTGCTTCTACGTATTGGATGGATTAGAACCTGACCCAGCGAACTGCCGACGGGTGACGGACTCTGAATTGGTGAGAATCTGCGAAGGTTCTCAAAAATCTGAACGTGGCCGCCTCATCTTGAGGAAGATCCATGCGGGAGAGCCCGATGCTGATGAATTACGCCGTGCCGCTCAGTTGGCTCTCGACGAAAGTCAGGCTACTCATCTGAATGCTTTGAGCAGCTCCAACGCCCGGAATCAGCTCAAGATTCAGCAACTGACAGGAGAACCGTGGCATCATATCAAACAACCTATCTCTCCGTTGACCTCTGAAAGGTCGAGACATCTAGCAAATGATGAGCACGAAGCTTCTCCAACTTCATCAGTCATGGAGCGCCCATCAGCTTCTAAATTACGATCATTCTTCGGAGCTCGACCTCCTAGCGAAATGATCATTCATGAACTGACATCTTATTTCCCAAGTCATCAACCGCAAGATATTGAGAAGACGATGCGTCTTTCCGTTCGAAGATCTCAGCGACTCAGTCGCGCCGCGAGTCGGCTGAGTGTGGTCAGTAACATCAGCTTTGCTTCAAGTATGAAGGATGCGCCTCCCATCCCTAGCATCGCCGACACTTGGCTTGCAGGAGGCCAATTGGCTCGTCCATCCCSGCCTTTGTCAGTTGCAAGGTCACATCTTCCTCAGGTCTCATACCGGGACTCGATTGCTTCGAGTTCTCTACAGCCTCTCCAGGAGGAGTCTCCTATAGAACCAGATCGCAAGTCATATGTATCATTCGGAAGTGGATCCGACCCTGTGTCGGGTGATGCAAGCTCAACTCAAAGGAGTTTCCTCGACGAGACGCTGAGCGTCGCAGCCACTGATGGCGGTGGCTCTTTGAACGAACGATTGAGCATGATTGTGGCGGAGGACGGAGAAGAAGAGGACACCGGTCTTGCCGACTTCTTGAACGGAGATAATTTCGCTGCTAAGAACTGGATGAAAGGTTCCCTCATTGGTGAAGGTTCTTTCGGAAGCGTCTTCCTCGCACTTCACTCGATTACTGGAGAGCTCATGGCTGTGAAACAAGTCGAGCTGCCGTCTGCTACAAAGGGTACTGAGTTTGATAAGAGGAAAAACACTATGGTCACGGCTCTGAAACATGAGATTGAACTCTTGCAAGGGCTGCACCATCCTAACATTGTCCAATATCTCGGAACCTCTGCAGACGACCACAACCTAAACATTTTCTTGGAATACGTTCCCGGTGGTTCCATCGCGGAAATGCTCAAACAATACAATACCTTCCAAGAGCCGCTTATCAAAAACTTTGTCCGCCAAATCCTTGCCGGATTATCCTACCTCCACAGCCGAGACATCATCCACCGTGACATCAAGGGCGCCAACATCCTCGTCGACAACAAAGGCGGCATCAAAATCTCCGATTTCGGCATTTCAAAACGTGTCGAAGCATCCGCCATGCTGGGCTCGAGCGCAGTCAGCGGAAGAGGCCACCTACACCGCCCTTCCCTTCAAGGTAGTGTCTACTGGATGGCTCCTGAAGTCGTGCGCCAAACGGCGCATACCAAGAAGGCCGATATCTGGAGTCTGGGCTGTCTTGTCGTTGAAATGTTTATTGGTTCTCACCCATTCCCCGATTGTAGTCAGTTACAAGCCATCTTTAGGATTGGTAATAACCAAGCGCGACCCCCTGCACCTGAGCATGCTAGTGACGAAGCTCGTGCGTTTTTGGATGTGACCTTTGAGATCAATCATGAGAAAAGGCCTAATGCGGATGAGTTGTTGGAGTGTGAGTTTTTGGCTGTTACTGTTGGTTAGCCTTGGGGGATATGTCGGGTTATAATTGTACGTATATAGGTCTTGATGTGTTTTGGCTTGATGCATATCGATTTGCGAATTGGCATTGTGCATGATGGATTGGGATTGTTTGGAATTAGAAATGCTGTGATGAGATTGATTGAATGATTGATAATTTCTCCTCCTTCTCTTTTCTTTGCCAAGGAGAATTTATACTCGGTATCTAAACTTAGGATCAATAAATCGAGTAAACCAAAGAGACTGTATTCATACAAATATAACTATATACTACATAGGAGAAGTAATGTAACATGCAATGAGGTATGTGAAGCGAAACATCGAGTGTAAATCCCTAGACACACTCCTAGCTTCGCGTATGCCAAAATGCCACTTAGTTGACGAATTTGCCGTGGAACGGAATTCCGAGCGCACTGAGAAGTAGTCTGGCGTCTTTATCGGTGGTAGCGGTTGTGTGGAGGGTGATGTGGCAACCAGGGATCATTTTGACAGGGTACCTATGCGCAAAGAATTCCTTGTCAGTATAAAGTATCTGTGAAACCCAAAAAAGAGGAGAAAACTCACATGTCATAATTGACCTCAATCTCCGGGAAAAGAGCCATCTCCTCCGGCTCCAAACCAAACGTGATATTTCCACTGCTATCACCACTGCTTCCCTTGACACCCTTCCATTCCTTGATCTTGGGCAGAACGACATCCACCAATTTACCCAAAAAGTGGTGCATGTCCTCACGGTACAGCTCAGCCTTCACAGCCACCGAGTCTCGACCCGGGACAATACCCCAAGGGCCAACGCTCGTCTTGGACTTGTACGTCTCCACACGCACATTCGAGATAGCCTGCACAGCCATACCGGCAACATGAAGCCACGATGATCCTTCCGTAGCGGCGTTTTTCACATAACTATGGATTGTGATGCGCTCGACCTTGGGCAAGTTGCGGAACGTGATGGGCTTGCGCAAAAGGCGTAGTACATCACCACCACGGGGACCGCGCAATGGTCGATTCTTGTGGTATGGGGAACTGTCATCCCATGATCGGAGACGCGGTGCTTTTACGGGAGTTTGGAAACCAGGGGGTCGGTGTACGTAGCAGAGGGTTAGGATGTCGGAGGCAATGGTTGATTCATAGGTTTGTTGGACACGGGGGAGAGAGAAAGGTCCAGGGACGAAGAGTCGGGATGACGGATCTGCGGGAGGAGGAGGGCGATGGGGATGAAGAGGGCCGCGGTCGTATTTGGGGGATCGGAATTGATACCTTCAATCAAAGTTAGTTTCCTTGTCAAAGAGAAGCCTCACACCAGATCTCCTGCGATGCCAATGCAGATTAGAAACGTACCGACTGCGAGGGAGCTTATTCTGTTTTGCACGCGCAATGGGGTTGTATGATTTTATAACAGATTCAGGAACAGGTGTCGATAGAGAAGATCCAGTCTCAACATCAATCGCGGCCGTGGCCGCTGCCTGTCCGGAGGCATTGCGTCTCGAGAAAGCGAATTGTTGATATTTATGGGATGGCGAAGGCCGTAGAAGCGCCCTTTGGAGGCATCTTGAAGGCTCGCGAGCAGCCATCGGATCGGTGGTGAGAAATTAATGAATCGTTCGAGATGGGAATCATTCATTTAACCTTCCTGAAAAATGTCGGGACAGGAAAGGTGAAGCGGACAAAACTTGATCACGTGATAAAGGGGCTCTGTCCAATCGACATGAACATGGTGGGTCTGTCCGTTGACAACCCTAATTGTAACCCTAACGATCACCTAGCCCTAATCAATTGTGTCCGCGATGGCCTTGTTCTTTAGATAGAGCACTACGTGAGGATTGATTGGGTTAATATTGAGTTCAAAGGAATGAAGCATTAGAAAAAAAGAAATGGCTTAAGTATTCTTTTTGAATGATCATTCTACATGCAAAGTACGTGAGTGTAGTACGTACGTATACATACCGGAAGGCCTCCCAATTTCTACATACTATGTGTACTGATCATGGGCCGGTGAGCACTCTAGTACAGAATCCAACTTATCACTATTAAGAGCACCTCCCATGACTAGATCAAAAATTATTATCTACATAGGTAGGCAGTCTCAAACGATCCCAACATATACTACTCAAGAGTACTCTCGATATATATCTTGATTGATGATTTGGGAAATTCTTTAGACCCAGATTATTCGATACATACCTACATATGTCGTGGCACTTGCTTATTTATAAACTCTAGGGTAGCCCTATTGACGTAAAGCTAAGTATATAGAAGGGAATAAAAAAGGAAGACTTTATAGAAGAACCTACTATAGCTCTTGTTAATATATTGATCAGCTGGTTGTTCCAGATATTCCATCATGAAACCATTCCGGGTGATTGTCCATTTGAGTTGAGGATGTTTCCTCAGTTCCTCAATGTCTTGTAATTGGTCCTGTCGAGGCGGGAATGCCATTATCGTATTAACCAGAGAATGTTAATATGGAGACTTAGGTAAGGATATATCGTGTCATAAAATATCCACTACTCTTAAAAGAAAAGATTTGACATACTCCTTTGGAACATTATAGTCAATATTGAACGCACTGGGAACGAACCTGGTCACCCGTTCCAGATTCTGCAAATTATTCGATCAAGTTTATTTGCGTCTCGGGGGCTCCTGGCCAGTACAAGTTGGTGGTTGAAACTACAGTATCAATACTATATGTTTGGGATTCCTGCACAATTTTTGCAACGTCTGTATAGTCTACTTCCAGGAGTCCAGAGACTCCGGATAAAAGTGTACTTGGTGTGGCTGCATTCTTCTGGGGAAGATAGTTAGATGCATTCCAGCTATCAATCCGGAGATGTAAGATTTGTACCTTTCGTTATAGTATGAAGATTTTATCGCGCTTCGATTTCGCTATAGCTTCCATTGTAGTCTCTCCTAGGGTCTCCAAGAACTCCCGCAACAGCGAGTAGACACATAACTTCTATAGTGAGGCTGGGATATCCAAATATGATAGTCACTTTCCCTTCTTGGAACTGAAGCTCTGAAAAAGTCGAAGACCATCGCATCTTAAATAACTTGTACTTGTACTAAGCCTGTCATTCTGATCCGGCTCCCACACGCTCCGGTGGATATATCGATTCAGCCATGGTTATTCAGATCAGATCGACCTAGATAACAACAGGCTGTACATCCTATCAATTGATACTGCATATAATGATACCTAGGTAAATTTCAATCAAGAGAGATATACTATATAAACATTGATTGTCGACTCAAACTTCCCTATAGCTAACCATAGGGTATAAGCACTTCCAAGGCTGGTCTTCCTCAAAACAAGTCAACGTGTGCAGTCACTTATTCCAGTTGCAGTGGGACTGGGAACAAAGTGCCGAACATGGACGGATCCTCATCATACCACAGACGTACCACATTCATACCTACCTTGCGACCAGCTGACACAAAACACGAAAAACATATCCCAACTACGTAAGAAATTGCCAGCCCACTGCCAACCCCATCTAACGTCTTGGCCCTTCGTAAGAACCAGAGAGGCCTTCCTTGGCGTTCCGAGTACGGAGAATGCTCTCCAAACACTGCTGGATCGATTCGGTATCCCGGTCAAGTGGGCATTTTGCACTTGATCTGATCAAGCTGAATGTCCGTAACTTTGTTGTACCACATGGTGCGCACTCGCAATTAATTGGTTAAGCTGGGGACTTCCACGTGCCAAGATAAAAGGAATTTTTTATCTGATCCGCTTTTGTGGGTCGGTTGGTCTTATCTGATCCGAATGAAAATAGTATCTAAGACTGTAATAGGAAACGGTGACTTCAGTGGTTATCCGCTCTTCGGAGAGGGAGAGGTATTTGTAGTCGACGTCACGCCGTTTAAGACATGCAATTGTTCAATCGTACCTTTTCAGGAATTTCCACTGTGGTACTAATTCGGTGTCGTTTTTTACCGGTTGACTTAGCACAATGGATCTCATACTCAAAACTCCCGTTCTCTCCGAGGACCAAGCCCGACCCGATTCAGCAGAGAGCAACATACATCAAACAGAAAAGCACTCCACAAAGCAGCCACCGCCGCTAATAGCAAAGCTGACTGCTATTCTGTTGATATCATGTATCAGTTTTGGGTCTCATTGGTATTCGAGTGTGACCAGTGCGATGAAGAGTACACTTAAAAAGGTAGCTTCCTTGACGAAATTTCTCTTAAAAGGGTCAAGATGTTGACTATTTCTGAAGGAATTGGGTATCTCAAATACACAATTCTCCCTCCTTGAGGCTAGTGAGGATTTCATGGCAACGGTGCTCTTACCTTTTAGCGGTTTGATTACCGATCGATTCGGTGGAGCCAGTACGTCTGCCGCCCCATTTACTTCGCATGGCCGCTAACTTGTAAACCAGATATGATCGTATATGGCAACATAATCTACACCCTCGGCTCAGTCCTAGTTGCAGCAGCCGCAACAGTCGAATCCTACAAATTCATGATTGGCAGTCGCGTTATTCTTGCCTTTGGCGACATCGCGACTCAAATCGCCCAGTATAAGATGTTTTCGTCATGGTTTCCGCCGAATGAAGGGTTTGCGTCGACGGTGGGCTTCGAGCTTGCTATTGGAAAAGTAAGTTCCTTGTTGGTGTAACTGTTCGACGGAATGACGCTGATTGCAGTAGTTGGGTGGTTTTGCGGGACAGTCGACAGCCAATATTATTGCAAAGGTAGGTTTCTCAATCAAACTCCAAGTGGAAAGAAGCTGACTCTTTAGAAAACTGGTCACTTCTACTGGACCTTCTGGGTTGCCGTCTTCATGAATCTATTCACAAACGCGTCCACCGCCCTATTTTGGATCTTCAGCCGCTACTGCGAAAAACGGTACATAGGTCGACGCGACACTGCCACGAATGAAAATTTGACTGAGAAGAATAAAAAATTTGAGTTGAAAAAAGTCTTTGAACTACCCTGGACCTTCTGGGCTGTTTTATCTTTCTCATTATTTCAGACAAGTGCAGCCATTGTGTTCAGTCAGAACTCGACTGAGCTTGCAGAGAAGAGGTTCAACGTTGATTCGATCAAGGCGGGTTGGTATAGTGCGCTTAGTAAATACACGGGTAAGTCATACCCTGTCCTGCTGTAGGTTCCAATGCTAACAGTATCTGTGGCATAGGATTCTTTCTGGTTCCTTGTTTAGGGGTTTTTATTGATATCCTCGGCAACCGAGCCACAGTCAGTAAGTAAATCTGGTCCTTATCAAGTCGGTTTTTCACCATTTGCTAACAGTGACTTTAGTGTGTGTTTGCGGGATTGGAATGCTGCTCTGCATGTGTCTAGTCAACTTTGCAGACACGTCAGCTGGCACAGCAGCTTCCTTCGGTATCTATGCTGTCGCCGTCTCCCTTGGACCGGTATCCATTATAGACAGCATTCGGGCAGTCCTATACCACCAATCAGTCTTTGGATCCGCCTATTCCCTCAAGATTACCATGAACAATGCGTGAGTACATCTATCTCTTGGCGCAGTCTTAATTCGATACTAACAATTAGTCCGATCCGAAGAATGAACGTCATTATCAGAATTATTACCGGCGCCCTTCAGGACGCAGATAATGATTCCTACCGCCGAGCCGTGAGAGTCTATCTCTTCCAGGCTGCTGCCTCTGTTGTAGTCGGTTTGACTATTCTCATTGGCTCCTTCTTCGTCGACTCACTCGCCGTGTTGCAGTGGACGAGAAAGTATCGCCTCAAAAACGGCGGAGCGATTATCGATACGCTCAAAGAAAAAAGCGCGACTGTACACTTGGTAAGAAACAGAAGAGTTTCGATTGCATGTTTTGGGCTGTTATCGTTGCTTATAGTGGGCAGCTGGGTGGCATACATCTGGGGGGCTGTTACAGGCCACAACTCTTGATGAGATGAAGATGTGACTAGATCTTGATCTGTCTCCAGATGAAGATCTGCAAAGAATACGTACATAGTAAAGATGTCATGAAAGGGGTTATGGCCAATAGGAGCTCGTCTGGAGCTGGTGTGGATCTCTTCCAGCCGATTGCAGACTGCTGCCTGATTCTCCAGGCATGAGCAAGCAGTGTCAAAGACAATGAAGCAGATGAGCTGCACATATATATTAACGTTAGTAGAAACAAAGCAAAACTGTCATGAGTCACATTCTGTGTCTAATTTCTGTTCTGCAGTAAAAGAAATCCAGCTGCCTTTTGACAGGAGTTCACGTGCTTGCCCGTCAGCCAGTGAGATGCCCCGCCTCCGCAGTGTTGCTGGTGGCCACCTGCCAACCCCACCACGGTCCAGTCTGCTACATACATGGTACATAGTTTTGACTTTCTTTGCTGACTATCGGGTCAGAAAGTATTCCTGTCAGCCTAGACAATTTCAATTCCATGACTTGAGGCATCCTTTACTTATGACCAGACATGCTCTCCCTTTTAGATGCCAGCTGCTCTGTCCTGCTCCACGTCTCAGAAACCTGGAGCTAAATCAGTTTGCTTTAGTCGTCAACTTGAGAAGGCAACACTAGTGAAACTCAGGACAGCACATATCGTCACAGACTACCACAATGAGTGGCATCCAGCGCTTCCTCACTAAGCGTGGGGAGAAGCATCGACGGCAAGTCAAACAGGGAAAAGAGGTGAGTTGACCAAGATCGTGCACGCTTGTAAATGTGGCGTGAATGCCTCAGCTCTGTGATGACTGACTAGACCAGTCACATAACCCAGGTGTACGAAGCTACCTGCGGGGCCTTGTCATTAAAAGTGAAGCTGTTCCAAGCAGTGACACCAGCGAAGGCCAAAAGGTATGTATCAACTGTATCCCACTCGATCGACATGGACTAATTGCTGTCTTGAGCAGGTCAAGAAATTAGAGCAACGACTCGCCTCGATCGGAATTCTCGACCTCAATAGCGCACAAATCCATGGCGCACTCACGTCCCCGTACGCGCAGGGGGATACGGAAAAGGCATTTGATCTCCTCATGATAATCGAAGACTCGATCGAGGGTATTCTACAGGACTATAACCCCGATGTGAAATTGGTGGGCGCGGTGAATCGCCAGGGAGTCACATGTTACCTGGATGCTCTATTGTTCGCAATGTTCGCTCGGCTGGACTTTTTCGAGGCCATCCTGTATCGACCTTTCACCGACAACAACGATCCACGGAGGAAATTGGTCATTCTGCTCCGCTTGTGGGTGAATATGCTGAGGTCTGGAAGACTTATTACAACCGATATTGTGCGTAAACCTTACCAAGTATTTTGACTCTGGCTAACTGGATAGACCGAACACTTGCAAGAAGCCCTCTCCGAATGTGGATGGCCAGAAGCTGCCAAACTCTGTCAGCAGGATGCATCAGAGGCATTCACCTTTGTTACAGAAAAGTTAGAGTTACCTCTCCTAACTCTCAAAATGGACATCTACCATACGGGCAAAGAAGATGTCGCGGACGACCACAAGTTCATCAATGAGAGATTGCTAGAAGTCGCAATTCCACCAGAGCACGAAGATGGCACTGCAATCACTTTGGAAGAATGCTTAGAAACCTACTTCAACAATAAGATTGAAGTCAAAAGGTACCTCGAGAGACGCGGGACGATCAACTCAGTAAGATCTTTTGACTCGACAACGAAAGCAGGCACTGTGCATGTCGAAACTGTTGAGGTGGGCTCTTCAGCTCCATCTCCTATCCGGACTTCATCTCCAAAGCTTGAATATCCGATGCCAGAAAAGTTCTCGGTATCGTCTATGTTAACTCGACGTTCCAGCATCGTTCAAGAACGGTTTGTCCCCGATAAGGACTCTCATGATGACCTCATCCACCCAGGTCGAAAGAGAAAAGGAAGCTACCGCAAAGAAGTCATGATGCCGGCATGGCAGTTCTTCAGCTTGATTCGTAAGTGTTAGTTCAAAAGCCGTTTTTTCTCGACTAACAAGTCTTCAAGCATGGTACACGGACAACACACCCATGAACGACGCCCAAGTTGCAGCTCATTTTTCTTCGAAGCGGCCCATTCTGGGCATGTGCTTGAAACGTTATAGCATCCTACCCAACGGCAACGCTATCAGATTAAATACGTTCGTTGATATCCCAACAGAGATCGGATTGCCACATTTCATCCAAGACGATAGACTAGACGAGGACGGACCATTGTATGGCAATTTCAAGCTGTCGCTGCAATCCGTTGTCTGCCATAGAGGCAACTCCGTTGATTCAGGCCATTACATCTCACTTGTACGAGGTACTAAATTCGATTTGCCTTCGACCTCCCATAGCGCCGAGACGAATATAGGCGCGGAGAATAGTGATCTGTGGATGCGTTTTGATGACTTAGCCGCCGATCGAGTCACACGGGTCAACATTGAACAGGCGCTAAAAGAAGAATCGCCGTACCTTTTGTTTTACCAGATAGTGCCGATTGATGAAGGCCTCACAGAAGAATATCTTAGTGATAAGCGGACATCTTTCATCAGTGGATCCGAAGACCTGCATGATGAACCAGTGAAGGAGATTCACTTGTCGGCAGTCAGTCTAGAATCAACCGGTCGAGACACATCCTCAGTTAGGCTCAGCTTCGATCTTTCAAGTTTGCGTCCTACCCTAGACAATACCGAGACCGACGCGTCTTCCACTGTTCCGGATAGAACGATGACAGATATCAAGGACAACGCACAGAATAACACCAGCCTCCGCGATGCATTTGCCGCTCGTCGGTCCTTGTCCATACCTCGCCGAGGAAAGGAATCGCAAAGTCGTTCCCGCAGCCGAGGCGGAGATCAATCGGGAGAGAAGCGTCTCAGTACTGCCTTTTCAAGATTCACCTCACGAATGAGCAAGGAAAAGAGCATAGAAAATCCTTCCGCGAACGCTGATGAACACGAAGGTCAAGCGGATGCCGAAGATGGTACAGTACCATCCATCGCTTACGATGAGAACGAGGTCAAGGAACCAGAGCGAGGCCGAGATATGACCACCAAACAGAATAACGGCAAACAGCGTCGCAAGCAATCAACGAACAAGAAGGAGAGACCCGACCGAGAATGCCTTGTGATGTAAGCAGCGGTGGTTACAGTGATTTCAACGATACCCTTTTCATCTAGTTGCAAATTTCTTTCCTCCTTTCTTCTCTTCTCATTTCTCTTCTTCTTTGAGACCGTTCGCAACATGTCCATGTCGTCGACTCTTTTCAAATCATTGCGTATTGGCCCGTGTATAATTAGCATAGCGATTGCATTTCATTTCCAATACATAGACTACTGCAACAATCCAAGACATTGAGATAACTTTCAGATGTCCAATAAACTAGTTCAGCATGGACGCAAATATATGGAGTAGAAGAGCCCCACTCTCGCCCGCAGCTTGAGCCATCCGTCATTCGGGAGCTCCTCACCAGGCACAACATCATAGCTTCATTCCCTCAAGGCTGCACAATAAACCACCTTACGCCTTCACATCAACATATCCTGCGCGCATCGGCATTACTTCAGAGGTAACTACCCAAATATCATGCAGCTCTGAGCAGGCGCACTATGGTGCTAGATCAATCTGGCGGTTATGTTGCCCCGAGCAATGCGTCCGAAGCGCCTGATCCCTCACTCCCTATCTTCGACGTGCGAGATGTCCAGCTTAAATTCGCGGCGAACTTTGTAGCTGCGCAGGTGGCTAACAATGTCATGATATTGGCGCTTGCTACGGGACGCATACTGCGGATCGATCTGGATAGTCCGGAGGACATCGATGGTAAGGCTTTGAAGATGAGTATGTAAATGAATGAACGTGTGTGCTAACAATGTGACGAAGATATCGATCTTCCCAAGAAACCTTCAGAAACCGGAGTCATTCGCCGACTGTTCCTCGACCCGACCGCTTCACATCTGATCATCACCACCACGGTCGGCGATAACTATTACCTACACACCCAGTCCCGGCAACCCAAATTATTGTCGCGCTTGAAAGGCTCGATAGCGAGCGTAGCATGGAACCCTTCCGCGCCGACTGCATCCACGCGAGAGATATTGGTAGGCGTCACAGATGGAAACGTGTACGAAGTGTACATTGAGCCATCGACCGAATTCTATCGTCGCGAAGAGAGACATGTCACGAACGTCTATCGGATACCCGAAATGCCAATCACAGGTATATTCGCGGACTTGATACCAGGGAAACCGGATCAGCGATATGTGATCATATCAACGCCTACGAAGTTGCTGCATTTTCAGGGCCATGCCGGTCGTAATGCGAGGGATAGTGTTTATGGCGAGCTGTTCCAGCGGAATACACCCACCGTGCATGAGAGTCCGAACGCGACAATAGCGGCGCCTTCGTCGTTGGCGATCTCGCCGCGACAGACGGAGGAGCATCATATTGATGGACAGCCAGCAGATTTACGATTTGCGTGGCTTTCTTCGCCGGGCGTACTACACGGTCTGTTAAATCACGCTGCGTCTGATGGAAACAAGGTCGTTGAAAACTCTTCTATGATTCCTCGCGAGGTGTTTCCAGCGACGGAATCCGCGCGTGGTGGGAAAAAGCTGATCCAAGATCCTGTGACTGCTATAACTCTTTCACAATGGCACGTCCTTGCCCTGGTGGAAGGACATGTGGTTGCCGTAAACGTCCTCAGCGGTGAAGTGGTACACGATCAACCTGTACTCGAACCGGGACAGACGGCTCTAGGTCTCTTCAGCGATCGCGTGAAGAATACATACTGGCTCTTTACACCGACAGAGATCTACGAGATTGTGGCCTATGACGAAGACCGTGATGTGTGGCGCCATTTCTTGCAAGAACAGAAATTCGATGAAGCTCTTCGATATGCACAGAGTGCTTCGCAAAGGGACGCTATTGCTACCGCTTCAGGTGACTATCTTGCTAATAAAGGAAAGTATTTGGAAGCATCTGCCGTATGGGGCAAGAGTAGTAAGAGCTTTGAAGAGGTTTGCTTGACATTCATCAACGCGGGTGAACATGATGCTTTGCGCAAGTACCTGCTCACCAAACTTACGAGCTATAAGAAATCTTCTGTCATGCAGCGAACGATGATTGCAAGCTGGCTTGTAGAAGTGTTTATGGCCAAATTCAATTCTCTTGATGACACTATTGCGACTAAGGCCGAGCTCGCAGAAGGAACTAGCACGGGAGAGTCAAAAGCGCAGCTTGAAAACATTCGAGCCGAATTTGAAGAATTTGTGACCAAATTTCAGTCTGATTTGGATCAGAAAACGGTTTACGACATTATCAGCAGTCATGGACGCGAACAAGAGCTGCTGTTTTTTGCAAACGCGACCAACGATTACAACTACGTTCTATCATACTGGATACAGCGAGAGAAGTGGACAGAGGCTTTGAATATGCTTCAGAAGCAAACTGATGCCGAGGTTTTTTACAAATATAGCACTGTACTCATGGTCCACGCTGCGGTTGGACTCGTGGATATTATGATCCGCCAGACACATCTCGATCCTGAGCGACTGATMCCCGCCATGCTTAGCTATAACAATACTGTCAAACCAGCATTGAACCAGAACCAAGCTCTGCGCTACTTGAACTTCATCATCGCGAACCATCCTCATCCGGCGGCAGCAGTGCACAACACTCTAATATCTATACATGCTTCCAGCCCCTCTCCCAACGAAGCGGCACTTCTCAGTTATCTCGAATCGCAAGCCTCCGACTCACCTCCGTATGATGCCGATTTTGCTCTCAGGCTGTGCATACAATACGAACGAGTCCAATCCTGTATCTACATCTACAGTTCCATGGGCCAATATCAACAAGCAGTAGAGCTCGCCCTCAAATACAACGACATAGAATTTGCAGCCATCGTCGCCGACAGACCCGAAGGCAACGACAAACTACGCAAAAAGCTCTGGCTCCTCGTCGCTGAGAAGAAAATTCGACAACCGGGCACGGGCATCAAAGACGCAATTGAATTCCTCCGTCGTTGTGAACTTCTTCGCATCGAGGACATGATCCCCTTCTTCCCAGACTTTGTCGTCATCGACGATTTTAAAGATGAGATTTGCAAAGCCCTGGAAGAATATTCCATTCACATCGACGAACTTCGTCAAGAGATGGATACATCCGCCCAAACAGCGAGCCAGATCCGAGCCGAAATCACGGACCTAGATAGTCGATACGCTATCGTCGAACCGGGCGAAAAATGCTGGATTTGTTCGCTGCCGTTGCTGAGTCGACAGTTCTTTGTATTTCCGTGTCAGCACGCTTTTCACAGCGATTGCCTGGGTAAAGAGGTTCTGGAGGGCGCTGGTGGGAAGAAACGGTATATACGCGATCTGCAGGCGCAGTTGAATAAGGGAAATCTATCGGCGAGTAGGAGGGAGAAGATTATTGTGGAATTGGATTCTTTGATTGCGGAGGCATGGTAAGTCAACCCGCCCAACGCTCATAGGGTATATCTGCTAACTGTTCACTAGTATATTATGTGGTGACCATGGAATCAGGCAGATAGACAAGCCGTTTATTACTGATGCTGATAATGTGGATGAATGGCAACTGTAATTTGTTTTGTCAGGTAGATGCATGTACATATCTAATTAATGAGACTTTTTTACGTTCGGCCTATTGTGATTGAACAAGAACCACCTATTCAAGCATATGCATATGATCGATTACTCCAGACCCCAATAAGGATGCACGTAACATTGGAAGCGAACTAGTGAGTGGTTGTATAGAAGGCCTTTACGCCCTGCAGTGCAACACACCCGACCCCTGTCCAGATGGAGATTTTATGGCAGGGATTATGAGCATGGGCTTCTGAAACTCTATTCAATCCATAGGTATAATTGGCTCCTTCGCTCTCAATTCTAGATTTAGTTAGATTCTAGAACTAAAAGCCCATGCGTCTGATCCTGGGTTCTTCATACATCAGAAGGTCATCCCGATCATTTTTGTCGGGTGTTTTATCTTTTCTTCTATACTGCAAAGAGTCACGGCGAGTTGACTTTAGCAGCCATATCATCATATGAACAAGTACCAAAGAATCTTTCCCCAATCTAGAAAGCTGCGCGATGTATCCAATGAAAATTGAGAACATTTGTCAGTGAAATTGAAACTTGACTTCGAACAACCATGAGAAAGGACACTACCCCTCTCCCATGGAAGTAAGCTGCAATTAATGCCGATACTCCTAGCTTGTTCATATCGATTGCCACGCTTTGATTTGGCAATCTTTGCTCACTGAACAGAGATCAAAAATCATTGAGGCGAGTCGCCTGGAATTCTGAAGAATATAGGTCGTTTCTTTCACGCGTGGTGGTTCTATAGATCATCATTTCGTATACTAACAACAGCCTAGCTGCGGAGTAATCGACTCTACATCGCGAGAACATTTCCTAATGATCCCGAATTCATGTCAGGCTATGCACGAGCCGCAGTTGTATTAGACAGGAAGAATCTATACAGCATCCTTTCTGAATAAAACAGTTAAACTGGCTAGGTTCTCAGCACATGCTCTTTGCATGTTTCAAACCTACTTCTAGAGAATTCTTTTCCGTCAGCCGAGGCAAAATCTCCTAATCGTAGAATAGTGTCAGCTTTTGGGAAGTCCTCGCAAGCATATATACAGATGTCTTGTGCAATTACCTAGAATGAGAGGGAGGAACAAATGTATTGGTGCTATCAAGCTGCCTATCCCACAAAGCGTTCAACTTGCTCAATGTCAAGATGTTCTTGTGCACTGTCATGTACAGTCTTTTCACTGTTCTTCTGACCCTCAGCCTCTCACAACGAGGCCATTGCTATGGCCATCAACCGCGTCAAGTAGCTTCTTCAATTGCCTCCATCAACCAATCGACATGGAACGCATTCAACGCAACCGTTTCGGGGCACCTTCACAATGGAGAGCCCATGATGGCTCCATGTTACACTGACTACGATGGTGTACTGAAATACCCGGACGTTGCGGAATGTTTTGTTCTTCAAAGTGCACGGTCAGATACAGTTTTGGTGTCTGATTACTTTGGGGGGTATATCAATGTACGGAGTTGTCTCTTCTACCATCAACTTCTACATGTTAAGAAGGCTATATCATTGGTATTTGTAAAAATTGACTTAATATAGGTAAATTGGGGCTCTTGTCAAACCACTGGGCAGAGCTGTGCCTTGAGCTCTCTACTGAATCCGGACACCATTACCCCTGTCACCAGGGAATGCTACCAGGGCAGCGTTCCCTCAAAGTACGTCAATGTGCAGAGTGTTAAAGACGTGCAGAATACTTTTTCATTTGTTCAAGAGAACAATCTTCGGTTAGTTATCAAAAACACCGGCCATGACTATAAAGGCCGGAGCTCGGCGCCTGACTCGATAGCGTTATGGTGGGTGCTATGCAATACTGTCAGATCCCAAAAAAAACGCATGATAAATCTAATGTGTTTCAAGGATGCACAATTACCAGCCTGACATAGTCTTGGAGACATCTTTCACTCCAGACGGGTGTTCCGCAGCTGTTGGTGATGTTATCACCTTTGGAGCAGGTCAAGAGTTCGAAGGAATCTATGAATTCGCACACAGTCATAATTATCGTGTCGTTGGAGGCAGTTCTAGTAGCGTAGGAGCTGCCGGGGGTTGGATCACCGGCGGCGGTCATAGTATGCTTTCAAATGAGCTAGGTCAGAGCTTTGCCCTCTTCCCAAAAATAATCGAAATGGCGTACTGACCTCTTGCTATAGGTCTTGGAGTTGATAATGTCCAACAACTGAGAGCAGTGCTTCCAAATGGTACTTATGTCACGGCCAATCGTTGTCAAAATCAAGATGTTTTCTTCGCGCTTCGAGGAGGCGGCGGTGGTAGCTTTGCAGTTATCATGGAGATGAGCACCTTGGCTCACCCTGAGTCTACCACTCAAGTAGCAGAGGTGACCTTTGCGAGCTTGAGTGCCGCCAATGCGGCAGAGTTCATCTCCCTACTGGTTGCTAATGCCGATACATGGGCATCCCAAGGGTGGGGGGGTTATATTCAGCCTGGTCTGGTTGGCAGCCAAGTTTCTTCGTTTATCATGGCAACCTCGTTGTTGAATCATACCGAAGCCGTCATCTCAATGCAGCCAATTCTTACCTTTGTCAGTAGATTTGGCACCCTCGCAAACGCTAGCGTGACGACGTTCGACACCTACTTCGATGTTTTGGCTAGTCTCACATCAACCGGACTCAGCGCAGTCCCCGCTGGGGGGGTGGCCATATCATCAAGAATCGTGCCCAGAGAGTCGTTTCTCGGCTTAAAAAACCAAACAGAGCTCTCTACGATTCTCAATGGCATCATTACCACGAATGAAGTCGAAAACCTGGTCTCTATTGTACCGCTCTTTATTTGCGTGACAGCACCTACCCTCTACTCTCAGAATCTTCCGACGACAGACTTACCTGGTAGCTCTGGGGCCGCATCAGTCACTCCTTCCTGGCGAAATGGTTTGTGGCATGTCATCCATCTGCGCGTATTCGATGGTACCACTACCGAGCCGGCAATTGTCAATGCGATTTGGCAGGCTGCTCACGATACTATGGATCCTTTACGAGCGTTCACGCCGAATTCCGGAGCATACCAAAACGAAGCGGATCCTTTTGAGACGGACCCAATAAGCACTTTTTGGGGTGCAGATAATTACAACCGTCTGCTGTCGATCAAGCGGGAGATTGATCCAAATAATATCCTCACAGTTCACCAAGGAGTGGGTTGGGATGACACGGATGACAGATACAACTGTTATCCCGATGTAATTGCGTGAGATGCGCTTGAAAGGATATTGTAGATGGATGGTGAAACGGTGTAATTATTAGCTATCTATCATAGTACCCTAACTAGTAGAGGACTTTCCGCACGAAGAGCTACCAGGGGTTACTGAACTGGAGTATATTCAGAAGAAAGTGAATAAGATGATTCTGTTTGGAAATAGCGAACAGGGCAGAACTGAATCTGCATGATTGTACCTAGGCAGCGGGTATCACTTCTCAATATACTTCGATTCAAAAATGACATTTAAAAGTAAATCAACTCAATTATTTCCCCAGGTGACTTGACTGCTGTACACCAATCTACTTTCGAAACCTTCCTATATTGGCTTAGACTCTTAATATATAAATGAGGATACCTAGGTAGCATTAATAACATGCACTAACATGGGTACAGTGCAGGAATATACAGCAAAATATCCAGGAAACATCCTGATCAACTTCTCCTCACACCGCTATCATTGTTTGTAATATACGAGCATAGAATCTTAGAAATATGGAAAATAAACGACATCAAACACCCTTAAAAGATATCTGCATGTTTTATTTGATATGATTGTCCATGGCCAGATCAGTAGCATCTAAAACTTTCAGGAGAGACCGCGAGGATTTAAGCACAAAACCTATTCAATTTAAATTTAGATAAAGGTCCAAGGAGTGAGGCGTCTATCTGTGATTATCTCGTGCAGGATGTAAAGTCATTCAGCTCACTGCATAACCACAGCTACATGTCCATCCATGTACTTGCCAATGTTCTTCAGTCCCAATGAAGCCAGAATTGCGAGCCCGCCAAAAGCTATACTTACGTAGTACACGTACTTGTAACTTTCGGCAAAGGCTATTTGACCTGCGAGGACGACCGCATCATACGCAGCCTGACTTCCAGCAATGCCAGGTAGGTTCATCAACTCTTTGATTTCCGATGCACCCGTCAATTCAATGGCCTCGGTGATGATCTTCAGATCAGTGATATGGAGAACTTCCATCATGACACCACCAACATAATACTCGACATTAGTGAGAAACTTGCTAATGAAGATGTTATAATAGATCGTATAGCCGACGCCACCGCCAATGACACGGATGGACAGTGTGAGAGCGGATACCGTGGCGACGAGATCCTGTTTCAGCATGTCTTAATTTTGGCGTGCCAAACCAAAAGTCGTACTTTACAAGGGGAAGTGGACTCACGTCGGGACATATTATGGTTGTCATAATCGATGCCGGAACGACTATGCCTCCGATTCCCAAAGCGGCAACGATAAGGATACCCCATAGCTGATGGAGATTATCAACGCGTGCAATAGCCATAGCACCGCATCCTGTATATGATTCAGTATACACAGACAGAAACGTCATCGATCTTATGCCGTGTCGAGAGAATGATACAACATACCTGCAGTCATCAGACAACTGCTAACAAACATCAACTCTCTGATCCTTCCCTTGCAGGTACTCAGCAGCCAAAGACCAATGAATGCCCCGGCAAGAATTCCAAAACCGATAGGCAAACCACGAAGACCAACTTGAATGGGATCATGGCTGTAGACGTTAAAAGCCTCGGTAGGCCAAAACATGAGTATCGAGAAGAAATTAGCACCTGAGATGAAAGTAATCAAAAGGGTGAGACCGAAAGTTCTCGGCTCTTTTATCAGGCGAGCGGGCATGAGTGGATTTCGAGTGCCGTAGATTTCCCAAATTACAAATGCAACCAGAAAAGCGATTCCCAATATGAGGGGTGCTAGAACATGGGCGCTATGCCAGGAGTACTAGAAACGTCAATGATTATGTTTGGACAAAGTATTAGTGGATAGAATGTTCTACCTGATAGCCACCCCATTGCAGGCCAGCCAAAAACAGAACCATGCCCGAAATGCTGAGAAATCCGCCCACAAAGTCTATTTTCGAGATGATTTGCGCACGACTGAGTCCCTTTGAGTTAACTCGTCGTGGGGGGAAATAGAAGAACATAGTCATTAGCAGACCGACTCCGTTCCACGCTGCGCATAGAGCTCCAACATATCGCCAGCTGGTGTGGTAAGCAATCAACTGCGCCCAAAGTACAGAAGGGCAGAACGGGAGGATGCTGAAGACCAGTATCGCTACGTATTTACCCCGTTTCTTGGTCGGAGCCATCTCTGCAGTAGCAGCGAGTGCAGTAAGCTCGTTGATGCCGGCGCCAGCCCCTGAAATGGTCATCCCGCCTGTGCTCATTGTTGCTTCCGGTCAGCAACATTTTCTTTACGTTGGAATCATTTGCATTTCGGCACCTACCAATGAAGGTGTTCATGGAACTAGCAGTACTGCTTACTATCATACCAATGCATAGCAATGATGCTCCGATTAGGGCAATGTAACGACGTCCAATCAAGTCGGAAATGGACCCAACGAATGGGCAGATACCAGCCAAGGCTAGCAGATTTCCCAGAATCTGTAGGGAGGCTGTGCTTAGCAGAGGTTTCATTCTATTACGTCGACTACGGCGCAAACACCGGGTTTGACCAACATACCAACCATATCCATCGATCCGCTCCTCCGATATCTTCGTAGATATACGGCGGTATACCGCCTGATAGTACCCGATCGATCCCGTGAGCATGAGTCACAGAGTGGAACGTCGTCTGGAAACGTACCGAAAAGATAGACGGGGATCTGACTTCCGGTCCACAGGAAAGCGAGCGCCACGAAACTCAGAAAACGGTGAACGGTCATCTATACATTGTAAATCGGTAAGCAAGGATCTGTTGTGTCGGGATTAGGGGGAATGCCGATTCTTCATGCCGAACAAAACATACTGGTGTTTCATGGTCATGATCGGCATCATCGCCATCTATCCGTAGATCCGTGCCGTGGAGACCATCATCTTGGTGGATCGATTCAAGGTGTGAAGCAGCCGTTTCAGCCACGTTTTTCTCTTGCTGGCTACTAGTTGAAATCCAATCCTCACCCATGGTTGCGAGTGTGACACGCTATGCAGAAGATGAAACTCAATGCGAACAAAATTTTGGGAAAGGTAAAAAATAGGGTAATGGAGATTTCGCCTACTGTGCAGGGGGAGACCTTGTGGGCAACGGCACTGTTGTAATTTCTGAAGTGTGTTACGATGTATTGCTGGGAGGAGGTCGTGGCATCTTTATGCACGAGAAAGTGATAGTACTGTAAAGCATTCTACGAATATACCCACGCAAAATTTTGCATATAACGAGTCATTCAAAGCAAGCGAAATTCGTGGATTGCTAGGGTATTACAGACCATGGGCTAGCTATTCGCCCAGCAACAAATTGTGGCGTTTACACGACTCAAGAACCAACACAGAGTCCTGGGCTGCTAGATATTACTTTTTGTCTTTTCCCGACAACGCCGAGGTAAACAACACCTCCTTTGCGCCAAATCATTGCTATCTCAATATTGGGAAAATGAAGTCCAAGTAGTCTAGTTTCGACTCTGCAAAAGATGCTCCGCTCCACTAGCTCCACCAAACCTACAGATGACCTATACATGTGGCTGATAAGTGTGGGTGCGAGTTTCTACGTTCCACCTCGAACGAGTTACCCAGATTGAGACACCTCTGCGGTGAGTCCAATCAGAACAGAGAGGCTGATTTAGGGCTTAACGGCAGCCTCGGTACAGAGATCCAAATTCCAAAAAACAATCGATTATCTACAGGAGGAAACTGATAGACTTTCTTTAATTCGTATTCATCTTCCGTACAGTAAGCGGCTTTGAAACGAGGCTCATACTCAGGCTCCAAACCGGAAAACGATCCTCTTTTGGGGAAGTGTAATCCATGTTCATGGTTCAACTTCGCTCTAACGTAGCCTCCAAGAACACGAGAAGCCGAAGCCGCCAACATGATTGGCTCTTTCGCACTCCTGTCCTAATCGAGTTCAGTCCGAGCTCCATTTCTCGGCCACGAGTTGTGGGCTCCAAAGCGCCCAGGAACTATGGGGCTTGGCTGCTCAGGAATCGTTTCATGATTCATCTGTTGATTAAGCTTTGCGGGGCCGGTTCCGCAATTGCTCGTATTTACCGGCCTAGATTTCACATGGAGGTCTTGCCTGAGGATCATCCCGGAGTTCCTTAATTAGATAGATGAAATATGCAGATCGCAAACTTGGGGTAGTCAAGGATGCTGCGCGATCAGTCCCGTAGTTGATGTCACCACATTCTTCTGCTCCGGGTGGGTTTGGCAGACTTCATGTAGAACCGGGAAACTGTGGGTGGGTTGAGACCTCATGTTTCATCACAAGACATGCTCGAAATGCCAAATAGGCTGTATTACAATCTAGGTTTTCGAGCCAGGATCGCAGCGTGCATCATTGTAGTCACGGCTTCACCAAGATTTGTGAATATAAAAAGGCTCTTGTCCTCTGCTTGATCAAGAACATTATTAACCTCATCTCAACAAAAAGAGAACAACGGAACTATCAGATACATCTAATTATTGAAGATTCTATAGTCCGGCCTCAAGTCATCCCAACGCCTGAAATCACCATGTCTTTGTCTACTATGAAGATTTTTCTCCTCGCACTTTGTGCTGGAGTGTATGCCTCTCCTTTGTTGACCGACAGAGCAACTTCTGGTATGATCTATGAACTTGCCCAAGACATATGACTTTTGCTCTTAACAATGTTGCTAGATTCCGGCATCTTCTCTGAAATGCAGCGTGCTGCTGAACTGTCTTCAGCCGCATACACAGGTTGCATTGGCAGCGCCTTCGACGTGACAATCACCAAGCAAATAAACGACGTCGCCACTGATACCCAGGTGAGATGCAGCTACTGTACTGATGAAACGAGTCTTTCTTCGAATGCTGATCCATCTAGGGGTTCGTTGGATATTCTACCTCTAAAGGCCGTATTTCGGTTGTCATGCGAGGATCTACCACGGGTAAGCCTTTGGATCGCCCCAATACGTACCTAGATACACCGATACTTACCACTTACCATAGCCACCGATATTTTGAATGACATCGATACTACCTTGACGACACCATCGTTCTCCGGAGTGAACTTCCCAGCCGGCGTTCAGATTATGCAAGGTCTGGCATCGCCTTGGGGTGCAGTCCACGACGAGGTGATCGCCGAGGTAAAATCACTTATTGCAAAATACCCGAGTTATACATTGGAGTCTACAGGTCACTCTCTTGGGGGTGCCTTGACCTATCTGAGTTACATTGCTTTAGCTCAAAACTTCCCCGGCAAGAATATTACGAGCAATGCGCTAGCAGCATTCCCGATTGGAAATGCGGCCTTTGCAGCCTTTGGCACGGCCCAAAATGGACTTCTTCGACGTGGTAACAATGCTGGTGATGGTGTGCCGGTTAGTGTCTCAAAAGCTATGCTTCTAATGTGCAAGATATGATCTAACTAAGTCATTCAGAACATGTACGTTTCGTTACCATACGACTTCGTCCACTACGGAGAGGTATGTACTATCATTGGCTAGCCTCAGTGAATCCATTCCATTCTTATCATACTAATGCTATGTAGGAAATCTACAGTTATGGCAGTGCATTGACTTGCTTGTTGTGCTCCGGAGAGCGCGACCTTCAATGCTCCGCTGGAAATGGCCTGGTTGGTGTCACAACAGGGCATTTCTCAAGCTTTGGAATCGGGCTAGGCTACGCTGGCTGTGCTGGTCTTTGAGCAATGGCCCAATAGTCTTCCAATGATTAGAAGTGGGTAATCCTAGCGGCAGGCCGCTCATTGAGGACCGGCAGGAATGAACATTGGCCTGCATTCCTGGCTTCTAGGTCATGTTTCCATGTATTTATGATTTTTTCCCCAATTGATTTGCGAAGTTTCATTTTTAGCTAGTCTGTCGTTTCTGCTTAAGCCTGCTGGCCAAAATTGAAAAGAAAAATGTCTGCTTTACCATCGAGATTTAGTTGTAGGACATTGTTACGTGTATCTCCTTCCGTATTTCATTAAAGTCAAGTACCAGTTACAGGGTGATCGTAGTCGGTATGTACACAGTCAAACCGTCTGTTGTTTCTGTTCCAACAACTCAGTCGTGTCTACTCATATGTTCGAGTATCTCAATGACCGCCTGTGTTGACTATACCGACAGAACCCGGTTTGGACCTTCGGTCTCCCACGTCGACTTGATCCAATCTTGAATGCAGTGATCGTTTCAGTTAGGATACACTGACTAGATCTGTCACCTTCGATCTGAAGGTGAATATCGGTATAAAGCTGTGCGATGAGTGTCGAGACCTCTAAAGTATTGGATCATCGAATCTAGCATAGCGCCTCTACATTAATGTTTTGTCGCCGGCTTGGCTATTACTGATTTGATCCTATGACACTGTTCCAGGGCACTGACTTCAATTTATATACGTGCTTAATACCGGTAGGATCGTAGACATGATTGGCTGTTTTTCTTATAATAGGCTATTATTGTTTAGGTGCATTGAGCTAGCTAGTTGAGGGATAAGGTCTATGCTGTGATTGATGTTTAATTCTCTTAGTCACTGACTTTATTACCTTTGGTCCACCAATGAGGTACTGTGCGCCTTAAAATAAGTCGCAATTCACGAGGAGGCTGAAGCCACAAGCGTCTCAAATCGGGCCTTTCCGGGGCTCCAAAGGGCCGGCTACATCAGGGAAATGCCTTCCAACCATGCCGGAATCTAGTCAGTGTTATCTTTTGCCGTATAGATAACATCAGAAGTCATTGATGAACGCCGCCCATGACTTTGGCCGAAGTTTGCAACGAATGAATGTTTTTCTGGTCTTTGAAGAGTCAAGACTGGACCCGGACTTGACTCCGACTTGGCTGAGGCATGACTATTTCGCGCTAGAATAATGAAACAGCCAGATCGCCACAGAATGCGGGGTGCTTTTAACTTTAAAAAGTCGTGTTGCCCATCAATATTAATCCCTGGAGCGAGTGCGCATATGCCTGGAAGCAGAAAATCTGAGAAACCATGGTTTACTGCGGTAAGCCCAGCAGAGGTTGTGAGAATTGTCGAAAAAGAAAGATTCGAGTAAGCATGCCACAACGGGAAGATAGCCGTGCATATTACACGTATGCTCGCTGATACCCTCGTCGCAGTGCGATCGGACTGAGCCTGCGTGCTTCAAATGCCAACAAGCAAAATTTGCCTGCCCGGGTTATCGCAGCTTGGTCGATGTGAACTTTCGTGACCAATCCCAACATGTCATTGACAAAGCACAGCTAGCCTATCGTGGTCAAAAGAGCAAGTCGGGCGTGTCAAATGCACAGAAGACCAAGCATATACAATCCATACAGCCCGTATCCTGTCTGGTCTCGACTACCGCGATGGACCAGCCAATATGTATCTTTTTGCATAGTTATGTCCCATCGGATTCGGTCCCCGTGAAAACCCAGTTGACCACGTCCCAAATTGTCACACAAGTCAAATCAAGTTGTGCCGTTCGTTGTGCGATATCATCTGTTGGACTAGCCATGCTCGCGAACACCAGAAATGATCCGAACCTGATGACCGAGGCTCGGAGGGAATATACCACTGCCCTGCGTTTGACGAACTCGGCCCTTAGACGTGAGAACGACTGTCTAAAAGATACGACACTCAGTGCAGTCTTACTGCTAGGCATGTTTGAGGTCAGAACTCGATTTTCATTCGTTTCTCTCCCTCCCCCTCTTCTTTTGACAATGTCGTTTTGTAATTCGAAGTATCTTTTCCAACCTGTTTACATGGCTATAGGTGATGGCTTGCGAAGCCCCCAAATCAGTGGAGAATTGGCAGAAACACATCACCGGTGCTGCCACACTGCTACAATTGTGGAAGTCAAAGAAGGATATGACGCCCACAAGTATTCAGCTATTTACACATCTTCGCACGGATGTGGTATGGATGTCACAGACAGAATTTTCTTAGGTCACCACACTAATTGGTCTTGTAGATGGCAAACTGTCTGCGAACTCAAACCCATGTTCCCCCCATGGTCAGACAATTGTCGACATTGGTCGGGACTTATAGATCGGAAGAGAACATTCACGCCGAAAGTCTAGGTGGGATTGTGGCTGAGGTGTGCGATCTTTTTGCTGACGTGCGAGGAAACGGGATTCCGGAGCTTGTGAAAGTCATTGAAAGGGCAGAGGACATCGATAGTCGAATGCACGCTTGGAGTTTAGGTCTTTCATCACGGTGGAGATATACAACTCACACTTACTCTGAGAGCCGTCGCCTAGTCAACCACGATACCTGTGGTGGCACATACCATCTATACCCTCATGTCTGGGCCTGTAACATCTGGTCGTACTACCGGACCGGACGCATTCTTCTAAATCTCTTGATTCGAGACCGTTTAAAACCACTTGCCGACTATGATCCCGAATGGAGGTGCGCCTACGATAGAGCCAAAGCAAATATTGCTGAGCTATCTATGGATATACTACACAGCGTACCGTATTCGATGTCGTTGCAGTTTTCGTCCCCATCGGTGGCTGGGATCAACTCGCCCCCTGGCGGATGTCTGGGTGGGTATACTATCTTATGGCCCCTCTATGTGGCTGCCAGTGTTTCTGCTCCTGACTCTAGCCATCGGAAATGGGCTATTGGCCGGCTGGAATACATTGGGCATCGCATGGGAATAGGTCAATCATTGCTTATGGCAAGAGTGGTACGAGACGAATTGCCGCGCGAGTCGTTATCTATATATGACTACTGTCAATCTTACCGGCCACAGTCGTGGTGAAGGTGAAAACTCGTTGAAGTACCGTAGTTTGTTTTTCAACATAATTCACTCTAAAGCCATCCATCATCTGCATGCACATCATGACCCCGATCCAAATCCTAGCGTCAGCGTCTAGACCACGTACAGGATAAGACTGCCTGTTCCTTATCTTTTTCCAAGATGTTTTCCTTGTGTGTACCAGTAGCTCCACAGGCCGCTTTCCTAAAATCTCCTCTACTACATATCAACACAGCATAGCGTACATTTTGTTACAGAATATGATCCTTGTGCAGCGTGATTTGAACTAATTAAGGCAAAGTCAAGGGGCAGGATTGATACATGAGCTAGCCTATATAACACTTGGTATGAAGGAAGTTGATCCAGGAAGTGACTAGCATAGTCTATTTGGTTTGGTTGCAGTCGATTGCGAGTCGTTTGTGTGCCTCTGCGTTGATCTTCCGTAACTCGTCACTAATAAGATCAGGCAAGTAGACAAGCCGAATGTGGATAGTGTAGATAAGTGGCAATTTGAAATTCTTTGTCTTGTATATATCCAATCATGCCATGTATTTATGTTTATCAACCTATTGAGAGTGCAAGTAGAGGCGTCCCTTTCCTACATACATGCGGTGTGGACGAGTGGTACGTCTTAGAAAGCAGGCTGTGCAGCATGACCAACGCTTATCCCTGTAAATTAATTTACAATGTCTCCACAAAGTATACTATCGGTGGACATGTGTTCGAAGACGACAGGGGTAGTCTACATTTTCTTTGTCTGGGAAGCGCTAGGCTACTATCCGCTGTTTAACCACCTCTTGATTCTTTGAGTATGTCAATCGGAAAGGTTACCTAGATTTACATATAACTCAGATTAAGAACATTTATCACTTTATACCAAAGATTGAGCATCACACATATCCATCATTGCTATTACATTAGAAACAAAATGGCTCCCTCACCCCGTCCAGTCTTCGTCCTTGTACCCGGCGCTTCCCAAACTCCAGCTGCCTATGGCTACCTCCTACACCTCCTTCAACAAAAAGGATACGGCGCCTTCAGTGCTCTTCTGCCCAGTGTCGGGGCCACGGGACAAGTCACTGCCGCCCATGACGCGGAATACGTACGTTCGCGCATGCTTCTCCCGGTGCTTGACATTGAACAGCACGATGTCATCATAATCAGCCATTCTTATAGCGGAGTCCCAGCCAGCGCGGCTGCTCTAGGTCTTGGAAAGGCAGATAGAATCGCTGAGGGCAAAAAGACATCGATTCTGGGTCAGATATTCATTGCTGCGGTTGTTGCTAAGGGAGGGGATGGATTGGATCTTGTCGCAAACTTTGGGGGGAACATGCCACCGCATATTCGCGTTGATGTAGTTAATCCATTTTTCTTCGCTGAGGTATAGTGCTGACAGGAAATCAGGAGCCAGCAAATCTCTTAAGATGCGACGATCCTAAGCCACCTTTATTCAACGACCTACCGACGGAACTCGCAGATGCTGCAGTCCTATCCTGCGTCAGCCAATGCAAGACTTCATTCATAAGCCCTTGTCCAGCTGCAAGCTGGGACAGTGAAGCATACAAGGGCCGGATTGCTTATGTTAAGACAATCAATGATCAGGCAGTTCCTTACGCTGCACAGGCCATGATGCTACAAGCTTCCGGTCAGGAATGGATTACGCGCGATATCGAAACGGGGCATAGCCCACAACTGGTGGCGCCGGAGAAGTTGGCTGATATTCTGGTTGAGATTGCAGAGCACTTTGAGGCACTATAAGAGAATCAGTTCATGACCAAAGGTGGAATTTCGATTGCCGTCCTCTTTCTCGAATTCCAGTTCACTTGTGGTTAGTGCGACGGGTATCTTTTCGATTTTATATTACATTGTTTAGGCAGGACGGGTATACAGTGATCGAATTATTGAGAAAGAGTATTACAGATTTTATCTATTTCGTGTTTGATTTTTGCCTCTCTTCACTTTACCCCAACATATAGGCTTCTGGTTCCGTGTGCCTCCAAGCTTTTACCTACTCTTATGCGAGAGATCAGCCTTTACAGATAACCCCCATAGCGAACTTCATGACTGTTAACTCGCCTTGGAGCAAGCTCGGTAGGAGCAAAAATAATTATTACCGAACGTGGTTAGAAAGTGACAACTTACTACCAGGTTTGGACACTGGCTTCATCGCTGCCGACGTAGCCGACCCGATTGTAATTAGGGCTAGACAAGCTCCATACCCGGGGTATCCATCCCGTCTAGGCCTCAGTAGCGCAGCCTGTCATATTCCCAGATCATGCCCACGTTTTCTCCAAGTTTTTTAAATCGTTCTCCATCTTAAATTAAACTCAATTAAGCATGCGGGTCTCTCCATTTCCGACGTACAGATTACTCGTTGGTTGGTTGAACTATGTACATACCTTGGAACATCCGAGATGAAGATCTTATGATGTTTCTGTGCCTAGACGTCCGTTGAGAGATTGATTAAGTTGTGGAATTTGTCGGAAGCAAGATAGAGTGATTAAATGGGTTTGATTTTGGTTGTATATGGCTTCGTCCATTGAGAAGGGGAATCACAAGCACGTTTTTCTCCGCAATAATGCCTGGGCTTACGGCTTGTCGATATTAGTTGGAACGACTATTTGATGAAGAATAACAAAAGCTAACTTTTCGCGTTAGATGAGCTAGCAACGAAAACAGCTATAAACCCAGGTCAAACCCATACCTTTGAATGACCACCAGTCAGTCCAATCTACTCTACAATGGCGGTCCTTACGTTGCTGACCACTGGTCTAGCGCTGGCCTCCGTGGCCTCCGCAGCCACTAAGCCCTATCCCAAGTTCGGCAGCAAACAATTCGATCAGTCTTTCCTCGACGGATACAACCTGTTGAAATTCACCTCCAGTCTCGGCCCGTATTCGGATCGTGTCTCTTACGGTGTCGATAGAAACACGCCAGCAGGATGCGAAGTAGACCAAGTACACATGCTCATGCGCCATGGCGAACGGTATCCCGACGCGTTCTTGGCCGTCGAATACGTCGCTGCGTTGGAGAAGTTGTACGGCTCAAAAATCAAAACCTGGTCCGGAGATCTTGCGTTCTTGAATGAGTGGACCTACTATGTCCCGGACGCAGCACTCTACGGTCAGGAGTCCACAATGGGACCATATTCTGGACTGCTCAACGCATTTAATCGTGGCAGTGAGTATCGTCTCCGCTACGACCATCTGTGGGACGGCAAGTCCATTGTCCCCATCTTCACGTCCGGTTACGAGCGCGTTATCGAGACGGCTCGTTATTTCGGCCAGGGATTTTTCGGATACAATTACTCAACCAACGCTGCTATCAATATTATCCCCGAAGCAGCCACGCAGGGCGCAAATAGTCTGACTCCTTCATGTGCTGCGGACACCGGTTATGAGACATGTTTCTTCGAGACAAGAACTTCCCCGTTGTTGAATGTTGCTGCTGCACGATTCAATGAGCAGAATCCTGGATTGAAGCTTAACTCGACTGATATTTACAACATCATGCGTGAGATTACTTCTTCTGCAGGGTTCTCTAAATGATACTAACTTTAGTTAATAGAAATGGCCGCCTTTGAGCTGAATGTCCGTGCTTATTCGCCCTGGATGGATGCTTTCACTCTGGATGAGTGGGTGGCTTACGGATACCTCACTGATCTGACTTACTACTACTGCTTTGGGTCGGTCTCTCGTTATCTTCTAAAGAATACTCCACTAACATATCACAGACCTGGTGACCCATACAGCTTCGCAGTAGGCCAGGTCTATGCCAACGCCACTCGATTCTTGATGGAAGCTGGACCCAAGGAAGGATCCATGTTCTACAGTTTGTACGTGCCTCTTTTAACTCATGATATCACTCTTGCCCAACAGCTAACGACATATCAGCACCCACGATGCAAACATCACCCCCGTCGTTGCAGCCCTAGGCATCGACGTCCCCGAACAACATCTTCCCAACGACACAATCCCTTTCCCCCATACATACCACACCGCCAACATCGTGCCCATGGGCGGCCACTTGACTCTCGAACGCATGACCTGCAACGCCACCGCTCTCAGCAAAGCCGGCGTCTTCGTTCGCGCAATCATCAACGAGGCTGTCGTTCCATGGAGTACCTGCCAGAGCGGTCCCGGATTCTCGTGCCCGTTGGCCAATTATTCGGCTATCATTGATAAGGGGCCTAAATTTACAGAGACGTGTGATACGCCAGCGGCTTATCCCAAATACGTGGATTTCTTCTGGAAGTATAATACTTCTACTCAGTATAACTATCAAGAGGGGCAGATCTCGTATCAGCTTACTACCACTAATGTCTAAGGAAAACAAAACCTACATGTATGATATTGGGTTAATAGAGCAGCAGTTGACGGTGTGTGACTGCCCAGACCTAATTTAGATCAGAGGTCATACCACATAATATTTCTGTAAGGCTGAGATAGAAACAGGCCTGCAACATTGAAATGACAAGAAACGACTAAACACTAAAATACGCGAGTAGCAATACCCATGAATATTCAAGCCGGACTCAAATGGTCCCCAGAAACCCTCTCGCTCTCTCCGTAAGCATTATGTATAACAAACGTATACGCTCCATTAAGAACAGCACCAGCTGCCATGGCTCCGATAGTCCAAACAGCGCCGCAGTAGTTGACTTGCATGCCGACATAACAGCCGCCGCGGCCCTAGAAGCTTGTATTCAGTATGGACGGCTATATGACTCAAGTTCATAGGTGTTCGTAATTACCTCCATTTTGTTAGAGTTTTGTAGGAATCTGATATCTGGATTTTGGGCTTAGGTATGGCGAAAGTAGTGCTGTAACTGGCGATCAGAATTTGATGCTGCAGGCTTTCGTATTCGTTAAATCGGTAACTCGTATTGTATATTCAATGTCTGTATATCGACGTGTAGAGATGACAGTAGTAATATTGATGAGATAGAAAGCCTTGGGAACTGAAGGAAGAGATGCACTAAATACATTTGCCCAACTTCTAGCCTCGTTCAACCATTCAGGTGTTTGACCACTCCTGCATCAGGCTGTCTAGGGTCATCATGAGGCCCAATCAGGGATCAAGGAAGGAAATTGATAGCCTTATGTACATGAACATATAGCTGCCATTTCATATTACTGGTTGGTGCATTGGACTAGCTAGGGTGTGACTAACGCCTATCAGAATCAAGTTGAGCTGCATCTGTATGGGAGACTTCGGATATTGCCAAGGTATCTATATACGTGGACTTCCTAGTATAGACACCAAATTATTGCACCTCGTTTACTTTCCTAGTTATATCTAAATGTTCGATATGTGACAGAAATAGCATGGAGAACTGGCTACGGTCATCTGGTTATCTTTCTTCGGGGTATGTTGTTATCAAGGGAAATATCAGCCATATACTTGTTGAGTAATGTTAGATACGGTGTTTTTGAAGATTGATGTTGTTGAAATAGGGCTAGGGCTTAACCCAACCCCATGGAGACTTAGGGTTTGTGTTATTCGACGCTTGGCAGGCCCAAGGCCTAGGCTCTGTACGTAAGTTGGCAGGCAGTGCAGAACCCACAAGGTGGCAATAAGCGCTCCCGGTGAGACTGTCTCAACGGGGAGGATGCGAGTCAGATCCACTGGATTTGAGCATCGAGACAGAAATGGAACGCGTGTCGCCGATTACCTAGGTTGGCAGTGGGCGTCACCACATCATTTGAAGTTTGACCGGACCGGTTGTGTAAGTTGTACAGCAACAGCCGGAAGGACTGTGCACGAAATACGAAGAATGTGGTGAATGGATGGATATGATAGTTTGCATGCTTCCAAGGCTGATATAAATCTGGCTTTAAGAGTCAAAACCCCTCAGACCTTCCTCAAGTGGATTGACTCACCTGCCTGATCACTGGACGTGGAGGGGTTGATTGAGGCAAAAGCCAACCTCCACCTCGTGGACGGAGTAATAATAGACGGCGTTATTGATGTTTCAGGTTTCCAGCGGGCTGTGATTTGTCTGTTGTTGTGTGTTGGTGGGTCAATCAAGAGGCCTGAGTTAGCGCTGGAGTGTCAGTGTCAGGGGAGAAGCGATGGAACATGGAGCGTCGGGCGGGTTCGAAGTTGGATAGTCTAATCACCGCCCAATGACAGCGCGTCCAGCAATTGTACTGATAATGCCAGGATCACTTGCGACACCCCCCTTCGTTGTTTAATCTATCCATCGCCGCCTTTTACTATTTGGTCCTTCTTTTCTATCCATTTCTCCGCGATAATTCATTCTTTTCGGTCTGTTACCGACTACCAGCACTTGCCATCGTCTATCTCTGTCATTGAGAGTCCTGCCAGCCCTGGTCGGTTGCCGCGTGCTCTCATTCCGTTCCTGACCTGTTGGACGTTTTCGGGAACACCTGTCTTGTTGACTCGATTGCATCCTTTTATCTTTGAAACACTCAATCGATTCCACCGTTCGCTGTGATCGGGTTCGAAAACATCCCGCCTTGCTTGAATTGAAAACGATTACTGTATCTCTACACCGACTCGCCTTTCGCTCACGCTCACCCGTTACCCCTCGACTCGTGACACCTAAGCCGGACACAACTCGCTATAGACACTCAAAATAACAAGAAGTCCCATATCATCTCGCAACGATGAATGTCAATAAGAAATTAGATCGCTTCAAGCAATGGGCTGGCGAAAGAATGGGAGGAGAAGTCAAGACCAATGTCTCTGACGACTTCAAAGCTTTGGAGACAGAAATGAACTTGCGACACGATGGTACGTCGCTAATTGAGCCGTTTTGTGACGATTTGACCTAATGATTGATTCCACTAGGCATGGAAAAAATGCATCGTTCGATGACTACTTACGTCAAAGCTATCTCTAAGCGCAAGGAAGGAGACGATAAGGAGAAAACACTACCGATTGCTCACTTGGGAAGTGTCATGATTCAGCATGGCGAAGACTTTGATTCTAATTCCGACTTCGGTCGATCTCTGGCTTGTATGTTGCAGATAAGATTGATCTGACTTTCCATGTTCATCGCTAATTGTTATACAAGTGACTGGAAGGGCCCACGAGAGGCTTGCCCGTATCCAGGTACGTTTGCACAACCCAATTGAAGTCCTATTACAATAGACTAACCTCGTACAGGATAGCTACTCCGTCCAAGCTAGCACCAGCTGGCTCGAGGCTCTTGAACGCAGTCTAGCTTCTTTGAAAGAGTACCAGGTATGATAAAACGGTTGCGCATCATCTAAAACATACATTAACTGTGAACAGAATGCTCGTAAAAAACTAGAAAGCCGCCGCCTGGCCTATGATGCCTCCTTAGCTAAGATGCAAAAAGCCAAAAAAGAGGACTTCCGGGTCGAGGAGGAGCTCCGCTCACAAAAAATAAAATATGAGGAGACAAATGACGATGTCTACCGTCGAATGATGGATATCCAAGAAGCAGAGGGTGAAAATTTGACGGACCTCACAGCTTTCATAGACGCTGAGCTCAACTACCACGAGCGTTGTCGTGAAGTATTGCTTCAGCTGAGAAACGAGTTGCCAGCAGCGTAAGTCAACATATGCAAAAATATACAGTAAATAGCATCATGCTAACTTCTTGAATAGAAACCCACCAGTGTCACAGACGAACAGCCGTCGTCCTAGTCGAGCGCGCTCGAATACGGCTCACTCGTACCAAGAGAGATATGAGCCAGTTCAGGAAGTCTCCCCTCCATCMCCTCCCCGTCCGATGATCAAGGCGAGACGATCGTCGACATTTTTCGCGCAGAACGACGATACACTGCAGGCACGACCGGAATCCGTCTATGCACGTCCAACGATCAATCGCGTCTCAACCTACGATAGCACTACATATACACGCAACGACGAGTCTCATACCCCCGGTCGAGTTCATAGTGACCTTTCAGTTCGCACAGCCAGAACGAACCTGAGACCAGTCAGCAAGATCTATGAAGACTATCAGGACAGCTCCTCGTATGGAAATGTGAGCCCGTATGACGACAGATCGGAGTCGTCTGCTGCGTCCCAAAATGGTTACTTTTCACGCACACCCAGCTCATCCGCCTTGAATGCTACTTCACCTGGGGCGAAGAAGGGACCGCCTCCTCCTCCGCCATCACGAGCAACCAAGCCTAAGCCTCCCCCACCACCTCCTCCAGCGAAGCGCAATTTGATCGGAGCGTAAAAGCATCACTAGCGATTTGAGTAACAAGTTTGTTTGAGCTTTGCATTGGTTATGCTATTTGTATCTGTATTTGTACTGTTGAGTTTGTGTGGATCCACGGCTGGTACCATGCTGGATCTTTTTTATGAATATTGTTCTTCTAGTTTCGGAAGAGTTGAACAAGTAGTGAATCTAGATGTCTGTCTTGCTCTCTGGCGTGATATTCATTAGAAAGAGCCATTGACCAATAAGAACTGAACTATAAAATTGTGCGCGGCGATAGATTTTCCGCTCCGGCCTAAAAGCGGACTAGCGCAGCGAGCGTCGTATCCGTTGTGTCACATGATGTGACCCGGTACTTTCTGAAAGCGGTTAGTGCAAGTCACGTGGCGGGCTGGCAAATCTTCGCCCTCGCCGGTTTCCTTCGTTGCTGAGAAGAAAGCCAGCCAGGCTCAGCCCAGGACCCCCGACCACCAAACTCCGTCGCGTCGTATCCCATCCATCACCATTTTTATCCGCCAACGCCTTTGAACGCCCTCCCAACGCGATTTTCATTCCATTCGGGGCCCTTTGGCCCGGCCGTCACCGTCAATTTCCACCGGTCGAGTTGGAAGGCGGTCTTCCCACTTTGTCCTTACTGTGTCTTTGCTCCTATTGAGCGAGATATAACCCACCCGCGCTCATCAACCCTCAACCACGCTACTTCAGGCGCATTTCATCCTTTGACATCCTTTCGCATTCGCGCATCCCATCACGCGATTGAACCTTGCGCTCTTTGATCATCCCATCCATCAACCCGACGCGTTAATACTTCGCGCTCATACACAAAATTTCCTAGCAAACCGCCCTCGGCGCGCACCGCCGCCGAATTCGAGACGAAAATAATTAACATTCTGTCGCAACATGGCTTCGATTCAGCAACCGCCCAATAACGTGGCTGCTGCTCATCCAAATATGCCTGGCAATCCTAACCTGCCAGGCGAACTTACGCCTCAGCGTTTGCAGGAGGTCTTCCAGGTACCCATCCCATCTTAGATCTCCTCACCTTATGTTACCATTTCTCGTTAACCACTCAATAGAAATTCAAAGAAATGCAAAGGTCTGGCGTGCGCCAAGATGACCCTGAATACATCAAGGTACATAATATTCTCGCGGCCGTGCAAAAACAACAGGCGTACCAAAAGCAACGGCAGATCCAACAACAACAGCTCCAGCAGCAACAGTTGCAACAACAACAGCTACAACAGCAGCAACAGCAGCAACAGCCCAATGGGAGTAATGTCGATGTTGTCGCCAATGGTGTTAATGGTATGTCATCCAATGTCTAAGCTCATTGATGCGAATCTAATCCTCATTTCTAGGTCGATCTACCTCCATATCATCAGCGTCAAACGGCCAAGTACAAATTGCTGTCGCGAGTGGAATTCAACAACAACCTGGCCAAGTTGCGCAAGCTGGTCCCACGAAGAAAGTGGCAACGCCGACGGGAAGCTTTTCATTGGAACAGCTGACTATCCTCCGAAATCAGATCTCAGCCTTCAAGTTACTTGCAAAGAACAGCCCGGTTCCCTTGCCACTTCAGAGGCAGCTTTTCGGCGCGACCAAACAACAAACAGCGTCTCCCGTTAATAACGTGTCGGCCGCCGAATCCGTCATTGAAGCTGCCACAGAGACTCAGGGAGACAAGTCGACCGAGACTGAGAAGGAGGTTGAATCTATTAACTTCTACGAGGAACTTCAATCGCCTTATGAGCTGTTTCCGAAGACCATGAGTTATGTCGACCATACAAGCAGGGCTAATCGCCCACGCATCCCGAGTATTTTCCCTACTGGCATAGATTTGGAGCGAGTGCGCGAGGACAAGGAAATGCTCATCTATAACAAAATAACTGCTCGAAAAGCAGAACTCGCGAAGCTACCCGCGAATCTCGGTGTGTGGGATGCGAGTCGCGGGGACGCTGCCACTCCTGACGACTCCTTGAAGCTTAAAGCATTGATTGAGTACAAAATGCTCCACCTCCTACCGAAACAGCGCAAATTTCGTCAACAAATTCAGCACGAAATGTTTCACTACGACAACCTTGGAATGACTGGAAATCGTTCTATCCATCGTCGTATGAAGAAACAGACATTGCGCGAGGCTAAAATCACTGAAAGACTTGAGAAGCAACAGCGTGACGCTCGTGAGAACCGTGACAAGCAGAAGCAAGGCGAGAAGATCCAAGCAATTCTGGCGCGCAGCCAAGAAGTTTTGCAAACTGGTGCGCAACAACGCGCTCGTATGCAGAAACTTGGTCGTGTTATGCTTCAACAACACCAGTACATGGAGCGTGAAGAACAGAAACGTGTCGAACGTACCGCCAAGCAACGTCTGCAGGCTCTTAAGGCCAACGACGAGGAGACTTACCTCAAACTTCTAGGCCAAGCCAAAGATTCTCGTATTTCTCATTTGCTCAAGCAGACCGATGGTTTCTTGAACCAGCTTGCTTCATCTGTCAAGGAGCAGCAACGCAGCCAAGCAGAGCGATATGGAGGCGACCAACAATTCGAGGAAGAGGAAGAGTCCGAAGAGGAGTACGCTACCGATGAAGAGGGTGGCGGTCGCAAGATCGATTACTATGCTGTGGCTCATCGTATCAAAGAAGAGGTTACTGCACAGCCATCTATTTTGGTTGGTGGAACGCTCAAAGAGTATCAGTTGAAGGGTCTGCAGTGGATGATTTCACTTTACAACAACAACCTTAACGGTATCCTGGCCGACGAGATGGGTCTCGGCAAAACTATCCAAACGATCAGTTTGATCACATATCTGATTGAGGTCAAGAAGAACAGCGGACCTTTCCTCGTCATTGTTCCCTTGAGTACACTCACAAACTGGCATCTTGAATTTGACAAATGGGCACCCTCGGTTACGAAGGTTGTGTACAAGGGACCTCCAGCCGTCCGCAAGCAGCAACAGCAGACCATCCGCTACGGTCAATTCCAAGTTCTCCTCACAACATATGAATACATCATCAAGGATCGCCCACTGCTGAGCAAAATCAAGTGGCAGCACATGATTGTCGATGAAGGTCATCGTATGAAGAACGCCCAATCCAAGTTGAGCAGCACTCTCACTCAGTACTACAACACCCGCTATCGTCTCATCTTGACAGGAACTCCTCTTCAAAATAACCTTCCCGAATTGTGGGCCTTGCTGAACTTCGTCCTGCCAAGCATCTTCAAATCCGTGAAGTCTTTCGATGAATGGTTTAACACGCCCTTCGCCAATACTGGTAACCAAGACCGGATAGATCTGACCGAAGAAGAACAACTGCTCGTCATTCGTCGTCTTCACAAGGTTCTCCGTCCTTTCTTGCTGAGACGTCTGAAGAAAGATGTCGAGAAGGATCTGCCCGACAAACAAGAGCGTGTTATTAAATGTCGTTCTTCTGCTCTGCAGGCCAAACTCTACAAACAACTTCTCACACACAACAAGATGGTCGTCAGCGATGGAAAGGGAGGAAAGATTGGCATGCGTGGTCTAAGCAATATGCTGATGCAAATGCGAAAACTTTGCAACCATCCCTTTGTCTTTGAACCAGTTGAGGATCAGATGAACCCAGGCCGAGGCACTAACGATCTTATCTGGCGTACGGCGGGAAAGTTTGAACTTCTCGATCGTGTACTGCCTAAATTCAAAGCTAGTGGACATCGTGTGTTGCTGTTCTTCCAGATGACTCAGATCATGAACATCATGGAGGACTTTTTGCGATTCCGTGGAATGAAGTATCTGCGTCTTGACGGTTCTACGAAGTCCGACGATCGCTCTGAATTGCTGAAACTTTTCAACGCTCCTGGATCTGACTACTTCTGCTTCTTGCTATCAACCCGTGCTGGTGGTCTTGGTTTGAATTTGCAGACCGCTGATACTGTCATTATTTATGATTCCGATTGGAATCCCCATCAAGATTTGCAAGCTCAGGATCGTGCCCATCGTATTGGTCAAAAGAATGAGGTCCGAATTCTTCGATTGATCACTTCTAACTCTGTTGAAGAGAAGATCTTGGGACGCGCTCAGTTCAAGTTGGATATGGATGGCAAAGTCATTMAAGCCGGTAAATTCGATAACAAATCGACCAACGAGGAGAGAGAGGCACTTCTTCGTACTCTACTTGAAAGTGCAGAGGCTGGTGAGCAGCTCAACGATCAGGACGAGATGGATGATGACGATCTAAATGAAATCATGGCTCGATCTGACGAGGAGTTGATCCTCTTCCATAAGATCGACCAAGAGCGTGCTAAGAACGAACAATATGGTCCGGGCCATCGTTATCCTCGACTTATGGGCGAAGACGAATTGCCAGACATCTATCTCGCAGAGGATATGCCGTCGGCCAAGGCTGAAGTTGAGGAAGTTACCGGTCGTGGAGCTCGTGAACGTAAGGTCACCCGTTACGACGATGGGCTTACTGAAGATCAATGGCTTATGGCAATGGATGCCGACGACGATACCATTGAAGACGCCATTGCTCGTAAGGAAGCCAGGGTCGAGCGGAGACGTTCCAACAAGGACAAGCGTTCACGTAAACCAGGTGGCACGGAATCATCGCCTGAACCATCTCGGGAGAGTTCTGAAACACCTCAAGTCAAGAGACGGCGCAAAGGGCCTCAGGCCAAACGCAAAGCAGACGATCAACTTGAAGAAACGCCGCCTGTCAAGCGCAAGAGGGGCAAGCCCTCCAAGGTCGTTGATACCCTGAGCAGTGGCGACCGGGCAGCGTTGCAGAAGATCTTAGACAGTGTCTATCAGACATTAATTGACCTTGAACAAGAAATTCCACCCGAAGACGGAGATGCTGATGAGGAGCCTCTGACCAGAGCTATTATCGAGCCTTTCATGAAGCCACCGCCAAAGATTCATTATCCTGACTACTACATGATCATTCAAAATCCTATCGCCATGGAAATGATAAAGAAGAAGATCAATCGAGAAGAATACCAAAGCCTGAAGGAGTTCCGAGCAGATATCCACCTTCTCTGTCAAAATGCTAGGACGTACAACGAGGATACCAGCATCTTGTTTGCAGATGCCAATCAAATCGAGGTAAGTCTATTTTTATACCCTACGTTCTTCATATTCAACTTCTAACATCGTCTAGAGCACCTGTGTCGCAGAGTTAAGGAATCTCACGGCAGACTACCCCCAATTTGCCGACTTTGACGACGGAGACGAAGGTGCATCCTCCGTTGCAGATGGCACTACAGACGCTTTTGGTGCTGATACTCCATCTGCACAACCGAAACTCAAACTCACATTCAACAGTAACCGAGATAGCGCGGGGCCAGCAAACGGGGACATCGGCAGTGATGACGACGAGTGATTGTGACTTAGCAAACCCCTCATGGGTCTATACCCTTAGCGAAATCTGACATGATACATTACTTTTGATGATTCAAGACAAAGACCATGCGTGTTTTAGAACTCTCTATATTCCCCTCGAAGAGTTTCTACGTTGTGACTGCTATCTGTGCCATAATACTTTCCCCTTCGATTGATTTCTTCCAATTTCTCTTGATCATTATCTGCATGATCATCGGATACGGCGTTCGTGTGCGCGCGCACTTCCTGGTCTTGGTGACGGAGTCTTTCTCACCGTGGGTATGGGAACAGAGAGTCAGACTATCAGTTGACAAAACCTCCAACAATCACGTTTCCGATTCCATCTTACCTTTTCAACGAGGCATGTATGTTTTGAGTTTTTCTCTAATTCCTCTTTTTCTACTTCTTGTGTTTTATATGATTGGGCCGTAGTGGGCTGATGAAGGGTGTTCTTGGCCTGTGTACCTTTTCTTCTCTCTCGTCATGTTTGCCACTTTTTGAGAAACTCGGTCATGCAGGTTTTGCAGAATTAGATGATGTATTATTGATAGCAAAATTGATTATTAAAATTTTTATGCAGAATTCTGTCTGAAGGATTCCTAAAGCAAAAGAGTTCGCCTAATGTATGTAGGCTTTTTCAATTCTTGTGAAGAGTGTGCCAGACTTGGTAAGGGGTAGAAGTCAAAGTATGAGTGCATGGAAATGAAACGTGTATGATTTTCGGAAGTACTCGGGCTATTGATGCGAGTGTGGACATGAAATGATTACATAGTGATTATAAAGAACGAAACAAGAATCTGGAAAGAGAAACTGTAGCTCCTCCGTCCTGGGAACTACCACAAAGGACGGACGGATTTGAGAATCAAGGCTTCTGCAACTGCTCCTTCCGAAAGAAAATGAAACAGAGGGCATTGATGGACAACAAAAACAACAGGCAAACCCAAAAATCCGCTTTGGAAAGGCCATCGCGTACACCAGCCGAGAAATCGGGGAAGACATCGCCTGGACCTGTCTTGTCGGGTGCAGTGGCGCGAGCGAGGATTGTGCCGATGGAGCCTATGACCTGCGCTGCGAGCAGGGTGAAAGCGATGTGAAAACGGGTAAGGGTGTTGAGGAGGATCATGCCGAATCCTATACATATATCTCAGACTCTAAATCAATGGCGAAGACTAAGGGGGGAAGACTTACCAACACCCTGCAACGCATCCAACACACCAAGCCATAACCACAACCCCCTTCCAACAAGCGAACTCGCCACAGCACTCCCAGCCCAAGGCACATATGAGCCAATATTCGAGGTAGACCAAAGCATTTGACACCATTTTGGTGCGCCGAGTCCAATAGTGAATATCGGCACGAACCACGCGTGTCGCTTGGACAGAATGCCTAGAATCCAAAGGATGATGGCCCAGATGCCAATGAAGAAGATTAGAACCATCACAGTGATCATCCATGAGTGTGCGTGCTTGCTGGACCAGAGATAGAGCCAGTTGCGTCCGTAGGGGGCTGACAGCCAGTAATTTTGGATGAAAACTGCGTACCAGAACCACTGCATCGCTTGTTAGCAGCAGCCACTAAAGTTAGAAACGTAGGCATACCAGAACGATCTTCCGTCGTGGAAGCGACTTGTAGAATGCCGGAACCTGCCCAGGCGACTGGGTATAGTATTCAGGCAATCCAAAGAATAGGACTGTCCCGACTGTCCACATTATAGCCGCAATCCCCAGGCCAATACCAGTAAGCGACACCGGATGAGAGTCTGCCAAACTAGTTCTAGTGAGTCCTGCTTGAGATTGAGCAGCCAGTCTACTTCCCCAATACCACAGGAAAGAGACGTAGACTTGTTGCGTTCCTTGAATGACACAGGCTCGGTATACCCAGGATCCGACGGAAGTGTTGCCTGATTCTGCGTCAATTCATAATCCCAAGTCGAAATGCAATACATGGATGGCAACAACGTACCTTCATCTCCAAAATTCAGCGCAAAATATATAGATCCGCTGGAGGACGCAGCTGCGTAAAGCCCCGTGGCAACGTTTTGTATCCACCATCGTCCAGGGGAGGCAGTTACGAATGGCGATATGCCAATAAAGGCAAATGCAAGTCCATACAGCTTTTATTGATGTTAATGCCCCATTCAAATGATAGTAAGCACATGACTTACCAAGAATGGAATAGACAAAACGAAAATTGACCTCAGGGAACGAAATACTATCCACCACACGATTGAGAAGATGAGATAGATAGTAGCAATAAGGTACAGTTTCTCGGCAGGTTCTCCTACTTCGCCGTTGAGAAGTGTAATTTGATACGAGTTTGCTGCAATAATTTGACCCTATACATGAGGCACTAGCCGTCAGCAGGAGATGTAAGTAAGACACCTAGACTACAAAACTCACGAATGAAAGAAGTATCGAATAGACTGGCCAGTCACCGAATCGATATAGCATTAACTTTTTCAAACCAGAAGGTGGAACATATCCCTTAGGAAGCTTTAGATCTTCCTCCGAGATTTCAGCCACTTCCAAAGGCTTCTCTGGATCAGTGGAGATACTACCTTGTATGTTCTCGTCTGGAGTGATATGAGCAATTTGAGATAATATAAGCGTCGCTGCACGGCTGGGGGTTGGGCTTCGGCCTAGTTTCATATCACGATACATCTTGAACCATTCCTTTTCACTCTTTGACAAAAACTGTTCAATGCAGAGTCTGTCATCGGAGTTCTTCCCACTCAGATGTCTCAGCCGCTTTTCAAACATTTGAGCGTATCTCCCCGAGGAATCAGTGAAGAAGGGATTCACTCTTTGTAAGCTGAACGTTCGGTCTTCGCGAATGATGTTATCGACACTCAGTAGACTCAGACTTGAAGAATTTCGATTCTGGTCTCGTAATGAAAGATGGCTATTACTCATGGTATATTCAGGTAGTGTACTGATCTGGTCAAAGCCTGAGATATCTTGGGCGCTATTACCTTCCAGACTGGCAGCTGTACTGTCTCTGGAGGACTCGTTGCCGCTTTGTCGTGAAGTCGATGGCATCTCTGAGATTTCCGAATATGGATAGGTCGTCGAACGTGGCACTTGTAATGGCCATTGATGATCAACACTCGCAATACCTTCGGCCAATTGAGAACTGTTCTCCTCAGTTGAGAAATTTCCATAATCAATACCAAATAAATTGATGGCTTGCGAGTTTGCCCTAGTATGAGATTCTGCCCTCTGTGAAGCAGGTCTCCTGTAATGTCCAATTTGTCTCAAGAACTCGATCGGCTGTACGGGTGTCTGCATACTGGATCTGCTGATTGTCGAGAAGCTCATCCGTACCATTGAGTTTGGCCTGGATGGATCCTCTTGCTTTGAGTGCTTGCGGTGTTTTGCAATTGAAGTTAAATGTAAGGTCTCCAGATTTTCGATCCAGTGTGTGACCGGAAACCGCTGCCTTCTTGACCAAGCGCGCATGATGGCGCGATCTGAAGCACTTGAGTTCAATGCTTCGTATATAGCTTGTTTAAATTGTCGATTGAGATGCTTCGATGTCATTGATTCACTTTGCGCGTTAGTCTTGAATTCTCCCTGTGCTAATGGTGAACTCACATGGTATACCACCACCCTGGCATTTGCCCTAAACCACCAACTCTGTCTAATAGTCAGCATATCGTATAATACAAGCTTGTATATGGGAAAATACCTTGATCCAACTCCAAGAGTACCCTTTCTACCAAATTCTACAGCCACGAGCCCGAACGGCTCATCTCGCGAAGGTATCAGCGCAAAGTCAGCACCACTGAAAATACAAGGCGGCAGAGCAGTAAACTGTGGCCTGGAAAAGACTCTTCCTGGGTACATTTCCACCATTCTGCTAAGCTTGATAGCTGCAAATCGACCATACAGGTCAATCACGGGACCAACACAAATCAGTTGTGTTATAGGAGAGCTTTCCATAATCGAAGGAAAGACGTCGGCAATGAGATCAATTCCCTTCTGCATAGACCATCTTCCAACAAAGACAAAAAGCTCGGCGTCAGGATTTTGTTCAAGATCAGCCCATTTCTGCGCCTTACTCTTCATATCCGAACGCATCGCCTCGAATGCTAGGTCGACCTCTGCTTCTGTCGCCAGGGAATCGTGATTCAATTCGGCAGTATCCGAAGGATCTGGGTTGGGCAAGGAACCTATTTCTCGCAGGCCCCAGAAGATAGGATATCTCGCCCAGGATCTCTTCCCATATTTTCTCGATACGCCCACGGCGCCAAAACCACTTTGATGAATCTGCAGGTATGTAGCTGCCGCGTGGAGAAGATTGAAAACATCGCCAAATTGTACATATTTCTTGACAATAACTGGATCCAGATTGAATATCTGCGAAATTTCCTCGCATTCCTGGGCAGTTCTCATAGGCCAAAGGCCCTGGAACTCTGCGTTATGAAGGGATAGGCAGCAAGGAATAGTTCTGGGAAGAAGGTGAAGTTGAGCAACTGCACCATGATAGTCATTAATGTGGTAAAGGTCAACTGGGAATCGTTGTAAGGTCTCCGCAATGCAAGAGTTCCACGCGGAGTAATATATGGCAGAATCAAGATCGTCCATGCGAGCTGGATAAGGCTCTGACTTGGTCTGAGCCCTAAAGATAGGGGCGTCTAGAAGGACGTATGTGATGTTCCGAAGACGATGGTACTGGACGTGAACCATGAACGATTGATCCAAAACCTTAATCCTCATGGGCTCTGCCACTTCATCCACGGGGTAATCCACACCTCCAACACAGGGGACTACCCAGATAAGGTTCTGATGGCCTAGATTTGTGCCCATTAATTGAGCCATGACACCAAGACCACCTATTTTTATCTTTATTCCCCAGTCCTCAATATTATATTCCGTTGTTGCAATAAGAACTGTTTTGCGACACTCATCAGCGTCTCCATTCAAGGCTCGGTTGTGAGTCGAAGGTCTCGTAGAAGGTGACCGATTGATATTTTTTCTCAGCATATTCATAAATGTAGACGCTTTGTCATCAATGCTTGATGAAACTTCAGTAGCGTTATCATCCGTCAACTGTTGAGCATGCGTTCGAAAAGTTTGCTGCGTAACGCCAAAGACGATGCGCTTGACTTGGTAAAACACTTCAAAGTATATCCAGACCGCTAGAATAGCGGTTATGAGTGGGAAGACTCCGAGAAGGACGAACATGACAATCTGCGTCTTTTGTGATCCATGAGGAATCATACCCATCCTGAGGTTGCCGTCATCTAAGGATAGTTTCCAGGACAGAAATGGCCATGGAGGAGGCTCGGTGACATTCATGACGTTACTCATCAATGAGATTGGAGGGATCCGATCCAAAATCATGTCCCCATCGATGTCACCATAGACTTGTGTGATGTCCGGATGCCCATCTTCATTGATACCCCAAGCATTTAATGATAATTGAGTAGGCCATTCAGTCATCAGATTGTATTCCCATCGGCCACTAGTATTGTGAAGATGCATTTGGCTGGAATATCCAGAATCATATCCAAACTCATTGAAGTCTCCTTGGATCCAAAGATGAGGGAAACGACGTGATGGTTTATTTTCCCAGTCAAGGTCTCCATGTTGGTGATGATTACTACTTCCAGTCACTCTATTCCAGTACTGGACTATTATGTGTTCGCCTTGCCAGGCCTGTAGCTTTGTTCCTGTCCAATTCTTCGGAGCAATAGAGACGTTGGAATTCGTATAGTTCATCCAAGAACTATATGATGAACCAAAGTCCAACGAGTATCGCCATTGATCGGCACCTGGCGCTTTGTGTGAGACTCGGAGAGTACCATTGTTTGCATCATTGGCGTAAAGAAGATTTCTGCTATAATTCGCCTGACTAGGCCACACCATAGGGTTTTCTTGACTCCCTATGCGTATGATGAAATGATCCACAGACTGTAACAAGTTAGCACCTACTCATGCAATTGAGAACAGCATATGCTTACATTGGTGCTGCGATTCTGGTCTTTGCTGGTGGCATTGCTCAAAACTATCTCATGGACACCATGAAAAACATTTTCAAGCTCAATTGAGAAATTGAAAACACCTGAAAAGGCGCCCTGGTAAGTAGCAGGCTGCCTTTCCGGCAATAAGTGGCAGGATATCGACCTGTTATCAAAACGAGCAGTTTCTCCATTCATTGCGGTCGAAGTAACGGAAAGTCCTGACATGATGCTATCGCAGTCCATCTCTTCCGAAAAGGTGAAGTTGATTGGCACTCGTTCGCCTGTAGCGACAGTTGAGAGTATACGAGCGTCGTGGCCAGGCTCAAAATTTGTGATGTAGCATGAAGGGGCAATGAATGCGCTTTTGGGTACAAATGCTTTGAAGCTATAAGCAGGAAGTGAGATATTAGACAGACATCCATTGAATCCCGTGGAACCGTCCAATCTGAAAACATGTTATTTGATATTCAAGTACTTATTAAATCATATCATCTTACCCTAATTTGTGAACACTTGTTTGGAGATCATATTCTTCGAATGGGGGCAATAGATTTTTGATTTTTGTACCCGAATCAAAGGGAGATACCAACGTCAGTTGTTCATCAGAGCAATTGAACTGATAATTGACTGTTACGTTATCATTGTGATAAACCAGCCATACACTCTGATTGCCCTGACCCTGTCCTGTGAAGTCTTGAGTAGGGGCAAACCGTGATCGTAAGATGCTCCATAAACCAATCTCAGTACGCGTGCCATTGCTGCCTGGCAGATAAATATCATGAGTCATATTTGACAACTGCTCGAGGTAGAAGCCGTCATTAAGTACCGGGTAGTTTTGGCGCATCTCAAGCATGGTCTTTACAAGTCCTCGCACAGGATGTGTGGGATCACGATGGTCAAGACTAACGCTATCATCCATACAACCATGCAATGCACTATCCGTTGGGAAGTTATTATACTTGATCGAGCCAACTTTATAGCAGCCGTGCAATTGCCATGCTAATGAAGAAGTCATGGGCGAACGACCGAACACTACAGTCTTATGAGTCGCGACTTCAATGTCTAGGAACACAGATACTCACCATAATTCGAATTGGTGTTGTCCAGGATATAGAATGCCTGTTCCTCACCCCATAACAGTGCGGGCATTCCTGGAAACAACAATGACACAATACACAGTCCGAGCATCTGTCTCTCAACCCCATTAGTAATGGATGGCCACCGAAAAACATCCTGATTTGAGGTTCCATATAAATGCCGAGGATCAAATTCGCCGGTATTCGTGTTGATCATGTCATTTGTTTGCACCAAACCATTCCATAGCTCCACGAAATTGGGGGGGGGATCGCCTGCGGCCTCAAAGACGCCGTCCATACTTTTCAAAAAGTGTCAGTGCATCAAATCTAGCAAAGTCTGGAATACATACCCTAAAAACCTAGTGAGTGCTCTGTAAACTGTGTAGTGAAAGACCGCCGCATCCAGAGCTGCCTTTGCTGATGAGCGCAGATGAAGACCAGGAACGGAAGCATTCGCCATTGCAACTATTTCAGTCATGTTATCCATAGTCTGGTTTGTCTGTTGGCCACGACCAACATAAAGAGCACCGAAAGAATTCCCAGAAACAATTTCTCCAGGAATGAAGAAATTATTCTTGTTGAATCGACGAGCGCATTGACGTATGGAATCCGACCAATCTCCTTGAGCATCAAGAGTAACCTGCAAAGCTTTATCAATCCGAAAGCCATCAACATCGAGCATGGCTATCGTGATGCACGAAAAGAGTTCGAGTTTGCGCCTGACGTCAGGTCGCCATTCCCGAAGACGGTCTTGTACAAAACCAAATTTCGTGACTTGACGTTCCCACTCTGGATAGTCTCCGAATGAAGATACTTCACCGTACTGTACCAGATCAGTCTTCAACTTCACGAATGACGCGGTATCTTCACAATACCTGATCAAATTCGCTGTCCAAGCAGCCTCTGGTCAGATTTGTCTCAATCAAACCTGAACCAGAATCATCCCAGAACCTTGGATATTCCCAATCACATTCATCTAGCCACTTGTTCCCAGGTTGGAAATCATGATATCGACGTGATGTTTTCCATAGATAGTCGTATCCGTGTGAATTAAACGGTGCTGAATTGTTCAAATGACCATCGAAGCCTATAAGATCTCCCATCCTGGTCACAATGAGCGAGTTACCATGACAAAGTCCGTGGCTATGAGCACTTACGTCGCCATTGTATTTTCCATGACAACATACATCCCCCGTCTATGAGCCTCTGCAATCATCGATCTCCAGTCATCAATGGACCCTAAGTGACGGTCCAGCAGCGTCAAATCCAACGGTGAGTACCCGTCAGCAGCCCATGGCTGATTGATATGCGGCATGCCAGCTATATAAAGTCCCTATAATGAGGATCAGTGTCTGCACATTGATCCGTGAGGACTTCAGCGGATTACCTTAATCCCCATCCCTTGCAAATAGTCGAAACTATTCATCAAACCACGAACATCTCCTCCATTTCTCAGTTGATTCGATAATATATCATGCTCCCATTGTGTCCCGTTGGCATCATCATTTGATGGGTCCCCATTGGAAAACCTGTCAAGGAACACTGTATAAAATGGCATTCGCCAATTTCTCGGAGATGGGTGATATTCATGATCCTGCCATTGACCCCAGTAGTCGAGAGGGTTGGCCGCAGTCTCGTTCTCGTTGAGGTTGAATCCTACCTGGTCTGGTGTGTAGGCAAGGGCTATCGTGAGCCGGATATTCGAGAGTAGAAGCAGAATATCGCTAATAAGAGAAAACAGCTTCATGTCGCTTACGTCGAAACGCTCTGCGTGTCACTATATGACTCAAGTAAAATAATCAGGGCCGTAAGGATGGACCTCTGTAACATGTGAATAACCGCTCTCTTATCCAGGCAGTCCACGTTTCATTGCATAGAATAGACTCGTTGATGAAGTCTCTTTGGGCCGAGTTCCTTAGTTTCGCCGCTAATCCAAAGACCTTGGATATCTAATACACCTAGATGTCCAGCTGAGGAATGAGCCATCAAACGTGAGTGTTAATAGTCCATAGAAAAAGGAGACAACCTTCCAGCAATTCCAGCCAGTGAAAATTTCTCCAGTCTGTACATGTCCACGGTTCGAAGCCAACAGACAACATTGTCATCAAAAGACGTAGTCTGTAGATCTTACCTTGAAGCAATCAAAACGCAAATCATCTTTTCAACAATGAGTCCTTCTCCGATATCCACAGGGTCAAAAGCACGATAGTTCGGCTTGTTCGCGTATAGGCTAGGAAGAGTGCTGAACTCTGAGAATCATAGAGTCTCAACGTTATGCATAAATTCCTTATGCATAGTCTTGACATTTTGACCAGGTTCACGACAAGGATGAGCTGATCTTCGAAGCTCATTTCGGAGATCCTTTGGCTATTCGAGACTTGTGCGATGCTTGATTGAATAATCACCCGGCTTTGGCAATAGTTTCTGCATCTCTGTTTACGGAAAACAGGCGGTGTCCGTTGCACACACTACCTATCGATGGCATGTCTGCGTAACTTTTTAGGGTCTATCGAGTCGTTGCTGTACAACGTGTCGACATAAAGAAGATTTTAGCTATGAGATAGCTGTGAGACTATGACTCGAGTCATTTGAGTATCAAAAAAAAGAAAAAGGATAAGAAGATGCAAGCAGTGTCCAACTTACGTTCTCACACAGGCGTCCCTCTTTCCTCGTTACTTGAATGGTAAGCGTTCCACGATGAAACAGCCAGTGGATATGATAATCCAACCACGCGATAGTTGTCAGGGAAGTAGATGACGACGAACACTCAAGCGCTCAAAATCCGACTCTTTGCTCTATCACTCTCATTCCAGGATACTCCCACCAGATATGCAGGAGCCAGGGGCAATTCAATAAAAGCGGTCTGTTTTCAAATGACTTGGAAGCTGGACTTTGACTGCATTTGGGAGTACAAATGCCCATATATATAAAGCAGTGTCACCAAGCAGAAGGCTGTAGCTATACCTTGCATGAGTCGTTCATCGGTATCCAGTCCACCCTGAATCCCTGTCCCTGTGAAGATGTATTGTTAGAATTTTATTTTTCAGTAAACACACCATGTAACTATATAGATGAGTAGACTGTGTGAGCTAAATGCCACATTGTTGGTAATAAGTTGTTGAAGCGAGAGATGAGTAAGGACTTATAAAGCTGGTATAGCTTCAGATTTCCATGAAGCTAGCGAGCGGAAAGAACCTGCTTCGGGCACAGATTGGAAAATACCAGGAAAAGAGGAGGTAATGCAGCTTCAATTTTGTCGGCCTGGTTCGCAATTCCAAGCAGATCCATTATGCATGCATGTGAAGAAAAGCTCGAGCTGCTCATACGGAGGTCCGTCAATAATTTCAATTCCAACTGTGTACAAATATTTTCCATGTATTTCCTCCTGTTTTTGACTAGGTATCGTTAGTAAATCTTATCAAAATGTCTTAATAAAGAATTCTCAGCTATGCTAGGACCACATACATGTCGCCATATCACTAGGATGACGCGTGTTCGCAAAACAGGAACGCACATGGATCACATATTTCCCAGGGAACACAATATCAGTCAAAGAGGGATAAAAAAGGCAGGAAAAGAATTTCTATCCCTCAATTTGCGGTCTGGTCATGTTTCACGCAATTCTGAGCAGTTGTCCTCCGGAGTTGGTACTCCGAGAAATGCTCCAATATCAACTAGCAACAGGTTTGAAAGGTCTAGGAGCCTTGAACATGGGTGGCCGCCTCTAATATACATATGTTGATATGCACCGATCGCTTTCTGAACAGACCAAACCAGAGTAATATCCTCAATCATCAACAACGACTTTTAAGCACACCTGGAAGTCTTTCGGAAGAGTGCCAGGAGGAGCTAGTATTCTGACCAGAACTTTCTCGCGTCCAGCTCTTCCAAAGGGCCGGTCAGGATCTCTGAACATGATATAGTACAACATCAGTAGGGTTAAACAGCTGTGACAAATAGTCCGGGGACCTTATGGCAGTACCTTTCGTCCATTGGAATGAGGTCCCATATTTGAGAGATTTCTTCATCCCACATGAGAAGTGGTAATCAATCTAACGTTCATGACTGACTCGAATGGCCACTGGCATCCAGCTCGTAGCTCTTCATCGTTCACCAGGTCTCTTGTTTGTAGCTTCCAGTCTTTTCCATTTCTAGAAGAAAATGCTCCGCTTGCTCCCGAGTATATGTATTTGACCCAGAAGATATAATCCGGTGTTGAAAGCATTCTATCAGCGCTTCTCTGACAGCCTGCGGCATTCGACCTGAAGATCCACAAATGAAAACCGATCCTCCATCTTCATGTAGCATCCTGAATATAACTTCTGCATGTTCTCGAATCCGATCCTGCACATATACTTTCTGTTGCTGATCACGCGAGAATGCTGTCAACACTTGAAGGTCTAATAGTTCTTCTTTCTCAAGTTGCTTCCATTCATCCTCGAAAAAGTAATCAGCAGCACGGTTTCGACCTCCGAAGAGCAGGATTGTAGATCCAATGCTAGGTAATGTAATATGCGATTGCCCTTCACGTGAAGCTTTGATCATCGCTGCCTTTTCCCAAATCATTGCTCGTAGTGGTGCCAGACCGGTGCCAGGTCCGACCAAGACTGCAGGTCCTACAAGTTGCTTCAATGTTGGGTTCAGGCCACCACGCTGTAGCTGCACTTTCAAAGTGCTTCCAGGCCTGAGCACTGATAGATACCGAGTGCAGACACCTTCCCGAATCTTTTTGAGAATAGTCCGGTATTTGACGATCGCGATGAGGAGTTCAAATTTCGTCCCGCTGTTCTGATTCGGCAACCTCTTGAGCTCACCACCACTAGCGATACTAAATTGACGGCCTCGAATCACTGGCAAAACAGACGCAGCATGTTGCCACGGAATCTTCACGGTATCAAAATCATGAAGTACCTCCAGAATGCTTCGACGTGGGCGTGTAGTATAATCCCACAGTTCGTCGATGAACTCCGGGTTAGTGAAATCTAGCAGTCTTTCTTTGTGCTGTTCGTCGGCGGTGTAATGTGCGATATTGGCGAAGAATGACCGGCGTGGAATAGCACGAATATCAAGATATTCAATGAGGAGAGTCCGAAGGGTGATGGGAGTGGATTCTGTGTGAACAAGGTGTGGGATAGGAGGGGCCGGAAGTTCTTCTTTCGGTCGACCTTGTAGCAAGGCACCGGGGATGAATGTGACAGGCTTATCGGCCACGTTAGACCAGCCCATTAATCTCAACATTTCATCAACATCCACCGCAAAGTTCTTAGGCGTGATTGAGATCATATCTCCTGGCGCATATGGGAGTGTTTCGGAAGTGGTCAGGCATAGGTGTCGGACATCTTGCCAATGCCCTTGAGGTGTGACTCGTTTGTTCTGTGTCAATTTCGCTCTGAATGCATCCGGAATAGACCTCCTGTCAGGTTCAAGGCGATATAGATGGGGCTCTGTGTCTTCTTCCAGCAATACATCCTGCTTTTCTTGATCTGGGTCTATTAACGGAACAGCGTCGGCAGATAACTCTTCCAAGATCCATTTCGGGGGAAGCTGTACATCATCTGGTATGGGTTGGAGTCCTTCGGGAAGGGGGTACTGGTCTAATAAATGTTTGCGCAAGTTAGTGGCCCATGGAAGGAACGTGCCCTCAAGTCTGCCCTTGTAGTCAGCATTGCCTTCATAATGATCAATACATCAGGAAAGAGGGCATATTCACCCTTCTGGATGCTGCTCATCCGCTTCTCCACTGGGATATATTTCATCAGCACCTAGCTGAGACAGTCTTTTACCAAGTTTGCGGGCAGCCCAATTGAACCTGTCGACAATTGTTAGAATAATGTACAGGTAGTATTGGAAAGGTATGAAATACTTTGGATATGAACTATCACCGAGCCCAAATTGCGTGTATTTGACGCCGCTGAGAAAAGTTGCGGGGAGTCTTTTCAGCAAAAGCGTCTTCCAGAATCCACGGGCATTGAGTGGAAAATCGCCTTGACCGGTCGTCGATACGACAAATATAACAAGCGAATGCGAGGCCAGAGTGTCCTAGTATACTGTCAATGCTGGTTCCTAAAGTAATGAAAGGTGAAACTCACTGCTTTGACGCCGTTGAATTCCTTGACATGAGTGACGAAATGCAACCGTTCTGCGGTACGACCTAGTTCTTCCGCTACCTCCTGCGCATTTCCCGTCTCTGAGCCGTATAGGACCAGGGCTGATCTCGTGCTACCAATTTCTTCCGCCATGCCTAGTATTCTCTTTTTTTCAAGGGTTGTGTGTATCAGAAAGAGCAGAGTCGAAGAGAAGTGGGATGATATCAGAGCTCGGGCCGGTCTCGGAGAAGCTCGACGCTCAAGGGCATTACTGCGAATTTTTTCTTGACAACCTTCAATGTTCATCCTCTACACGTATATTTTTAGAATGGATCAGTAGCCTATCATTCGACTGTCTGGGAATAAGTGTCGCGCATTTTTTAAGTCAACATTTGTGGCAGGTGTTCTACGTTATTTGAAGATTGGATAATCATGAGTCGACGAAAGTCAATATACAATTGAACGCTCGATATATGCTGTCGCTTGGGTATTTCTATGCATAAAATGCAAAGGAGCAAAGAAAACGCGACTCGAAACTAGAAGAAGTCTTCATCACCTCCCCCACCGCCGCCATCAGCAAAGCCATCTCCATCTCCTTCATCGTCACCACCATCGAAATACTGCTCCGCATTATAGTCACCCCCCATCTCATCGTCATCTTCGGAGAAATCATCGTCGCGCAACTCATCATCTTCATCACTCCCTTCTTTCTCCCCTTCATCATCCAGATCCTTGCCCTCATCTTCCTGTGCCTCCTCCTCGTCGCCGCCGCCTTCCTCGTCACCAGCCTTCGGTCGCTTGCGCGCTTTTTCGTCTTCGTCAACATCTTCGTCGTCGTCGTCTTCGAAGTGAGCTTGGACTCTTTTCCATCGTCCTCCTGTTATTTGAGCGTCGGGTCGATCCGGTTTGTAATCTGGGCGCACGATGCGCCACAATTCGCGAGGGAAGAAGTGCACAACTATATCAAGCATTAGCCTGCACCTTCAATAATGATTTACTCGACAAAGAGCTGAGTGACTCACCATACTCCCTCCCAGATATTTTCGGCACCGTCCGCTTCCTCTTCTGATAACGAGAACTGTACGATGGCATGCCGTTGAATGGATCGAACTCTGCTCTCTCCGCGGTCCCCTTCTTTGCAGAAGTACTAGCAGCGTTCACGGCCGCATAGTAAGGCCCATTCTGGAATCTATCCCTGAGCGCTCGATATCGATCTACTTCGGCTCGTTCGCGGGTTTGTAAAGGCTCGGCTGTGGGTGTGTCGTAAGGCTGGTTGGACATTGTTAGATTCTGACGACTCCGACTATGGATGCTAGAAACGGAGAATCGAGTTTGAAATGAAGAATCGCGGGGTACGTACTGGGAATGTAGGGGTAGGCGCGCCATCTGGAAGTTCTCCAGGTGCTTTTTGCCAGTTGAATTCCGAGCCTGGAGGCAGTGGCTTCCTAGCGCCTCTCCCGCCACCAAAAGACATTGTGCGTTGCAGATATTCGCTTGTAGGTCGATTACTTTTGCGATAACAATTATGAGTATTATGCTGAAAAGGCTTCTTGCTGTGATTTTGAAAACTGACTGGTAAAAAGAATTTGTTTCGATCCGATAAGAAATGAGAGCTTGTCCGCCCCGCACCTGATTTGATTGGCTGCTATTGGTAGACCCTCTTATTTCCATTCAGAGACAGCTTCTACACTTCAGGATCCTTTAAAGGAGTTCAAAATGTCATTATTTTTATTGTATCACTAAATATTGAAAGCGCTATTCTATGAGAGCTACAGCTCAAGTGCCTCCACGCGGCTGCCAACCTGGATTGCTGGTCCTTGAGGTCCATCACGAATACGTTGCTCCAACGTCTGCACGATATCTTCAAAGCCCTCAACGCGAGCCGCTGAATCCTTCAGCTTACTGTGTAGATCAACCAAGACATCATACTTGGCTGTAGCTAGTTTCCAAATAGCACTTTCGGGATCACCAGCGCCGCCCGCCACGAAGTTGCTATACGATAGCGGAGGCTTAAAGAGATATGGAAGCACTGTCGTTAATGCCGGGGGAGTCAACACTGCCCATGACCCGGATTTAGGCAGTAAGCCAGGCCCGGTAGAAGCTTGCCTGTTCAGCTCATCCTCGGAGGGAAGTTTGAACGGAGAAGCTGATATGCGCTGGGCGTCTTCCATCGACAATGTATTCCAGTTTGCTGTAACAACGGCTCCAATCACGGCAATAGCCGCGAGTGCAACATCCTTCATGGCGACAATATCTGCGGCAGTAACCACATTCTGCCATAGGTTCGTATGCGCATTGAGGTATGTAAAATATAGTATGCGTGCTGCCACGGATTCCTTCAAGGCATCGGTCGGTGCATCAGTAACTCTTGTCGCTACATCTGATGACGCTATTGATGACGGTCCATGGAAGATTCTCGCTAGAGTTTGATAACAGGCTCTATTAGGTGGATTAGCAGGAACTGCTTGCAGGGGACTGAGAGACCTTCTGCTAGCTTCGACGAGAAGTACGCGTGGAAGAGAGCCTAAGATTGTGAGATCACCCAATGGGGTTTCGCCGTGTGCCCACTGAGCGGACGGAATGTCGAGAGCTTTGTGGATTCGTGACAGTATCTTGTCAAGCAATTCCCGTGGGCTTTTCAATAAATGATTGGGATAGAGATGCACATATTGTGCAACATAGGCCATAATGGGACTAGCAAGAAACGAGATGTCAATCGAATCTAGCTGAGACGGATCAAGATAGTAACCCAAGACTCGCTGGTGCAAGTTTCTCTCTAAAAGAAAATCCATAGCTCGTGAAGAGAAAGGCGAGACTTGATGCGGCGGAGATTCTGTCTTCAACCCCGGCGCATCAATCAGAATCAACTCTCGAAAGAAGTTCAAAAGAGTCATATGCATCAAAACATCAGAAGTATCGACCATTTGACATGCTGCAAAATCAAGTAGGCTATTGCTCCGATAATCAGACTCGATCTCGGGGACCTGTGATTCCGTTATGCAATCCCAACGGAGCATTCCAGCTTTCACTATGAAGTCCAATAGCCGTCCTTGCGCGACAGTCTTTTCCCGTTTCGATAGCTGCGGAGTGGCCCCGGCATTTGTCAGGCTGCAAATCGAAAATAAGAGACCATATACATCCTTGTCAGTAAAGATCCTTCTCCACAGGAGACCCTGGCCAGCGGCAATATTCTGAGTGGAACCGATGACCGTTTCAGTCTCAACATGGTCAACTTCCAGCAATGACCATAAAACGTCCACGGCAGCCTGCGCGACCTCGGTAGTAGGTGTGGATAGCCAGAGCTCCACAAGCGTTGCTACCAGATCTGAGTCCCCTGCAATGATAGCTGCATCGCTCGGCACGCGGTTGGCTTTTGCAAGTAGCGATAGTGTCAATAGATTTATTGGCGGCGACGGCGCCCGAATTCCTGCAAGCAGATTGAGTGGCGGGTCCACAGCTTGAAGGTCGGAGAATTTGAGGAACGCGGTAGCTCGAATGCCGAGGGTTGTGAGCGGCGTAGGGTCATATTGTAGGACTGGAAGGACCTCCGAGATTTGAGCGAGGATATCCGCTGGTATACTTGGGTCTGTTTGTTGCGTGATTTCAAGCTTGAGCTTTTCTATAGCGGGCTCATCGAACGGCGTCGAGGGGTTGGCGAGGATTGCCTCAAGATTGGTCTTGACAGCAGCGTATGATGACGGAGTTGTCATCTTTCTGGTGTGATGCACGAAATGAAGCAAAAAAGTAGCTGTCTATCACAAAGACGAAATGTTGGCGTTGTCTGAGAATAATGAGACGACGTTTGCTTATGAATGTGATGCGGGGAGCTCCAATGCAAATGAGGCAAACACGGCGGACTTACCTTCCCCATCTTCCCCATTTGTCAAGCTTCACTGTCATTCAAAGTATCAATAACACACATTTCAAGTCATCGATTTTCAAGCTAGGGCTTGTCTTGGATCGGGATCATGTGTGAGACTTCAGATAATGCCTTGATTTCAACGAGACCCTCTGACTCAGGGCTTCACGTTGCATTACACCCTCTTGTCCTTCTCACCATCTCAGATTATGCCACACGACACGCTGCACGGCAACAGACTGGTCCTATCGTGGGAGCTATTCTAGGACAGCAGCAAGGTCGCCAGATAACTCTGGAGCATGCGTTCGACTGCCATACAATAACAAGTTCAGAGAACGAGATCGTTCTTGATTCAAGCTGGTTTGCGAGTCGAGTACAACAGTGTACGTTTACATCACTTCTTTCAACAACCAACATCATTGACAATTTCCTAACGCTATCATGTTACAACAGTTCGAGATGTTCACAAAGCTCCTCCTCTGGACATAGTTGGATGGTTTACTCTGACTCCCGAATCTGGTCCATCTCCATCCATCCTCCCCATCCACAACCAGATACTTCAAGAATACAACGAATCGGCCGTATTGCTTGCGTTCCATCCCTCGCAAATAGCTTCAGATTTTGAAAGCGGGGCAAAGCTTCCTTTGACGGTCTACGAGAGCGTATTTGAAGGAGAAAATGTCGCTGATGCTCGTACGGCCTCGCAGACTGGTGACGACAGGCAGGCTTTACATATTCGCTTTAGGGAGCTACCCTACTCGATAGAGACTGGGGAAGCCGAGATGATAAGTGTGGATTTTGTTGCTAGAGGCGCCGGTAATGCTACAGCTATTGAGACGACTAAAGCCGCGCCAAAGCGAGCTACGAGCACAAATGAGGCTGAGGCATCAAAGAAGGCAGATGATTCTGTACTCTTGTCACCAGAGAATGAAGAATGTAAGCTCCATCCAAATGTGGCACAAAATTGAATCCATCTAACGCTCTCTACTTATCAGTCATTGCCAATCTCTCCACACGTCTCAACGCCGTCAAGACACTCGAATCTCGGATACGCCTTATTCGATCATTCCTCGAAAACCTACCACCGTCCGCGTCGGACGGTAAAACCAGTCAAAGCACACAGTCAATACTTCGCAACATATCCGCACTGGTATCCGGCCTCTCTCTCCTGACTCCGCAAGACTCCAAATCCTTCGCAGTAGAGTCTCTCGCGCAAGAAAATGACGTTGCACTTATCTCCCTGCTGGGCCGTCTAGGCGAGAACGTAAAGCATATTCGCGAACTAGGCAAGAAATCAGCAATCGTGGAGACGGGCAAACAACAGGCTCTCGCTCCAGTGACAAAAGGTCGCAAATCGCACATGGGTCTTCCGTCAAGAATCGACGACGAATTGAGTCAAAATGCGTTTGCGAATCTTAACTCTGGCGGCTTGCAATTGGTGTAAAACAACGAATAGATTATGAGAAATGAGGAATGATTATTATGGCTTAATAGGGGTGCAATTTCCAATTTCACGGATAGATATTTCCGAGTAGCTTACCACTTGCTATACACAGCGAATTCCAAAATGACAATGACTCAGTCTTACTTTAATTTCAAAAATAAAATAGAATAAAAATCAAATACAGGCCAGCCCACAAAGGCGACCACCACAATACCCACCGTAAAAAAGCAGCCCTAACGTGCTATAAACTCCTAGATCCCAGATATAAGCAAAGAGAAGAAGAAACAAATATACCAGAAGATCCAAGTCTGGCAAGAAGAAGAAGAAGAAATGAAGTAGTCCGGAGACGGGAGAAGAATTCTAATACACCAAGACATGTGGGATATCATGAGCATGAATGACAATGAAGAAGCAACAAGAAGAAATGAAATGGGATAAAGTACAGACATCGACGGTCAAATATTATCGATGTTATGAAAATGAGAATGAGAAAAATTGGCATGGTCGTTACTGCCAACTTCGTCCGGGGACATCATCATGGGAATGAATATCATGAGTTAAAATGCAAGTCAAAAGACGTATGAGATGTGTCGTAGCAGAGAGACGTCATTTTAAGCCCCTTCGTACGGGCTACGCGGTGGTTGATATGCCCTATATGGTTGAGGGGATATGGGTCGCGGCTCGGCTGCTGTTAGATCGTTCATCGACGGGGCATCGTTGTCGTATACGTGGTTGTAGTAGCGGTTGGGGTCGTGGCCATAGCCAGTACTACCAGTTTCCTCATCTGAGAGCGTATCGAACGCTGCTCCCCTTTGCGGTGGGTAGGGGGAGCTCGGGTTGCCCTGTGCATGGAAAAGGAGTTGTTGACCTTCGTCACTTGCGGTTTCGTATTGGTTGCCGGGATGATAGGTAGTGTCGGCTGCGCCTCCATACGCGGTCACATTCGGTCCTGGTATACTCGTCTGCGGGTTGGTTGCAGTGGGTGTCTTGAGAGAGAATGCGCTGTCGTCCTGGTGCATGTAACTAGGGTCGTTCGTGCGTGTCTTGTAGCCGACAAAGAGCCATCGGAAACCACGACCGACGGCTTTGATGAGGTCCCATGGGTTGAAACATTCGCCTAAGGCCTTGAGTCCCAAGAATCCTCCGTGATAAGCGATTTGACCGTTGATGTACTGAGGATCGTCGGATGCTTGCTGTGCCTTCAGGCGGTATGGTTGCCATGGGAAAGCGAAGAGGTGAAGTATGGCGAAGAGAGCCATTTCGATACAGAGGAGAAGGTTCGGGATACCAATTTGAATGTCTTGGTTGGCCAATTTTTCGGATACCTTGATAGCGCCGGACGATGACAGAAAGGAAATCACAGTCTGAAATATGCATTAGTGGTGCGATTCTTTAGAACGCGAAGAGAAACGTACCGTCTGCCAGAAGGACAAGAAAATAACCAGCTTGATTGCGGTGATTTTCAAAAACGGCTTATACTGTGTCATATCCTTATTCACCTGGACGTAGAATTGAATCAAGCAGTACATGGCAATTGATACTGCAACAGATTCAATAACAAGGACCTAATTGGTCGTTAGTATTCTGTCCAGATAAGCCACAGAGAGGAGTGCTCACCCAAACATGGGAAAATGCAGGGCTCAAAGAAGCTTCACAATATCTGCCCAACGCCTGCGTAATGACAGCGACTATAGTCATGAGGACTCGAATGAAGCAGTATTGATAGATGCCAGTCCAAATCACGTTGAACCATGTCAGTCCACTTCGTGGAGTCCTCCAGCATCCGCGTTCTCCGCCACAGCATTTCGCGAACCACGTAAGCGGCCAGAGCCAGGGCCTTGGTCGAATGGCACGGAAATATTCCTTTTGCGAATGTAAATCGGGTGCCGCGTAGTGGCAGAGTAGAGTGAAAAACGAAGAAAGCGCAAATGCTTCGTAGCACGATCCCAGGACTTCGAAGTAGACGGATTCTCGATAGAAGAGGAAACAGAGGAAGGATTCGGTGCAGTATACCGGGACCATGAATAGAATTCGCAGAATACTGTTCACAGGGGGGCACGTGGTCAGTCTTTTACTCGGACGATAATCACCAACATGGCAGCCAACTCACTGTCGTTGTTCTCGTGGTTTGCTATAATGTGTCGCGTGCATAAACGCTAATAAAAGGGAGGTAACCACGCCTACCAGCCCGAAGCCGGCGCATAATACAAGACCGAGGTGATGGAAAGTCCATCCATTATCCCAAAGCGGCACTTCGGATACTATCGCGAAACACAATTAGATTCATTCGACAGAGAAACTCCATACGAAGCATTATTGAAGACGTACTACTTGCGCTCTCTAGTGTTGTGTTGCATTTTGTCCATTCCACGCCTGACAGTGACAGGCGGCGTTCAAGGTTTATCATCATCGATCGGATAGAAAGGAGTCGAGTCGTCTCAAAAACAGCTGGGAAACCGCCGCTGGTTAGTTTCAGAGTATGAAGCTATTCGCTTCGCGGTTATTTGGGTTAATATGCGATAGATAAGTCAACATTCGACAGTGTAAGAAAGACAGAGACAGATGTCTCTGCCGAAAAAGAGTACGACAGCTGGAGCTAAGCCACCCGCGACAAAGCGCCAAGTCCACTGTGGAGAAACCAACTGGTTTCAGTACAGCCTATTACGATGATTTCTGACGGATACGAGGAACGGACACAGCCACTGAAAGAGAGATTCGAGAATTTTACTCAATGTGGTATGCAATTTGTAACAAATAGGCAACAGTATAAAGAGGAAGATCTAAGATTTCGCTACATACAGATGGTCGCTAGAGAATGAAAATAGTAAGGGCTGTGTCAGTTGTTATTTATGGCCGTATTGACTATGCCATAATGGGTATGCCAGATGTATTTGTGTATGAGATCGGCGCTTAGATCTGCGTCCAATGATGCCCCAGTTGACTGTGAGTTGAGTCAATAGATGTAGTGACTCGTCGTATAGAGGGGTCGCACAGAACGCTTATTGGCATAGGGAATGTGCAATGGTTGAATGACCTCCGACATTGTCACACTGTCATGGATACTCTGTCACTCTATCCCAACTTATGCGTCGTATTGTTAAAATACAGGCACCGATACAGAGTGAGCGCTAAGGAACCACGACCTCCGATTGGACGGCGAGTTGGGCTGTTAGATGGCTCCACTTATTTGTGTCGATCGGATGTCAACACAGCCGAGCTCCCAACACCATCAGAGGATGTCGCTCCAACACTCTGCGTACTCTACTTGGCTCATCTTCCACTGAGTTGGCACTCGTGAGCTCAATCATCGACTCTCTGGAGCTCGGTTGCAGAGGAGCAGGGTACCAGACGAAAAAGCCGACCATGACCAGGATCATGAGGGATCCATCAAAGGCGTACAGCGGCCACTCGTGCTCCAGAAGAAAGCCATGCTGGCCCATCATGAACTCAACAATGCGATATATGTTTCGTACCAACACGAAGATAGACGTCAAATAGAGCATGTACAGACGCGATCGCCAGGGGACATTACTTGTAGCTCCAGTCTTGGCCGTTTGCGCACTGAACCGCTTGTTGAAGATGACGCAACAAACCAGAAAGCCGATGAATAGCAGAACTTGAAGGATCAACCCAGCAACGATGATATAGTCCCCTATAGATGCGATTTTTGGGTGACTCGTCAATCCAGAGCCCGCCGATTGAACGTTCAAACAAGTCCAGTCGCCGGTCACGAAGATGATTGTCGTCCAGCGAGGCGAGATCAGTGAGAATGCTTCACCATGAACTGCGCGTACGATGCGGGAGTATACCATATACAGCGATGCGGCAAAGAAGACGGGCGCTAACACGAGGAAAATAGCCTGGATGAGGTAGGGTGCTAAGGAGCCCGTAGCGTTATACGCGCCTGCTCGGCAAGCATACCCGATAATCTCACCTATACCAAAGATCATCAGTTGATGTGAAGAAAAGCTGCAATCAAGCAAAGACGTACAGATGCCGCCGATGACGAAAGCGGAACAAAACCACAATTTTGCTCTGGCCATCCTCCAAGTATGAGCTATGGTCAAGGCAGTGAATACAGCGGTGAATACAATAGCTGCCGGAAGATTGGGCACATAGTTCCACAGGTAATGGTCCCCCTCGTATGGCTGAACAGTTGGCATGTTTGGATGAGGGATGGGAGAGCTCTGTGTTGAAATTCACGACGACCACGAATATGTCTGACAAGGCTTTAGCACGGCATGTAGCAGCGCTGTAAAATACTGAGTATATGAATTGCAAATATAAAATCAATGTGTAGCGTCCATTGGGAAGCTTCAAGCCGCGAGGTTCACGCTCTTTAAGAAGTTCATCGATTGCTGCGCCAAGATAGTAGCGACCCTACAGATTTTCTGCTGCCTATTCATTTTCCAATTCCGCGTATTACGAAAGGTCCTAAATCCAGGTGGGATCAAATTGTATGAGATGTCGTTTGGTTAGCGACCCGAGCATCTTCAAGATATCTCATGACAGACGCTTCCTAATGGCCAATTGTGGAATACGCGTGTTACATAAACAATCCTTGTGGGTCTGTGTCTCTAGCGTCTATCCCAGTGGGTCAATACCAGGGCGAGCTTCACTGCCCTTTCCTAGTCCCCTAGCACTTCAACGACATGTCAATCGGACATCTGGAGAGCGAGGCACATCTAGGCAGAATGTTTAATACATCTTTATACTGTCCCTGGTACTTTTATCGCCGCTGTGACTGGGTGATTCGCACGTAATCATCCGTCCTCGAATTTGCTCCTGAATATTTCCCACAATTCCACGAAAAGTAGCAAATCAATCCTAGATCCTTAGTGGAGGTTGCAGATACGCGTGTTTGACGACTTCGGCGATAGCTTTTGAAGTGTATCTTAGCTAGGTAGCCTTGCACTATGCTTCGTCGAAGCCACAGGAAATCAAAAAGGGGCTGTTTGGAGTGGTGAGTCCAGAACAAGTGGTCTAGAGTATTGAGTCCTCGCTGACATTAGCCAATTAGCAAGCGTCGGCACGTCAAGGTGATGCCCCAATTGGGTATTTATTATACTTATAGTAGCTGACTGATGGTCCTCTTAGTGCGATGAAAGACGACCAATATGCGTTCTATGCTCCATGTCGGGACGGACTTGCCATTACGCACCCGATAGCCCTTCAGACAACCCATCTACACCGGAAACTCAGACAAATTCTCCCACTTTAGCTCCTGGTATTTCACCACTGGCTACAGCCTCTGTGCAAACTCCTCTTTTGCCAGCTTTGCCGAATACGGAAACTCACAATTCAGCTTCGGCACTTGACGATCCCGTGAATCTCAATCATATGGAGCTGTTGATCCACATGACACTCGACAAGAGTTTATTCAGCCTATCTTATCGTGACGAGAATTTTCTCGGCACTATCACCACCAGCTTTAGGGTTGGCTTGCAGGCACCGTATGTTCTGCATGAAATGCTAGCCTTTTCTGCGCGACATCTAGCATTTCTCCATCCTGAGCAAGCTGAATCCTATCTCCACCAGGCTGTTACTCTCCAGACCCGGGCAATATCACTTTTCAATGCCTCTTGGAACGGTATTGATGAATCAAACTGTGTCGCTATGCTTCTTTTCTCGGCAACCCTGGGCCATCACATGCTCACTGATACTCTGGCTAAGCGGGATGCAGGAGGCCTTGAGGTTTTCATGCTTCACTTTATTCAATGTATCGATATGCAAAGAGGTGTTCATGCCATCGCTGGAACGGCGTGGCCATTACTGATGGAGTCGGAACTTAAATCAATCCTTTCATGGAGTTCGCAGTACAATACTCGAATCCCACAAGGGAATCATTGCCAGCAAGTCAAAGAGCTGGTAGATGGTGCGAAAGGGCTTGATGAAAAAGAAAAAGAAGCTTGTCGAGAGGCAATCCGATATCTACAGATTGGATTCGATTCGGTCTCTGCGGAAAAGGAGGAGGAACGTGGCAATCGATTCCACATGGTGGCCTCATGGGTATTGTTGATATTACCGCCACTCAGAGGACTGCTTGTAGTTAAACGACCAGAAGCGCTAGTGCTGCTAGGCTATTATGCATTGCTGCTCCATTACGGGAGGCATATATGGCAGATTGGTGATGCTGGCGCGTTCATCTTGGGTATAATTGATGACTTTCTCGGTTTGGAATGGGCACATTGGCTCGAATGGCCACGAGAAGAGGTAGCGAAAACTGCTGTTGCATGATCTGTCGCACATGTGTACTTCTTATAGAGAGTTTTATGAACCCTAGAGGACTGCGAATTTACTACGTATGAATAGATGACGCAGTTTTATTGCGGAGTGCAACCGATTGGTCCGAATGGGTGATTTGCAGAGTGTGGAGGGCCCAGTTTCAGCCACGGGGAGCAAAATCGATCCAACCAATAAGCGCTTATAGGTGATCTGCTTATTAATGCGAAGCTAGCCATTTTCGGACAGCCCTTTCAATGGCTCGCGCATCGCGATTCATTCCAAACTTCCAGAGAAACTGTTTGTCTTAATGTCCTCTCACCCATAAGCTACAATTGCCCGACTTCATCGCCAAGCTGCAACGCGTGCTCGCCAAATTGACAAATGTTTACGCGATCGAGACGCTCTTTTCACCTTACCGATCGCCATGTCCGATTACAGCAAATGGAAGGTCACTGAGCTCAAGGCGGAGCTCAAGAATCGCGGTGTCCCCCAAACCGGTTTACGGCTCAAACAGGATTTCATCGATAAACTGATCGAATTGGACTCCCAATCTAGTGTACAGCCTGCCGCTAAGGATGCTTCGACAGAACTCACGGCTGAGAAAGAAGGAAACCAGACCGAGCAAAAAAGTGACGCAGACCAGAAAACTGATGAGCCAGCGCCGCCCTCGCAACAGTCTGGTACTGAAATTCTTCCAACGGAAAGCGCGCCGAGTACACCAAAAGTCACCGCGCAGCTAGATCAACCCTCTGACGATCTTAAGAAAGCCCAGATCGAGCCGAATGACGCTAGATCGGAAGCTACGCAACCTACGCAACAGACCACAAATGACCGTCCAACACAATCAAAGGAAGCGGAACCAGATACAGCTGCAGATAGTCAGACAATAAAGCTCCGTGAACCCATTGTCCCGGCGCAGCCCGAAGGACCAGCTCCCGAAAATCAAACGCCAGAGGAGCCACCCACCCTAGCAGAGGTATCTAGGAAGAATCAAGGTTTAGATTCCGAGCCACCCACTGATGGTGGTGACGATCTTCGCAAACGCAAACGACGAAGCCAGAGTCCCCCTCCCACCGTTGAGGTAGTGAAGAAATCCAAGATCGACAACGAGGACCCACGGGTGATACTCAAAGAAGATGTGCATCCGCGAGAAACCACGTCCGAAATTGTTCGACCAGAGAGTAAAATTGAGACAAGTTCTACAGGACGCCAAGATCCTCGCTTTAGAGATCTATTGACCACTACGAAGCCGCCGAAATCCGTACAATACTCCGAGCAGACCTTAGAAGACGATGATGTCCAAGTTGAGCCAGCGCTTCACCCGGCAACATCCTCAATCTATATTCGTAATCTCATGCGACCTTTGCAGCCATCATCCTTGAAAAATCACCTACAAGAACTTGCTACACCGGCCGGTGAAGAGCTCGGCGGTGAACCATTGGTCGATTTCTTCTTGGATTCGATCAAAACTCATTGCTTCGCACTTTTTGATACCGTCACCACAGCATCACGAGTGAGGTCAAAGCTACATGGCGCAATATGGCCGAATGAACGCGACCGCAAACCCCTCTGGGTTGACTTTATTCCGGACGGTAAATTTAGCGAGTGGGTCAGGACTGAGCAGGATATAGCTGCAGGCCGCGGCACCCAGCGCTGGGAGGTATTATACGAAAAGACAGAAGATGGTGTCCAAGCTATCCTGCAAGATGCCCGCAACGGCGCCAGGTCCGGTCATCAGCCCACGGTGTCTGCTCGGCGACACAGCCCGGATGCCGAATCGCGACGAGAAAATCGGCCTTCGAGAGCTCCACCTGCACAACAACAAAGTGGTGGGAAAGGGTTTCAGGCCCTGGATGATCTGTTCAAATCCACGAAAACTAAGCCAAAGCTTTACTATCTACCGGTATCCCGCGACATTGTTGACAAACGTCTAGCCCAATTTGACACGCTCATACGGAAAGGGGCTAGGCATTCTGGAAAAGAGGATGAGGATATGCGTCGCATTACATTTGAAGATACAAATATGTTTGTTGATGGTGGCCCTGAGTATCCCCGCACTCGTGGTGGTGGTGGTGGTGGTGGTCGACGTGGGGGTCGAGGATCCTGGCGCGGACAACGGCGTTAAAATCACGAATACTGTTTGCTTATGGAGCGGAGCTCCACAAAAGTCTACAACTAGTCATGAAATGGTGTTTTGGTGGCGCGTATTGGGAGTTTATTCAGACTTATGGGCGGAGTTTGGTTCCCTTTCCATATCAAGGAGGGGCAAGGTAATTCCCCGGGTCCCAAGGCCTTGGATATATTTTGTGTATGATAATTTGACCGATTGGTCAATGGATGATGACTAGTGAATCTTATACGAAACAAGCCTTGTTATTCTATCTAACCACCCAAGATATACCGAGAATTGAATGATTCGGCCTTGCGGCGTCCGCTCTCACAGATGGGTTAGATTTGGTCTAGTCCGCTTGGTCACCCCACTGCTTAGCACCATGGCTTATGCCATGCGCCTTATGACTAGTATTCATGACTTATCTATAAGCAAGGCTATGTTAGTGGCATGGCGAAAGAAAAAAGACGGCGCTTAGAGTTTAGTGTGCTGATGAGCTGGCAAGTTGGTATTCTTAGGGCTGCATCTGGAGCCAGCCGGTTTATTTAAGACTCCTTGCAGCCAACGTTGAGATCGTGTAACTCTCGAGGCACTCCGAGATTGCCTTACTTCAAGACGAAGCTGATCCACAGTGACGTTGAAAGGGATCAAAGAAGCTATATATCAAGGTATGTAATCACTAATCGAAGTCAAGTCTTCAAGCTCACAGATCCTAGTTCCCTCTTGCACTCAACCACCAATCGATAAAGGCTGCAACTTCAGCTGCAACCATGAAAGCAATCGTCTATAAAGACCCCAACCAAGCGGTGGTGGTAACAGACCGAGAAATCCCCAAACTGTATGACCACAACCTTCTCGTCAAAACAGAGACTATCGCCCTCAACCCCACGGACTGGAAACATGTTCAAGACGCAATTGCTATAGATGGCTGCATCCTCGGCGTCGACTTTGCTGGCGTAGTTGAAGAAGTCGGCCCGAACGTCGACAAGCCTTTCCAGAAGGGTGACCGGGTAGCCGGGTTCGTCAACGGTGGCAATTCATACAACATCAATACAGGCGCCTTTGCGGAGTATGTTCTCGCCAAGGAGTTTACTTTGTTCAAGATCCCGGACACTCTAAGCTTTGAGGAGGCTGCCACTTTCGGTTGTGGGGTCTTGACTGTTGGTCAGGGCTTGTACGAGAAAAATTATGGACTCGAATTGGCCATGCCGAATGAGCCTACCAAGGCTCCTGAATATGTACTCATTTACGGCGGTAGCACAGCGACAGGGTCGTTGGCGATCCAATTTGCAAAGCTGTAAGCTTCCTTCCTTTAGAATAAAGAATTTTCATCTAACCATTGTGAACCTGTAGATCAGGATACAAAGTTATAAGCACAGCCTCTCCCAAAAACTTCGCCTTCAATAAAAGCCTGGGCGCCGAAGAAGTCTTTGACTACAAAGACCCCGAGTGCGGCAAAAAGATCAACGAGTACACCAAAAACAAACTCCGCTTCGCCTGGGACACCATCGCCAATCCGGCAGCAGCCCAGATCTGCGCCGATGCTCTGACGACAGAACCCGGCGCTCGATATGGCGCCATCATAGTCGTGAAATTCCCGCGTGAAGACGTCAAGCATGAATACACGCTGGCATACACGGGTGTCGGTGAAGATTTTGAGAAGAGAGGACATAAATTCCACAATAATGAGAGACATGGCGAGTTTGCATCAAAGTTCTTTGACATTACCCGCACGTTTGTTGCGGCGGGAAGAATCAGGCCGCACCCTGTCAGTGTAAGACCCAAGGGCCTTGCGGGTGCGCTGGAGGGGATGGAGGTGATGAGGACTGGCAATCATAGTGCTGAGAAGCTTGTTTATAGAGTTTCCGAGACCCCTTGATTATTCACGTAGCTAGGTATGCAGGGTTTAGGGATACAGTCGTCATCAATTGATAATATTGAGTGGAGTTGTCTAATGAATGTCTTATGTGCGGCCATTTAAGCCCTAGAGAGTATATACAGATCTATAGAGCTCTTATCTAGAAGTCCCAGTCCCTTCTTTTTATTACTTTTGACTCAAAGCAACCGGCGCAAACCCCGCATAATAATCCCATTTCCCCAACGGCACCCCTTCCTTCCTGAGAATCCCATACGCCGTCGTCAAGTGGAAATAGACATTCGGCAACGCAATACTGTGCACCCACACCCCGGCCTTCATGTCAACCACCTTTCCCGGCCCAAAGGCCGTGGGAGATACAACATCCGCGTGCCCATTCACGACATCCTTGTCAGCTTCCTTGAGCGATTTGAGGACTAGCTCAATACGCTCGTAGCATTTTGCGTAGCTGCCGAGGTCGCGATCAAATGTCACGGGTTCCCGACCTGTTAGGCGCGCTAAGATGTTTTCCGAGTATTGCGTCGCACAGCGCACCTGGTCAGTTATCGGGTACATATCCTCGTAGAGGCGGGCGGTGGTGAGTAAGGTATCGGCATTGGGTTGTTCTTCGGCCTTTTTGAGGATGTGTGTTAGGGTGCCGAGGACGCCCTGCAGGACGAGGATGCTGCTATCGTAGATTGTGGGACTCATTTTGTGTTTGGTTTATGTCGGAATATGATTTTTAGAGATTGCAATAGCTTGGAGTTGGGAATTGACCGTCAATTCAAATGACTCACGGGTCGTCGTGGTTAAATAGAGGGGTCTAGCGCTGCTCTGAGGTGGATTCGTATTCGAGTCCGTTTCCGAGTCGGAGATTCCGTATGCCCATTCGAAATGATTTACGTAGCCAATGAACGTACGCTGTGCAGCATGTGGGAAAATGTCAAGTTTGTAGGATTGGAATCTTGCCGTTGAGGTCGATATAGTTCCCGGGAGGGTACTGTATGAATAAATCTCAAAGCTTCAAGGAATACTAGGTATAAATACATTTATTGCCTGGATATGCTTCGGCAGAGATGACGTGCTCTGGCTGAATTCAAGGAACCCACCAGATCAAAGATATATACATGAAAATCCCACGCTATGTACAAATTATATATTATATCAAAATAAAAAAATAAAAAGCGGTCTGATCCTCGCAGCACCACTCGTGGGTTTACTACTTGCGACGACTCCCGTACTAGCACTGGAGCCTGTCGCCGATCCTGTCGACAAAGCCGTAGAGGTCGCCTCCGGCGCAGATACTATCGTTGTTGAAGCAGTACCGAGTGAAGTTCTCACCGAGGCCGTCGCGCTGATACTGGCCGAGCTGGTGGTGGTGGTGGTCTGGTTTCCGCCATCGCCACATTGGACAACCGTATCCCAGCCGCCGGCAAAGGTTTCCTCCCAGTATGATGTCTGGTTACACAGGTCCATATAGCTGAATAGATATGCTGAGCCTGGCTGATCATGCGCATTCTGATAGAATTGGATGGCGCAGGTATCGTTGCATGGGAACGTTTCTCTAGCCCAGTCTTGGCTGCTGGAATACGTCAAGTAGCAATAGTCCGACCTGTATATTGTCGGTACACGCTCTGGGGGCATGATTCCATTTAAGATTCTTGGGGACCAAAGTGCAAGAGTACTCACCCATTCATGGCGCACGCTTCGCCGTACTTGTACTGAAGGTACTCGCCAGCTGCCTCCACAGGGGCTTGGAAGAGGTTTTTATTCCCACTACAGAGTCCAGCGAGATCACCCGGCTGGTTGCATACAGACTTGATATTCGCGACATACTGCGCTAATGAATCGCTGCACGTCGTAGTACACAAATTCTGTAGATCTGAAGCCCCGACGTCAAAATTTGGGTTCAGCGATGCAGCCATCCCGACAAGCACATTGTTGCAATCGATGCTTGCGCTGTAGGCATCTTTGCAGGCTTGAGATGTGGTGCTTGCTAGGTCTTTGGTTGTGTAATCCCAGTTGGGACCGCCGGTGTTGAGGCTGAAAGCTGCTGAGGCCCCACGAATGGCGCATGTCAAGGCCAATATATTGAGGGCGGAGGACACCATTTTACTGAAATATAGCTGATCGGTTGTGAGTGACAAATAAAAAAAAGCAAAACAGAATTATATCAAACGAATGACAAGAGAACGAATGATCGAAATAAGGAGAAGATTTCTCCAGAAAAGTTGAGGCTGCTAATCAAAGTGCTTAGAGCCTCAGCCAGACCCAAGTCTGTTTTGGTGATCTCTCATTGGTCATTCGAATGCTGACTCATTCGATCTTAACATTAAAGTGCTAGTCTATTTATGGATTAGTCCAACGGCGACCGGCGTCCGAGGATCCCTCAGAAATTTCCCCCGCCAAAATTGAAATCAAAACTTCATTAATACGATCGTGACTCATACCATTTTGCATATTTAGCTGCTCTATTCTCCCTGGGATAGTCAATTGACCTTTATCATTTTTCTCATTTTTCATGCAATTCATGATACACACATATATTCAGAAATGTCTACTTCAAGAGAAATAAGCGCTTCGGGCGTCCTGAAATACCGTCAGTGCACCCCCTCCACCCCTCAGTGACTATGTTTTAGTGAACAGCTACTAAATCCCGTAGAGAGAGTCGCATCGCAACCTGAGAATCCATTTTCACAACTCATCCCGAACCAAGAAATCGCAATAATCCCTTCGTTCACCCTCGAATCCGGCGATATCCTATATAATGTGCCCGTCGCATATACTGTCCGAGGGCAACTCAACGCCAACGGTGATAACGCTCTAGTCATCTGCCATGCGCTAAGCGGCAGTGCCGATGTCGCGGACTGGTGGGGTCCTCTCCTCGGAGGACCCGGTCAAGCATTCGATACCACTCGCTTTTATGTTATTTGCCTTAACAGTCTGGGAAGTCCTTATGGGAGTGCTAGTGCCGTTACGAACAGGGACGGCGACCCTGCAAAGGGCCAATACGGACCTGAATTTCCACTGACTACTATCCGGGATGACGTGAGGTAAGATCCATGTTGGCTGTTGACACATTGACATCAAGCTAATATAGATTAGAATTCATAAGCTAGTCCTTGATGATTTGGGCGTTAAACAGATTGCGGCCGTTGTCGGAGGATCCATGGGAGGAATGCTTACTCTCGAATACGCTTACTTTGGAAAAGACTACGTTCGATGCATCGTTCCAATCGCTACATCTGCCCGCCATTCCGCGTGGTGTATCAGCTGGAGCGAAGCCCAACGCCAATCCATATACAGCGATCCCAAATATGAAGACGGCTACTATTCCTATGATGATCCACCAGCCACAGGCTTGGGAGCTGCTCGCATGTCGGCGCTCTTGACCTACCGCAGCCGCAATTCGTTTGAATCGCGGTTCGGTAGAAACGTACCAGATCCATCGAAGCGACAGACAATCAATAGCGCAGCGGGGCCGCCATCGCCTCCAAGTGAGCATTGGGCTGTTCATAATGATGGTCACAAAAGCTCTCGCTCTTCTCGTCCTCCTAGTCAGACTGGCTCSCCTAAAATTCCAACGGAGATTGAGTTTACTGATCCCCAATTCACCGGCACCACCACGTTCACAGCGTCCCTACCAACGCCGAAACATTCTCGTCCCTCGACGTACTTCTCTGCCCAATCATACCTTAGGTACCAAGGCGAAAAGTTTGTTAAGAGATTCGATAGTAATTGTTACATTGCAATCACCCGCAAGCTCGATACACACGATGTCTCTCGCCACCGTGCAAGCCCGGATTCAGCTTCTCCCGTGCTCGATGCTTTGTCGCAAATCGAGCAGCCTGCATTAGTCATGGGAATCGAAAGTGACGGCCTATTCACTTTCGAGGAGCAACAAGAAATTGCTGCAGGAATCCCAGATTCTCGGCTGAAGAAGATCGATAGCCCCGAAGGCCATGACGCGTTCCTTCTTCAGTTTCAGCAGGTCAATGCATACATTCTGGAATTCTTTAGAGAGGTTTTGCCAGATATTATGTCAAAACCAGATGAAGCCGGCATCGTTGCGACAGATGGTGTTGGGGAGTTGACGAAGAGCAGCACTTTCGGTGAAGCCGAAGTCGATGACATTACTGCTTGGTGATATACTTAAATCATCATATGAATTGATTGATACTGTGACGGTGTATACATTTTAATCACCGCGGCGACGCGCCAACACGCGGACGGAAGCTTCAACAACTTCAATGACATTTATTGCATTTCTAGTTGATTGAAGATAGGTGGTTCTCCCTCAACTCATGAGGACGGCGGACGAGCATCCAACTGCATCTCCTGCTCCAGTGTGGGCACCTATCCCAAAGAAGCATCCAACTGCCTTCTATCTGATGGCTTTATTCTTACGCAGGTCTGACTTACGACATGACTTGCTCCCACATTAAACAAGTATTGATAGATGTGTATACTTGACTATGCATGACCATCGTCCTAGAGATTTTGTGAAGTGATATCATAGAAAAATAGCATCAACTTCGATATATCAAGCAAGTTTCCCTGCATAACCACGTAGTTTTTGTCAATAATGAACGAGAACGTTGAATAGTATAGGAATGGCCAATAGGAAATCGTTTCATGCTATTAGCCTCAGGCACCTTGCGCTAGCTGGATAAGCGCTAGCCGCGAGTTTGGGCAAGGCTTGGCGCATGCGTCGAGGAAAGATGTAGAGTCCGGGACGAAGTCAAGTTGCCGTCAAACAACCCTTCCAGGTTTCACACCTGAACATCCTCTTTTCTTTGTCGTGGAAGCTTTCCTTTGCTTCGCGGCATGAGACTTGACTCACCTGGTACGCTCTTTTACTTTCATTCAATCCCATCACGACTCCAATTCCGCAAATATTCAACTCAGAACTAACATGCTTCGCTTTTCGTTCCTTTCGCATAAAGATCGCCTCTCAAGTCGCATTCCTTGCACTTTGATCGTTAAATCTCTCCTTGGACACTTATTTTCTCAATAGTGGCCTGTGGCCACAATGGCCCCAGGCACCGGTGGTAAAAGAAAGCGAGGAGAAAGAACATGGTCTAGCGATTCAGGACACGACGGACAGAGACCATCCCCTCATCGACCCGGCAATCTGAACCTTGCGCATCACAACCAGCCTCAGTCGCCAAGTCCGCGTCCGAACGCTGGTGAAAACGGTGGTGGAAGAAACAGAAGACCGAGCAGAGGAGGCAGAACACCGTCAGGTCGTGTGCCGACAGTCTCTAACGATCAATCGAAACCTGCTACAGAATCCTCAATGGCTCCTCCAGCGACGCCGCAGCAGGCATCTGAGCCTCGTCAGACTAATGGAGCTAATGTTACAAAGGCTGCGCCATTGCACGAAGTGCCGTCGAACGAGCCGGAGAACATCAACTACGCTTTCGAATACATCACACCGGAGATCATAACGGGATGGGTGAAAAATGGCAAGAAGAACATCATCACTCAAGGTGTCACTGCACGGAAAAGTGATGATATAATTACCCTAGGATGTGTCTTCCAAGAAATCATTCGAGCAGTTCTGTCCCGAAAACTGGATCCATCCGAGGCCGGAGATGCTGTCAAACAGATACTTACAGATGCAAGGCAGGAGAACGGCACTGTGCAGAGCGATGATGTCGCCTCATTCTTTCTAAATACTCTATCTATCCTCGCCGAAGAGAAGGATGGATCGAATGCAGCTCTGAGACCGTTCGTCTTTGCTACCGAGATATCGCCAGCATTGTTGCGCCTTGAGCTCGACACCAATCTGATCCAGACTCTGGGCCTAGTACGAGACACATTCACACGTATCGGAATTCGCAAACAGACAAACGTGCTGTATCGACAATCGAACTACAACCTTCTTCGCGAAGAATCTGAGGGCTACTCGAAACTGGTCACTGAACTCTTCACGACAAGCAACACCGAGTCTCCTTCCAGCGAGATTGTAGAAGAAACATTCGAGCGAGTCAAAGCCATGATTGGAGCCTTTGATTTGGATGTGGGACGTGTTTTGGATGTGACTTTAGACGTATTTGCGGCTGTGCTTGTGAAAAAATATCATTTCTTCGTGAGGTTTCTACGAGCCAGCTCATGGTGGCCTAAAGGCGATCGCTTGCGTCGAGAAGAGGAAAACGGCATCTTTTCTGGTCTACCTAGCTGGGCTATTCCCGGATGGACTTCCAGCGATGATGAGAAAAAAGAAGACCTTGCAAGGATACGCGATGAACGCGACCAAGCCTTCTGGGATCGTGTGCGAGAGGTTGGAATACGCGCATTTTTCGAAATCGGCCGACGTGTCTTATCAGATGAAGAAAAGCAGATTGCCCTGACGGAGGCTAGCAATCATGGAGAGCTTGAAGCGGAAACCAGGAAATGGGTGGAAGAAACAGGTACCCTACCACCTAAGGGTAACCGAGTGGCTGCTCAGCTTCTTGGGTTTAAGCTTCGTTTTTATTCGACATTCGCCCGCGAAGCAGGCTATCTTCCCGAGAACTTGATTTGGGTCGCTGCACTACTGATAAAGATTGGCTTTATTTCCCTCCGTGACCTTTATCCCCACCTTTGGCGTGAAGATGACTCGATGCCGGAGCTTGAAGAAAAGCTTAAAAAGGAAAAACTGGAACGAGAGATCAAAGCCAAACCTGGAGGCGGTGTCAACGCTTTGATGCTTGCAGGTGCATTGCCAGACGACACAGTGCCTCCCCTTGTTTCTCGCTCTCGTGACACTGAGGCTCGGTCAGCAACCCCCGCGAAGGACCCTGAAGCTGCTGCAGCGAAAGACGAAGAAGAGCCTTCCCCAGAAATCCGCGAACAAAAGATCGATTTGTTGAAGAGTTTGCTGACTATTGGTGCTATTCCTGAGGCTCTTTATATGCTCAGCAGATTTCCCTGGCTGATGGATATACCGGAACTTCCCGACTATATTCACCGCATCGTTCACCATTGCCTTAGTAAAATATATGCGCCTCTGCGACCTATGCAAGGCCTGGATCAGATTCGAGCAGCTAGACCAATTCCAAGCCCCGATCAATCCGGTGTCGCGAAGGGCCAAGTCCGTCTCGCCGACGGTCAGCCTCGCAGAATGCTTCGATGGGCTCATCCAGATAAAGAAGATCGGGAGGATGGAATCAATTATCGATTCTATTGGGACCATTGGGCGGATAACATACCCATTTGTCAGAACATCGACGATTTTTTCGCTTTGGCATCGTCTTTATTGAATGTGTCGGGTTTCCGAATCGGCCAGGACCCGTTACTGATGAGTAAAATCGCCCGAATCGCTCAGGATTCTCTCAGCAAAGATGACTCAGAGTCCAACAAGAGTCGTTGGAAAGACCTTTGCAAACGACTTTTGCTCCCTGCTCTGAGTCTGTCTAAAAAGAACCCCGGTGTTGCCAACGAAGTTTTCGCTGTGATTCGCCACTTTCCCAGAGCGGTTCGCTACAACATGTATGCTGAATGGCACTTTGGGCAGACCTCCAGGTTACCCGAAATCAAAACAGCCTTCGAGCTTGCTACTGCGCAGACAAGGGATACTCTCAAACGATTGAGTAAGACCAACATCAAAGCTATGGCTCGTGCTCTAGCTGAAATCGCATACGCGAATCCCGGAATTGTGATTAATGTTGAGATCACGCAAATCGAATCTTATGACAACCTTATCGATGTTGTGGTTGAATGTGCGCGCTACTTTACAGATCTAGGATATGATATTCTGGCTTGGGCTCTTATCAACTCCCTAGGCCAACAAGGACGAAGTCGCGTGCAGCAAGGTGGATTATTGACCAGCAGATGGCTCAATGCTCTTTCGACTTTCACAGGGAAAGCATTCAAGCGTTATTCAGTTCTCAACCCTACGCCAATTCTCCAATACGTTCTTGAACAGCTCCGTCATCAAAATTCGACTGATCTCATTGTTTTGGAACGGATAATAAGCGCCATGGCTGGAATCGTGACCGACACAAATTTCAACGAAGCTCAAATTCAAGGCATGGCCGGTGGCAATCTTCTGCAATCGCAGACTATGCTTCAGCTTCTAGACAAGCGACACGAATCAAGAACGACATCCAAAAGACTCATGAAAGCTTTGACCGACTCTAAAATGGCCGGTCAATTACTCATCGCCATCGCGCAAGAGCGTCTACTCTGTGTCTACAGGGAGTCCGAAATGGTGCCTGAACTGAAATTGTTGGGCAACATCTTTGACGAAATCCATCGAATTTTGACACAATATCTGGACCTACTTCGGAGCAATCTTACAGTCGAAGAATTCGACTCTTTTGTTCCTAGTCTTCCAGACTTAATCGGGGACTTCGGCTTGCAACCCGACGTTGCCTTCTGGATTATGAGACCTAGCATATGTAAAGAAATCGCTGAAGCAGATCGCGGCTCCCGCGAAGAGCCTGCAACACAGAGCATCGAAGCTAGTGTTTCTGGATATGCAGCAGTCAATGACGATGTGGAAATGACCGAAGAAGAGAGTGCTGAGAAGAAAGAAACTGCTGGAGAAGAGATGGACGTGGATAAATCAGGCTCCACTGAAGTGACCGAAACCCGGATCTCCAGTGAAGTCAATGGCACGACATCTAAATCTGATAACGTGCCCTGGCACCCTGTCCTGCAAGGTCTCATGGACAAAATCAGGCCGGTACTTCCGGAAAGCGCCTGGCAGACCGTGGGTCTTCCTTTCTACGTGACATTCTGGCAACTTTCATTATACGATGTTCATATCCCTGGCAAAGCGTACGAAGATGAGATTGAACGACAAAAACGCAGAGTGCAAGCGATCTCGAATGATAGAACAGATGTCAGTCTAGCCGGCACTCAAAAGAAGGAAAGAGAGAAGAAACAAATCCAGGAGCTACAAGACCGACTCCTTGAAGAAAACAAAAATCACCTTGTTTCGTATGAGACCACCCGAAACAGGCTGCAGAAAGAAAAAGACCACTGGTTTCCTAGCATGCGCGGCAAATACGAATCTCTTAACTTGGCTCTGCTAGAGCAATGCTTCTTACCCCGCCTTTTGCTATCGCCTATTGATGCCTTTTATTGCTTCAAGATCATGAAGTTTCTACATATTTCAGGTACACCGAATTTCCGCACCGTTGGTCTACTTGATCAGCTGTTCCGAGAACACAGGTTGACTGCGATTATTTTCCAATGCACCTCAAAAGAAGCCGATAATTTTGGAAAATTCCTCAATGAGATTTTGCGTGATATGACCCGTTGGCATGCAGACAAGTCAGTGTACGAAAAAGAAGCCTGGGGATCGAACAAGACACTACCTGGCTTTGCTACAAACGTCGATGCCGAAGGCAAGGCGACTTCATTCGTGGATTATGAGATGTTCCGACGATTACTTTACAAGTGGCATCGTCTGCTTGCAGGAGCACTAAAGACTTGCTTCAACAATGGCGAATACATGCATATTCGAAATGCAATCAGTGTTTTGAAGGCCGTCTCCCAACACTTTCCGGGTGTTAACTGGATGGGTCGCGATATGCTGCACTGTGTCAATACTCTCAGTAACGATGAAAGAGAGGATGTAAAGATTCCAGCGGCATCACTAAAAGGAGAACTTAGCCGAAGAGAGAAGCAATGGCTTCTTCCGCAAGCTTTCATGATTGTGAGTGTTTTTACACAATTGATCGAGACAGATATGTTACTGACCAATCCTGATTAAAATAGAATGAGAGTTTGGCCGGGGAAAAAGGAAAACCTCGTCCAAGAACAGACTCTGCCGCTCCAAAACAACTGAACGCACAAGCCGCCGAGTTCAAGCCTCCAGAGTGAGTACAGTGCTTATCGAATGAATGAATGATTGTTAATTTATTTCTTCCGCATCAGAGTGAATGGCACGCCAAGCGACCAAATTACAGGTAGAATGGAAGTCGAGGATGGTGAGATTGAGGATGCAAAGATGGCTGATGCTTCGCTCGCTGCCGGAGGAAGGGATCAGACACCAGCAGCCGAAAGAGCAACAAGCGAGAAACCGAGACTTCAACAAACCGATGTAGTGGCGTCTTCGGCAGATGCTGCACCTAAAGGCCTCCAAACCGAGCGTGCAGGCACCGCTGGACCAGATGAGAATAGACAACCGCATGCTGCAGACCGTTCGACATCTCTCTCGTTTAGGGACACCGACACCGCTCGAGCTAGAACAGCGTCGCCGGCGCAATCACGACATGGCTCAAGACCCCCAGACGCGAGTCACTCCGCGAATATACCGAAACGCCCGGATCTTGACAGGGTTTCCTCGCAACCTCCACGATTACCACTACCGCCTAATCTACCCAACAAGCCCGAGGCTCCTCGTGGTTACAATCGTCCAGGTAGACAGTCAGATATGAAGGATGACCGTAGAGAAATGCGGGACGCTCGACAGTCGGATTCGTCCCGCTCTAGCCGCTACCCTGACTCCGATCGGGAGCGTCTGAATGACCATGAACCTCGTGGCCCTGGCCGTCTGGATCGCGACCGAGATCCACAACGACTTGGCCCTCTAGATGACGACCAATTTCATTCTCCGCGTGAGGCTCGTCAGCGCCGAGAGTCAGAGGCTGATCGTGCAGGACATTCTCGTCCGGCAACGCAGTCAAACCCAGAAAGAGCCAACGTCATTCAGGGACACCCCGATCGTCTTGCTTTGATAGAAGGAGATAATCAGCGTCGCGATGCACCAAGACCTGATCGAGATGATCGAAGACATCGATTGTCTTCACCAACAAGAGGCGATGAGCGCCGTGGTACTCGTCATGATGAATTTCCGGCAGGGCCGCGTAGCGACAGAGCAGCACGATCTGACTTGCCAGAAGGAAGAGAGTCACGATCTGGTGGCGACGTATCCCATGGAAGAGGACCTCAGGATTCTAGAGCGGTACGACAACCTGAGTCGGCCAATGAAATCCCTCTTGGTCCTCGAGGTAGTAGAGCTGGGCAGTCGCGCGGGCGGAATGTGTCAATGCCACAACCACCACCACCTACTACACCTGGTAGACCTTCCGAACGTCTACCGCCAACTGGTCCCTCCGGTCGATCAAGTGGTCGCGCTCCTGATCCTTCTGCGGCACCATCACCGGCTTTGGCGGGCGAAAAAACCGAGACTGGGGGKGTCCATCCTGACCGTCTCAAGAATCTACAAGTTTCAACCGAGCCAGGCCCTGGAAACAACCGATCTCAGCCGCCACTTCCACCTAGTGGACCTCGCAGCTCCCTTAGTGGGCATCTTGGCGGTTCTCCTGTCACACGTACACCCCCATCTGGGCCAGGAAATGACAGAAATCGCAGCGATAAACGGTTTTCGGGTATCAACACTATGCTTCAGCAATCAGGTGGTGCTCAAGAACGAGGTGGACAAGGAACGGCAATCCGCGGCAGAGGACGACAAGCTCAAGAAAGCGGACCACCTAGTCCCCAAGTCGGAGGACCTGATGCTGCCACTGGGCAAGAAAGGACTGAACTATTCCCAGGAGCTCCGGAGGGAGATAATCGACCATCAGGCCGTGGCCGACGAGGGGATGCCCCACAAGAAGCCAATCGGGAGTCAAAACGGAATGAGAAGCATGACAACGAGCGTGGCCGTCGCGACGAAGACGAAGCTGCTAAGAGTGGTCGAAGAGATGATCGTCGCGATCGAGGTCGGGACCGCGATCGTGACCGTGATCGTAATCGTCGAAATGATAACGCAGAAGACGACTCGCACCAGGGTGGAAAAGATTCGGCCAACCGCCGTGCTACCGGTGGTCGTGACGACCATCGAAGGAGAGATCGCCGAGAGAGGGATGATGGACCGCCTGACCTCCCAGGACCCAGCGGCAATGACCACCAAGGTCGAAACCGTCCTTCATCCTCACATAGCAATAACAACAACTCGCTGCCAATTCCTCCACCTGCACCTGCAGGACCGCCCAATGATGACCGCCGATGGGGCGGTGGCAGTGGTCGTGGCGAGAACCGCGACAGAGACCGCAATCGAGATCGTGGTGGTGGTGGAAGAGATCGCGAACGAGACTTGAATCGCGACAATGCACCTGGCAGTGGTAATCAATCTCTCCCACGCAAACGTGGCCGACCTGGTGATGAAAATCATGGACATGGTGACGGTGGTTCACGTGGAATGCGTGTGGGAAGCGAAAGTAAGCGGGCACGCCGAGGTGCATGATCGTTCTACTTCCTTCTCGCAGCTCTCTTTCTCTTATGTTCTTTTTCATCTATTCCACTATTGTTCATTCTCTGGGAGGAACTGTTTTCTTTTTTACAATTGCCTATTAAATGAAGATTCTCGAGAAGAATCTACGAAATTCTGTTCTTACTATGCATGTATACAATTTCGCATTCTACGGCGCATGTCTGTATATTGTTGTTTGGGACACAATTTGTTGACTGTTATTGGAGGAAATTAAATCTTGACATACAGCATAATACTCATCTCCGTTATACTACTATCTGTTTATGATGTAAGCGAGCAATTGTGATTCTCCTTGATGTATTCTCTGTTGACTTAATTGAGACTGTCGTGCAGCCCTAAGCCTTTGGACTGAAAAAAGTAGGCAAGGTGAAACACACCTGTGTAACTTTACATTACCTACATAGGCACTATTATTGGCAAGGATGTCAGCGATGTTGATCTGCAAGTGGGTGCTAGAAAAGAGATCATGGAACGTTGGAAAAATGCCAAGAAATTAAAACTATTATATCTACCTGAGCTATTCGTGAGATCAATCTGTCACAGCCTCGACGTATCCACGCGTAAGTCTTAGGTTTAGGGCCAATTTGAAGGTTTTGACAGGGCCTCGTTTGACGCAGTCGGAAAATAAACAATTTTATGCCCTTGAACCAGGCGTGCAACGTAAATTGTTGATGATAGTACTTCTCGCTTAGCAACTCAATTCAGTCTCGTCCCTCAGCCCTGGGAACGGACTCTGAGGTACAAGAGCGTGAGGGAGAAGGGGGTAATCGCGGCGAATACGACTATTTGACTTGACCGTGAACTATACTTTCGCTGTCGATTGTCGAAAATAGTGGGAGTTATTATCTGACCCCATTGTCAGGGAAAGTTGACGGTTGCACTGCACCACCTAGAACCCGATGTCTATAACCACGGCCCTACAGGAAGTATTTTTACGAATCTTTTCGCAAAAGAAAATCTACAGGTTACATGCAGTCAGAATCAACGCAAGAAAGGATCGACATAAGGATTAACACCAAACGGCAGCCCGATTAGGGCTAAATCCCAGCCGCAATTACGAGGCCCTACTATTTCAAGATTAGTTTCAGCCCGACATACATGGCACTGGCTGCCAGAGTGCTGTATGCTAGACTCTGTACGGCATAATGCGATAAATCGCCCCATATTCCAAGCCGGAGTGTACATTTTAACCTTCACAATCTCCGCAGACTAAGTTGTTTAGTTTTGCTGCTTCGGACTCCGGAGTATCGACGTACTACGACGTATTAGGGATACCAGGGTACAGCTTGCTCTATATTTAACACCATATATCTGAAGGTACCTACCCCGTAAATGACGGGAATATCATACATCTAGAACGCTAACAGCATGGCTATCCGTGTTAAGAGCAGAGCCAAGGACAAATCATTGCCAGGTCTTGGACAATCTCGTTCACATCATCACCCTTTGGCCCCCGATCTGATCGTACAACAAAGACTAAAAGTACGTAGATAGCGTTTCAGAAGACGTCGCAATAACTTAAAAAATCCTCCTAATGGTGGTCAACTATATTCGTTATAAGTATACAAGGTTTTGGCTAATCAGACCGTTGGCCCAGTAGGTAATTAACTTTTGAAACGAAACAGACTCTTTACTTAGTGTCAACCCTCAGCCCTAGTCCTTGTCCTACGTAGTTTGTGTGGAGTACGAGGTGTGGGCGGAGCAATTCTTATAAGATCAGTTCAGCTGCCTACACATGAACAACGGAAAGTCACCAGTGAGAAGGTTTTCCCGTTTTACCTCAATTGTTGAGTAGCTTTAGGTCTTTGTCGTGATTGTATCTGAACCTGTTTCCTGTTTCCATATCGGTTACTATCCGACTGTTAGCTATCAAGATCCCTTGCATTCACAATGGTCTCTTCTCTTTTCCGCAGTGACTCCGTGTCTTCTAGGATGCGAAAGAGGTTTTCACTCCCGGCATATACAAATGTAAGGCCAAGTCTCGTCATGACAAGTTTCCACCTTGCAGACTCAAATGGCTAAGGAATCCAACATAGAAATCTCTTTATGTCGATGAGCAAAAACCAGAATTCCGATATGTCGACCTGGAGGCAACCTTACCGTCACCACAACCGCCCGTCGCTGTGAGACCACAGCTACGAACCAAAGACGAAGCCCAACTCCGCCAGGCTGTCACAAATCTGTATCAACAGGTTGACCAAAACGACGGTACTCAGACGGAGCAGGATGAAGCGCGACCAGAACCAGATACTACTGCCGCCGAACCTGGAGTGAAAAGGCCACGATCCCGGCGAAGTATTGCTTTGGATACACTATCATCCCTATCACGCCGGCTATCCGTCGTAGTCGAGCCAACTGAGAACGAAAAGTCCGGTATCGATGGCGACTTTGCATCAGGGCAAGATGATCCTTTCTTACAATTCAACGGCTTGCTATACAACTTCGAATTCGGTTCGCCACTGAGCCGCGCCTCGCGCGTCTTCGAGGCTGGTACACCAGACGCAGAAACCTCATATGGTCGCTATCGTCCTCGGAATCCCGCGGCAAGGGCAAAGAAGTCTCGATACTCCTGGGGTGGGTTTGATCTTGCACATCGAAATGATGGATATGCAGACGATCGAGACGATTTGATCGCGATTTTGGAGCATGATGAATCGAACTTGAATGACGCTGCTGTTGCTGCCCCGGTGGTGGCTGGCCCGTCGTCCCAGGTTCCAAGGAGACCATCTCCAAGGACTTCGCACTATCAGGATATGCGCCGCAGTGGTATTGTGGTAGACGACACCCGCGCAGATTCGATTGCTGCCGGTGCTGCTGTCAAAATAGACTCCATGCAGAGGACTACCAATACCACGAATGTCAGCACCAATGCCAATGCCAACAATGATAGCTCCAGCTCGGAAAACATACACGCGTTTATTCCGCTAAGTAGAGTTGCAAACCAATCTGAACCCCCAACATCAGAGAAGAAGCGTGGTATCATCCGACGATTGTCATTTTCCTTATTTGGCAGACGAAAAACCGATCCTATAGCCAGGAATCCCATTGTATACCATCATCATAACACCAATAACAACGCCACAAGAGTCTGAAGCCGGATGATCTGCCCTAAATATGTTCGTGGAGGTAGTTACTTTGTTTGATTGATCTTTTTCTTTGTCCATATTGCATCCAGTCGCTCACATGAAGTTCACTCAATCGCTAAATGCACTGATACAGTGATTCGTTTATGAATATACCTATCTTTGGCATCAATGAGCCAGAAAATGTACTTCTCTTTCCCTTATATTTCATTTATCGTGTTTGCATCAATAAGCATGGATTGTTTCGAGGGCTTGGTTTGGCCTAACACTCTTTTTTGGTTCGCATCTCGGAATTGTGATTCTGTAGCCTCGGTTGGTACTTTGAAAGAAGAATATGAGCTGGACCCTCGTATTCAATTGTATGAAATAAGAAGGACTGTAGTCATTCGAAGACATTTATAAATCAATTCCTGAAGCAGTGAAGTCAAAGACTAGATCCTAGGCCTAGCGGGGTCAAGGGTCAAGCCACCGGATCTATCCGTCTCCGCTCTTGCGCTTCTCAAGCCCTACAGAACCAGTTAAACGAAACGAAACATAGCTTAATCGAACTGCCCTGTTTGCTGCATAAATGTGCTCAAATCGACTCTTTTCGTTCTCCACTTGCGCATGTTGTTATTTCGTATCTTGGCTAATAAAATACGCGATAGACTTAGCTTGGTATTCTGTAGGTGAGAAGGTATGAGCTCATTATTCGCGACGTTGTTGGCAGCTGGGCGAGTAGCTATTTTGAGCATATTTATTCAACTACCAGATCCCGAAACGATGAATTCCATGGCAAGACATTTGTGTTACCTTTGTCAGATTATAAATTACTTCTTAGCCATTCCATTCCACTCCCTTTCCTCTTTGTTTTTAATGAGATAATACGCTTCGGACATACTATATGAATCAACTCGTCCTAGACTCGCCAACTGCGCTTTCTACAATCTCAGATACTGCCAGGACAGGTGCAGTCAGCGAGATGGATATGGGCGGGAGTTGCAAAATTTCCGTACGCGCCCTTCCTTTCAGGCTGAGATCTTGGAGAGACGTATGAGCTGATACGAGAGTTGGCAGATGCTTTGGAATTGGAACACCATAGACGCATGTACGTCCATCCAACCTCGTCGCCTCGAGGATGCTAATTAACTAAACTGTTCGAAAGGCTTCATCTCCAAATCATGGCGCATAACTTCCCACGGCATGTTCGCCGGCTCCTGTATCGGCGTCATCCTACTCGTCATGTCCCTCGAATTTTTCCGACGCCTCTCCAAAGAATACGATCGACACATTCTGCATCAATTCAAACAGAAAATCGCACTCGGAGGAGCAGCAATACCAACACCACAAAAGTCAACCCCGAAGCATGCCACGACAACAACAACAACTACCGACTCAGCAGATGATGCCAACAGCACAAATCACCACTCAACAGACACAACAACATCAAAAATCCACTTCCGCCCAAGCCCAATTCAACAATCCATCCGCGCCTTGCTACACATGATCACATTCGCAATCGCGTATTTCGTCATGTTGCTCGCCATGTATTACAACGGTTATTTCATCATTTGCATCTTTATAGGCGCGTATTTGGGAGCGTTTGTGTTTTCGTGGGAGAGTATTGGAGTGGAGATGGGGTATGTTTCTTTTCCTTCGTTTATTGCAGGTACGGTGTATGGATTGACTGACTGATCGCGGGGCGTAGGTCCAGTGTGACTGCGACGGCGGCGATGGAGGATGTTACGGTGTGTTGTGGATGAGTGGTGCTCGTCTAGGAGGTACACGATAGATTTGAAATCAATGTGTCGCGGCGTGAGGCTTAGGATAAATAAAAGCAGTCCCGTCACTGAGTAATGAATTAAAAATGATTTTGATATAAGTGGCGAGTACGTTACAGCCGATATACTGGTTTAGAGGCCCGGAAAGTAATGTCAAACTGTCGTAAAGTACAAGTCTATTGGTTAAAAGTCTATCAAAAAGAATGAAAGATGCTCACAAGTGAGCAATATGTTGATTATACGTTCTTTTCTGCACCAGGCTGTTGAACATAGGACAGAACCGGATTCATTATATATGACCGATGTGCCCCATTCATTGTGCCGTGTATTCCTCGCTCTCATATATCCCTCGTATAAGATTAGTAGGACAAAGAGTTGGCTTTTTCGATGTTGCCGCTCCTCAAGGCCTGGCGCTTCTCGTGCCAGATCAACCCACCGTACGCGAAGGTTGATACAACACCAAGGAGGACCATGCCAATCAAGACCCAGTATCCCATGGTGTAATTAGGAGCATCTTTGGACAAGAAAAGGAAGACAGCGACGATACCTCCGGCATTACCGAAGCCAATCGTCCACGCTGAGCCAATACCACGCTGAGCGTGACCATGGAGATTCATCAAGATCCAGCAAACGATAATAGCACCACCGCCAAAGGCACCCATGGTAATGAAGACAATACCGCAATATTCCGCAGAAAAGTGGTTCTTTCCATGGTAATGTAACATCAACGCGACACCGACAATGATCAGTGCATCCGATGCCAAAATAAAAGGGAAACGAAGTTTGACACGGTCAGACCAGATGGCAATGATAAGAGCGTAAGCAAATGCCGCTGCGAAAGGTGGAACAGTGTGCAATTGGGTTTCCACTGTGGAATATCCTAATGCCTTGATGATGGTCGCGGCAAAGTAGGAGAAGGCATAAATGGGGACGACAATCGCTGACGAGGATTGTTAGCAGACGCCAAGATGCCTGTTTAGAAAAACGTGGACTTACTGAAATACATAATGGCACCAAGATGAGATCTGATGTCACTGAGATAGTGTACGACATCTTTGACAGTAACAGGGGCAACGTGTGACTCATCGCTGCGAGTCTTTTCCGTGAGGAAGGCTTTTTCTTCGGGGGTCAACCACGAGGCTTCCTTGGGGAAATCGGTCACGAAGAAGTAGGCGGCGATTCCGACAAGAATAGAGGCAATTCCTTCCAAGCAGAAGATCCACTGCCATGCTGCCATGCCGCGCAGACCATCCATTCGGGAGATAGCAGTGGCCAACAAACCACCAAAAGCGCCAGCCAGAATGACGGATGACCAGTAGATGGTGAAACGCTTCTGGGCTTCTTCACGCTTGTACCAAAAGCTGATCAGATAGAAACTTCCTGGGAAGATACCGGCCTCGGCGAAACCCAGGAAAAATCGCGTCGCAATTAGACCACCGTAGCTCTTGACAAAGGCCTGACCCAACATGACGATGCCAAAAGCAGTAATACATCCTGACAGCCACACGTGGGGATTGAACCTTTTCATGAGAACGTTGGATGGAATTTCGAAAAGAATGTATGGGGCGTAGAAGACGACCAATGCGGTGTTGGGCATTTCACCAGTGAGCTTCAAGTCGGTCGTAAGACCGAGAGTCAAGGCATTGGAGATGTTAACTCTGTTCGAATTAGTCGACTATTTACCGAAAGCATAAATTGTGGTATTACCTGTCCAAAAACGCGACAAGATATATAATGAAAAGCATCGGCATGACTCTTAGATCGATCTTGCGGAGCAGGCGAGCCTCATCGACGCCAGCGGTCGAAACTCCCTTGTCCTCGACGCTTGGCGAATCCAAGCTTGGCGTGACAGCCTCGATATCATCTGCATTCAGTCAGTCTACTGATCGCTTATTTTTGAAGTCGTGTGCATCAATTAACCTTTGGAGGCGCCCATTATAACTTCTCAGCAGTAGTAATTGTGTTTCAAGAGACCACCACAGCTGCAATGACGAGCAACGGACCACACACACTGACGGAGGGGGAAGTGTAGCAGTAGTGGGAAGAAAAACAAAAAGATACAGAGCAGGACCACGAGCGACTTTTCTATCGTGTCAAGGGAAGAAAGAGTGGGGGAGCGATGTCACACGTGAAAAAGAAGGGACCAGGGATTAACTGCATTCGTCTGTTTGTTCCTTCCTTGCATGTCGATGTTCTCCATTGTTCCTTCCTTCCGCCGATATCGAATCCTTCGTGCGCAGGGAAGTCCGACCGATCAAAGCCAATTTTAGCCCGGAAACGCGGCACACACACACACACACACACACACAGACGAACCCTCGACTTTCATGCAGCCAACAAGTCCATAATTGAGCCTAGCTGGCCATCGCTAGTGCTGACCCAGACTGAATCTCCACGCTACGGCAGACCAGAAATACCAGCAGTGCTGTTTTGCCGGGGTTTGTTTGATTTAAGGCCGAGCCCGGAGCGGCTAGACTAGAGTAGGAAACTGCCACCTGCTGAAAACGTGGGCGGTGAGTGTTAACCCCAGTCCCACTACGCAAAACATTGTACTACTACACAATATTTGTACATGGTAACACAGTATTAGGTTTGGGCTACTCATGTCATCTCAGCAGAGAATTATTCCGCGCTGAACTACTACGTGCGTAAATATTTAAATATTTCCAGGTCAGCACTAAATTTCTCTTGGTTTCCAGCCCTAACCAGATTTCTGGCAGCAATTTTGAATTGGGTTTGCAGCCAATGTTGAACAAAGGGCCGTCATCTCAATGTTGGTTGCTGGCCAAGCACGAAGAGACTAGCTTGTTTCGGGATGGAGATCATGATACTGTCGCGTTTCATTGGCTCAGTTGTCTCCTATATAGAATAATCTACGTTATCCATCTCTGATTGGTTGTCAGTGTGGTACCCTTTTTCAATAGCTCTCCGTCTACGGAGGACTGGAAACTTAGTCTCTACAGTCTTCCGTAGTACTTACTTACGGAGTACCCCGTGATTGCGCAATTTAGTTAGTGCCTGGAAATTGCGCTCCGGGCTCCGAGCAAGCTTCGATAATGTCAGTCGGAAAATCCACAACATTCATACATATCGACTGCAGCCTCCAATAAGGGTACGTACGCGACTTTATTAGCAATATAGAATATATTGTGATCCCGGTATCATCTCTGCCACAAGCGCAAGCCTCACGAGCCAGAATATTCTGGTAAATTGTGCTTTGTCCAATCGGATCATTATCAACCTGACTCTAGCAGAAAAAGCAACTCTTCTAGTGGCTGCCGGCCAAAGCTTTGTATGGACTGGGCAGTGGGTTTCAGGATCCTTGTCCCGCGAGGGTTCAATGTAGCATGTAATGAAATAGTTACGTACCCGGACGGAGTACTCCGTAGCAGACTACGTATGTACGCAGCACGTATATTGTATGATATGCGTGACAAATTGGCAGCTGTTGACTGGACAGATAGCGAAGGAATTAGCTCATACGGACCTCCTACGTAGCACTAGTAGCATGATAATATGCGAATTATTGTGTTCAAACCTGGCCGTCTGGACAGTGAAAACGTGGCCACTGGCTCGAGACCATGATGCACTATCGAATTATCCCATTGCATCCAGAAATGATTAGCAGAAATAGCCACGTATTATGCCTCAAATTAGTTTGGTCCTCCCTACCGTAACTGTCGCTATTAACCATGATTAAGCACTTACTGCCAATAATTCAACCGTAGTCAATATCCACCTATCACTGGGGCTGTTTCTGTATCATGAAAATCGGCCCACGTTTGTGCAGATCATCCGACAAGGATACTCGTCTGTACTATGTACGGAGTATACATGGTATAACTGCGACCTGACAACAACCCAGTGAAAAGACGAACCTTGTCGCGATTGACAAAATCACCTACATATCGATAGATTTCTGCATAATTTGGAAATAAGAAACGAAAACCAATAGCCACATTTCAAACCAACACCAAGTTGCTTATCCCGTACAAGGGATCGGCTCCTTCATGAGCAATAGCGCGGCGCAGGTGAGCTGGTGTTGACATGGTGCGCGACGATCGAGGGCTAGTGGCCGGGGCCATTGGATGTTAACCCTGCTAGTGGACCTGGAGACCCCGGAATGAGTGGCTAGAACTCGGCCCCTGCTAGTGGGTTTTTGGAATCAGGGCATGGGCTAGTCTAGGCTCGCCTTAATTTGCAGGCATGCACCTGCACGTTAACCCAGTACGTCGCATACTCCGAGCTCCACTTACCTTATACTACTCTGTTAGTAGTCTGCGTCTTTGGCCAGTGTATATAGTGCGGTGCGTACATGGTAAGCATTTAGCCATTGCTCCAACAATCCGTGGTCCCTTTTTTTTTTTTTGCAGAGATATTCCTATATCATGTCATATATATATCTTTATCAGTGGGTCTCACTGAATATAGATTTCAGAACCAAATTCCATTAAAAGACTATAACCAAACTCGCGGTCGATCGGTCTTGGTCGGACAAACTCCTTGGTCCTGTACCGTATCATACGATACTCACCTTTATACGTGTAAATACGTTACCACAGCTCAACTCCGTACCGCATACTATGTGATTTACCCCATGTCCTCCGTATTTTCGTATCTTCACAATAAATACCAAAGCCGAACTAACCTGATCTTCACATCCGCCACCACGTTTCCGCCCCCTCTCTCTTCTCTGTTGGGCTTCACGTTAGCTGTACACCACTCGTTGGCTCGCTGCAACTCGGCTTGGTTGGTCAAATATGTCTAGGATTTTAGTCTATAGACATGGTATCGTATGATTGCAACCCTTGACCACGACACTGCAGATTGCGAGCGAACGTCGCATACGCTTCCGTATACGCGATACGCCAACGCCTACGCCTCCGAAATTTTGCCCATCCTCTGATTTGATTCTCTGTTCATCTCGGTTCTGAGCCTTCGTCTCGACCTCTTTCGAGGCCGTGTTGGTCAAACCAACACTTAATCAAATAAAGCGGGCAAATATTGCCTGCCCACAGACCCTTAATCTAACAAGTATCCAGTGGGTCAGTCTGAATGAGACAATACGGAGCACTCTTTATTTGATCTTGGAATGTTGCAGTATCCAGATTCTCATGATCGCAAAAGTGGTATACGCTTTCTTCAGTTGCCCAACTTCGTCTGGTTCTTGAATATCAGTTGCTGATCAGTCGGTGCTAGGCTGCTAGTAAAGAATCGCTGCTGAATAGTCGGTGGAAACGATTTAGTTGGTCGTTAGTGCCATATTACAAGGTTAATATTAGCTCTGGCATTCACGTTGAGCCATAGTTTATTTTCCTCATACACACACGTTAAAGTAGGGAGGACAGGGTGCTACATAGTACATACATGCCTGTCGTATCGAGAGCCAACCGAGTCTCCCGTGCATTAAGCAAAAAACGTCCAGAAAAAAAAGAAACGTGAGGAGAATCTTGGCTTTTTTTCTGGAAAACTTCCTTCTTTTCTCGTCGAGTATCACACCTTGATCTTCGTATACTAGCACTACGAATGGAGTACGTACAAAAGTACAATGCAACAAGCTTTTATAATAGCGGGCTCTGATCATCATATATTTCCACTCTTCAGTGTCCACTGTCAGCCAACGCCGAGAAAAACCTAACAAACTGGCCATACGTAAGCACGCCAATGTCTCTGCCCCATTGAGCTTGACCGGGGGAGGGGGCCGCTTCGGCGAATTGCGACGACACACTTGTGATCATTCGACACCACTAAAGCTCTGGGCAAGTCTACTAACCCCTAATAAGTCGAAATTTCACTACTAGTAAGGCTAGATGACCCAACTAAAGTATGCAAGAGTTTCCCTAGGGGCACTTTTTACTATTGCATCGGCATGTAAGTGTGTAATTAGGTAACTTGGGTTTGATCCTTCTGAACAAGCGCTTCGCATCTACTGTCTTGTATGGTCGAACCGGGCCATAGTTTATGCATAGTAGTACTAAGCAAATACAGACAAACCCAGTTCATAAAAATTCCACGCAATTAGGGTGATTCCCGGCCCTTGCCATGGATCATGCGCTGCAGAACCCGTCTCAGCGCCTATTCTTGTCTGCAGAACGACATACCACATACAGCCAGAACAGCCCCAAACCGTCGATCAGAGTCATTCTTATTCCTGTCTCTTCCCTAAAAGCAAGACAGAAAAGAAAAAGGAAAAAAATCGCAAAATAAGCTTCTCGGCTAAAGTCAGTCTGACTCGTGATTTCAAACTTGTCTGTGCACCGATCAACTATTCTTTACTTAACCCAGAAAGTCCTCCCTTTATTTCTTTTTTGAAGCTTAATAGTTATCTACCGGTGGGGATTATCGCAACACCAGTCAACAAGCCGGGGAGAGTCTAACTCTCAACATGTGGTAGATCATATCATATTCCCCACAATACAGACACCTTTTTACGTTTATATACCTCCTATTTCCAGTCCCCGGAGAGGAGGAGGGAGGAGGACAAAGCTCTTCACCCACGTGTGAGGGCCGGATAAGAAAAGCTTGTTGGAACGTGTGGTGGAGGGTACAATTCTAAAAGAGAAGAAAAGAAAGAAAATGGCGACCACGACTACATCGACGTTTGTTCCATATATCACTCCTCCGCCTGGTACGGTATCAAATCCGACACATCCAGCATCGCTTTCATATGAGACGCATATTACAATTGGAATTTCGATTGGTTTCGTTACTCTGTTCTTACTTGCGCGTCTATGGGCTCGAGCTATAATCAAGAAGACTTGGATATTGGAGGATTGTAGGTTTGATGCGTATCCGATGCTTTGTTTCTTTTACTAACAATTCTATTTCAATAGGGCTTGTATTAACAGCATGGGTGAGTTTTTGGGATACCCAAAGATATATTAGATGGCCATCTGAACGACCTCTGACTTGATTTAATACGCAGCTCGGTACGGTTGTCTACGATGCGGTGGTGGGACTTGTGATGGCGAATCACGGAGGTGAGCATGTCTGGGATATCACCCATGCGCAGGCCAAAGACGCGCTCTACGTTTGTACCCTTCCAATATACAAATTTTGACAGTCAGAGACGAACTAAGCAAGTCGCTTATAGTGGTTCAACATTGCATCAGTCGTATACGGTTTCGTCATCCTCCTCACAAAACTATCGGTATTATTCCTCTACCGACGAGTCTTCTCCCCCGTACGATGGAGTCCATTCGACTGCATCATTGTCGCCCTCATCGCCATTATGGCATGCTTCTACATCAGCACATGCATAGTGAAAATCATGCAATGTACCCCTCGATCCAAGATTTGGGATAGTTCGGTTCATGGAACGTGTATCAATGAATCGGAATTGCTCAATACAAGTGGTTTTTTCAACACGATCACGGATTATATCATTCTCATTTTGCCTATACATTCAGTTTTGAGGTTGCAGCTTAGCCGGACGAAGAAGATGCTGGTTGTTTTGGTATTTACTTTCGGTCTTTGGTATGCTCTTCATATTCAAAGCACAGACGTTATCAAGATTGCTCATTTGGTTATTGTAGTGCACCGGTATTCAGCACCATCGGATTAGTTGTCCGATTCAGAATCAGCGGCAGTCCGGACATAACATGGAATGAGCCCGAAATTCTTCTATGGGGGTGAGTTCAACATCTGTTCCTGATCAAAATCCAGACCAAACATTCTGACAATCTATCAGTGCCGCCGAAATCACATCAGGTTTCCTAATAGTCTGCTTCCCCGAAATGTCCTTCCTCATAAACCGCAAATCGAGAAAGAGAAACTACCCGCGCCGCCCAACGACCATGGACGTCTCCGGATCCAGTGGCACGGGGATGAATTCGCGCAATAGATCACGCAAAATGGGCAGTAATCGCGACGACTTGACATACTACGAACTCGATGATGATATTGTATATGGTGTCCGAGTCAGTCCGTCTGGAAGTAATTCGAGATTACATGAGCCTGCGCACGGGACTGTGCAGGTTCATCATGAGATTACAATTGAGTCTAATAAAAAGGAGGAAGTTGTAACGGTGAATGGGCAAAGATGAGATTTTGGATTTTAGAATAATTTTAGGGTATATATGGCACGCAATATATGAGCCGGAGTTCTTCCTTTTGTTATAAAGCCTTATTTCCCTGGTTATCAGAAAAATTGGTATACCCTCAAGAACGGGGATGCCTACGCTAAACATTGATGTTGCGGATTTGGACTATTGCCTCCTTTGTCGGGCAGTTCTATTGTACCACAAACCTTGACCGACATGTTGAAAAATGTCAAACTCGAAGACTCAAAGCTTTGGCCAGACATTATCATGGCTTTGCATATGACGTGGGTTACATGTTGATATCTACATAAACGCAATTCAAAACACATGGGACTTAGCACCGTAGCACGGATTGATCTTAGGTACCTGCGTAAATTTGGACTACGTGCCGTCTGACATGATTAAACGGCAAATTTGTTACATATCTCGCCGATGACCTTACCTGTTTGACTTAATCTACCGCTAATGCCAGGCAGAGCGCTTCCCGTATTGTGGAAAGCCAAAGGAACAATTTCTACAAGTGCTGACGGTAATCATCCTACATAAGCTAGGCATTGGGTTTTGTATCCACTGGAAAGTTTATCAATTATCGAGTCGTGTTCAGAACTTTGGAGAACGCGAAAATCCGTTGTTGTGTGTGCGGTTGTGGCTTGGAAAAGCTTCGCAATAATGCTCTACCTGCTTGCCTTTACGAAAGAGATACAGCAAGAGTATAATCTGTTATTCACGCGCAACTCATATACTCCAAACCCACTAAATTGAGAACGACCATAGAGGAAATGAGAGCATGGCTTTGGAACCCTAAGCGATTCATCAAATATGTGAAGCAGGAGGTTGCGATATAAGCCACCCAACGTGTAGTCATTCAATTAGCAGATTAGAGAATCCTTTCACAAGCCACGTTCGGAGTAACACATTGCCATATATTGGGACTCTGTGGTAATCAGGAATGGAAATTTGCTCTGACTATAACATTGAACGACCGATTTATCGAAGTTCCGTTAGGGTTCGGTCAATAACTACATTGGCTAGGCCCTGGATGGCCCGGCCATTTTGATACATGACCAATGACAAGTATTAGAGTTACTTAGTACTAAAGCCTTGATCTCTATCTAGAATTGATTTGATAGAAGGCTATATCCGGCAGGAACATGGAATTCATACCCTGTCAGATAGAGTGTCACAGATAGGCCTCGTCGTAATCAGGGAGATGGATGAACAATTGCTTTTTCTTTAGTAAATCATTGAAGCCACGTGCTTCGGGTGTATGCCTGTTCTCAGAATGAAGGATTCTGACTCTCATGGAACGCAATCCTTCGAGATTGTCTGTCGGTCACTCAGCTTTTCCGTAGGATCCGTATACTGTCTGAGAAATAGCACTATATTAGCGTGACTGCTATGTGTATTCGGGATAGGCGAGATGTTCCTTTTCGAGCAGCGTCAATAGCATTGTCATAAGTTCTTGTAATGACACGATACGATATGACGGAACTAATACTACAAAACTCGACCATCAGACCGTAAGATTTACCCCTTTGCGTGACCACACTATGTTTCCGATCTATCTCCGATCTGACTGTACACTATGTGACCTCGGCGGTTTGGACCCTGAACGTCCGTCATACTGCTTTTCCTGCGTCTATGACCACATCAGAGGCGTGGTAGTTCCCGGATTTCTAATACATTGTACTTACCTAAGTAAGGGGCCGAGTTGCATGCCACCTACCATGAACATGCTACGTAGAGCACGTATCTCTTACCTGCCTATCTGGGTAGGTCTCAAGTACATCCATCATCGGAAAAATCCGCGACTTGCGCGGATATACCTTCTCTTAAACAGTAGCATCAACTTAGTTATAGCCGTTCATGTATGAAATAACTCGGATTGCTTTGTTGAGAAGCAGATCCTTCCAAATCGTGACGAGGTTAGAATTTAGGGACCGTTGTCCCGGATTTGTGCTTCTTGTGCACCATCCCAAAGGAGGAATTAAGACCGTCGTATGCACAGAGAGCTCCATATTTGGCTCTGTTGATCCTTGAGGAAAGTCTTGTTACGAGGGTGCTCGTTCCAACGAACCGTTAGCCAGTTAACAATGTGCTGACTTGTATGACCCATAGATCTTCGTGCTTTTGTTCTCGAATAGAGCATTAGATACCGACAAGCTCAATGTCAATCCATGACTTCTTGTCGAAAGGAGTAAATTGAAGGGGGAATTCCTTTCTTCCAGCATTCAAGCTACATATCATGAAAAATGAGCATCTCGGAGACAATAATAAATTACAATGTCGTCAATCTCTGGTTCTTCCATGTGAAAAAGGTGCCCAATGCCATACAAAATACTGACATCCCTGAGTGCGTACAAAATTGACCCTTGATAGGCAAAGACGAGTCAGTCAGCCAATCCTGCCGTCTAGAAACAGTTGGCCCCGTCGGAAGCGGAGTAAAACTCGTTCCGGTCCGTTTCAGCCCCGTAAAGGTTAAACCTTATTAGGGCAAATCAGCGTTGCTCATATACTGTTTGTGGCTGCTTTCCGGATGTTGGTATCACAATACACGGCTGGTTATGTTACGGTACCTGAACGTGTTTTTTGGTGTATGGTACGGACCATGACGCTGGCTTACACTTACATAGTACAGCACAATGTTATGCAGATAATGTATATCTCACCGACAGGAAGGAAAGATATATGTGCTGTTGATATTGATACCTATCGAGATATTAAGTACAAGTAATGACTTAATTACAAGTTATTTAAAACAGAAACTGATAATTGAGCTGGCGTTGTCTGGGATTTCCTGATTAGGGCTAGATATTGCCCTATCTGTCGACGAAAGAATAATGTAGCAAAAGGTATTAGCATAAGTGCAACAAGGGGAAGCATTTCTGACGAAAGACACTCAAGGTCATATCAATGAAAACACTGTAAGACCCAAATGTGCTGAACGATGGGAACTTATTCAATTAAAAACAACAAAACACATCTTAAGGGATTTCCTCATAAGCGATGCTTCAACTACCTGAATATGCCGGGAGGTCCGGATCAATTGAAGCACTCTCATCATCCAGTGCACTGATGCCGCCTCCCGGGCAGACGTTATACCAGGTGTATGCCTTCATATATGATTAGTAGAGCATTTAGCTTCATAAGTAGGGACAGACTCACGACGTTTGTTCGTGGAATAACTTGTTGATAATCAGCACGTCCAAGACCTCCGATATTAGGAAAGTGTATATTTGCCTAAATTTATGCTCAATATCCAGGATGGGTAATGATCGAAGACTGAACTCACCCCTCTGTCTTCCCCTTCATAACGAGCTCCCAACGGTGTCCATTGAAACGAGGAGCCATCTATCAAAGTGCCACTAGGCATTTGTCCACCATTCTGCCATACCTAATAAAATATTAGTTCCGTCTGGTGGATTGATTCCATCAAGAACATGTGCTTTTCTTACCGATGCATCTCCGCTAAATTTGTCAACCCAGAGGAAGTCTACCAGACCATCACCGTTTACATCGGCCCATTGATGGTCTTGACGGGCTTGCATTAGCAGAAATATGTTGACTGAAGGGCAATGGTATATTTACTTGCACGGTCATACCCTTCACTATGCTTGATTTGACCAATATCTTGAAAATCGTTCTCACCGAGGTTTAGTGCTCCTGTTGTGCGGCCATCGGGCCTTAATTTCGGAGAGTACAAAGTCAGTATTAGATACGAGACAAGTGCGAGCTTTATCAATACATACTCCATGCACAAATAATCGGCTCGTCGGTCTCCGCTATCATAGCAAGTCAATTGAAGAGCTTCAGCAAGATGAAGAGCTGGCCTAGACTTACTTGATATCAAAAAAGCGAAGACCAATATCATATAGTCCAACGCCCCAACCTTGAGTACAAGTTGCGTCGCCGGTGACCACGCCACGTTTATCCCAATTCATTGTCGAAGAGTCCCAGTTGTTAATCCATACTTCTGCTGCTCCGGTAGCTCTATCTACGAGCCAAAGGTCGCACTATAGAGTGTCATTAAGATGATGCGTTTTCAGAATATAGGAGGTCCATTACCTTGCCGTCGCCATCAAAGTCGGCTAGATGAAGAGCTTTCCGTTCTGTGGCCGTCTCAAATATTTCAAGTCCGGCAGGATCCCAATCTGATGGTTTGAGTGTGTTGCCATACAGATAGCCAACACCATCTGGAGAGATCCAGACCTGATGTAGCTCATGTTAATACAAGATTGAGCTTATACTGAGAGCGTACTTACATAGTCATCCATGCCGGTTCCTCTCATGTCGCAGTAGTAGTCACCGTCGCCTAGTAATCAAAATCTTGAATTAGTGCCATGGCGAAGTCCAGCAGATGCATTTTCGATAATCATACCTTTCAAAGTTGTCCCTCCATGCCCGGTATTCTTCCAAACATGGGCATAGTTGTCATCGATTGAAGCATTCGAAGCAGACTCAACGGACTCGACATACAAATAATCTGCTCCGTTGCCAGCGTACACATTCCCAAACTTCACGCGATCTCTAGCTCCAGCTACTCCCATGCCTGCATGAGTGACACCAACAGAGATCCAATCTGGTACTAAACTTCCCTTTCCGGTGCCGCGATTGTTGATATATGTTGTTACCTTGCCAGTATCGTCCACCCATAACCAGTCGCTACGAAAGTCCCCATTGATATCGACAAATCGAACACCAGCAATGTCACCCATTCCTTTTCCTGTGAATACGATGCCTAAGTCCTGCCAGTAGCCACCGTATGCAGAAGTTGGGGCATCACTTTGGCCACCGTTGCGCCAGCACTGGATATCACCATTGTCTGCAATCAAACAACTTTACAACCTGTCAGCATAAAAACTGAAATATTGAATGTTTGACCTTACTAGTCGATACGTCCATCGCCATCAATGTCCCCAAGCCGGACGTTTGTCTGAGTCAGGTTACCACCCGGCGCAGCCATCACCTGCCCGATATCCTCAAACGTAGGCACGTTATCAGTTGCTCCTTGGTTGATGGCGACGTACATTGCACCATCTGCACCGATGCAAATAAAGTCGTCTAAGCCATCATTATTGACGTCGCCCCAATGAACCCCTGAACAAGTATTTAGAAGTTAGTAATACTTATAACCCAAGGAGTAGCCATCTACAATACTTAGTGCGAGATGGAAGAGAAAGTACCTTTGGCCAAACACGGAATTTTGACGTCCAATTCAACAGATGATCCGAATTCCCCCGAATTTTCGTTCAAAAACATGTAGGTACCTTCGCCATCATGGGTCCAAACCAGCTCATCTAGTGCATTTTCTCTGTAGGCTCCGTACACGTTGACCAACTGAGCGAGATTGACCCCCTGATATATGTCTCCCGCGACGCTAGCAATATTAAGAAGGCGACCCATGTTCAGCGAAGTGTGTACATAATTCCCATCATCTGTTCCGCTCTCTTCTTGTGTTTGAGCGTAGTTATCCGTACTACTGCTCTCATATATTTGTTCGCAAGTATTGTTCGGAAAATCACTGACCCCCGTGTCGATTGGTGCAGAAAGATAGTTGTTGGCTAGAGCAGTCTGAATAGCTGCCCACCATACCGACGCCATCTTTTCATACCCATAGTCAGTCGGATGGGTACCATCTTGAAGATCGTCTGTGGTGAGAAATGTGTACATATCCGCAAGAACGATCCTGTCCCCTGCTGCCTCACGGTTCTCATAGACGTCATGATATTGCTCATTGATATCAGCAACAAGGTCTGGTTCTACCGTGTTTGGAAGTAATGTGGACATGATAATTGTGGTATTTGTTATTGCTCCATATAGAAAAGTGAGCAGAGAATCAAACCGTTCACCAGCACTATCTGTGTCATAGTTTTGGAGTGCGTCGTTTGTACCGATGCTGTGGTAGAAAATCATTAGAATTGGCCTTCCTGAGACTATAAGATCGTTCATTGCGAGTATGGTAGCCTACTTCAACAGTATCAGGTTCGGCATTTCGGAGATGTTATCCTCGACCACAGCAGTAATCTGATCAATCCGATAGCCAACATGTCCTTCATGATTCTGAAAATATACTGATTAGTAATTCTCTTCTAGGAAAAACATACACGTATATAGAACTCGAAATACACACATTATCAAGCATAGTTCCATCCTCTAAGCTGCCAACCATATTCACAGGCCACCCACTATACCGGAGTTGCTCACGAAGCACTTTTCGATATCCATTATTATCACTAGATAGGTAACCCTGAGTTATCGAAGCTCCAAGAGGCATGACTCGAAGAGTGAAATATTCCATATCTCGAGACGCTAATAAAGAGGCGTATTCTTCGGGACCGTCTAAGACCGGAAGCGATGCCATATTCACAGGCAATGCAGAACATACGAGCGGGAAAAAAACTGCTATTATTAGAATCGAAATCATCTTGAGTTCACATAAAGTTCAGCTGGAGATCAAATATCGAATGCCATATATGGCTAAACGGAGAATTATGTACCCCTATTGTAGGGATATTTCAAGCTACAATACGGATCTCGGAAGTAGCACGAAATGAAGAATTATCTCTCTTGTTGAAGAGCATTTTTAATTGAATCATTGAATTATTATTATACTCACATCACAACAGCAATGTGACCAAGTAATTATCCGAAAAGTGACCTGTAGTTGTCAAAAATAAGCCAAAATTTCAGATGACACAGTCAACATATTCGACGCGCGGCTATTTTGCACATTTCAATAGGGCTTCGGTCAAAAAATAGAGCCGATATCAGACAGAAAGATTCAAGATACTAGCGCTCCTCTATTTCTCACACTTTTTGCGAGCTTTTTGAAGGTCATTCTCATCTTGTTTGTTGAATATACGGGCGATCAAATGCTACCCAACGCTCTCCATATAAGACTATTGGCTTCAAAAGAGTCAGAACTTGCAAATGACCTTTTCTGTGGCTTGAAGTAGATTTTGAAGATGGTGTATGGTATTTGGACTTGAGGTCGAGTATATGGAATGATTGAATTGAGGATAATCCACGTTACACCAAGCACATTCATCGAAGGGGCTTCAGTGAATATTCCAGAGACCTCATTTGACGGACGGTAAACACTTTTCAGCTCAAAAGTCATTATAGTATCCTGTATTGAGTCCTAATTAGCTTGATAGGAAAAGGCTGTGTTACAGGAAGCAGGAGGGTATAAAGTCAATGCGCATCACCAGACACCATTCAGTAATGCTCTTTTTGAGGATTTCTTACCCTAGATTATTTCAGAATGGACGATCAGTACTTGATTATGTTCAAAAGAATTAAAATCATCTATTCGCTTTTGATCATAGTTTGTTGACGTTTCACCGACTTTGAATGCTGTTAGATTAGGGCCAGGAACCATTACCGAGACACAACTCTCAATTTTAAGCTTCAGCCATGCGCATGGCCAACCGTGGAGACAAAATGGGGTCTATAGATCCTAGCTTTAACAAGATTTTGATTGGTGGCTAGCGGACCGGTAATCAATAGAAGTACATGATAATTAATGGAAGATGTATGGGGTGTCTACATCACATGTACAGCCGTGCGGAATGCTGGTATGACCCTGTCAACTGATCTGCAATACATGACTATTCTCGCAAAACTACCACTGTAGTATTAGCGACTCTTTCTGCTATCCCGCAAAGTCTCGATGGGTACTGGCAGCCATTTTTGATTAATTCATTGCAATGGACATTTCTGGGCCATCCTTTCGTTTCGGCTGATCGTTTCGGCTGATCACGAAGTCAGCGTCCCTGATTTCCAAGCCAGGATAGTTGGATAGTTCGATACGCATCGGCAATACTGGGATGATGAGCAGAGAAAATAGGCATGGATAGAATTAGACTCCTTATCGATTCTAATCTAAGTACCGGGTATTGGATTTCGCATACAAATGATTCCTAGAACAACTCTAATCAAACCCCCTTTCCTTGTACTGAAGTGTCGCATAATGTAGGTATCGAGGAGCAAACTTGCGCCGAATCGCCTTTCCATATCGAAGAAAAACAACAAAGACCATCAAGATGGCAATTGCAATGACCAGGATAGTGATGAACGTGTTTTTCAGACCAGCCTTCGCGACCCACGGCGTAAGTGCAAATATGAATGCAGTGCTGATAGCGTTTCGTGTGAATGTGACCCCCACAATTGCGTCCCCAACTATCTATATTCATAAATGTTTGTGAGAAAACAGCTCTTGCAAAGTCTGAACAGAAATTAGTTGCAGGTAGGTAAGACTTACCTCTTTATACGAATCTGTCAAGTAAGTAATGGTGACAGCATCAATCGGAGTCACACCGATGTTGTATAATGCCAGTCCGATGGCGATAACAGGCCATGACTGATGGTCGCTGAGTCCAATAGCGAATAGAAGGGCGCCAGCGACGACAAATGGGAGAAAGGGAATCATACACCACAAACGCATCTCTGGTTCGAAAATCCCATTCCGGCGGCGAGAGAGGAATACTACCCACCAGTCACTCAAGGGGCCGACAATGAGTGCACCGATGGTGACACCAATCATTCTTGGGATACTCATGAGCCCAACCTGATAGGGAGAGAAGTTATATGGAGGAGCAGGAAGATAGGACGACATAGTGGTGGACATGACGTCTCCCAGTGCTACTAAGATGCCATAAACAAGAGCCGTCCAAGTAATGGCAGGGATTGTCGTTAAGATAACCAAAGGTTGATATACATGCTGAAGGAAGGAGTGACTCGCACTACCAGATGAAGTGGTGGTGTTTGTTAGAGCGATTCTTTGCCAATATGTCTTCATGGGGATATTGGGATTGATTGTGATGGGAGCGGCGGTAACGATTGTTTCATCTGCCATATCAACTGACGTGAAACCAGTGTTGGCACTTGTTTTCTTGGTATCAAGCTCCTCGGCCTTGTCTCTCTTGGTATCTAGTTTCTGGTCTTGATTGTTTGAAATCACTGATTTCAGTTGCAGCGCATTATCTGTATTGGTAGCTGGAACCGGTGGGCAAAATTTGGTTTCCTCGTAAGCGAAGCCAACAACAAAAATTGCTACACCAAAGATGATGGCATTTAACCACCATATCCATCTCCAGCCGAGGCCACTAGCGACATAACCGGCGATAAGGATGCCCATATAACTAGAAAGAAGCCACGTCCAGACATAAAGGGCATTCATTCTTCCTCGTTGGTGCACAAAAAAGAGATCCGCGATAGTCATTTGGACAATCACCTCTGCAAGGCTCCCAAAGAAACATTGTATAACATTAATCGCCATCAAGTCTCCCACAGTTTGCATCTTTGCTGACCAGATTGACACTGCAAATTGAACCACAGTACTGAATAGATACAGCGGGCGGCGGCCAAACTTGAGGGCAAAAGGAATTAGGATAAGGGAGCCAACTGCTAAAGCAGCACAGCCAGCGGCATAACTGTCATTTAGGATCTCGCTGGTGTAGCCAAGCTCTGTCTCCATAGGACCCCATGTTGGCGAATTCGCGTTGACAAATTCAGCGACCATAGCAACGTAAAAGCACGCCAATCCCATGTTCAGTAATTTGCGCCATGCGACCCAATTGAGGGGATCGTTGGGATCATCAGAGGGCCTTGGCTGTAGAATGAGGGACTCTCCTGAACCGGACGCAGCAATGTCCGCAAGATGTAGTGTACCAGGAGGCCACATCCTGCTACTACTCGACACATTTGAAGACATACTGCAATTGGGAATAATAACAGAGGACGGATTCTTGAGCTGGATGTATAATCGTTGATACAGGGCTGGGTATCTTGGAAGTATAAGAAGAGATTGAACTCAAAAGTTGGACATTGTGATAGTTAGGGCTTCTATAGAATATAGGATTTCCATTGCAGAATCATGTGGCCGGAGCAAAGTCTCTCTATCATAGGGTTGTGCATGAGATGCAATATAGATCGCTTCAATTTGTGGAAAGTCCCGGTTGGACCCGCTTGAAAAGTATCTATCTGGAACCTATCTTTGCTGTGGATCGGACGCTGTATTGCATTCTTTTTGATTGGTGGCAAATCCCGGCATCATACTGTGTTAGTTGCTTTATCAGTATCTTAGTCGAATGTTTAGGAGCCAGACACTGATCTGAAAATATTACGGAATCGTTTCAATGTTACGCTTTATAGTAGAACCTGCCCATGTATACCTACATAAAGAATCAGTCTTACATCCTCATTAATAAACTTGGCTAGGTCTCTCTAAACCGACAAAATGGGACAAGGTGTTTTCCAAATTTTTGGATTTCCAAAGAGTGTCGACTATTCTATTTCACACTGGCTTCAATCTGTACAAGATGACCCTCTGTTGCAACATCGAACGACACCGGAGTTGCCTCGGTCTGCAGATATCGTGATCATTGGATCTGGTGTAAGGATCTTGATTATGGAAATACTTTCATCAAAGATTTCATTAGATGGATAATTAACGCTGGTCAATTTTAGATGACCGGGACAACAATCGCTCAGAACGTTGCGAAAACCTGGCCCGAAGAGAAAGTGGTCGTTCTTGAGGCTCGTCTTTTCTGCTCCGGGGCTACCGGTCGAAATGCTGGCCATTGCAAACCTGACCAGTGGCGAGGTTTCACAGACTACGAGAAAGATTTTGGTACGGAACAGGCTATAAAGGTATAGAAAATATGGTGTTCATGTCTATCTCCTTTTCATTCTAATATGGCTGGCTTGCAGATCCTACAGAGTGAACAGCGGACATGGCTCCAAGTAGTGCAATACATACAGGAAAATAATGTTGACTGTGAACATTGGAGTGGTGACACTCTGGATGTTCCAATCACTCCACAGGCCGCGAGGATTGCAAAGGAGACTTTTCAGAGGTACAAGGCGGCTGGCGGTAAAGTCGACCATATAAAGTTTACTCAAGACCCTGAGGAAGCAGCAAAGGCTCGTAGACTATATCTGTGCTTGAGTGACAAGGCCGACTAACATAAACCGACAGATCTCGCAAGTGAAAGATGCACAGGCATGTTATGCGTGGTCGGCATCAACACTACACCCATGGAAACTTGCGGCACACATTATGCGTGATAATATCGAGAAAGGTATTAACCTTCAGACGAATACTGTAGTCACCGCTGTTATCCGATCGGAACAGTATCAAGACAAGTGGGTTGTGAAAACTGATCGGGGCGATATCGAATGTTTAAAGGTCGTTCACGCATCCAACGCTTATAGTTCTGCACTCGAACCGTCTCTGCGCGGTTTGATCACTCCATGCCCTCACATGTGCAATAGAGTTACAATTCCCAAAGATAGTAAGAATCTCTCAGCTTTGAAAGGCTCTTACGGCATTCTCCTCGGGCAAGACAATCTGATTACCATCAATCCCCGTCTCAATGGAGACGGTGCAATTCTTTTCGGCGGCAGTAACCCGGGTCAAACTGAATTCTGGAAGTGGCTTGAAAAGAATCCGTACCGTTACATTGACGACGGTATGACCGGATTCGACTCGATTTCTAAGGCTATCCACGAATTCGCAGTAGAAGAGTTAAAAGGATGGTCGACCGAAGATATCATGAAGCAAGAAGAGACCTATAAGAACGCCTGGAGTGGCATTCTCGGGCTTGTGAGTACCCCTTTTATCTGCTGCAGCACCGAAGCTTATGACACTGAGATATCTCAGAGCGCAGACGGACTTCCATTCATTGGGCAGTTACCTGGACTTCCAGGCCAGTGGATTTGCGCTGGGCACCATGGACAGTGAGTCATCCGTTCCTAAAGTTCCAGCTTAAGCATGCTAATAAGTGAACTCTTATTGTACTTACTAGTGGCATGGCACGTATCTTCACCGCAGCATCAGGCTTGGTCAAGTTGATGGCAGGAGGGTCTTGGGCCGACACAGAGCTGCCCGAGGTATTCCAAATGACTGTAGCAAGGACTGAAGCGTTGAAAAAGCGCTTGATAGAATCATCATCGCTTCAAGCTCGTATCTGAAGTTCCAATATTTGAATGTTTACATTACCAGCTACATTTCGTGAAGTGACAAGTTTGTTATTGGAGCCAGTTACGTTGCAGTGTTTCATGTTGGATCTGCCAACTAGACTAAAAGGAAGCGCGTATACCAGATGATCTAGTATGGCATGATATAGCATCTCGTATATGATTGAGATGTGTGCAGTATTAAGTGTTCCGACATGTTACTTTCTGTTGGTTGCTGTTAAGGGCTTGGTTTCCCAGATCATAAGCCTTAACCAAGCTGAGAAAGTCGTGTAGCACAGCCACTAGCGAAAAGGCAGTAGTTTATTGTAATAAGTCATTTTTCTGTTCTCAGATGTCTTATGGAAAAATGTATGGCACAACAACTCGGACCCGGCGTACGGGCGAACCAATACATAGAAAGGTCTCGTGAGCAGTTAGTTATTGATAAAGAATCCCCACACGCTATCTCCCAGATTCTTTTCTCAACCACACCAGTCTGATTTGACCACAAAAATTAAACGAGCATAGCAAAGACGAGAATTGTGAGCTTCTTCACCCCGATACATTGCCGATCTGCTCCATGTACCCACATGCGGGACAAAAACGAGCTTCATCCCGAGGCGCTCCACGCATACCATCGGGAAGCAGGACACTTGTCGCTTGTGCCAAGTGTAAGGAGAAGAAACTCAAGGTAGGAAAATGCGAAGAAGAAAGCTCCAAAGCCATTCAACTGACAGCTCAAGTGCGACAATACTATCTCAGGATGTGGTAACTGTCTCCGTGCTGGATTCGGTCAGTATAGCCTCTTTTTGCCACAGATGTTGATGTTCTAGTTGAGTTACCCGTTTGACACTCAATGACAGTCTGCCTCGTGGAAGATCCAGTAACGAGGACATATCGGCCACGCAATTACGTTGAAGGCTTAGAAAAACGCGTGGCTTTTCTCGAGAACTTCCTAAAGCAATACCATCCAGATCTTACCACTAGCAACTTGTCTGAACATCATGGATCTCAGCCAGAATATTCCCCAACCCCCTTGCCTTCGGCACAGCAACACATTGAACGCTCCAATCATCAACGTGTCAATCAATCGGTCTCATCCAGGACTAAAGACGATAATATCCAGGAAGACGACGACGGTGTCGAAAAGCTGGCATCGAAGGTCGGCCTGCTAAGCCTGAGTGCAGCTGGAGCAGAGCCTCAATACTTAGGCACATCTTCCATCTTCGCTTTCTCTCGGTTGATCAATTCGACTCTCCGTCAAGTGGTGGCTCCCGACCTGGCCACGACCAGGGCGCTCGATACGACAGAGGACCGTTCTTCCTTGCTGCCATTACCGTGCTTGTTACCAGACTACCTCTCAGCCGTTCAATTAAGTAATGTATATTTTCAAAATGTTAATACACATTATCCCTTTTTGCATGAGGCAACCTTTAGGGAATGGGAGTCAATGCTAAGGGACGAGTCAGCGGGGCTGAAAACTTGTTCCCCCTGCTCACTTTCTCTGTTCTTCTTGAATATGGTAGGGTTCCCAGCCATCCTCGGCTTTGAAGTGAAAATTTTCTCTAACTCATCGTGATAGGTTTATGCAGTTGGTGCTTTGCTCTTACCCAATCTCGGATACTCAGCGGAGGTAAGCAGACAGCCCTCTTTACCTGCCCTGAGTTGACAAGTATTTACGTAGAGCTTATATATGTCAGCACTGATGTATATCGACGATATACTAGTTCATGATAATCTGGAAGCTGTACAGGCCATCCTGTGTTGCGCAATATACTCACTAAGGTCACCGACCGGCACTTCCCACTGGTATGGACAGCATGAAAACGAAAGAAACCATCTCTTGCTTATGATTATTTATTTAGGAAACTCGCTGGTCTAGCACTTCGTCAATGCATTGATCTAGGTTACCACCGGAATACGAAACACTTCGCAGCACCTGCAGATGTGCTTAGGGCAGAACTACGCAAAAGAGTATTTTGGTGCGCCTACGTGGTCGAAATTCAAGCTGCCGTTATGTTGGGGCGACCTCTAGGTGTCCCTTACCAAGAAATTGATGCTGAAGTAGGTCTCTGAAATTTTCTGATATAAGTCACAATCTAATGAAATATACGTATAGTACCCGATCGACATTGATGATTCATGCATCACAGATACTGAGCTTGTTGGTACACCACGAACTTCGCCAAGTGATGCACCAAACAACATGACGAGAGCGATTCATACGTTTCGAATTCGACGGCTGTTGAGCCGCATTCATACCCATCTTTACTCAAGACCTGATCCGCGTTGTTTTGGAAAGCATAGCCAGCAGATAGACGTACAGAACATCCGCGCCGAGATCGAAGAATGGCGCGCAGAAATTCCTCCCCCCGCTTCCCACGCCAACGAGGAGCTGGTCTTGTTTACAACCGAAGATTGGTATGATCTAGAATATAACTACACGATATTACAGCTCTATCGTGCGCAGATTATTGATCACCGGGCAGAGACTACGGATGGTGCATTCTTGGATTGTGTCAGGGCCGCAGAGAGTATTTGTCAAAGCTATCGTCGCCAATTCGTGGGGAAACGACAGAGCTGTACCTGGACGGCACTCCACGAGCTTTTCCTTGCAGGACTGACATTTCTTCATTGTCTTTGGACGTCGTCTGCGGCTCAGGACGCATGTGGTTATGGAAAGGCAAACGCAACATGTAATGACTGTATCATCACATTGGTTGTTATGGCTGAACGATGGGACGCCGCTGCGCCTTACCGGGAAATATTTATCGCACTTGCAAACAGAACAATGTCAATGATGAGTGATAGGATCGTTGAAAGTGCTTCTAGGAGCATGACATCGGCTGGTCCCGAGAATCATGACAAGGAGGACGTAACTGAATGGATGAGAATTGTGGCCGATGCAGGTGTGCTTAGGGGATATAATGGGCTTCTGACTGGTCTGACAAGGGATTGATTTCTCTCTGAAGTAGTAAAATGGACAGTTGGAGATCTTCCTTGCTATTTCCAGCAGGAGGTTCATTTACATTGAAGTCGAAATGGATTAAAATGGAATGAGATCCTCTTCTAAAGCTCATTATTGTTGTTTTGCCCCTTGAACGAAAGATGTCGAAACATTTGACTATGCAAGGCCTTGAAACCAATAATAGATTATGATGAATTATAATTACCAGACCACAGCGCCCCCAGACTTTCTGAAGTTCTCTTCTGATCCGGCTGAGCCAATGTTCTCGGGGTAACGTTTACAGATCTTGATCGGCCTCATAGCGCACTTTTTGATCATTTCTCTCACTTCGTCGATTGCCTCATGACCCGTGAAGATTAATAATACCTCGTTACCTCCATGCTAATGAAATTTGAGCTTCCCCACCGCAAAAATGCTTGGCAGGTTGCACCAATGTGGTGGCCTGCTAACTCCTTATGAGGTGTTACAGTCAGGCATTCCCTTCGGGGGCGTGTGTTGTAAATTGTTACAAATAACCATCATGATCCTACCTATACTAACAAGCCCCGAAAGCGAATCACACAGCTGTCATATCCATTCTTTGTTTTTACGTTTCCCCCTTCTTTGAATTTTTCTTCCTTCTTGTTCAGCAGGATGGGAATGCTAGAAGACGAATGGAGAATATCTGCCGAATTCGTAAAACCCATGACCTGCGTGGCTCCAAGGTTGCGATGGATCAGTTAGGGCTAGGTTCCATAACCCTAAAACGTATATGCATGTTCAACCAGCACGTGAGTAAGCATTAGAGACAGACTTCTCCAGCTGATAGTACAAAGCTGCCCAATATTGGTCCTATCTATCGATTCCATGCAGGCATACAGCTATATTGCACGATGACTTAGTATGGCTAGTGATTATGGTGCCATTCCTTTTCTTTGTCCAACCCCTCAGTGTAGCAGAGACACGCAGCGCTAGTACGACATTCCTACTTTTAGCATCAAGATAGCGGCATGCACTAAAATTTTATGTTGGTATTGGGGGAAGAATCCATGTTGACTGCGCCCCCCCGTCCAACATTGCTGAATGTACTGGAGTTTTAGTACAAGGCCCAAGAGTGGACTGCGCCGCCCCATACACCTTCGATAGTAGTACATACTACATACATCTGTGCTGATAATCCAAGGCTCTTGCTGCTTTTCGTTATCTCCCACGAAACGTGAATGGTAATAGAGTAGAGCGCGCTCTGGTGTCCCAATACAACCGCCTCCCGGAACCAACAGGAATCTTCCAAAAAAGACTGTAAGAATAATGAGAAATGTCGTCCCAGCATTTGTACACACTAGCAGATCAACTCGGCGCATTCGATGCTGACATCGATTTGGACCTCAAGAGTACTCACGAAATTGTAGAGAAACACGGTGATAAAGAACTATTTACATACTCTGCTTTGAACTCGCCAAATTTCTCAGAGGCAGGCACTCCGCCGATCGAGTCAAGCTCGCGATGGACGATAGGATGGGTTACGCCCAGCGCGATTCTGAGCTGTTTCTTGTCTGGTAAGTTGCAAGTCTAGAGTTAATCGATTCGGTGATGAGTGTTCTGTTCTAACATAATCTTCAGCTGTAACCCTAGCCATAGCTCATCTAGGCCTTTTCCGATGGTTGAATGGACGAGAAGACTACGGTCCACCTTTTGATCAGCCGTTCGTTACAGGGCTTTCGTACTTTTTCGTAAACGGATTCCGATTACTTCTCGCGGCCTCGCTGGGTATCTCGTTTGTTCAGATGGTATGGAAACTCCTCCGCTCACGGCCTATACAACTCGGTGATCTTGATCATTTATTGTCGGTCTTAAGCAATCCACTCCAACTGGGTCGGGTCAGTCTGTTTTGGAAAGCTCCGATTCCATTTCTATGTGCGATTGTGTTTTGGTGTCTTCCTATCGCGATGGTATTTCCTCCTGGTGCGCTCACGATAGAAACAAGAACAATTTCGACAGTATCAGAAAACACAGTTTCTACGCTTAATCCGACCTTTGGATATGGAACATATGACGGCATGTTGGCGGCGGCATTGTGGCAGACTGATAATCTCGGTGCTTATGGGTGAGTATTTCTAGTAAGAGAGAGAGATAGAGAATGAGACATGGAACAACTTGTTTAACGAAGAGACAACAGTGGACCTACCACCATAGTGCGAAGAATAGCAACACAGTCAATCCTCTCAGGGTCATACTTGACCTCGCACTCCCCATGCGGCCAAAACTGTTCATACACCATTGACGTTAATGCACCGACCTTTCAATGCAACGAATCATCCGTTTCTTCTGATCTCTTCAGCTGGGTCAACAGCACTTACCCTCAATTCGATGCTTTCGAATATATATACGTTGCACATGCAAACAGCGCTGCCCTGGTTCAGCCACCATATAACTTCAACTTCCAGCTTGCATGGTCCAATGGTGGTATGTCAGGGACTTTCCAGAATCTAAGCTGTACGACTTATGAGGCTGTGTACACGTTTCACATTGACTATAAGGAAGGCCTTGAGACAGTCACGACGACGAATATGCAGCTGGGGCCAATTTTGGATAGTTCCAACCTCTACACTGATTTTGGGATGTTTCCTCAGAACGAAGGCAATGCCACAGATAATCCGGTGGTGAATGCTACTTCATTAGGGAGCGGGGGAGGCAATGTAACAGATACCAATAGAAGGGCCAATATGGCAGCAATCCAGGACACAGTTGTTGACGCCTTGTCTGGGTATATAGACGCATTGAGTAAGTATACCCTTCGACACTCTAACTGTTTTCATTCTTATCAGTGAATATAGTACTCCACGCCCAACAATCCGCCAACACACTCATCGCCTTGACAGATCTCTACTCCGGCACAACGACATCCCCTACTTTCAACATAACCGAAGAATCAATGCAACACCTACTCCAAAACATTGTCATATCGATGCTCACCCTCAACCAATCGAATACTCTAGCCAACGTCACTGTTTCGGAGAATGTCAACGTATTCTCCTTCAGCAACCCTGCACGCTTAATAGTGCCCTATTTCCTGTCGGCATGTATATCACTCGCATTCATCATCAGCGGTGGACACGCATTGCTCAGTAACGGTATCTCCGCGTCAACGGGGGGAGTATTCCAGACCTTGTGCACGACTCGTGGAAGTGATCGGCTAGGCGATTTGGCTGCAAAGGGGTGTCTGGGTGGGAGGGAGAATGTGCCTGAAGACTTGAAGAATTTGAAGGTTATGTTTGGCGTGTTTAAGAATTCGGATCATTCGAGTAGCACTAAGCCCATGGCTGGGTTGGGGACTGTGGATGAGGTTATTCCGTTGGTGAAGGGGGCTTTTTGATGCATTATGAATAAGCCGGATCGAGCATTTTCAAGCAATCGTAATTGCATAGCTTTTTAATGAACTGGGCGAAAAGATTATCATGAGTGAGAGAGAGATATGTGATTTTGTATACGATTGGGGACCATAGGGCATGATAGATAGCAGAAACAGAGGCTACTATACAAACGTTAAAAAAAGGATATAAAAAATCATCAGAATGTGCTTGTCGCCAATCGGCTTGCTGCATTTCTTGCGTCAAGCTTGTCATCGTCATCCTCCTCTGCAATAGAGCCAACTCCACTGAGAGCGCGAGCCCGCCCATTGCCAGCACCATCACCATTTGCAGCCTCGTCTGCAAGAACGGGCACAACAACCGTGCTACCGCTCATACTTCGGCTGAGACTATCGTTTCGACGGGGCACGCCACTCCATGCGTCGCCCTTGGGACCCTGGCTGGAAGCCAAGCTGGATCGACGAACTGTGGGGTGAGACTCTCGGCCAAGACGGCTGAGTCCACCAGACGAGTCAATTGCTCGGATATCAGGTCGCACACTTTCGAGCAGAGCTAATGTTCGGCGCTCAGCTTCAATTTGTCGAAGGGTATATTCGCGCAGGCTAGAAAGGACGTCACTTGATGTTCGATCAAACCAACGTCGTGTCTCCAGCAACAGGTTCGATGTTACTCTTTGCGTCTTCTTGGTAAGGTATGTTTCCTGTCCAAGAGCTTCATCCAGAGCGCTAATAGCTTCGTCCACTTTATCCGGGCGAACCGATGAGCTACCCTTAAGACGGTCGGCTGCGGCGCGCTTACTACGAGCCGTCTGTTGGGCTTGAATCAGTTCTCGGAGAAGAATATGTCGGTTCGTCAAGGTCTCCTTCACAATGAATGCGTCAGAGGAGTAGTACTCCAACGGATCACCTAGAGTCGTAGCTTCCGCTGTGGCTTGAGCAGCATGGTAGTCACCGGCTGTTTGGATAACGCGACCAAGTTTCCGATAGGCGTTGCTCAACCCAGTGTGGGTTTCCTGTACATGCATGTGTCCGATTTTAACACCAAGGTCAGACTCCGCAAGACCAAGTCCTGCGATACGTTAGAAAGGAATAAACACACGACGAAATCAAAAACGTACCTCTTCTAGCTTTAACCACGCGATCGGTCTTCTGACTGGCGTCTAGGGCACCGAGATAAAACATCTTGACGACTGGGCGCGCATTTTGCAATTCAGGAGTATCATCTGGGGGTGGCGCAAACTGTTTGATAACCTTTCGGCGAACTCCGGTAGCTGGCTGTTTCATTCGCACAACTGGACTATAGCCGAAATCGCTTTCCACAAAGAGCACAATCTCATCGTCATGCACAAGGACGTCATTACTAAACACATATGTCAACCACCTCTGCATCGATGCCTTGACGCGAATTTCATCTTCATCGGTTCCCGCGCCGGCCGGAGTGAGCGGAGGAGGAACAGCGGGTACAATCGCCTCGGGGTTTGAGGATATCAAATGTTCAGATAGTTTCACGAATTCAGAGTGTGTGCGACGTATGTCTCGATATTGCGTGGTTCGAAACTTGGGAATATTGGTCTAAACGCAATTAGCCCGATATCAGTGTTAAAATATTGACTAGAACATACGTAAACATCGAATCGAAGAATTGGATCCTTCTTGCCAGTCCTTTCGAGTGCCGTTATCTTTCCTTGTAGCCTGTACGTCGGCGCAGCCTGTCTCACGTTCTGCCGAGCTCCGGTCTGATAACGAGCGGGCGTCTCTGTCCGTTTCTGCTGCGGCGGAGCCGCCTGGTGTTGCGCATACTCGTGCTCATTTGATGGAACGCTGCGAGGAGGATTCAATGGACCATTCTGTTCAGATACTGCAGCGTGCGCATTCCCCGCATTATGTTCGCTATCGTGGCTATCATCGTAGGGCGACTGGTGCGGAGGTAAGGGCGCAGGGACGACGTCGGCACCATGTCCCGCACCGCCAAAAGTGTCTCTATCAGCACGTGGAGAGCCCCAAGGAGACGACTCCACCGGGTCAGCTGGATCATGTGCTATGGAGGAGTAGTCCATTGTGTGAAATGGCTGTAGATGTTGTCGAGCTGATATGGAGGTGGAACCACGGGATGTTCTATCACCACGGTCCTATCGCACCAAGAGACGCGCAGTAATTGCTCACAATGATACGGTAATATACTGAGAAAAAGCCAGCCCACAGACAAACACCTGCGAAGGAGAGAGGGAATGAGAGCGAGGAGATAGAGCGCACGGAGGCAGAAGCGTTGATTGAGGGTGTTTAGTGCGGAGACACCAGCTCGCAATGACATCGCCTGGTGGGGCCTCGCTGGTCCCTTTTGATTCGCCAATGCTCTCCCTTCTTTCTTCAAAATCTCAACGTCGCTTTCTATGACCTTGATAAACAGTCATGTCAGGACGAGTCATCGAGATATGGTGAAGATATTGGGATAAAAATGCATGTCCCTAATCAAAATATAAGATAATCGATATGGTGACAGCTCCGTTCCTGGGATGGGCCGCTATCCGACCCATCCCCAGGCTGCCCAGACACAATACTTGCAAATATGTATCAAGCAGATTACAATCCTTCAAAAGACCACTTGGATTCTCTTTGAAAGGGCAACATTACCGAAATCTGAGTTCTTCTCCAGTCTGGGGCGATGCAGGTATCGACCTAGAGAAAACTCGAAATATCGGCATTATCGCCCATATTGATGCCGGCAAGACCACCACCACGGAGCGCATGCTCTACTACAGCGGCTTCACACGGCGAATAGGCGACGTTGACGACGGCTCAACAGTTACAGACTTTCTACCTGCAGAAAGAGCCCGTGGAATCACCATCCAATCTGCTGCCATTACCTTCCACTGGCCACCGTTGGCTGCTGATGGGACCTCCAGTGGGCCTAGCTTGGAAGATCTAGAATCCCAGAACCTTCCAAGGTCGAGAGCTTCTCACACGGTCAACTTGATTGATACACCAGGTCATGCGGATTTTACATTCGAAGTGCTGCGGTCATTGCGCATTCTTGACGGCGCAGTCTGTATTTTGGATGGCGTCGCTGGTGTTGAAGCCCAAACGGAAAAAGTATGGCACCAGGCTAGTGTGTACCAAATCCCACGAGTTGTATATGTCAACAAGCTTGATCGCGATGGCGCTGCATTCGGGCGCACGGTGCGTGAAGTAGGCTCGAGACTGCAGGGCTGGCCCGCAGTCTGCCAAATCCCTTGGTTCGAAGGTGGCAATGGACGCTTTACTGGTATTGCGGATGTTGTTTGGCTTCAGGGTTTATTATGGAAGGAAGGCGGTGACGGTAAATCCGTCAAGGTGTTTGACCTAGCTGGTTTGGAAAATGAGGATAAAAGACTCGCCGAAGAATTGAAACGAGCTCGAGTGGCTTTGGTCGAACTACTGAGTGAACATGATGAAGATATGGTCGAGTCGTTTTTTGAGCATGAAGATCATCTAAAGGTTCCGCCAATGACTATACTTAACAGTCTCCGCAAATGTTTGCTTGGCCCGGAATCACAGAAGATAATACCAGTGTTTGCTGGCTCTAGTTTCCGAAACATGGGAGTGCAGCCTTTGCTCGACGCAGTCAACAATCTTCTTCCAGGCCCATCCGAATCAATCGATCCGGAGATCAGTCTTGGAAGCACTAAGGGGTCTCTAGGAAATCTACTAAGCGGAGAGTTAGCTTTACAACAAGAAGCAAAGACCGCCGATATTACGAAATCAAAGCAAAAGAAGAAAACGGCAATTATACCGGCTTCGATAAACACGAAAGAGCTGGCTGCTAATCTGGAAAGCTGTGCATTGGCATTCAAGGTCGTGAGCGACGCCAAGCGTGGAGTTCTTGTCTATGTTCGTGTCTACTCAGGATCCCTCAATAGGCACTGCCATCTATACAACACCAATCTTCACGTCACAGAGCGAGCTCCTCGTCTTTTCAAAATGTACGCTAATGACGCTGTTGAGGTCGACTCCATACCCGCCGGTCATATTGGTGTTGTATCTGGACTGAAACATGCCCGTACTGGAGACACCCTCATTTCATGCGTTGGAAGCAAGATGACCCCTCCTGAACCGCTGAACACTCTTCAACTGCGTCCTATCGATGTACCGCCTCCTGTCTTCTTCGCCAGTATTGAACCGCACAGTCTTAGCGAAGAGAAAAATATGCGAGAAGCTCTAGCATTACTTTTGCGAGAAGACCCTAGTCTTCACGTTACCGTAGACGAAGACTCCGGCCAAACACTGCTAAGCGGCATGGGAGAATTGCATTTGGAAATTGCTCGAGACCGACTAGTCAACGACTTCAAAGCCAAAGCAACCATGGGCCGAATCGAGATTGGATATCGAGAATGTGTACTTGGTCCATCAAATCCGGTGACCAAGATTTTTGATCGAGAAGTTGCAGGCCGAAAAGGAAAAGCTGGATGTACAGCAGTCGTCGAACCATACGATCCGGAGTCGGACTCCGATGAGATAACCTCTGATATCATCTTCGCAGAAACCGTAGATGGAAATCGAATCATCATTTCCGCTCCGGGGATAAACATATCTACAGACAAGCGGGGCAAAGAAGAGAGTTCAAATCTCCCACCACAGCTAGATGTGAACTCGTTCCGAAATTCGCTGTACAACGGCGCGCTGTCTGCATTTGCGCGTGGCCCACAGTTCACGTTTCCGATGCATAACACAAAAGTAACGCTGACATGCAATGTCGTCGAGCACCTTTTCGGTTCAGAGAGTAGCGCTTCAGCCCTCTCTGCTGCAGCTAGGCTCGCGACTCAAGGCGCATTGCGTGACTTAGCCACAGGCCAAAACAGCGGTACTTGTATGATGGAACCAGTCATGAACGTAATTATTAGCGTCGACGAAGCCAGTCTCGGTGCCGTGGTACATGACATTTCCTCAGCGCGCGGCGGGCACATTATCTCCCTCGACGAAGAGATGCCCATCTCAACCTCTATCGACAACACTAGTCCTGAAGATGAACAAGTCGTCATTGACGTCAATAAAATCTACGCACCGCCAGACCCCTTCGAAACACCCACTGTGGCAGGCGGATTACCCATCCAGGCACCTGCCAACCAACCCCGAACAATCACTGCAAAGGTGCCATTGAAAGAAATGGTTGGTTATTTGAAACATTTGCGCAGTTTAAGTGCGGGGAGAGGCACGTTTGTGATGCACGTTGATCGATTTGAGAGGATGTCTGCGCAGAGACAGAAGGCGGTTTTGGCTGACTTGCACAGGTAGATACCTACTGCTTGACTGGAATAAGCTACATCCTTCATGTACATTACCTTATACTATATCGCACTATTATTGATTCATGTACTATATTACTCGACGAGGACAGAGGGGACAGACGGGTATCGATGCAAACTATATATTTGATATTGATATATCTACCAATCCTCACCCCAATCCTCCTTTTCCTTCGCAGTCCCAGACGTCGCAGTATTCGCACCAACACCCGTAGCAGCCGGCGCCATTGCGCCAACCCTAGCCCCAGCCGCGGCGGTAGTTGAAGTTGGCGTATTCCGCATAGCAGCCGTACCAATGGCACCAGATTGCCGTTTCTGACGAGCAGCCTGCTCCCCGACAGCCGAGAAATCGTCCCAAAAGTCTTGTCGCTCTGGTTGCGCTCTTCGCTGTGCGCCACCGGCTCCTGTCCCTCCTTCGCCCTCGACGAAGCGGTTGAATCGGTCTGCTGCATCGCGGGCACCGACTTGTAGGTTTTGCCCTAGTTGTGCGGCATGTACCCGTGCTTGGGCTGCAAAGTCCGACTCGGCCAGCTGTTCGTTTATTAGCACCGCTATTCATACAGATCACATGAAATAAGGTGACGCACCTGTTTAGCAGTAGGCGCAATATACGTATCATTCATAGTCTTTGCACTCTTCCCAACCGCAGAAGTAAACCATCCAAACCCCTTCGACAAAGCACCAACCGGATCAGTCTGAAAGTCATTCAGACCGGGCACTACACCGCTGCCCTGCGTCGGTCGAGACGTTGATACCGGTACACCGCCTCCAAACCCACCATACTTCCCACCCGCCGAAGGCGCAAGACCATCTGGCCTCGACGCATTTTCGTTACCCATCTTGGCGAAATATGCTTCATTACGCTCCTTCTGTGTTGCTGCGCCCGTAGTGCCAGCGGGTGATACTCTACCTCCTTGTAGCGGCGTACTCGACCTCGACGATATAGTCTCCGTGACCGTCACCGGTGGCGAGACAACCCTCTTCTTCTTCTCACCGGGCACATATTCCACTCCTTCAATCTTAGCCGTCAGCCTATCCTTGTACTCCTCCCCGACTTCACTATCATATCTCTCCTTAATCGTCGAATCTTCGAATGTTCGTCCTTCGGAAATGACGATTGTGTGTTCATCGTAGAAATGTTTCCAGGTATCGTTTCCGCCTTTTTCCATGCGTTGGATTTCGGCGTTCTTGAAGGCGTCCATCGTGATGGAGCGGACGAAGGAGACGTGTACGCCCAGGCCGCGGTGGGTGCCGGCGCAGTTGAGGCAGATGAATATGCCAAATTTGGGTGATGCCTGCATTTATCGCAGACTTGTCAGTGCGACGTTTCTTATACAAGGCCTCACGATTTGGATGTTGGGTCTTACCCATTGCGGGGAGGGTGCGCCGCAATCGCAACAGCGGTCGTTTCCATTTGTCTTTGAGATTTGGAGCAACTAAGTAAACGATGTTAGCAAACAGTCATTACTGACGAGTCTCCAAAATTTGTATGGATGCTGATTATGGTAGTCACGCGCATCATACCTTGGCCCTCGTTTCAGGGTCTACCTCCCACAATTTCGACATCGTGGGCAGAACGAGGTGGCCTCAATTGACCCTGTTGAAAGTACAACTCTCCAGAGATTGCGACAATACAACAATATCGAGACACTCTTCAGTTGAATCCTGCTGTTTGTTTTTATTCGGGCTCGTGTCGTATCAAGGTGGACTTGTGGTTAGGTACTTGATTCGTTCCAAGATAAACGGACAATGGCTTGTCGGGACCATTGCGGTTGGCCGAACGCACCTGGCCCGTGCTTCGTCATACATGAACACATTCATCATGTTTACACTTTACGATGTACATTCAGGGCGACGAATAGCCTAGAGCTAGATTTATATACCATATAAGAATTGAATTGTTCATAGATTGATAGTCATGGCGACTGGCTTCAAGTATGCTTAGCCTTGAGTCGCAAAGTATCAAACACGCAGACACAAGTATTAAGCATACTTTCCTTACTTCTTAAAATATGCGGCTGATCATAAACTATTGTTCTTCAGCGTCAAAGCCTTGTAATCATCCCTGGTTCAATGATACTGTCATTTAAGCAGTGGCTTCTTCGGCGGCGGGCTCAGCAGCCTGCTCTTCACCTTCACCGGGAATGATATCTTCCTTGCCGGGGCTGTCGATAGCAACCTTGACGGCGATTTCACGTCCTTCGATTTCCTTTCCATTCATTTCTTGGACGGCCTTCTCCTGGAGAGCCTCGGATCCCAAGGTGACGAAACCGAAACCACGGCCCTTGCGGGGCTCGTTGCGGGCCTGAAGTTTCTTGATCATGAAGCGAGGAATAGGGCGAAGAGCGATCTTGGCGGACACAGGTTCGTAATCCTTGAAAAGTTCCTTGAGCTGTATAATGAATTAGCCTCGTTTAAAGTCGACTTAGGGTACGGAGACAAACCTTCTCCTCGTCAAGATCGTAAGGAAGGTTGGCAACCATCACCTTTGTCTTGGAAGGGATACCATCTTCGGGGGGACCACGCTGTTTCTGAGCACGGGGAGCACGGGCCTTGGCTTCTTTGGCGGCCTCATTCTCGGTAGCAGCTTCGGTCAAAGGAATAGCCTGGCCAGGAACGTTGGTGGGCACAGCAGCCTCAGGCTCGTCATTTTGCTGTAAATACGACTAGAGTTAGATTATAAACCGAAAGCATATTTCGTGCGGAAAACATACAGCTTCAGTGCGGCGGCCACCGCGGGCGAAACGGCCACCACGACCGCGGCCACGGCCACGTCCACGGTTAAGGCCCCTCTTGCGACCTTCTCCACCGCTAGCACCTTCACCGCCACTCATTGCACCTTCCTTGGCTTCGGCGGGTTCAGGCTTGCGAGCAACTTGAACGGACACCTTGCGCTCAAGGATTTCTTTGCCAGAGAGCTGTTGAATAGCGTCCTGGGCCTCATGGGCGGTGGCCAGGTCGACAAAGGCATATCCAACGGGGCGGTTGGTACGAGGGTTCACAGGGATGGCAACGCTCTCACTAAAAAATTTTGAAATGTATTAGTCTCTTTTTGATGGAATAGACGTAGTAAGTTGATGGAACGGGCCAGCCAAGCAACATGTGTCATGTGTTATGTGTGATGGTTACGCAGCATGTGTCATGCCGTAACCATAACGAATAGGCCGATTGTATAACATTCCTCAAAAATAGCAGCGACTTACATGGTGTAGCCGTTAAAAAACTCCTTGAGCTGCCCCTCAGTGGTCGCGTATGCGAGATTCCCAATATAGAGCCGACGACCCTCATCAGCACTGGCAGCAGCGGCGTCGACGTGGGCGTCGCCGTTGGTGTCGTTGAGGGAGGATTGAGCCRGGGCGTCGGCGAGATTGTCTGCGGCAGTAGACATGTTTAGGCTGAGGACACGGGGTCGTTCTTTTGAAGGTATTGAGAGTCAAGCACGAATAACAGACCGATGTGTGGAGGGAGGACTCAGGTAGCGTGAGGCTGCCTTTTGGGTGGGATAGATTGACTTGAGGGGAAAGGAAAAGGGTAGCTTAGTGCCCTAGATGGAAGGTTTGGAGATCGAGGTTGGAGAAGTGAGGAACAACAGTCAGAGTAGGTGATGTCTGGTTGCGAGGGAAGTCGCGGGCCGGGGTTGGAGAAAGGAGAAGGAGGTGGAAAAGGGCAGCAGCGACCCAAAATGGCACTAGGCCTGTTTGGGCGATATGTGTTCGCCTTGCTGCCTGGCGGCTTTGTAGCTTCAGAGCTTACTTTGACGCCTGAGGTCTCCATCAGACAAGGTTGCTCCACCACAACCATTCTTCAAGGATACATATCTTTATTATCTCGACGCAAAGACATGCTTTGACTTGATTCCGCACAAAGCATTCGTACCATCCCGTCTTCGCAGTCGAGGATTCAAAAATTGGTAGGACAGCCCAGTGTCGCACAAGGAATCAGGTGGTCATTGAAGATTACCTACTGGTTCAATGTACTCGGTACGGATAGTATAGAAACCCTCCTTCAGGCCATCCGTTACACGGGCTATGTCTGATTGACTCCTAAGATATGAGGCATCTCGCCGCTAGTTCCAAGGTTACTCACGACTCTCGTATTCCTACAGTATTATGATAGGCTAGCACAGGTCAATCTTCAGGTTGAGCCTACTGCCCTGCCAGTAAATAGTGGCTTTGTCGTAAGGACGTGGTGAGGTAATCGCGCAGCGGTTGAAAATGCGTTCTAGGCCGCTGACAAAACATTGTCACACCAACAGAATCAGAAAATATGATATCGAAAGCATCACATGAAAAAAGCAGAATTCGGTCATATTACAAGTTCGGGACTGCTTATGAAGGGTTATAAAGCTCAATAACAAGCATTCTGTTATGTATGTACGTACATGCAGGCCATATGTTAGAACGTGTGTCTTGTTGAGTGGATGACGAATAGGCAAATCTTGAAAAATGGGCTCTCGATGACGTTTTGTGGTTGCGCTGTCGATTGGTTGCCCGGGTGTTTAGGAACCTATTCTTGACTGCTTGTACTAGTGTACGTACTAGGCCGTACCGCCCGACTAGCAGTCGCCACAGACTGTGATTTTTTCCCGCTGTAGGCCTAGCCTCCAGGCACTATCTGATCTAGCGTGGACAGCCCATTGGCCGCTATCTATCGCCCAATCTCATCCCAAATCTAACTTCTACTCTTCTCTTCTTGATCTTCTCTCTCCACGTTGTCGGTCTCTTCAGCAAGATCAATTCTCCATCATGGATCGAATTGAGCGCGTCGAGGGTTCCGCCAGCAATGGGGGATCGAATCTCCTGCGGCCTCCTTCCCAGGAAGCCTTTCCTGCCTTCCCTGAAGAAACCGGCTCTCAACAGCAACCCTCTGCGAGACCTCCACCCCGTTTAAGACACCGAAACCGCCAGCCGAGTATCAGGCTACGTCGTCTCTCGTCCGCCTCGAGTCTGGGACAACAAGAGACGGCCGGATCCACTGAACAATTTCCGCAACTTACCCCGCAAGCAACAACAGAGGAGAGGAGCAGTATCCCTCTGACCGAACAGAGTCAAGATGACTCATGGGAAGCGAACAGGCGGCGCAGCAACTCGGAACCGCGTCCTGGCCGTTATTCATCTCCGCCGATCATCGTGACTTCCGGTATACCAATTTCTCAGCAGCACCCGATGTCCCCGGTTAAAGAAGAGACTGGATCTATGTTTAGGCCATCTACGGATTTGAATAATGCCGAACGATTGGCGGCATTGCGGGAAATCTCACCTACTGCCAGCGGTGATGGTGGAATAGCACCACAAGAAACGTCAGCTCCAGAAGAGTTCCCGACTGTTGCAACACCACGACCGGGAATGCTGCGTCGGGCCAGTGCCGCAGCATTATCAGCAATAGGACGCAATCGCGCTTCCACAGTAGCCGGTGGTGATCCTGCTCAACACTCCCCTGCCCCGGATGAATACGATTCGCGCATTGTTGATTTTCTAGATGTGATCGGTAAGTTCTGTTCGCCTGATATGGCTGTTTGTTTCACGTAGTTAACCACGCTGCAGACCCTGAGATTTCGACACTGTCTACGCTTACCAACGTGCAAAACTCGCTGTTCATTCCTGATCTTGGCCCCTTGCTCAATCGTATGCCCACATACACTCTCACGCGAAGGCCTAGTAAAGTGGCCGAAGGTCTTGATGCTACACAGAGAAAGCCAGAGCCAGCCGTGGCAGAGGAGCCTTTGCAGACCATATCGGAACGCCCATCGGCAGTAACTTCGATGACTTCTGCATTGGGACCTGATCGGTTCGCTATCCTCCCCGACGGAGTGACTCTAGACGGCTGGTCTCAAGAGGAGATAGAGGAATTGAACGACCATGTCCGGCACATGCTTCATTCCCGTCGGTCAAAGTTCAAGCGTGCTATGAAAGGTTTTGGACAGTATGTTAAACGACGTAAGTGTTCCATACTATCAGCTATGATCGGGCCATGACTAACAACAGAACAGCACTTGGATTTCTGGTTACCTTATATGCAACTTTGATTACTCTTTTTGGACTTGCTTGGGTTCTTTTCTTGATCGGTACGTTTTCATTTCCCCTAGGAAGGCTTGTCATTAGCAACATTCTAATTCGGTTCAGGTTGGATTAACGTCGGCGGAAAACAACTATATGTCATTAATATCATTGACAACGTGCTCGTGGCACTCTTTGCCATCATGGGTGATGGTCTGGCACCATTCAGAGCCGTCGACACCTACCACATGATCTTCATTGCGCATTACCACCACCTTACCTGGCGCCTTCGCAAAAAGCGCACTCTTCCCGACCTCGCCGACAAAAATGMCCTCCCATCCCGCCGAGCCGAAGACGTCGTCGATGCTGAGCGCGACGGCGACCCTGCTACTACTCCCATAGAAAAAGGACCACTAGAATACTCTATCCTTACACCTCTTCAACAACAACGCCTTGAACACCATCAACGCAAATTTGCAAAATCGCATACCTTCTACAAACCCCACGAAACCGTCACTCACCACGCATTCCCACTCCGAATGCTAGTCGCCATTGTCGTGATTCTCGACTGCCATTCCCTTTTCCAAATCGCACTGGGCGCCTGCACATGGGGTATAAGCTACCACGTGCGCCCCTTTGCGCTTACAACCGTGATTCTCTGCTGTTCCATCACCTGCAACATCACAGGCGGCGTGTTGATCTCCATCGGCGACAGAATCACACGTAAAAAGGACGTTGTCGAACGCATGGCTCGGCAAGGTCTGACGGGCGAAGCGATGAAGAAAGTCGAAAAGCGCAAGATGAAGGAAGTCGAGCAGACGCGTAAATCGATGGATATCGCAGAGCCGTATCCTGATACTTGACCTAGCCGCGGAATTATGTAAAACTATCTCTATTTAATGATTATGTACTTTTAGCTTAGTTCACTTTTTGTTTTGATTGTTCATTTTTTTTTTGTCGCTTTTTGGTTCTGCCGTATAGAGAGGCTTTGAGCTTGGCTCGATGATACCCATGATGAATACATTACTATATTTCGACCTTTTGGCAATTGCATCACAATAGAACTTGGTTATAACAAATAGAGGCCCTCCCTAGTTCTTACTTTTCTATCTAGAAGTTTCACCTAATATAGAACCGTAGTGCACTATCCTTTTACATTTGTCTATGGTATACGTTGATACGGAGTTGAAGTAACACGAGAAATTGATCATATACCTATAGACGCACTGTTTTTGTTACAGCCAGATTTTTATCATAGACCGAGGTCCAAGGGTACAAACTTTTAACTATAATAAATGTTCCGTTGTTCGACTGAACTACACTGGATAAGTACATACATAGTACAGAACGAAAGCATAAAGCACTTTTATCCAACCTGAAGTCCTGGAAGAGATTCTGGTGGAAGCAATAAGTCGATACATCAAGTCGTAAGTTGTAATAACCCTAAAATCTAGATAAGCTGATTGCATAAATCAAGCAGCATCCTCGTCATTTCCACTTGAATGATTTCGTTCGTCTGGGCCTCCTGATGATTCCTGTTCGTCGCCTTGTTGCAACGTTGGCGTTGTGACCGGACTATCCATAGCAGCCGCAGAAGAGGATCCGGCTGCATTTCTCCTGGTTTTGGCTCCCTCTTTCAGTTTCTCCCATCTGTCGCGGTATCTGCCCAGCACAGACTTGAGCTTTTCGTTCTCGCGAACGACCTTCTCGCGTTCCTTCTCGGAGCGTTGAATGAGTTCCTCAAGCTCTCTGATACGCTTTTCGTGGTTGTCTACTGTTGAAGGCACATCATTTGACGGGTGTGGCATAGGCAGTGGCATCGCCGATGATGCTGTTGGGGACGAAGTGTTATGTTGGTGGTGCATTGCTTTTAAAGACTGCTGAAGAGCCATGGATGACGATTGAGCGTTCACTTCCCACATGTGGAGACGCTTGGAAAGTTGGTCAGATAATTGCTTCAAGGCTTCATTTTCCAAGCGCAACTCTTCCATTGTCTTGGTGCCTTTCTCTGAACCTCCACGCGCCAATCTCGCTCGGCTACCGGACAAGCTTTGTCGCAACTCTGGCGAGGACGGAGTTTCTCTTGCATCTACGAAGTCTTCGTCCCCATCATCAACACTGCCACGTCGAGTATCTTTCTCTGCTCGAGACAGGATGCCGGCATAGGAAACAGTACCGCCTGTTGTAGGTACAACATAGAAGGACTCTGCGCCGCTGCTAGGCATGCCTCCGTTTGCCTCTCGTATAGCCCTCAAAGCAGCACGCGAGAACAGACTGTTGATATCTGGCTCGGCAGATGCAGTCGGACGTTGCGAAGTTGCATTATGACGGTCAATCTTCGTTTCCGCAGGAGACTTTTGCTTAGCGGGATCGGAAGTATCAGCACCCAAAGGCAGACCCGCGAATGCTAGAGGTGCAGAAAGCTTGGAAATCAGCCCTTCAAAGCTCGAGTAAAACTTTTGAAACGTTTCGTCGGTCGTAGAAAAACGTCCCCGATTTTGCTCTGGTTCGTGCGCACCTGCCGGAACAACCTGCCGCGATGTGATCTCAGTTGGGCTGATGGATGGAGATGCCCATGATTGTCTCGGCGCGCTTGATAATTTACTTGCTCGTTCGCGTAGCCTTCCTTCGCTTGTCTTGGCTCGAGATGGCGAATCCGACAACTGGCCTCCAGCAGGCTGGGCGGAAAGAGTTGCCGAAGCGGGAGAAGCTCGTCGAGGATACGCGGGTATGCCTCGAGCAGATGCTAGGTTACTGGCGATGGAGGAGGAGTCTCTTTGTAACTGGCGATGGTGTCCAGGAAGCCTCGGTGGCTGCTGTAATGAATCATTTGTAGCTGCAGATATTGAACTACTTATTGGATTCGCCTTTGATGGGGTGTTGACGTCGGCCTGAGGCTCCTTATTACGAGATTGGTCAGGAGCTGCTGTGGACGGTTCCGGCGATGAGACACTAGCGGGATGTTCGTGTTGGGACCGTAGAAGTATGGCGAGTCTTTTGTGTTCTTCTTCAAGTAGTTTCAAAGTTCGTAGGGCCTGCCAATTTCAGTATCAGTTCCGAGGCCCTCGCAAAGCGTATGAAATGTTTTGAAGTGAACCACATACATAAGCGTCTAAGCAGTGTTGAGACGCAGTTGCGAATTCACCCGCTGCCAAATCATGTTCCTCACTCGCAGCAACTGGATTCGACTTTCGAGTCTCAAACATAGCATTTCGCGCATGAGTATGCGCCTAGTATTGCTACTGCATTAGTTATGAGGCTTCTTGAGAGCAGGCACTGGGACATACCAATGTCAAAGGCACACTCTCCATTTTAACGACTTTCAGAGATTCGCAATGTCACAGTTTGTCGCAGGTCATCAAGAAATGTTATTATATATAAGGACGTCGTCGATAAACTACGTAGCGATGCAAACGGAGGTAGTTACATTGAGAGCGCGCGGGGAGCTTCGGCGATGTCACCGCTGCGGGAACTGAACAGTCAAGCAAGTCAAGCGTATAATTCAAGGTGGAAGTAGACGTGAGAAAGGACCTAAGTTGTACAGGCCATGTGTATGGAGTTATGAACAATAGAGGATCAAAAATGCTAGTTGGACATAAACAGCAAGAGGCAGGTGACCTGCTGCTGCTTCCTCAAATCTCAGGTGTCAACATGTCATCTCTGTGAAATCTCCCTAAATGGGGCCAATCACGTTGCTTCAAGCGCCACCCTTCTCCGCACCTTCCCAGCCCCCAGTTTCACCTTCCCCTAATCGGATCTCGATGTTCAAGTCGCTCTTTCCTATCTGACCAAATCGACCATCTTCCTTCCTTGATTGCAAATCTGCTACTTCGAAAGCATCACAATTCATACAATGCTGACTTAAGCATTCTCTGTTTCTTTCACTCCATACGAAAGCTTGGTCTCGTTCATCAAAGGGTGGATCTTAGCAGCCTAGCCTAAGCCACAAGCTCACTAGCTTCAAATCAGCCCCAGTCTCGAGAACGAAAGGGCCAAAGCTGCTGGTCAACTCGAGCCCAGACGACGGACGCTGTCGTCACCCCAGTTTAACACCCGCCTCACGTCGTCGCCGAATGCTTTGAAAACAGACACTCATTTTACATTTCCTTCCAACTACAAACTGTACTCTCGCTAAATTGTCCATCTCTCGAACCTCTTCAGATACCACTTATCGATCGATTCTGTTGCCGTCGACTCGGCACGGCGGGGAAAATGCTCCAACACTAAATCAGAGCTCTTGACAACGTACGCATAAACAAGATTGTCTTGGAATTAGGTCACGATACGACATCAGCACATGGGAATTGTGTTAAAGTAGACCGACTGTTCGTCCCTGTTCCGTATCCTGTCGCAATCTAAGCGTCGCTCGCGAACAGATCATGGACGGCGCTCAGGATTCTTCACCGCAACCAACTGGCATTAAGAAGGTGTTTTCGAGACAAAACCGACAAGAACCAGAGAGCAATGCAGGCTCTATTCGGAGCAATGGGCGTTCATCAATTGAATCGACTCCGGAGAAGCGCCCATCTACAAGCGGAGAACTAGGACAAGAAGACACTTCCAGCCGTTTTTCCAAGTTGATGGGCAAAGGGAGGAAGAAGAAGAATGATAAAAAAGCAGGCTCGATTGCGTCTGCTGACTCTATCATTGAATCTAGCACGACCGGTGCCGCTTTGTCATTGCGGAACGAAGTCTCTGTTTCGGGATCATCACCGAACAACAGTACTCACGCTCTAGATCAGTCTACGGGTAGCGTGAATCTTCTGACTGATGACTCTGAACCAGACCAGTGAGTACTTCTATAAGCACAAATGAGGCTATTACTAACGGAAACTTTATCTAGAACGCCGCCGCTTCTCTCACGCGATTCTCACGCAGGATATTTGACTGCTTCTTCACCACTGATAACGACGACGGCGGTCGATGATAACAATGACGAGCCAAAAGAGGCCTCGCCGATACACTCTGCCTCGTCGTCGAGACGACATAGCATCTCTGTTCCACAGGCTTCATCGGCTTTCCTCGGCACAACCATATCCGGCCCTGATCCAGATATTTCGAAGAAGAGGAGTGTCTCTCCCGCACGGCGTTTGAAAGATGCCCTGAAGCCCTCTCAAGGCAAGAAGAGTCCTAGTATCAGTCCAGATCGAGAATCTTCACAATCTATCGGAAGCCAAGGAAGGAGAAGCCAAACTCTACTTGGAGGCCTGAGCCGAAGTAGTAGTCTTTCGGAGAAGCGATCTTCTAAGAGATCGGCCAGCCCGCCGCCGCCTTTACCAAAATCTATCTCGACAAACTTTATCGAAACAAGCACGTCCCAGCTAGGTGATTCGGTAGATCCCTTGAAGACACCCCCGACCACGGATTCTTTGGGAGTTGTCACAACAGTGACTCCACCAACTCCTACTGCTATCTCTGGGGAATTCTCCCCTCGTCTCACACAATCACCTGAGACCGTAAAATCCGAAAATGCGGACTTTCCTCCGGGAACGGTTGTGAGCCCGTCAGGCAATATGATCTCACACCGCCGGGTGCGTTCCGCAGGCACTGTCACTCATTCTCCAAGCAAGTTATCACAAATCACATCCTTGACGCCTATGGCTGAGGAGCCTCGAGGAACAAACTCACGGTCTCCCTCTGGTGCTCAGAGCGGCTTCTTCTCTTCAGTCTTTTCGGCAGCTCAAAATGCAGCTTCCACCATAAGTAATAGCCTTGGCGCCCAGAACAAGAATCGCACCACAAGTCAATCGGTTGACCTAGGCAAAAGTTCAACGGAGTCCGCCAATGAATCGTCGGAAGATCAAAAGGAGGCAATTAGGCAGGCTGTGGTTGAAGGTCTCCAGCAGGAGAAACAAAAGGAACTTGCTATTAATACCCTTGGAAGCGGCGATTTAGATTTCAGTCATCTTGATATGGATCCTGCGGCAGGCGGTATTGTAACAACAAAAGATGGAGTTGTAATTACTCAGCCAGACCTTCCTGCGGAGTCACGCTCGTCTGCCATCGCAGCAAAGAGAGATCAGATGTCAGCACGTATTGAAGACTCAAGAGCAGCTAGAGCTGTATCGATGGCATACGAGAAGTCGTCCGATCCCCCGTCCACTACGGTAGCTTCTACCTCCGATGAAGCCAGCGATGTCAAAGTCAAACCCAGCCCCATGCCATTTGAGGGAGGAGGAGAACAGACCCCTCCAGGAGGTAGCATATTTGAAGGCGACACCGGTGGTAGTATCAAACGTACTGGCAGCGTACGTAGCCGGCTGGCTCGACGGCATCGCGGCTCGTCGGGCGCTACAGGTTCAACAATCGGTGCCATTGGCCTTAGCGTAGGGTCATTGGGCTTGCCAAACGGCAATTCAAGCGTGCCACGATTGACTGGATTTGCTGTCGCAAGCAAGAAGCGCAATCGTGACTATCATCAACTCTTCCGCAGCGTGCCAGAAGATGATTTCTTGATCGAAGATTACAGCTGCGCTTTGCAGCGCGACATCATTCTTGCAGGCCGTATTTACATTTCAGAGGGCCATATTTGTTTCTCCAGCAATATTCTCGGATGGGTCACTACACTTGTCATCAGTTTTGATGAGATTGTAGCAATCGAGAAAGAGAATACCGCCATGGTGATTCCGAATGCTATTGCTATTCAGACTTTACATGCTAGACACACATTCCGCAGTTTACTCAGCCGCGAGGCGACATATGATCTGATGGTCAACATTTGGAAAATCAATCATCCCTCATTGAGAAGCTACCTCAACGGCATGCGGATCGATGATGGACTCGGTGACAAGACTGAGAAGGCGAATGAAAGCGATGTTGCCAGTGAAGTAGCCGATGAGGATGAAATATACGATGAAGATGAGGACAACGATGGTGACAGCTTGGTTGATGGTGGCGATGAAAGCGTCAATGGCAGTGAATCTGTTGCGCCTGCCAAACAATTCAGTCGGGAGACCACAGGTCTGACCAGTCAAGCAACCGAATCGACCGTTGCATTATCCACAGCCGATGGGAAAGCAAATGATAAAGGTGCAACAAATTCTAGTGATGGAAATGGGTTCCCTGGCCCTGCTACTCATGCCCCCACAGAGTACAATGACCCAGCTGGTCGGTATGACAAAGTCATAAAGGAGGATATCATTCCGGCCCCTCTTGGAAAAGTGTATAATCTGATGCTCGGGCCGGCATCTGGTGCTTTCTTGACTAAGTTCCTGATCGATGATGAGAAGAGCATGGAACTACAATTCGAAGATAAAAAGGGGCTGACTGAACCTAACAAGACTCGGCAATATTCATATATCAAACCACTATACGGCGCTATAGGACCGAAGCAAACGAAGTGCATTAGCACTGAACAACTGGATGTGCTCGACCTGGAAAAGGCAGTTCTTGCGACACTCACCACTCAGACGCCTGATGTCCCCAGTGGTAATGTGTTTTGTGTCAAGACCAAGTACCTGTTGACGTGGGCTGCGAATAATCAAACCAAATTCCTCATGACTTGCACGATTGAGTGGTCTGGCAAAAGTTGGTTGAAGGGTAAGAAAGACTATGCTGTTGTTGATGTCAGAGGCTAGACTAACATGATTATCAGGACCTATCGAGAAAGGTGCCATTGATGGACAAACGACATACGGAAATGATCTCCTCAAAGCTTTGAAGACAGCAGTCGCAGCTCGCGGAGCCGGCACATCCAAAGGTGGTAAGACTTCCAAGACCCGTCGGAAGCAGTCAGCAGCTGGCGCTACTAAATCTGCGGCTGCGGCTGCAGCCGCAAGTGCTGCACTGGATGCGAATAAGCGAGACACTCAAGGATGGGGCATTTTCGAGCCTGTGCACGGTCTTCTTGGCCCCGTGTTTGGCATCTTCAAACCCCTCTGGAGTGCCCCCGTTGCTATTGCAGTGATTGCCTTTTTGGTGTTTACACTTTATACAAGAGGAATGGGCCCCTCGTCGACAGCTTCCTCCGACTTGAATTTCCTCAGACACGCGTCATCCCAACGCCTGGCCGCGTATGAGGAGATATGGCGAGCTGAGGAGAACGAACTCTGGAGATGGCTTGAGGATAGGGTCGGCATGGAAGGCATCAATTTTCCAAACAGCAACAGAAATTACAACACGGATACAAAAGCGCGGAGGCGAAATCTCAAACGCCACGGTCAATCTCTAGCTTCTAAGATTGATGAAGAACAGATCTCGCAGCGGGAAATGAATTACGCCATAAAGGTTGTCCGTGATCGTCTCGACAGGCTTGAGGAGATTGTCAGCACTCATGACGACCAAAACCGCGCTTCTGAGGCTTAAAATGATAAGGCATCTAACAATTGTATATACAGCGTGCATTGGTTTTTTCTCTGATATTTTCCTTTTTCTTTTAATTTTTCGTACAACTCAGGTCGGTGACCAGAGTCTTGCTGTCTCTATGTTTTTCTTTGTTGATATATTTCTTTTCGGTGTGAGGAGTTAGCACTGCAAATGTCTCATATTCGAGCAATGCCCGTTTTTCAATTTTATGAAGAACTCGCTTCACACACTCTGTATCTAGACGCGTTGCATTCATGTCTTTCGAGAGCTTTCTGAGCGAACATGTCTGTATACCTTTAGCTAGTACCTCACATTCCCTCCCATGTTCAACTGATGTGGTCATTTCTTTCTCCATCCTGTCTGCTTTCCAAGAGGCTTTGTATAGCATCGTGACAATCTAACATTTCGAATCTCAATAGCTGCATGTAGTGTATGACAACTTTTAAAAGTCTCATGATACATAGAAGGTCGCATTACCCCTGATATCCAGAGAACTGCTTCCAACAAGAACATTGAACGCACCAGGCTCAACCACATATTGCATATTGACATTCCAAAGTCCCAAGTCACTCACATCAAGCGAAATCTGTACGGTCTTCTTTTCACCAGCCCCAAAAACAACTTTATCGAAGCCCTTGAGTTGCCTATTGGGGACAACGACAGATGCGTACTCATCTACCACATACACCTGGATAACCTCTGTGGCATTTCGAGAGGTGTCCTCATTTGTAACATCTACGCTCACTGTCACCGTATCCGTAGCAGTAACGTTGGTCTTGTCAAGATTCACAGTCCCGTAGTTGAAGGTCGAATAACTCTTACCATACCCAAACTCGTACCATGGCAGAGGTGATCCAATAACATACTGATGTCCAAAGACAATAGTATCATTCTCCGTGATGAAACCGGAGTCACCGATTGATCGACCGGAGTTCAAATAATCGTAGTATATAGGTAACGCACCCACGGAGCGCGGGAAACTGACAGAAAGCTTTCCAGAGGGGTTGTAGTCACCAAAGAGGACGTCGGCGAGTGCATATCCGCCTTGCTCGGACGGATAGAATTGCTGGACGAGAGCTGATGTAGAGTTTGAGATCCACGTTTCGGTGACTGGTTTGCCGGACGAGAAGACGACGACTGTGGGGACGCCGGTGTCTGCGATTGCTTTGACGAGGGGGGCTTGGGCGCCAACGAGGCTGAGGTCGTTGAGGTCGACGTGTTCGCCGGTTCTGAGTCTTTTAAGTACTTGCTCAAGTGGGTGAGAGGGGGTTTCATCACTTACGTTGCGTTGAGTCCCTCCCACAATTGCTCTTGATCTCTAGACCAGGTTCCGACTATGACGACAGCAACATCCGACTTCTTGGCTGCTTCGATTGCTTCATCGAATCCGGACTGATCGTTACTCCAACGCTCGCAGCCTTGTGCGTAGTTGATGGTGGCTTGGTCCCCAACTGCAGCCTTGATTCCATCAAGAGGCGTGACGCCCCTGTATTGGCTTTGATAGACTACATAATCTCCGTACTTAGAGTGGGTTAGCTCGATTCAAAGTTCCACTTAGGAAAAGCAGATACATACGTTCATAAAGCCGTGAGCCATTGGACCAATGACCGCAATACTACCACTCTTCTTGAGAGGAAGGGTGCTATTGTGATTCTCAAGCAACACAATAGATTCCCGGTCCAGATCCCGCGCGACTTGCAGACTTTCAGGCGTATGGATGAGATCACTCCATTTATCTGCTGGAGCACCCGGGTATGGAGTCTCGAAGAGTCCCATTTCGAATTTGGCGCGTAGAAGTCGAGAGACTGCTGTGTCCACAATAGAAGTTTTGAGTTTGCCGGATGCGACTAGTTGAGGGATTGTCTTGAAGTTGCTGTCAAGCAGAAGATTTGTCTCTTAGCATCATTGAGTCGGACTCCTTTGAGTAGAGAGCTTACAAGGAACCTCCACCCATTTCCACATCATTGCCAGCTGGAAGCACAGCCAAAGTGACAGCTTCGGAGTCAATTGGCGAGTCCTGGCACAATCTAAAAGCTGAGCATAGCCTGTCAGTTGCACCGGCATCGCTCGTGACCCAATAGTCATATCCCCATTCGCCTCGAAGCAAAGTCGTGAGGGTCTGATAATCGGCCACTGCAGGAACTCCGTCGTAACTAACAATCTTAGTCAATCGCTAATTTTCGTTGACCTGCAAGAAAGAGCTCCAACCTGTGGTATGCACTCATTATACTCCATGCACCCGCATCAATAATAGCTTTCTTAAAAGATGGTGCCCATCTTCATCTGTTAGCATGAACCATGTCGACCAGAAATGTAAATAACTAACGTTGTTCTCAACTCTCTCTGGCCACCATGCACTGGACCCGTATTCAATCCTTGCTCGGGATTGCTGAATCCCAAGTAATGCTTGACTGTGGCAGACACATTTTGACTTTGTAGTCCCTTGACGTAATTGTAGGCGATCTCTCCGGCAAGATACGGGTCTTCGGAGTTCGTTTCTTCAACCTATACACCCATTCATTAGCTGATGAATCCTGTGCTCTTTTCTGACGTGTCAAACATACTCGACCGTAACGTAGTTCCCTAGCCAAATCCGCAAGAGGCGCAAAGAGCTGCGTCACACCCAAAGCACGAGCTTCTTGGCCAATAATCTGTCCCATTTTTTGCACCAACTGGACACTCAATCAGTTTTCGCGGATACTTGTCTGTGTGGTATTTTTCTCACATCTCTATTCCAAGASGAGCCATAGCCAATTGGTGAATTGAAGATAGTAGCATTCCCTATCAAGAACCCATGAATACCTTCGGATTGAACCACCGCTGGGATACCAAGGGTCGTATTGTGAATCAGGTAGTCTTGACCTTTCTGGATATTGGAAGTGAGCATTTCCCATGAGATGGGGTATCCAACTATTGGCAGCACATTTTTCATCGTTAGTAGGAGTTATGGGCGAGATTGGAATATGTTGAAGTAACTACTTACCATAAAATGACCCCGCTTTCTCCTCCATGTTAGCTACAAGACCGCTCGAATTGAATGCGCCTGTGGTCTGATTCATCCAGTTTGTGATATCACCTTGGTCAATTAGCATATTTCTTGCTCAATTGAGCTCGATCCGTTCTGAATGTACCTTGCATCAATTGAGCCATCTTATCTTCAATTGTCATCCTTCCCAGCAGATCCGCCACGCGCTGTTCAACTGGAAGATGAGGGTTCTTGTACGGAGGTGTGGATTTGGCCCATACCATCCCCAGCGTCAGAAGGACGCATAGCGATGCTTGTCTGACGGTAGGCATCTTGATTCTGTCTTCTTTCAGGCCACTGTCACAAAACCAGAACAGACAGCTCTTCTCCAAGCTGAACTTTGAAGTACAACCACGCTGAACGATTCAGTACCACCTCCATCGCGGGCATTCTCATTAATATAAACAAATTGCAAAAAGCGGAGACTCAAAATTTTGACAAGCAATTCGTGCAGAAGCTCTGGAATGCCCGTTTAAGCAGTGATTCGCTGGTATTGTAGCTCGGTAAAACTCCGAAAGCCGGGGGCAACCGATTAGGGCTATTTTTCGCGTTACTTTCTTAAACGGGAAATTTTCCACCATGCACGCAATTTTGTCATCTTGATCTTATAGTGCAAAAGCACGTGTCATATTGCGTAAGATCTTCCCCGTAAATGATATAGAAATCTATAAATTATGATTGACGCGAAAAAATAGACGACGGCGTAAGCCTTTAAAGTCAAATAAAGTGAACAATTCAAGGTTATACACATGCTGATCTACATGACGCTATTCTGGCTACGCGGAGTATCGCTTGGCTAGAGCCTTTCCAACGGTTTATAGCTAAATTTATGGTTAAATGGCTTTACCCCACAGTACGCTATACTCGAATATGAGGTGATCGTCGAGATTAGAATTTATCCGGGGTCATCTTAACCGGGTCAATATGCACATGGTTGAGGGGTACTTGGGATACCACTCTCAGGTAGATAGTAGATTCGGACTATAAGAGAATGAATTTCCACCAATTGCCATATATATCTGTTGTAGTTATTTCAAATGAGAGAGTTCTCGACGGTATCTCGCAAGTTTCGACGTGACTGGCGTGAAGATGTAGGTGCGTACTACCTGTATGTAAGCGGACATTTTGTAGGACGTAGCATACCGGCAGCTCTTGATCTAATTGTTGAGGCTTCTTGGTCATAAAATGGACGTAATCCATGGTCAAATCTTGTTTTGGACAGAATCATCTTCAGTCTCTCTGGCCAAGAGCAAGAATGGCCGCAGCGATGAAGACTTTCATGTGAAAGGCAATAATGTTAATGCTGGCTCGCGCGGCTGGGAGGTCTGATAACCAGAAAGTTTTTTTTGACATATGGGGATATCGACGACCCTTACTCTTATACCTGACTACACTTAGGAAGTAATGCACATGACCATGGAGTAGTTGTTTGTTTCACGTATAGGAGTTCTGATACAGTTTGAGACAGCTTCTCGCAAGTCGGGGCTCTGAGAAATAGACTCACGAACGTGATGATCATCCAACACAAAGCCGCTAGCCGTACTTTATGGAAATTTCCAACCCATTGTGAGATGGTATAAAGCTTACTTTGCTAAATATTCTTCAATAATATTAATATCATAAGATGAAAGGAAATGCGGGTGGGTTAGCCCTAGGACTTCACAATTTTGATCAATACGGCTGCTTCCTATGGCAAGCTTGTTATTGCATGCAAATAAAAATGAAATTCTAAGAAAAAGCTTGAAGAACCTCCGGAGGACCTTTGCCTCGTATATATTTTACATCTCCTCCAAGGAGTCTGAAAAGGGGCCCAAAGCGGGAAGGCCTGATTGTGTCTTACCTGCAACATGTAAAACTCGCGATGGTTGAGCTCTTCTCATCAATTGATAAACCATTCAGATATTCAACGTTGATAAAACCAGTTGCACCTTCTTAGCCGTCATCACATAATAGTGGACTGTAACCATATGCTGCGAAAACATCCTGAATAGGCAAACAGTCCGTTTTTGACCAAGATCTCCATCGACATTCAGGTATTTGACTCTTTTTTCCGCAATCCATCCACAACGCTCTACATATAGGCACATCCCCTATAAAAAGGTTTGTTCAGAAACATTGTGATCCACAAAAAACTCTATCTCAAGCAACACGAAACGACCCACAGCACGGTTTTGTTAGCGGAGACTCGGTTGGGCGTTTCATAGTGCCAGCTTTAATTCGACATTGCCGGTAAAGGGGTTCGCTTTGAAACAGCAAACATGCTTTTCACTGGAGGAAAAAAAAAGTATTCATAAAGGCATAGAATTGCCGGGTTGCGTTGTATGCAGAAAGTGATGACGTTGACTGTGCCTTGTCGTTTTGATGCCACATGGAATAGAGTAGCACCCCCCTGTTATTGTGGAGGTGGTGTTTGAAGAATCGGAAGCTTAGCATGTCGGGATTTAAAAGGACTTATTGATCCTTTGAATCGTCAGAATTTCCTTCAAGTCCCGGCCTGAATTGAGCGACGAAACACTACATCATCAAGACCCTTCAAGATACCTATCAAAAATGAAGTATTTCACTTCCCTTACCCTAGCTGGTCTCACCGGCCTCACCCTCGCCTCATCCTCAGCCAGCGATCTCTCCAAAAGAGCCGAATTCTGCGGCCAATGGGACACTGCCACCGACGGCAATTACATCGTCTACAACGACCTCTGGGGCGAATCAACAGCCACATCCGGCTCTCAATGTACCGAGATCGTTTCCCTTAGCGGCAACACGCTCACCTGGTTCACTTCCTGGTCTTGGGAGGGAATTTCGTATGATGTCAAGAGTTTCGCGAATGCGGAGTATACCATTACCCCGAAGAAGTTGAGTGCCATTTCGAGCATTCCGACGACGTGGAAATGGAGGTTGGTCCCCTTTTCCTATCTTGATGTGAAGTTATAGGTATTGACAGTCATCCAGCTACACCGGCTCCAACATCGTAGCCGACGTCGCTTACGACTTGTTCACCAGCTCCACCTCCAGCGGCAGCGCTCAGTACGAGATCATGGTCTGGCTCGCAGCTCTCGGCGGTGCAGGCCCCATTTCTTCATCCGGATCGACAATTGCAACTCCTACCATCGGAGGAATATCCTGGAAACTCTACAGTGGACCCAACGGTGCTACCACTGTGTACAGCTTCGTCGCCAGCAGCGAGCAGACGAGCTACTCCGGTGACTTGCTTGCATTTTTCAAGTACCTGGAGGAGTATGAGGGACTTAGTTCAAGTCAATATTTGTTGTCTGTGCAGGCTGGTACTGAGCCTTTTACGGGATCGGGGGCTGAGTTGTATTCGACTTATAGTGTCACTGTGGACTAAATCACTGAAAATTATTCGCTGCTGTTATGCGATTGCAGTTGATGTCGTTTTAAACCTAGTACAAAGTTAATCGAAATAAAATTGATGCTTGACTGAACCTTCGAATATATAGCACTTCAGCTTCTCATGAAGCTCCTGTCTGTATGAAGAATTGTAGCACAAGCTACCTGAATATGATGCTCCGGATGTGTACAGACAAAAGTATCATTCAAGGATATCTAAAATCGCCAGAATATAAGTATTTGAACGAACGCAAAAGACAAGTGCCTCGGCTGGAAAGTAAGTACAATGCAAGACAAAAAAAATCCATAACGAAAGCAACAAAAAGCCTTAACATGAACCTCAATGCCTTTGTACAGTGTGATTAAATATATATAATAAATGCCGACGTGTTATGAACCTGACAAGATGAAGACATCTTGTGAGGGAGAGAGAGGAATACAGAGATGCAGAACCTTGGACGTATCATTGTGTGTCCTGGCTATCTGGCTCGTTCTCACCTACTTGCGAAGGTAACGACGGCCTTGAAGATCGCTTGGAACCAATGAGTGTACCCCCAAGCCAGGCTAGGTGGCCACTGATGGAGTCGCTAAGGCTTCGTATCCTCCTAGTCGCAGCCTCGTCATGGTCGAACTTGGGATCGGTGTTCTCTCTCTCATCTGTAGGCCGTACATCGCTCGCAGAGTTAAAACGTGACGACCCTGGGGTAACTGTCACAGCACTGGATTCAAGATGATGACCGCCAACTAATAAGTCTGCTTCGCGTCCTAAAAGTTGGCCATCGCTATTCATCCCATCGGGTATCAGCGGAGCTGCAGCTAGCCTCCGGACCCTGGCAGATTTACTGCGTCCATGCTTCGCAGGGGTGCCTTCACCGCGTAATAAAGAATCTGCTACAACAGCAGATAGCGTAGAAGAAAGAGGTGCTATCAGCGGACTAGGAGTCAATCGTAGGGTGACGGAATTTCTAGCGTTTGACTGTGGGGTTCGAGGTGTGCTTCGGCGTCGACCTGTAGGTGTTTTGGCGTCTGCTGGTAGTTGAAGCGATTGTGTGGGCTGGCTGTGAGGTTCATTGTTGGTTGATGAGATGTTATCGTCATGTGTAGGAGCGGCAGGAAATCGGAGAAGGAGCGGAGGGGTTTGTTCTATATGCGTTTGCCGATGAGGTGGAGTCGCAGGAGTACTTTCTTGAACATGTGTATTGAGCTGAGATGGAGTTTGGCTAGTGTGACCGGGCGTAGCCCAGGGATTGTCGGTAAGAGAATGGGACTGTAGAGAAGGTGACGGCGTGGTTAACTCTTGGGATAGAGAATCTTCCGAGAACGAACCCTCATGGTCGGATCCAACAGGTGAAAGGAGACCTTTGGGAGTGCTCAAGCTTTGTCCTTCTGAAGTGGCGCTTCGTACCGAGTCTCGGCGCAAAGGTCTAGATATGTCGTTCCTTCGTTGGGATATCGGCTCCAGCGGAGGTGGCTCATCTATTGAATCACGGTAATGTTCTTCATTCAAAAATCCCACAGCTTCTTCTTCGTCTTCGTCGCCATAACTAATATCGTCATCATCATTGCGAACTCTGCCGCTGGTGATGAAGTACACTCCAAGAAATGTCAAAGCGCAGCCGCCGATAAACTTCAATGATCGAGACAATGTCGCAGATTCAAAATCGCGGTACAGTACAGCACTCCCTATAATGACGGAGAGGGTGAAAAGAACGAATTGGGTGGGTATGACCTGTGTAGAGTCGAATCGCTGCAGGGCGCGATTGATGTAGCGCACTTGCATCAAGGCACTCGTGACAAGCACAGCAACAAGTAAATAGGAGATAGGGAATGTGATGACATGCCACAGGGTAAATGAAAGTAGAGATGCGACACCTTTTGTTGAAAGGGCAGTATAAGCACCTGAAAGACGTCAGCACGGTTCATAAGCTAGCAGTGCTTAGGAATGCTTACCAAATAGACCGACCAAACCTAGGTCGATCAAAATTGTACGACCTCCATACTTTTCACTCAAATACATGAGAACTACTATCAATGTAGCAGTGATACCCATGTACACCTCAAACTCCCACTTTGTGATCATTACCCAGATATCGTGAGGACCGATCTTGGTCTCAGATGTCTCCGCACTTAATACCACCACGACTGCACCAGCAATGGCAATCAGGACGCCCCAGAAGTCGCGTGCGCGGAATTTCTCCTTCAAGAGGAACGGAGCAATAATACAGTTCGAAATCAGCGCAACAACTCCAAGGGGCGAGACGATGGAAGCCGGTGCGAATCCATAAGCAAGGAAATTGCCCATTTCGCCCAGCGTCATCAACACAATGCCAGCCCACCAATATGGCGAATGAAGATAACTGACACGGTCGCCATGTACTGAGCTCTTATCGTCAGGCCGCAGGGTGTTATCGGAAAGAAGAGAGTGGCCCAAATTTTCCGAATCTCCATCTCTTGATTCATGGTCGTTGTAGGATCGATAGCGACCATTACGGGTTCGCGCAGCTTGGGTATCACTCTCGTAGTCCGGCTCATCTCTATAGGGAGCCTCAACAGATCCATACGTGCTCGTTGACAATCGTCTCCGAGATCTCAGACGAACTCGCTCGCCTTCGGCTTCCTGTTCGATGCGTACATGGGCATATCGCTGCATGTTGAGGGCGAACGAGATGAGAATATTTCCACATATTGCCACTATTATACCAATGAAAGATGACCACCTTTGATGTCTTCCTTCTTCATCTCCATCGTCTAGCGCGCCGAAGAAGAGGGCGAGTAGATCAAATGAAGCATCTGAACCGGGTACCGAAGCTGCCGACACAGCCGGTGTTGTGGGTAAGGAACTAGCCATGTTTGATCTGGAACTTCTATATTCGAGTCCGCGCTGTCGATGCCGTCAAAGTCCTGCTCTCCCTTTTCGTAGTCTCTTTTCGTCCCTCGCAGAAATCAAGCCGGGGCGTACGGACTAGATCGCTTTCCCCATCGATTGCATTCTGGCCTTGAAAGGCACGGTTCGTAGTTTATGCTTTCATTTGTTGTTTCGTGTGAATAGTTTAAAAGAAATAACTCGTTTTGCGAAGATGGTGGAGTAAGGAATGACGTCGCAGTCGCGATGAATGAGAAACGTGTTTGCTATGAGTGTTTGGTCAGTCGATACCACAAGGTAGTATTATCCTGGTATAGTAAACTTGAGTAACTGACATATTATAGATGGTGTTAGGTGAAGCAAATTCGACAACCTGCAAAAGCAGAGGTTGAGGCTAATGCGAGTCCATTCGGCGGAACACTCGGTCGGTCGAGGAGCGGGAAGGCGCTAGCTCCGTATCGGGTAAGAAGCATGAAGCCCTACTCTGTAGCCTGAAGGGCAGCAATTTTCTTTACGAAAAATGCGTTGGATCTTGTTAAGTGAAACATGTTCATTATAGTTATTCAATAATTCGTTATTAGCAAAGGCTTCTAGGTCACTATAATACTAGAATACATGCGCCTCATCCATTCAGTAATACCAACGCCTATTCCCATATATGCACAGTCAAGGTCGAAAGACAAAAACTATCGCCTTATCTTCTTCTTCTTCTCAGGACGCTCTTCCTCCTCATCACTAAGCTCCGCATAAATGGTCTTGGGCTGTGTTTTCTCCCAAGCCTTGGTAAAAATAGGATCCTTTTGTGCCTTTTCGGCATACTTCAGCAGCGCTTCGCGTGGATCTTCATCGCGCATCGAGCTAAGAGGGATACTCTCTCGAATGTGTTTTTCGTCCGGTTGCGATTTCGCAAATGGGGTTTGTGTAGGGAGATGTGGTCGACGAGGATCCCTTGAGCGACCAGATACAGTGAGTCCAACAGTTGGATGGCGCGCTGACCAGCTTGCTGCTGCTGCCTGGGGAAGACCATTTGCTCCAACCACCATCGCATCGCCGGAAAATCCTTGTGATATATCTGTGGTTAAGGTGGGGTCGTCGTCGATATGTCGGCGCTTAGGGGCCTTGGACATGATGAGGACGGCACCCTTGGAGGACATTGTCGGATTATATAAGACGTGAGTTTCCGCATTGGCAGATCCCGTTAATATTTGATTCATTTTCTCGTGCCATTGTACTGTAATGACGGGCGAACCTGGTGTTACCGGTGATACGAGTTCTGGCTTCAGTGTCGCCGGATTCAAGATATGAAGATGACCACTCTCCGAACCAGTAATAATGTTGGTGCCTGTTGGTGAAAATTTGATGTTCGAAGTTGGATAGTGGCTTGACGATTGATGCGTGACGGTTGTAATAGGCAGCTTGAATTTGCGGGTATCCCACAGTTTAATGGTATCGTCGCCTCCTTTAGTTACCACCAGACGTCCATCCGGGCTGATATCCAGCCCACTGGTCCATGTATCCCGCGTATGAGCGTCTCTAACCTCCGCCGTAGGTCTCGTATATGGCCCATCACCACTCCACATTACCAGGCTACCATCCAGACCAGTAGCGACAAGCACATTAGGTCCGCCTTGTTTCGGTGACGCCCATGCGACAGCGGTGATTTTAGTCCTTCCAGCTGAACCAGCAGCCCTGGACTTGTGCGCAATAACTTCTTTTTGGTTTCGACCAACGTTCACATCCCATATTCTGACTGTACTATCCGTTCCGGCGGTGGCGCATAAGTTGTAATCTGTTGGGCTCCAGGCCCCGGACGTAACCTCTGAAACATGGCCCTTCGTATTATGCATGTCCCGAAGATACATGTCTCCCTTGACGAACTCAGTGAGCACATTCCCGTCGCGATCGAGGATCTTGGGTTGTGGCGTAGCGGGGATCACGAGTATCTGACTAGGCGATATAGGGTTGAATGCGACGTAATGAACTGAATGTGTTTCTTGCGCCGCAGCATTTTTCTTTGCACTGGGGTCGACTGATTTGAAGGCACGGAGTGTGGAAGGGGTCATTGACGCGAAGTCGTGGAATTTAATCGTACAGTCTGCAGAGCCTGATACAAATCGACTACCAGGAAGATCGACCGACAGCGTCGTCACGGCGCGTTCATGTGTCTTGAAAACGAGTTCATGCGAGACTGGGAACTCGTCTTCGTCTTCATCATCATCGCTGTCATCATCATCGTCATCACTATCATTGTCGCGATCTACCTCTTCCTTGCCGGGTTCATCGTCTGCATCGGTAATTAAAGGTTGCGACCCAGTGGCGCTTGGTTCCTCATCGACGAGTTTCGCTTTGACGTCAGCTCGCTTTGAGCGCTCAAACTGTGTAGAAAGATCGGTCTTTGTCTCCTGTTTTCCAAAACTACCCGGGAAGAACTTTTTGAAAGCTTCCTCGTCAAATCCGTCCATGATGTTGAGATGTGCTGTTATGTTGTAGAGAAGTTGCCCGGAGATTTTTGGAGGCTCAAATGTAGATATAGCCTGTTTGCACTGTTTGCACTGTTTGCACCAAGTATAGAACTATACATATCCACTAGCTATACATCAATTAACGTACAGCATTTCTTGAAAGCTATGCGACGAGCTCATGTCACAATGAAGATGGCATAGTTTTTACTGAAATATGTGGGAATCAAAGATAAATGCTTGGATGTATGCGAAGTATTCGGAGTTTTTTCATATAGATGTAGCTTGTAAAGATATCATTAAGCATCGTTCTCCTAGGTACGCATCAAAATGAAGCACTTATCAAACAACTTTTATCATAATCTCCTTCAATCAGCCTTTTTCCGCTGAGCCACCAACTCCCCGCCAAAAATATCTTTACTTTCTTGTTCTCGTCTCTCACGTTCCAGCCGTCGCTTTTTAGCAACTCTTTCCAGTTCACTCTCAGACGCACCTTCAGCACCAGGCAAGCTTCCAGTTGATCGTTTCTGTCCACTGCCAGGAGCCGCAGGATCTAATTTCTCAATCATTTGGCATTGGTATACTTTTTTGGCTATAGCCTTCAAGTCTTGGAGTGTGCCCGGGTTGGAAGCAATAGGGGTGTAAGATTCTAGTAAATTGGCGCAATCCGACAGTGTAGTCATCAACTTTGTACGAATCATCTCCAATGGATTTTTCGAATCGGTCGGTACGGGCGTCACACCTGGGCCTATTTTACTATCCAGATAGAACTGCGCAAGCGGTTTGTCGGCAACTAGAAGGGCGGSGAGCCATATTTGTGATGGCGTGTAAAAGAAATAAGCATCCGTCATCTGCGCGGCTGTTTTTAAAAGATCCCGAGCTTTGCTATGAGCAGCTGATATTCTGGACGATGGCGAACCTTTTTCCACTCCCGGAAGAGGATCGATGTTATTGATGGCTTGCTTCATGCTTTCGCTTGTTTTTCCTGTAATGAAAGGCCCAGGCTGTCCTTCGCCTTGAGCTATGGCTTGTAATTCCATGATCCCGCCCTCCAGACCACGAAACGGATGGCGAACGTCAAATGTATACCTGAGGCCTTGCGTTAATGTGTATTCCGGCGCAATGACGTCTGCAGGTTTGTCGATTTTGGGTATCTGTTTTGCGAATTCGTTTAATGAGAGATAGTAATTATCGGTTTTTGTGGCGAGGAAAAGCGCGCAAGGCATAATTGTTTTGGGATGGTAGGTCATGACTGAATTCGAAAGGTAGAATCGACGCAGGTATTGTATAGCAGTTGCCTTATGCAAAAAAAGTCACTTAGCCGGGAGTTTGATTGAGTCTTCCAAGTGAATACTTACTCTGACCATCGTCGGCAACGCTGGTTTATATTTATCCCCGAAATCCAAAGCTAGTTCGCAATAATACCTCACAAACATAAGCTCTTCCTCTACAGACAAACAGTCCACATCTTTCCCCAGTGCTGCCTCCACTTTCGAGTCATTATTGTCGCTTGGGTTGGGCGTTAGATTACCGCTTGTCGAAGGGGTTGCAGATCTGGGTGCCTCGCGTGCTCGGTTCTGGGCAGCTCGGAGACGCTCACTAGCAGCGGCATTTGTATTCGCTCGTAGTGATTTCAAAGATTCCTTTGTGTAAGACCATATCCGGAACTGTGTGGAGGTTTTGTAGATTTCGTCTTCGATCATGATGGCAACGCAGGTCGGAGTTGATCCCTGCTTATAGGCCTGCAGGTCTCGGAGACGAAATATTCGGTTGAAAGAAGCTTCGTCTGTAGGTTTTTCGTCCTTCAGACTTCAGATGAATTATTGTTAGTGTGCGTACATGATTCGTCGAGTCGCATACAGCAAGAAGTCAAGAGAGATCAAATTGATCTCACAGATGCCGCGGGCCATTACGAGCTCTGAAAGCTTATCGATTAAATGTCAGCCGGGATCGCCCCAGCTAGCCATTTAGCGTCCAATATTGAGGAGCTTTTACAAGCTACATGACTTGGAAATCAGAAGTGCACATGAGCATTCTTTCTCTACGAGAGAGTCTGACTTGATCGTAAAATCGTTGTTATGTGTTTATTTGAACATAAAACGTTGCTAGAACTTCGCCTATGCATCTTCCATCCGTCAAATCAGAGGGAACATACGAACCAACTCCGCCGAACCACCTCGTATCTACCAGTACCAGACCAGAATATAGAAACAAAAATCAGTATCAAAACCGATGGAAACATGTGTTCCGGGTAAGCTCCGCCGCTTATTCAGGTAACGATTCAGGTGACGATTCAGTCTTCGCCTAAATTACTCGTAAATCATCTCATTCATATACATGCATCATCAAATCATGGTTCACCTAGCAAAAATGCAGTAACATCTCCAACGGCTTCTCCCTCGAGCTCATAGTCGGCCCCATTATTCCGGTCGATCCCAACGTGTTTAAAAGCGGCCACGACACGATCTATATCGAATCCCATACCACAGAAGCGGTCGACGAGGTCTTTGTTATATCCATCATACCTGAAAATCAGTCAGCAGATATTTATTTTGTCTTAACTTTAGTTGGAGCTTACGCAGCCAGCGCATCCCGTTCCTCGTCCTCTTTTGCTTTGCGTTCTTGTTCCCGTATAGATGCATCAGTGGCACCACCACTGCCCTCAGCAAGATGTTTCTTAGGAGCACCGGCATAAGCTATAGCCCACTCCCTCGCCACCCGCTCGAATTCTTTCGGTTTGCGTAGAAGCATGTTGGCTACTTCCGCATCTTGAGGATCTTTGGGTTCGGGTGTACTGAGGAGTGATTGGAGAGAGAGTAGTGCAGATTTGATTGTGAGGACCGGTGACCAGGCAGATGATAGTGTATCGAGACAGATGGCGCCCTGAACATGGATCGTTAGCAGCCTGTCGTGTAGTACTTTTCAATCTTGAGACTCACAGTTTGACTGCTGACATTGGGGTGCCAGACTTTGGTCTCGAACTTCATGATAGGAGGACGGAACGGGTATTCAGTTGGAATCTTGATGTCAACGAAAAATGTGCCGTCCTCATATGGTGTCGCAGGCGGACCACGAAACGAACCCCGCAGATGGGTGAGATCATCCTCGGCGCCCATAGGCTCGGCGGTCACTTGCGAATGGGGGTCATTATGTATATCCGCGATCTCTTTAGCAATACGACGGTTACGATTCGAGGCCATGATGGAAGACGAGTGAGAAAGACTGCACAAAGACAATCGCGGCCGTATATTAAAGAGGAGGATATGCTATCGTAATTATTTTCGTGATGGTGGCTGTGGTGGGGAAGTAAAGTGAACGATCTGACTGGCCAGCGACTTGTCAGGCAACAAGAAGAAGATCGTGGAAATCGAGGATAGATCTGTTTATAACGACGGTATTGGGCGGAGATCGGGAGGCTAGCGGAGGTTCTCGAATARGGCGGAATAGCASGAGCCGCAGAACAGCTATTTAGCACCTATAGGAAGTCGTACACAGCCAAGTCCGCCTAGTGAGTGACGATGGATGCGATGTGGTAGCTCAACATTGAGCGACTCGATGAAGTCGAATCCGCGTTGTTGCCGTTCGCTGTAGATCTGGTCAGTTATTATACGGTTGTGAGGTCTATCAGCAAGCAAAGCAGAGATCAAAGAGGTCCTGATAATAGCCAGTTGAGATCATTAGCAGACGATCATAAAATCAGAGAGAGGCTCATCGTCCAAAGCAAAAAGGTAAGCATGGGCGACTCCAATGAGTGACGCACAGCCTCGCCGTTTCTCGCACTCTGATTGGCTCTCCGGGCCTGGCATGGATGCGGGTTTACCGTCATGTCACATGACCGTGCAGCCTGACAGAGCAACCACGCTAACCGCATTTGGCGGATGGCGACAAGTCAGACAAAGCTCCCTTCTATTCCGCAGTGAACTACCTACCTCTGTCATTATCACCTTACAGCACACCACCCCATCGCCATCGTTCTCCATCCCATCTACTGTTCACTTCGTATATTATTGCAATATACAGCTACCTGCGAACTATACGAGTTTAAAAGTGTCGGGTCGTTGATCCCTAAAGCTCTTTATCATGGTACGCCTCAACTGCTAGCTGACGAGTTATCAGCTTACTAACTATCACAACTATCACAGGGTAATCAACAATCCAACATTGGAGGCGGCGGCCCAGGAGGAGATGGCAACGACGATAAGAGCAAGAAGGTATGTTTTTTCCTTTCAAATATTATCATATAGAGAAAGGAACAGCAGCTCACAGTCTCTAGGATAAGCCCAAGTACGAACCACCACCACAACCGACCACTCGCCTCGGCCGCAAGAAGCGCAAGGCAGCCGGACCCAATGCTGCAGCCAAACTTCCTACCATTCTCCCAACGGCACGATGTAAATTACGATACCTGAGAATGCAGCGAATCCACGATCATCTGCTGCTTGAGGAGGAGTACGTCGAGAACCAGGAACGCATCCGAAAGACAAAGGCACAGGCTACTACCCAGCCTTCAGCAACAGGAGATCTCGACTCTCTAGACAGAAACGCCGATGAAAGAAGTCGTGTCGATGACATGCGAGGTAGCCCCATGGGCGTTGGAAACCTGGAGGAGATGATCGACGACGACCACGCAATCGTTTCCAGCGCGACCGGACCCGAGTACTATGTCTCGATCATGTCCTTTGTTGACAAGGATCTTTTGGAGCCCGGCGCTAGTATTTTGTTACATCACAAGTCGGTGTCGGTAGTTGGCGTTTTGACGGATGACACGGATCCGTTGGTGTCTGTCATGAAGCTCGATAAAGCTCCGACAGAGTCCTACGCAGATATCGGTGGTCTAGAGACTCAGATCCAAGAAGTTCGAGAAGCCGTCGAGTTGCCGTTGTTACACCCCGAGCTCTACGAGGAGATGGGTATCAAACCGCCTAAAGGTGTCATCTTATACGGTAGCCCCGGTACTGGAAAGACGCTTCTGGCGAAGGCTGTGGCGAACCAGACTAGTGCTACTTTCCTGCGTATCGTCGGTAGTGAGTTGATTCAGAAATATCTTGGTGACGGTCCTCGACTGGTGCGCCAGATATTCACGGTGGCGGCAGAACATGCTCCATCTATTGTCTTTATTGATGAAATCGATGCTATCGGTACTAAGCGATACGACTCGACCTCTGGTGGTGAACGAGAAATTCAGCGAACCATGTTGGAGTTGCTGAACCAGCTTGATGGATTCGATGACCGGGGAGATGTCAAGGTTATCATGGCGACCAACAAGATCGAGAGCTTGGACCCGGCTTTGATCCGTCCAGGTCGTATTGACCGTAAGATTCTGTTTGAGAATCCTGACCGTAAGACCCTTCTTTCTTTCATGTTTTGATTATCCAATCCACTAATGGAGCTCTTTTCAGAAAACACCAAGCGCAAAATCTTCCTCCTCCACACCGGCAAAATGTCCCTCAGCGAAGACGTCGACCTCGAAGAATTCATCAACCAAAAGGACGATCTCTCCGGCGCCGATATCAAAGCCATCTGCTCTGAGGCCGGTCTCATGGCCCTCCGCGAGCGCCGCATGAGAGTGCAAATGGAAGATTTCCGAACTGCGCGTGAGCGTGTCCTCAAGACCAAGAATGAGAGTGAGCCGGAGGGATTGTATTTGTAAATGCATCTTATTGTTTCTACTTGACAATCTTTTCATTCGTGTAACTCTAGCATGACTTGGTGGACCATAGATGGTGTCGTATCGTATAAACATCTTTCAACTATAACCTAGTCTATCTATAATTCGTGGGGCTGTATATGAGTGTGTATTGATTCCATCTAATAATGTTATTCGTCAAACCAGCTTTCTATCTATCATGAAAGTGAACAACAAAACAAAAATGCAATGAAAGAAAGACCATAAAAAAAAGAAAGTAAATTCGTCTCGTTCTTTTGGTTGCATAAGCAATAAATCCAAGTGGCACAGTCATGCGCGACATGACAAATAAGAATAAATGAATCATAAAACTATATACCGATATCCTTAACACGAAAGGAGAAGATTAGACGGCGCCGGATGCAACCATCTTCTTGCGGAGGTAGTTTTTGTACTCGCCGATGGAGCCGTCCCATCGTCGCACTGTCTTGTGTTCGCAGACGAGGATATCTTTGGCAATTTTATCGAGAAGACTGTTTCAATCATTAGTCATGTTTTATTTTTGAATAGGAGGTAGAAAGAAGGCTTACCGGAAATCGTGGGACACGACGACAACACCACCGTTGAAGGCGTTGATGGCATCCGCAAGACTATCGATAGTGGGAATATCGAGACCGTTGGTAGGCTCGTCAAGTAGCAACATGTTGGGAGACTCAATGGCGAGCAATGCGAAGACGATACGACTCTTCTGACCCTCAGACAGCGTACCCATGAGCGCAGTCTGGGACTCGCCGCTCAGACCGTAACGGCCGAGCTGTTGACGCCAGTACTGGTAGTCTTGGGATTTTTCGCTGAATTTATCGCGCACAAAGTCGAGGGCTGACTTGGTGAGGTCGAGCTGTTCGGCGGAGTGCTGGCTGTAAAGACCCAATTTCAAGTGAGTGTGGCGTTGGACACGGCCGCTGTTGGGGCTCAACTTTCCGGTCATCAGACGGAGAAGAGTGGATTTGCCGACACCGTTGGGACCGACCAGAGCAGTTCGGGAGTCCATGTCAACACCAAGGTCGAGGTTCTCGTACAGAGTATCCTCGGGCTTTCCAGAGTAAGAGAAAGTTACGTCATCGAAGGCCAGGACAGGGGGAGGAAGCTTCTCGACATCGGCGAAACGGAAAGAGAACACTCGATCGGGAACGACGGGTTGAATGAATCCATCGGCCTCCATCTTATCGAGAATCTTCTGACGGGACTTGGCTTGACGCACCAAGTTGGCATAGGTACCAGCAGAAGCAATGAACTTCTTGATGTGGGCAATTTCCTCTTGCTGTTTGGTGTATGCCTTCATCTGGTTGATCTCCTGCTCGGACCTGGTCTTGTGGTAGGAATCGTAGTTACCACCGTAGTACAGAAGCTGCTTCATACGCATATCGATCATGGTTGTGCAGACACCGTTCAAAAAGTCCATGGAGTGAGAAACCAGGATAAGTGTACGCTCCCACTTCTTAAGATATTCTTCCAACCACACACAAGCTTCAAGATCCAAATGGGCAGTGGGGTCGTCGAGCAACAACAGAGAAGGCTTGACGAAGAGAGCCTTGGCCAAAGCCACTCGCATTCTCCAACCACCAGACATGTCCTTTGTCTTCTTGTGAATGGTGACGCTGTTGAATCCAAGACCGGTCAAGATCAAGGAGGCACGGGTGTGGAAAGTCGACGGGTCCATGTTTTCCATTCGCTAGATGATGTTAGTACATGGAACAAGTATAAGAGGAATACTATACTAACCTCATATAAATCTTCCAAGATAGGGTCATCAGGACCGTTCTTCTCAAGAATATCTTCGGCCAACTTTTCCATACGGTCCATCTCGTTCTCAGCTTCCTTGACAACCCATTCCAAAGCACCGAGCTCGCTAGGTGGTGCACCCTCGTTCAGCAGGTAGATATCGATATGTTCAGGAATGGGAAACTCTCGTGCGTCGATAGCCTTCAGAAGCGTAGATTTACCACATCCGTTCTCACCCAACAAACCGTATCGTCTGGCATAGTTGAGCTCTAGGGTGGTGTCGGTGAACAGAACCTTACCGTGGAACACCAACGAAGCGGAAGTGATCTTGACGTCGCGAGATGAAGGCATCGAGGATAAAACACCGGTTGTGACTCGGTCGGAGAGACCGTGCTTGTCCATTTGTGCCGTCAGCTTGTCGACCTCCTTCTGCTTATCGGCAGTGGTGGCGGGCTCATCGCCGGCTGGGATGGCATCTCCATCACCGTCTTGCAATTCGGGGGTCTCGCTGGCCTTGGCGGCCTTTTTGGATGCGAGTTTGGATGTTTTCTTATCGCCATCAGCGGCACGTTTGGCCTGACGGGCGGCTTTGGATGCAGAAACCATATTGGCAGTCGAAAGACGGAGACTTTTTCTTCTCTAAAAACAGATAGGAGAAGCGTTGATGATGGGCCTGTCTAGTGAAGCAGACAGATCCGGTCTATGGGAGAGAAGGAGGAGGAAAAAATCGTCGTGGGGTACAGCCCTGCTTATCGATTAGGGAAGAGGGTCGGAAAAGAAGCCCCGCTAGTCGATGTGAACAAACAAATAGATAGAAGAAATTACAGGGGTATCACAGTATAAAGAGGAAGAAAATATAAGATAGTCTCTGGCAGTGAAGCAGGACTGTCTATATTTCTTGGACTACTCAAGGGATGTGGTGAGGAGAGGTTCAAATGTTGTTTGTTGGGGAGGTGGATAGTACGTATTGTGTGAGGTTGACTGAGTAAATCTCTGAAATTTCGTGGTGGGGCTTCCCTTGGCTGCCCCTCGGCCTGTGATTGGACAAGACACGCCACCGACGGCACGTGAAGTGGCGAGGCTGGCTGCCTTAGTGCCTGAGGAAGAAAACATGGCATTCAACACGATAGATAAGTTGATGACGCTCAGGCAGTATGCAAGGTTCTTGATGCGGTTGCTATGCTATGCTATACTATGCCAATGCCAATGCTGAATATGAAATGCCAAACAAAATACATACACTTTTTACCGTCACATCATTAATTCGTCAATCTATAACCGTTCACTCAACTCTTCCAAAAAACTCTTCTCCTCTGGCGTCAGATATATGTGGCTCGGTACATGGACGGTGCCTCTCCTGATGAGGATCTGAGGCTGATCGATGGAGCCTTCACTGTGACTCGGTGACGTTATAGACAAGTTCTTCTCAACATCTGCATCTTGAACCCGCGCACCGTCATCCTCGGTAATCTTGCCGCGCTTGCTGTCTGGAGACAAGTCCTCTGGTGACCACCAGTATTGAGGGTACTTGCGCTGAACGTTGTTAATGAGTAGAGCCACAATGAGCATAAGCACCGATCCGAGCAGGATCATAGGCACCAATAACCACCCTAAAGGCAGTGAGTCATTGCTCACAACGGCCAAGAGTGCTGTCGCTCCGGCAGGGGGATGGATGGTCTTGGTCAAGCCCATCAGCGCCGTGGCAATGGCACAGGCCAACGCACCGCCTATCCATCGGATGGACTCAAAGTGTGGGCTCAAGGCAAAGAGTTTGCATATCCCAACACCAACTACACTGGAAATGAACTGGCCGATGACGGCATTTCGTGGTTGCGCCAGTGGAGACTCAATGGAATAGAAATGCAAGACAGACCCGGCACCCTAATCATCCATCGTTAGTAAATCGAAGCTGTGTTTAAAGGGTCTGGTTGGACATACAAAACTAGCAATAATGATGGGTGCGTGATGGTCCTGAAATACGGGCACTTGCTTCGTCACTATTTCGATGACTATAAGACCGATAAAAATGCCGAGAAAAGCCCAAGCACCCATGATCAGATTTCCCAAGGGCTTGAGTGGCTGTTTCCTATGGCCGAGGAAATAGGAGATCGGATACGGTAGGATGCGCCATGGCGGACGAGGGATCAACGGATTCAGCCATCTGTCGATATCAAAGTGCCAGGCCTCGGGATCGGATAGCCGCATGTTGTCTGCTGACAGACACTGGCGGATGATTGTCGTGGGTGTCTCGTAGACGTCTGGGGGTGTGTGTCATCAAGCAAAGAGTCACACAGGGGAAGATCTGGGGATCAACCCAGTCTTTATACGGCATGCCATGTTGGCAGGTTTTCACGGTCTCGAACCATCTCCGCGGACAGCCAGCAATGGAAAGAGTAGAAATGGAAGCAACGGCAAGAGCAGACACAGAAATCGAGGTTCCTGCCTCAGGTGTTCGACGCCGGCCACTCACAGTAGTTGGCGTTGGGTAATAGAAACCCAGATGCGGTATAGTCAACTCATGGAGAATCACGTAATTGTATGGATTAACTTGCCGCTGTATTACCATGAATGACTTACTATAGAGGTACACTCTCCGCTTAATTAGCTGATATTATATTTTAGGGCTTGTATTCAAAAATTAGACGATTATCTCTGCCGACAGTGTTCATTCCATCTTATTTGTCGTATTAAGTACAGCAACGCGGACAAGCATTGGGCGAGGAATCCGGGGAAAAGGCGCCTAACCGCAGAGACTTTTGGTGGCGGCGTTAGCGTCTCGATGATCTGCCCGTGATCATTTCCGTGACTCAGCATCTTCGATGACGCAGCACGAATTAGGTAGTATTACTTGATTAGGCAGTACTACTCAAAACAGAACAGGTGAATGTACGATTCCTTGACTATATTTTACAGTCTACACACTATTTACACTTCCATGGTCTTGCCCAGTTTGGAACTCTCTCTAGCCAGCTCGATCAGTCGAATGACTTGACTGGCCTCGGCGCCACTGGCTGGAAGCTCACTCTCTCCCGCCAAAGCCCGTGCAAGCTTGCGATAGTATTCCACCCAAGTTGGTCCTTCGACAGTCGGCACCTTTTCGGCAGACGGCTGTCCGTTTTGATCGATCGTGGTAAGGACCCCTGATGCGACATGCATTAGTTCCGATAAACCCTTTCTTTGCTTTTTTTTCGCTTTCTTCCGAGAAAAGGAACATACCGTAACGGTCACTAGGCTCAAGGCCATATCCACTATCGCCAGGTCGGACACCTGCCTTCAACTGATCCTCCTGGATATCCAAATGGAACTTCTTGAAACTTCCCTTGTCGCCCCTCACCCAGAATCGAAGCTGTTTCTCTTCCGGGCTTACAACAGCAGCTTTGGCCGTCACCAACAAACCGCTATCATAGTGCAACAACGTCGTGAACGAGTCTTCCAGTCCAGTGGGGTTGTTCACTCGCTGACTGCCAACGAATCCCGTAATGCGCTGGGGCAAGCCGAACAGATGAACGGCTTGGTCGAGTAGATGTGCTCCGAGATCGTAAATGGCTCCGGCTTCCGTGACCTTGGTCTTCCAGGCTGTGGTGCTGGCGGCAAGCTCAGGACGGTGGCGGTCAAAGTGCGTTTCGTATTCGACTACTCTTCCGAGGGAGCCATTTTTGACGAGCTTTGATAGGGTTACGTAGTCGGCGTCGTAGCGGCGATCTATCGACGTGAATTATTAGCATTTTTATGATATCTTTTAACCGTTCCGGACTGGACAGTACTTACTTTGATAAACAGCTAGTAGCTTGTTATATTTCTGAGCAAACCCAACCAATTCCTCTGCTTCCTTGTGCGTAGGGACAAACGGCTTTTCGACGACGACTATTTCAATGAGTAACACACCTCAATGAAAACCGAAGAACATACCGTGCTTCCCGGCCTCCAATGCAGCTTTGGCCAATGCATAATGTCCATCCGGCGGAGTCGTAATGACAACAACATCAACATTAGAATCCTTAAAGAGCTCATCTGTGTTTCGATAGGACTTGATGCCCGCAAAATCTTTCTCTGCGTCATTCTCAGGTGTGGGAGTTCGCTGCACAACGGCGTATAATTTGAAGTCGGGAACAGCTGTGATGAAAGGAATGTGAAAGATTTTGGCGCTGAAGCCGTATCCGATGATGCCTACGTTCCACGTTTTGGAGACCATTTTGCGTTGTTGGTGGAAATGTACTGAATTTGAGAGAGTGAAAAATCGCCGTTGCAATTCGTGCGTGAAAATTGCCTTATATATCAGTAATTGACCGAAAGTCAAGAACGGCTCGCTGTCCGATCTGCTGGTCTACGCGGGGCAGCTCAACCCGAAGTTTGATATGACGCTGTGGGGTCGCGCCAAGTCTTCAAGACAGCGTCACAAGAGCCAGAATATTGATATTGCGCCATTTCTAGTGAACAGAGTTTTCAATTAGGGATCTCGATGCTGGAAGATTACAAATGGAATATGGAAGTATGGAAGTATGTGTGGATGAGAGATCAACTGGTCGATCAAATATGCCTCTTCTGATTGGTCTATCTAAGAGCTTCAAGAAGCATATCTTACAAAGCATGAACAACTCCCCCCGAACCACCGCTTCCAATCTAGCTTCTTGGTTCAGCCAGAATTATCCTTAACCTTTACCCCCATCGTCTGACACGAATCGTCAAATGAAGCCTTGATTTTGTCCACAGGAAATTCCAAGCAGGTGTTAATGATCCAGTCGCATGTCTTGATGAGCTTGCGCTGCTCTTCTGGACGCTTAACCCACGACGAGTAGTACTTCAAAATGACTCGCCGGCCGAGGCAATCTAGCACTTCCTCGGGCAGAGACGCGAGTCTGTACTCAAATTTGTTCGCAGAGTATCCGTAGAGCTTCTCGAATCCGGCGCATGCTTTCTCATAACGGGCTGGCTCGTCGTGCTTGAGATAATCCAGCGTCTCAAGGTCAAATTTGGCAGTACGCCAAAAGATAAGAACGGTCCGCGTGCAATTTAGATGAGCTGGAGGATACGTATATCCACCCATAAACTCCAGTTCATGGGTGATAGAATACATCATGACAGGTTGGCGGTAGTGGTAGCTTTCTGCATGAAACTTTTGTAGCTCGAGCTTCCAATCTTTCAGCTTATGTACCTGAACTTCTGGCACGTCTTCATCGGAAGAAGACTCGGCTGACTCTTCCTGTATGTCGTCCAAACAGGCTGTCATTCGGTTCCTGAAGAGCACCCCTCTAACTGAACCTCGGTTCATCGTCATTCTTGAGTGTAGGTGATTGCCAAGGATATCTTGAATGTATGAATGTTCCACAGAATTGACAAGTGACAGATAGATTTTGATGAACCACTGTCAATGTTGCCTTTCTATGGTTCTGATCGCTAGAGAGAGACAGTTGTTGAAGAACGATGAGAAGCTGCTCAATGACAAACAAATAACGGGGCTAATGATAGACATGATTCCTATATAGCTGTTCGAACGGAAACTTCATTCTGAATTTACCGGCTATCGAATTAAACTCTTTTGGCTTGCATGAAAATTTCCTGGGAGTTGCCAGCTTGTCAGAGATCATTGCTGAGGGGGTCTTCCCATCTGTGACAGTACATCACTTCACTGTGACCGTAAGAAAGAATGAAAATACATACACAATTGCCTTTCATACTATGTTTTGGCTGATACAACAAAAATATATGAGTAACCAAGCTGGCCTCTCATTGGCTGCAACAGTCGAAGTATACAGGTCGGCTGTGATTGGCTCATCGGAGATCTGGCATCGCTGCATGCATCCGATCCCTCTCTTGGCCAAGTCATCCAACCCTCCTTCCTCAAATCCTGTACGACTTTGTCCAGTCGACAACTAGCAACTTTTCAAACTCAAGGCCAAGATGATTTGAACCCCTTATTAAATTACCATACATCAGATTGAGCGCTGGCCGTTCCTCTCATATCTGAGTCACAACTATACCGATGACGTCCACTTTCTTAGTGCTTTTCGGCAATATCTCCACCCAAGATCGAGCTATATTTGACGCAGTATAAGGCTTCGATAACCTTATCGACCAGAAGCGTATATTTAGTGCTCAAGATCTCTATAGCAAATCGTGACAGGTCAACATGGCATCACCCTCTTGGTATAGAATCGCGGGCTCTTACAAGGCTGAGAGACCAGCATTCAGATTCACTATTTCAAGAATCTACCAACTCACCATCCAAAACTTCGTATCGCTTATTTTTCTACCTCTGGACACATTTATCCTTCTGAGCGCGGCTCTAATCAATGGTTTCCACCTTCTCCATCGTCACCAAAGACATAGCCGGCAGCGACTATTAGAAAACCCGCGATTTTACCCAAAGACTATTCTCATCACCGGCATCAATACAACTCGAGGCCTCAAACTAGCGCGTCAGTTCCACTATGGCGGTCATCGAGTCATTGGCGCTGATGTTGGTTTATCCTTCATCCGCTCTGGGGGTAGCATGTCCAACACGATATTCGTCTACTACTCCCTATCCAGCAGTAAAGCTCAATATGTCTCCAGCCTGATCGACATTATTCACCGAGAGAAAGTTGATTTGTGGATTCCCTACTCTGGCGACATCGACCCCATCGATGATGCGATGGCCAAGAGCATGATCGAAAGTCGAACAAGCTGCAGATGTCTCCATCTGAATGTTGACTATGTGAGACTCTTTAGCCGAGATGACTCTTTCATACAGCATGTGCGAGAAAGAGGGTTGCCTGTAATTGAGAAGCACAACGTTCAGTCTCGAGACTCGATTCATCGAATCTTGAATCACTCGCCTAATAAAGTCTACCTCATGCACAAATCATCAAAAGGCGCGTTGCGGGATGTTGTCTCTTTGCCTAAAAGGTCTACCAATCAAACATACTCGGAAGTGAGTATGATAGCTATTTCCAAAGACAAACCCTGGGTCCTCAAACAGTTTGCGAGGCTGGGCAATTACTGGGCCGATCTTGTCCTCGTGCGGGGGCGTGTTGAAGCAATGAAGATCCGTCCCATGCGTCCTGGATTGTCCATTCATGACGAGTCGAGAATGGAAACAGGTCTACATAAAAGCATCAGACGACTGATGGATGAGTTTGCCGGAAAAGCTGGACCGCGCATCAGCGGACATTTATCGGTCAAAGTCATGGTTGACGAAGAAATCGCATCCAGCTCGGTATCCTATACTATATATATTGGTGGCTGTCGCCAAGGAAGTATCGCCGTTGCTGGGCTGCTGGATGACGATCCACCGTCGGGTTTATATATCTCTTACCTGGAGTTGTTGTCTCCGGAAGTGAACGGAATCATTGACTCTGACATTGAATCACCAGTTTATACCAGGTTCAGGCTCTCGCGGAAATGGATCGACTACTCGACTGCATGGAGCCAAATATATATCCCTGTCCCGTCAGTGGTACAATCAGTCGAGGAGCTCTGGATAGGAATCCGGAGATTTCGAGATTCGTGCATGCACGTTTTTCCTTTTGTCGATCGACTGGAGAATTTTTCTATCCTCGATCCGCTGCCCTGGTGGTGGCATTACCACATCAGTCAGCCGGTGAATGGTGCATTCTCATTGTTCGACAGTGTGGTTGAAATCCAATAGCGCAGGCATACGCCTCTTTTCTGAGGATTGACCGTCTAATGATATACGATGTTTGAAGGAATATATGTAGTAGAATAAAATAATGAAGATTTCAACGATGATCGCTGTGGCTATGTATCTGCAAGCGTCGTACTTCGCAGTTTCATTTCCGTTTTATGAGAACTCGTGTATGTACTCGTAGTAACATATACGCGCGTACTGTCACAATCTACCCGGCAGGTTCCAGCCGACATTAAAAATAGCACCAGAAATACCCTCTCCACCAATCAGACAGCTCCATATAGCCAGCTGAGATAATCCATGACGAGGCGTGCACAGCCACTAAACCCAATACAGGCTGCGTACGGTAAAGTAATCTATTCAGCTGTCCGTTGGCTTGGTTTCCAGGCTGACAACGAAACAGGTTGAACTGTTGTGGAGACTGTCGCAGATTGTTGTTCTTCTTCTTCACTTTAATGCTGTTGACTACACTGTCGACTACACTGTCCATATTCTTCATATCTCTATATTTTGTTGTACATTGGCATGATCCTTCATTTTTGTTTGATAGAACTACAGTGATCAGCCGGCTTTGTCTATATTGCATTCGACATACATCAACAGCTCCGAGCGGGCAGAAAGAGCGCATACGCAACAACCGCAACTCGTCATAGTCAAGTGATTGAAGCAGAGAACTGTTCTCTCCGATCACCCAACCTACTTAGGGCCACGGCCGGGCCCTGTCTTTCTTTCCATCGTTTCTACCTGAAACGCCACTACAGTCAAGATGCCTTTTCCTAATTTACGGATGCCAGCGACAAGTCCTGCCAGGATCAAAAACTTAATACACGGTTTCCAAGCGGTTCTCATTTTCCTGGCATGGGTCCTTACAATTGCTGTCTTTACGAAAAGCGGCGGTATTGATGGCCGGTCTGGCTGGTTCTTTGGTGTTGTAAGTCATCAATCCGAAGAAGACCATTTCGCTCCATGTACTGATTTCTGTTTAGTGCTGGCTCTCCATCCCCGCTCTTATCTATCTTGTCGCCGTGCCGACTTTCCCCCGTGCTCGCAGATTCGGCAATGTCTACGCATTCGCTACGGTCGATGCTTTGATGATCATCCTATGGTTCAGTGGTTGGGTTGCTGTCGCCTCTTATGTCGCTGAGGGCAAGAGTAAAGGTCAAGACGAGCAGAAGGATTCCAAGGATAAAAAGTCTGGCTGCGATGCGTTTGCGTATGGAAGTGCGTCCAAGTGTAGTGTCAGTACTGCTACGGTTATTTTTGGTGTCGTTATTTTGTAAGATCATCCCACTTCATGGTACGCGATGCAAAAGCTAACATAAACGGATAGCCTGCTATTCATTTCTACGGCATACTTCTCCTTCCGCAATGTGGCCTACTTCCGCCGCACAGGTACCATGCCTGACGCCGTGTCCGACCCAACCTTCGATGCCCAAACCAAGGCCGCTTTCTCCTCCAACCCCGCACACGAATTCGAAGAAGAGGACGAATTTCGACTTGGCCGCGGCGGTGGTGCCGGTGGTTCCGGTGGTGAAGGCCCCTCTCACTATGGCCAGGACCGCGACGAAGATTATGCTTTGCTTCAACAGAGTGAAGCCGATGAACTGGGTGGATCGCATCATGGTGGTGTTTCAGGCGCATACGACCCTACCTCGACGCATGGAGGTTCTGTGATGCACGACTACGACACCAGTTACAACAGCGGCGGCTATACCTCGCGATTTGAAGAAAATACAGAGGGGTATAGGGATACCAGCTATCACTCCGCCACTGAATACAGCCGATAACCCTTTCGCTAGGGGAATTATTTACGAAGGCACGCCATTTTCCTGTCTCAATATTTTCATTCGAGTCATGGAATGCTTCATACTCGTTTCTGTTGGATGTTTCTTGCATAATTTGTGTTTGGGATTTTTGTATTGTGTTTCATGACGGCGTCTAAATTACAGCATGTTTGTGAATATGTCTGGATTCTCCTGTTTCAATAGATATGCTTCAACTGGAAGAGTGCTATGTATTAGTATGTAAAAACAAGACTCTGAGTTAACGAGTATGACTTGAGGCCTGAGGCTGCGACATGTGATTTGGATTCTGCCACCGCCTTTTCTCCGCGGACTGTCGATCAATTGAGGACAGCTAAGTTAGTCCTCAATTTCAATACAACATCATTCAAACTTTGCAAACGTTGCACAGCTCATATCACACCTTCGAATACTCCAAAATAACATTTAATCATATAAATACTCTACACAGTACTCCCTGCATCACTTGCGAACTCACAAATACCCGGTAAGCAGGTCATTCTGATCTCGAATTATGCACTGCATACTAATTTCTATTCAGTCAACATGACATCCGCCGACATAGACAGCTACACCCAATACGGCCTCTACCTCGACCCAACAACCAAAAGCATCTCCCTCCCCAACACCGAAGGACAGACCCCTTCCCAAATTGAAACCATCAATGCCGAACTCCAACAACTAAACATCCTACATCGCGCCTTGATCGGCCTCGATTCACCGAACGTCCCACCACCACCTCTGCCTATCAACCCCAAACGCAGCGCACAGATCACCAAGCTCCGCGACACCGCGAACACGGCGTTCCGCAAATCAAACTATGCGGAGGCAATCAAATTGTACGGCTACGCGATCGATATGGCCTATAGTCGACCGGCGTGGGAACCCGTGAATCTCGTCCGCGACGAATTGTCGGGTCTCTATGCGAATCGCGCGCAGGCATACATGTCTCAGCAGTCATGGGCGGAGGCCTGGATTGACTCGAAGTGTAGCGCGGAGTGTAAACCCGTGGGTAACGTGAAGGCATGGTGGAGAGGTGGAAAGTGTCTTGTTGAAATGGGACGGTACGATGAGGCTCGCGCTTGGGTTGAGCAGGCTTTGGGTCTTGAAGGGCCGGCTAGTGAGGGTGGGAAGGAGTTGGTTGCGCTGTTGGCGGATATAGAGGCTGGAAGCAAGAAGGTTTAATTATTAGCGTTACTCTGGTATATTGTATTCATCGCATCTTCCACTCGTCTGTTTTCTATGGTTATTATGAATGGGCGGTATATCATTAGGCGTTCGGAGTGAATAATTGAAATCATAAACATTATGAAGCTTTATCAAAAAATCGTCAAGACCTGACACATAAGATGACGGCGGCTTTGTACGATGTAGCGAGTTCGCAGCTAGTCCTCGCCACACGATTGGCGCATCTGCAATGCGATTGTCGACGCATCGCATCTTCAGTCTCGAAGTGTCAACTTGAAGCAAGTAGGGATCCGTTTCCGATTTCTGGAAGAGAATGCGATACACAACATAAGACTAACCCGGATTGGCAATGAAATCCAGGCCAATAATTTAGAGAATTGCAGTATCACAGCCAATCAGAGCTGTAGATCATTATCCACACGAGCTTATCGTTATCGGAGGTGCTCCGCCTGCCGTTTTGGGCCAGATTGGTTGAGGAGGGGAAAAGACACCGACTCGATAAGAGATGGCCAGAAAATGTTCGGTTGGAGCTATAAGATGTTCCTAATCCCCTGTCGTCAAGTCGTGTTTTCGTAAGCATATATTCTTCTATCATTCTACCTACACACCGCAGGTATACACAATGGTCGATCGCCTCAAACAATTGACCTTCCAGGTCAGCGCAACCGCGCCTCCTCCTCACCCCCTCGACCCTCTCACCACACTCGAAATCGACACAACAGTCGCCCTGATCCGCGAGAAATATGCTCCCATCAACTTCAATGCCGTCTCGCTATACGAGCCCCGCAAGGTAGAGATGTTGGCATGGCTACAGAACCCAGAGAAAGCTCCCCGACCAGCTCGATGCGCAGAGGTCGTCTGCATTGCGCCTCAAGGTAAAGTGTACGATGGCATTGTTGATCTCAATAAAAAAGAGATCGTGGACTGGAAACACACTCCTGGTGTTCAGCCGATTATCACCATGGAGGAGCTCCAGGAGGTTGAGCATGTTGTTCGCAAAGACCCGAAAGTGATTGAACAATGTGGTATTCTGGGTATTCCGCCGAATGAGATGGAGAAAGTCTACTGTGATCGTAAGTGCAGACATTCTTTGCAATTCAATTTCGGATAGTAGGCTAAGATAACGGCAACAGCATGGACGATCGGCTATGATGAACGATTCGGAAGCAATGTCCGTCTTCAACAGGCCTTGATGTACTACAGACCTCACGTCGATGACTCTCAATACGGCTACCCCCTTGACTTTTGTCCTATCTACAACGCCGAGACTAAGACCATTGTGCACATCGATATCCCTAAAGTGCGTCGGCCACTCAGCAAAGTAGCTCCCAACAACTATCACGTCAAGTCTGTGGAAGAGTCTGGCGGTTATCGCACAGATATCAAACCCATCAACATCACTCAGCCGGAAGGTGTTTCGTTCAATGTGAACGGACGAGTGATTGACTGGCAGAAATGGAATATCCACGTTGGCTTCAACTATCGCGAGGGTATTGTCCTGAACAACATTACCTTCAATGACAAGGGCACTGTTCGTCCTATCATGTACCGTCTGTCATTGGCAGAGATGGTTGTTCCATACGGTAACCCTGAACATCCCCATCAACGCAAGCACGCTTTCGACTTGGGCGAGTACGGTGGTGGTTACATGACCAACAGTCTGTCCTTGGGCTGCGATTGCAAGGGTGCCATCCACTACATGGACGCTGCATTTGTGAACAGAGCAGGTGCAAGCACTGTCATCAAGAACGCCATTTGCATACATGAGGAAGACGCAGGTATCCTGTTCAAGCATACCGATTTCCGTGACGATTCCACCATCGTCACTCGTGGCCGCAAGCTTATCATCTCGCACATTTTTACTGCCGCCAACTACGAGTACTGCATTTACTGGGTCTTCCACCAAGACGGCACCATCCAGCTGGATATCAAGCTTACTGGAATCCTCAACACATATTCCATCAACCCCGGTGAAGATACCCACGGTTGGGGAACTGAAGTCTACCCTGGCGTCAACGCCCACAACCACCAGCATCTCTTCTGTCTGCGTGTTGACCCGCAGATCGATGGACAGGACAACACCATCTTCCAAGTTGACGCCGTTCAAGGTCCGGGAGAAGTCGGCAGTGCCGAGAACAAGTACGGCAACGCCTTTTATGCTAAGAAGACCAAGTTCACGACCCCCAAAGAGGCAATGTCGGATTACAACGGAGCTACTAGCCGAACATGGGAGATTGCCAACACCAACAAATTGAACCCATACAGCAAGAAGCCAGTTAGCTACAAACTGGTTAGTCGTGAAGTTCCGCCTCTACTTCCCAAGGCCGGTGGGTTGGTCTGGAAGCGTGCTGGGTTCGCCCGTCATGCAGTCCACGTTACAAAGTGTAAGCCATTATTTCGTATAGAGATGACATCTGGAATATATACTAACATTCGATAGACGAGGACGACCAAATCCACCCAGCCGGCCGCCACGTCCCTCAAACCTCAGGCGAACCATCCATGGGCCTGCCCCTGTGGATCGAACAAGCGGGCGACAGCTGCTCCATCGACAACACCGACGTCGTGCTCTGGCACACATTCGGCATCACTCACTTTCCCTCACCAGAAGACTTCCCCGTCATGCCTGCTGAGCCGATGACATTGTTGCTGCGACCAAGGAACTTTTTCGATCGTAACCCTGTCCTTGACGTACCGCCTAGCTATGCTCGTACGCCATCACAGGTTGCGGCTGGTGCGTCGGGGKGTGGTTGTAATTCTAAGCCCAAGGGGGATGGAAGCAGTGTTTTGGTTTGATATCTCATGGTCTCATTGAGGGCTGGCGTTTTCTTGCTTCATGTACATAGCGTTTTTTCAGCATTTCTAACAATATGAATAATTCACCTACTCAAGGAATGTGCCCGAAAACCCCGGACTTTCCTTCTCAGAGACAGATGCTACCCAATGCCAAGCTCTAGACCCAGACATGTCTTAATTCGTAGTTTTATACTACGTCTTCTATCGTCTGACTAGACACGATTCCCGAGCTGAATTGAGAAACAATGATGATATGACGGTCAGGCAATCAGTACGGTGGATATGTATTCAGTGTCAGCCAACCAGACTCCACATGTTTTGATGAATCAGGACTAGCGGATAGCCTCTCTGCGGGGCAAGAGCGTTTCGGGAGTCGGGACTGAAATTATACCCCGTCTAGGACTAGCGGTTGCCAGATGTTTTAGGGCTAAATTGCACATACTACGTATATAAAGATTCAGACGAGAGCTCCTGAATTTGAAAATTCAAGATTACTTTCCTTCATTTCAGAATCACAGCTTAGTCACTATGGGAATCGAAGACGCACTCCCCCGAAAGCTTCGCCAGAAGCTCAGAGAAGACCTTCTAGCCGCCAACGACGAGTTTGTGCACGCCATTCCCAAAGTCGAGCTTCATGTGCATATTGAAGGTACTTTAACCCCCGAGCTGCGATGGGAGATTTCTCAAAGGAATGGTCTCAAAGTAAGGTTCGGCAATGGTCCCGAGCTACACAGTTTGGAGGAACTGAGATACGCCATGAACAGCGCGGAACCTAAAACGGAAGATGAGGAGCGCGAGTTCTTCTTTGCGTCATATTATGGAGCATTTGATACGTTGAAGACCAAGCAGGATTATTTTGATTTGGCAATGAACTACTTTGAGCACGTTGCGGCTATGAATGTGCGGTACTGCGAGGTATTTTTTGATCCGCAGGGTCATACGAGCCGGGGTATTCCCTGGGATGTTATGATGGGAGGGTTCAAAGAGGCTCAGATCAAAGCCGAGAGTGTACTCAACGTAAAACTCTCTCCCTCTCCTTTTGGTAGAAAACTCACAATTGATTAGGTTCGTTCCGCATGGATCATGTGTCTTCTACGTGATCTGCCCCCTGAGGACGCAATGGATCATTACATGGCGGCATTGCCATATCGCGACATGATTGCCGGCATCGGGCTTGATTCAAACGAATACCAGCGCCCTCCCTTATTATTCCAAGAGGTATTCTCACTGGCCCGCCAGGAAGGCTTCCGGATCACGATGCATTGCGACGTGGGACAAGATAACACCCATGAGCACATTCGACAAGTTGTTTCTGAGATGGGCGGAAACGGCGCGGATCGAATCGATCATGGCCTCAACGCAGCCGATAGATCAGATCTGGTGGACCTTATTCTAAAGCGCGACATAGGCATGACCATCTGCCCGTGGGCTTACATGCGATATCAGACTTACAGCGAGCTCGGTCCGAAAATGCGACTTCTTTTCGATGCGGGAATCAGAATCACTATCAACAGTGATGATCCGGCTTTTATGGACGATGCTTGGATTCTGCACAATCTGTTGCTCACAAAACACTTTGGATTTGCTGATAGGGAAATCGTAACGTTGGCCCGAAACGCGGTCAAAGTTTCCTGGGCAGCGCAGTCGACCAAGGACGACATTTTGCAGGAGATCGATGCGGTCTATAGACGCTTTTATCCAAGTTGAAGCAATTTCAGTCGCGTTGTATACAATCTTACTTCTCCCACTAGAACAGAAGCGTCTGCTTTTCAAGATCTTGCTTGTCGCCGGTTTGCCAAAACTGATCTAACACATCAATTGCAAGCTTTGGATTCCAACATCCAAGCGTCTTGAACTGGCTTKTGAATTCCTTTCGTAGCCATTGCCTCCTTTCATGAGAATCCTGATGTAGGCATAAACCTGCTTGAAACAAGGGCCATGATGTCGAGAACTTCCGATTTATCCCTGAAGATAGTTTTTCAGCCCTCCAAAAGACATTGTCCAGTAAACCCGAAGTATCGAATATCTCGTCTGATAGTTGGAACAAACGGATCAGGTAGAGTAAGATCCCGTATCTCCAGATCTCAACCATATCTTGTCGTTGATCTGACAGGATACCAGATTCATTCCATGTCCTTACAGCATTACCAAGGACAACAGCTTTCTGCAAAGCTACATCGGATGGGATTCGTGAAGAGATATGCAGCTTGTGCAGCACAGTAATATCTGCGATGTATTCAAATAAATCGATAGGGCAGTCAAAAACGTCGAATCCCCATTTGCGACCCGCTGGTGTCTTGAATTTGTTCAAGGCGGCTTGGACATGTTCGGGCTTCAGGTGCGGCATTCGAGATGATGTTGTGGCACCCATGATATCCAACCTAGCGAATGTTAGTTAATTGGTTGATATAAGCTGTGGAGAAATACGTTACCATGCAAGACGTTGTTGAAAAAAGCCTCGATCAGTTCCATCAGAACCGTGTTGCTTCACGATATCACTTGCTGCTTTCAAATGGGTGCCAAATTCCAGGCAATCCCCAGAACAAAGCTGTTGCATTAGTTAGAAACATGGAGTTAACAGGATATGATGCCTGAACATACATCAAGCTGGGCGAGTAATATCATACAGGCGATAAGAGAAACGTCTGTCTCCCGAGCGTCGTCTCTCAATTGCTGTCTGAGCGCCTGCGTGGCCTCCAGCCGTAAATGGAGACTTTGCATTCTCAACCTCTTGTCTTGGAGTTTGTTGCCTATATGGCAAGATGCGGTCGCGGCCACAGCATAGCGAATACAAGGAACGTTCCTGGCCATTGGTAGTATATGGTGTGTGTAGGGGGTTTCTGCAAGTCCATGACCCAAATAGAAGGCTGTACTAATGTCGCTTTCGTCTATAAGCCATGAGCTATGGTTTATTATCTCACAATACAAAACGGTTCTTACAGCACTTGATGAAGACCTGGAGACCATCGGGAGGAAGTAAGGGGGCAGGCATTCTCCATGTAGCTCGATGTAGTGTCACATCGCTGCTTGAAGAGCCATACTGGCGTGCATGATACTGTCCCTCCAGTAGCTTAGCTTGCTGTTCTCGCGAGACGGGACCATCATATTTTCGTACTATTGTTTTTCCCCCGGCTGCCAGGCCGACCCAACGTAGAGGATAACCCTCGCATTCTACACCGCGCCCATGGCAGCTCATACACCTAGGCAGGGTTCGATCGCACTTTCGTCCTCTTCGACGACACGTCTTGCAGGCAATACCGGATTTGTGAGAAGCCATTACCTGTAGGAGGTAATTCTTTGTGGCATGAATGATGAAATTATGAGCTGGGGTGATGGACGTAGAGGAAGTTAGTAAACCACGGCTATAGCGCGTATAACGAGCTGGGTCTGCCCCATCTATGAATGTGGACCAATAGAAAGATCCTAAATCAATGATTTGTAGAGATATTTGATAGCAAATTTTGAAGCTATGTAGACCCTATTATAATAAAATAGACTCTTTTTTAGGAATCTACCGTATATAACAAATCAGCATTGAACCTTTTGAATTGGTTCGTTCGTTATTTTTGCTCGATTGCATACCGCAGATGCCATCTTTCACAAATCTCCCTGAACATTCTCTAAGACCCATTTCACCTCCTGAACAATAACATCTGGCTCTGTCAACTGCACATTATGCCCACTCTTCTCAGCCTTTACCCACCTCGACCTCCTGGACAATCCCAACAGCCCCTTCTGCCACTTCTCATCCAATGCATCATAAGTCTCAATCATGTCCGCAAATTGCTTCCTCTCTTCCTCATTCCCATTCCCAGCTTTCGTGCCGGCTTCTAGCATCAACTCAAAGTCTCTGTAGGTGCAGCCCTTGATAACACTCACCGGACAGATCCCAAGCAGCGGGGGATCCTTCAGATCAAATTGTCTCTTCGCGGCAAGCACAGCTCCACTAGTGATATACCCTCTAGCCTCAGCGGTAGCAGTCCTCGTGTGCTTCTCAGCATACTCCTTGTTCTGGCTCAACAACATCTCCCAGTCATGCGGTAGAAATCTGTGTGCTTGACTAATCCCTACAACATCCCAAACATTCAGCCCCTCAGTCACAGCGTCAATGTACGGCGCCGGCCACGGTCCTTCGATAGTGTTCAACTCCTGGTTTGCATCCACAAAGACCATTCCATGAACATCATCCCGTCGCAAGTGGACAAACTCCCGTGCGATAATTCCGCCGTAAGAATGACAAATTAGTACAAACGGGCCTGTCAAATCAGCCGCGTGGAGGAGATCGTTGAGTTCGGCTGCTATATCCACTGCAGTAATGGCTTCAGTGTTAGGGTCAATCTCGGAGCTGAGTCCGTAGCCACTCCGATCGTAGAGTAAGGTTCGCGCGAATTGTGTGATTGTACGGTTCAAGACGATCCATTCTAAGGCGTGAGACGCAAGGCCGGGGATGATTATTATGAGGGGTGTGTTTGGTTGTGTTCTGATAGGGCCGGATGTGCTCAGGTAAAGAGCGTGATTTGGGCGGAGAGAAAAGAGGCCTGCTTTGGAGGGTTCATGTTCCCATGGATTTGTATGGTTGATTAACATTTTGTAAATGGTTTTTTACTTTCGCATTGACGAAGTATGCCTAGGTAGAGATGATTTCGATGAAAATGTTACATGTAAGTCAAGCTTGTGAGGCTAATGCGATGCCCGACAGATAAGGCGTGACCACTAAAGTCCTAATAAAAGGCCACATCATGACACCAACACCATAATCCAGTGAGATAGAAACCATTTTCTAAGTAAGATGAGTATAAAGACAAAGAGCAAGAATGAGAAGATGTACATAAACCAGCCAACCTATTTGGTACGTGATAAACACCCTACATACCCCATGTCATAAAATAACAGAAACCTATACCAGCAGAAAAAGCAAGAAAAGAAAATGTCATGCATTTAGAAATCTGTAATCAATCACTCCAAATCTTTATGAGAAACGAGACTATGATCATGATTTCCCCATCTGAAACGCCCCAAAAACTCCGCCTCCTCCACCGGGAGTCAAAGCTCCTGCTCCAATATGTGATGGTGTTTGAGCACTACCGCCCGCATTCGTGTTTGCGTTGTTGGGTGTACTGGGTGTCCCTGTAGCGGAGTAGATGGTAGCGCCGTTGAGATTAGGTGTTTGTTGTGCGTAGTAGGTGGTCATGGCGGGKAGTTGACCGTTAAGTCCCCAAACCTGGCCCGAGKATTTGGATTCGTCTATCGTGCCATTAAACACGATTTGTCGCATTTTCCAATATATCTCGCCCGTGACGAGAGAATCTGACCCAGCTTGATGGGCAATACCCACTCGCTTGACGCCAAGCTCGTCAGCAATGTCCTGTAGACCAGATTTCTGGCCTAGATTATTGATCACTTGAAGTGCTGCAGGAGTTAAGGGAGAGTCATTGGCGGTCTGGTTTCGGCCAGCGTGTTTCATGAGATATTTAATGTCGTAGAGAGAAGGGAAGAAAATCCTCAGCAACTTGTGGAACTCCTCTTCGTCTTCTGGAAGAGGTTTGCAAAGCATTATCTTCATCAGGTAGCCAAAATCGTAACCAGAGTGGAACGAAATCCAGTGAACGTCGTCTAAGAGAACCAGCCCAGAACTCATTAGAAGCGCACCAAACTCAATCGGGTCGATCCCATTCTTTTCGTGCATGGAGAAATCGATACCCGCTTTTGCCAGCATGCTCGTCGAGTCTTGGGCGTACATGTCGTCTTCTAACGAAAATCGAAAGTTGAACTGCCAGGTACATGGTGCTGGTCCGTAGTTACCGCCGTAGCCCTGGCCGTTGGCTTCTGTTGGTGTTGCAGGCGGCAGTTCACCTTCTGCGGAGAATAACGTAATACCGAGTTGAATCATTTTGAGAAGATCGACGTTACAGCGCAAGGTTTGATAATGGTAGTCTGCTTTTGTTGTGAAGGCGCCCATCGGTCGAGCAACGATACCGGGAAATTCAGTATCCTGAAATTGTCAGACAGATCTCCTCAAAGTGCGTGATTAAACATACCATGCTGATATATGGATATCGCTCCACCAGCCGTCTTAGCACTGCCATTTCTTGTGCCAGATTATGTTTCCACACGTCGCGAATGCGAGTCTTTATCGGGTTGGCTTTGCCTTCCAAAACTAACCTTCCATCCTGAGCCTGGTGAAGTGCCTGCTGCTGCATTTGCGCGCCTCGAACAAAGCCCATCTGTGCTGCATGACTGGCGAGCCCCGTCCCATTAGCAGCATCAGCACCGAAAGCACCAAGACCATTTGTGCTACCGAGTCCGAACGGGTTGGCAGTCGAACTGGAAGCCACAGAGCTGAAACCAGGGTGACCACCTAACGAAGGAGGCGGGAGTGCGGCGTTGACGGATTGTGTATGGGCGGCATGATGTTGTGATTGTGATTGCTGTTGTGTCTGTTGTTGCTGTAGTTGGTGAGCTTGTTGAAGATGGCCAAAGGGCGTGTTCAAGGCCGAGGGCCCGTATCTGCCCACAGGCGGTGGCATTCTACTACCGACAGATCAGTCTTGTGTAGCGGGATGAATTGGCGAATGAATTGGTCATGAATGAAGACGACGGAGCGTCGATGTGGGCGGTAGATCGATCGATCGCAGTTCTGTACCGGTTGTTGCAATTTTAGCAGATTGACTTGTTGGATTCGCGAGCGGACCAGTTCCAAAGCGGGTTGTAAATCAAGACGACCAACAAAGCAATATCTAATACAAGGTGAAGCTTTCGGAGTCTGATCTGGCGTCGGCCGCCCGCAAGCCCAAAAGCGTCTTTACCCAATCCGGATTAGCGCTCATAGTCACATGACCAATCTTCAACTTACGAAATCCCGTGCTTTCAACGTCAAACTATCAACACCAGCTCTATTGAACGCTCAAATCGATACACTCAGCTCCGGGACAGCTGAGAAGGGCCAATAAATCCCTGAAGTTAAACAAATACCTGCAATTGGTCCATACAACCCGACCGACGATCTCGCAATTCTTCATCATGTCTTCACGACACCCCACCGGTTTCGATTTCAAGGAGTTCAAGGCTGCGGCGCATCCCCGATCTGTATGGGCAAAGAAGGATCCATGGGCTCGACAGTACGATTTCTCTACTGGATACCAAAAATATGTTGGTTATGGTGCTAATTGAACTAGTGAGGCATGGCGGTACACAGGTCCCTTCTCCCGCTGGAATCGGTTCAAGGGCTTGTTCCCCGGTCTTGGAACGGCTACCGTCCTTTTTGCCGGTTATCTTGCATACGAACAAGTGTTTTTGTCGAAAGATCACGAACACGGACATGGACACGAAGAGTCCCACCATTAATTTTCGCTTACGTTCCGTGAAAGATTGATCGAAGCTATCTGAACAACACAAAACGCCTTGGGAAGGTGGTAGCCAGCGAGACAGAAATTCCCAGCGTTCACATGCTGATCGGGGCGCCTGTGGAACATGGTCTCATTATGATGACGGAGAAGGATGGTGTTGCAGACGATGAGTCGACTTCAATTGTCAGAAAATGCGATGTTTCCTAGATCATCTGTAGATATGGCGCTCCGGGTATCATTCTCTTTTCCTTTCATTGCTGTATGTACATATTGTGATATCTATGTTTTTGTTTGTCCAACCAGAAGATCGTAGAGACTTCTACTCATTACCCCCATAGAACCATTGACGGTGATAGACATTATTTACAAAATGTATTTGTCTGCATATCGGCACTTTTAACTCATGATCGCCGTCTATTCTTCATAAACAAGCACGACACCGTCATCACCTGCAGTGACAACCCGCTTCCCTCCAGCATGTCCCTGCACAAACCCAAGTATACCACCAGATTGTTCCCCACCTTCAGTCTCGACCAATCCCAAATGACCTCTCCATTCCTGAAGCAAACCCTGTCCTGCCGCTGCAGTGCCGCCTCGAGCATCCCATCGTCGCACAACGCCATCCAAACCAGCAGAGGTAAGAACCCACGGTCGTCCTTGACCTGCAGCATTTGTAGCCGGTCCTGGTAGGCCAGGACGGGTCAAAGGGGTACCAGCTTGAGAAGGTTGCTGCAGGAATTCGACTTTGACTACTGTAGCACCTTCATGAGCATCACGGATATGTCTTCGTACTGCAAATCGATGCGCGACATCGAATAGGCAGATTGATCCGTCGACAGAGCCAGAAGCGAGCATTGTCAGAGGCAGAGAAGAGAACGATAAGCTTTCAACGCTATCAGACTGTGCTTGCAAAGAGGCAAGAAGGGCGCCAGCGCCCGTTGCTTGTGCGCCACCTGCAGGTGCTGCTTTACCTTTCGACTTCGCAGCAGGCGCTGACAAACGAGGCAAACCGACCACCTTGATATGACCCTCGGCACCACCGACAGCAGCAATGGCACCCGAAGGGGATATGGCAATGGAGTATAGACCACCTTCAACAGCGAATCGCTGATCTTCTGCCGTATGTCCCACAACTGCGGTTGTGCCCGCAGAGTAAGCATATCCCGCAGCAGCAGCTTGCCCGAAAACATCATTCACATAGAAACTGCCATCCTCCGAAACAGTCGCCAAAAGCTTTCCGTCAGGAGTCCATGCACCCGCCGTACAAGCCATGGTATGCTGAAAGAAGGTCTGAACAATCGAAATAGGCTGAGCGGCATCCGTATGATCAATTTTGAACACCCAAGCACTACCATCATTACCGCCAATCGCAACAATATTGTGACCATCTTCCTGACCCTCCTGAGCCGGAGCTACAGCCAGCCAATTGATCTCTTCAACTTCCTGTGCCTCGGCGACAAACTCCCACATCATCCCCGTCTTTTGTGCCGTCGTATCTCTGTATACGCGCAATCGTCCATCGAGMCCAGCCGTAAGCGCATATTCACCCCTGGGACTCGTAAACGCTACCGCATTCACGGAATCTTTATGTCCCTCCAACTTCTTAATCGGCTCCAAGGATTTCCGCTCCGTCTTCGGTTGCGGATTCGACTCGTAGCTTTGTGGAAGTAACGGCCGCTCATCCGTGGGAGTCGTATCGACTATGTAACCTGTATCGTCACCAGAACCCGTAATTACTATTGATTGATGGACAGGGTGTTGCGCAATGCAAAACACAGAGTCTGTGTGGTAATCGAAATGCGCGACGGAATCGTTTTGGAGTGTGATTTCTTCTTGCATTGCGTGGTCTTCATTGTCGTCGTCCGAGTCCATTGGGTGGTCCTCGTCGCCTTCGACGATTTCTTCGGCGTCCGCCTCGTCGAGGTAGATGTCCTCTTCATTCTCATTTTCGTTGTAAGTATTTGACGACATTTTGGCGCTTCACGAAATGAAATTATAGGAGATGGTTATTGAGATAGAGAAGGGAGAAAAAAAAATAAATGACAGTAACGGTGGGGTAGTCCACCCAGCGAAGTTTTATATTGTCGATATGACTGTTGATGCTTCCGACTTCAATTTCGAACTGTTTAGAAACAGTACCAATGGTCACCAGATTTGTAATCTGCAAAAGAGAAGTTTTCGTGGCAACGATATCAGCGTTGTTACGTGAATTATTAATGCTCTTCTTGCCCCTCGAAGCTTGGAAATTTCGTTATCTCCGCCGCAGCCAATGAAAACTGAGTTACAGGTCTCCACTCTATAAGAATCGCAGATTTTCCTAAAACAGTAAAAAATCATAGCTCGTTTGTGAGATCAGGGAAACATTGAGAGCTGGAATCTAGGTACAGGATTATATAGACAAAATATATTCAAAGCTTGCTGCCAGCCCTCTTTCTTGCCTCCCTCTCCTGATCCCTCAGCAACCGTCGCAAGATCTTACCACTAGGGCTCTTGGGGATGATGTCCAAGAATTCCACACCTCCCTTCAACCATTTGTGTCGCGCTTTGTGATCTTCTACATGCTTCTTGATTGCTGTTATAGTGAGAGCATCATCTTGTGTTGCTAGCGGCGACTTCACGACAAACGCTTTGGGCACTTCGCCAGCGGCCTCATCAGGAATTCCGATCACAGCGCAGTCCGCGACAAGTTCGTGTTCGAGGATGTGAGCTTCGAGTTCAGCAGGTGCAACTTGGTTTCCCTACAGCTTGTCAGCCATGATCACTTCAGATCTTTCGTATACAAATACCTTGACTTTGATGAGTTCCTTGATTCGGTCCACGATGAACATGTGTTCTGTTCCTTGAGGACCGGTGCGCATCACAGCCTCATCTCCAGTGAACATCCAACCATCCCGGAAAGTCTCCTTTGTGGCCTTTTCATTGTTCAAATATCCTAGCACAACACTTGGTGATCGGACTGCGAGTTCGCCTGGGGTATCGTATTCAATAATTTCCTTGCCATCTGGGGTGACTATCCTTGCCTCAACACCTGGCAGAAAATTTCCACTGGAGCCAAACCAGATGTCCGTAGCCGTTGTACCAGACACGACAGTGGCAGTTTCGGTCAGACCTTGTTCGCGTCAGCTGATAACTAGTATAGATCAAGGTGCATCATACCGTATCCCTGCCTAATTGCCCAGTCAGGGAATACCCCTTGCAGTTCTTTGGCAGTTTCAGCTCCGAGAGGCGCGGCTCCAGAGAAAATGGAAGTCACACTTGACATGTCGTATTTCTTCATCAAGTCCTTATTGCGCAACATTGTGATGATGATTGGAGGAACCTGTTTTTAAGTGTTAGCCATCGATCTCTTATGAACGAGAAAATTGTTTCTACCAAGAAAAGAGTATTGATGTGAAATCTCTGGATAGAATCCAAAAAGGTCATGATATCGAACTTTGGAAGGACAATGAGGGCATCACCCCTGAAGGGTACAGCATGGCACATGTAAACTAATGCATAGATGTGACTCTGAGGAAGAAGGCACAGTGAGGATTCGGTATTGGGCTTGTCTGTACTCTTTGGGCGAAACGTTTCCTCGAAGGTGCAAATTTGGATGGAATTAGCGATGACATTACGATGTGATATCATCACCCCTTTCTGAATATTTGTTAGCTCTTGATCCCGCTGATACGTATTCTTCTAGGATGCCGTATGAGGTGACTTACCGGGAGGCCTGATGTTCCACTCGAGTAGCACACAAATGCAGTCGTCCGCGCTCCGTGCCCAGGTCCCCATTGTAACTTTTCGACCTTCGGTAAAGATTTGCCTGTCGCGATAAGATGTTCTAAGGTTTTGAACTGCGAAGGCGCTTTTGCGTTGCCTACAAATTCCAAAGGCAGATCGACAATATACACGCGGTTCGGAGGAATGCCAGCTTTTTGTGCAGCTGTCAATGCTGTCTCTAGAAGTGGAGCGCAGGTGAACAAAGAAGTAGCCTTGGAGTCTTTCAGTTGATAGGTCAATTCGGCGGCCGAGTACGCAGCATTGGCTGGAGTAACTACACCACCGAGTCGATGGAGAGCCCAGTACAGAGATAGATTATCAATCTATCATTGGCATGTCAGTGTAAACGCCAGTGACTAGAAAGAAACTCAAATTCCTACAGTGTTTACAAGAAAACATGCAGCGACCTTGTCCCACTCTGACCCGCGGTTAGGATGCCAATTGAACTCTTGGGCAAGAGCACGCGCGAGATAGTCGACTCGGTCCCTTACTTCCAGCCATGAGTATGATTTCCCACTGAGACCACAGGTAAAGGGATTCTGTGAGTTGCTGAAGGCAGACCTTCCATGCTGCTCGTCCAGCATGAAATCGCAGATTGCGACGTCATCTGGGATCAGGGGCAGCGGCGGGAAGCTGCGAGGCGGGAAGAAAACCATTTCTACTCGAAGAGTGGCAGACTAACAACGAAGTTGAATTGAAAAGGAAATCTAAAACACAGCAGCTTTCATCTTAAGTCGACAAGTTCTTTGTTTAATGAGCCGGAAGAGCTTCGGTTATTGCAAGCCAATCAGCTACGAGCGATTGTGCGGAGTATACACAGTGAAAGAAATGCGGGGGAAGCGGCTTTGTTTCCGCCCGCCCCAGCCCAATCAGAGCGACCCCTTTTCGGAGGAATTCCTCTTTTGTACTTGCCGAACTTGATACAACTCTGTAGAACGAATGCATGTGTTCGGTCTTTCGTCCGATTACTACAAGGATGGCGACTGGACGGTATGGAGTAAAGTCATCAAAGATGCAGAAAATATGTAAGGCAACCCTCGAGGCAATTCATGCAGGTGAGGGAACGAGAAGTCTTGTGTCTTTGTGGACACGCCTCCCTAATCGACACTCTGAGAGAAAGAGATAGAGGGCGGACAGGGAAAGAGCGACTGACAATAACTGCACCCTTCGTGCCTTCCCTCTGTGCAGCGCTTGCTCCAGCAGGAAGGTGCAGTTGATGCCTCAGGATACGGCGCTGAGGAAGTACATGTAGACAGCTAATAACATTGAATCCGGCAACCTTACTATATTACTATGTATTCATACACCTCGCTCGTTTGTCATTACAACAAGCACCATCATACATCGACAAAGTTGGAGCATCACTTCAGTAATGATTACTCGTGCATTACCGACGCTTTAAGTTTGCAATGTGACTACAAGATTATCGTCCTTACTTCCTCCTGCCATTCCCCAGTTGACACGTCGACGCCATGCCGAAAAAGAGAACATGCTCCGAGAATATGCAAGATGGGGGAACTAGGAAGCCTCGCATCGAACAGAATGATACCGCCGGGGACGAAGAAGCTAGGAATCAGCCCCCGGCATGGGCCGATGTAAGCATCCATTGCACTTCGCATATTTGCAGCATTAACATTAACCCCGAGGATGCAGAGTCGCCACAGTCTCTGCAGTGCCCTTCCCTGGTTTCGCTCCGTACAGGGAGGCTCCTATCAGTCAAACAAGCTGTGTTATGGTTTCCTCCTCGACCGCGATGGCGGCCCTCGGGACTATCTAGACGACGAAATTGTCATCACGCGAGTGTGAGTTCCGTACGATCCTGGTAACCGAAAGCATACTGATTGCTCAAAAAGCGGAGGCGATTGTAAGCTGGACGCAGATGGAAACTTGAAACAGCACAGAAACCAAGACGAGAACACGCGGGTCGTGGAGTCGCTTCGTGAGAGTATGCAGTCTGGACTTGCTGTTGGACTGATCATTGGTCTGTCTCTCATGCTCTTGCAATTTCACTTGACTTAATGTCCTATCCACTAGGTAACAAAAACACGACCATCGCAAGAAAGTTACCACATAGGTTCAACGTGATGGCATGGTTTCGTGTGGTTGATGTCTGGTTTGAGAAGACTAGTAACAACAAGACTGGAGCACGCGTCCGATTTCAGAAGCTCGATCTCGAACAACCCAGTTGGTGGGCTGGGAAAGGGCCAGAAAACCCCCTACTATTGAGTCAAAGGATGCTCATCGAATCCCAGCGTGAAATCTGTCGCGTATGTGGCAAGTCTAGCATGTTGACCTATGAATCAGGCTGGATGTGTTTGCAAGCAGGCTGTAAAAGATTCTGGACCTTAAAAAGTGGTGATGCTCCTTCCGATCTTGCATACAGCGCAGTGTTCCTCAATTCCCGCGAGCCAAACGACGACCAAATTCAACCCCAATTCAGTCTTGTCCCCGATCTTCTGGCTGACTTGTCGGAGTATCCAGACGCGTGGACACACAGGGTTGCTTGGCGAGGTGTAGTGTGTCCGAGATGTGACAAGTGCATTTCCAGGAAAAGCTGGAACAGCTGGGTATGTAATGATTCATCAGACGACGATAGCCAGCATCCAGGTGTTTGTCAGTGGAAAATATCCATGCCCATACCTGCATTCTCACTCCGGTCAGTCCTAGCAGACTATGAAATCGGTGTTACCAAGAGAGGTATTCGCACAGACAAGGACGCGCTCATACAGCCGAAGAGTTGCTTTACAAAGCCATATCAAATAGTGACTTATGACCTTGGTGATATTGGGAAGATTGTTCACTTTAGTGCTAATAGATCGACACTAAAAAGGCCCAACGGTCCTAATGAACTGTTCAAACGCCTTCAAGAGGTTGACCTGGGCCTTCGCCGATACCCTGTTAGGGGGCAATCCGGTAAGGGTATCTGCTGCTGAGAGAAATAGTTCTCATAGCTAATGGTCTACAGCGGATGAAATGTTGACTGCACATTTTGCAGTGAACTTTGTGCGTGGTATTGTTCTGAGCGGACGATCTGAATGCTGACGATCATCCACAGGGAATGCCATACAAGTATGTTGTTTCAGTCGACTCAAAGGGGTTCGACGAAGCTCCTGTCGAAATAATGTTTGCACTTGGCCGTCTGGATTGGGCAACCAGGGAAGCTGTTGGCGCGGGAGCGCGCAAGCCAAATGAGCTGTTAACTGTAGGCTACTTTCAAGACATGTCAATGGGTGTATGTCAAAAGAGATAGCATGACACTGAGCAATTCTGATCATTCCCAGTTTCACGACGATGGTGAAGACTCGCTAGGACCTACGATTGCAACTCTGTCTCTTGGTTCTCAGGCGACGATGAGGTTCCGCCTCAAGAAGAAGTATTACAATGGCAACGCGGCAAATGCTGCGGTCCTTCCAGGCTGTGAATTCTTCGAAGAGCGCAAGGAGCTCAAGGAACAGCACGAAAATGGAGAACTTGATGATGCTGAGTATGTCAATAAATGTATGGAATTAACAAGCGACATCACGCGGCGAGAAGCAAAAGATATGATCGCCCTAGAATTGCATCACGGAGACATGGTGGTTATGCATGGATCATTGCTGCAGAAGTACTACGAGCACTCCATTGCGTCCGAAGGCAAGCTTCGTTATGCCCTGACGGCTCGACACGTGCTGGAAGAGAAGGTAGAGTTGAAAGAACGCGCAAAAGGCCAGTTGAAATTTACGGCAGATCAAATTTATGATGGGGAGTAAAAGGGGTTCTCGATGTCTTTCACATGTGTATTCGTTTGTCATCTTGCTCAGCATAACAACCATAGTATCTTTCATCACATCATCTAAGCCGGTGTGAAGAATAAAATTCGAATTAACAAATACCGTGCCTAGGTACACATCCACCTTCTCTTTTAGCTTTGTTCTTGCAAGTACAAGTCAGTAGACGTCGGCATTTGACAAGGATTAAGTTGTTATAGCACTGAGAATAGCTCTATATTGCTCCAAGTCGGGATCTTTCTGACCGAATAATCTCCAGCGTCGATCGCAGGGCCACATCAAGCGGTCAATTGTTGGTTTGCCAAGCCAGTCTGATACATTGTTTTTTTTTTTCTTTTTCTTTTTCGGAGAATGCATGGTGAGTTAGGCAGATTTGGCGGCTCGATTGAGTCGAGCAGATTGGTGGTAGTTAATCAAGTTAGTCACCCCCACTCGGCGCTCAGCTGTGTCTCTGAGACTCTCACCACAACATCAGCAGTCATCTAACAATAGCAACCCCGAATATTGCTGTTGCCAGATCTTCAGTCACTCGTTCATCCCTGTTTTGCGACGCTGCTTATCTATTTTTCTGTTACGAGGCTGAAAGAACGGTATCAGTATTGTCGATTGCTTCATATGGGCATATGCTACTTCTCCCGTTGCGACCGATGCTCAGCGCACACGATCAGACTCTCGACGCATATTCTACGACCGATCGCGAATCTCCTCGCCAAACATAATATTTCAAAACAGTCACCCTGTTCTGTTATCTCTGCAGGCGTATGTTTGGCTTCGTGGTTTGATATGACTCCCGGTTGACCACCACGTCAACACAAACTTGGATTATCGATAAGTGAGCCAAATCTGCCTGCTCTGCTTCATCGCTTATTGCATTTCATCTCCCTCGTGGCGATAACTTGCTACGACCGCCAGTCATGTCTCAATATCAGCCTGGTCAGCAGCCATATTACGGACAGAACAGCAATAATGTGAATGGATCCGCGCAACCCGCACCACATTCCTCTCCGTACGCACCCTATGCTCCTCAACCGGATCAGGTACCACCTTTGAGACGGACACCCAGCTACATCGCCGGCGATGATTCGGTATATGCTCCTGGCGCGCCAAACGAAGCAATACAGGGAGGTCCAGGGTTCCCGCCTGTTGCGGGGACTTACAACACGTTCGCAAACACAGCACCGGCTAATCTAGGCTCGAGACACTCCCAATTCTCTGTTAGCAGCTCTCAGCGGTCGAACCCGAGTCGTACATCTTCCCATGGATCGTCGGCGACGTCTACCTACCAGACGCAGCCGTATTCACAAACTCCAACTCAATCGAACATAGCTTACAATCCCCAACAATATGCACGACCTCATTCGCTTTCTCAACCGCCCTCAATGTCTTATAACCCTCAAGCTTATACCGGCGTCAATAGCAATGCAGGACAAGCTTATCAAACCTACAACCCAGCTGCATATCAGCCGAACACAGGGACCGCATACACCGCGCCAAACATTCTCCGACAGCCGTCCGCACGCTATTATTCGCAACCGCAGCCTACATACGCGATGCCTTCTCCGCAATCACAACCACCACCTCCTCCTCCCCCTCGCGGTACAGATCATCCGTATGGTCCGCGCTCACCTCAGTTATCAGACTCTTCTCCGAATCCCAGTTATAGCTACTCATATTCCAGTCAGACTTCGCCCTCACTAGGTTACCATTCCTCTGTACATCAATCCAACCAGACATCGCCGGTGTACGCATCGAATCCATCTTACGCAAACTCCAGTCCGCAATCGTTGCCTTCTCGACAGAGCTCCCACGCGTCGCAAGCGCATGGATATTTCCCACAGATACCTTCTTCAGCTTCGGAGCCACTTATCGAAGAGCAGCCTCCCGCTCCTCCAGCGCATAAACGTTCGAGCTTATCCGGACCCTCGTTGAGAGCGTCAGAGACATCTTCAATCTACCAGTCGTCGCCGTCATTGTCTCCTAGGAGGACTGATACTCTCACCCGACACCCTCAAGCGCGTCCTCTTCCCGGTCCACCACCATCAGATTCGACTGGAACGGTGTCGTACAACGGCGCCGGAAATACATATGAAGATCTTATGAAGGAAGTAGAGGCAGCTGTGCAAGGAAGTTCTCAGGGCATGGGGCGCAACGGACTTGGACGAATACCCTCTCTAGAGGCGCAACCGCATGGAGAGGAAAGTTTTCGACCTTTATTTAGTGAAGGGGTGGCAGCTCCTCGACTTAGTCCTGATGAAAACCATACACATACGAATGGGAGTGTGGCGACGGGCACTGGGCAATACGTCAACTACGATGCGTATAGCGACGAGAGTGATGCCGAGGCTGCTGCTGGCATTGCAATGATGCAAATGGCAGAAGAAGAAGAGAGGGCCGAAGCGGAGCGACAGAGGAGCAGAGGTGGAACTGTAAGCTCTTTGTTTCCGACATATGCCTCGCAACCGGCTGTTCCTACTACCATCGCATCGCCACAAGAGGCCAGCAGTGACAGTGACTACGCTCATCACGACTTGGCTCTGTATGGAGGAGGTTATGAGGGTCAAATGCACTATGGCGATACTCCGGCTCCAGAGACCGAAACAAAGATTACCGCAACAGTCGATTACTTTCCTTCAACTGACGATGGCCATTTACCAGCGTTCCACTTTACTACTCCAGCCAGAGTTGATACTGGAGGCACAGGCGGCTTATCAGAACCGAGTGCCTTGGGCCGACGACTAAGCTTTGACTATGGAGACGAAGATGCTGATCCTATATTAAACATAGGGGATGATGATATTCCCTCTGGAAGCCAAAGTCCAGAAAAGGGAGAACCAGCAGATCTCTTTTATCATCCTGGAATGCGTCCACTTCCACCCGCGCCAGTCGAATCAACAAATAATGCAGACGTTCTAGCACATTTGATCCCTGCAGGGACTTATCGTAATTCGCAGTATGGTGAACAGGAAAGCCAGTATAGACCTCTTCCGCAACCCATGTCTTCAGACTCGTCCGGACTGTCGCTGCCGAATCCGCAAGTTCCGCGGTCGACATCTCTGTCGAGTCATAGTAGTACGCCTCGTACTGACGCGCCGATTAGGTCCAAGACCGATGCGGATCGGGTCAAGTATAAACAGCAGCAGGAGTTTCTGCGACAGCAAGCGGCGGATGTTGCTGTCGGAACTCTGGGATTCAATGCATCTCCAGAGCCTTCTGCTATAGCTCTTGATCTGCCTACTATACCGGCCGGCAGGAGGAAAAAGTTCCACCCTGCGAAACTTTCTTCGGAGCAATTCCGCAAATGCACCGAGCCTTGGGCTCTCAGTGCAATTGTGGCCTGGGTCAAGGACTTGAGCGAAGATGAGACTGACCTCAAAGAACAGGCCGTTGTTGATGCTATTGTTGCATTATTTACACACAAGGTGCCGACAATGAACACAGCTGATGCAGAGACTTTAGGTTCTTCGGTCGTCAAAAACATGCTGAGTGAAGGCGCGTTGATAGTTGACGAAGAATGGGTCAAGTTCAGCGACAAGTCGTTGTCGGGTGTGCTATTCCAGATAACAGGTAGCGGGTGTTATTCTCCTCGCCTTCATGCCGAAGAAACGGAGTCTTACGGCCGTTGTTACTCGCATCATTGTATGAGGACGCTCAAAAAGATCAATCTTCGTGCTCAGGCTATGGAGCCTCAGAGGAAAGCTCAAGACTGGGTTACCTTCTACAACGTACCCAAGGAAGTATGGGAGGGCCATCCACGCAAAGAGATTGACCGTCAAAACAATCTTCATGAAATTGTCACGACCGAAGATTCATTTATAGAGCAGCTAGACGTGCTACGGGTGCTCTACCGTGATCAATTATCTACCATGCAGCCTTCGATTATCAGTCCGAAGCGCCAGGAGAAGTTCCTGCGCGACGTTTTCGGTAAAGTCGATGCGGTCAAAAAAGTCAACGAGGACTATCTATTGGCACAACTCAAGTATCGACAGAAGGAACAGGGTCCGTTCATCGCCGGCTTTAGCGACATTTTCAGGGAGTGGATACGAAAAGCTAAAGCTGTCTATATCGATTATGCGGCTACCTTTCCCAACGCGAATTACATGGTCCGCAAGGAAGCCGAGCGAAATGCTGTCTTCCGACAATTTCTCAACCAAGCCCGTGATAATAAGCTCTCTAATCGTCTAAGTTGGGATACTTATCTCAAGGCTCCTATCACTCGCATCCAGCGCTACACTCTACTGTTGTCTACTGTGCACAAAAACATGCCAAAAGACTCGGAAGAAAAGACGAATCTCGCACTTGCCATTGAAGAAATCAAGGTTGTTGCACTAGAGTGTGACAACAAGGTGGGCGAGATGACAAAGAAGGTAGATTTGGCAGAGCTTTCCGCAAAGCTCCAATTAAGACCAGGAATGAATAAGGAGGTTGAGTTGAATCTGGGACATCTGGGACGAGAGATCATGTTCCAAGGCGATCTTCAGCGACCTGGAACTCGGACAAGATTCAATCTCGTGGACACGCACGCCATCTTGTTCGATCATTACCTTGTTCTGGCGAAAACTGTTCAGATGCGTGACACGGCCAAGACCGGCAAGTTTGAAGTCTACGATGTTTCTAAGCTACCAATCCCTATGGATTTATTGGTGCTTGAGAGCACAAATGATGATCCAGTGGTCAAGTCCTCCGTGAGAGGAGTCTCAACAGTCACACAGCCAACGGCGGCGGCGGCACGAGGAGCTGGTCCAGGTACTCTCACACACACAGGTACCGCCAATTCCGCCGCATCGTTCGTTGCAACAACCAACCTCGAGAACTCCAAGGACGACAAGATCCTATATCCGTTCAAAGTCAAGCATCTGGGCAAGTCGCCTACCTATACACTATTTGCGCCGTCTGCTCAAAACAGGCAGGACTGGTGTCAGAAGATTACAGAGGCCAAAACTAGACACGCTGCATCGCTTTTTGCACAGAATGCAGAACCCTTCCGGCTCCGAGTGTTGGCGGATGCGGCTTTCACCTATGGAGAGGCTCCAGGGACAAAGACTGTGATGATCAAGGGAACGCCATTGGACCGCGCGATACGAGAGGTGGAAGCAAAATACGCCAGTGTAGGAATTCGGCCCAATCCCGTGTGCAGAGCTATGGTCAACTGTGCGACGGTGTTCCAGCAACCGGGTGGCCAGCTGATCTGTGCTATCGGCACAGATTTTGGAGTGTTCATGTCGAGATACGACGATCCGCGAGGCTGGCAAAGGGCAATCACAATTAGTCGAGTCACGCAGATCTCCGTGTTTGAAGACTTTAACTTGTTGCTATTGATTGCGGACAAGTCTCTTATAGCCTATCATCTGGATGTGGTCTGCCCGACCAGCGGCACGCCTTCCCAGACGTCTCAACATGATTCTGCGCGTCGAGCACCACAGAAGGTTTCGGGTAATCGCGAGGTGGGATTCTTTTCCGTGGGCAGAATGAAGGATCGCGCTCTTGTCTTCTACAAGAAGCGGGATGGCATCTCATCAACCTTCAAGGTAAGTCGTCTTGCCTTTTTTTTTTTACAAGGTTAATGCTAATAAGTGTAGGTGATTGAGCCCGTCTTGCACAAATCAGCCACAAGTCGGTCGCGATTCCTTCCAAGCCGTCGCGGTCAGACAGAATTCTTCCGCGAGTACGACGAATTCTACATTCCTGCAGAAAGCTACAACATCAATCTATTCCACAGCTCGCTAGCCATCTCCACGCAGCGAGGCATTGAGGTCCTGACCTTGGACAAGAAACAGCCATGGTCTTTACCTATACTTAGCGCAACAGCCCCAGAAGCCCAGCCTTATTTGACTAGTATCGGAAACCGCATTAAAGATTTACGACCGTTGGGCATGTTCAGACTCAGCGATGCCGAATTCCTACTTGCCTACAGTGAATGCGCCGTGTATGTCAACAAACTTGGAGACATATCTCGCAGCGTCGTCATGGAATTTGTTGGACGAGCGCACACGGCCTGTCTACATGGGAAGTTTTTGATTCTGCTGAATGACGACTTTGTCGAGGTCCGCAACGCGATGAATGGCCGCTTGAGACAGGTCATCCCAGGTCGCAACGTGGTTTGTCTCGATGATGGCGGCAATATGGGGGCTATAGACGACACGATCTCTCAAGAAAGCAATTTTGCTGGTGCTGGTGTCAACGGGCATGCCCACTCGTCATCTACCAGTGACCTTGCGCGTAGCGGACGAACCGTAAAGATTTGCATGCAACATCCAGAGTACGAGCGCAGTCAGATTGTGGTGGAGCTGATAGCGAACGAAGGACAGAGCGATTAGACACTTGAACTGTCGGCTCTTGTTGCGCTTCTAGAGCAGGTACAGATTCTTTTCATATCTTTTTGTCTTTTTTCTATTCACCCCTCTAATCGATGATTTTGGACGACTTTCGAGGCAGCATGAACACATTGGTACGATCTGGGACATGGGGCTTGCATTTTATATATTCATCTATGCATTTAGTTTGTGACGCAGGCATGTTTGGGCCGTTTTGTGTTTTCATTTTCTTGTGATTTATTTGTACAGATGTGATGATCATGTTTTATACTAGGGCGTGTTCGGTGTAAATGGACAATTCAATTGAATATTGACGTTACATACCTAGTATGCTGGAGTATGCCCGAACAGGAGACTTTCGCCGTGTCAGAATTTAGTTAGTCAGCAGAGATGCCAGAGAGTAACTAAGTTATATCCTCGGCCGGATATGCTACATGTAGCACTGCTGTGTAACAGTGCTTAACGAGTCAGTACCGTAAAATAGCACTGTAGTCTGCAGACAGTGTCCTCTGTCGAGATAGTGCCGCGTCGATAACCGACTCGCCGAGGTAGCCAGGTGGGGAGCTGCTCTGGGGCTGACATTAGCTTAACGCCCTAGCCTGGATCCTCCTCCGCACTTAGCACTCTACGGCCGTAACTTCTTTGTACACCAGCTGTCTTTTCCTCAGGCATTGTTCCCGCTGCTCTTTGTTTGTTTGTTCATTTCATAGATCATTACAATAGATAGGTGAGTACCATAATTCATGACTTGCTCTGTTGCGACGGCTCACTCAACCATGGACAGACTCAGACATGGCTCTTCCCAGATCAGACTATCTCAGCAGCATCTGGAAAGATGATTTATTCAGTACTTCTCTCTGTCTATCCACACTTTTGCACAACTAACCACTAACAATCTCTTCCTGTCAGAGAATAAAGTAGTCTTCTGCACCGGTGGTGGAGGCACAATATGCAGCGCCCAGGTCCGCGCTCTCGTCCACCTCGGCGCCAACGCATGCATCGTCGGCCGCAACGTCGAAAAAACCGAAAAGATGGCCGCCAGTATCGCGACTGCGCGACCAGGTGCGAAAGTCATCGGTGTTGGCGCGACGGATGTGCGCAGTTTTGATAGTCTCAAGGCCGCTGTGGATCGTTGCGTGAAGGAGTTGGGTGGTATTGATTTTGTCATGTACACAATCCTTACGAAGAAGATTGGTGACTGTTGTTACGACTTGCTGACAGTGGTTTAGTGCCGGTGCAGCAGGAAACTTCCTTGCATCAATCAACCAGCTCTCCGTCAACGCCTTCAAGTCGGTGATGGATATCGATGTGTTGGGTTCGTACAACACGGCCAAGGCGACGCTGCCTTATCTACAAGAGTCAGCGGCGAAACACAAAGTCGACTCCGAAACTTGTACGAATATTTCTTCTGTCTTTGGCAGCTTTTGATTAATTTGTTATAGTGGAGCCATCTCCCCTCGGCCCAGGAGGTCGCATCATCTTCGTCAGCGCTACCATGCATTACACAGGAATGATTTTCCAAACACACGTCTCCGTCGCCAAGGCAGGTGTTGACGCCTTGTCGAACAATATCGCGCTGGAATTTGGCCCGTTGGGTATTACCTCGAATATCATCTCGCCAGGGCCTATCGCAAATACCGAGGTAGATCACAGACTTCGATCGCCTTTGATGAATTCTGTGCTGACTGATTGTAGGGCGTCGAGCGTCTTCTACCTAGCACATCCAAAGAAGAATCCTGGAAGCGGCAACCTCTGGGACGATATGGGTCGGTAAGAGATATTGCGGATGCAACGGTGTACCTCTTCTCCGATGCTGGCAGCTACGTGAATGGACATGCCCTAGTCGGTACGTACTCCTTTATATCCAAGCCGCCGTTCTTAATGTGTACTAATTTGTACAGTGGACGGAGCTTCCTGGCGTATGCCGTCTGCGTCGATCGGCGCCAACCTCCAATACCCTGATTTCCTGCTGTCTGGTGAAGCGGTGGCCAATGTCAAGGGCCAGAAGAAGTCCAAGCTGTAACTATTTTGTGAATGGATTAGATTTCATAATTTCTCCATAATTTCATAACTGAACCCTAATGGATAGTGAGATGCAGCCCTAACCCCGGCTGCGTCAGCGGTGGCTCAAGCAGACATTCCACATCATCGCGTCGCCGCTTTTCCGGAACCCATCGGACCATAGCAGCATCATTGGCTGTGCTTAAAGCGGCGCGGTCTGGGCATGCTGCTTTCAGCCTAGCGTAGGCTTGGCGGCTCCAAGAACAGCCAATGGTCGGCGCCGCTCTCCGGAATGGCGCTTAACTCCATACAAGCTTACGTAGGCCTCCCCCTCCCGTCAGCTGCCGATCAGACAGTCTCTTGCATTGCCCCCTTCCGTCTTTTCACTCTATATGTACACTTAATCTGCCACATCATAGCAGAAAACTTCCCATACAACTCACTACATACATCAAGCACACATACCTCGCATATACCGTCCTGCTTCTTGCTTTTCTTTGTACCATTGCACCGCTCTGATTAGACATCATGTTGTTCCGGTCTCTCGCGGCCGCCAGCGCCCTCTCTCTGAGCGCCTCGGCCTTTTTGGTCGTTCCAGAGATCCACCATCCTTCTCAAGAGCACGGCAATCTACCTGCCACTCACGCCGTTGAACTCGGAGACGTCCACAGCAAGACTTTTGAACTGCTTTGCGATGACTGCCCATTCCCGGAGACTGGAGAGGATGGCGTTGTCGCTTGGTCCGAGAACACCAAGTCTTCTTTGGTAGGTTTACTAATCAAGATAAACAACAAGAGATGAGCTAACGAGCATAGGAATTGAACTTCCGCGCTGAAAATGGCAACCTCTATGTCAACGACGCACATATCTTCCCAGTCACATTCAATTCTGTCGAAACCGTCACAGCCGTCCAGCGCCGAGAATCCGATGGCATGGAAACCGAACCCTTGAGGCTGGGCTTCGCTCTTATGGCTCTACCTCTTGCGCCTCCTCAGGACGACATGGAACTTTTGCAAATCCGCTTTTCTCCCCTTGACATCGATGGTCATCCAGCTCCTCTGGACACTGTCTCAATCACAGCTATCCAGACTACCGCAGGTGAACTTTTCATTCTGCGAACTGAGGTCGAACTCCCCGCCGGCCAGGATGACCACGCGTCATGGAAGCAGTGCGACGGCGACACCCAATGCCTGCGACACTTGATTTTTGACCGTATCCGGGCTCTGGTCCAGTCCGCCCAGGCCCACATGATGAACTTGAAATCTAAGCTCGGGTTCGGAAAGGGCTGCCACGGCAAGCTTCACCCTCACCACAAGCCTGGCCAACCCGGCCCCGACTTTGGCGAATTTGAGGAAGGTCACCGCTTCCATGGCCAGCCTCCTCACCCACACCACCGCCACATGAACGGTCTTCGCCGCACTTTGTTCCGCGTTGTCCGCTTCGTTATTGTTCCTGCCGTCCTTGGAATTTTTGCTGGTCTTACTGCTAGTGCTATCGGCATGCTTGTTGGACAGGCCGTCGTCTTCCTCTGGATGCGCTACCGACGTGGATCTAAGCCCGCCCGCTCAACCTCGAGTTTGGAGCAAGGCGATATGTCCGAAAAGGCTGTCCTCTTGGTGGAGGAAGAAGAAGTCCCCAACGAGGAGCTTCCTCCTTACACTGATGATGAACACGTTGCTTTGGATCCAAAATAAACACATACCCTCATACCCCTCACATCACGTCCTGTGACTTTCCTTTTTCTGCTTATTTATACACCTTGGTTGTTTGTTTCTGATACTCATGGAGAGTAGGTGCATCAAGGATCGGCGAATAACTGTCAACGCATTTCTCTCTTTCTGGTTTGGTTTGGTTGATTTATTGATTTTGGCTTCTCTATTCTTACTCTCGAATCCCACCCGGTAGCTGTGCTATCTTGCTGTAAACTGTCAGTTATACTATACAGTGCGCAATGTAGAATGATATTCCTATATCCTATATACTCTATACTTTCAACTTCAGTAAATATTAAATGAACACGCGAACACAGTTTTATTGTACAATTACTTATGCAATTACTCGAATGGTATTGTCAGTTGGGGTTAGGGTTAACTGACTGAAACGAGCTAGACAAGCCGCTAACTCAGCTCAGCCGTCATGGTCAGCTTCTCCGGACCACCAACCACCAACCACCATGATTGCCTTGCATCGTGCTTCTGCTTCAAGCTGATGTTCCGTTCCCGGTATTCTTGAAGCTGTAAAATATGGGAATCCAAGGGCGTCTCAAACCATGATTTGAATTTTGTCGTCGCCAGCACCATATCAGCATTTGGAACATCGGTTGAGCTTCAGCCCACCTAACTGATCAACCACCGCGTATGCTCCATCTCACGTTCTGATATACTGTCGGTCAAATACAGCTGAGGTCTGAAAAGGACCTGACTTCGCTCGCTAATAATGTTCCAATTTTCGTCTTTGGTCCAAAAGGCCCAATCATTCATTGATCCCGCCAACTTCAACTTACCGACCATCTCCTCCAACGATCGCAACCCCTCCAAAGCCTCTCTCTTCCGCCAACAATTCCGCCTGCCGGACTCTCAGAACCCGCTACAGGAAATAACAGCTGAACTAATTCTTGCGATTAACCGCGGACCCGCATCGAATTCGCAGGGAGACCGCTCCGATCAACCCGGCAACCGGTATACGGGCCGTCTACACCTCAGCGAGCGTTTCATATGTTTCTCTACTCAGCCAACGAGCTTTGTACCATCAGCCAGCAATAATGCATCGACAGTATTCACAGGCCAGACTCATGGCACCGGTCCATCGGGCAACGGCTTCACGTTACCCCTGTGCTCAATCCGTCGCGTCGAACGACTCAACAGCCTCAACCACGTATTCTCACTCGCATTAACAACCTGGAACGGAGCTCTGAGTCCCAACGCGGCCAAAAGCTCGAATTTTGTTCCTCAGAAATTCACTATTCAGCTAGTCGGAAGCAGGCAGGCCTGCGAACGGTTCTGTGATGGGTTGAGAAAGGGATTGAGGGAGAGTATCAAGGAGATTGATAGCTTGCGTTCGGTGGTACTGGATCATTATTCGGAATATCTTTTGACGTTGCCTCCTAAGGGTAAGGAGGATCCTGATACGCCTGCGAGACAGCCGCCTGATGCTGGATTGGGGATGGTCTTTCGATATCCGGGAGATGCTCGCAAGCTTCGTGATCGAAGTAAAATGAGGTTGTGGGCTGAGTATTTTAGAGGTATATCCCTTATTCTACGTTATTGGACATTTAGGAAATTGTGGCTGACTTGTGTAGAAAACGGACGAAATGCCACACTGATTCGGCAGCCGACATTTCACAAACTCATTCGTGTGGGATTACCCAATCGTTTGAGAGGAGAGATCTGGGAACTGACGTCTGGCTCTCTTTATCTACGACTGAGATCGCCCAAGCACTATGAAGAGACACTTGCCAAATTCTCCGGTCGAGAGTCGTTGGCTATTGACGAGATTGAGAAAGATTTAAATCGAAGTCTACCGGAATACCCGGGTTTCCAGAGCGAAGAAGGTATAGAACGGCTGCGAAGGGTCTTGACTGCATACAGCTGGACAAATGAATCAGTCGGTTACTGTCAGGCCATGAATATAGTCGTCGCGGCTCTTTTAATGTAAGTGCCGAATGTTTTCAATCTGTAATCGAAATCGCTAATTATGATTAGATACATGTCAGAAGCACAAGCATTCTTCCTTCTATCGGTGCTCTGTGACCGGCTCCTTCCCGGGTACTATTCCACAACGATGTATGGCACATTACTGGATCAAAAGGTCTTTGAGTCGCTCGTCGAAAAGACAATGCCGATTCTATGGGACCATCTCGTAAAGTCCGACGTGCAATTGTCCGTCGTGTCTTTGCCATGGTTTCTCTCTCTCTATATCAACTCCATGCCTTTGGTGTTCGCCTTTCGGGTATTGGACGTCTTCTTCCTCGAAGGACCAAAGGTGCTGTTTCAAGTCGGACTGGCTATCTTACGTATTAATGGAGAAGAGCTTCTGGATGTCCAGGATGACGGCTCTTTTATTTCGATTTTGAAATCATACTTTTCCACGTTAGATGAATCGGCACACCCGCGATCTGAGAACCCCAAACTCAGAGCCATTACCAGATTCCAGGAGTTGATGGTGGTGGCCTTCAAGGAGTTTTCGGGCATCACTCATAGTTCCATCACTGAACAGCGAGAGAAACACAAGGATGCTGTTTTAGAGAATATCGAAAACTTTGCGAAGCGCACGTCAATCAGAAATCTGGGGCCTGAAAGTAAGAAGCTCAGCATGGACGATCTTGGCACAATCTACGACCGTTTCTACGAGGTACTTTATGATTACGAAGGCAAACAACGACTTTTGGAACAAGAAAAGAAAAAGTTGGAGAAGAAAAAGGTGGAACGCTACTCGGTTCTCGGTCCTCCCGTTGATGCTGAGGTCGGACGTGTTGGTCTCGGACCGAGTTCGACTCATATGGACTACGATGCTTTTAGACAATTTTTGGCGAACACCGCCAGATGGGCTATTGCAGACTCACCCAGCTCAGGCCGATATCAATCGATTTCTGAGAAAGACCGCAATAACGGCAATGGTAGCATTCGCAGCCGAAGCGCATCGCATTCAAAATGGGCCGATAATGTAGAACCCGCTGATCACGAGTTTATGCAACGTCTATATCGCAAATGGAATACTGATGACGACGACGGTTTGAGCCTACAGAACGTCGTTGTAGGGTTAGCCAAGCTGAAAGGCACACGTGACATAATGAATTCGATAAACTATTTCTTTGATCTTTACGACGACAATGGTGATGGTCAAGTTGACCGTGAAGGAATATTACGAATTTCGGAAGCACTCCTCTTCCTCTCACGCAGAGGCTTCGACGGAGCGCTTACTCCTAGTGAGACGATGGAAGACCTTGCTGATACAGGCCTGGCAGCTGAGCAGCGTGACAAGGTCAAGATGAGCGTTGACGAGCGATTCCTTGGTAGTGTCAGTTCTTTCATTCGGCGATGCTTTGAATATGCGGATCCAAGCCACCCCCAAAACCAGAAGCGAAACGACCAACCTACAGAAGTCGACAGTGCTGCCAGCAAGTTGGACGCATTCTCTATTGGCGACGATGATGAGGAGGAAGAAGATTTGATTGAGGTAGAGGAAAAGAAATCACTAGAGAAACTTTCACCGCCCCAGACACCCATCACAACGGGAGATTCGTCTTTGCCGGTAAACTCGCCATCTGGTCGGTCAGAAGCGGCTAATGCAGCCCTCGATCCCAACAACCCATTACATATCACTCTACCTACGTTTAGGATGGTTGTTTTAGCAGATGAGCTCTTGGAACAATTTTTTGAGACGTTCTTCCCTCAATCGTTCCATCTATCAGATCGCCCCAATCCAGCTTCGTTGACAGCATCGACGTCCCTCTCATCCAACCTCACCACCTTCTCCAATATCGGTGCCGCCGGTCGATCTACCCTCGGCGCCATATCAGGGGCAACAGTGGCCGGAGCTTCAGGCGGAATTGTTCCCCCTACCAAAGGTCTCCGCGGTGTTTTGGACAACATCGTGTCCGACGGTATGCGCATGGCCGCAGAAGTGCGCAAAAAGATGGAAGAAGCGCAACGCGAAATGGAGCGCAACGCACTGGGCCGCGGCGAGGAAGAGGACGAGGAAGAAGACGAAGACGGCCGAAGTCTTACCTCCTCCACTGCAATGGTTGGAGGAATCTCCAGCTGGGGCGCTGGTGCATATGGCATTGACCCTGAGCGCCGCAGTGTTCGCGATCGAGATCGGGATCTACTCGAAGGCGCGGAAGCGACATCTGTACTCGACGGGAGAGAGACCCATCAGCCGTCACCAGACGCTCGACAACATACCCCATCACCCGCTCCTCCTACTAAATTACCGGATGAGGGCGTGAGCAGAGTCGAATTCAACGCCTAGTTTGTTACCATCTCTTTTCATAAGCCTGTCATTATCTATCTGTTATTGTTGAACGGAGGCGTTTTCAACTCTCCGCTATGACTTACTGAGCAGCTCTTTTGTATGTAATGTTGCATATATAGTTTGATGTACATAGGATAGGGTAGGATAGGTAATTGGAGTTGCACTCCCACTGATTTACTGATAATTACTTCTCGTGTACTGGTCAGATTATCGGCCACTTTCTGTGACACCGAACATCGAAGCATCATTGGTCTAGTGGTAGAATTCATCGTTGCCATCGATGAGGCCCGTGTTCGATTCACGGATGATGCATAGCAATTGTTGGTCTATGTTTTTGCTATTTTGCCGTTGTTTTCGTTTTTATCTATAGTATCTTTTTTGCTCTCTCTGATCATGATCTGATATTTAATGGTACAGAAGTGATTGGATGATTCTCCAAATTATTGCTTTCTTTTTCTCGATCCAAAGTGGGTCTCTTTGCCTAATTATCTCATCTCTTCATCTACGTTGCTAAAAAGTTTACCAAACTTGGTGGATCATATATTAATTTGGGTGGGACCAAACCATAATAAGCATTATTGGTCCAGTGGTTAGGATCCTTCTCGTATGTTACCAATATTCACCACTACTCGTACCAAACAAATTACTAATAATCCTTGCAGTTCCAAAGAAGGGGCCCGCGTTCGATTCGCGGATAATGCATAAATCATTATCCATTACTTTTTGGCATTTTTTAAATACTGTTTAACTGACTACTATTTGACTGATTATTTGACTTGGAGAATGAATACTAAAAGTGACGGTCGATAAAGTCCTCATGCTCTAAATTTTTGTTTTTTGGATTTTGAAAGACGAACCCAAAGTGGGGCTTTGTTGCCCTTTCTACGTCACTGCTCATCCGCAGTATCTCTAATCCCTCTTCCTCGACATCTTCCACTATTCCACACACTCAATCGAGGATCCTCACATAGATCTTCGAGAGCATAATGAATAACACCACCGCAGAAAAATGTCTCAACGCATACATCCTCACATTCAACTGCGCGCGCAACTTGATTCCTACAGACCGCTTCGCGGCACATCTCTTCGATGTCTTGCCTCCTGATACCGCCACAGCTCCGGAGATTCTGGTGCTGAGTCTACAGGAAGTTGCGCCTATATATTATGCTTTTCTGGGTGGTTCGTACCTCGTGCCGTATTTGAGTGCTTTTCGGCAGGCTGTTGGTATTGCTACAAGGAATCGGTGGCCGAGGGACGGAGGATGGGGATATGTGAATGTCGTAACGCATCATTGCGGCCTTACAGCGCTTATGGTGTTTGTGAGAGGAGATGTTGTGGGTAATGTTTCCTGGACGGATACGGCAGAAGTCGGAGTCGGATTGCAGGATATGGGTAATAAGGGCGCAGTCGGGGTGCGATTGGGGTATGCACACGGTGATAACGAGACGACAGAGTTGACTTTTGTGGCTGCTCATATTGCGCCTATGGAGCATGCGTATGAACGCCGGAATCAGGATTGGAGGAGGATTGTGGAGCGGCTGGTTTTTACCAAGTCTGGAGATAACGGCGATGCAGAAGGTGAGCAGGAAGATACTGCTCACCTTCTGCAACCGAATAGAAGGAGTGTCGAGTCGGGCATTTTTAGTCCCCGTTCACATCTATTCTTTGCTGGAGACTTGAATTATCGTACCTCTGATGTCCCGCCTACTCCTGAAGACCATGCGCAGTACCCCCAACCACACGCGAGTCTCAGCGACGCATCTCATCATTCCAAACTATTCCAAAACGATCAACTCACACGCGAACTACGCGCAAAACGGACCCTTCACGGCCTTTCAGAAGCACCAATCACGTTCCCACCAACATACAAATACTCCGAAGAAGCTCAAAAAGCTGCTCTACTAGGAGAGCAAGCTCAGGATGGGCCAGGCGATACATGGAAATGGGCGACGAGACGCTGGCCGAGTTGGTGTGATCGGATCTTGTATCTGGAATATCCGCCCTGGATGACAGCAGCCACCAAAAACGGGGTAAAATCGGCTATTCAGGTTCAGGGGTATGATGCGCTTCCTCTATTTCCGACCTCCGATCATCGTGCTGTCGCGCTTGCAGTGACTGTGCCGTTACGAGCGATTGCTTCTCCTCCATCTCAGATATCGGATATTGATGACGCACGCTTACATCCTCCGTTCCCTATTGACCCTTCATGGAGAGCAAGACGGGAAAGTGCCAGAGCCAAAGAGCTTGTTGTTGGCGGACTTGCGTATTTGGCGCTGACGTGGGAGGGGAATGGGATTCTGTTGGCTACGGTGGCGGGGATATTTGGCGGGTGGATTGTGCTTCGATCTCTTTTGCAGGGTGAGGTGTCTGGGGGGTTGGAGATTTAGCCTCTCAATCTAAGAGTTGAGACATGGCGTTATGGTTTGTCTGGTTGTAGACCGGCATATTAAGTGTTAATCAGCGCTGAATGAACGAGAGGATGGAGGTAATTCTGAGGTGCTTGGCGTCTATTTCACAATAATTCCTTGTGCTCAAACGAGGAGCAACCCCCAACCTTTCAATCCTAGCGCGTTTATTTCTCATTCCCCCTCCTGGGTTCCTCTTCCTTTCTTCAACAAGTCTCATCCTTGCAAACTTCTTCTTGGCATCAACCCTCTTGTCATCGACACCACGCTCGACTCTACCAGGGGGGCTCCTGTTACAGCTCGCCAAATCAACTCACCCACCATGCCTCCATACGCAATCACCCCCTTCAAAGACCTCTGTCTCGTACTACAACCTCTGAACCCTCACCTCCGCCCCATGCCCGCAGTGTGCATCACATCTCTCCCACTCAAAGATAAACGAGACCACATCTGGGCCGACCCTTGCTGTCTCCAATGCGCCAAACTTGTCGGCAGCGTTGATCTCTTCTGCGTCCTCCATCCCAACAAGAACGAACACAGATGCATCCGCTGCTTCAATCTCAACATCACCTGCGTACCAATCCCACAGTAACAAATCGAGAAGTTTCGCAGTATACAAGTGTTTTTCAAGAAGAGGGACTTGAAGTATGCGTTCCTATTTCGTCGAGCGTGGATTATGGGCATGAATAATGAGCCGTCTGTGCGTATTGCGCGGCAGTTTTTCCTGCTTAATCGTAATATTGAGCGGTTGATCAACAGCCAGTTGGCGATTGTAGGTCCTTGTCCCTTGAATGAGCTGGAGAATATATGGCTAATATTTGATCTTGTGTAGAGAGATGAACCTCCAGTCGCACCGATTGAGGAGGTCTTTGGTGACGACATGTCTTGTTACGGAGTGTGATCGTCTACACAATACACATGTCTTGAAAATTTACAATCTAGGTTGGATGAGGGGATTGGTGGCGTGAGAATTATTCAAACACGGCGCAATTCGGTTGACAGGGCTTGGAGTGAGGAATGGGATTTGGCTGGTCTTTCAGGATTTGATTTACTGATCAAACTGCCTCGGGATTTCAGCTGCATACTACTCCTAGCTTAATAATAAAGTGGATTGTTTTTACCCAAGGCGATGGTGGGACACCTGGGCAAACCTACTGCACACATGCTATATCCTACCATACTAGCTCATCTCGTACTCACACTGCTTTGAGGTCTGATTGGTTGAACCAACAGATTATGCTTTTTATATATATCAATCTTTCAGTAACTTGTATGACAAACATTCATCCTCCTCTAAAATCAGCCCATCTTCCAGATCCTTCTCATGCACTTAGCTGAAAACGCACATTATCAGACGGCGTCCGTCTGATCATCAAGTAAGTAATATGAGACCTCGAAGGTGTCATCTAGGGAGTAGCTTCAACAGCATCGTGAAGTATCTTATCAATCCACTGGACGATCTGACGGTTGCCCAATGCCCAATGGTAGGTATCCGAAACAAAAAGCTTCCGGTCTTTGTCGAGATGCGCAGATTGGAAAACGTGTGAGTCTGTCACAATCCCGAAAACACTTAAAGTTGGGGGTAATTGGGGTCGACTTTGTGTTAGTTTGAGCGTTTGACGGGCACCCATTGTTTTCCGAAAGTCAGATATCGAGTGAGATTATATGAAACCATCTATCTTTATCAGACTATAAATTAGATAATATATATTAAATCCTTTGAGGCCTGGCCAAAATCGGCTTATTGCTCGCTGTACCTACATTGGGCGGGTCCTTCCCCACTTTACCTACCCCGTTTCCCCCCGTGATTTTGCTCGATAACCTGTGCATTAATGCATATCCGTAGCATTATAGACCAAAAGACGCAGACATTGGTACCATTGGGTCTCAGTGAGCGCTTGAAAAGGTATGGATGGGGAGAGACCAGCTAAGAGGCGTGCCCGAAGTGCCCTGGCCTGTCAAAGGTGCAAGACTCGCAAGCAGCGCTGTGATAACAATTTCCCATCATGTTCAAGCTGCCTGTCTGCCGGCGAGGCCTGTTCGTACGGGCTGAAGCAAATATATCCTGCCGAGTACGTGATTTCTCTAGAAAATCGTATTGCAGAATTGGAAAAAGGAGCCACTCCAGCTGTTCAAACAACTGTGACACCTCACCTTCCCACTATGCCCGTTTATCAAAATCAGCACTTGACTAGGGATGCGATGGATTCTTCGCGAAGTAACGACGTTGCAGAAGATGGCGAGTCCAATGCAGAGGCCGGTTCTGGCGTTGTAGCGCTGTCGCCAAACTCTTTTCTCGGGACCTCCAGTGGGTTTCCGCTGGCAAAGCTGCTTAAATCTGCCATAAGCACCTCCGATGATCCCAGTCGAATAGGTCGATCAACGTCCAAAGGAATCATCAGTTTTGCGCCTCATCTGACAACTCCCTATGAGACTGGAGTACAGAGAGGACCTCTGATGTCTTCCCCGGGGGCAGACATGCCTACGGATGAGGTCGGTAGAAAGCTCATCGATGCATACTATTTCAGAGTGCATCCAAAACACCCATTCCTATCCAGGAAGAAGATTATACGTTTACATAACGCCAGAGCGAACCTGGTCCCAGCGCACAAAGTTCCGCCTTCTTCCACCGAGAACAGGGCAGACCTGTGCGATTACGCCATTCTCCATCTAGTATATGCGATTGGTGGCAGGTACCTGCAACTGACACCTGACAACAAGCATGCCTCTCCCAGTGTGAGTTAATATACGATCTGGGTGCTAGAATATACAACTGATCTCGACCCAGGAGCATTATGCAAGCGCTTTAGCCGATGCTGAGACCATCTTCGCTGTTCAGAGCCTTGAAAACTTGGACGCAATGCTCTTGATTTCTATATACCAACTGAGGTCGCCAACAGGACCTGGAATATGGTAGGTCTGGACTTGATATTTGAAATGCCCAAGTTGACAATAGTAGGTGGATAATCGGAACCACGATGCGGCACTGTATCGACTGCGGCTTGCACCGACGGTCCAACAACATATCGGCTCTGCTTGATCAAAGACGCAAGCGTATCTTTTGGACAACATATCTGCTCGAACGTTCCGTGGCGAGAACAATGGGAAGACCCCACTCGCCATCCGATAGAGACATTGATGTAGATCTTCCAGCAAACATCGATGACTCAATAGAGACCGAGAGTGGTGTGGTCGCCGCACTGGCAGAAGCAAAGACAAAACCCACCCAACTGACACCACTAACAGCCGCCATCCATATCTTTCGGCTGCAACAATTAGAGTCCAAGATATCAAACACGGTATGTCGCGTGGACAAACCCGTCAGCTCTATCAACCCACGCAAGATCGCCGCATTTCGAGCTGCTCTCGAGGAATGGAAATGCAACATCCCCATCACCAAAGACTACTGTGCAAGAGAAAAGCACCCATACGTTACGCACGATTACCACATGACGCAGTACCATAAGGCACTGGTCTTGTTATTTCTACCTTTTCTGCCATCACTCACACCCACGCAACCAGAATTTCACCAAGTTGCATACTCGGCGGGCCAGATATGTCAGCTATATAAGCATCTCTACGATGACCAGACTTACATCTCATTTTCTCTGCTAGCCCTCCATGCTAATTTTGTGGCTGGCCTTGTTCTAGTTTATTGTTTCTGCATGGATCCATCAATTTTCAATGCCAAGTTTAGCAGCGATATCCGTGCATGTAGCACTCTCTTATACACTATATCGGAACGGTGGCCCGCGGCACGCAAGGTCCGAAATGCCTTTGATCGCCTCGTCTCGGTCACGGTCGAGGGCGAATATGACAGACAATCACGGCGACCTCGTCCCAACACTACTGGCGGATCAGAACGGTTAGAGACAGAGCAGTCTTTGGGCGATGAAGCTGATTGGGCTTCGGGTGGCAGAGCCCATGAGAGTATCTGGGATAGCTTCGGAATGGCCCTGGGTGATTATCAAATAAATGCTGAGACTTGGATGCAGGACAGTATTTTCCAAGCTATGGAAGCATTTCCATCAGAAGATTAGCCTGAATTATTTGAAATGAGGCATAAACTCCCAGCAGAGAATTCCTAAGAAGCATAGCTTATGAGAAGGTGGCCAAAAACTGAACGCAACGCGTCTGCTCGAGACCGTTTAAGCGGTGTTGCTGGATGGGTCTGAAACGTCCAAGATGTAACAATATGATTAGAGCATATATTAATTGATATGATTAGGCTTATTCATTCTGATTCGCTCCATTTTAAATTGCCATATTAGAAAAATACTCGTTTTTTGAAACATGTGTCGCGGTCGGGGTCTACAGGTGTCTCTCGTCTACTTTCTCTGCTTTGTTCCACGCGGGCTGGGACGTTCACATGCAGATCGTTGGCTGTGTGCTAGAGCCAATCTACTCAAGGGTCACGGGAATTGGAGTTTGCTCAGAGCGGTCGACCACGAACCTGTTGCATGTGGTATCGGGCCATACCGATACTAGATGTTTGTTTTCGGGACATCCGGTAGAGTCGGTGAGTGCCGACGCTTGCTGACCCCCGCATTGGCCCCACAGTCTATCGGGGACTTAAGCAGGGTTACCCCGAATTCGTGGAGCAGCCCCTTTCTCCGGAACATACGAAGACAGAAGATGCAAGAGGAAGACAGGCAGGCGAGGAGCTAATCATGATCAATCTTCGCATGGAAAAAAAATATATTATTTATGCAAATATACATGATCATGATTGCCCACCGGCATGACTAGCTTTCGGGACATCCTATCGCTTCGCTCTAAACGCCAATCTCCTTCGCGTCAGCATCCCGAGCAACCTCTTCATGGTGAGCAACATGTGTCTCAGTCTTCTCTACCAAGTGGCGAACCGCGTTGCCACGTGGGATCTTTCTAGCAATAGAAACGGTATCGAAGATGCTCTTGCTTTGCAGGAAAATAGCATCCACCTCCTCCAAATGCCGGCCATTTGTTTCGGGGAAGAAAAGGTAAACGACTAGCAGATATTAGCAACAGACATAATCACTCGTATGGGAAGACGGACCAGGTAGAGTCAAAAAGAAATTGATCGCGGCATAGACGATATAGTATTTGTACTTGATGGTAGACAGACCAACTGGTGTCACCTCAGCAACAACCTGTGAACGCCATCAGTATCACATACAAGGCATCCCAGATCACTTCCTAGGAGTAGTCGACTTACAAAGTTAAAAAGCCAAGCAGTACCTGCAGAAGATATTAGCACTCACTGAATGTCGAGTATTATAGCAACCTATCATCTTACCAGTGGACATGGCCGTAATAGGCACGCGATGGCTCAATGGGGAAATTTCCGCAGCGTACAAGAATGTGAGACCGAGGAAACCTGTGGGGAAGAAAAGAGAGAAAAGGAAGATGAACGCAGCGGCAGCGCCGATAGCACTAATGTTCTGAAGCTGAGAAGAGCTTCCGGCAATAACAGCCATGCACATGCCCATACCAAAGGCGGAGAACAACATGAGCTTGCGACGACCGAAGCGATCCACTGTTAGGACACCAATGGGCGAGCATATGGTTTGCCAGGTGAATACCGATGCTGCGATTATTCTTGCAGTCCTTGGAGCAAGGCCAAGATCATCCTCGAAGATGGTGGCCTGATAAAAAGCCAACGCGTTGATACCACTCATCTGCTGCGCGAGCTGGCCAAAGCAAGCCAGACACATGCGATGTAAAAGTCGGAGAGGTCCATTCTTGAAGATGTCCTTGAACTTTGCCTGCCCGGCCAGCTCAAGTGAAGCCTCAATCTCAGCTACTGCCTCGGTGACTTCTTGTGAATTTACGGCAACGTCGTTCAAGTCGGCAAGGACGACCTTTGCATCGGCAACTCTGGCCTTCTTCAGTAGCCATCGAGGAGACTCTGGCATGAAGGGCGTATTGAGCAGAATGAAGCATGACCACAAGATCGAAAGAGCCATGGGGAATCGCCAGGCTACAGATCCGCTATGGGTGGACATTCCCAGATTGACCCATCCAGCAATAGCAAGGCCGGAGGAGATGAAAAGCCCTTCAAGCATGACAGCTGCTCCACGGTGGTCGGCTCCAGCACACTCTGCCTGCCAGTTAGGCGCTGTAGCAGTCACATGGCCAAATCCAAAGCCAGATACAAGTCGACCGACGATAAGCTGGGGCAGCGAGAACGAAGTACACTGCAAAACAGCCCCGATGATGTTGGTAAATGCTCCTAACATAATGGTACGCTTGCGGCCGAGCCTGTCGCCGAGCCAAATGCAGTTCAAGCAGCCAAACAGACAGCCGAGCGTATACATGGCAATCGTAGTGCCCTATAAAGTAAGTTAAACATGCTGTTCTGATCTCGAATCGGCAAGGCTTAGTTACCTGGAGGGTAGAGTTATGCTGCTTCTCCGCTCCGGTCGTAGTAGCGGTGTTAATTTGAGGGAAAGTGGCGATCCAGGACGGCAATGCTAGAAGACCTCCCCCAACGGCATTGTTGTATCCAAACCTACGGCGTAGACCGTTCAGCAAAAGGGGTAGACAGCATACACGGCCATCGCTCGACTTACAAGATGTAGCATGGCATGATGACGGCCCAAATTTGGGCTGCCTGAAGCGATTTGCCGCGAAAACCGAAGAAACCCATTGTATCTAGCCAATGCACGATCAAAGGATGTGAGTGAGCTCCCTGAAAGGAAATTAATCGATGACTCTGGTACCCTGTGATCCAGAAAAATGCAATATTTTCTAGAATAGAACTGGGAAAAGCAACGACTTTGTACTCATCCACCTCACGTGGTAATACAGGGGTGCTAAGTCTCAAAAACAACCTTGGAAGCTGTTACTAACCTTGGAAGTTGGAGAGTGTATTGGCGGGACTGCCGGCGGCATAACCGCGAGCGACCTTTATACCATCAGCTCGAGCAAAGTCAATCACTGAGCCTCGTGGGTTTAGCCTGCCCGAATAAATGTCTTCAGATGGTTCGCCAAATCCAACGGTGCTCCGCATCTCCAGTTCCGAAGTTTCGGTTGATGCCGAAGATGTCTGGTTTCATCGGAACTGCCGACTAGCGCCGAATGGTTCTGTAGCTTACTTCTCTTTTTTCTATGATAACGATCTCTAAAACATTTTGACTTTCTCATTTTCTGTACCGACCTTTTCGTCCTCCGTTTCCGAACCCTTCTGTTTTCATCAAATGGCGACACTGCGTCTTGCGCGCTGGGCAACGGCCCTGGAATACTCTGACCTGCCAAAAGACGTTGTCCGAGCAGCTGTGCGGAGCTTCTACAACTGGGCTGGTTGCACGATCGGTGGTAGCAATCATCCAGCCACCCTCATTGCAGTAGGTTCAACTCGATGTTGGCGGAATTTTTCTGTCTGACCACTTGCATAGTCTTACTGATTTGTTTAGCGCCAATCTCTGGCACCATTCTTCGGCGCTTCTACCTCCACACTGTTGGGGCATAAGGGGGAGGTGAAGATAGACGCGCAGCATGCAGCTCTCATAAACGGTATTGCGTCACATGTCCATGACTATGATGACACGCATCTTGACACTATCATTCATCCAACTGGCCCTGTCGCAAGCGCTCTGCTTGCTGCTGCGGAATGGCGGACGGGAGTATCTGGTCAAGACTTTATTGCCGCTCTTGTGGCCGGCATCGAGGCCGAGTGTAAGGTTGGACTGGCCGTTTGGCCAGATCATTATGATGTGGGATGGTAAGCCTGCCTTGTTACTTTCGATAGATGGACTGTTTAGCTGAGCTGCTGGCCGTACATAGGCATATTACATCATCCACCGGATCCATAGGAGCTGCTGTGGCCGTCTCCAAGATCCTTGGCCTGAATATGTCGGAGACCGCCCACGCTATTGGACTCGCGGCTACACAGGTGATCGGTCTGCGAGAAATGTTTGGATCCCACACCAAGTCCTTCCACCCCGGCCGCGCTGCACAGTGCGGCTTGCTTGCGGCTGTCATGGCCAAGGGTGGCTACACCAGCAGCGAGAAGGCATTGGAGGCGAAACGTGGGTGGGCGAGCGTTGTTTGCCCTTCCAAGGCAGACATCCTGCAGAGCCTAGACAAGTGGATTGGTAGTGAGGGCGAGCTTAGTCTCGTCAAAAATGGTGTTGGCCGGTGGGAAATCCTCCGAAATAGTTTCAAGCCATTCCCCTGCGGTATTGTCATCCACCCCATCATCGACGCTTGTGCTCAGCTACACAGTGATATCATGAATAAGAACGTTGGTATACACAATATCAAGTCGATTACTGCAAAGGTCCACCCCCTTGTGCTGGAACTCACTGGCAAAAAGACCCCCAAAGATGGGCTGGAAGCCAAATTCAGCGTCTATCACAGCGGTGCTTGTGGTCTTCTTTTTGGAAAGGCTACGCCTGCCGAGTACGACGATAAAGTTGTGCTTGACCCCGAAGTTATTGCCATTCGGGATCGAATCACGGCTGAGATCAACACGGCTTTGACACCTGACCAGACAATTGTCATCGTAGAGCTTCAAGACGGCCAAGTCTTCACCAAGACGATTGAGCACGCAGTTGGCAGTCTCGAGGTGCCCCTGGACGACCCCATGCTGAAGACCAAATTCCTCGACCAGTGCATCCCAGTTCTGGGCGATGGAGCTGCGGCTGCTAGCAAGGCGTGCTGGGATATTGAGGCAGCAGAAGACATATGCAACATCACGCAATATATGTAAACTATTATATAGACTGCATCATAGATTCGCGTCAATTATAGATTTTGACACAATTTGGAAGCACACCAGCCCTGCGCCAAGGACAATAGGATAAATGTACGTTTGAGTTGAAGTTCCACTATTGTAAACGTTTCGGGATACCATCATGGGGCAGAAATATAGTTCGGCTATTTCACTTTTGAAGCGAGTACCTCGGCGAATTTGGCAACAGTATACGGCGGTCTAGAAAAGAGAATCGAAGAGCAATAAAAGTATTAAGGGAAAGAGGAAAGAAATTTCAGCAGGTCCTATTGGGAATCGAACCCAAATTTGCGACATCAGAAATCACCGTGCTAACCATTACACTATAGAACCGATGGTGCGGGTCTCTCGCTCAATTGGTATTCAAAGCTGATCAGAAGGACCCACCTCGTATTCGCATCACCCCTATTCGGATCGCCTGGGTTACTTGAGGCTTATTCGATTCTGATACCAGTTTAGTCTGCGGCATGACATGGATTTACTGCAGCCGAGGTGCAAAGAAGAGAGTCCTCTAAATGATGCTCAAGTGAGAGGCACAGCATTCCTACTGGAACAACGCGTTTACTTGAAACCGCAAGGAAATTGACACCGGCTAACTTACGCAACGAAACCACCTTTTAGGTATGCGAAGCTCATTCATTGGACTCGCGAGATTGGAACAAAGGATTTTGGTAGTGCTCTCTACACTTGTTCTACTCAATAATAGCTAGTTGACAAAGTTTGGAATGCAGTGGATACATTGAAGCATCATGCTTCAATGTATCTTCGTCATCCTCTTTGTATATTATGTTTTCACGGTCATCGTTACTACCATGAGGTTTATATTTTTACGAACAATAAAAGTCAACATGGTATGCTGATTAACAATCACTCCTGTGGGCCCACATTTATAAGTAACTCTCTGCCCTCATCCCAATGGTAACAGCAATGCTTCAACTTTCTTCTACACCTAGTCTTGATTCTTCAGGCTGTGCTCTTCCAGAGTCAACTCAAAGGTGACAGCAACACTTACTCTAACATGAGCCACCGGCGGGGGAGTGAAGATCCCAACCGGGAGGAACACTTTCATGCAGCGCAGAGGCTGTCGCCACAACTGGCCACAGTCGTGGAGGGTTCCAATCCAAGTCCGCTCATTATAAGAAAAGACAAGATTCACCTTGGCCCATAAGGCCATCAACAACCGTATCTTTCCTCCTCGTTCGTCTAGTATGCCCACCGCCGCACACAAGACACCACTTTTTGCTTCGCAGATTACGACTCCAGCTGCATCAACCGCGCGGTACTCAACCGTAGGAGAGAATAAGTCTCTATTTGAACCCATCAGCCCATCAACATTCACATGCGCGCCTTCTCGTCCGTCGAGTAACTCTACAATACTAGGGCCCTACAAGCTCAAACGTGCAAAACGCCACCCGAAGAAGAACCGCATCTCGAACGCGGTCCCCGGGAACGTAGTTGATGACCAAACCTCCTCGTCTTTCTTCAATCTCCCATAATCCCAGAAACTCCTCCCGCAGGTCCTTTCACTATGCACCAATCAGCTTCAGAAATACCCTCTTCGACAACCGCATCTCTTCCCCCTTTTCTGTCCAGCACCTCATCGCCTACACAGTGTACCACCCATGGCTCACCATCGAAAACTCAAAGCCATACCACCGAGGCGGACGACTACTGTTGTCTACTATGCGCCAAACAAAGTCAAAGATTCCAATGTGGTACCCACCGGTCAATCGATGACAAGTGTCTTGCATGCGCCTATCACAAGGTCGCATGTATAGCCATACCAATCAAGTACCGCGACGACTTCCGCCCCATACAGCAACAATACCGAGAATGTAGATATATCGAAGCAGTAGCGGCTCGCAAGGCATGAGTTGAGTCAATGAAAGCAGGKATCAATTTGACCGGCATTAAGAGACAATTGTGTCTACTCAATCGGAATGTGGAAAGAATGTTGAATGTGAATTTGAGGATGGTAAGTTTATCTGTGTTTGCGCAGACAGACTCATGGCTGACTTTTTGACTTTGAAGATGGGCGCAGCCCCAGCGCGGACTCTTGAAGAGGAGTTTCCAGAAAATTAGAGTGTGTATGATAACTGTCATGTTTATCAATACTGTAGATAGTTCTGATCAAATAACATTGGGCTTATCGAGACGGTGGGGCATGCACGATTAAGCTTAATTGTTAGAGTCAATCGAAACCCTAGAACTATACCGGATTTAACGGCTAGGGTTAGGGCTGAGCGTTATCCTGCATTTTTTCCATCATCAATCGGTCAACGCAAATTTACTGGATTGCGTTTTAGTTGAGACAACACTCATATAGGTAATCAAGACCATTTAACAGCAGTGTGATCAGTAATAGCTACCCGCAAAAGCTGATTTGGGGGTATTTGAGGCTCCTTCATTCTTTCTCCTGAGAAACATTCATGAATAGAAGATGAGAAGTGCTTAACTGCGATGATTCTACGAGTAAGAGTCGATTACGTGATCAAAAAGTCACCTCAAATGGGGGCATGGTCTCGGTATATCTGCCCAAAACATCAATACGGATATGCCCATTGCATGATCTTAATACAGGAGTTGCGCATGTGACGATGGCGCTTCTTGTGCGCAAATGGAGCATCGTAATCAAGTGCCACAGCATGAGTAGAGTTCTACGCCGGTAATAAACTCCGGTGAAACGGGTCAGAACGGCATAGAATGAACAAATCAGAGAAGATGATACCGCCGATGTGCTGTTGTGCTGTCGTTGTTAGTACAAATGCCCGTCGGAGGAGTCCTTCGGATCCTTCGGCCATATACAGTGCTACGAATATTCATCAAGAAGCGTCGTAATCAGAACGCAGGCACGGAATACCCCTTTTGGTCTACCGTTTATATTCGGAGTCTGGTAACCAGGCCTTGCCCTAAAAATCAAGTTGTGGGACTAACACGGTATCCTAGATAAAATGAGGATTGATCATGAAACATCCCCGTGCCTAATCGAGATATCTACAATGTACTTGTTTGGACGGCACGCTGTCAATGGTACACTACGTTCCTTGTACCTGAGATCGGAGTTTATTGTAGTACCGGTGAGATGGGGTTCAAACCTTGACAAGGATATGTGAAGCATCCAGAACATCTCTCGTAGCAGTGGTTTTCTTATCCAAGATACGGAAGCCGAGAAGGAAGTCCATGGTGTTTCAAGAACATTGCCGTATGTTAGCTTGTGTAGCAATCGAATTCAGATTCCATGTGATTGTCCATTTAACCGACACGACGTTTTTGCCTAGTTGTACAAACTGGTAAAGTGATAGAGCATGCGAGAAATCAGTTTGGTCGGTCTATAAGAGATACACAGGACCTAGGCATCAAGCGTTGTACTTTAATTGAATGTTACAAGCTAACAAGGTCCCTTGTTGTACAAACTCTATTGAGCAAAAACCGCTGCTTTATATGAATGATCAGTTGTCACTGTCAAATATACTTTACAGGTCTAGTAGGCATGTCTCTAAAAAAAGCACATTCGGGGGCCGTTAGCTGTCAAACCCACGGTCCAATCCAGCCATAATCTCGGGAAGCCCTCCAGACGTGTCATTCGTGGGGGCAATGTTAGTTGCAGTGCTAGTCCAGAGTCTAGAATTGCAGAAACTGGAGTGCAGCAGTGTCATGTGTGTCATGCCGATTGCCCGGGCTTTATCCTCGTCCGCTAACAACCCTTAGACAATAGATAGCAGGGATGCTTTTTACTGCAAATGCCTCAGAAAAGTAACAGCGTAGGGATCATGGATTATTCGCACTGACTGTTTCATTCGACTTGGCATGTTGGCTGACGGGAACCTTCAAGGATGTCCTTGCGCGATCGTCTCGATGGTGGCTGACCGACTCTACACTCAATTTAATAATAAATTGTGATAATTAATCGTAACATACAGACGAATCAAAAGACAGATAACGGTCCCCTTCAGGCTTCACCGTGTTGGCAGTGCTGGCATTGACTCGTGACAAAGGGTTTCTACCAGGCTTGCCCTTCCTTTTTGCCTAATCGGGCCCGACAACAAGAAGGAAGAGGATTCTTTTGTCAGGCATTCATTGTTTCATGCCGGTCTGGTACATTCTACGGACCAGATTAAATAGCGCCATCTTCCCTTCTTTCTCGCTTCTCCTTTTTTTCCTGTATCGCTTCAATCGCGACTCTGCATTACAGCCTTTACAGACTTCTACTCTTACCAGACACTGTTGACAACAGACAAAACAGACAATAACGACAGCCGAACAGTCCTTAGTGCCAGCTACTAGTCAAGCCATTGGGCATCTAGTCAGCTGTCTAGCAAAGCAAAGAACAAATCGCACGATCTAGGCTCAGCCATCTGCCGTCGGTGGCGTTAGCTAGGACAGCCCACGGGGGCCCAAAACGACAAAGTGATCCACGCTAAAACTCCGATCGTTCGGTTGTGACCGTTTTTCCTTCTCTCGTTGCTTTTTCCCTTTTTCGTTTTCTCTGCAATAGTACCGCGTACTAAGTGGCTTCCTTGTGCATCTTTATTTTCCGACGTCATCCGTTCTTTTTCTCTTCTTTCCTTCCTTCCATCCTCGCTCTTTTACCTCTGCTCTACGCTCACTCCAGCCAGTCCTTACTCTGCTTCCCTCCACCAAGGAGATTTCCTTCCTTTGACCAACAAATAAACAACCAAACATCTAGACGACTGTTTCACTTTTCTTGCTGAAGATTCATCTTCTATCTTTATCATCGACTCCGACTATACAGATCTGGCTATCTTGTTACTCAACCACACCACCATGTACTCCTGCTCCAACTACCCTCGAGGCTGCCGCGGTCGCTGCAACATCCAAGGCGGTAAATGCAGTGATTGCACAGTATGTCTCTCCTCTCATCTAATTGCATAGCCACAGCTAAATCTCTTCTAGTCGCTCAATCTACGACGACCTCGCACAATGGCATCCCCGTTTGCTCAGAATCAAGGCGAATTCCGCCGCCTCGCCCAGATGACCTCCTGCGCCCAACCCGAGGCTCCCGATAAGTCCAACCAGGTGTAAACCGACCACCACAAAATTCAACGAGCATGCATTTTCAATAATTGGGAGGCTATCTGATTCAAGAGCATTCATGTACGACATCAGCGCGGCGTTTTCTTCAAGAACACCTTGACTACACTTTTTATTACTCCTACACCACAACTTCAATCTTTCAACAACCTTTCAACAAGCCGGCTTTACAGTGGAAGGGACCGACCCGATCACTTTGGTACATTGGTACTTCAGCACTCCGTCTAAAATCCTTATTATCACGGGCGACTGGTTCGCTAGGCAACAGATTCTGGGCAACATTCGACATGACCTTCTGGAAACCTCTGGATTGTGGACAATCTGTCGGGGATCCTAAGACACTCTTTCTGAAACCCACGATTTGTGACGCGGACCCGCTGAGCGGGCCGCCATTCTATCGCCCGTTTCAATTTTTTTTCTTCCCTTTCGATCAGCTGCCGTGTTTACTCATGTCGTGTCTTCTTAGACACAGTCAATTGTGCGGGGCTTTTTTTCTTCGTTCACATTGAATTTACTATTCCCGTACCACATCTGTTGCATTATTCACCCCGTTTTCATGTACGAAAACACTCGCTAGATTATACCCCTGTTTTCTTCCCCGTCACAACTGCATTTTCATTCACCGGTGTTCGGTTTTTTATTTTTTTTTTATATTTATTTTTCTTCGTGTATACAATACAGTTGAATGATTATCATATGATATGTTTATTATACTTGCTACCTAGACTAGACATTCGTCGCATGACTTACTTTCCTTGACTCTTGAGGATCCGAATCTTTCGGGCATGGCAGAGGCGGATTCCGTGCCGTGATTAATTAAGGATGAATCTAGATTCGTCTGTGGGGACCAATATACAACAACATTACTTACCCAGTATTGATTCGATTGAATCTTGAGCGTTGACACTGTTGAGATTAAATGTAAATAAATGAAACCACCGCTGTCAAACAAAACGTCAAGTTCTCGGACCCCATTTCGGAGATTTCCCCCTAGATTCTTCCGTTGATCCTGTACTCCAGGGTTGTACCCTGAAAGCGTCGTGTTTCATGAGCTTCAAGGACTGAGTAGTATCACGATCGATACGTTTCCAAATGTAGGGACTATGCAAGTCATTCTTTAGGTACGCTGCTCCGTGCTGTGACGCATGCAGATCACATCAGGAGACTGAGACATAGTATCACTACTCCTCCGTACATAGGACGGTACCGAACGATCGGTAGCGGAATACATACCGGAGCATTTGATATAGATATTTGCCTAGATAGTGTCAGTTCGTACAGAGTAAAGGATCTGCGATCAAATGTTTTGTGTTGTTTCGTTTCAACAATCTATCGCTTTGACCTCGTGCTACCCAGGCACAAGGCACGATTAGGGCTAGCCGCGCAATTGTTCCGAAACTCACTATTAACCTGGATTCAATCCATGCATATGAGAATATAATCGGACAATGTAGTCGTTGTTGGTTGTACGTACAATTGTCAAACTGCCCGATTACACAGCCTCTTATCGCCCACATCCCAACTCGTATCTCGTATTTCGGATTTCAGGATGAAAAAGTTACGTACGTACCAACAGCCCGGACCTATTTTAAGGCTTAGCTCGTATTCCGCCAACCTTCTAGAAGGAATCGAATCCCGCTCGTATTCCATACCCCTTTGTGCGAAACTTCCGAATGCCTAACCCCCTCAGCCCTGAACTCTAGCGCAGTTTGGAAGGCTATGCTTCTGGAACAAGTCGCAGCCGGGCTATGCGACGGGCTATGTGATGATGCGACAGTGCAGAGGGAATACTTATCATCGAGATCCCGATTCTTAGAGTTAATTAGCTGCTCCACCTACGGAACTTTCTTACCGAGCTTCATACTTTTGGAGTTTGCCTAGTAGCCTACGGTGGCTAGCGTGGGAGGCTGGTTAGTTTTGACTGTTCGAGAATTTCCCAATTCCTTGGGACACAGGAAGCTTCCTATTTGTCCTGTCAAAAATATGACTACTTGTAGATTGAATGATACGGGCCCGAACATATCCCGAGCTTAGCCCTGAAATCTAAAGGATTGAGCACATTCCCTAATCCACGGGAGAGTAGGTAGAGGAATACGGCCTTACCAAGTCGGCGTTTTGTTTCATTTTGGTAGCTAAGATCAGCTAACTACTTACGTATCTTGTCAATCCTGTGAGCTTCAGGATCGGATCTGACCCGAATTTGATCGTTGCCTTGTACCTGCATAGGCAATCTGTGCCGGCGCCTTTCTGCCCTAATTCAATGTTCTATTTCTGATTGCATCTCGCCTAACTGCTGCATTGCATTGGTTATCAATAATCACCTCTTCCATAGAGATCTATTCATGGGTACGAGCTTTTATCCAAAATGATTCAGGTGTTGTTCCAAACACCTTGCCCCAGAATCTGCTCGCACACCCATCGGGCAGTCCGCGTATGCAGACTCCAGTATTGCTCGTCCTCGCCGCCATGCTCTTTCAATACACCGGCTTCACGAATCTGTCTTGCAGGCTGGCCCAGTAAGCCTAAAGCCTCAAAAATGACCAGCTGATCACGCATATGGGCATCGACGGCCGGCTGATGTCTGGTGCTTGTGGCATCTGTATTCAACCCTCTCAATTCTTCCACAAGGCTAGCAACACACTTGTTTACTAGATTGTCTAAAGTCGCCACAGTATTATTACCACCGTTACCGCTTTTAGTGCGTCCGTCGCGCTTTTCGTATCCGTCGAAAAGTGCATCACTTCCGAGGACGAGGCCGTTCGACATATGCGCCACCAGCAAAATGTAGGTGTGAGTATGGTGACCAGTGGCTTCAGAGAGGTGTATATCAATCGGGAACTCCTGGCTATTATCTTTGCCGCCATCAGGTCGTGCTCTAGCGATAATCCTATCGTCCAAACCCCTCAAAGCCTTACACAAGGACTTTTGACTTTGCTCTTCAAGGTATTCTCGAATCGTCCAGTTTGGAAACATGTCATAGTCGTAGTTTCGGAGTCTCTCATACTTGGCTATTCGCCTATCTTGGCGGTTCCCGTGTGCTTCTTTTTGTTGAATGTTGATATCAGGAGCCAGAATTGTAATATCTATCTTGGTGACTGCCGTTCTTCGATGGCCATACAGTTTGAGAACTGGGAACCAAAGGTCCGTCTGGGGTTTTATCGATTTCTCTAAAGGAAAGACGTCGAATGTGACCGATCCGAGATCCATCGGTCCGGTGGACCAGCCACGTTTGTGCAGTCTGGCATTCAGAATCGGAAGTCCCAGTATTCGTAAGTTGGGCACCAGGACCTGTTCGATGTAGTCAAAGGAAGGAGAAAACGTGACATTTGTGCCGCCGGTGATGCGCACTTTGATAGGCTCTTTGGTATCAACCGATGACAAGCTACTGGCATAGACCAAATATGGGTACAGCGCTTGAAATACCAGGGAGATGGAGCCCGCCGTGTGTTGTTGTATGTTGTATTCCGGTTTTATAGCTGGTGTATGTCTGGATAGTATACTCTGCAATTGTGCGGAGGGGACAATTTGATCATGACTTAGTGAGAAATCCCTTTTCCGAGGAAAAAATATCATCTTCTGAGAATCGACATGTCCATCAACGACTTCTCCCTGGCATACTTCTGCAATAAATCCAATTGCTGCCGCGTGCGAGCCTTTCAAGCCCTTCCGTCCTTTGCGATTGCCTCGAATGTTTGAGATGGTGATCGGTAGGCCTGTTAGAGCGGACAAGGCTACGGCATTGCGGACCAGCTGTCCGCCGCCTTCAAGCATTCTTCCATCGAGATGTATCATTCTTTCTTGTTCATCTGATATCTTCGTAGCAGAAAGCGCCTCCCCATATTTGTTCGGTTCTGAAGCCATAATCCAAAGTTCCGTCGCAGTCTGAATTGTATACTTGATCTTTCAAGCGCCCTCTCTAATATTTGTAGATTACAAATTTAGTGAGGACGATCGCTTTTTAATTTATTCAATTGGTAGATACCATCGTTCTCCTATCGACCCAAGCTGTAATCTGAGTCGCCAGGCAGCCGCTCAGCCTTCATCGTCAAGTTGACCAATCAATTGATGACTCAGAATGAGTAAGTATTGAATCAACTTGTCGAGGAGATAATCCACCACACAGTCTTGCATCTAGTCCGACAGCTTGTTTTGACCTACTTAAAAAAGTCTGATGGTATAGACATGTTGCATTATTCGAGGTTGTTGTTCTTGCTGAGATGTATCAAGTGGTCCTTCTGATTGGCTCAGTCCGCTAAATTTCCGGCAGCCAGTCAGCAGTCGCTAATTAGCTAGCTCTCCGCCGGAACATTCTGGGAGACGGCGGAAGCGCGCTCGACGTCACCATTTCCTCCTACCCAGTCTTTTCAGCATTTGGAAATATCTACCTTTCACCCTACGTCCTGATATATATCCTCAAGTTACGCGACATGCCTTGCCCCATTACACTCACCAAGTTCATTGGGACTGTGTCCCTAGGTCTGCTCACTGTGAGTATCCACCACCATAACCGCTGATCTGGTATACTCACTGCATAGGGCGTCTCTTACTCCACAGCAGCCATCACCATCCCAACCCTTAGGGCCTTACCCACAGCTTCACACGCCGCTCGTGCCTTAAAAGATGTCAAGCGACGCTCGCGCAAACACGTCTTCCGGTTGTCAAATATATCAAGCGCATGTCTGTTCTTCGCATGGTTCGTCGCTTCGAGACGGAAGAAGCATCCTTATCTGATTTGGGTATCCTTGACATCCGCCATCAGCTCTTGGGGCGTCGATTTTTGGTACAACAGAGAATTGGGCTTGGGCGGCTGGCTGCGCAGCGTCGTGGAAGACATCGACTTCCCGTATCTTGCCGTCAAGAGATCGTCTTCAGGTGCATCGTCTCCTTCGTCAAAGAAAGACGAAGACTTGGTAGTTGTTGAGGCAGACTTCAACGGAGAAACCGTGGAACGTGACATGGCACGTGAGCAATCACACCAGATGGTTCGCTCCTGGCTGTCCGGCGCTGCGTTGTCAATGGCGATCGTAGGACTCTGGGGAGATGGTGCGTAAATCACTCGTCTGATCGACCACCGACTTTTGTATCCATGAAGCTGGCTTCGCGGATATAACTATCGACCAACTCCTCTTCGACTGTACAATGTTCCATCTTCGTCTCAACGAGAGCTCTCTTCTCCTTTATGTGAATCGATTTTAGCGGTACTATATTTTCTTCAGTCGTTTGCTGATGGAGTGCTAACGGATGCCATGTTTGATATTATAATGAGTATACCAAAGAATACAAAGAGATCAAAAGGCTTTTTCATGCTTACCTAAGTAGACGCTCGACTTGGAAGGAGCGACGGGTCTCTCTTTCCCTTTCTGCTCCTTCCTATTTGGGCAACTTTTACTTCCCATTCCGTGAGGACGTCCTTCTGCTGCTGCTGCTGTTCCCCTTCTTTTCTTCTCTCTCGCCCTTTATAAATAGAGCTTCTTCATCTGTTGCTGCTGTTCCCCTTCTTTTCTTCTCTCTCGCCCTTTATAAATAGAGCTTCTTCATCTGTTGTATCGTGTCTTCTTCAGATATACCAAATCGTATATACTACACTGCTTGATACCACTTTGACATGCCTGTTACAATGCCTCCCGAATCCGGCTTCCATCGCATCAGACGCGCAAAGTCGGCGCCATCTGTACAGAAGCGTCGTCAAGCCGCCGCTGTCTCGAAGCCGCTCGAGTCTGAGGTTAATCGCCATCATGCTACCACCGCTGCATCACTGGCAATGGCACTAGCAAAAGCTAGAACGCATGCACTACAAAAGCCGGCAGCATCTTCAAGTGAAAAGCCAGGATCAATGCCTTCTTCCCGAGCTCTTCGTCGCCGCTCTTCGCTTACTAGTATTACCGCAGAAGCCATCTCGACAGGCCCCAGCTATGGTATAGCATCCAATGTTTACACATCTTCTCATCAAGCTGGCAACAAGACATATGATTCCTCACCACTTAGAGTTCCATCGATACCCGACCTCCAAGGGTTTGGAGTTGACGGAGATCTTTCTGCTCCATCCTCATTCCGTCGGCTCCGCAAGTCTCGATCTATGCTTACTACAAAATCAATGAGAAACCTTCGTGCTACAGGTCTTCCAGCCAGTCATTCCGAAGAGGCAGAGTCTCCTTTTCTGAGAAGAAGCGTCGATACCACATCCGGACATAGGTCGCTCCGCCACTCTCTGTCGTTTTTTAGCGGCTCAATCAGAAGAATGAAGAGTCACGGTGCTCTTTCCGCTCGCAGACCAAAGATTGATGATGAGCCTCCGGTTCCTACCTTACCTAGTGGTAGTGGAGCTCGGCCTACACGCAAACCGATGAGGACCACCGTCCGAAAAATGCGAGAATACAGTCCAGAAGATGATGCTTTCCCAAGCAGCAATGGTAGCAAAAATCAATCAAAGGCCCGGTCATTCTCCATCAACATCAAAAAGCGCTTGAAACGAGTTCTTGGTATCCCAAGCTACGATGAGAGTCAATCTCCAGCAAGTCGATCATCATCGTATGATGGAAATCTGATTTTCGAAAGGTAGGCTCCCTGTTTGGTATATTCAGTCAGCACTAATAGAGGCACAGTCCCGCGTTTACTGATGATACCCTACGCCCAAGCCTACATTCAACCAGAAGCTCTGAAAGCTTCGCCACCTCGGCGTCTCGTGTCACAAGCTGGACCGATTCCACCGCAGGAAACACAGTCAGGACAAGACATACCATGGGCCGCCAATCTCTTGCAACCATTGAAGAGGGCTATGACTTTGCTGACAGACTGTCGCCGGGTGATACAGAGACGTATGAGCCTAATGAAAGCAGTCGATACAACAGAGTGATCGACTCTCAGCGAGTTTACTCGGCTCTCATGAGACACATTGACGAAACCGCGGCCAGAGATGGAGAAAGGGTCATATCAACTGGTGCGGTCAAAGGATCTCCAGTGATCGTGGAACGTTCACCTTCAGTCCATACTTTGAAGCATCACAGCGGCATTCACAAAGTACCAAGTGACCTTTCGATGAAAACGGCTCGAACCTCATTCATGGTCGAACATCAACCACAGAGCTCCCAAAGTCATTCACTGTTACGTTCTCGGGATTACATGGCTGAGAGCCCTGTCAACTCAATTGAGACAGACCAGACGCGTCAGCCCTTATCAAGGAGCTCTAGCCGAGTGAATGTTAGAGACTCAAAACCAGCGTTCTTCCCATCAGGATCGTCGCCAAGACTGAAGACATCGAGTCCATACAAGGCCTCGATGAGTTCAATCCGTGAGATACATGACGATTGGGATACGTATAATCCACGGATCAATACCATAGGCGCTAACAACGACAAGCCTGCTGATCTGGATTCACCAAGCGTCTACTCGCGTACTACAAGTGGCCGTGCAGCCAGCCGCGATGCCTTGGAAGATGGATTCGAGGAACCTTTTGAGCCTGGTATGGCCACCATATACGATATTCAGGTGCCTTACAAGTCCCCAAGAAGAAAAGACTCGCCAGCCATAGAACCTGGGCCAAAAAGCAGTGCGGAATGGAAGGAATGGGTGAAATATCAGATGGATAACCTTGATAAATTCGATATCCCTCATTCGGCAGACCAACGAGAGCATCACCGCGAAGAGGCCAAGTGCGATGAACAGGCTTTACCTCAAGAATCTCCTTGGGACGTCATTTCAAAATACACTGCCACAGATAGAGATAAGTCTCTCAATCGGCCTCAGCAGACCTATACATCTCGAAAAAACTTGGCGGTGACTGAGTTTAGAGCCCATGAACAGAATAACTTCTCCAGGCCTATCAGCCGACAGTCAATGAGTTCACTTCGTGCTGCAGCTCAGCGTCAGCCCTCAATTCTTGAAACCAAGCCAAGTCATATGGATATACGAGGCCACCTGGTTGATCCATTCTCCGGTGATAATCCCGTTATGATTAACAATCCTCCTTATGGTCGACAGGCTATCAGGGCAGCCCGCGAGGCGAGGCTAAATCGCGGCATGTCGAGACGGAACACATTGAAACTGGAAGATGATCAACCAGATGCAAAGGCTGTCCAATTTCGCTCAATTCGTGAGGTACCTGACATTGGCAAATGGAACAAAGAGAATGAAATGTCTCCAAGAATGAGAGATAAATATGAGAGAACTGGACTCTCTAAAATAGAAGACATGCCCAAGACGATGGGTGGCAGTAAGCGTATGGTTGATGATTTTCTGCTGGAGAGACAGCCCGGTCGTCAGAGTCCAGATTCTATCACCAGTGAGAGTGCGTTTGTCTAGCAAGATTGAAACCTACCCTATTTCTTACATTTGTTATCCTTTATCACCAATCAAGTCGCCAGTTTCGTCATTATGTCTGAAAGAGACTGATTATTGGATGATGGAAAGCTTATTGGATTAGAGTCTGTATTCTTAGAAACTGGTGTTTTTTTATTCCTGGTGTATGTTTTTTTTCTAGTCTATTCAAAAATTTTGAATGTTTGATAAGACTAACTCCACAATTTCGTGCATGAATATCGAAGTTCATGATCGAGAACGTTCGGTATGGGAGTTCAAAGCAATGACACAAAAACGAATGTAGGAAGCGATCTGTATGAAGCTGGATCTGAATCAGTCTTTGGCAGCCGTTTGAGAAATTGCTTGAGGAGCTTACTGAATGTAGAAGAATCATCCTTTGCAAATCACTTGGGCGACCACCACAAAGCTCGATACCAAAGTCATTCTCCGCGTGAATGTCAAGTAATAGCTAGACCCATGGATCTCTCTTCACTATCGCTGCGTGCAACGTCTCCCGCAGATACACTCGACCCAGTACACTCTCCTCACTGACAAATGTCCTGGAATGTGTCGTTGGGCAAGTACCAAAGTCGCCGCTCCAACCGAGATATCGACCTTGATGTTTCGATCAACATCACCAAGGAACCTACCAAACAACTCAAAATAGGGCTCAGCGCGTTCTATCCAACTGTCCATCAAACGTCGCTCAAGGACCCTGTCGACATCCCAGCGTGCAACAGTTGCATCGCGACAGGTAGCTGGCTCGTTGGCTTGTAGAGCGAAGCTGGTCAGATGTGGGAAAACCATATCCCAGAACTGATAGTCTGGCTGAGGGAGAAGTTTCAAATCTGGGGGTGCAGCGGCCAGACGCGCAATAACGGTCACATTTTTGATTCTGCGAATGTTCTGCTCAGTGAATGCCATCCGAAATAAGTACTGAGCACCTCGTGCGAGGTCTATCTCGAACCGATTCTCTCCATAGAGGACTTCAAGGCACTCTTCGCTGACTTGTTTGCAGACGGCGAGGAGAGAAGTCGTGAATGGTAGCAGGGATAAGATACGTGGCGTACGCAGGGCATGATCCTCGTAAATAATAAAGTCCAATCCTCCCCTGGCGAGGCTTGTGTTGTTGTATACGACACGACCACGTGGGATGTACACGCGGTAAATCTGTAGGCGAATCTCAGCAGGAAGGTTGAGGAAGGTCGTGGGCATGGCACGGCGTTGAAGATCTTGAGTTGAGAACTTCTTCAGCTGCAGATCTGAAGGATCCATGGTGTTGTGTGTTCTATGGCTTGAGGTCTGAGAATAGGGKAGGCAGCGAAGAGAAGTAACATCGCCTTGGGGTAAGGAAACAGAATCAAGGACAAGTGTGTAAAGCAAGATAGTTCCACGCCGAGAGAAAAGGTCTGCTTTTGTGCTAGGCTGTGCTGGAAGACGACAAGAGTGCGTTGAGATTCATTGATCTATTGTAACTACAATTAATTAAAGTAATAGATCTTTCAATGATGTAAAATCACGATATCTGCCATATCAATTCAAAAGCTAACACAATACCTAAGTGACTAAGGTGTGAATTTTCCCAGAAGCTTGATAATATTGAGAGTTAGCCCTAATTCTGTACAAAGCGGCACAGGGTGATGCTGACCTGTGAACACAGTCCTCCGGCTCAGATCTATTCTTCTTATTCCCACTAAATATCTACCTCTGACAGTTTCTGAACCTCATAGCCTTCTGTAAAGTATAAATTGAATATTTCTTGGACTTCGTCCATCATCCAATCCTTCAATACTGGATCTGTGTCCAGAAAGACTTTCGTATACGTCGACTGCGGCACCATCATACCCAAAATAGGTCCAAGCCTCCGAATGATTTCATCGTCCCAGAATACCAATGAACTCACACTCTCATCACTAACGCTGTAATCACATACATCCATAGAAACATGCAATAAGATCCTGAGGGTCTCAATATAAATCTCACGTGAACAGAAGTAAATCCAGGAACAATCGGCCATCATTTCAAGATCACAGATCATGTGCCATCGTTCTGACGCAATTCTTTTTCTATTATCCTCCGTGAGAAAGCTCGAGAATGGATCGTTTCAAATATATTATCACCATAGAGAATATCGAGACATTCCTCGCTGACTTGTTTCGAGACGCGAAGGATGTTGTGATGGATGTTCGATCCGGGTCCACCGGCCGTCCTTAGTCCATCTGAAGGCACCGTCCGCTAGTTCGACTTGATAGTCGCGAGGAATAAAGTAGTCACATATCATACGGCGCAGCTCGTACGGGAAGTGTAGAAATCTAATAGACCGTCTACAAGGTGGCGGATTGTACATCTCCAGATCGTCATCGGCCGGCTGAGAAGACATTGCCGATAGAGTGCTTTGTGATTCCTCTATGGCTGCGGTGCATTTGCTAGGTAGATAGAAGGATTAATTAAGGAGGGTGTTGCACTATATATTAGGTTCCCCAGGACTCAAGGCAACCTTTCCAGACATCAAACTCTTTACGGATGACGTTCATGACATTCTGAAATAAGATTATATTGTTTTGATATTGTTTTTTTATACTGCATGGGATGTCAATCATGAATCGACTCGTCCCCCAAAATATCGGAGCCCTGAGATGTCAATGTGATAATCTCACAATCCGAAATCCGCCAGCATGGCATCTCCCTGCATATAATAAATTCCTCCTGGCAAAATCTGTCTCTGTCCTCCGCTGTGAATATAGGTAGAAATGTGAATATAGGTAGAAATTGGTTCATAATTGGCTCGTCATTTCCGTGATCAAAGTCCCAACCGCATTGAATAAGAACGCTGTTTCGGGATCCACCGGCCTCCCAGGTGTACACGAAGCTGTTGTCGCCGTAGGGAATACTTAGGCTTTCGTCTCTAACTCGCTTTGACACGAGAAGAATGCTGAGAAATGAATATGGAGGGTCGACAAACTTATTGATCTCCTATGAGAGTTCCCGCGTATCTTTCATGGCCGAAAAACACACAATAATGACTAAGCTGTAGAGACATGGAGTGATGAGTATTTTGATAGATCGATAAATGTTAATAGGCGCGGCATCAATTAGATACAGTACCTAGCTGGCCAGTCAGTTTCACGCCTGAGCCAATCACTCCAGCTTTCAACCTCATACGTGTGTTTCAAGCTACTAGCTAACAACATCAACCATAATGCTCTAATTTTCTATATAGAAAAAGTCCAGGTAAGCATAGCAATCTAGTATTTCAATTCGGTAATATGATATCCTCCGTGCAGGTTAGAGTCCAACAGACGTCGGACACAATGCATCAGCTCCTCATCGAGTAGTAGTGCGGGAGTTGAAACGAAAACCCCAGTACTCATCTCAGTATTCTTCAACTGTAATGGCACCGTTTCCTCAAAACGGAGCCCAAGTTCAGTAAACATATCTTTCCATATTAGATTGGGGACTGCTCTAATGTCGTGAAACCACAGATAATCATCTATTGCCCTTGCGGACAAACATATCGAGCCTGGGCGTATGTTCATTCGAGCTCACAGTAGAATTTCGAATCACTGCCAATGATGTGACAACGTTCAGGCTCCTCTGTATCACAATTATCATGCTTCAATAGGTTCCATGTAGAAAGGTCAAGCCAATCCGAGAAAGAAAGGATTTCATGTCGCTGAAAGCGGATTCTGGCCTTGTTCTCCTCAGTGAAAATAGACAAGTTTGGTCTGCCCCACCACCTCATCCGGATGAATACTGGTGTTTTCCAGTGGTACACAAAAGTGTTTTCACCATAGAGAATATCCAGAGCTTCCTCATTGACTTGTCTCGAGACCATGAAAATGTTGTGGAATGGATGTTCTACGAGGTGGGCATTATCCATGCTCCTAATCCAAAACATTTTGTGGACATTGAGATTGAATTCACATTTGTGAGGGATGTAGTGGTGATATATCATCAGACGCAGCTCGTATGGGAGATGTAGGAATCCAGCGGATGATTTGCGAGGTGACCTTGTGGATGGAGAGGTTTGTCTATCTTCCATAACTGCAGTGATCTGAAGACGGCTGGAAAGATGGGATGTAGTGTCTTGATGGTGGAGTCTCTGAGAGTCAAAGAGGGACATCAGGAGTACATTTTGGCCAGGCAACCATGACACTTCAGGCAGCCGTTCCAGATTCGACGATGAGAATCAAGGTTTGAATAAGATATGGAAAACTGAGTCAACCGCTATTGTTATGTTCAAGAGATAATACAAGACGAGAAGACAAACCGAAACATTCATGTTTGGGTGTAATATACTACACCGCTTGATATATAGATGCTCTCATGTATCCTTGCATGCTATTTCCCGCTCAGTGCACTTTTGATATCATGTCTGTCATGTAATCACAAGATACTTGCATATTCATTTCCAGCTACTTATCGACAGTAGTTTGCTGGAAAACTACCCTTAACGCCATGCAATTCACCTTCCCACCAGTCATCTGTACTATCGGTCTTCTTTACAACCCGAATTCGATCACCTTCCCTAAACACCAAGTCGCCATCGCCCTGGCCGCCAAAGTCGTAGAGAGCCGTGACGTAAATTGCCTGGTTTGCGGATTTTGCACGAGGCGGTGGTGGTGGAGGGGGTTTCTTCTTTCCTATCGCGCTTAACCCAGATCCAGGTGTTGTCGAAGTTGATGATGGTTGTCTACCCCGGGTGAAATAGTCGCTCCTCGATGCTTGACCTGGAGTCATGGGAGTACTGTATTGTTCGGATCCATAATCGGACGTACTGGCTGCCGGCGACGGGGACTTTACACTGAGATACGAGGTAGCCGACGGAGACGTCGCTAACGTTTCGCCAATTTTTGGCTTCGTTCCGAGATTTGGGGTCGGAGGAGCGAGATTGCGGCCCGGCGATGTACCGGATGCCTGACGATTCCAGCTCGGGCGTCGTAGATTGATACCGTTCGATTGGCTTCCGTTACTGCGATCGTGTTCACCACGGACGGCTTTGCCGTTCGCTATGATAGCAAAGTTTTCAATCTCTTGCTGAATAGGTAGAAAGTCGGACTTCCAGACCTGGATAACATCCTCCATTGGTGGTGGCGGTGACTGGAACTTCTCTTCCTGGGCATATGTATGGAGAACGGTATAGTAGTGGCCGAGCAACGAGTTTTGAAGCTCAATTTGAAATGCGAGAAAGTAGGGTAACAGAGAGAATACAGCGGCAATGAGCGGTGGCAGGTGTTGTCGCAGGTTCTCGTCAGCAGAGTTGTATTCCTGTAAGAGTCAGCCGGGCCCCTCATGATATTGAAATGAATACGAACCTCCTTGGCCTTCGCCAGTTCCACCTCCGCTTTGGCTAGGATTGCATTGTCACGGTCAGATCGCTTGGTTTTTTTCAATGAGCTATCGTATCTGCTTTGAAAGTGTTCATAGTCCAGCTGTAATGAAATGATTAACAATTGCTTCCACTGCCAAGGTCAAAACTCCACTACTGACCTTTTTATCTTCTCGCTTCTTAATGGTTTTCTTCAGTGGACTCAGCAGATCTTTTGCCAGCTGAAGCGGACGGATCATGCGGTCTTCTACACCATTCACATCAACCAGCAAGTCCGTCCGCAGCGACTCGAATTCTTCATTTAAACGATTGACTCTTTCGAGGGTTCCCGCTGGTATTTCTACCGGCGGATTCTTGGTCGCTTCGGAGGAGCCAACGATCGGCGCGTAAACGGTCTCGAATTCTTGAACTAGACGTCCTTGATACGTCAAAATCGCCACCCAAGCATCGCGCCAGGCTTTGGTTGACTCTATGATCTATTAATGCGCACCGGTTTAGTGACTGCTTCCATGACATGAATAGAGTAAAGGGCATTGGTCTGTACCTTTGTCAAAAGCTTGTCCGCATTGTCAAAGTCCTTCAGAAGCACGGAAACCTGGCTATCGTCCGCCGACCTCTTCATCAACTTTCCGAACTGCCTGTGCATGGACTGCATGGTTGCGGGGCCTTGGATGTGGAATTGATATCAGCTTGATTTATAACAAGATAAAAATATCTCAGTTGGTCTTCGCTGGTTCGAACAGGTTGATAAAAGTGCAACGATAAACGAGTGTGTCACAGATGTCACGCAAGGCGCACCTCCGCGGGGTGGAGGTCAAGCGGAATGGAATCGTTACGTATGCGTACGCGTCTGCAGGATGCTGCGTTAAAACACGAGGAGTTTGGTGTCAATCGAGCAAAAATAGGCCGCTGTGTGCGACATAAACAAGAAGGTCAAATTAAAATAACAAGGTGCATGTCAGATGTATTGATGGACGATCCTGAAGTGAAGGGGACGCAAGCAAGCAAGGTGTCGACAAATTCCAGGTTTAATTGATACTACTTGATCTATGAGGGGCCTGGAGCCTTGCCGCCTGAGGGCCGAGGCCACAAACATCCCCTTCGGGCCTAGTGGAGGGGGCTTGTGGATAAATCCAAAAAAGGCAAGATGTGCCTTCTTTCGTCCGCTTCTCTTCTTCTCAACTCTTCGATTTATCTATCGTCTATCACATATTGACAGATTCTACTCTCTTGATTACTCTTGCTGGCGACCCAACGGCTATGGAATAGCTTGGAATGTCTCTCGTTACTACCGAGCTGGCCCCAATGGTCACCCCATCACCTATAGTGACACCCGGCATGATCACAGTGTGACCTCCAATCCAACAATCATTTCCAATTGTCACTTCTTTCGAGTAGTCTGGAGTCACTCTTCTCGCCCGCACTTCCGTCGGGTGCGTCGCTGCAAAGACACTCACGTCTGGTCCGAATTTGACGCGATCACCAATTTTCACAATTGCGCAATCGAGAATCACCATACTAGAGATGTTTCGATATGTTAGCTGAAGAATTAGTATCGAGTACGCAAAACGCACTTGAAGTTTGCATAGAAGGCGTCGCCAATGATTATATTGCACCCGTAATCAACTCGAAAAGGAGGGTCAATGCAGACTCCTTGACCAACATGCCCGATGAACTCCTTCAGCATAATCTCACGGTCTCTATTCAGCGATTCATCGGTTGCATCGTCAGGGAGGTACTCGTTGTACTTCTTGACGAGTTTCCGAGCGCGTAGTCGACCTTCGACGAGCTCAGGTACGAATGAGTCGTAACTGGTAGTTCGCATGGTGAGTAGATATCAGCAAAGGGAAAGAGGTATCCTCACAACATTCCGGATATCATCTTCTCGTAGTCATCGCACCATGGTGTGTTGCTGAGCGTCTTTGCAAGCTCAATGATGTCTGATCTCTTCTCCGTGCGCGCCATGGCGATCAAGTGAGACTATTCTTCGTATCTCAGGCTCACGATTGCAAGTGTTCAAGAGAGAAACCGATTGTCGCTCAGTTCCAGTGCGAATGAAGAAAAAATACAAGAGTGATAGTAAAAGATGCCCTTTCTCATAATCTCGTGGGTTACCTTTCGTCCCGAATAGGTAGGAGAGACGAATTAGGAAACTCGCGAAATAATTGGTCGCAGATGTATAGAAAATCTAAAAAGCAGCGAATAGCGTCAAAGTGATGGCTTGAAACACGGCTTTGCACAGCCACTGCACTTAGCCCTAAACTAATTAAGGCAGGAGAGACTGTTTAGGGAACCAATACGTGGGGCCTACACCTTCCTCCTCAACACTTTACTTTTCAATACCCTCTCAGTTCTCCTTGATTATAGCAGCCATGCCCCCCTCTTCATCTACCCTCCGCACAAATTCCCTAGCATTTGCCAAAGCAGACTGCCATACTTGCACCGCTCATCAACGCCAGTGCGATAGGAAACGGCCTAGATGCTCAATCTGTTCTAGCAAGGACATTCTGTGCGGTGGCTATCCCATGCAATTAATATGGCCCAGAAGCAAGCCGGCAAAGCCAAAAGCAAAATTGACTTTGAATCGTGGAGATGGCCCGTTCTATATCGAGCCTCTGTCACTCCAAGCCTCTTATCATACCCAAAATGGGTCGAGTCAGTCCTTGTATCACAGCTATCGAAAATTGGCATTCGTCACTGAAAAGTCCCCGGACCTAAAGCCCAAATCTGCGTCACCGAATCATGTTCGAAAGAGGAAGAAGCCTGCCTGTCCTTGTGAGATTCAACCACGGCCTCCATCTCAGCGAAGGAGCATCTCAAGGGAAAGTTCAAATCATGGATCATCATTAAGAAGCCCTTTGCCTATGACTGCTGCAGCTGGCGATTACGGTAAGCCGAGCTATGCTTTGTGATATAGACTTACTAATGTAAATCAAAAGGAGTCACCAGCTCCATTATTCATAACGAATACAACGACCAGCCTAGTCAGTTTTCTATGGTTATTCCAGATGAGTCTTCCCCCCACAGCCATAATCAATTAAGCTTGTCACTTTTTGATAGTGCAGCTCACGGAAAGATGAAATCAACAAGTGATGACAAGAGTGATTTTGGAACGTCGGCCACGTGTTTTACCACTGAAAATCACGCCAATTCTCTGTTCATAGACCCACGGCTTCTGATAGCCTTGAGGAGTCCAGTTCTGTACGAGAACTTGTTTGAGAAATACAAGCCATTGCTCAACATGTGTAAGTACTATGCCTCACTTTTCTAAGCAATCAAGGGATCTGATTGAGTTCCAGACGATCAAGATTTCTGTGTTGTTCCCCTGAGCGGAGATATTCTCAGCAATCCTTTGAGATGCCGCATAGAAGCTTGTCACGAATCCCAGTCTTTGTTACACGCCATCCTAGCCGTCTCTTGTTACCATGCTGGCCGACGATGGGAGAAAAAAGACTACTCGACTGCAGATGTTGAAGACCATCATAACACCGCCGAAAATCTGTATCGCCACGAACTAGATGTTTGTACAGATCTAACACAGCGCGTACGGCTTCTTGATACGGCAATGCTACTATTCTTGTTCGAGGTAAGTAATTAAGAATTTATAGCCCCGTGATACCACTGCAAAAGTGCTAATGACAGTATAATCTAGGCAACACAGTCTGCTTTGAGTGATTGGACCACTCGAATCTTTAATGCCGGACAACTTTTTGAATCTTGTGGTGGACCAGGATTTTGGGCCGAAAATCGAAAAATCCAGGCTCAGGCTGCCCTGGTTTTGTGGTATGTCCTCTTCACCCTGATGATCATACGCTTTACTGACTCGTTAAGGTGGGACGCAAATATAGCCCTTCTATCGCGACAGGGCTGCATACTTCCGTACTCCTACTTTGAGTCTCTTTTGGCTCTAGAGAACGAGAGGTATTGGAGCTTTTTTGATGTCGTCGGCTGTCCCAGAGAATTGATTGTTCATCTGATGCAGCTGTCAAGCCTTGCTCAAGAAAATGAGCAGGCGTTGTCGATGCAGTGGACGAAGTTCGATTTGACATCCGTCAACAACATACAGGCTTCAATCACAGATTGGAAAAATACCAGTTTACTGGCGATTGACAAAGATTCCTCCGAAAATTCAATACAGCAACAGCGTGATCGCTATCATTGCACCGAGGCATGGAGATACGGGCTCTTGATCTACATCACTCGAGTTTTCCATTGGAATCGAAAGTCGACCCCGCCCAAGACTCTTATCATATATGCAAGATTAATTTTTGAGCACGTCCAGAGTTGTCGTCGTACCTCAATAATTGCGAAACAGGCATTCTTTCCCCTCTTTTTGGCAGGCTGTGAGACTGAAGATCGGTTTTTGAGACAGAGCATCAAAGAATTTTGTGAGTACTGGGACACAGCTTCAGGATATGATCTTTTTCGGAGTGCTCTGTTACTGCTTAAAGATATATGGAGAGAAAAGAATGGGCCCTCTGGCGATGATGTTTGGTGGGGGTCTATTATTGATAAGAAGCAGCAGATTTGTCGGCTTCAGGGGCTTCAGATGCAATTCTGTTTCGGATAGCGCCATCGAATATCCCAATTGCTTCGAAGCCAAAATAATGTCTTCAAGATCTCTTGAGTCCATTAATGTTTCCCTCCTCTTTGTTCTTCTTGAAGTCCTTTCCTGTTGTCCAAAAGAGGAAACAACTACCGTAAAAGGAAATAAGCATCATCCAGGTATGCAGGACCGGCAGTGGCATATTTACACTATCGAATGCAAGAATAAAGTTTAATTATCGTACGCAATAAGCAAATGTTGAAGTACCAATTCATTGTTACCAGCCTCGATGGTAATGAGCACCGGGCACATGGGTATACTGAAAGGGGTCGAGAACCAACATTGAGTCATGTACGACCTGCTATTTAGTCTCAGCTCTACCAAAAAATTATTACTTTTATACGAACCCAATTACAGTAAGTATTTTGGGAAATTTTGTCATATATCCCAACTGGGATGAAATCTCCTTACCTAGCTGGAGATTGTTGCCGGGCTTGCCACAAACCCTTAAGGCAGCAACAAGGCATCCATGGAAATAACGCGTCTTCCGAACTACGCGTCAAGCTTCCACTTTCCTTATTCATCATCAATCATCGAATTCTACAGCAGCGCAGCAATTCTAGGAATCAGCGCCACGCCTCTCATATATCTCGATATGATGTTGCTCGAACTCTCAGCTGGCTGAAATGTCTCTCCAACCCTCATCGTTGAGTCGCTCAACTCCGACCACTGTTCCTGCCAGCCAAAACACCGCACCAGTCATCAAATTTCGATGCCTATATACGCACGACGTTCGCCGCAAAGCGAAACGTTGGCAAGATGGCTATCTCAAATTTCACACCTTTAACAAGCGCGCCATGGTGTACGATGATGCGGGGAATTTTATAGGCGATCACCATTGGCGGGAAAGCCACGAGATCCAAGATGGCGATGAGCTGGAACTCGACAAGGGCGTTCTGATACAAGTCAGCGAGTGCATGGAAACCACGCAGACGGATATATCGGTGCTTTTTGAAAAGCGTAAAGCTAGTCAAGAATCCCCACAACCTCAGAAAACGCCTGCTCCTCAACAACTACCGCCGCCCTCGTCTAACGTTTCAATGTCATCGTCCTACGCAAGACAATCACCACTTACAAGACCAGCCAGGCCGTTCAACCCACTCAAGCCGCTTAACGATGTTCTAGGTATTCAAAAAGGCCCTATTGGCCGCTCTGTAACGCCACAGTCGCCGTATGATCAGTGCCATCGACCACCAAGGCCTGTTGAACGCACGCGACAGGAAGATGAGCGGCCTGCGAAACGGTCAAAACCTACGCCCACATCGGATATGTCACAGCACAGGAGCACCAATGAGTCGGTGCGGAGTCGATCGGGAGTGATTGAATTGGACAATTCAACATTTGCAAAACCACCACCAAAAGCTGTTCCCGTCTCGAGTGTCAGGAAAACATTGGAGAAGTCAACCGATAGCCCTAGAGTCCAGGCGAATAGCATTCGAAAGCCCGTAGAACAAACAAAAAGTCGAGAACAACCGAGGCCAGAGGACTCGAGACCTACCAACAACACCACAGTCTTGTCGGGAAATACACGACTATCAATATCGGACGAAGCATCACGTTGGGGCCAATCGAGGCCAGAATCTACGAAACTAACCAATAACCACAACACCCCATTAGATAGAACACGCGAATTACCCCTTGAACAGACATCACGGAAAGAGCAGTCAAGATCAGAGCCTTCGAATCCGTCAGCCCAACCTACACCGGCTCGGATTGCCTCAAATGTGCAGACCTCATCCGCAAGGCCACGGGTCTTGTCTGAGAAATCCAAATCAGTCATTAACAGCAATAATGCTCCCATAAATCCTCTTCGCATGAGCAACGAAAAACCACGTCAGAAACTCATGTACAGAGCGCTTCTTCCTCCAAAGGGCACCAGAGAAGCGCAGGCGAAATCCAAGTCAGTAAACCTTTCGAAACTGAAGAAGTGATTCACGTTGACGGAGAGAACAGTCAAACCGTCGTTGAGAACTCGCTTGTCGATCTCGATCTAGACTTTCCTCTCTCGGTGTCCACGCTTGCTGTACTCGAGGAATCAAATCCAGCCACCCCAAACACTGTCGATGGAGTGATCAGGAATATCAATAATCCAGAAATCGCTTCGGTGCAAATACAAACACCAAAGGTCTCTAGATCACAAAACTCGCAAACGAAATTACTGAATCGAATACCAACACATGCATCAGTATATGGTCCGCTTGCTTCGCCGGCTGGAGTGGAATTGCAAAATGGCATTGGAGATGATTTAGCCCTATTACTCGCGTCGTCGCCCTTAGGGCCTGATCATAGTGATAATGAGGTACTTGGAGCAGGACCAAGAGCGCCTGTCATGCGCAGTAATTCTGATATATCTCACATGGTTCCAGAATCAGCGCCAGTCAGATCAGCTCCTGCTGAGAATCTAGCCTCCGTAGCGGAGGCACATCCCACAATGGCCATCAAACGGAGTGAGCGCGTTTTTCGAAAATCTCACTCGGATACGAATGCTCTACGGCACCTTGAAAACGCAAGCAATGGCCTTTCTCGGCCGTTGGCTACAACTGGGCCTCCAAGGAACCAGAGGAATGTTGGTACTGTCAAAACTGAATCTGGGCCATGGACTGCAGATGCATTGGACTTTTTCGACTGGTGGCCACCTGGACGTCCGATGCCTGCATAGTACCGACATGCCATTCACGAGATATGATACCATGTGAAATTTGATTGCATAGATACAATTAGCATACCATTAGTGTTACGAGTGTCACGAGAAACTACAGCAATATACCCTATAGAATTACTTGTACAGTAGTACATCTAACTCAGCACTCGGCCGGATAAGCGGTTTCATCTTCTTCCGTATATTCGCATGCTGCTCATAAGCATAGGCAACCCAACCAGATTTTTTTCCATCGAAGGGTCATCCAATGATCTGGAGACCAATCCTTCACAGACGCAGATCAGCACCTTTGGGACCCTCTTGGATTAGCGGAATGAAAGCTTACGGAATCCCTAGTCCCTCGATAACAATATCTCTACGTTGATTGTACACTATGCCTGCATCCTCGGGGTGATTTCCTACAGGAACCGTGATGATAGACCATCCTAGAATAGCAGCCATGTTCGTCGTCAAGCTGCCTTGCTATGGCAAGGGCATCCGGGTTAACCTCAACGACGATATTGAGCGTCGAGTTCGCCTCAGCAATACGAGCTGTATAGGCGCCAACCAAATATTCCGAGGTGAAATGCTTGCAATCTAAGCCAGAGGTAATTTCTCTCAAGGTGATGTCGAGGAGAGATGGAAGAGCGGCTGACCCGTTTTCGGACACCGATACATGGTGAGTCGGGAACATCTTTGACTGTCAACTGGTAATGGGAGGGAATCTACTGGTAGATATGTCACAGTTGATCGAGTATGCAGTTAATGCTTTGGGGCGGTGAAATGGATCTTTGAGGCGCCAGAATTTTGGTGTTGGAGAGTTGATGCGAGTGAGTCAGGAGGACTTCCTACGCATGTTGGGAGAGGTACTTGTCTTCTTCTGATCCGAAATTGGAAATTTAGGAAGAAATTCGACAAGCGTCACATAATTTGAAGTAGTACGTGATGCCTAAACTAAAGCAAATGGCGAAGATTGCAGAAGCAATTATTATTATTGTTACAATAAACCTGTTTGGTAATTAAAATTTTGTCAAAGCCAACAGTTGTGATTGCATTCCGAATGCAAATATTCAAATATTGAAGTACTTAAAAACAGATATCTGGTCAACATATACATGTATGTTACTTGTTCAAATTCCCGACCGTTTATCCCTTCTTGGTCAAAACACCCGAGATATAAGGAAGCGTACTCTTAGCGAACCTCCTCTCCAGCTCAAACGATTTCCACCCTCCATCCTTGTCCGCCGCTTTACGAAGATATATCTCCGTGTCCCGGTTCAGATGACAATCACCGATATAATACCTCCAGCCCAATGCCATGTAGACCGTCTGCATGACCTTGGCAAAGAAGTCCCCTCCTTTGCGGCCAAACATAGAATATGGATTGACCACGTGCTCAACAATAAGCATTTGTCCACCAGGTCGTAGCAGAGAGTATAGACCTGCGATCGTCTCTTCCGGGTCTGGCAGTGAGCACAGAACTCGAATGCAGACGATTGTATCAAAGACACCATCTTCGTTGACTTGGACGCCCTCCCGTTGGAGTGCATCGACAAGCTGCTGCTTCTCAGCACTGGCGGACAAAATATGATACTTCGACTCGAGTCCGTGGGTGATGATGCGCTTACGCAATTCCCCGTGTAGGCCTACGCACGGCTCAGGGCCATAGATGGCCGAGACATTTTTGGCCGCTGGCTCAATGAAAAATGGCATCTGTGTGCCTGTGCCAGGACCGATGTCGAGGACGACTCCACGAGCCTTTTTAAGCAGTGGTGGAATGAGAGCGCCCGAGGCTCTTAGTTTGCTGATGTCGAGGACACCCTCGTCGTTGACGGTGACATCTTGCGGCCCGGCAAATTCGATCCAGAAGCGTCCAAAAGCTTCATCCCGGACTTGACCAGATCGAAGAATGGGTGCGAGGATCTGCCCGCGTCGGAAGATTGTTTCTGATACGACGATAGCGTAGTCTATAATGTTTGTCAGTACTAGCTACGCGTGTAATACGATTGCTAGAGTCGAATTGTGTTCAATGAGGGGCAATTGGGAGGAAAGTACGTTTAAAAGACCACGCCAGCAGCATAGCAGGGCCAAACAGGCCTGAGATGTACTCGCTGAAGCTTGGTGGGGGGTCAACATCCTCCATTTTGATGGTAGAGCAGAATGGATTCTGTCTTCTCAAAATTCTCTTCGTAGAAATGTGGGAAAAAGAAAAGTCAGCTGGGAGCATGGAAATAAAAGAAGTATACAATCGCAATGGAATGATCTGATGGGCGGAAATATATAGTGGATGACTCAGGCTAGTTGACAGCTATACTCAGTTCAGACTAGTGGCATGCCGCTTTTTTTGCAAAGTGTACGGTGATTCGATAAAGTGGCTTATCTAAGCGTCTGCTTTAGGCTTGGTCTAGCCCTAATCTCTTATCTGGTGCGGAGTAGTAACTATGGTGACTATATCTTGCGTGCGACGTAGAAGCGCAGCTATCAATAGTCTCGCTAGAGTCCATTCGTGGCTTAGCCATGTCCAGTATAACAAGTGTCGAGACGGATTTCAGATGAAACATAGCCGGCTGTGCCGGCATTCCGGGCCATTCTCTTCTAGATAACCCCGTCGTCCCCAATGTTTAGAAGCTTAGGATTCCAATTGTCTACAAACCGGGAGAGCTTCCATATCGGCATGTCACCATAGGTATTAGGCAGCAGCTGGTGTTTGATTAGTCAATTCCGGACCAGACCTTCTACAAGTATTGCAAGATACAGGAGATCTCCTACAATGGCTATCGTCGGAATCAACCTCATACGCCAATAAGGATACAGATTGTAGTCAATGTTAGAAGTCTCATAATCTGCCAGTTGGCCATGAAATGCCTTTCATATAAAACCGTCCTTTTTACAATGTTAATTGGTATGTTGTGGGCACATATTAGCCCCACGAACCATGCCATTTTTATGCGAGACGGTCAGTATACGAGCTAAAAGATGTGACAGCAGGAACGACAAGTCGTTTGCATACTGGATATATAACAGTCATCTAGCTTGATCATATATCCATAGATCAAGAAGGATACGGTCCCAGGAATCTATTTATCGTAGCATAGTAGCTGTGTGTGGTACACATATTTTTGACGTTGCTAAATGGAGTACGAGGTTCAAATTTCAAGTTGCACGTACAAACTAGTTACGGCGCGAAGGTGCTTGCCACAGAGCATGCTGATGTCTGATGGGTACTTTAAATGATACGCCATCCAGTACTGACTTCTCTGCATATCATGCGCGTAGGTAAGATAGAGAAATCGCAACGCAATTTGCAGCTTAAATGGATTTAGGAATGAAGATTTTCAAAATCGTAGATTGATAGGCATCTGTACCTACGCCAATGGACAGAAGTGATAACAACAATGAGAGGTAAATACAATTATAGTGAGTGAGTGACGGCCGTTCTACCAAATCAAAAGTCCTCGAAAACAAAACGGAACAGAGAACCTCAGCGGCAGAAACAGAAAAGAAAAACATTATAATGTTCAAAAAGAATAAGAAGACACATTTTGCACCCGGGAGTTTATGTCAGCAATCGATACACAAAAGACCACTTTCAAAGGGGCCTGCTGTATGATTCGATGCCCCCGGTGGGATAACAAGTATGATGGATTAATAACAATAGTGGTGATAACAAAAGAGCGGAAAGTTGTAACCAGATAGATACCCTGCACATATTTTGAAACGCTAACACGATTCAACTCCGTCCGTATTTAAAATGAACCAGAAACCCAAGACCCAAGCAAATCTGCACTCTGGGGTCGAATGCTCGCACAAAGGAAACTCGTTGCCACAATATATAGCGGGATCATTCCGTAATTTGGACTGATGACCGATGACCGAGGTTAGGAGGTATGATGGCGCTTCGGCCAGAAAAGGGCGTATAGTCGCGGTACAATCAATTGTGATTGTGATGGTGGTGATAATGGGAGCTATATGAGTTTGATAGTCGTTTTAGTCCGGGACTGAATCGGCTTGTTCTTGAAAGAGACCCGACATCATGCTTGCCTACGGAAACGTCAGTATGATGATTAAAGACAAGTGAAGAAAAAGTTGAACAAAAAGTTGAACTCACCATCACAGCATGCACGAACGTTCTCCAAGCGATCGGATTCACGCTCTTGACGCTCGATGACCTGCCGAAGATCCTCTGCACTATCGTGCTCAGCACTGTTGTCATAGATGCTATCAACCTGGACAGGAGTATGTCTGCCTCGTCGGCTTGCAAAAGACCCTCGAATTGTCGCATTGAATACACTGCTTATGCGGGATGATGTACTCTGTCGATATTGATCCTGACGAAGTGAAGAGTTTTGCTGGGAGCTTGGTGCAGGCGACACACGGCCAGGAGTGACTGCTGGGCGGACTGATAGTGACGACGGAGCACGCGGTTTCGAAGTGTTAGTCTTCACACTCTGGTATGATGACACGGACATCCTGGGTCCTGTTTGGCGTGATGTGCTTCGAACACCTGGATTGAACTCATCTACATCCTCTGCGGTGATTTCGTGCGTTGATTGTTCATCGTCTGTTCGGAGAAGCAGATACGACAAAGAATTGAACCATGTTTCGTGTCTTTGACTCGTGGCAGCGGTCAAACGAATGCGACGACCAGGGGTGAGAACCTCCAGACTCTTGCGGTGTAGACCAGGAGGATAGGGATTGTCGTCCGTGACCACACGAACAGCCTCGATTGCAACATGCTTGGCTTTGCCATTATGCTTGCCTCCAGTTGCCGGATCTTGATCACTCCAGTATAGCGTACGGGTGTAAGGGTGGACCCAGAAGTAACGACGATGACGTGTACTCGATATCTCTCCTGACACGATTCTGTGGGTATACTTCCATAGATACTCTCCAATCATTGTCTGCGTGATAGCTTGAATCATACGAGGATCTGTGCCGGGGCGGATACCTTGAGGCAACTCATCTCCAATATGAAACCTAGCCTCAAGCTCAGAAGCAAACGATGACAGCGACGATCTCCGAGTAGACGCTTGACTTTCCCGACCTGACCGAGCACGAATCGAAGCAGCAGGCCCGACGCTCTCACCGGGGGTTTTGGGACGCATAGTGTTCTTATACGCTGATGCTGGAGCAAGAGGGGGGCCCATTGTACCAGTTGTACCCTGAGCAGTTTGTGCTGCAGCAATAGCTTGTTTGTGATCGGCTGGTAGAGGGGGGTGAAGGCTGGAAGAGGAGCCTCTTCTGAGGCTTGCGGAGCTTCCCSGCCGCTTGGGKGTCGTCGTTTGAATCGTTGGTATCGTACTAGCGTCGATAATCGGGGTTTTGGCCTTCGGCGTTGCACCGGGAGAATTGAATGTTGAGTCCATGCCATTGACAGATCTTGGCTCAGATGGTGTGAAAGGGCGGGAAGCCATGCGCTCCAAGAGCAACTGGTCAATCTGCTTAGACGACAAGGTCGTCTGAGAAGCTTGGTCGGTATGCTGTAGAGTGCTTGGTCGTCTCTCGCGAGAAGTGCTATTTCCAGATATATCGTTCAAAGGCAAAGTTGTCTCCTTCGCCAGGTTCTCAACATCCACTTGTTCCTGAGATTGACTTGTTTTATCTTCGGAGACGAAAATCGTAGATGGCTGCTTGCCAAGTTGCGTATCAGTACCACTGCTTATTATAGCAGATCTAGGTCGTTCTGATGCGTCTTCCGCAGGTAGGATCACGGGAGGAGGGGTGACAGGCTCAACCGGAAGAGTCTCTAGAGACTGGATTGATGCAAGCGACAGAACTGGAGATGCAAGTTGTGGTTTTGGTGGCAGAACCAAGGGCTCAGTGTGCATGCTGTAGATCGAAGACAGAGACAATTGAGGGAGTGGTGCAACAGGTACTTCCGGTACCGGTTCAGGGATAGGGACTGGTTCAACAGGTGGTAATGTGAACGCGATGGGCTGAGTGTCCTCACTGCATATGGGCGACAGCGACAATTGTATAGGTTCGCTGTGTTCGATATCTTCGATGACGGGAATTTCCTTAGATTCGAAGATATTTGCCGCCACCGGTTCAGTGGCCTGATCGACTATGGCTGAGAAAGTCAGTTCTGGAGTGAGAGGTCTAACTGGAGTTGTCTCTATGGTATTGATGCTTGAGAAGTCCAAATTGTAAACCGGAGGACTTGGAACCTCGCGAGTAACGTCTCTATCCTCGTTTGTCGCGGACTCGTCCCAAATTGTCTTCGGTGGAGTAGGGAAAGCCGTTTGGTGGTCGCCATTTGATCCTGGGAACGGTTTCGAAGGCGTGTACTGAGTTGCCGAATCTACTAGATCTGGTGAGTATGTCTCAGTCGATTGCTCATTGACTGTAGTCGGCTCAGGAACTGGAACTGGAAGTGCTTCAGGCTCCCAAGCGTCAGTCATCGTGGAAGAATCGACCATCGTAATCTTGACAACAATTGATGCTTGAGACGGTTGCCTAACCAGGGTGACTGAGTTCTGGAGTGGAGTGGATGGCTGGGATAGCATATGTGTGGAGCGAATGGGAGTACCAAAATCACCGTCACTGCCGGGACTGCCAAGTTCTTCGAGTTCTGCAAATAAGCTCTGTCCCATGGGTGCTGCGTTGTCATGCTGAAATGAACTGGCTGGCGAATTTTGAGCGCTGGATATTTCGTGGACAGAAGATGCCATTGGAGCCTCTCCAGATGGTCTAATTCGTCGGAATCCACCGCGACTGACTCTGATACGGTTACGTTGCGATTGGATTGGCGTGTGAACTTCTTCGCTATCGTCATCTGACGTAGACGCAGTGCTCAAATAAGAGATCCTATCGCCTGGCCTTGAAGTGAAAAGCTGAGAAGGAACCTTCTTCGGGCGAGCACTTCCTTGACGAGGAGTTCTTTTTGTTTCGGTTTCAGTCAAATCACCATTGCTATCCTCGGCCAAACTTTCAGCACCAGTCTGGAAGGCCTCGCTTTCAGTAGCAGTCTCTCGCTCGTTAGCCGTTTCAAAGGCATCATCGGTTTCGGCAGCGGTTTGGTAAACATCACTGAGATCATTTGCGTATCCCGGAGAGCGCTTGCCCCGAACCGTACGCGTTGGGCTTGCTTCGCTTGTGTGATCTTCCCAGTCTGATTCGTCCAAGATTTCAGTGCGTCCCCTACGGCTAGGTCCAAGTAGATCAGAGCGGGGAAGTGGCTTTTTGAAGGTATCGGCTTTGACCTTTTGGCGTTTGGTGCCGCTCCCAGGTGGATTGGTCTCACGACGGCGAGTCTCTAGCTCATCCCTAGCTTCTTGCAGCATTCGCTTGAGTTCGATCTTTTCTGTCTTTTCGCGATGGATGTTGCTCTTGAGGTTCTGGATCATACGATGAGCGTGACCGAGAGAGCTTCGTAGGGTTTCAGTTTCCAAATGACCGTGTCTTGGCGTTTGCTTATTGGGCGATGGAGGCGGGGAGCTTTCGGGGCTATCTTGATCTGGCATCGTATCCTCGGTATCGGTCAACCGGGGACGAGGTGTTTCAGCCTCCATTCGTCTACCGCGCATGGATGCAACAGCCATGGCGAGCTCTTGGTTCTGGGATGTCAATTCCTCGACTTTTGCTTGGAGTACGACTCGTTCGGCATCTCCACTGGTCAAATTCCTTCGCAGCAAGTTTGCTTCGGAATCGTGTGCTTTCTGTGTAAGAGTCTGATCCTCTAGCAGTTTCCCATGAGCCTGCTTCAACTCCTCCACTTCACGTTCGATACCCGTCTTCTCGGCTGTTAGAGAGCTCAAGGCACTGGTGAGCTTGGTTTCGCGCTCTTGGGCATCTTTAACCGCTGTCATGAGCTCGTGCATCTGAGTTTCCAGATTCCAGTTCTCATCTTTGTAGCGTTGCTCGCTCTCATCGAGAGCACGGATTCTTTGCGTAAATCCTTCAGCTTCGAGCTCCAATCTTGAGTTTTCCAGATTCGCGGCCTTTAAAGATTCTTCTCGTTCGGCCAGAAGCGCTTGTAATTGGCGAACCTGTGCCAGGAGCGAAGTCGAAATCTCAGTAGCAAACTCAATGTCATGGACACGGCTCGAGGGCTGGTTGCGTTGTTTACGCGAAGGGACGCTGACTTTGGATGGCGATGCACTAGCTTGGCTTGTGAAGACGGCAGCCGCTGCGGGTGACTGATTTGGATTGTTAGTATTCATATGCTCCTCAAAAACTCAGATATAACATACGCGTGGATCGATGCCTGGAGTACCCTCCCCACCACTAACTGCTCGCTTAGGAGCCAAAAAAGCACGCGCGCTATCGCGACCAATCTCATTGTACTCCTTCTCTAGCTCGACCAGCTTCTGTCGTAGTTCCGGGCTGATCTCGCTTTCATCTCGATGCTGGTCAAGTTCGTGAAGCTTGTCGGTAAGTTCCTTCTGTTGATTGACTAGTGCCGTGCCGAGTTTTGACGCCTCTTGTAGTCTCCGTTCGGTTTCCGCCAAATGCGCCTCCAGGGCTCGCTTAGCTTGGGATGGCGACGATGCATTTAGACTGAAAAGATGTGTATCGAACGATGAATACCGGTGGGGCTCTCGAGTGCCCGCGAGCCCATCGGGGCTCGAAACGAAAGGGTCCTCCATGATTTATGGACGGCTTGTTCCTCCCAGATACCAGCGTATTTCAAGGAGCTGGAGCTGGAAGTAAGTCGTGCGCGGATTTGATGTAACCAAAGCGACAAAATGAATCGTTTGGTCAACAGTTACTTGCGACCGAGGAATATCGACAATATGCTATTCGGTGAAATACTATGCGCGCATAATCCGGGACGATTACCTCGGGTTGCTGTGCTGTCCCTGGCTGGCTGATGAGTAATTTCGTGCCTAAAAGACAAGGCAATTCGGCTGTCTTGGCGTCTAGATCAAAAGATAACCGGGACCGGTGAAGTGCATTCGCCAAATGACCCAGAAAGCGAGCGAAACGAAGGATATGGATATGTTGGCGGGGTCCGAAGTAGCAAGTTGTCGCTCGTGTCGGATGGGTTATCAAGTAAGTATAGCGATTTGTTGACAGGGCAAGTCAGGTACGCGTTGTGGGTTTCTTCTTGTCTGGTTGTGTATGGGCGGGAAGGCGGCAACCGCGCGGGCTGGATCCAGCGAAACCGTAGAAATGATCACAACACGTCAATTTTGCAGACTGCGCAGATCTCCGAATTGGCACCAATTGGATGAGTCGGAAGGTATTTTGTCAATAATGAACAAGCAATAAAGAAAGAAAGAAACATTAAAAAAAAGTGCTAAAGTGCAAAGGAAAGACAAATGAAAATGATGATGCTTGCAACAAAGCCGAGCGCGCAGACTGTCGACGTCGCTGAGCGGGAAACAAAACACGCACAAAGTGCAAAGGAAAGTGAAAAGGAAAGAAACGAAGGTAAGAGAGAGTAAATGAAAGGGGTGGAAGAAGTAGCTATTAGTTCATTCGTAGTTCTATGTGGTATGTACTACGTGCAAGTTCAGAACAAGCAGTAGACTCACACACGCAACACAACACAACAAAACAACACGAGAGAGGGAGATGAGGAGCTGGCATCATTCAGTTTGCATTTCTGTAACCGAAGCAGGGGCCATGTATCATTGCATACAGAGGAACTGCAGGTTGTATGTGTAATTTACACATGGGGTATCAGTGGCTGTGTTGTGTATTGAGTTACACCAGTCAGTAGCTACAATTTGGGTATGGCCCGTACTAGTGCCCCATCTTTAACCAATCTGTAACGACCCGCGTATTTGATGAAATGGTGATTACCAGATTGTGTATTGGCCTCAACGCTCGCTTCAGTAAATCATGGCAATGTCTAGCACTAATCTATATCTGTTCAGCAGAAGATGGGAACATGCACTTCTCCATTACACTCAGAAATACAGGATCACTCCTTTCTAGAGGAGTATCATGAAACTAGTATCAATCATTCCCCATACCATCCGTCACAAACAGCCGTTGTTGGCGATAAACAACGGCGGTGTAATTTCAATGTAATTTCGTCACGGGGACTAAGTAAACAAAACCTTACTCGAACAAGCTACCGCAAAAGCGTTTTGGCGCTAAAGCCCGAATTGTACAATCATGTGACGTCGATGCCGAGATTACTCTGGTAGATGATCAGCTAACTAACAAACCCACAAGTGGCTAAGATAGATAATCAATCACGTGCAGGATCTGTATTATGTAAGGGAAAGCTTCCATGAAATTGTCTCCACAGTTCAACGCCACCTGCATCAACCTCCATGTTGAATGAATTATTTATTTCTTTATCGACCTCCGTACATACTACTTCAATAGCATCTGTTGTCAAACTAGGAGCACACTATCAGAATGGTAGACGAAACAACACCAGACGCTGTTCTTCCCCAAGTAACATTCAAAAAACGCTCCTCAAAAGCAAAATCCAATTTTCGCAAACGTGCAGCTACACCACCCGCTGCTGCTGCTGCCTCCGACTCCGACTCAGATTTTGTCTCCTCAGACGACGACGAAGGCCGCAGGATCAAACGTCGCCGCAAAACTGCCGTTGTCACAGCTTCCTCCGCGGGGAATAAGCTACACAGGAAACTCGACGAAGATAAACCCGAATATGCCACTGCAGCTCCGCTAGTGAAATCAAACGATGCCACGAAACAGACGAACTGGTACGATGAAGCTGCAGATAAAAATGGCGATGATCTCAGCGCGACGAATCTCCTGGGCAGCACACGCGCAAAGCCCGGAACAGTCATCACGCCCTCGGTGGATGGGACGTACAAGGGTGCCACGAACTATCAATCATTCATTCAGAAAAACCCCGATAGCGCCGGAAAACAGTTCGGTCCTATGAAAGCCGCGACGAATATTCGTACAGTCACTTTTACGGATATGGCGCCAGATGTGTGCAAGGATTATAAGAAAACGGGATTTTGCGGCTTCGGCGATTCGTGTAAATTTGCGCACATGCGAGAGGATTATAAACATGGCTGGCAACTCGATAAGGACTGGGAGGTAGAGACAAAAGGGAAGAAAGTCGCTGGTCGCACTATCGCCTCGCTAGAAAAGCGTGGTCAACAGGCCGGAGATGACGAGGATGAGGATGAAGAGATGTTGGAGAAGATTCCGTTTGCGTGCATCATTTGCAAGGAATCGTATAAAAACCCGATTGTGACGAAATGCGGGCATTACTTTTGTGAGTCTTGCGCTCTGCAGCGGTATAGAAAGAATCCTTCATGTGCGGCTTGTGGTGCGGGGACGGGAGGTGTTTTCAATACAGCAAAGAAGTTGAATCGGTTGCTGGAGAAGAAACGTGAAAGGGCGAAGAGGCGCCACGAGCAGGCTATTGAGAATGGAGAAGAGGTTGAAGGTCAAGCCGAGACTACATCTTGATGTCATGCTTCTCTCTGCTAGAATGTATATATATCAAAAGCTTATAGAACAGTTTAATGTTCATTGGGAATAATTACGATATTCTTGAACAGGAATAGATGTACTTAACCGATAGTATACAAGACCAACTCTATGTATTAGCCCTTCCGGTCAAAATACTCCTCCACCCTTTCAACCAAATCTGCCTTTTTACCTGCCGCAGAGAGTTTTTTCTCAGCCAAAAACTCCTTCAAAACCGCAACTGTCAGCTTCGACAAATTGCCACTACTGTAATGGCTCTGCACTTCAGCTGACGCATTTCCGCCATTGGCACTTTCAGTCTTGACCTTCTTAGCCGGCTTGTCTTCTGCAGCGGCATCGTAAGGCTTCCCTCGCTTGGCCAATGTTGAAGTCTTTGGTTGGTCTGTATACATCTTCTGATATTGTTTTTCGAGTTCTTCTCCCCATTCAAGGACATAGTCTCCTGCACGTTTGTCAATCTGTTTGTATCTGGGTATTGTTTTGTCTTCGGCTTGCTCCGGTAGCTCCTCATCAAGCGCCAGTGCTTGTAGTATGCGATAGTGCCATTGTAATGATGGGTTTGGATATTTGCGAGGGTCGTAGTGAGCTTTAGGGAGTTGCAATTGCTGCACGATAGTGCGCATGTGGTCAATTAATGGTTCTGGAGCCACCACCAGATTTGTTTCTGGGTTCTGTCGGATGTCGTCTGCAAAGGGTAAAGGTAGAATCCACAAACCCGATGGAAGGAATTGATTGCCGGTGTCATCAAGTTTCTCCTCGCCGGGGAGCATAGCAGCTAATACGGGGGTGGCATTCTTGCGTGGAATGAACCACACAAGGCCGATTTTCTCGTCTTGTAATAACTTCTGATGTAAAGCTGTAAATACCCTGGTCGAGCCGACGAATTCGTCTTCATTCGGGTAAATAAATGTAGGGTGCTTGATAGATGCCCAGATCGGCAGCGATGATCTCGGCTTAAAACCTATGATTCTGATGACGGGGTCGCCGAAGTTGCGTAGTTTCGCCTGTTCTTCTATGGTGAATGACACTTGTTCTCCTCCAAATTTGTATGCTTTTCGGATCTCTGTTTTTTCAACGGTCCTTGCTGTATCGTCTGCGATCTGTGTCGTCGTGCCCTTCGCTAATGCTGGCTTCTCGCCACCAAGCCAGACGTAACAGCTTCTAGATGGCTCTTGTCGTTTGAAAATCAGGTATCCAGTAATGGATATTTTAAAATTTGGACTGAACTCGAGCGGAATCTTGAACAGAGCTCGACGTGGAACTGATCTCGAGTTGACGGATGACAAAAGGGAATTGAGCAGCGAGATACCATCACCGCTTGCGTTAGGGACTTGGGTACCAGCGGCGGTAAATGCAGACGCTTCCGGGTCTCCAGGTGCAGTTTTGTAAACAATATCCTTTGTTCGTTAGCCGTGAGGTATTACTTTCTTGGCAAGTTTCAACAACTTACATCGTAAAACTTGGACCTGTCAAACTCGTGCTCCGGCTTCGAGATTGGGAACAACTCAATGATGACACCCAGATCATACAGATCCTTTGCTCGTACCGTGGCTGCAGATCGCATTGTACGGTCTTCGCCATGAGGATTATCACTATCTGTAATTATGAAAAGCCGTCTCGACAGAAAATTCGAAGCTTTCGAGGTGAATATCTGATTGGCGCAAAATAGCACATTTGCCATGGAAACTCGCTCCTTCGAGGGTACTAAGATTTGATTCTCTTCTTCCTCGTCCTCGGCTAATGCACGCAGCGACTTTACATCGTTCGCATCAGGGACATCGAGATCTGTAAACAAATAGCAATGGGGATAGGATAGGCCGCCACGGCTATTCTCATCTTCGTCATAAAACTTGGAAGCTTCTGTTCCAAAGAATAACACACCCATCATATCCTTTGGATTTGAAATGATGCGCTGCTGCATTAAATGATAGGCGCATTTGATGGCAGCTTTTGCGGGTGATTGTGGCTCTCCTTTGCCTGACTCTGACGGACGAACCGCTAGCATGGAGTCACTGATGTCGATAGCAAAAAGCACGGCATCTTTGACGGATTTATAGCCCTATGCTCGTTAGCCTCTTAGATAATAATAGTGAAGAACATAACATACTGTTTCATCGAGCTCCTCTTCCTCCTCCTGGTAAGTTTCATCGTCCGCAAGGGGGTTGCTGTCAGCCATCTTTTTAATCGCTATCTACACCACCATATCCAGTGAGCTGTTGATAGCAAGATGGAAAAAAGTAATTGACAATGAACAATGGACTCTGCTGCCTATGGCTATGACGTGTCTTGGCAGACGCGCTCTCCCACGCGGTGACACGAACACCACGTGACCACATCTCTTGCCTGTTTGGGATGATTAGTTCCCGGGCTTTTGATTGGCCCGATCAGCAATGAGAGCTCCCAGGTCCTCGGAACTCGGAGGCGTTGCTAATCGGGGGCCATTTCATGACCAACAGCAGAACAGCATCGAACAATCCTTATACGCTCGTTATTATTCTATTTGCAGCTGCAGCGTTGGTTTTTTTTTTTCATATGCTGTGCTCCTAATTGCATTGCTACATCTCAAGTAAAATGGCAATGCGCTCTTCTTTGGCTCTGCCATGTCGCATAATCTCCCATAGTTCCTCCCACAATGTCCGGCCTGCGACACGGCTCGTCAATCGGCCATTGAACGGACATGGGTTTGCGACAGCAGCTTCGGTGCCCAAGAAGGGTTCAAAAGGACCTACAGCCATGGTTCTGTTGAATATGGGCGGTCCATCGAAAGTCTCCGAAGTTGAAAGCTTCCTCAGTCGTCTTTTTGTACGTCGAATATTCCTCCTACATGTTACCAGACTAACATTTGCCCAGGCCGATGCCGATTTAATTCCTCTAGGTCCGCTCCAAAAGTACCTAGGGCCGCTCATCGCTCGTCGTCGCACTCCCAAAATTCAAAAACAGTATTCCGACATTGGAGGAGGATCGCCAATACGCAAATGGTCCGAATACCAGTGCGAAGAAATGTGCAAGATACTCGACGAAATCTCCCCAGAAACAGCGCCCCACAAGCCATACGTCGCATTTAGATATGCGGATCCATTGACGGAAGAAATGTATAACAAATTACTGGAAGATGGTTTTGGAGGAGGAAATGGCGGCCGAGCTATCGCCTTCACGCAATATCCTCAATACTCTTGTTCTACCACAGGCAGCTCCCTCAATGAGCTATGGAAGTGGAGGAATAGGTTAGAAGGACCGCGCTCTGGTCAAGATTCGGCTGGTGCGATTCAGTGGAGTGTGATTGACCGATGGGCTACGCATCCTGGGCTGGTAGAAGCGTTTGCAAAGAATATTGAGGATCAGCTAGCTACATACCCGGAAGAGAAACGCTCATCTGTGGTTATTCTGTTCTCTGCTCATAGTTTGCCCATGAGCGTCGTCAACAGAGGTGGGTCTTTTTGTATTCTGTTTTCAGTCTTTGGACGTACTGACCAGAGTAGGTGATCCATACACGGCGGAAGTCGCGACAACGGTCCACGCAGTCATGCAGCGCTTAGGGTTCTCTAACCCTTACCGACTGTGCTGGCAGTCACAAGTCGGGCCATCAGCATGGCAAGGCGCTCAAACAAGCCACACTGTCGAGAATTACGTCAAGAAAGGCTTTACCGACATGATCCTTGTGCCTATTGCGTTTACCAGCGATCACATTGAAACTCTCTACGAACTAGACAAAGAAGTAATTGGTGAAGCCGGCCACGCTGGCATCAAGCGGGCGGAGAGTCTGAATGGCAACCCGACATTCATTCGTGCCTTAGCTGACATCGCGAAGACTCACTTGGAGTCGGGAGAGAACTGCTCGCGACAGATGACGCTGCGTTGCCAAGGATGTAACAGTGAGCGTTGTTTGGAGCAAAAGAAGTTTTTTGCTGGAGATGATATGAAGTCTCTTGTACGATAATCTATATACTACGTAGAATCATTTAAATGAAAGCGCATTCTTATCTTATCACGGCGCTCTGAGGGCCAACATGCCGATTGTTACCAACGGGCTGTATTGGTATTGAAACATGTAACACTCCGTGTGGCCCCAAATATGCACATGCAGTTGTCGGGGATCGGGGATGCGGACAACGCCCCCCTCGTTTAGCTTCATTCTTATGTTCATTATTCCTGTATTTGTGTAAGGTATGCCACTTCCTTACAAATCAGCTGCCTTCCCGCCTTATCAGGTAAAGAAGTCCAACTTCCAACTTCTGCAGTCCCAGCCATACGGGTTGGTTGCTTGGCGTAATCACGTCGTAACCTGGAACTGAACGTTATTTATCTTAAGTCCGATACGGAGGTACAAGTTTGCTGGACGTCCCAACCTTGATTCCTTTTCATATCGAAACAACTTTCTACTTCATCTTCATATGTTCTCAGTATTTTCTATGTAACCGGCTCTACACCGTCAGATACATGTACCAGTCAGCCGCGTTCAGCGCATCTCCTTTCCTGTTCGGAGCTTACGATCCTTAGCTCGATAAGCCCAAATACCCAACATTCCCGCAAAGGACTCGGCATCGCGGTGGCCTAGGAAGTGCCGGAAGTTCATCGCATAGCCAAGAATCCTTTCGCAAACACTGTCGCAGGTCAATTTTTACCCATGTCTACCGTAGGAGGCGATGCAGCTATTGCTGCGGACGCCGATCAGGATGCACGTGTTCTGCATGAAGAAGAATCTTTAGGCGCATCCGAAACGTCTCCCTTGTTACCAGCTTCCGAAGCGGTATACGAAGAGCCTGAATTCAACGACAATATAAATAAGCCATGGCTAGGATCGCCGGAATTTGATGCCAAACCCTGGTGGAGGCGACCAAATGTATGTCATTTTCTGATATTTTGTCAATCAATCTAATGTTTCTAGGTCTATTATCTGATTCCGCCTACTGCTCTTTTCACCTTTGCATTTGGTGGAGCAGCCGTGCCTAAAATCAACTTGATCCTTTCAATTGTGTGTCGAGACTACTTCGCCGATCAAAAGGCCAAGGACCCTACCTTTACATATCTACCAGTTATCTTCGGGGGTGAGAACGATCAATGTCGCATACCACAAGTCCAATCCAATGCGGCGCAGATCTTGCTTTACATCAACTTGATATCTGGATTTTTATCGGCACTTGTCAGCCCCCGGCTGGGTGACCTGTCTGATAGATATGGTCGTGTGCCATTGATGTCTCTCTGTGTTGCAGGAACCTTGATTTCTGAGTTATTTGTAACATTCATCGCCGCTTACCCAGATCATGCTTCAATCAATTGGCTCCTCGTCGCAGCTTTCGTGGATGGGCTATGCGGATCCTTCACCCTCGCTTTATCGTTGGTACATTCATACGGAGCGGACTGTACGCCTCCAGAGAGAAGAAATGTCGTCTTTGGATACATCCACGCGACATTATTTACGGGCATTGCGTTAGGGCCATTCCTTTTTGGGCTGCTGATAAAGCACACCGGGAAGATTCTAGACGTCTTTTTGGCGGTTTTGGTCCTCCACGGAATCTATCTTTTTACGCTGTTATTTCTCATTCCGGAATCATTGTCAAAGGAACGTCAAAATGTTGCGCGAACAAAACATCACGCAAAACCTCAGAGAGGGAATACGAATTTTAAACAAAACTTCCTGCGAGAGCTTCACCCATCCAGTATTTTCAAGCCACTGGCGATCTTGTGGCCAAAGCCCAGCCCTTCGCAATCGTCGCCAGAAAATCGGGCATTGTTCAGAAAACTGCGCAAAAATTTGGTTTTGATTGCTGCCATCGATACGTTGATGTTTGGAGTAGGCTTAGGCACTGTGCAGATCATCATCCTGTATGCAGAATATGTGTTTGGATGGGGCAACTACGAGTCCAGCGTGTTCGTCTCGGTCACGAACAGTGGACGGGTAATCACTTTGCTTCTTATTTTACCCGGTATAACGAGATACATTCGTGGACCAACGCGAGGCAATCAAGCCAACACTGGAAGCGATTGGCTGGACATTTCCCTGATTCGTCTAGCCATTCTCATTGACCTGCTTGGTTATATTGGATACGCGGTCTCAAAGACTGGAGGAATCTTCACATTGTCCGCTCTCGTTGCATCCATAGGAGGAATTGGCCCGCCAAGTTTGCAGTCGTCGCTGACGAAGCATATACCTCCTAGTCAGACAGGACGAATTCTAGGAGCCATGGGACTTTTACACGCCCTCGCTCGTGTTGTGTCACCTGTTATATTCAACGGTATTTACAGCGTTACAGTTGGCACATTCACGCAGGCCGTCTTTGTCTGCTTGGCATCGGTGTTCGGTTTGGCAGCCATCTTGAGCTGGTTTATTGTACCTAGTGGTGAGCCATATTCGATTTAAGTGTTATCTCGTCAAATCACTAACTGCTCTTCACAGTACATATGCCGGAATATCCTCCGTCTAGTCCGTCAGAGGCGGAGGACAATACCACAATAGATGCTTGAAACATTTAATATGCCACTTGCTTTTAATTTTCTTATTCCAGCATTTTTTCGCTTCTTGAATACTTCTTTATGTCTCTTTATTTGGATTATCTATTATGTTATCCTAGCCTGGCGCATCCTTGAAGCAGTAATATACGCATGTATCGGCGTCTTGGGGGTGGAATGTTGAATATGATCTATTTACCATTTAGAAGAGTTCAGCTGTTCCACCATTCTCATACAATAAAGATACTTCAGCCTATCGTCGACTCTTTAAGATTAAAGATCATACGATGATTGATTTTCTGCCTCAGGCATAACGCCGAAACAGGCTAGAAAACCGCTGGCTTTGGGATTCTTGGCATGTCCGACCATTCGACCCGAAAAAAAATCCCCAAGTAACTGTCAACATTTGGCGTTAATTTCCAACTGTCCTTTCAGCATTTGTTTCAATCCGTTAGCCAATTGTTGGATGCCATTTCCAATGATTTTCAATTTAATACGCTCGTTTATCATTCCGTAATGTCAAACCACGCCGCTCCTTAATTCCCTCGCGTCCAGACTCCCTGGATCATGCTTCCACAGCGTGCCAGAATGGCAGTAGTCCCCTCGAGGAACGCTCTCCGAATCTTACGACAGTTAGCCTTTGCTGGATCAACGGTTGGGGGCGTCTGTACCGTCGCCGCGATTACCTACGATGCTCATCGCCGGGCCACCATAGCCGAGAAGATAGTCAAAAACAAGCGGACTCTACAGACATCAACGCCGTACTACAATGCTACATCGGCTGCAAAAAAGCTTGCACTGATGGTAGAGGCGGCAGAAGCAGGAGAATATGATGGATTGGCATCTTTGAAACAAGCTGGTTGGAATAGGGAATCGCATGATCACGGGCACAATCCAGTTTCCGAACCCCTACCTGACCCCGGCGACATTGACGTGGAGGTAAAAGGCTCGAGACAAAACTTGATTCACGAGCGGGAGTATCAGAAATACCCAAGTCATATTACGCATCGAGATTTGATAGCAGCAGCGGATGACTTGGAACGTGCGGCTGTTACAAAGTCCTGGCTAACGAACCGTTCCGAAGCTATCAATTTTTCAGTATACGATCAAGAACCAGCAGACGATCAGGAAATAGCAAACGACCGAGAATCAGCAGACGATCAAAATTCGGCATACGAGCAAGCATCCGAGTCCTCCATTAAGACCAGCGATGAAAGTCCGGCAATTCGAACTGTTCGTGATCTCTTCGAGCGAGGTAAAATTATTGAAGCCGCAGAGTTCTTCCTTGAGACACATTCGCAGTCGACAGAAAATTTATCTTTGAGAGATCGCGAGCTTGCAGTGAACATTTTTTACGCTAATTGCGCGGATGACAACGTCTGGGTGGCAAGAAATATATTTAAACATATTGAGTCTCGGAGCAGTATCTCTCCACGAATGTGGAAGAGGCTGATCATTGCTTTGACGAAAGCACACGCGATTGAATCAGCTTCACAGTTGATCTTGAAATATAGCGACGATATTCCGATACCATTCTACCTAGCCGAACTGGTAATACGATGTCTGCTCGAGACTCATCGGTTCAGCGACGCTGCTTCAATACTGTACAGAAATGTCTCCAAAGATCAGGACTGCACTCTGTGCGGCGTATTTCTAGACAATTTATGGAAGAAGTCGCGAAGTATTGACCTCATGAATCGAAAATTTGAAAAACTTATGGTAATATTACGCCGCTTCGATCGACAGCCCACCGCTAAATTATTCAATCCCATGGTGAGAGCCTATGTCTCTTTCGGTCGATTCGCAGACGCGGAGGCCTTGGTCAATGACATGATTACAGTATACGGTGTTGCGCCAAATTGTCGGACCAAAGGCCTATTATTACTTGGACAGGCATATCGTTGCAACTGGAAGGAAGTCAAAGATGGCTTACAAGAATTACATGATCTGGGCATGACTGCCGATGATCGCAGCTTCATAAAGGCTTTCACAGCATTGTTTTTAGAATACTGGCCTACGCATAACGCTGCGGATATACGTGATTTTTTCATGAACGCTGTCGAGCGATATTCGCTCACGCCCGATCAAAAACTCTATGAGCATGTCCTACAAGCATATATACAAAAAGGCAACGCAAATCTCGTTACCGAGCTAGCCCATCTTGCAGTGAAGTGTGGGTGGCATGTGGAAGTGAAAGAGGAGGACCTTGTTAAACAGCTACAAATTCACCGCCGGAGAGTTGAAAACAGTCCCGTCGGATTTTGGCAACTGCTGAATGCTGCTCGGGGGACCTATGGCCAGGCAGCGGCCTCTCAACAGATCTTGGGCTACGACCAGCGCTCTGTACCTTGGCCGGAGGCCAACTGTGCTCTTTACTCGGATCAGTGGCCGAATTGGTACCGCCGAGCAGTGAAGGGCATTATGACAGACAGACCGATTGACCAGTATCCGCAGCTGGACGTACAAATGACCGAAGCTTTGCATAGGGGTGATTTTGAGTCTGTATTGTGGTATTACGAGAACGCTGCGGCTGCGGGCTATGTATTCCAGTCTCAGCATGTGGAATTAGCGGCAATTGCTACGCTTGTCAAAGAGGGGCTTGTGCCGACGCAGAAGCTCGTTGAAAAACACTGGGAGGTCATGAAGACTAAATTTATCGTTGTCCCACAATTCTTTGTACAGATCATGGATAGCGACGCATTACCGGAAACTGAGGTCATGAAGTTGGCAGTGTTTCGATTTTATACTTTGTGCTGGGAGTCTTCACACCGGACGTTTGAGCATCGATTCTTGAACCATATTGCGACTCGATACGTTGAGCAAGGCAAACCAGATGCAGCGCTGGATTTGATGCTTACAGTATACAAATCGCGATGGGGCCGCCAGGAACGGCTTAATGGAGAGAGTATGAGGACCATGATGCGAGCTTTTCTTCTAGCTGGTCATCTCAAAGGGATCCGGTGGTGTCTTCTTACAACCATCGCTCGCGATTCTACCGAAAATAAGGAACTTATTGTTGACGCGCGCCGTGCTCTGGTCACGGCKCATGTAAAGAAACTCGGTTGGAAGGGACGACCGAAAGAACGATTTCGTTTCCTCAGACATCTCGGCAAACTGGTCAGGATTCTGGAAAAGAAGAGTGATGGAGATCCTGAGCTCGTATCCCTGTTGATCAATAACAAGCGAGACAAGAGGATGTCCAAAAATTTCTACCACCCACAGATTCACAAATGGCAAGACGACAAGACTCTGACTCTCCGGAAAACCATTGCATATTGGGACGAGGAGCGAGAATTAGAGTGGGTCACAACAGTACCGAGCGAGATCTGGCAAACGCCGGAGAAAGTATGGGAACTGTGGAATGAGCAGCGTGTTACAAGTGAGGAGGAAAGCACTGAGTAGTGCTGTACGCTGTGTAGCAATATATGTATATATGTATCAACTGTATAAATACTACGAAACTCTTCAAAGAGTATCAAGATAATCAACATAGTTACTAGTTAGCTGCCTAGTATCAGTTAATTTAGAGTACAGTAATATTAGGACCGATCCAGGGGAAGTCAGGAGATGCGGCCAATCGATCGGGGGTCTCGATCACATGTCACGCCACCCTGCTCCCCCAATGAACGTCGCCCGATTTTTATCTTAGTTCATACTGTCATGCAATAAGATTCTTCTTTTTAACACTCTATTTCTTCGATTTTCTCTCTCTGTCTAGTCATGAGAGAACATTTTCCAGCAATTGCTCTCAGCTAGTCTTTCAATCTCTCATATATATTGCAGACGACGAACATGTCGAAAACCTCTATCGCCACCGCCGCTACCACTGCGACTTCCATCCCCGGCGTAAGGCAACGACAACCCTCCATCCCCGTCATCGCCGTTAGCAATGAAGAGGCTACATCCCCCGAAAGACCATTCAATGAGTCCGACGTCCTCATAATCGGTGCCGGCGTGGCTGGTTGCGCTCTAGCCGTCGCTCTGGGCAAACAAGGCCGAAAAGTCACATTACTTGAACGATCGCTCAAAGAACCCGATCGTATTGTGGGCGAATTACTACAACCGGGCGGTGTGCAAGCGCTGGAGCAATTGGGTCTTTTGGAGTGTTTGGAGGGCATCGATGCGATCGAAGTGGATGGGTACGATGTGATTTTCCACGGCACCGAGGTCGAGATTCCATACCCTGCAGATAAGACCACGGGGGTCATTCCGCAGGGTCGAAGTTTCCATCATGGTCGATTCATTATGAAATTACGAGAAGCTGCAAGAACGACCCCGAATGTGACGATAGTCGAAGCAACAGCCACAAACTTGATCAAGTCCCATTCGGACGTTATCGGGGTAGAGGGGACGGTGAATGGGAATTCGGATCATTTCATTGCCCCATTGACCATCGTTGCGGACGGATATGCCTCGAAATTCCGCAAAGATTACCACACACATACACCAGAGGTCAAGTCGAAGTTTTGGGGGTTGGAGCTGATTGACGCCGAACTCCCCATGCCGTTGCACGGTCACGTCTTTATCGGCAACGGACCACCCGTTCTCATGTATCAGATCGGCACACACGAAACCCGCGCCTTGATCGATATCCCCGACAACCTACCATCAGCCTCCGTCGAGAATGGCGGGGKAAAGGGCCACATGAAGAACGTTGTCCTCCCATCCCTCCCCAAAGCTGTCCAACCCAGTTTCCTAGCTGCCATTGAAAAGGGCCGATTACGATCAATGCCCAACTCATTCCTTCCTTCCACAACCAACAAGACCCGCGGATTGATTATCATCGGTGACGCATCGAACATGCGCCATCCGTTGACAGGCGGTGGTATGACGGTAGCACTTAATGATGTCGTTGTGCTGCGAGATTTGCTCAGTCCTGAGAAGGTTCCCACATTTAAGGATACGCCTCTAGTCACCAAGACGATGAAAACGTTCCACTGGCAGAGAAAAAAGACTGCTTCGACCATCAATATCCTAGCGCAAGCTTTGTATTCATTATTTGCCGCAAATGGTAACTCCTCCCTCTTCTCTCTCTTCAAAGGGATTCCTACTGACTGAGTTATCCAGATCCATACCTCAGCATCCTCCAACGCGGCTGCTTCCGCTACTTTGAGATGGGCATGATCGAAGCACCCTGCGGCATGCTCGCAGGCCTCATCAAACAACCCACCGTCCTGATCCGGCACTTCTTCGCGGTCGCATTGCTGTCGATATGGATCAACTACACCGAGACTCCATTCTATCTCTGGCCCTACGCTTTTTATCAGGGATGCGCGGTGCTGTGGACCGCGTGTGAAGTTATTATGCCATATGTGTTTGCGGAGTTGAAGCGGTAATCGATTCATTTATTACACCGTCAAAAAGTAATTGCGATGTACTAGGATGGGATGTTTGATGTAAAACACTGGGAGTTTGTTTGTTTTCTCATCATTAGGCGCTCGTTCACCTCTTGTCTCCTTTAATGCGACAGATTTTCTTTACGAAACTTGTCTGGCCCAAATCTGTATAGAATCCTTGCTAGTGTATATATGACTCCTACTAATGATAATACTTTTCAATCAGTCAATCCATCATTCATTCATTGTTCTTTCCTATTTTATGATACTAAGTACAATGCTAATGAAGTTATTGCACCCAAACAGATCCCCAAAGCAAACGGGGAAAGGGGTCAAATACATTAAGAAGAAAACAACAAAACAGTCATTTTTTCGCTCGCCTGAAAATGCAAACATCCTATATGCGCCTCCCAGAGGGGATCTCTTCTTTTGGGAAAGGAAAATGACTTTGAGCAAGAACAAACACAAAAAACAACGATAGCCCCCCGGGATGTTTATGCAAAGTGAGAAAAATCTTAGTTTTGACATGGAGAAACAAGAAAGAAAGATTTGCAGGCGGTATTTTCATCGTCGAACCGTACGTCTCAAACATCAAAGACAGAGCCGTTTTCCAATCATGATCGTGTTCGTCCTTCGTAAGCAGGTTAACTTCCAGATTTCGCCATGTTACCGAGTCTCGGTCTAGGCTCAACCGCCCTTCCGAAGAGATTCGTCCACCGGTAGAGGCTCCGAGTGCGCATGGTGTTGAGGCTCCGCCACTGATTTCACGTTGCGCCGATGCTTCTTTTTGGTGGTCTGCCACCCTCCATTAGAGTGGTTATGATCCCGGCCGCCGTTTAGGGGTGGTAACCCGTCAGGTTTCCGAGGCAGCGAAGCTGGTTGAGCGTCCTTCCGATTCAACGAGGACAAATGTGAGCCTGCATGCGTATCCTGCGAGGCTTTCGGTTTGGGCTTGTGGTTATGGTTATGACTGACCCCGTTCGGCTTATCCGAGTCCGCACCATTTGGACGATTTCGGTGTGTAGGTGAAGACGAAAGCGTATCTTTATTGCCAGTGTGATTCCCTGTTGACGACGACTTGTCACTTGATTTTCCTTGATGGCGTTGTTGGTGAGAATGTCTAGATGGCGAAAACTCTCCATTGACATACCCTGGCTTCCCACCCTTTCGTTCCGAAAACGACTTGAGTGGTTCGGAATGATTGACATTAGCAATGTGTAGTCCCTGGAAACGTTCTTTAAGATTCGAGTCTGCGTCTTTCGTAATCGGAGTTTGGCAATCCTGCTCTTTGGTCATTGAGAATGGATCCATCTCGAAAGTATTGTCCTGAACACCATTGACAAACACATCTGCCTTCTCAGATGGTACTTCCCAGCCGACTACAGTGTCACTCATTCCAGAAGGACTAACATATCGATCTGAGTAATCATCACGAGAAGATGCTTTGGACTCCTGAGGTGGAACGGACCCATCGATGATCAGAGGCCCACCGCGATCGCGTTGTGTCTGCGCAGGCACCGAGTATCCACGTGGTGACACGGGTTGCGCACTCGGTGTAAAGCTAGTGTCTGCTGCAGTACCAAACGGATCACTATACACAGGCATACCTGTACGATAATCCGCGGTCTGAAGATACGCTGTTGTGGGGAGAGACATCGCCATGTAGCCGGGATGATAAGTATGTGGCATTACATAATAGCCACCAAACTCCGCGGGTCGATGTTCATCAAAGAACGTGGGAGTAGTCACTGTCGTTGCCGAAAGGGAATTGAGGCTCGAGGTTTCGGTATCAGTCCGACCTGGAGAGCCCGGCGGCGCTCGATCTCTTGAACTGCGAGAGGCATCACTAGGTATTGAGGAGTGCAATGGAGCCAACCCTTGCATAACCGGAGAGTGCATGGACCTTGCGGGCTGCGAATGGGAGCGTAAAGATCCACTCGGTGAGCCATTCGCGACAGAAGACCGACGAGGATTGCGGCGAAGATCAGGAACGGCATGAGCAAGTGATGGAGATGGAGGATTGGTATTGCTTCCTTGTGCGGCTGCTGGGGCAACTTGTACGTAGGTTGGAGCGTAAAACATCCCAGGACGCAATGGGGTCATTGGTGGATGATTGACGGTTCCTGCCCGAGCTCGAGAGCTATCATCCGTGCTGACATCTTGCTGTGGGAAAGAGAACTGGATCAAAGGTTGGCGAATTAGCACTGGTGGGGGTCGACCGGTTAACAGTGATTGATTATGCAACTGTATTCGCAGCTCCTGCTCCTGGGCCTGTAGAAACTGTATCTGTTGAAATAGTTGATCATGAAGGAAAAACTGCGCCTGTTGAGCATGCATGTTACCTATGTCTGGAGATAGTGGGAGATTGTTAGACCGGTAACCGTTGCCATTTGTGCTGCGATTTGTCGCACTGGAAGAACGACGTGATGAATTATTCCCACCACGGCCGTAGTTATTTGAATGTCTCGCACCACGGCCACCGCCGCGGCCACCGCGGCTAGACGGTTGGGTAGGGAGTATTGGAGCAATGATTGGGCGAGGTTGAGGGGTCGGTCGCTCGAAAATACGTTCTTCTTCAGGTGGAAAGACGAATTGTTCACAACATTTCTCCAGATCAGCAGTACCGATGGCTTGAAATGCCCTGCGTAATTCCGTATGTAGACCGCGAAATGAGGTGTCATCTGCCGTGTTTCCCAAATTTCGAGTTGTATTGAACGGCTCTTCCACACATAATCGATTGTTCTGCAGAAGATGCCAACCCTTATCCTCCTTGGAAATCAATTTCCCTTCACGAACGGAGACAACATGCTTCTCATAATTCACCTCATGACCGTAATACCTGAAGAATTCAAAAAGCAGTTCCCCAAGTGTTTGCTTATTGGTATGGCCATATCCCCGTAAAGATTCGAGGTCGTCATCAAACGAGACTTGAACGCCATCTATCACTTTCTGAGCTTTATGCGGTTGCTGCTGAAGGCTCGGTAGGATAGGTGGATCGCGAGTCTGGAGAAAATTGATAATCAAGCATATCCAGGTGTAAGAGCTCAATGTACCACCGAGTGCTAAGTAATCCAAAAAGGTCAGCAAGAAAGGACGCATCGAAAGCCTCCGTAATCAGGCAACTGACCAGCATCATTGAGGACACGTCGCTTCGTCCAATGTTTGATGATCATGGCCAATGGCCGGACTCTCTCATCAATGTCCACGTAGGTCCGGATCATGCGTGTGTTTTCTAGAGCTAGTGTGTTGTTGACATTCATGTCACAGGCCATCTTTAATTGCGGGTCCCAAATCTTCACGATAGGGACTCTGGCATGAGATACACAGACCACTCGCTCCATTCCATCTTTTGTAAAAATTCTATCAGTCTTGGTTCTGTATGAAAAGTTGTGCATCTTACGCTGTGCCAGAACCTCCGCTAACAAGCACACATTTTCCAGTTGTTTGAAAGAAGTGGTTATACAGATATCAACTGCGACAAAGGAATCAGTATTAGCAGGAATCACATAGTGTCTGGCAGAAGGGACTGCTAACCATCTGAATCACTTGAACATAATTTGTTCCCTGAAGACCCAAAGACATGCACATTGATATTATTGCCTGGCCACTGCTCATTGAAAAGCTTTTCTAACTTTTGAACAAGCTGTCGACGGCGGTCATCGCTCTCAGCTGATGGCAAAAGTTGCTCATACAACCTCTGCATGTCGGTGCTCAACTTCTCTTCCTCTTCCTGACTGAGACTTTCTTTCAACCCTGTTTTCTCTTCTGGCAAAAGGTCGCCTCCGATACTGTAAGGCATCCGCCTTCGAAAATAGGCCATCGCTGTTTCATATTTGCAGCCACCAAGAGGTTTTCGAAAAGTCGAGGAAGCATTTGTTTCGGAATGTGTGGAGCGGGGAGAGGTGCTTCGACGTCGCGGCGACGGTGATCTCGAATGAAACGACAATCCACGCGCATGTTGGTATGGGGTCGAAGGAAGAGAGCTCGATTGCTGCGCGACGAGAGGCGGCCGTGATGGTAGGTTTGTTTCTATCGTCGGCTTTTCTGACGGCCATGCCATGTTGGATGGCTCGTCGTGTGTTTTATTTGAGGTCGCACCTGGACTCTGAGGATTTGCAGAAGTCCCATTAGTCTTTTCTGGCTGCATCCAGAGATTAAATGTTGCAGGAAAACCGGTGGCCGTCAAGAGGCGTTGTCCGGGAAGCAAGCTGTGAGGGGCAAAGCGAAAACGATTATGAACTGAACGTCGAGCAACGAAGGTCAAGATCGGTCCTAAGTACTAAGGCAAACACAGACCCGCGATTTTGGGCGAGGTGCCAGGTGATTTGACTCTGATATAGTCCCACTCTCACTTTTGCTTTGGATTTTGTCGAACAACGGCCGGCAGAGCGAGGAGAAAAGAATAACAGGATATGGCCTGCAACTGCGTTCAACACGAGGAAGAGACAGAATATGTGCGGCGAAAAAAATCAAATCTATCCAGTAGACAATTTTTGGGGATTGCAAAAGGGCTGGGAGAAGACGAGACGAGGTTATGCAAGTGTTTGAAAAATGTACGATTGACCGCGGGAGATCGAAAGAAGACTGTTTCGAGGGGATTGTCAGTCACGGAGTTGCGGACAACGAGACGAGTATTTTGCAGAAATGCGGCGAGACGAACGGACGATGCAGAGGGTAGTCATTCACAACAATGACTCCTCTTTCCGCATGGTAAACGGGCATCTCCTGAAGCAAAGGGACACGGGAACTTCGAATGACTTACGCGAGGAGAAGGAAAGAGACACCGCGAACCAGGCGGTTCCGCAGACTTTCAAATATCTGTACAGCGAAGAGGAGTGGCTTTGCAGGGTCCAAAGAAAAGAAAAATCGTGAGACCAGACGAGGCGGTTGGACGGTAATTGAGGAAAAGTCGAGGTGGTAATGGTAGCAGTGAGGTAGTACGTAACCTGGTGAGTCGGTCGTAGCAGTCAGCGCCGGTGGTGGTGGTTCACCCCCGTAATTATTGGCAGCGCCGCCAATCCAAGCGATGCTCACGTCAAGACAAGAACGCCGCTCGCCTCTTGTCACCGCGCTCCAATTGACAGAAAGCCGGAAAATTGATTTGCAGACAAAAAACACGGTGCACAAATGGGCTGTTGTCAAAAGGGCAAAAAGGGACCCAGCAACAGACAGCGATAGTTCAGGGTCGAGGAATGCGTCGAGGATCTGGGGGGGTTTAGGGTCCGTGATTTGCTTAGCGGCGGTCAATACATGTACGGACAGGTCCTCGCGGCAGGAGCGCCGTTGCCTGTTCAGTCGGCAACTGCCTCTTTCCCAATGTGCAATAGTCCCTCTCTATGATCTAACGTCTTCTCCCCTTTCCGGGGCTCCTTTCTTTCTTACTATTCTAATAGACCACATGCAGACCATTGCCAGACAATAGTAATCTCATTTCTGCCTCATCTCCACTTAAAATCAGCTGTCACACTCTAGTGTTGGGAGGCGGCGTTTTAATATCGTTTCTATAAACACGCTGCTCCGTCCCGACTTCCATGGTGCCTGGCTGGCACTGCAAGGCCGAGTTGCGGTCTTCTACAGTCATTCAGTGGCAGTCACTCTTCGATGGATCGTTTGTGCCAGCTGGACAATACATTTGATTATTCTGCCTTTGAGCACGGAGTATCCTCAGATGTCTACCCATGGACGTGGAGTACACTGTCTCCGGAACAAAGAGATGGCCTGCGGCGTACCAGGAGCCACAAGTTTGATATATTGTTGCATCGTGATACTGTAATTCTCGTACTGATGCTGACAGATGAGGAGTATGTCTTCCAGCATTAAGTGTGTATCCGGTGCACATTATAATATCTGATATACGTACCTAATCGACAAGAGTCGGTCTAAATTGTAGATCCTCAAAAGAAGACCGTAACATAGTTCGTGGCCAGCCTGTCCATCGCCGGGCCGGTTACACAATGGACTGGACACCCATAAATTTCTTTGTCCGACATCACGCTTGAGGCTACAGCAATCAATCCTGACGTCAGCAACATACCCAAGATCTATTCCTTGATCATCACTACCGACCCATCTTGGTGGTGGATGTTTGGCAAATATCATGTCCATCCGGTTCGTCTCAGTGCCTCATGCATATGTATAGATGCACGCCAAGGAGGGGATTACTACGGGTATCTTCGCTCGCAGGAGCGACGTCGGGACCTGGACGATTCCGATCTGCATCCCAGACAATCTGATAGTTATTGATACCTGAGTCAACAATGTTATCGATCTTATTGGCGTCTGATACATTCCATTACAGAGCCCGATCTATGTACCTATGTCCAGACTATTGTTCGAAGATGGTCAATATCAAGCCATAACGATTATCATGCACAACATCTGTCCGCATTTATTTTCGTCTTTGACAGTTGAAGTAAATATTGTAACTTATCACAGCTAATTCGACTAGATCAGTAGATTTACCTCGTAATGTGAGATATGTACGGAGTACTTCGTACCGTAATAGACACTGTACAAAATGGCTTGCACAATTAGTGGCGATTGGTCCAAGTGTGGTGCATGGAGTAGTCTTACCGGGTATCTGTTCTGTAAGCGTAACAACGGTCAGGGCCAGACCTGCGCCAAGCTGGTTATATTACTAGTTCCCGGCGAAGATATCAAGTGATTGGTGGAGAGTAGCTAGCGTCTCTTAGTATCTCCGTCATCGTTAAATAGTAATGGATCAATACCCACGGGCCAACTTGGACATCGTCAGATTGTATGGAATAATCGCCGTCACTGAGGATTGATTCTTTTCTGGAGATGGATGGAACGACGCTAATTAGCATCGTTTCATCCATTAAACGCCTACCTAGGGATGTATTCATCATCGTTGGACACGTACGTCTACAGTCGAGACATGTTCGCGAGCTTTGATGACGGGGTTTTTTCCCGGCTTGGTGGTTGCAATCTCAAAATTTCAACGTATCATTCGGATATTCTTAGATCTGGTCCGCAAACCTGACACTTGCTTCTTATGTTAAGAATACTCGAGTATCTGGCTATGTACTTCCTGGATGCTTCTTGTTCACAGATACAAATTTCAGGTAAGCGAAGCGCATCAAATGCCAGGAATTACTACTACAGTACTACAACTGAACAAATTAAACACAACTCCACTCCAAAACGGGGCTGCATCCTCTTACTCCCCACTGCATGGGCCGTCGAAGGAATAGGAGACACTGAGCACCGTGAGTGCACTCAGTGCAGCGTAGAAACATTCCACTTCACCGAGATGCAGTTGGTGTAGTTACAGGATCCAGTTTCGTACCACGCGAGGTCATGGGTTACTTATACTACGTGGTAATTATACGTATGTATATGGTACAAACACATGCATTCTCTCGCAACGAGTACAATTGAAATTCTCCGTTCAGAACTGCAATAATTTCAGCACGTCAAATGACCGATACTGGAGACGTGCGAGCGAAAAAGTTGTTAACCAACTTAACCTCGTACTATGTAGCATGTAGACGCCCCAGGGTAAGCCTCTTAAGGAAAGACTATTAGGTGGTAATTAATTACAGTGCTCCGTCTCTCTCCGCGGCTAAACAAATTCTGTCTCTTTCCTCCTTACCACACCCAAACCTAACCAAACCACCACTCCGTTCGCTCCCCCCTCTTCTCTTCTCTTCTCTCCTCAGCCTTGAGTGAGAATTCCCTGTTTATTCTTATTTCTTCCCCTCCTTTGCCTTTTTTATCCTCCTTCCCTCTCTTTTCTTTCTCCTACTCTCCCCCCGGTCTACCCGTCGAGAATTCCGTCCGGCGCACTACCCCGAACGTCTGTCGTGGTAGGGGAATTTCGAAAATTTTCCACGGTTCGGGTCAGCATTCTATTTGGTGTAAGTGCGATATTGAACAACTCAACGGTTGCCATTTCTCTGTCCACACTATTATAAACCCTTGCGACGTCTTATCTGGTTTTGCTTCGTCTTATTTCTGCCTCCTTTTTATTTTTTCTTCGTTCTCGGCAAGCGGGTGCGCCGTGCGCCGAAGGCAAGTCGACGAGGAATGGAATGATATTGGCAGAGAAAAAGGAGGATCCATCTAGAAAGGGGAAAAGAATAGAACTTTTTTAGCCACGCACACATACCTATGTCATCACTGTCATCGTTGCCATCCGTCGTCGATCGCTCCGGGACCACTGTGTTGTTCACCTTCATTCGAAGAAAATGAGCATCAATTCAATTCTTAGGTTGGAAGAACATTTGGCTGACTTTTGTGATGATTATCCAGATTATCAAATAGGCCTATCAAGACTCGCGAACGGATCGGCTGCCTATAAATTTCACTGTTCTCCGTGATTGTTTGCGTCATCTCCGTCCGCACTTTTTATCATTTCGCACGTTTGTCAGAGTAATGTCGACCTCATACTATGAACCACAGGGCTGGCAAGCTCCTGCTCGTCAGGCTTCATGGGAACAGCCCGTTCCTCCGTCTCGCTCAGGTAAGCAGTCGTGCTTCCAATTAGCAACCATGAAGCTTACAGTCTTCCGCTCTCAGGAACCAGCTCGGTCTCTCAAAGAGATGAATCGTCCGCATTTTCTTCGCAGTTCGACGAGGTAGACCGCGCAATTGATAACTTGGTTAAAAGTGGAAAGCTCTTCAACGGTCCCCGAAGAGAATCGATGCCGATGATGATGATGGGACGCCACTTTCCAGAATACGGTATGCCTTAAAGGTCGATTCGTGATATTAACCAACATCTAATCGCTCGCTCTATATAGACCCTCGAATTTCCGCCGGAGGCATGCCACCCCAGCGACACCACTCGGTTAGCGAATTTGATCAGACTCGCGGTCACCCCGGATCCGCGCTTCAGGGATTCTATGCTTCTCAGCGCTTCCAGGGTCGTCAGTCGGAGACAGAACAGATGCTGCAGGCCAAACGCCGAATGGCCGCACAACGTGAACGGGAGCTCCGTAACTACCATCAGGAGCAACAATACAACCGAAGTATGTGATGATCGCTACCTTCCTATTCTCGTCACTGTGCACTTCCTACGCCCTTTTATTCCTTGTCTGCTTATTTGGTCGATGTCCCTTTTCTCTTCTTTGGCGTAGCGAAGCTTTCATTCTCTGGTCATTTTCTTCTGTACTTTACAAAATTTTAACACTTTTCTTCTTTTTTCAAAGGCCTTCTTGCCGAGATGTCCGGAAACAAATCCGACCGCTCTCTGAGTCCCGCTGCAATGAGCGAGGAAAGTCGCCGCGAATTGATTGCACGCCAACATCGCGCTCTGTATGGAAATGAAAGTCCAGCCTTTTTCGCACCAGGTTCCTTGGGTGAGGATGCCCACAGCTCTCGCGCCGACAACACGAATAGCGGCACCCCATCTGTCAGCGGTGGTGTCCGTGGATCGTCTCCTCGAGCAGTTGACCCGTTTGGCATGGGCCAGTCACAACCCGAGGGATTGGGCCAGGGTAATGGACCGAACCCTGCAACTGGCCGCCAGTCTCCTCGTGCTAATAGCACCACATCTCCCAACACCGGCGCCAATTCGTATGGCCTGTATGAGAACGTCAATGTCGAGCAGCCAAGTACCTCGAACTCTTCTCCCGGAGGCGCGGACTCGCCGTCGTCTCGACAGCTGTCTTCCAAGTCCACCGGCCACTTGGGGTCTGTTGGACCGATCGGCTCTCGTCCATCTCAGCCGGCAGTTAGCCAGGCTCAAAACCCTGCTTTGAACAAGCGATCCACTACGCCTCTGCCTTCACCACTAGGCTTTGGCTTTGCGCCAAACGAGAGTGCCAACACCGCAAATGAGCGGTCCAACTCTTCGGCGTCCAACCCTACCACGAAAGAGAGCGCCTTCTCGTCTGGATGGGGCAGCAACAGCGGCGTCTGGGGCAAGAACCTCGGAGTACAAGCCTCTGTTTGGGGCTAAGCTATTTTCAGCATTCGACCCTTTTTCTTTTTTATTTCCTATCTCTCTCGGATTCTGGTACCTGCCGTGTATTCAAAGCACCCTGGCGTTGTGAGTGGTGGCATTAATGGATTTAATGGGCAAGATTCGTGTCATTTCTTGGGGGCGACAAAAGCGATCGTACATATTATGTGAGAAGTCAAGGAAGGGACATCGTTTGTTCCTTAATGTTTCAGTTGGTGTGTTTTGAATTTCTCCGGTTCTTGGAAATTGGTTGATTTATGGCAAGGTCATTGGAGCACACGGCATGCTTTTTGCAAATGGTTGGGATAATTCTTGTCTATTGTTTTTACTGACTGGCTGGCAAAGAGGGGGGCTCTTGGGTATTTCCGTTGGTTTTTCGTTTTTTGAAGGAGTTTTCTATCTGATGCATCTGGTTTTGTTGTCGCCCGTCTGGTTATATATTTTCTTTCTCATTTTGGGAGTCTCACCATGCTTTGAGCTTCTGAGCGTTTTGATGACTGCGGACCTGCTGCATGGAATAGGTTTCTTCTTCATCTGCTACTTTCTGTCATTCGGTTGTTATGTTTGTCTTGTTGGTACAGATTTAATTTTCTTGTTTTATAACACTTTCCCCTTATACTATCAATCGTGCCATATCTGGTTTCTTGTGCACAAATTATTACCCTATTTGGTTATCAACTCTTTGGCCATAAAGGAGATACAGTCTGAATTAGGAGCAGATACACTATCATATGTCATTTTGTCAAATATGTCTACCAAGGTATATTAATATTGTTTACTTCCTCAAAGGGAACAAGCGCGAGTCATGTCCACCCTCCACTGTGAATCAGAATACATGCAGACGGATCGATAAAGAAAGCCATGATGACATGGTGCATCAACTATTTGGAGTATTGTTGAAACAGACTATGTCATGATGCATATTGCCATAGAGAAGAGTTCATGACTTGCATTTTATAGTGCAGTGTGCATTGCGATGACAGCACTTACTTGGTCTTAGTGTACGCCACTTTGGTGCACGGGGATCAATTAGATCGAGGGAATTGATGTAAATGAATAGCAATGTTCGGCTATGAATATCTTGGGAGGGTGTAAGCCCTTCATATCACGTGCTAGCTCCCAGCAAGCACATATAAAGCTATTAGAGAAGTCTCAGGGCCTAGTAACTTGCCCTTTCTCTTCATCCCTATGTTACGGTCTTTCATACAGAATTCTATGGAACATAAAGCGGCTAGAAACGATCCACCTCAGGAGGTGTACCTTTCTGATGATAGAATCGTCACTACGAATAACCACGCAATCTTCACAGAAAGCAACGAAGAGGTACTAACATATACCAGGGTAAATGATCTCACAGCAAAGACCACGAGGGACAGACATAGAGGCGTAGAAATGGGGATACGAAGAAGTGCCACGATTCAGAGTGTAGAATTCCAGAGATTAGGGAAGTAAGATGTAGACAATACTCGAAAAAACAGAGGGTGTTGAGGTGTCTTCGAGGAGCAAAGGGATGGGCGGGTAAGAATTCATCTGTCAATTCCATGTCGTTATCACATGACAATATTTCTGCGGCGCCCGGCAGAGTTCGCATGAGGATAAAATCACTGAAGTTCGTTAGCTATGGAAAAATCTGCTGGGGTCCTGACCAGGACAAGCGGAAAACCCAAATACCAAAAAGCTGAGGATGGGGAGCAGATAACCCCGTGTTGGAAATATCATTCGACGACATTCCGAGCTCGTTAGATAACGTTTGCATGAGAGTCAAAACAATGAAAGTGGGTTGATATTGAAAATTCTACTGGGCGTCTAATCATCCCGCTCATCCTGCCAAACAGAAACACCAACAGCATGCTGAGCCCTGTCAATCCTCCGCCTCGCCGTAAATATCCCCGATACACCCTGTTCCTGATTCCTGCCCAGCCACGGTTTCCTCGCCTCCCCCAAAGCGCTCCCCCGTCGTTGGCCGAGATAATACACGAACTGGCCCAGGAGAATCAAGACGAATGCGATCGGGTACAGCCAATGGATGCGTAACTTGAGCACAAACACGCCAATCAGCACGCCCCAGAAATTACCCGTTAGCATGGAGATATTCATAAACGCGGCCGAGGCCAGGCGGTAGATGAGAGGTGCCGTGGTGTAGAAGCTGGCTAGACAGATGGTATATCCAAGCAAATACCCAACCACCGGCCCATTCCAGGTTGCTTTTTCAAAGGACGAGCGATCAAAAATCGTGGCTTGAACGCCGTTGATGAGTGTCGCCCAAAACGCGAGTTGTCCAACCACTTCGTACATGGGTCTTTTGCTAACAAAGTATTCTTCGACGATGTTGGAGAAGCCGTAGAATGTGGCGGCGAGGAGGGCGAAGAGATCACCCTTGACGGCATCCAGGGCCTTCGCGCCTTCTGCGAGGCTTCCGGTGATGTGGTCCGATGCGAGTAATATGCCCATGCCCCCGATGCAGATTGCTATGCCTAATAGTTGCATATGGTGATAGCGGACGTGTAATATTAGAAAGGAGAGAGTGACAACCACCACGATGGCCCAGAAGTTGATCAGCTGTGCGCTAAGAATAGTGGTATATCGATATGCTAGAACGATAAAGTAATTTCCTTCGACGTCGCAAAAGGCGAATAGTATATCTAAACAGGTCAGATGAATGGCCTGTTCAGAAGTGGAGATGGCGACATACACTTCCACCCGTCATTCCGGGCAACCTGCCCCCAGCGTTTGAACCCATATTTATAGATCGTATATGAAGTGAATATAATGTTTAGCAGGGCGTAGTTGAAGAAGGTCTGAAAGGCCGGTATCGATGTACCCTGTGCTTCGAGCAGAGATGTGAAGGTACTACTGGACGTGTTAAGGATAGCCAATGCTTGTCTATTGTCTTGTCAGATAGGTTCGTTTCCGTGCCGTAGAAAATGACATACCCAAGTACCAGAACAGTCCAAAAATCCCTGGTGCGTAGAGACGTAAGCAGACCCTTGCGCTTGCTGTCGGCGACTAGTTCCTCGTCGCTCTTATCGATATGCTCTTGACCGAGAAGAGCGTCATATTGACTTTCGGGAACGTGGCCCAGATTCTCGCGAGCGGTAATCAGTGGCTCGGAGTCGGCCATATGGTTACCTCGTCATCTGAGAATCCTCTGGGTTAGAAGTGGAGTGGACCTCGCAGGTCGTTCACCCTCAAGATGAATGGAGTTGGTGAAGGAAAGTGACGTGGCGGGGTATCAGCGCCCAATCAGCAGCGGCGATCAGGCGGGAAAGCCGCCGCTGCCTGGATGCCTTGGCCGAGTCATGTGAGATCGTCAAGCTTAATTCTTGTATCCCCACTTCATTAACTTCTTTCATCTTTCATCCTTGCCATTTTTCCAGATACACTCTTAAAGAGATGCTATCGTGTTGATTTGACTCTTATGCAACTCATACAGGAAGCCTTCCGTCTCGGCGTCTCGTTGGACGTCAAGTCATCGAATGTGCCAATCCCCTTGGGCACGGCAGCATGCCGATCAGCATATCACCGCCGTTGACTCAAGACTCAATTCATGACCCCAGGAATGTTGGCTTGCGACAATGAACGGTCGCGTTGGCGTGTCAATGCTAATCATCCTACTCGAGACTCCACCGTGGCTGTCATCCTTTCTTTTTGTCTTCTCTTCCCCACAGTCGTGCTTCCATGCTAGTTGTCAATGCCAATGTCATGTCCATGTCAAGTTCATGTGGTCACAGTCACAGCCCACAATGTATGGAGAAGTCCGTCTCTGCATGACTGCCAGTGCGGAACCACAGCCAGTCCAGCCTCATTCTTCATTGATCGGGTCGCCTTGCTTCCCCGCGTCATAACAATAGACATGCTACTCCAGACATACATAGACTTGGTGTACCCTAGTCAGCAGTCGCGTGTGGTTTCCACTCTGCTTCTAGAGTGTTTCCTCATTGATGTATACCATATGCAGTAACAAGTAGTAAATAATTATTATCCCAAAACGAGATAATCATCAAGACACTAAATACAACAATAACATTATCAAAGTTATTAGATGTTCTAGGCGCCGAGCTGTGCCCTGGCCTGATCTCCCGGTCCCCTCTCTGGGCCTCTCCATACGTCGGACTAGACTAGCCGCCACGAGATTTCCCGGCAACGCAAAACTCAACTTCCTCACTTATCTCTATCTACTACTTCATCTCGACATTCATCCGACGACGGCCTCTCGACCTTTCGCTACTGTTTGCGCTTTAACGGAGATCCTTTGAATCCAACCTCGAACTGCTTTCTGAACAAATTCACTCACTCACGACTAGCCACCCCTTCTCTGGCATCGCTCATCTTCCCCGGACAACTCGCGCAGAGCTGTACCGGAGTGACAGGACGCCACCTGTCACTCTCGGTCGACATGGCGCTGGCGATAAAGCTACCCCAGGACCGGAAACGTGTAAAAGTCTACGAATTACGAGATAATGACTGGTTTGACCGTGGAACGGGCTTCTGTACGGGCGCGATTGTCGAGGTAAGCCTTTCTGACGCCATCGTCGACATCCGCCAAGCCGGTGATCGCGCGACCGGCTGCCACACTATTCATCGTTGCGTTGCGTCGCTGGCGCAACTTCTTCTTTGTCGTTTCGGTGTTCTTGTTATTCGCGTCGATTGATTTCATTTTCTCATGCCGGTTGCGCTGATTTTCAAAAATGCATCGGCTGATCCATCGTCTGGTATTAGGACATGCCCCGGATATACGTCGAGTCGGAGGATGAAAAGGGTCGCTGCCTGCTGAACACGACGATCGGAAAAGAGGAAGGCTATCAGAAGCAACAAGGTGCGACGATTTTGACGTGTTTCTTTGACGCACGACAGTGCTTATTCTGACGTTGTCCCAACCAGATACCCTCATTGTTTGGACCGAGACCAATGGAACCGATATGGCGCTTAGCTTTCAGGAGGCCGACGGATGCGCTGCAATATGGTTCGTACCCATGCGCCAACGAAATCGATTATGTTCTGACCGGATTTTGTTTAGGGAATATGTCAGTAGTGTCAGGGATCACCTGATCGCTTTGGCTGGGGGTTAGTTCTATTCGATCGGTTCGCATCGTCGTAATACTGACAACGCTTAGATGATGCCCTTTCAGACGAGGCAATCGAGGCCTACCATCAACCTATTATGCTTCCGCCGCCCACCCTCGGAAATCTTCCCGAGATCGAAGCTGCAGTTCGCGCCGCTAGTCTGTCACAGGTCGGTCGCGATGCGCTCGGAAAGTTCGTTCTCAGCGATAACTACATCGACAAATTGATACCATTAGTGTCGGATGCCGAGGATATGGAGAGTCTACCTGACCTCCACCGCTTGTGCAACATCATGAAGTCTCTCATTCTACTGAATGACAATATCATCATAGAACACGTAGTTACAGATGGAATCATCATCGGTGTGGTTGGTGCCTTAGAATGTGAGCGCATATCACTTCCTTGCTCAAGCTCAAGAAACTGACTGGCGGTGACTAGATGACCCTGACTTTCCTACACACAAAGCCAACCATCGGCAATATCTCCAAGACCAGTCCAGATACAGAGAAGTGGTTCCTATGAAAGATCCCGTCATTCAAAAAAAGATCAGACAGACATGGCGATTGCAATACCTCAAAGACGTTGTCCTTGCGCGCATCCTCGATGACCCCACGTTTTCGGTCTTGAACTCGCTGATCTTCTTCAACCAAGTCGATATTATCAACCATATTCAAACCAATGCTCAATTTCTAAAGGAACTGTTCGCGATATTTGATCCACGCAATATAGACCAAAGACGCAAAGATGACGCTGTTTGTTTCATTCACCAATGCGCCTCGATTGCGAAGAATCTACAAGCGCCTGCGCGTGCCACCTTGTTTTCCCAGTTTATCGGCCACGGCCTGTTTCCGGTCATCGCATTTGCCGTCAAACATCCTAAACCGCCAATGCGCACGACGGGTATCGATATTCTCGTCGCACTATTAGATCATGACCCTATAATGATGCGCGGATATATGCTGAAGGCGATCAACGAGAAGAAAACGCCGCTCACCGATACCTTGATCGACTTGTTGCATACGGAACAGGATCTTGGAGTCAAGAATCAACTCGCCGACGCTATCAAGGTTCTACTCGATCCACAAATAGCTATACATGATCCTATGAACAGAGCTGGTAATGATTTATCCGGCAAGGCTCGCTCAGCACATCTTCCTGATGCTTTTGTACAAATCCACTTTGATGAATCTGCCAAACGACTTTTTACTCCTTTAAAACAGCTGGAAGGTCGTGCTAATGGTATGGACCTTCTCCGTTTCTTGATTTGTTTCTGTACTGACATTCTAAGTTGCCGACTTGACTTTCCAGGAGGTTACTCTTTACGCCCACTTAGTAGACATTTTGACTTTCTTCGTTCGACAACACCTGTTCAGGAGTCGTAATTTCATTCATTCAGACAACCTTACTCCCCGTGTGGCGCAGCTTTTGACTGTACCGCAAAAACACTTGAAGCTTAGTGAGTCTGCCGTCCGAGATGCTTTATGACACTTTACATACTAACGTGGCTGCAGCGGCTTTGAAATTCTTCCGTACTCTCGTCAGCCTCCAAGATACTTTCTACCTCGCGCAACTAACACACAACAATACCTTTGGACTCATTCTTGATATCGTTCATGAAACAATGCCTCGTGACAATTTGCTGAATTCGGCATGCCTCGAGTTGTTCGAATTCATCAAGCGCGATAATATCAAGCCTATCATTACCCATGTAGTCGAGAAATATCGCGAAAAACTAAAGGCCATCACATATGTCGACATATTCGAAAAGCTGATACAGCGCTACGATGAATTGCAAGGATATGGACTCGAAGCTGATGCCACGCTGTTCAGCCAGGAGGAAATCCCACCGTCACAGCGTGGCGTACTCAACGGTCAGCGCTGGCAAGGTGTGCGCGAAATGGATGCTGCCGAGGAGGAGTATTTTAACACCTCGGACGACGAGGAAGAGGTACATATCAATATTCACTCTTTTATAATACATTTTACTAAATTTTCCAATGTGCAGTGGCCATCTGACACCCGACAGGAAGGATTGGCTATCGTCGGTCAAACACCATCACACATTAGACTGGTGGATTATCCTGATGATGACGACGAAGACGTCATGGATGCGAAGTCGGAAACGACTGTTTCTGACAAGCAAGAAATCGAGCTACCTGAACGTGTTCTCGTAGAAAACAACACATCACCAACAACATCCACCACATCTCAGCATCCGCCCGAAAGACTTTCCGAGAAACGTCGCCGCAATGAAGATGATGAAGATGAGCTGGGCCGGCTCGCTCAAAACGGACCTAAGCGTCGCAGTTCCAGCGCCAGTTCTACTGCATCAACGTATTTCCGCCGTCGGCAGAACTCGGTTGATCGCAATCTCAAGAGTTCTGTCAAGAACGAAGTATCCACCCCGACAAATGCAGCCCCGAAGAAAATCGCTATCAATCTCAGCTCAGCGTTGAAATCACACGTCACCGTTGAAGCCGAGGCAATTCAACTCAGCGAGTTTGACGAACAAGCGTCTACCAGCGAAGAACACAAAGAGACGAATGAAGGCGAAACTGCAACTCAAAGTTCCTGATACCTTCAACTTTCTCGGCTTCATGTTTATGCAATAGAATCACTGGAGTTGGGTTGTGTTTATTGTTTCATTCGCATTGACCGGACTGGACAGGGCTCATCAAATCATCAAAGATACCAAACGAAGTATGGAAAATGTATGCATTTATTGAGTGTGCGTTCTGTTTACCATATATGGGATGGGCCTGGGATTTTTTTTCTCATCATATGCTTGCAGCTGTTATTGAGGTTTTGGGGGGTTTCTTATACCTTGATCGTTTCTCCTCTTTTATAGTCTTGTTGTTCCTTGGTGCAAGCTGGGCAAGTAGCAAGCAGCATTCATGGCGTTGGTCTGCTGGGTATTATACGGATGTGTTTTTTCAATGACCGGCGGTCTTTTAATGCTTTTTTCTCCTTTTGTCGAAGAGGTTCCATTCCCAGGAGGATCGATCTCTTAAGGATAGGAGATTTCACTATCGTCATATTACCAGAATAGTCACAGATGTGAATACTATACTCCAGTCTGGAGTTATTAATGATTTTAGTATGTCAGTAATACTCGGAAAGGGTATCTCATATCTCATTATCTGATATCTTAACAATACACTCAAGTAATGATGGTAATACGCAATGTCAGTTCTGATTGACCAACCCCGCTCTGCGGAACAGATCCGTCAGTACATTTGGCCCAGGCTGGTTCATCGCCTGTGCTGCAGCAGATGGTAATTGTCCCGGCGAGGGTACTATGGGCGCTTGCACGACCGGATTATAGCTCCAGTTCATACCTCCTCCATTCATCATATCCGCTTCTGCAGCCATGTCAACACCACCAGCACCTGTATTAGGCTGGCTGAACCCATCATCTTGAGCACGCTGCTGCCCAAACAACTCCTTCAACGAAATCTGCCTTCCCATCGGCACACTCTGCTGCTGCTGCTGCGCAGCCAGACTCTCCTTCGCCAACTCCAAACTCCTTCCCGCATGCGTGGCACACTCCTTGATAACCTCCGCATTAATTTTCCTCGTCTCCGCCGTCGAATTGGGTGGCGGCTCCGAAAATATCCACAACCCTATAATCTCATCCGATCCTCCTCCTTCTCCTTCTTCCTCTTCCTTCTTTTCCGATTTGAGTATCACAAACTCATCCGTAATCTGCACATTTTCGCCATCCGTCAACAAGATGTCGAAATTGTTTAGCCCGCGCCGGTTGAGCACAAAGACGCTATATCGTTCTTCCCCAAGGGAGCCCTGGGTTAATTGACAGATGAACATTGTGCCTTCGATGCCGTTCTTTTCCCATTGTTGGGTCGCCGGGTTAAATGTGTAGACGACCACGTAGGGCGCGAGGGAGAGGATGGATGTGACGGCAGGGTTGTGGCGGCGGAGGACGGAGATGTTGAGTTCTTCGTTGGTTTTGGATGGTTCTTGTGTTGCTGCGGTGGGTGGTGGTAGCGGGTCTTGGGGGGTGTCGGAGTAGTAATATACGTTATCCATGGAGTCGTAGTTGGTGATGGGTATCTGTTGAGGGAGGGCCATGGGGAATTGTGCGAGGTATTGTGCGTTGTGGTTGTAGTTTATGAAATTCGTGAGGTGGTTGTTATTGTGGTTCTGGTTCTGGTTCTGGTGGTAATTGTGGTTGTTTGCTCGACCGCCTCGCCCCTTACGAGGGTTCATGGTGTATGCAAATGCGTTCAAGAATTGCGAAGTATTGCTATTCGAGTATTGTATACACCGCGATTGTAGTGTGTGGTCCTTGCGACGCAGCGGAAGAAGACGAGGGGTTGTTGAGGTTGAAATGGAGTTGTCCACCGGGCCGGAAGCTCCAAATTAGTATATAGAACATGTGATTTGCATGAAGGAGCTGTCAATATGCCAAAAAGAATTTGCATTCTCTGTTATTTTAAAAAATAAGCAAGCTTTAAATTTTTGCAGTAATTTGGGCAACAAGCTGTTGATAAGCTGTTCTGAGTTGTCGCCTGAACAGAGCCTTGGAGCCTTATTACGGGGGCTCAAAATGTGTCTCCCCTCTACTCTGGGTACTTAAGTTCTGGCCACAACCACTCAGCTTGTAACCTACAAGGATCGGAATACTACCAGAGACCGCTTTCTGAAAGCATAACACTGGAACCACCTCCACTGGTCTGGAATATTTCCCGAGGCAGACCAAACCAGCCCGCCTGCGATCGCCAGCCATTCATGAGCGCCGCTCACCCTAGCTGCTTGTTAGTGCTGCAGAACTGAAGCTGACGGCTGAAGAAATGCATGGTTTTTGAACATGGTTCCTGGGCGACTTCATTTCATCCTCTCGTAAGTGACTCGACCGCTCCTGATTGTCCCCAGTCCTCTTGTCGAGGGGAGGTTGGGTCAGACGACACCAACGCCATCCTTGGGTGCTCGAAGTTCCGATCGGCTGTTGAACCTTAACTGATTGCTGAGCTTATCAGCGAGTCAATACGCAAGGCAGACTGACAGTCTCTCCAATCTCGCCATCGCCTGTAAAAACCCCCCTCATTCCTCACGCCTCCGTCATGCCCATCAGCCACACGAGCGGCGTCTAGATTCTCGCCCGACTCTCTGAGAGACAATCAACCCCGCCTGCCTCGTCTTGTCTGGCTTGTCTCGTTCAACCTCGTCGCCTACGGCTATGGCTGTTGCCTGTAAACAGCTCCAGCCGACGACTTCGCCCTCTTAGTACGGCGAATATACACGCAGGCGATATTTGGGTTTATGGTAGATGATTGACAAAGGTGGCACACGGCATAAGAGGGGTCGCTCGATGACCCCGGATAGCTTGCGGACACAGCTTCATTCAAGCAAACAACGATAAAAAGCTCGCAAAATGGCGCCATCTACAGACGATCGGCGGTCGTCTACTTCAAGTAATTCGAACTCAAATGCGAATGTTCTCTATGAAGAACAGCAACATTCCGACGATTCTGCTCAGCCGGATACCTCCTCCCTATCAAGCCTGATCCGTGAAGTGAGGGCTCGTAGAGTCCATTATATTCGACCGCGCACAATCCGCATCAAGGTTGGAACATGGAACGTCGCTGCCATATCGGGAACGGAGAAGGATATCGAAAGCTGGTTCGTTGAAGGGAAGGATATCATACACCATATGACTGACCAGGGAAGAGAATACCAACATGCTAAGCAGAAAAGATCGACATCCGCTGAAAGGCCCATTGCCGCCCAAGCGCACGAGAATTTGGCAGAGAACTTGACGGATGAGGTTGGGCTATATGTGCTAGGACTACAAGAAATAGTCGATCTGTCATCACCAGCTGTAACGTTGAGTCCTTTTAACGACCCGGTTCCCTCAAGTCGTTGGAAAGACGTCGTGCAGGAAGCGCTTCCTTCTGGATATCAGCTCGTTGCGGAATCGCAGCTAGTCGGGCTATTGCTTTTGGTCTTCGCTGCGCCCAATGTTGCGCCTACAATTACGTCCGTGAGCTCCACCACCGTAGGCACAGGTATAATGGGCATGGGAAATAAAGGAGCTACGATAACGCGTCTAGTGCTCGGAGAGACTACAAAGCTTGTCTTTGTTAATTGTCATCTAGCCGCAGGCTCTGACAAGGGCAGTCTTGACCGGCGAAACTGGGATGCCGGGCAGATTGCCAGTCGTACCAAGTTCAGTCCTATTGGCCCTGATAATGAGCTATATGGCGAGCCCAGCGACACTATTGCCAATGCGGACGTTGCCTTTTGGTTCGGTGATTTGAACTATCGTCTAGATGACATTCCGGGAGAAGATGTACGTCGTCTGCTCTCGTTGCATACCCAGAATTCATATGATGCAAAGCACAAGCACCGAAAGAAACCGGACACCGATCTCCCGTCACCCATCTTAGTAGTGGATCCGGAAGCTGAAGCCACTGACGAAGAAGTCCAGAAACAGACTGCTGAGCAGACTGCCGAGAATTTGACGCTGACTGCGGAGACTCTGCAAGGCTTGGAAGCCGGAGCTCAAGCGGCACACGCCACAATCGTGCCCACAACAATAATGGAAACTCTAGATCCCATCAACGATCCAACATCACTCTTGACGACCCTCAACTCTTTACTGAGCCATGACCAGCTTCGAACTCAACAAATGAAGAAGAAAGCATTTCACGAAGGGTGGAGAGAGGGCGAAATTCACTTCCTGCCCACTTACAAGTATGATGTAGGCAGCGTTGCCATTTTTGATACAAGTGAGAAGAAAAGAGGCCCAAGTTGGTGTGATCGTATACTGTATAGATCCAAGGCGGACCGCGAGAAATACGAGAAAGAAGTTTTGGAAGCCGAGAAATCACGGAAGAAAGATGAAGAGATGCAAACTCGAGGGATAGACAAGGCGGCTGACGATGAAAACGTCTTGTTCGATTATAACCCTGACGAGGATGGAGAAGAAGAGCCAACAGACGTTCATGAGCGCGCTTCACAGCGCGCTTTGGAAATTGTCGGAGGACAGCCAGATCTTTCTGAGGAGAGGGTCAAGTTAATACACTACACCTCGCATCAGGGTGTCATGTCCTCTGATCACAAACCTTTGGACGCAGCATTCGTAGTTACATATGATGCAGTGATTCCAGACTTGAGGCGGCGTGTCTATCAAGAGGTCGCAAAAGAATTAGACAGGGCCGAGAATGAAGCACGGCCTGAAGTAACGGTGGTTGTCGATCCACACATGGAAGAGGATGTGGAATCGATCCACGATGTAGCTCACGATCAGAACGCGATTTACTTTGGCGGGGTAGCGTTTGGTGTCCCGATAAGCAAGAATGTGACGATTGCAAATACAGGGAGCGTACATGCTACATTCTATTTCACGTCAAAGGCCTTGATAGGCGAATGTACATTGGAAACAAAAGAGGCCCGGAGTGAACAGCAAGCTTGGATGGATATCCATGTGGAATGGCTGTCGGACGATAAGAGAACGGAGGATAAGAAGGAACGGCGCCAAAAGACATATACATTCGCACCGGGAGATTCGGCAGTTGCTGAAGTGATTGTACATGTTAAAGATCTAGAACTTGTGCGCTGCTTGAACGCAGGCAAAGTCAAGATTGAAGATATTCTGGTGCTTCGCGTGCTAGAAGGCAGGGATCATTTCATTCCAGTATACGGAAGATGGCTACCGACCTGCTTTGGTCGATCACTAGAGGAATTGACACACATTCCTGAAGCAGGTGTTCGCAGTCTTGGATTCCCGACTTCGTTAGAGACTAGAAAGGCTAAGAGCACTGTTCGGTTATCAGCTCCTCGGGAGTTGTTCCGTCTTACAGAAGCGATTTCACGTCTGACTGAGCAAGCAGTCGCTGAGTGGAGCATGATCAAGGGGGACACTCCAGATGAGACACCGCCTTGGTTGCATGAAGTCGGCGGACTTAGTTGGCCGTTTGGTCGTGCTTCTTGGACGCTTAAAGATCCTGACCAGAGAGCACCTTTACTATTTGCTGTCCGCGAAGCTCTCGATATTGGTGCTTCATTGGGTACCATTTTTCCACCTGAGTTATCTTCATTGCCGCGGTTAGAAATCCTTGCTGAAACGCTCGTTTTCTTCTTACAAACTCTCAATGATGGGATCATCAAAGCCGAAACATGGAAAACCATGGAGCAGCAGTTGCTAGCGCGCGAGAGATCAAAAGACCCATGGCGTTCTCCTGAAGACATTCAGTCATGGGTACTAGACAGCCTTGCGTCGTCCCCAGCCCATAGCGTATCCTTCACTTTTTTGACCTTCATGTTGAATCAAATCATCAACGAAATCGCCCCAGCATCAGACCCATCAGCTTTACCTCCCATGCTCCAACCACCGCCACCCCCAACACCTACCGACTCGAAAACCTCGCCGGAGAAAATCACACCTAACATCTCGTCTCCCAGCCGTCGAAAACGAACCTTGACCCTTAACTCTACAGACTCATCCAACAGAGACACAAGCCAGGAATATTCTGGGCACGGTGCAACCCTGATCAACCCAGTCGATGAAAGACGCAAGGAAGTAGAAATGACATTATCGAGTTTATTTTCAGGATTGATGATATCGCCTTCTGTCCCGGCACCTTCCAAAGACAAAGAGCGCCGGGCATGGGAGGAAAGGAAGAGACTTGTCGTCGAGGCATTTTTGCAGCCTGTTGTTACGCCTAATGTGGAACAAAGGGTTGATTAGAGTAGAACGGGTGGGCTGTGTGTTGAAATTTAGAGGAGATATAATGAAGATGACCGGAGTTGAGAGATCCAAGGGCTTGGTTCACTTGTTTGTTCGCCAATGTGTTATAAGATTCCTTTCGTTTTCCCTTTTGATACGTACATTATTTAATATGTCTATATATACATTATTTACCGAGATAACCGAGCAGTAAATCGATGTCCAAGAGAGGTCTCATGAACCCTTCTTCCCCGGCCGAATCCCGGCAACAACAGCACCTTGCGGAGGACTACTCAAAAACCTCCGATCAGACATCGACGACCTCTGCACCTGCTTCCCTTTAATAATTCTACGCCTCCGTTTCCCGCGTCCTACAAAAGCCGAAACATTCTGCAAACAAATGGACGCCACTTTCCCCGGCAACGAAATGAGTTGCATAAACATTCTGACCGGCACAACCACAACAGCAGCCATCCAATCCAGCAAGACAAACGCAAAACTTTGCCGATGATCTGATGCTGATCGTTGCGCTGCAGCTGCCAGCGCAATTGCATCCTGAACTTGTGCGTCGAGTTGATTCATTCGTGTCTCGGTCTGAAATGCCATTAGGGCCGTCTTCTTCTCATATCGTCGTACTGCACGGTTGAGGGCGTCTAGTTCGGGTTGGATACTCTGTCGAACTTCGAGAATGATTTGTGCGAGTATTTCTGGTTTCACCGTCTCGCCTGCAGTTTGCTTCGAGTCTTGCCCTGTTGTCGTCGCAGCTTGATTAGCAACATGCGCCTCTAGATCCTCCAATCGCGCAGAAAGATCCAGAATCTTGTTATGATCAGTTTCTCTATCTTCGTCCTCCTCCTCGGCAGCTGCGGCTACCACGCGCTGTAAATAAATCGTACGACCCTGCACCATCCGCAACAAGTGCGCAAAGGGGCGTATCTCAGCCGCAAGGAGGAAAATAGTCAAATTATAATTCGACACCAGACCTTCCGAAGGACGCGATAGCGCGCCGCGAATACCGTGTAGAAGCCATGCACCGATCAAGGGAAATACGAAGCAGGATATCAGAGCTACGAGTTCGTGGATGTGAAGCTCTTTGATGGCTGTGTGGCTGACCTGTTCGATCTTCTTTCGCTCTGTTTTTTTGTGTTTATCTTCTCTGTCTTCGTCATCATCGTCATCTTCATCTTCCTCCTCGGCTATTGTCCCATCATCATCACTTTGCAAGGGTTCCGGAAGCGGCTGACGAATCTCCTGAGCTGAGCGATACCAATCCCTTCCATATCTTATCAACATCAAATCTAAAGTACTCATGGTAAGGGAGAACGTACCAGGGCAACCTAACGGACCAGTTTAAAAAAACAGCCGCCAAAATCAACAACGTCGCATCCGTCACAAAGGCACTACCATTATCGAAAATCATGCCGCCCACAGCCGGCAACAATGCCAGCGCCAATGGCGCAGATTGCCAATGCGAATCATGATGTGTTTCAATACGAGGATTTACTGCTGCAGCCTTTGCGCGCGGAAAGAGTAAATCATCCGTGGAATCGCGAATAGACTGTCGTGCCTCGGAAACGGTGTCTGAAATTGCGGAGTTGCGTCGATATTTTGATGGGCTGGCTTCGGCAAAGGTAGCTGCTCGTCCGAGGGGCCGTTGGCGCAAGTTCGCTGGGCTAAGGGAGTTGAGGTTTGCGCCGGATTGGAGTGAGGCGTGTTGGTCTGCCATTGTGCTTAGGCTCTGGAGAGTAGCACAGACGTCATGCAACGAATGCGGGGAGAAAGTTCAAAACAAAAAGTGTACGATAGATAAGAGAATGGTCAGGACATGATATACGTAGTATATAGAATTATCCCGGTACTTAATCAAAGCAGGAAAGAGACAACGACAGAACGGTAATGAGGAGCGTTGCAAGAAGAGGAGAACGATGAGGAAGAACAACCTCGGCGATCTTCATCGTCATCATCAATACGCAACTCCATACAACGCTAGCAGAGCCCCGTATTTTCACTGTGGTTCTCTCCACACAACGATCGCCCGATCGTATTGATCGTGGTATCAACAATACATCAATACAATGCTTATACAACGATTATTAAACATAGTATTAACATTATTTAAACTACTATTATATACTCTCATGCTAGACGTCAACTGACCGAAAGTCTACGAAATTCATCACTTTTGTCATCTCTTCATCTTCGTCATGGACTATTTATTTACTTTCCGATTTGCTGCAGCCTGCATCCGCCGCATCGCTTCACGATGAAGATCCTGCATATCCCCCCGGCGCATCCGCTCAGCGATCGAATTATGCAGATTCTCGGACGCTTGTAGACGTTGATGTCTTGCTATTTGCGCTTTTCGCTGCTGTTCCATCAATTCGGTTTGAGCATGGTCAACATCCAATAACGGCTTGTGCTTGGATAAGTCTTCTTGAAGCGATTCCCGCCATGCAGCCATGGTGGATACCTTGGGTTTGCTGAGCTCTCGTGATTCTCGTGACAGTCGAGCGCCAATTAAAGGGGGTATATCGACTGGTGATCTTCGTACATCTGTATCCATACCCAGAATAGGCGAGATAGGCGAGATAGGCGATATGGCTCTTTGCTGCAGTAGGGCACGTCGGTGTGTCAAAGGCATATCGTCCTCTTCAACCATGCTCAATTGACTGTCAGGGCGTGATCGATAGCCTTCCTCTAGCGACTGTCTCGACTTGTTTCGTGGGGCCCAGGCGTCTTGCGTCAATGACACCGACGAAAGGCGTGCCTGGATTAGTCTCTCCCGTTGCGCCATCAAAGAATATGGTTCCCCTTCCGTACCTTGACCATGAGTAGAGTTTCGAGCTGGATTCTGAAGTGAAGATTGCGCTGCCACTGTGCTTAGCAATGGACTCGAAACACTGCGCAGGCCATTTGGTATAATTCTTGCAGGCGAACGATTCGCAATAGGCAGAGTTAGGGTCGATTCTGAGGTAACCACTTCAGGGGAAAATGTAGTTGGTGGTGTCTTCACATTTATCGGCTGCTCGTAGATTGATTGCCTTGGACTGACGACACGAGCTGACTGTCCGGAGATGCTTGATGTTGATCGTTCGGCCGTGTTATATACGACTTCCTCCGGAGGAGGCAATGCACTTGCCTCAATCAAAGGTGGCGGCGAAGCGGTCAGTGCTGTTTGTTTCAGTTGCTCCACGTTCAACGGCGCAGCTACTTCTATTAGTTCCGGCGAGATTGGACGCTCTGTATCCGCGAGATTTTCGAGTGGCTCGGGKACAGGAGCATCCGCATGAGACAAATGTTTCGCCCATTCATTTGTGCGGTAAGACATGACAACGGGGGAGACGTGGCTGGGGATTTTCTTGACAATATCGGATGTGAGATCCTCCTTTTTACCCGAGCTGGATTTTGATTTCGGAATGGACAAAGGAGCAACAAGAATTTCGGCTTTCTCCTCCTTTGTATTGGCTTGTGTGGGCTTTGAAGTAGAATCTGTCATTTGAACCAGAGATGGAGCTTCGAATTTTGAAAGAATACAGGTGGCGCCGTCAACAGTATGTCGACGTTTATCGGTCACTATCCCTAAACCGGTGTCTTCTGTACCATTAGTCGATGCTGTGTCTTTCGTTGATGGAACCTTCTCTGTTTGGTCATCAAGTCGACCTACACTAGACTTGGCGTCCAACGGATTTGTAGCTTCTTCAGTAACAGGCGGGGGTGGATTTATAACAGCTGTTTCTGTTGAGCATGCAGCGTCCTGCAACGTCTTGTCGTTACTTTCGTTGTCTAACCGGTCGGTGTCAGGCAATTCCAAATCGTCAATATCCACGCTTTGGGCATCTCCCAAATCCGAGCCATCCTCACTATCTTCGATTGTCTTATCCGAGTATGTCGAGCTTGCCGGAGGAATAGGAATAAGCATCTCATCCGAGTCTGATTGCAAACGACTCCTTCTCTTGTTTGCGCTCTGCCTTTGTGATAAGCGTCTGAGCAGAGACACGGCTGACAGTCTTTTTGATGTACTGACAGAAGCCGTATCAATATCGTCAATGATAACTTGAATGGAATGTGCATCACCATCGCCAGTAACAGGTCTACTTCCAGGATTTGGGACTCGGAAAGGAAGAGGGGTCACAGGCGGAGGATGTGGCGCCGATAAAACTGCTGTCTCGTCTTGGTTTTTCGCTTTGGGTTCATCATTCGCACAGGTACTATCTGCATCAGGATTTTGTGATGCTTCGACTTTGTCTTGCTCAGCAGTAGCCTCCTTTTCGGCATCATCGCTCTTCTGGTTATCCTCCTGGGCTATACCGTGGTTCTCTGTCATGTCAAGAGGCGTAGCAGGAAGGTCAACCATTTCCACCGAGTTATCAGGGGCTTCCACCAATTCCACTGGCGCTGTTTGGGGTTGAGTCTCTACAGCAGGTGTTTGAGTTGTCGTAGGATTGCCTTTATCGCCATATATTGCTTCCCAACGGACCAAATCGTTCTCTTTCTTCTCCTCGATTGCCCGGCCCAATTCGACCTCAGCTTCATCTTTCTTTCTCCTTTCTTCCGCTAACGCCTCTTCTTGTTTATTTCGTCTCTCCCTGATCAGTTTCCAGAGCTTGAATTGGGATAGTAATCCAAGCAAACAGACAACAACAGTGACTGCCAATTCAACGCGAATACCTCGAGTCACGGGGTAGGTCGATGTACCGAACGGGAAAAGGTTATCATTCAGTCCTAAAAGTATTCAATTAGCCAACCTATCTGATTCAGGCCAATTGTTTTTTTGAGCATACCCCAGATATACAGCCAAAACTCCTTCCATCCTGCTCGACTGAAACAATCGATTCCCAGCACTGCGATGCTGCTACCGGCAAATGCAGTCGAGACTATCAGTCCATAAGGCCTGGTGTAAGAACTGAATGATAGAGCATAAAAAGCGACACAGAAAGCACCAATAAAGGCTCCTCTGGTATCGGAATCGGCCAAAAGCCCTCCCCTTTTCAGCGAAAGGAGCCACATGCTAACGCAGAATCCGCCTAATAAACAGCCAAGACCCTCTGTCAACTCCTTGAAAATGAGAGATAATGCGCCGAAAATAAGGCCGGTCAGAAAAGCAGCAACAAAATATGCTCCTTGTATAGCATTCGAAACCGGAGGACTCATGACGTATTCTATCAGGACCTGATAGTTGATTAGTAGGGCCAAGCACATTAGCAGCGGGTCACTTACAGTAACTGAAAGACTCGAAAGAAAAGCAGTGGATAAAAAGACGTGAAGCCTACTCCGTATGAGCTTATACCCAAAATATCAAGCTAGCGGTTGACTTACCACTGATTCTTGATCCCAATGATATTATACGCCAGCCCTGTTATCATCAAAACCACTCCGGTGATGCCTATTGATGGTGTGATTGTAGGCTGAATAGGTAGGGCATTGACATCCAAGGTTCCTGAATTGGTTAGAATGGGTTGCTTTTTTTGTCGAGCTATGGGGTTTCACTGACCATTGACTGTGTTCGGTAGCGTGGGCTCCAATGTTGGCTGAGGATTCGATATATCAGTATGGATATCTATCATTGTCGTCGACGCCGTCACAGAAACATTTGGCGAATCTGTATCTGAAGGGCCTGTTGCTGTTGAAATAGAACCGGTTGTTTGCTTCGTGGGCTGTGCATTTTGTAGGCTTGATGTAGTGAGAACATCTTGCCTGCGGTGAACAGCGGCGTCTGCAGCAATGCCGAAGAGGACGCAAAGACAGATGCTCAAAACACGATGACAATGCATGGTGCAAGATGCAACCGGGCAGTGTAAAGGCGGATGGAACGCGTCTAGGTTGTTGATAGGAGACTCCTAAACTTATCCTTGACGTAGAATACACGAAGAAGTAGACGGTAGCCCATAAATGGCACGTTCACTGAAGCGATGGCCCAGGGTAAGGGGAGGTCTTTCAATGCGTAACGTACAGACTCAAAAGAAATTTAGACAAGGGACGAAATTGACCGACACAAGATTTGTGCATTGTACTAGTATAGGCACATGATACTAGGTCAATATGCCCTGCACGACATCAGAGTCCAGCCCAGCCATGGGCTTTGCTCGGTAACTTATCATTGATTAGTCCCAGAGATCATTCGACCAGGAGGGGCACTGCTTGGACAAATGTATCCAATCTCAAGCAAGGGGAGAAAGCGTCCAAATACATGACGTGTAGGACCGGGGTAAAACCACCCATCAGCGCTCGATATTTGTCAGGTCTGGCAAATAGCAAATCGGCTCTTCTGGAAAAGGAGCATGGTACGTCGCGGCGGAGTGTTTAGATGGGAATACTGTAGCACCGATCGAATGATGCAGCGAGAATTGCATGATTGCGTGTTCGTGATAGGTAGTACGCCGTGTGTTCGGGCAAGGGATTTGCTGCATCGATAATGTGATCAGTCCCAAATGAAATGAACTAATCGAGCAGCCCAGCCAATTCAGCACCGCCAAGAGCCACAGCAGCAAACTTGAGGCGCCATTTCACAATGKCCAATGCTCTCGGAGAGTACTCTGGAGAGCCAAGGCTTTAATGAAGGTCAATCTCTGCCAATAAGATACATGTCACATCGCAAGTCAGATTATGATTACCTCTCCTGGGGCTCTCTAAAGGTCAGACTATTGGACATGCGGATCGATGTCTGGAATGATACGATATGAAGAGAATTGGGTAGTAAAAGAAAGAGATGAGGTTGAGGGGAGCTTGAGACAAGAGCCGTTCCTGACTAGTGGCTTGGGGCCTGAGCATCTCCCCAGCTTGACAAACAAGCGATTGGTCCCTGATCTACTTGTAAATGAATTGAATGATAGTTGACAATCTACTTCTGTCCTGCACAGTTCGTCCGGATTGAGTGAGGCTGATTAATCCATGTAACAAACTCGTTCCACGGGTTCTTTGCACCGAAATCAGGTCGACAGTCAAGAAGATCGGATCAAATAGTCTCGATATGGCCCTCGGGTTAGAGTCCTAGTCCACTGACCGCAATGTTGATATCATACCTATTCTGTAGGCTCTATATAGTCAGCTTCGAGCGATCAATCTACCTGAAGGACTCAAGATGCTCTTCGCAGCGCATGTGCGCTGTCAGTTGGCGGTGTATTGGACGGCAATTGATCTCCATTCTCAGCTCTGAACTGTCGTTATCAGTCGAATGTACTGCAATGCACAGCCGTCATCCTGATTAATCGATCATGGCAGCAAGGGTGAGTGGGCGACACTCACGAAAAGGAGATGGAAGGAGAGGACCAAGGCGGCGTGATAAAAAGCAAGAGAGCCAATCACATCACGTGATGCGCCGACCGATCGCGTGTCGACGCGGTCAGCTAACTCCGCCCGAAACGGCAAGATGGCATTACCTCCTTAAAATCGTCACCGCATTAGTGCTCAATGCATCAAGAGTTTGCGATCCATCAGCCAGACAGCCCACCAACAAGAACTCCGAATCAGACAAATACTTGTCCACCAACAGTCCACAAGTGCCTCTCATAACACAATGCAGGCCATCCGATCCTCTCTCCGCACCCGCGCAGCCGTCGCAGCTGCTCGTTCCTTCAGCACATCGCCCACCCACTCCGTCGCACGCCTCATTGTCACCGGTCGTTTAGCTGCCGAGCCTGAGATCCAGGCCACATCCACCGGTCAAGATGTCGTCAAGTACGTCGTCGGAACCTCATATGGACCCAAGGACAACCGTCAAACAAGCTGGTTCCGTATTGCGAGCTTCCAGCCCGAGGGTCCCAGTCGCGACCATCTCTTGAGTCTTCAGAAGGGGTGCGTGCTACCTCTTTCAGCTGATGCATAAATTCTCAAATGCTAATCAGTGGTGTTCTCGATATACAGAACCCTAGTCTACGTCGAAGGTGATGCCAGCGTGCGTGTCTACGAAGACGCCGAGGGCAAGAAACAATCCAGCTTGAACATTGTGCAACGTTCGTCTATCCCCTGTTCTCGATTTCTTGGTAGCAAACACATAGCTGACTTGTTCATATACAGGAACACTCGAAGTCCTCAAGCGTCCCCAAACTGGCAACGAGGCCGGCAGCGAGGGAACTCAGTAAAGTGATTGTTACGATATATGGCCAACATTGTCAAATCTCACCTCGCGAACATTTTGTGGGGAAAGTAATTTTTGAGACACAGCTTCTATCTATGTGTCATTCATACCAACATTTGTTTTTTTATGTACGAAGTAGTTGATTAAGACGATGATGTGTGTTATAGTTATACCCTTTGAAAACTTTTTGGTGTATTTTGGATGATAGACAGTCTATGGTGGTTTGGTGATATATATGACCATTCTCTTCTTTTTATCTCTTTGTTACCTGCTAGAATCGCTGTATGATGACGGATGTTAGTATGTTCAATGTGAATCTTAAATCCTGATGTTAACCCCGTTTAATTGACTATAGCAAAGATAACTACTGTCGTATCGTAGATACATGTGTTTGAAAGCGATGATAAAATGAAAAATGCATCTACATTGTCGTAGACGATTCTTGAGAAATGAAAAAGTGTGGTGTGAGACGAGAAGCGCAATTCTAAACATTACAGTCATTTCTCGTATACATCCTGCCATCGAGAACACACTCTCGAGCAAGTGATTTCATCTCAATGTCTGTACCTTGATACTGTCTTTCAAATCCGTCTGACATGAGAGTATTCGTATGCAACGAGCTGAGAGATGTGTTAATGGTTCCTTTGCTTCTATACCACAGTCAGTAACGTTCGATATACACCACCCAAACAATTGCAGATACATACGCTCGTCTCGACCCCAACCAACAGGAACTCTTTGACCGCAACGAGTCATACCAATTATTACCCTTGTTGTTCTCGCCGGACGATGAGGAAGACACAGATGTAGACTTCCAGCTCGAGAACGACATCGAGAACCCCTTGAGACCAACAACATTAAAGAAGTTGTTGTACATGTTCGCCGCATCTTGTCCCAATCCGAAAAAGATAAAGATGAGCACACTGAAAGCGGGTGAAAGCCAACGATCGAATTTCAGTCTTCCATTGGTTGGCACTTTTGTGATGTGCGAAAGGTTCAGTCCATGTGTTGCCTTCCAGGAGTAAGGGTGGGCGGGCGATAGAGTTTGGATGTTGGTATAAAAGATGTATACTTGCAGGGGCAAGATAAACAGGATCATGAGCAAGGAAAGTCCGAAGAGACGGATGAAGCGTTGTTTGGTTAGGTTGCTTCGAGATGCACCCAGTATCGCGGAGAATTCGGAAGTGTATTTGATAAGGCGGACGATGATGAGAACTGTGAGAGCACGATTAGCTCTTTCAAGAATCAGAAAGCAATATTGAAGGTAATAACTAACTGCAATACCCAGCTGCAGCCATGCAGATGATAAGAGGCCACGCCAAAAACACATAGCTGGGCCAGCTCTCGTCCATAGTAGGATTGCAACCAGCGACAGCAAAGATGTAGTATCGAGTTCCTTGAACGATGAAATGTACTGCCATAGCAAGGACCGGCAACCCGATGCAGAAGAATACATCGATAGCTTTATTACGCAACCTTTCACCTCGAGTCGGGATCAGAGCAGACTTGTTTACGTCCATGACAAGAGCAAGACTGCGAAATATACACAGCAAAGCACCCGGCATACCGACTTCAGTTGCAAGGCTGAGTTTGACTTGGATATCACAGTAGACTGCGCCGTCCCACCAGGAGTTGACGTCATCCGTAGGCCAGATCAGAGCATTGGGGATGTTGACGAGGTCGCCGTACATGACATAGACGACGAGGAAAGCAGCACCCCAGTTGCGGTTTGATGCGTGCCATATCATCGGTGGAATACACAATACCAGGCTCAGAAGTGACAACGCTGGAGCAAGGATTGCTTGCGCAGATCTATGGTAGGATTCCATGATCTCAACGTTGTAGGGTGTTGTTGCTACTTGCTCGTGAGAAGACGAAGCCTTGAGATGATACGTTGATGGTGCCAGCCCAAATCACAAGAATTTTCAGTGGATTTTATTGCATGTAGCACAATCTTAAGGATTATCCCAGGATGAAGAAAGAGAAGATGTCCTCTCTTCTCGTGGAAACTGAGCGGCAACCCAGAAACAGCTTGAATAACACAGCAGCATTATATTGCATAATGATCTGTCAATTCTGCACGAATAACTATTTGGCTCAAAAGATGCGAATATAACCATCCTTCATCAATTAATGTTTGCTGAAGATCGTTGATTTGGCAGGCCGGTAAGCATCAGAACCAACGGATGTGTGTGACTTACCCTTTTTGGGTATCAATAGGGCTTCTATGTGGGGACTCAAAGATGAGGACAACCAGCCTGAAGATTTGTCTGATGCTTGTTCGTATCTAGAGCCAATAGACTCGCGTAATTGAGTGGCATTAATTCAAAAAATTTCGGACGAGGTGAAATGGTTCGCTATAATTCACATTCTAGACTCTTATTTCCAAGCCTCAATATCCTTGCTTGTTTGTCATACGAGAAGCTTCGACGGACGGTCACACTTTCAGATACTTGCACAAAGGTCAATGAACCTTCTCTTTAGAACTGTCCTCAATAATCTTCCTTCACATCATCTATATGCTGCATTAGAATGACAAAAAATTGCTTTTGATTTACCTGCCCCGCGAGAGTCCCAGTACGACTGCTCAATAGCCTTGTTGGTTACACCTTTTCGTCGTCCGCCGAGCTTCAATAAGCCATAGATAAAGAAAATGCGCTCTTTTCATGATGTTGCCCCGATTATTCAATCGAAATTTTTTCATAAGAGCAGCTTGTTGGTTGTTCTGATTGGAGAGGTGTGTCGAGTTAGGGCTACTGGATACTTCTTTCTGCCTGACTTGTAAGGCATCAAAAGCCGACTGGCCTATTCCATATATGGATTAGTGGAAGTAGAAATGCGCTAACCCCCGAAAGACTAGCGCACTGATAGCTTCCTTATCTGCTATGAATTTTTTTTGGCTTCATCGCCCGCACGTCTCAAACGACTGTTTGTTACATCGAAGGAAGAAACCCGTTCTCACCTTCGGAGTTCTCACAATAATGGCGCCAATTAAGCGCAAGGGGACTACCGGAGACGATTCCGCCACAAAAAATCAGAAGCGTGCTCGAGTCAGTTCGGACGCCGCCAAAGCAGAACAGAAATCGAAGCCAGTCAAGGATGCCTCAAAAGAGACAACCACCCGAAAACCAGATACAGCGGTCTCCGTCCTTCGCGATGAAGAGTCATCGTTCCCTCGTGGAGGTGGAAGTGTTCTGACTCCACTTGAGCGCAAGCAAATTCAGATTCAAGCCACTAGAGATGTTCTTTTCGAGCAGAAGCGATCTGGTAAACCGGTCGGAGGATTCGACGATGATACTTCAGACGCCGACGTCGATATGCAAGACGAAGGCGAAAAACCGGCTTCTACTAAGAAATCCCGAAAGTCAAAGAACAAAAAGTCTCGAGACACTGAACAGAAGGCCAAGGAAGGAGTCCGAGTTGAAGGTCTCAGCTTCAAGGTGTGTTTCAATGGTGTCGATGGTTCTCTAAACAGCACTGACATTTCTTCTTGTTCAGCGTTTAACTATAGGAACCATGGTCCTCGGTCAAGTTACTAGCATCAACTCCCATGACATCGGCTTAGCACTCCCCAACAATCTGACAGGCTATGTTCCTCTGACTGCGATCTCGGAAGCATTCGACAAGAAGATTGAAAAGGTTCTGAATGCGGAGGATGAAGATGAGGACTCAGACTCAGAAGAAGACTCTCTCGACCCATCGGATTATTTCTACATTGGACAATATCTGCGCGCCTACGTCACATCGACTGGCAGTAGCTCCACAGACGCTGGTGCTGCCAAAAATAAAAAGAAAATTGAGCTCACACTTGACCCGAGGCAAACCAACTCAGGTTTGGCAGAGTCCGACCTCGTCGAAGGTGCCATGGTTCAAGCTTCTGTCGCCAGTGTAGAAGACCACGGTTGTGTCATGGATATCGGCTTCGGAAAGAAAATGAAGGGCTTCATGGCCTCAACGGATGACTTGAATATCAAAGAAGGTGCCGTGCTTCTCTGTGTTGTTACCGGCGTCAATGCTAGCCGAACAATCTTCCAGCTTTCATCCAAACTACAGACCGCAGCATCGCCCAAGACTGTTCTCAAACTCGCACCAACAATTCAAGCTTATCTTCCTGGAACTACTGCTGAGGTGCTTCTGACATCAGTCACAGAGACAGGATTGGTTGGAAAGATCATGGGTCTACTAGATGTCACAATTGACTTTGTTCATTCAGGAGCGAATTCTGGGTCTGTTAATCTTACCGACAAGTATCAACTTGGTGCAAAGATCAAGGCCAGAATAACATGCACTTTTCCTGCGGCCGAACCATTCAAAGTTGGCGCCTCTATACTGGAGAACGTATTAGACTGGGAGCGTACACCATCTACCCAGAAGAACTCCTCGCCCTCGATTGGAACCATTCTGGACGTCAAAGTCACTACAGTCGAGCCTGGTCTAGGTCTTTACGTAGCGTTCGGCTCTCTCAAGCATCTTGGATTCGTTCACATTTCCAGGGTTACTGATGGGAATGTGGAGACAATATCACCAGAACAGGGCCCATTCAAGACTGGCAGCAAACACAAAGCACGGATCATTGGTCACAACTCTGTGGATAATCTATACTTGCTGTCTTTCGAGAAGAAAGTGATTGAGCAGCCTTATATTCGACTTGAAGATGTTCCCCTGGGTGAAGTCGTCAAAGGAAAGATTGAGAAGTTGCTCATCGGCCCAGAAGGAATTGACGGCCTCATCTTGTCAATCGCAGATGGTATTTCTGGCTTAGTGCCATCAATGCATTTTGCTGATACAGTTTTGCAACACCCCGAGAAAAAGTTCCGCGAAGGCTTGACTGTATCTGCCCGAGTACTATCGGTCAACCTCGAAAAGCGACAGATGCGTCTCACGTTGAAGAAGAGTCTGCTCAATAGCGACTCTGCCATCTGGAAGGACTACAACGACATAGTTCCTGGTAAACAATCCCCTGGAACACTGATTAATATTCAACCAAATGGCGCAACTGTTCAATTCTACGGAACTGTCAGGGCTTTCCTGCCAGTCTCTGAAATGAGTGAGGCATATATAAAAGACCCATCTCAACACTTCAGAAGGGGCCAAGTCGTCAACGTTCACGCAATTAGTGTAGATACCGCTGCGGAAAAACTCGTTGTTTCTTGCAAAGATCCTTCAACATCTTCTGAGGCTTACAGAGAGGCTTTTGGTGAAATTCGTCCAGGAGTTCTAGTCACCGGTACCGTCTTCGAGAAATCAAGCGACGACTTACTCTTGAAACTTGATAAATATGGCGTGACAGCCCGACTTAACGCTGTTCACCTGGTTGATGGTGACGCTGCGAAAGTTGCATCCGCTTTTGCCAAGGTCCGAGTCGGTCAGAAGCTGTCAGATCTGTTGGTTCTAGAAGCTAAAAGAGTTCACCGGTTGATCAAAGTCACACACAAATCAAGTCTCAGGAAGGCACTCAAAAAGAATAGTCTTCCAGCGACGTTCGAAGAACTCGAGGTAGGCACAGAAGTAACCGGTTTCGTGAGAGGTACAACATCCCACGGAATCTTCGTGGAGTTCCTTGGTGGACTCAATGGTCTTTTACCTAGACGTCTTGTCGACGACGAACACGCCAACAAGCCTGATTTTGGTTTATATCCATCTCAATCGTTGACTGCAATTGTTCATCAGATCGACGAGGACAACCAACGCTTCACGTTAACCATGCGCCCGTTAGAGTTGCCTACAGCTAGCCGAAAAGAACAGTCGAAAGAAAAACCTCTTCCTGACGATGAAAATCTAGGCAACCCAGTCGACCAAAGCATTCACACAGCCGCCGATCTCACGGTCGGAAAAGTCACGAAAGCTAGGATCGCATCCGTCAAGGATACACAAATCAATGTTGTACTAGCGGATAATCTTCAAGGGCGTATTGACGTCTCGGAGGTTTTCGACAAATGGGACGACATCAAGGATCGCAAGCAGCCTTTACAAAAATTTCGCGTCAAGGAGGTCCTTCCTGTTCGTATTCTCGGATTGCACGACGCCCGCAGCCATAGATTCCTGCCAATCAGCCACCGAACCAGCAAGCACCCTGTATATGAGTTGTCAGCAAAGCCTAGCTTCATCACTGCAGCTGAACCCAAGCCACTGACTCTCGAGCAAGTCAAAGTTGGCTCATCCATGATCGGTTTTGTCAACAATATTGCCGACGACTATCTTTGGGTCAGCATCTCACCCAATGTTCGTGGCCGAGTGCGAGCTATTGATCTCAGTGACGATCTTTCCACCTTGGCTGATCTGGGAAGCAACTACCCGGTCGGATCTGCTTTGAAAGTGCGTGTCACAGGTGTCGATCTGGATAAGGGTCACTTGGATCTTTCCGTCAAGTCGGGGTCTGCCCGAGAGCTTTCGTTTGACAAGCTTTCGAAGGGCATGATTCTTCCTGGAAGAGTCACAAAGGTTACCGATAAACAGATCATCATGCAGCTTAGCGACACCCTGGTCGGAGCCGTCAACCTTACAGACATGGCTGATGATTATTCTAAAATCGATACAAGTATCTACAAGAAAAACGAAATCCTTCGTGCTTGCATCGTCGACATTGAAAAATCGAATAAGAAGATATTTTTGTCACTGCGTCCGTCCAAGATTTTGAGCTCAACATTGCCTGTGCGGGATCGGGAGATTACGTCCATGGACCAGCTGAAGCCCAACGACGTCGTCAGGGGTTTCGTGCGCCGCGTTGCAGACAATGGCCTCTTTGTGACTTTGGGCCATAATGTTTCGGCATACGTCCGTATCTCCGACTTGTCTGATTCTTTCCTGAAGGAGTGGAAGGATGAATTTCAGACAGACCAGCTGGTCAAGGGTAAGGTCGTCCTAGTTGATCTAGAGAACAAGAGGTTGCAGTTGAGTTTGAAAGAATCTGTCTTAGATCCAAACTACAAGACGCCAATAACTATTCGTGACCTGAAAGTTGGTCAAATTGTCACAGGAAAAGTGAGAAAAGTAGAGGATTTCGGTGCATTCATTGTAATCGATGGCTCTGCTAATGTTAGCGGTCTCTGCCACCGTAGCCAAATGGCTGAGCAGACTGTGGAGGACGCTAGAAAATTATTCGAGGCTGGGGATATCGTGAAGGCCAAGATTTTGAAGATTGATTCAAATCAAGAAAAGATATCTTTCGGTCTCAAGGCATCCTACTTTGGGGATGAAGAAGGCTCGGATAGTGAAGATGATGAAGATCTCTCAATGGACGAGGCTGGAGGCGTTGAGCTTGACAGTGATGATGACAGCGCTGAAGATATGTCTATGGGTGGTGTTAATATCGAAGACGGCAGTGAAGATGAATCCAAATCAAGTGACGACGACGACGACGACGACGACGACGATGAAATTGCATTAGCAACAATTAAACGAACACAGAGCGACAAGGGAGGACTTGATGTCGGCGGCTTCGATTGGACAGGCGATGCCGAACACTCAAGCACATCGAAAATCGCTGATCGTCGAGCCGCTGGCGAAGATGCCTCTGGCAAGAAGAAACGCATCCGCAAGCCAGAGATCCAAGTTGACCAAACTGGTGATCTTGACGCTCGCGGTCCGCAATCTGTAGCTGATTATGAACGACTCTTGCTCGGTGAGCCTGACTCTTCACTGTTGTGGCTTCAATACATGGCATTCCAACTGGAACTCGGCGAGGTGGACAAAGCAAGAGGAATCGGTCAACGTGCCATTCGTTCAATCAGTATAGGTCAAGATACAGAGAAGCTCAACATTTGGGTGGCATTGCTCAATCTTGAAAACACATATGGCACGGAGGACAGCCTCGAAGAAGTTTTTAAGAACGCTTGCCAATATAACGATACACAAGAGATCTACGAGCGCTTGATCAGCATTTACATTCAGTCCGGAAAGAACGAGGTATGTTATTTGACTTTCAAATTTCATTTTGGCGGTAACTAATCAACTTTTTGTAGAAAGCCGATGAGCTGTTCCAAAMTGCGCTAAAGAAGAAAGTCTATTCTGGACAAAAGTTCTTCATCAACTACGCAACCTTCCTCTTCGATACTTTGGCAAGCCCCGAGCGTGGCCGTGACCTTCTTCCACGAGCCATGCAGTCCTTACCCTCCAATACCCATATCGACACCACCTGCAAGTTCATCCAACTCGAGTTCCGATCGCCGAACGGTGACGTCGAGCGCGGCCGTACTCTTTTCGAAGGTCTTCTTTCCTCATTTCCCAAGCGTACCGACCTGTGGAACATCTTGCTTGATCTAGAAATCAAACAAGGCGACGCCGACCAAGTCCGAAGTGTCTTCCAGCGTGTTCTGGGTATCAGCGCTATCCCCAAGACACAGTCCAAGAAGAAGGGCGCCATTCCTCTGCCCGCCTCAACAGAAACTCAGAAGAAGCTGAAGCCTAAGAAAGCCCGTTTCTTCTTCAAGAAGTGGCTCGATTTCGAGGAGAAACTCGCCGCCACTGATGATGGCAATGAGAAGATGGTAGAGGAGGTCAAGGCTAGAGCAGCTGATTATGTGAACTCATTGCAGGAGTAGATTCCCTTATAATGAAAAGTGTTTTATGCGTTTTTTGACTGTTACATATATCTCAGATCATTTTGGCGTTTTAAATGGATGTACATATCATTGAAAGCATTTGTGAAGATCATGTGTCATCTACGTGGACTGTGGAAAAATAATAGTGTGCTCTATATACAGACATCATCCTCTTCACAGGTATGATTTACTGCCCCCTCTTTGCAGCCATCAATCGCCTATACTCCTCAACGATACTCTTCCGCTCTTCAGCAAGCTCCTCTCTCCTCCTCAAACTTCCCGCCGCAGTGGGAATATTAGCAACATCGACTTCAGCACCACCAACACCTCGTCGCACCCTAAAGATCTCACGCGGTTTAGCCAACGACTCTGGCGGCGCTTGCACGACCTCTAGCGGGTTGAGGGGTTTCGCTGCTCTTTCACGCGTGTTGAGTTTCGCCCAAGGGTCGTCATCGTCATCCTCAACATCGTCCACGTCGTCATCATCGTCTACCTTCTTCTTCCCCTTCTTTTTCTTCTTCAGCTGGGCCTTCTTCTTCTTAACAACAACTCCAGCTTCAGCCTGCGCCTCCCTCCACATTTCTTCGATTTCCTCATTCTCAGCCTCCCTCAGTTCCCTCTCTTCAGCTTCCTTGGCGCTAATTCGAGCTTCTTCTTCTCTCCATCCCTGCTGCAGTTTGCGCAGATGTTTCTCATGTTTCGTCATACGCTCTTCGCGAATTTTGGGGAGGTTTTCAGATTGGCCTGTTCGTTGAGATTTTTTCATTGCAGATAGAGGCATTGCCTGATCGACTCGAGCCGCAAAATCGGATAATTTCTCTCCGGGGAGAATTTTGAGGGCTGGTGCATCTTCTAACGGTTTGGATGCCGTCGGTTTGGATTTAGACTCAGTAGCCCCATCCTTGTCTTCACCGCGCTTCCGCTTCTTATTTGGCTTTTTGTCATTACCGTCATCTAGACCCGAGGGTGTCTTGCCGACTTGTTGGAAGCGCATCAGGCGCGCAAAGGCGCGCGGTGTGTCGTCCGCCCATTTTTTCGTGCCTTTTGACTGCTTCTCGTGCTTTTTGGTATCGGTTTTCTTTGAAGGTTTGGGGGACTGTTTGGTTTTATGGACTGGCAGTGGTTTTGCTATGGTGGTGGGCGGGAGGTCGTAGGTCCTGTAAGAACAGTAGGAGTTAGCAGACTTGAAATATAGATTCAGTAATTTGAATTTAGCTCAGACTTACGCCTCATCTTTTTGACGTCTTTTGTGTTTGTGAGGCATCTTGAATACGCAGGTATCGTGTTCGCGGTCAAAAGGTGAGGTGCTGTCTTTGGGAGAAAATTCTATGTTGCTCTCTTATCGCGATAAGGCCGGACTGTTCCTAACTGCTTATCGTTCCGATAACAACCTGGGCTTGGTTAGGGTAACAAGCATATTGTGAGTTCGTCATGATCATTCTAATGTGGAAGTTCAAGCCGATTCTAAAGTTTATCATTGGTGGATTGGAAAATTAAATAGCTTGGAGTTTTACCAAGATCGTGATGCACCTCGCTCAAGACAGCCATGTGAATATATCTCGCTTCGTGCTATATGTTCTCGGCGACTGAAGCTGAAATTGATGAGGACTTCATTGCTCAGCTATGAACTGGTATGTACACTTTGACTACATCCTAGATGCAGAACAGGGCCTCCTCTCCAAACTCTCGGGCTATGCTTCCTTCTTCGCGAATCACGCTTCCGATCCATTCCCGAGCAGCTTCGAGATCCTTCGCTCCAAACTTTACCAGGACGAACCCTGCCCGAACGCGAGCAGCTGTCCAGGTGACTTTGTCTTGAATACTGGAAGGCTCTGCAGTCGTTACAGAAGACCAATTGCGGCCACCAATGCGCGGCTGTGAGGTAAATGTTTCCATAAAGAACGATCCCAGCCGATCAAACATCGGACCGTAAAGAATCAATGTGCCTAGCACACCATGTGGGTGTGTCCTCTCGCGGACGAGCCCGCTTGGTTGGATGTTGGTCTGATTCTGTGGCCTGACGGCTGCTTCTTCATCCAATACTAGAGAGTCGCGCAGTAACAAACGTCGTTTTCCCGTAGTCTTATCTTCAGACCATACCTCGTTGCGCCCTTTCCATATTTGAAAGTCCCAATTTTCGCCGCGCGCGCTTCGACCTTGTGTCACCCAGTCAAGAACACATAGACTGCTCCTGTCCAGTTCGGTTTGAGATCCATCCACAGTGAACACCTGAATCTGCTCATATCGACTATCCTTGAATGGCGCCGATGGATCGACCAGATAGCAGAGACCAGCCTTGCTCCCTATATGTACATCCAAGGTTTGGCGGCTCATATCACCATCCAACACCGTAAGTATGCCCGAGGCCCTTTCTTTCGGTGGGGTTTTGTAGATTTTGGTGCTTCCTTGGGGGGTAGTTACTACCAAGCGGGATCGGGGCTCTAATGTGATTGAAACATCGATATGGTCACCAGGAAGTAGGCCACCACCGTATGTCAACAAATATAAATGGACTGGCCTTGTAGCACCTGCTCCAGTGACAGAATCATTGGGAGTAAAGCCTGGAATCCGTGACAGCAGTTTGAGAGGATACTTGTATGTTAGGGTCGTCAATGTTGGAATAGATGGCGGCAGTATCGAGAGCACGACCTTGCCTTTGCCGGGACTCGCGACAGTAGCTGCAAACGGTGACCTGAACTCCATATTTATTTGCTTCCTCCAGCTAGATCTGACTATGCCCTCTGAGAAAATCGAAGTAGATAGAGCCGAAGGCCTCTAAAAATTCGTGGCGCGGTTATGGCGTTTGATAAGATCACATTCATGACTATCTCTTCAAGTCATGGCTTGTAGTCAGTGGATGTAACACTAACACCGCCGCATTCATTCCATTGTACGTCTACCGTACGTTACGCAAATGCAGCTGCTTGTGAGAACAAACATTCAAGTCCTCAATCAAACTGGTCTTTGATACCAGATAACGCTAGACCATTTAGGTCACAATATAGGGCTAGGTCAGGTCCAGGTCATATGACGTGGTAGCCTGAGGCCTTTATCGATACGTGTTTCCCGCTAGGCAGAAAAGGGAATGCGCCAACGGGGAAGGAGCGACCCGCCATTCTCGGCCAATCATGTCCACGGAAGTGCGGGCTGCCACTTGCGGTCGCGCGTAAGGAATCATGACCCTTTAGTCCTCTGTCATCGCGAGAATTACAAGCATTTCGACCTCGTGATTTGAAAGACGGAGAATGTCATAAAGGTTGGTGTTGGTGTTCATTTCGCTGCTTTGAAATACTAAATATTTGCAAGTCCGGTATTCATTAATTAACCTAATATTTCCAATTGCCAGTGTTCCTTGCTCAACCAGGTACCGCGTTTCTACCCGTTCGGGACGCGTGCGATTATCCCACTCTCCTCGACACATCCACATCGCCTATTCTAACACCGATTTAAACACCGGCAGCATAACAACTACACTACGAAAGATTCTGGTGCGTCAGAACCCCGATCGCCATGGATTTATCCGACGCCAGATCCTCTGACGCCGAAGAAAACGGCGAATCTTCCAGTCGGCGCAAATCCGGGCGTGCAATTAGGAAACCCCAACTATTCTCACAGGATGTGAGTCTCATCACTAATATACCCGAGAAGAGGAAGCGGTCAATGGCGAACGAGCACGAAGGAGAGAACGACGAAGAGGACGCGGAAGAGTCGGAATCTGAGGACGACCCAGAAGACGACGATCCAGACGAGGAAGAAGAAAGAGAACGCAGACGCACAACACGCAGAGCAGCAACTAGAAAAAAACAAAGCGGAAAACCTAGTTCAAAACCAACACCATCACGCGCCGCGAAGAAAGCAAAAACCAACAGTGCTGGTAAATCACTTGCTATTCGGCCAGCAGCTAATGGCAAGACCAAGAAAGCGGCACCAAAGAGGAGGACCGCTCCGCCAAGACCAATCTTCCATGCTACCTCAGAAGGACTGTTTGGTAAGGAACTCCTTCGATTCTTTTAGGGTACTTGTTTTATCATATTCGTGATGCTAACATCTATGCGTTAGGCGATCTGTTCGAGCACGAAAAAGATACGGATGTCGTGGTAGAGGACTGGTTGTCAGCATACGAAAAAGACCCTGTGGAGGGCATGCGCGTGCTTTTCAATCTGTTCCTCCAGTGTACAGGTGCCGACCTTTCGGTAGATACCGCGGATGTGACAGATGAGGACCACTGGCCACAGCGTATACAAGATCTACAAGAGGCTCATCTCGATACTGAGCCTTCCGACTACCCTCTCACTTCTAAAGACAGACGCTTTCGCAGCTTCCGATCTACGATCGTGGACTTTTGCGACTCCTGGATCGAGAGTCTCCATCGCTCTTCCTTGCTATATAACTCGTTTGCTCCGGGTATGAAGGTGGAGACATGGCTCAATATAATGTCGAGCTCTGGAAATAGAGCCTTCAGGCATACGGCAACTCTATGTTCAATCACGATAGCGAGTGCCTTGTGCGATATTGCTGAAGAGATCGCGACCGCTGTCTCCACCTCTCGCAAACAGTTAGAGAGCGAGAAGAGGAAGAAGCAAGCGAACAAAGGCCGAATTAGCACCATAGAGGATACAATCCAAGAGAACGAAGAGAAGCTGGTAACGATAGAAGAGCTTCTCAAAGAAGCATTTGACACTATGTGGGTTCATCGCTACCGCGACGTTGACTTCAAGATTCGTAGCGAATGTTTCTCTGGATTGGCCCGGTGGATCCAGACACATAGGGAGATGTTCTTCGAACCCCAGTATGTGCGCTATCTCGGTTGGGGCCTCTCGGACTCTGTCACTCAAGTACGTTTCGCTGTTGTCGCGCAGCTTCGCCAGATTTACGAGATCAAGTTTAGTATCGCTACCCTTCGGACTTTCACCGGCCGATTCCTTCGTCGATTAGTCGAGATGGCAATGCGGGATACCGACACCAATGTCCGTGCCTCTACCGTTGAGCTACTAGGCCTGATTAGAAATCAAGGCTTGATGGAAAATACTGAGATCGATCAAGTTGGTCAATTGGTATTCGATGCTGAGCCGCGTATTCGTAAAGCGGCCGGTCGTTTCTTTGCGGCAAATCTCCAGGAGATCTTTGAAACCCACACAGAAGAGATGGCTGAGGATATTGCCGAGACTTTCGGGGAGCAAGAGGACGATGACGATTTTGAGGCCCCTAAGAGATCCTGGATCAAGTATAAATGTCTTGCAGATATACTTCAATCGTACGACGGACAAAGGGACGATCAGGCAATAGAGCGCCAGCGTCTAGGCACTGTTGAGGCACTGTCGGGTGCGCCAGTTGAGTCGCGGTTCTTCCTCGCTACTCAAGCGATCTATGAACACTTGAAAGAGCTTTCACAGTGGCAATCTTTGGCAGGGTATCTTCTCTACGATCACTCCCAGATTTCGGAGTCTCCTCCACAGGATGAGGTTAGCAACGTGCGTCAATTCTTTGCATTAGAAGAGGGCCAAGATAGCATCCTACTTGAGGTATTAGTCTGTGCGGTCAAACTTCGGATACTAGAAATCGCTCGATCGGATATCAACAAGCGGGGACAAAAGATCAAGTCGTTAACAGACAAGATTCCCGAGCTGCAGGAAGAGACGGCACACGACCTTACCCAAATAATCCCACGTTTGTTGAACAAGTTCGGTGCTGTACCCGAAGCAGCTTCGGCAGTCCTACGACTGGAGCATCTCGTCGACTTGGACAAAGTTCAGAACTTACAAAAAGACACAACTTCCTATACCTCCCTTCTCAACGACATAAATCGGCAGTTCCTTACTCACTCTGACCAAGATGTCCTTGCCGAGGCTAGTGTTGCCTTCTTACATGCACGAAGCTCAGATGAGATGAAGGAGGCAATGGAAAACAGAGTCCAGGAGCTATGGGATGACATGATTGACACATTTGGCACGATATCACAAAACCGAGATGTTCAGGCTGGCTCATCAGTTTCCAAGAGTGTTCTAGTCGAACTCTCTAACACCGTCGCAAGAATAGCCAACCTTGCAAGTATCGTTGACTGCACTAGTATTATTGAAACAGTACCAGTCGCCGCAGGCAAGAAACGCAAGCAGAGCTCAGAAGCGCCTTTCAACACCCTCATTCACTTGGTCAAGCGTGGCATTCGCGAGGAAGAGTCAAGCGAGAGGCTTCGAAGTCTCGAAACCGAGACCGTTGTGAACAGCATCAAAACACTGCTTTTCTACTTTATGTGGAAGGTGCAGGCTTTATCGACCGCAGTCAAATCCGGCAGTGCTAAGTACAGCACATCGTATTTTGAGACCTTGGCAAAAAGTCGTGACGTGTTTGCTGCTACTCTGACTGCGGTCATGCAAGCAAGGAAAATTCTCGATGATATACGGTTTTCTGCGGTGACAACTTTCCTGGATTTGCAGACATTGTTTGGTACATTGCGAAACATTGGAATGCATGTCAAAGGTGGTCCAGAAAATGTTGATGAGGATGTTCTTTTCCAAACCCAAGGACTCGCACAGGAAATCATACCCCCAACACAAATCCTCATCTCCAAGTTTCACGATGTGGCTGAACGATCTCTAGCTAAGAGACTGAAGAAAGAGATTCGTACTTCTGTAGAGGATGATGATGGTCTATTGGAATCGGCACAGGACCTCAAGGACTTGCCCTCTGATGACGAGGAAGAGAACGATGAACAAGATGAGGATACTGTTGAAGACGAGTCTGTTGCAACGGAACGACTGCGCGCGACGATATTGGCCGAGCAACGACTATGCGAGCTCACCGGCAAGATTGTTCTAGCCATTACCGGCCGCGTCATAGACAACTCTGGATCACAACGCGGCAAGCTGAAGAAGAAATTGCTCGTGAACAAATCTCTACTGGGTCCCAACTATAAAGAAGTTGTCGCATTCCTGGAAGAACGCAAAGCACGGCCCGCTGCTAGTAGCAAACCCAGCAACAAGCAAGGTGCAGCCGCTGGACTCGCGTCGTCGAAACCCAGTGAGGCTCTAGAGTTAGAAGACGACCCCATCGAAGATGACGCAGATGCGAATGCAGCCGCTGTCGAGGAAGATGAGGACGAAGATCTTCATGCTCGCGGTCTTGTTGAGGAGCACATTGACGATGACGACAATGAAAATAACGAAAAGGAGGGTGAAGGCGAGGATGGGTCCGAGCAAGAAGAGGAAAACGGCGTTGCCGAAGATGGAGAAGAGGAGGAAAACGGCGACGAAAACGAAGACGAGGATGAAATAATGGGCGATTGATTACATTGTTGTCCTTGATTTATTTGTTTTGATTTTGAGTGAATTTCGCAGCAGGGAGTGGCCGGCTTTTTTCTCGTTCTATTTCTTGCTCTTCTTTCTTTTTCTTTGTCGTTTATATTGCTGGTTGTAGGATTCGTGTGGTTTTATCTCCCTTTCCCTTTTTTTCTCTGTGTATAATGATATTCGCTCTCAAAATACCATTGCTTCTGATTTGCTTCTGACTTAGAACAATTGACTACGTACGTTTGCGTTCAGAATTCCCTACTTTCCTTACTCCAGAATAGGCTCCATATGACAAGTTCATCATTACCAGATCATAATTCTAGATTTAATGGGTGACTAATGTTGGCCTCTGTTCTCTTTCACTATCAACGTCAATATAATGATGTACTTTACAAGGGGTTAGAATACATCTAATTTTTATTCTTTTTTTTATTGCTTTTAGTTCTAAATCCACTTGAATGTTCTTGAGCTAACCATCTAGGATGGTTTTTGTTGGGGAGCAATGGTTAGTGGCACGTTTATTTTTCACTTGGGTGAGGGTAGAAGGGGGGGGTGGTTCGATGAGTGAGGACAGATAAGAGGGCCGGAAATTTGAGCATACTCCTAAGACGTGGAAGAATTGATGCGACATAAATTGATAGTTTAGTTGCTAAAATGACATGAGAAGAACGTGGGGTTACATGATTGTGTATCTTACTTATCGTGCTAACATTAGACCATCATAAAAGCAAAGGGATCAGTCCACTTGTAATTGATAGGATGGAGAGAGGAAATAGTATAGGTGGAAGACAAGAGACGAATGAGGAATGCATAAAGGAAGAAACGACCTGGGATAATGTTGTGCCCGAACGCCAAAGGGGTTTGTATGATGGGAGACCGAATGGATTAAATCGGGTAAAAAACTTGGAATCAGGCCTGGACTCAGGGAATAAAATAATGAAGAGTCTTTCGAATTGACTTGGTACTACACTGTAGCAACAAGTTCAATATATGAATTCGGCGTTAGACATAGGAAACGTTCGTGATACCAAAATTCGTTTACATGTCCATAGAGTCGCCACCACCGTTGGCAAAGTTGAAGCCACCAGGTTGTTGTTGGTTGGTACCCAGAGAAAACCCGGTCTGTGTCTGTTGAGGAGCGAGTTCATCAATGTCACCACCAGCTTCATCCTCATCGGAGAAATACTTCTCAATGATGTTGTATGCCTTCATGTAGATTTCTTCGTTGGCGTTGTTCTGACATTCATGGATCTTCTCCATACCACCGGCCTCTTCGATGAAAAGAGCGTAGCGGTTGAGATTACCCTCGCCAGTTTGCGTGGCCTCCTTGTCCATCTCACCAACCTTGAGGATGTTCTCTAGGCCGTCAAGAGCGACTTGAATGATCTTGTTGTCAGGGCAAGCAAGAAGGTCGCACAATGGCTTGATGCAACCTTGAGACACGAGGTAGCGGATCTGGTCTGGCTTTTGCAGTCCACCTGAGGTGGCATTAGAAATGGCCCAGCAAGCTTCCTTGCGAGTCTTGAAATCGCCGTTGGAGAGAAGGTTGACAAGTGGCGGAAGAATGTTTGCGTCAATAACGGCTTGGATCTGCACGGAATTTCCGGCAGTGATGTTGGAAATTGTCCAGCAGGCCTCCTTTCGGATGCCGTCCTTGGTAGAGCCAAGAAGGGAGAGCAATGCAGGCAAGGCGCCACAGTTGATAATGACTTGAGTCTGGACATCATCGCCAGTAACGATGTTGCCAACCGATCGGAGAGCGGGAGTCTGGACGGAGGTAGAAGCATGTGTGAGTAATTCTACCAGACGACGAGGGATTCCAGCTTCAATGACCGCCTGAATCTTGTCGTTGGAGCCGTCAGACAAATATGATATGGCCCAGCAGGCATCAATCAAAACCTCATCATCGAGCATATAAATCAACTTGGCGAGGACAGGGAGGGCCGGGGAGATCTGTAGTATACATTAGTCATAGGTATAACAAGATAATACTAAATTCGGGTGTATGAGAACATACCGTAGCCCAGTCTGGTTGGGGGGTCTTGCCACGGCAAAAGTTGCTGAGGGTCCATGTGGCATTGCGGAGCATGCTCATCTTGCGTCCGTCGCTGATGAGAGCCAAGAGAGGGCGAAGAGCACCTGCAGAAAGAACATAATCACGGCATTGAGGGCTGTCACCAGCGATGTTACCCAAGGCCCAAACAGCTTGTTCCCGTACGTCAGGTTCGGGGCTGCTAAGGAGCTCCACGAAGATTGGGACAGCACCAGCCTCGATGACAACCTGGGTCTGCTGAGCGGAGCCTGAAGCGATATTGGTCAAGGCCCACGCAGCCTCAAATTGTACTAAAGTGTGAGGGGAGCGAAGGAATTCGACAAAACGGCTAACAACGCCGGTCTCGATAACGCGCTCAATGGGAGGATTGCGCTCCTTGGAGAGCAATTTTCTGAATTTGGTGGTGGCTTGGATCTGCTCGTCGATCTGTTCTGAAAATACTCCTTTTACCATCTCGGGGAGTTCGACGTTGAGCTATTGTCAATGAGAATTTTTTGTCAGCACCATTTCATCCATTAGATGACTGCATCGGGAACTGGCGCGGAGTCTGCGGATAATCTCCAAAACACAAAGAACCAAACAAATAGCGACCGGCGGAACGAGAAAATCTCATCTCGTGCCGCATGAGTCTGCAACTTGATGGCTGATGGGATGAAATAAACGACTTACCTCGCCTTCAATGGTGCCACCCTCCTCTTCGTCGCTATCAACACCAACCTGACCACCGATGATGCCGCCATCGCTGGTTTGGATACCTCGCCGCTTAGCAAGATTTTCCTCTCGTTTCTGTTTGCGGATCTCGACTTGTTGTTCCTCACGTCGACGACGGAGCTCATCTGGTTTGAACTGATTCTTGGCCTTGAACTGTGTTCGGCGATGCTCTGGGATATAACGGTCCGCCATGGTGAATGTTCGGGGAGACCAGCTACTGTTTTGTGTGAGTGGGGTAAGATGGGAACAGAAGAGTTGACGCCTGAGAGTGGGAGAGCAAGAGAGTAAAAGAAATAAGAAAAGAGTTTAGAAGTCTGCAAGCCTGACCTTGGGATAAGGACGTCAAAGTAGACCGCAGGGGGAAGAAAAAAAAGAGGTGATTGTTTTGGAGAAAAGTGGAGGGGAAGAAGACAGGAAGTGGTCTGAGAGGAAGAGCAGAGAGGAGGGGGAGGAAGGAGAATAAACTGTTGACGCTTTCAAGGTGGGTTAGTTTGGTTGTGGTTAGCCCGGTTGCTCTGGGCAAGAGCCTTTGGTCGGTGCTTTCTCTTTCTGCCTGGCTTGGCGCTCTCCCCTCCTTATAGCCGCCCCAAGACGCCGTAAGCGCTTCCATTTGCCAAGACTCGTTGCCACCGCTGTCACGAGTGTAGGGTTAGGGCCGTCAGGCTCTTTTGCAATCACCAGTGGCTCTTCCTTCTTGGTTCTTGACTTACACCAGATCACATGGGTTTGTATCACGTTACTATACCTGCCAGACCAATATAAACTACTTTGATAACAAGCCGGACTCTCCAAGAGGGTCTGTCATCAAAAGGAGGTTCAATTATGCAAAGGTATGACAATACGAAGCCCTAGCCCTAGCCCTGATCCGTCCCATTCAGCCTAGCTTGCTGTACCTACTTCACCCAAAGCGGGATAATAGCACGATAAGGTCACATGACCTCTCAACGCGCGTTTGGGCGTATCACATGCGTTTTGTCGCGTCAAAAGCCATGCTTTGTGATTGACAGGCAATTATGCATCGGCTTGAGTGCATCTATGAATACACATGATTATTGAGTAATACCATGCTGTTATGAGGCGTGTCAACAACTATAGACCGTCAGAAAATGCCTGCAGGTTTTCCATCGCGTTTCGTCAGCGTCGATACAGCCAGACGCTCTCAGGGGTTTCACAATTTGATCGGCGTGATTGTTGATTGCATGCCCAAGACTCGTTCGGCAGGGAGTTCTTTTGTCGCCACATTTACGATCAAAGATACGGATTTTGGACCAGGAAATGATTCATGGAAAGGGTTGAAGATCAAATATTTCAATGATGACGAGCACCGGCTACCCGATGTCAAAGTTAACGATGTTATCCTTTTGCGTCGACTCAGAGTAAGTCCTTCAGAGAACATAATATGGCAAAACGCTAAATTATAAATAAGGTACGGCAATTTCACGGGTTATTGACTGGGGTTGTGGGAAATACAGACAATGTCTCATGGGCAATCTTCCGCCGACTCGAAGGACCGGGATCCTTGATGCCAGTGTGCAGCCCCGGATCAAAGGCTCTCAGTGTTGAAGAGCAGGCATACGCAAATACCCTTGTAGAAAGTGTCATTCACTTCAGTTCGACCGCTTCGGTCACTTCCTCAACAAGAAGAAAAGGCCATGCGAAATCTTCAACCCCAAACGAATACAGAAAACAGGCTATTGCTAAGCCTAAAGACAAATTTTCTCTGATCAAGGACTTGTCCGCGCACACTTTTGCCGATCTTGCTGTGCATGTAGTCAAGATGTTTTATCTGGACGAAAGAGTCCATCTTTACGTCACAGACTACACCGTGAACAAATCTCTTTTTGATTATGGTGACCAGTCAGACGAAGAAAATGAAGGCGGGGATGATGACACATTCGGATTTCTGACGCGGCCTACTCGTGAAAAGAGAGCATGGCAGGGGCCTAGGGGCCGGATGACGCTGCAGGTCACACTGTGGGATCCTCATTCGTACTATGCACGAGAAAATGTCACTGAAGATGTCTATATCCTCCTGCGGAACGTCCATGTGAAGGCCGACAAAATGAACGGTCTTCTTGAGGGCGTCATGCATACCGATAAAATGTATCCGGAACAGGTTGACATCAGAGTCCTTGATGAGGACCACCAAGATGATCCGCGTATTGTCGAACTCAAGACAAGAAAGCGTGAATACTGGAAACAAAACAGGATGAACAAGAGGAAGCTCGCTGAGGACTTCGGCGATGGCGATGACGGAAATCCGAAGAAGAATTCAAAGCAGAGACGAAAGGAGCTACAGCGGCAAAAGAAGCAGCAAGAGCAACGGAAACAGCAGCAGCAAGCCAAGTCTCTACAGAGAGAAGAGGGTCAGACTGAGATTCCCTCCACAATGAACAAGTCAACACGACCAAATCCGCATAGTAAGTCACTAATTACTCTAACGAAAGTTGACTTTGACCGCTAACTATGGCGTGCAGTACAAGCACAAGACCCGGCTAGAGGTTGCCGGAAAATATCAGAAATTCTACCAAATGAAAGCCATATCATATCACTACCTGACAATGTACAATATCGCCTACCTTTCCAATGTGTTAAATACCGCTCTACCGTTCGAGTCGTCGATTATTACCCTCCTAACATTGCTGACTTTTCCGTGCCATACCTTCCCGACTGGTCCCGCGCGTACTCTAGCGATGACGAAGATGAAATTACATCCGAAACGCCAGGGGTTAGATGGCAATGGCGCTTTTGCCTTCTCGTGGAAGACGCCCAGATCTTACCTGGCCAGCCTCGGGAGCGAATAAAGTTGTTCGTCAGTGGAAGTGATGCTGAGTTTTTGCTCAAACTTGATGCTTCAGAGTGAGTAGTACCGCTTCCCTTAATCTGCCATCTCTCTCAGGTCCCACGAAAAATTTTGACACTTTATCAGTTTACGCAAAAATAAAGAAGATTTCATCCGACTCCAAGAAAAGTTATGTATCCTATGGGGAGACTTGGACGAGCGCAAGAGTCAAGGAATGGATACACAGCAGAAAGGTCCCTCTTTACTACCATTTACATGTTGTATAAAGGAATGGGGAGTCCGATGTGCGTGTCGAACAGGCGTCAGCAGCCATGATGATGATGACAGCGACAGAGAATGCGCTGTAGTTGGGCCCGAACATAATAGAGAGTGTCTGGGCTGGGAAAGGAGATTCGCTCTGTTCGGCACTACGATAAATGAAGAGTGAAGGACAGAGAGGCACATCTCAGACATCACTATTGTACATAGTATTAATGAAGTGTATCAATGAAATCAGTTTTAATAAAAGACTAGTAGTTTCCCCTTTCTGCTCCGTCCGAAATATTTCTCCTTAAAGCACGTACATACCGAAAATAAACCCAAGTAACTCATACATGACCGGAGCCCGCACACAAAGTGAATAAAATACAGAACTAGAAAGGAATATGCCAGCACTTCCAGGTTAGAGAAAAAGCCGATCCCAATCCATTGCGCCCATAGTCCCGAAAGCAGCGAGCCAGATGACGCCGCGGTGCTGTACTTGAATCCCGTGAATATTGAAAACAAGAATAATGAAAAACAACAGGAGAGAAGAAAATAATGGATGGTTTTCGAACATGATACGAGAACTAACAAGGGGGTGAGTGGCTATCAGACACTTGGAATTGCTCAAATCTTGGTGACTTTGACCACGTTCAGGTCAATTCCATGTTGTGCAGGCTCGAAGCGGCAACTGCTGCCCCAATGACACTCTTTCTTGCCAGTTTCGCTCTGAGGGCAACGATGTCCATAAATACATTTTGGGTCTTCGCATGTCATTCCAAAATGGCAAGGTGTCATGCGAGCGACAGCACGTAGAACGTCCTTCTCCTCTTTCGAAAGTTTGTAATCATGGTCGTGATAGCAGTTCGTATTCGGGCATTCTCCAAGCAGATAATAAAGGTTGCAAAGTTTCATCTTTTTGATTCGACTCAATTCCTCCTTGGAGACAGTCTTAAAATCCATGCGATCGATCCGCTGGCCGTGCTTATTTCGGTCGACAACAGGTGTCTTCAGTGCCGCAGCGCTAGCCGGTTTTAAAGGTTGAAGGGTTACATCACCGGGATTTGACGCGGTTACCGATGCCCACGATGACCAAGAAGTTGGAGTAGCGGAGCTCGTCGAGGTATTGGTCGATGTCCGCGTCAAAGAAGCAGATCGTGGATGAGGCGAGAGCATCGTGGGCTGAGTCTTGACTGGTGTCTTCACTGATGCGATGGGACTCGAAGAAATCTTGTTGCTGCGAAAGATATCTGGGAATTGGGCGATGCGAAAAGGAGCCTTGAATTCATCCAGCTCCTTTTCTGAAGGAATGCTCTCAATCATGGAGATTCGTCCTGTAAGGTCAATATCCTCCATTGTTTCTTCCAATAGCTCAGTGCAGCTATTTTTATGGCACAATCCCAGGTAGATCTGGTGGCAGTGACAGCTATAGATATTGAGCTTTAAAGTTGCTATTAGTTCGTCAGTATGCTGTCCAGTACCCACACGAATAGTCGCGTTGTAATTAGGAGGCATACCTGAAATCTTATCTTCTGCACTGCCTTTGCTCTGTCCAACATCGATAAAGTCGAAGAGCAAGCCGCTCTCATTAAATCCTCGCACAAAGTCATCCATCACCGAAGTCTTATCGATTATGCCGGCTTGGTGATATGTATAACCAAGGCCTTTGACATTTGCAAATATTCGAACGACCAGTTTCGGCGATGCGACGTTGGGCAGGTGCTGTGAGACGTATTCACCCAAATCGGTTGCCATCTTATTCGCCGCATCCTTTCCACCTTGCTCCCCAGCGCGGACATATTGATCAAGGAATAGCGTCTTATCGCCATCGAGGAGTACAATAACGAACGGTTCGCGATCCTGTCATTTGAACATGCCTGGTCAGAATATGAACTCCTCTCGTGATCTTAGAGGGTTGATGGTTACCATTATCTTTTTCACCCGCTTAATCTGCTCCATCAGTTCCATCTCATGGAGCTGTATATCTCTATTGTAACGGATTTCGCGTTCATGTTCAGCCTTAACTTGATAATAAGCATCTTCGAGCTCGCCCACACGTCGTAATAAATCCTAGTTTGTATCATCATACGTTAGCCCTCGTCACACGAAACACACCGACTAGGGGTGGTGCAACGAGATGAAGAACTCATACCTCGATGAGATCGTTTTTGCTGAGTTCGACTATCTTCAGTTGCTCATATCGCTTGAGCAGCGCCTGTGCATGTACTCCTGAGATCATTTTGGCAGTCTGATAGCTGCTGATAGTTGCTGGGTCTGAGAGAAAGGCCCGGGCGCCAATATCGCAGGGTGGCTGATGAAGGAAAAATGAGGGTGTCGGTGGTGTGTTTTGAGATCACTCGGTGTTTGGCGAAGGAAAATATCGTCAGGAAGTCAGATCTAGTGCCTGACAGCGGACAAGAGGCGAAGAGGAATGAATTGGAGGAAATTCAGAGCAGGTCCTGCTTCAACCAGAGGCTTGACATTTTTTTCTCCTTTGGGCCTGGCGCGGCTATTTTGCTGGATGTGCTAAGCTATAAGAGGAAGGCGGTCGGCAGCGAGCGTGCATGGTGATTCAAGGAAGGAGCCAACCCAGCCCAGAGCAGCACCAGAGGGAAAGAGCGGCTCGGCGGATCCTCCCAGCGCGCGATCCGCCAATCACCGCCCTCACACAAGACGCAGCTGGCACCAAAGAGGCATACGTGGAGAAAAAGGCAACATGTCGTTTATCTCAACGACTCTATTACTTTCTCTCCCCGTCTTTGCCAATTGTCTCGTGTTTTCTTCTCTGCTTGCTTTCTCTCTTTCTTTGTTTCACTCCTCTCATCCGGCCCTTACTTGTTGGGTTCTGCCGCATCGCAAAAGTCTCTCGCAGACTTGTCATTGTCACCATGGGTCGCTTCGCTCTCCTTTCTCTCGCCCTCGCCTCCATCTTCGCCGGAGGTCTCGCGACCGTAAGTCTTTTGCCAATGCGCGCTCGGACTAAACTTGTCTTGCCATTACCATGTCTAATACTATTCTTTCTTCATAGGAGACTCCTGTTGAAGAAGCTGCTGCCCCCGCACCATCTCTAGCCGTCTCCGTGCAAGCATCATTCCCTTCGTCGGAGATCTTTGGCATCAAGCTTGTCAATGGCCAGGCTACACAAGCTTTGCTAGCTTTCACCAACGACGAAGAGGTCCCCATCACCGTCAACTTCGTGGGAGGAAGCCTGGCGACTTTGGATGAACCTTCTACAAACGTCCGCAATCTTTCCGCGACAAACTATGGAGTCCAGATCCCAGCTGGGGAGACTCAGACCTTGCCATACAGTCTCACGACTGAAATGCATCCTCAGGACCTCCGGTTGAACTTGATCTCCGTTATCAGCAAGAACGTCACCCAGTTCTACACTATCCAGGCTTTCGATGGACCCGTCAGCGTGGTTGAGCCCGAGACCAGCATCTTCGACCCTCAGATGTATGTTTTCCTCGTCTCTACTAAATCTATCGTATAAAAATTGACTGGATCCAGCATCTTCCTCTACTTCTTCATCCTTGCCTTTTTCGCTGGTATCTTCTACTTCTTCTACACCGTCTGGATCGCCCCCTACTTCCCCCAGAAGCGACGTGGCCGCGAGTCGAAGAAGGCCGGTGTCGCCGTCAAGAAGACTGACCTCGATGTTCCCTCTCCTGATGCCACTGTTCCCTCCGCCAGTTCCTACAACTCCGACTGGATCCCCGCCCACCACATCCAGAAGCCTGAGGCTCGTAAGGTCAAGGGCACCCGATCCAAGTCTCGTGCTTAAGCATCAAAGTTTCGGTCAATTGCAGCTGCCTTTACAGCTTGATTGCTGTAGTGCCGATGCAAGTTCTGCCAAGGTGTTATTTGCACCCTTTTCAAACCCACGGATTCATTAATGGTCGCTGGAAATGCGACATGATGACATACGAAACGTGAGGTTCTATATTATCTTCAGAAGTTTTGTATTATACAAACGAACCTTGAATGGTTGCCATGAGTGGCTTTCAATTTGACTGGGCATATTATGTTGTTCGGTTGACATAGAAAAATGTGAATTTACTTCGTACGAGTCATCTATGCCCATAATGCTACAAGTGTTTCCATACTTCGAATTCTTCCTCAAGATGCTGTTTGAGTTGCTGAAATTGTTTCCCAAACTTCTTTTTGCAACGCCAGCACTCAAAGTCCCTATTCAGGTAACCTTCCCTACTTGGATGACGCCGCACATCATCCGGAGCCAAAGGAAAGTCCTCGATAGGAACAAAGAACGGCGTCGAGAAACTATTGTAATGTTTACGATGCTTTAGCCGATCACTATACCGATCCACGGACATAACATGGATATGTAAATGGTTCATGGACGGATGCGCATGTATCCCCGTTATGATCTCTTTCTCCCAGTCACGTCCGAGTGGTAATTCATCAGGCGGCGGGTCTCGCTCCATTGCTTCACGACGTGCTTTTTCTTGCAGCGAGTATTTTCCGTATCGGCGTTGTAACTCTCGCGCTGCTAATGAGCGTAGCTTCTTGACTTCTTCCTGAACCTTATGTAGAAATTCGATATCCTCAAAAGCGTCAAAGGGATGTTGGTAGAACTTGGTCGCTTCGCGGGGAAGTAATAAAAGATGAAGAGATGACTTCGGAAACATATCATGTATTGCGACAAAATTGTCATTGTAATATATCACGACCGATGAAGGGTAGGATTCTGGCCGCTCAATATAGAGCCCGAGGGCGTCCCTCGTCTGGAAAAAGGTCGTGAGCTTTTTAGGTTTCTGAGGCTCGGTTTGTTTCGACTTTTTGCTCCTGGATGTCATTAACTCGGTGACTAGACTATAAAGTCAGAGTTTAGGCTAGACAGTGTATAATGGTGGATATTACACGCATTTCGCTTCCCAGGCTTTTCTGTAGCTTGCTCTGCTTCTGCTGCAGGCGGGGTCTCGGGTAACTCCGAGTCTGAAGTCATTTCAAAAACGACAAATAGTATTTGGCATGTGTTGTTCCTCGTATGAGCAAGGTAACATTCTATGAAAGGATTGCTCAACAAGAGATTTCCACAAGGATTAGACTTGAGATGATGATGTACTGTAAGGTCGAACATCTGACAGGCAGAGAAGACTGGATTCAGGTGGATCCGCGATAGCTGGCCCAATCCGGTCTAGTGCGGGACAATCCTTATGTTGCGGAATTAAGCCTGACGCCGAACAAGGCCTTGAAGCGATTCAATATCTGAGCCAAATGGTTCCATCAAATTTCTCCACGGGTATCACGGGGCGTGGCGTTGGATCTGCTACATAATGGGTCCCAAATCAAAGGGCAATGCCCGTGGAGGAGGACCGAAACCAGGAACCAAACAGGCAAAAGCTGCCGCCGAAAAGTCTGCGCAAACCACAAATGTGCAGCAGACCGAGGGAGAGGCCAAAAAGCCTACAGTCAAACAGCTTATTGGCGGCGCATCATGGACGGGCAAGCTCCCGGTCAATCTGCTCTCGGAGCATTGTCAGAAGCAGAAGTGGGAGAAACCAGAATATACAATGGTATGAGACTCCAAAGCTCTAGTTACTGTTGAAGCTATTAACCGCCGATGGGTGTATCGTATAGAAGCAATCAGCGCAAGGCTTTTCGTCGTCAGTCATCTTGAGTAAAGTCGATCCCAAGACTAAAGAGAAAATCACTCTACCCCCAATGCAATTACCCCCCGCCCAAAAGGCTCTCGCGACCCGACCGACGGCTTTAGAAGCTAGACATTTCGCAGCTATATATGCTCTCTATCGAGTCTGCAATATGAGAAACATGACATTGATGCTGCCGCCGGACTATCGAAAGCTATGGAAAGAAGACTTTACAACAATGAAAAGCGAAGCAGCCGCCGAGGGCAAAGCGTGGATGTACGAGGCCGATCCATTTTTAGCGAAGCAACAACGTGAGGCTGCTACTGCTGAGATGGAAAAGAAGAGAGCGGAGCAACAGAAATTACAGGAAAAGGCCAAACAAGATGGAGCTCAAGGTCCGAGTGGCTTTGAAGAGAAGAAAGGAGGAAAAGGCTGGGCGCAAGCACCCAAGGTTGAACTTGGAAACAAGATACGACGTGATATCGAAGAGCTCCTAAGACACAAGACCGTATGGAACCCATATAGCGTAATTATACCCGAATCGCAACGCAAAGCAATTGTCGATGACCTCTCTCGAGTTGGATTTCGTCGAAGTCATGTTGAAGAAGCAGTTGCTGAATGCAAGGATCGCGAAGAGGTACTGGAATGGCTGTTGCTATATGTGCCGGAGGACGATTTACCCCGTTGGAGTCTGCCGGAAAATTACACCGCTGGCATCAGTCTAGCAAGCGGGGACCTCGTACGAGAATCAAAAATCAGACGCCTTACTGCAGCTGGCTATCCTTCCGATCTGTGCGCAACCACCCTTGATAGTGAAGGTGGAAACGAAGCATTAGCTGCCGAGAAGCTTCAGACAACTATAACCCAACATATTCCACAAAATACATCGATCGATGACGACGAGCAAGAAGAAGCCTGGGCTGAAGAAGCCGACACATTAGAAGCTATATTTGGGGATCGATACAAACGAGTCTCAGAGATAGTGTGTGAAATTAAAGGAGACGTCCCTAACATGACAAAGCCCGTCACCTTTCGATTCCAGAAGCCCACAAAGTCATATCCAGTCCATCCGCCGGTCATTTCGGTGATTTCTGACGGCCTTCCAGCATACATTCGACTAAGCGCTGTTCGCAAGGCCATACGGTATGCTACTGAAGATCTCACAGGAACACAAATGGTCTTCAGCTTAGTAGATTGGTTGGAAACGAACCTTCCCGAGATAGTGGAAAATCCGGGTCAGTTGAAGGATATATCTTCTGGGGCCCGCGAGTCTTTAGAAAGACCGACGACTGCCACACAGCTGCCTCTTCGCTCGGGGCGCAGGAATGCTGAAAGCTCTGCAGCGAGGGTTAATGTGCATTTAGGTATCGAGCTTCGCAAAACCTGGGAATCGAAGCAAAATTCGCCAGCTCAGATCAGTATGAATCGACAACGGCAATCCTTGCCTGCCTGGGCAATGCAGGAGGCTATAATCCATTGCGTCAACTCATATCAAGTGACAATTATATCAGGAGAAACCGGTAGTGGAAAAAGTACACAATCCGTTCAATTCGTTCTGGACGATTTATTGAAACGAGATCTCGGAGACGTGGCGAACATCGTTTGCACACAGCCAAGGAGGATTTCAGCTCTCGGTCTTGCGGATCGTGTCAGTGACGAGCGATGCTCCTCTGTTGGGGATGAAGTCGGATATATCATTCGAGGTGATTCCAAAGTCAAATCTGGCAGGACGAAGATCACATTCATGACAACCGGTGTTCTGCTTCGCAGACTCCAGACAGCGCCTGGATCGAGCGATGATATCGCAAAATCACTTTCCAACATTACACATGTCGTAGTGGATGAGGTTCACGAGAGAAGTCTTGATACTGATTTTCTTCTTGCTCTATTGCGAGATATCCTGAACCGTCGTGATGATCTCAAAGTCATTTTGATGAGTGCCACATTAGATGCGGATATCTTCATGCGATATTTCGGAGGACCTTCGCGAGTTGGTCGTGTGAGCATACCAGGACGCACGTTTCCAGTCGAAGACTACTACGTGGATGACATTCTACGTCAGACTGGGTATAACAGAGGACCATCTATGACTTCAGACCTTGATGATGACAGTCTCACAGAAGACCAGGCTTTAGGAAAGTCACTCCGTAGCCTTGGATTTGGTATCAACTACGACTTGATCGTATCAACAGTGCGACACATAGACTCTGAATTAGGGGATGACCCAGGCGGCATTCTTATTTTTCTTCCGGGAACCATGGAAATCGATCGCTGTCTTAGTGCTATCAGAGCGATCCCAAATCTCCATGCTTTGCCTCTTCATGCATCTCTCCTACCGGCGGATCAGAAACGAGTTTTCAATCCTGCACCTAAGGGCAAACGAAAAGTGATCGCGGCCACCAACGTAGCCGAAACATCAATTACAATCGACGACGTCGTTGCCGTGATAGATACAGGTCGAGTCAAGGAAACAAGCTTCGATCCCAAAGATAACGTGGTCAAGTTGCAAGAAGTCTGGGCATCTCAAGCCGCCTGCAAACAACGCCGTGGACGAGCTGGTCGTGTCAAAGCCGGAAAATGCTACAAACTTTTCACGCGTAGTGTTGAATCCAACATGGCACCGCGACCTGATCCGGAGATTCGGCGTGTTCCCTTGGAACAACTTTGTCTTTCTGTTGTAGCCATGAACAGCATCCAGAATGCAGCTGACTTTCTTGCAAAGACTCTAACGCCGCCAGAGACCATCGCCGTCGAAGGCGCGCTGACTCTTTTACATAGCATCGGCGCCTTGGACAATCACAAGTTGACAGCTCTCGGTCGACATATGTCGATGATACCTGCGGACCTTCGGTGCGCAAAGCTGATGGTATACGGGTCTATATTTGGTTGCGTAGACGCATGCGTCACCATAGCCTCGATTCTTATTGCAAGAAGCCCCTTCGTATCGCCCCGTGACAAGCGTGAAGAGGCCACCGCTGCCAGAGCAGCATTCTCGCGCGGAGGTGGCGACCTCCTAACCGATCTAGCTGCATATCAGCAATGGAACGAGAGATCTAAGTCATCTGGATACTGGCAGAGCAACTCATGGTGCTCTGAAAACTTTTTGTCGCACCAAACCCTCCGCGAAATATCCTCTAACCGCGCACAACTTCTCACATCGCTGAAAGACGCCGGAATCCTACCATTCGAGTATAAAGAGGGCACCAACTCATCAACCCGCTGGGACCGAAACGACAAGAACACATCCCTCCTCCAAGCCTTAATCGCAGGCTCATTCAACCCACAAATAGCACAAATCAAATTCCCAGACAAGAAATTCGCAGCTTCTATGACAGGCACAATTGAACTCGATCCAGACGCAAGGACCATCAAATACTTCAACCTTGAAAACGGCCGAGTCTTTATCCATCCCAGCTCGATGCTTTTTTCGGTTCAGAACTTCGCGAATGCGGCGTATCTCAGCTATTTTTCGAAGATGGAGACGAGTAAAGTGTTTATTCGTGAATTGACTCGTATGTTAACCCCACCATCCCATGGTTCATTGTAAGAGGATGTAGGAAGTCATTACTGACGACAATCGCAGCGTTCAACGTCTATACCCTTCTTCTCTTCGCTGGTCCCATAATCCTAGATACCATGGGCCGCGGCATAGTCGTAGATGGATGGCTTCGTCTCCGGGGTTGGGCACGAATAGGCGTACTAGTCTCGCGTCTCAGGATGATGCTCGATAGTGTTCTGGCTGCGAGGATAGATAACCCCTCTGCTTCTTCGCTGGGTGGTGCAGGAGAAGAGCTTGAGGCTAAGGTCATTGAGTTGGTGACCAAATTGGTCGAGTATAACGGGTTGGATCAGTGAACACTTAGATACGGATAGAAACCTATCAGAGCTTCATAGCAAGAACATATCAGTCTGATGACTTACAAGTCACGGTTTACTTATTACTCTACCCGTTATCAATCAAGTAATTGGTTGAGCGATTTCATTCAATAGTAGTGTTCTCACTGAGTGTAAGCAAGAGAGAATAGAGTCTCAGTAAAAACGGGGAGGCTTGCAGGCTTGCACAAAAGGAACAGCCAGAGTTGAATAAAGTGGTGTCTGATTCAGCATCGAGAAAGGAAAGAAAAAGTGAGTGTTTTTGTGCTTGCTTCGGAACAATCGCATAGCAGAAACGGGGGAATAGGAAAAGAAAAAGAAATTATGCCATAAGTCCCATTACCTGTACCTGTATCATACCCCACCAATCAAAAAGATAAATTAAAAGCCCATAAAAGGAAAAATGAAACAAGAAGGGGAAAGGGAAAGGGGGTAAATGAAAAAGAACTCGAGTAGAAAGCTTCCAACTCGTGTGATGGATGCAGCGAGGTTCAAACACCTATAAACTCCATGTCCTTCTTTCCACGAAATGAGATTACTCCAAGCCGTCCTTGCGCCAAAATAGTCGTATCACATAAAGAGTGACCGCCGATAAAGTGAAATTGGAATTGAAATCGTCAATCAGTCGAAGTTCATTTCCTGTAGGCGCGCCAACCGTATGCAAAGAATGAAGCTCAAGAAAGTGAAGTCTAGCTTCGGATTGTAGGCGCGCCAAGCCTTCACTCGTGAAGGACTCGGATGAATTGTATGCAAAATATATACCAATGCCCCCCGATCAGAAGGCATGGTTCCTTTGAGTGTCAATCAGTTCCAGATACGAGTACGTAGGTGTGTCACAGATTGCATGGCCCTGCCGTACGCGTTTAGGCAAGGCGGTTGTCCTTGGATGGTTCCACAAGGCGGAAGCCCTTGGTGATTTCAGCTTCGACGAACAGGGAGGACCTCTTGAATCGGCGCTCCGAGTACTTGTCGTAGATAGCGTTGTGATGCTTGGATGGGTTTTCACAACATTCCAGGATGGTGAGCAGAAGTGGGAAAAGTTGTGCATATGTGTAGTTGGAATAGTACACGTGGGCATGAGACTAGACAAATTAGTATGCAAAACAAGGATTGGGAATCTGCGAATGAGAACTCACCCAGTCTCCCTTGTGGAGCATCATTCGAGCGAGACAATGAGCACCTGCAGCAGTGTAACTTGGCGGGCTACCGACGAAACGCTCATCCATGATAGTCACCTCCAAGAAGTACTTAGCCAAGGTGCGTGTATCCAGGTCGTAGTCATCTGCTTTGCTGATTCGTCGCAGGAAGCTCATGGGTCCAGGCCATCCTAGCTCGAATTGTAGCATGCTGAGCATGAAACGTTCGGCCTTCAAAATCTCATCGGCAGTGTAACCGCGATCGACCATGTACACGATTTCATGAATTGAAGGGCAGTTGATCTCCTCGTACTTGGCCGCAATAAAAATGGCAGTAGCCCCGACCAACTGAAGTTTGCCGAGGGAGACGATCTTGCAAGATAGGAATCGATCGATGTAATTCACCGAAAGGAACAATGTCTCTGGCAGTAAAGAGAATCGATGGTGGACTTGGACGAGCCAGTCAATGAGCACCGAGCGCATGGACCATTGGATCTCTGCCTGGTTATCCATGTAATGGGCATTCGGTAGCATTTTGATCTAGAGTCTTGAGTCAGCATATGATAAGATTCTTGACAGGATACATAAAGCTCACCTCCATCTCGCGCATGTACTCGAAAATCTCATCACCATATTCTGCCACCATGCTCGTATCCCACATCTCATCATCAATGTCATCTGCAGTGCGTGAGGATTCAACAAGCTGCTTGGCCATAGCAATCTCACGCCGGGCTTTGGGATTGTACTTGGGAAAGAGCACAGTCGTCGCTCCTCCGGTTGTGTTCTCGCTACGAGAACGATAGGAACGAGCAGTGACATAACCGTCATCCTCATCATTCTCATCCTCTTCGTCGTCCCAGTATTCTTCCGGCTCTGAGGGCAGGATTCCGTGTTCAGACCGTCGATGAAGTAAGTCGAGTGAATCACGTGGGACGCTGTGATCATATTTTACAATCTCTGCAATCTCTGTCAAGACCTTCACGTTTGCGGGCTCTGGAATGTTGTCGTGCAGCTTCACCTGGTCCACAGACTCTTTTTCAGCGACGCTGATGGCAACACTGCCAGTAATGGCTGGCTCGGTCTCTGCGACAGGCTCTTCGATAGTATCATCAGATCCTCTAGAGACATCGCTTTCGAGGAGAGGATTATCGTTGTGTTCTTCAATGACGCTCTTGTCATACAATTTAGTAGATGGTTTTTCGAGGACAACGCGTTGTTGAGAGATATCGGCACGCGATACTGGTTGTTCGTTCGCACTGGGCTTCACCTCAGTGACAAGTGAGAGAGGCTGCTTCTTGAACGCGACATTGCTCCGTTTTGTGAGTACTTTGCGTGTGTTCGAAGTATTGTTGTGAGTCTCGCCAAGAGCCTGCTTGACGTTGCCATTGCTATTAGTGTTCAAAATGGTCTTGATGCCCATAACAGATGCGGGGCGCTGTGCAGGTTGTGCCAGGGCAAGGACCTTTCTATCCTGAGCAGATACGCCAGGCTTTGCAAGGGGTATATTCTTGCCAGCTACGTGACTGTCATCCTTGCTAGCTCGAATGTTGCTGACATCTCCAAAAGCAGTGCGCTTGGCGCCATTTCTAAGACCCCCGTTTTGTAGAGCGGCCGATAGGGCAGGAGTAGATTTGTTGCGATGGTGAATGGTCTTGGTAGGATGGACATGGATTGGGGCGTTCTCGTCGCCGCGGACGCGAATTCGCTGAGGCTGTTGGTGAGACGCGTTTGTTAGTGACAAAATTTAACGAGGTACAACCATGGCGCCCCTTGATACTTCGACATTCCCCATATTGATCCTCGTGGGAAGGGCACGAGGATAACACGAGATATGTCAAGTATACAACGACGCGTGATACATCAACACTAGGAAGGCATGTTTGACTTACCCGAGCATCCATTTCTGGTGGTGAGTGTCGGAAATATGGCAACGAGATGTGTTGGTATGCCGTTTGACTAGTCGATTGATGAATGTTTGATACCGGTACTGCGAGTGTCGCAAGGTAAGAGATATCGACAGCTCAGTCGCCTGAAGCGTTTGGCAAGCACCAGACTTTGGAGTCTGGATAGAGCTAGGGCAAACTTTTTTAGATAGAAGTGGCCATGAGTTGGCTTAATGAGACGCGCAGGAAGGGATCACAAGAGATCGCAGGGTCAGTAAGAAATGCTGATGCTGAAGAGGAAAGGAGAAGCTAATGGATGAGAGGTAGTCGACATCAACAACAGCAACAAAAGGAAGAGGTGTAATAGGAGATAATAACAATCGACAACAACAATGGTGCTGGAGGTTGAAAACTGGAGGAGACTGAGCGTTAGGTATAATGCAGACGTTCAATAAGGAAGTTTGTTGACATTCACGGGCAACAACACAGCGACGGGCTCGGCCAATGAGAGGCCAGGACGGCTGGGCGGCTGCTTCCTGCTGGAAAGAAGGCATGTTTGTTTGGTCTGTTTGCACTCTCCGGCGCATCAACAAATCTAGTCTGTATTCAGCTTAGCTCCCTTATTCCTATCGCTCTATCGCGGATGACATCACCAGTCGCGTTCCACCTCAGCGATTCGGATACAGAACTGTGCTCATCACCGCTCCAAAACTGAGAGAAAAGATACCAAAAATAAGTATTGTATACTATGCACCAATGCGACACATATTCTTGAATTATTATATATGCGCTCGTCTTTCAGGTTGATGAAAATCATGAATCTATATCAGAGCCACCTCAGCGCGTCGTTCGGAGCGGCCCGTCACGAAGCCGACACGGACTCACGTGATGTCTTTACCACGATCAAGCCCGTAATTCCGTCTCACTCCTGCTATGCTCCACTGGCCTCGCCACAGCACCGTCAGCCTGAGCGCCGAGAAGAGATGCTTCAGGTCAACCCGTTTCTGTCTGTTTACACCACGCGATTTACCGGTCTCGAGCTTGGTGATCGTTGGCATCTCAAGACTTCACCCTATTTCGCCCGTTGGCTTGTCGATCTCCTAATCTTTTTCATCCGACCCGGCTGTCGCAAAGCCACAAAAGACCCAAACAACCCGGACCAATACAGCGCAAACCAGCGGTGTCGAAAAAGAAGGCCCGAATCCACTCTTTAGTACTTTGCCAACTGACGACTCACGAGTTGACTTTTTCCCAAAGTTTTTGACACCGGCGACATCCACATTTTTGAGGTGAAAGAGGGGAAAACTGACAAAACTGCTCAAGTGATGTTCTTGCGAGGAAGTTACTAATTTCTGGGTATTCCTTAGCGGACCTTGGTCGCCAACCGCCCCTCCCTCTCGGATGATCAGTGTTTTAGATGCTTTGGATTGGCGTGGCTCCGACTGGTCATGGACAGCAACGTCCCAACCGTCACATAATCCGCATAAGCATACTATGTAGGCGCCTGACTGGCACTATCGAATCATTCGTCGAGAGCGTTCCATCTTCTTCCAGCCTTCTACTTTGCACGTTATTTTGTAGTTTCTAGGCCAGTCTCATTCCCCAGCCAGCAAAAAAAGAAAAATAATCTCGTAATACAGGCGGAGATGTCGGACCCTACTACCGGCCCATTATGACCCATTAATCGCAAAACGGCCACCGAGTGGTGGTGTCCTAGACGTGTGCAAGAAGACTGTTGACTCGTACCACCAGCTTTAGCGCCAACTCTAAGATGAAGATAGTACCATCATGTTCATGATGCGCGATTGACTCATTGCGACTACCAACAGTAAGACCGACATTGTCGCAACGGCATTCTGAGTGTTAAAGAGTAGATACAAGCCTGGCACATTACCGTTGCGCAAAGTAGAGCTGCCAGGTACTTCCCATTCCGGCGCATTAGAAACAGTTGTCGTCGTCACACTACAAGACGACCAACTTGTACCTTGCGAGAAGCGTGGCTTTGTAAGGGCCACTCGGGTGCACGTATGTCGCAAGAATTTCCAATAGGAAAGTAAGAAAGCAGTGAATTGAATCCAGTGTTTCATTCTCTTGCAATTTAAGCAGATGTTTGGGAGCCGGGTCTGCTTGCTATTGAGTCTGCGATACTAAACGAACAGCGCAACCTGATATATTGACTCTATTGCTTAATGCAGCTGAATTCGGCTTGTCTAGACAGGTACCACCTCCAGCGTTTGTTATCTGATACACCAAACGCTGAAAGTCCGCCCATTCGTTTCGCAGCAAAGATATTGGCCGGAGTAGAGTTGCAGAAACTGATGTACCCACGTACCCATTGATTAGGCACGAACTTCAAAAAATTGCACTGAATGAAGAATCAAATCTATATCGTTCAGAAATGGGCAATAGTATAGCAAAAAATACCAGAAAACCCACGATAAGTCAATCGGCGCAAATCACCTGAGCGCAGTCATCCGAGTCACTAGAGCCGGATGCGCTGGTCTGCGCAAAAATGTTTGGCTCAGGCTTCAGCATGAAAAAAGATCAACAGATGAGGAAATCCGCTCTTGTTTGCCTCGAGACACTCTTAAATATCTAATCGATAATGTGCGCCAGCTGTGCGATCCTGTAGTCCGTTTTCCTGCTGCGACTAAGATTCCGAAACTCTACTCGGGCAGTTACTTCTGCTTGAATATCTTACTACGATCAAGACTCGGAAATCAATCAAACTCAGAGTCAACTCTATAATTCAGCGTGTCCTACTATGCGCTATAGGCTATCAGTCCGGGAGGGGCTATTCATTTTGTTTGTATCGGTCGTGAACCCTTCATTCGCATGCGCTTGAATGCGATGCCGATGGCTTCTAAAGAAACCACAATTGACTGCGCTATACCTCAATACGGTTTTCTAGGACACAATAGACTAGAGAAACGCTCATTGTAAGATACAAAAAAAAAAACAGTGTAAACTAATATCAAGAAGTGCAAAGAGGCTGACAGCAAATAAGAGTTGTCGGCGACCAGCATGACACTCGCTGTCTGGACCAGGCCGTTTTTTCGCTTGGAGTGAAACCTCTCTTCGCACCCACCCGATTCCCCCAACTCCTCCTCTTTCCCAACCAGCACAGCCGACTCCTCGACCACCACATCCTATTCTCCTCGGCATCCAACCTGATATCAGTTCGTTCGAAGGGTGAAAGAGGCTTTCTTGAGTACAATTTGGTATGTATCCCTCTGACGTCCTGCCCATCCTGCTTCCCAATCGTCCGTCGGTTAGTTACGTACTGCCTCAGCTAATTAGAGATTCCTGCATCGCAGAACCAGATCATCCCCAAGCCATCACCGTCCATCCCAGTCATCGTCGATCGAGTAGAGTCCCCATATCGAAGCCCCTATACTAGGCGACTATCATCAATCACAAAACTGTGACGAAGAAGTATGTTTATTCCCATTCTGTGCTTCCGCCTAGTCCCAGATCCTGATCCATCTCGGGTTGCCTGGATTGGGGCCATGCTTCCCTTTCCATCATCCATTAAACTCCAAATTTCACATGATATGAATGCAATGGATCTCGATTCTAGTTTCACGGCACCTCGATGCTAATGTCGCTCTTTCATGATAGTTTGATATCCATTCGTCGTACCGAATTTTCCGTCGTCTTCCACCCCCACTCGCATCGCACCTCCAGTCTTGAGGCAATTCACCCAACCCATCCAAATTAATCCATTCGGTGATCTTACAGAAGTGTCTCTGGATCATCTGGAAGCCTTTATCGGTTGCAGAAAGGCAGCCCATTCTGACCGCGGGCTTACCTCTCTCTTTCACCTACACCCATAGCCTATAGAAGAAGAGCAAGGCGCCCCAGGCGCCCCGAGGCAGGTCAAACCCTATCGCCGTATAGCGATGGCTACCACATCAGCACAAGACCACCAAGCTGCAGAGGGCCTTGCAAGCTTGGGAAACAACTTTGGTGACATGGATCGGTATCAAGGTGATATGACTCCTCAACAACAGCACTCTCCAGGTGCCGCGCCCAAGAACGTCGCCTTCGAGCTTCTCCTCGATGACAACACTAAGCTCAGAGCCAGAATTCCAATGCGAGTCCAGATTTTCCCTCATGATACAACTGACTCCATTGTGACCACAGTCAAAAACTTTTATGGTATCTATGATGGTGTCGCTAGTGGCGTAAGTTTCGAAGATGAGCACGGCACAACCCTCATTGCGAGGTATGAAAATTTGAGAAACAATATGACTGTCTATATTCGAGTGATTCCCGTGCATAGCTATGCTGATAGCTATGAGCCACACTATCACGGCATGTCTCCAATGGACGGTCGCAAGCGCCCGAGTCTTGGAGAACCCTTTCAAATGACGCCTACTACAGGCCAAGGACATCCTTATGGCCCCTCTTCATCACGTCCATTGTCACGTACCCGAAGGCCGAGCGCTTCTCCTTCTGGTAGAGGTCGGCGCAGCGCCTCACAACACAAGGGCTCCTCAAGGAATGGTATCAAGAGTCGAGGTTCCAGTGCACACGGCAGTTTCGCCGAAGATGCGTTCTCTGGATATAGCGACAGTGAGGGCGGCCACGGCTCTGTCAGTGGCTCTCGAAAGGCTCGAAGTGAACAATTCGCAAGTTCTGAGATCAGTATGGACAATATTGTGCAAGAAAGCCGTCGCAAGAAGCCTAAGTTTGAGAGCTCGGTATGGCTATCGATGCTTCGGGTCTATTCTGACTTGGTTATGCTGACGAACCCTTTTCTTCATAGGAATTGCCTCTTTTCGCACCACCACAAGTCCCATTGGCTACTTCTACATCCTCGATTTCTCCGCAACGGCGATCGACTGGAAATGATGGCGAGCCGTCCCCATTCGCCCGGCCGACACACCGTCCCATGAACAACCGACCTCCGTTGCCGTCTCCCCAAAGTTATGGATACAGTGAACACGGGTATGGAAATGGCTCAATCAAATCCACCTATTACTCTAGTGCAATGTTCCCGGATAATGGGAATCGTTCGCGTCTCTCTGGCGGTTCAGCACCAGGTTCCGGAAGCAGGCAGACGGTGTCTGGAATTTTACCAACCCCAGACCCGACTATCGCCAGCTGCATATCAGACGAGGACGTCGCAATGCAGTTGATTCGCCTCGGAGACGCATCAAACTTTTCTCATGGTCGCAACTCTACATCGACATTGGATGATGCCTTCAGCGGTGCAGCTGACGTCTCCTCCTCAACGGGCGCAACCAGTGATGGGGAATTCAGTGAGAATGAAGATGACGATGAGCTTCCAGCACGTTCGAGGCAACGTCTGGAATCTAGTCCGCTACTTCCACCCGGCCATATCAAACAAAGCTACAAGGGGTTGGATGATATACTTCCAAGCTATGACAGCACCGAAGCCAGCGCTGATGAAGGTGAAGAATACCACCAAACTAGCGACCCGGTCATCGACGAGTACCATGGTGATGACTATGATGATGTCGATGCGCCTCGTGCAAAGAAGCAAAAGGTCAGGTCAGACAGCGCTTCATTAAGCAAGAACCGCACTGTCAAAACTGCTTCTGCGAAGTCTGCAAAGAATGGAAAAGCCCGAGCAGTCCCTGTCGTTCGCAAGTCCAAATCAACTCTTCCCTCAGCTAATGGAGTAAAGATTGAGACACCGACACAAATCCTTAGTCCTGCACCCTCACGAAAGACGTCTGGGTCCGGTGTCAACTTCCAGCATCAACTTGCTGCAGATGAGGAGGATCTATCTACAAAGCCTCGCTGCCAGCGATGCCGCAAGAGCAAGAAGGGGTGCGACCGTCAACGACCATGTGGCAGATGTAAGGATGCAGGAATCGGTTTGGAGGGTTGCATCAGCGAGGATGAAGGAAACGGGCGGAAAGGTCGTTATGGCCGACATATGGGTGTTCCCATCAAAAAAACTGGAGAGCCCGGAGCACCAGTTGATGTGATCGGGTTGTTAACACCAGCAACTCCTGCGGAGTCTATCGTGGCAGGTGGCTCGGGCGACAAGAACAAAAAACGCAAGCGGTGATCATGCTTCTATTGAACATTGATTTGACTTTTTGTTACTTTTCCATGTCGATTGCTGCGACGAGCTGAGCGTTTTTACCAATTAGATCTGATTTTCCGTATCCTACTTTGCTATCCGCGGCCCAGCATATTCTTCCGGCAATTCTCCTGCTACAGATGTTGCATCCAATCATTTCCATTGCATTCAACCGGTTTCCCATTCGTTATCTTCCGGATCTGTTCGTTCTTGCGCTCATCGGAATACCACTCATTTGATCCGTTTTACAGCTCGACTTCTGCCTATTGAGCTTATCACATTCCTACCCATTCCTTTCCTTTTCTCTGTGATTATTTCCAGGGGCGGCAATGGCCAATGCTGTCTCACATTGAATATCTACATTGGCGTTACATGTTCTGTTTCGACTTGCTGTGACTTTTATCTGCTCTTCGTGTTGATCTTGGTCGCCCTTTTTGTGGATGTTCCTTTCTTTTTAGTCATTTTCTATCTTGTATTGATCTCTGTTTATGCTAGCTATTGCCGTTCATATTGTCCTCGGGGATGTCATCGACCACTGTGCAAAACTGTTTGTGCCAGGGGTAGCCAGGGTCCGTGGCTCAGAGAGGTCGGTCGCATCAGTTTTTACATGTATCCAGTCTATTCCTCTTCATCTCTGTGTGTTATATGCTCTAGCTCAATATAGGATTGATTTCTCATAATTTCCTTGTATGCTGTAGACTTTAATTGGCTGATGGGATTAAATGTCGTGGTTAATATAAAGTATCTGTAACCCTCGGAGGACAGCCACCGCAAGACCTACAAGCACAGTATGTAACTGCCAGCCCCGATTTTCCATAGAAAGAAAGTCAGTATATACTATTCACCTATAGAAACTTGAAGACAAAAGGACAACCTCTCGCCTCAAGTGCTGGAATCGTTTGTAGACGAGATCGAGCTGTGATTGGCCAAAAACTAGGGTAACACGGCGAATGCGCCATTCCAGAAAGGAACTAGCCACAAATTATTCGATAAGGCACGCTATCGCCGCGCAGTTTCAAACATTTTATTTTCACCAAGCGCTTTCTGCTACATATTACCCCAATCACTTGTATCATTGAATTCATGGTTCAGCAAAATTCTTATGACCTCGAAAATTTGCCGGCGCTCACTACAAGCCACTAGATTGACAGCTTTGTGAGTTACAATCTCAGCTACTGAGTTCGACCATTCAGACATCGTACGGCCGAGATGCCACCGAAAGCAGCTGGACGCGGCGCGGCAAGACGGCCGGGCGAGCGAGAATCTGCGCCTGGAAATTCTACGGAGGCGGGGTCTTCGTCCACCACACCCTCCACACGACCCCCAGTGCAACGATTACAATCTCTGAACAGACGCACACCCGGGGGAAGCATAGGACCCAGAGGAGGACCACCTCCACGCGATGAGCTAGGTGGACCAACAAAACCAGTCCTCAAATATGGACCACGATCAGCCMCCCGCCGTACCAAAGAAGAGCGAGATGCCATCTTGGAGTTGGAGGCAGAGAGAAACCGACAACGATTGTCAGAAGCGGAGGCCATACAACGGGCACGACTTGGAAATGCGCCTAGGGCACGCGGTAGAGGTGGGCGAGGTGGGATGATGTTTGGCGGTCCTACAGGGTTTAAACGAGGTCGTGGTGGTCGATTCGAGAACGATTCCCGCTCTTCACCTGCATTGCGACATTCTCTTTCGCGCTCTCACACACCGGCTCATTGGCGGTCAAATAATAATGCTGGCTATTCTTCGGACGAGGATGAGCAGGCTTCAGCTCTCCGGATCAGTATCGATGAGATTAATCTTGACGAGGATAGTGACGAGGAAGCAGCAGAAATTAAAAAGGACGTCAAGGGTAAAAAAGCAGTGAGAAAACTAGCATTGCCCCTCAATGGCCCCCGGCCTATTCGAGTGGAGCGTCATGAACACGAAGAACGAGTTGTCAGTGTCGATGTCGAAGCTAGCACAACTGCCGCGGCACAACCCAGTCGTCAAGCAGTCGAAGAGGATGAGTCCGACAATGAATTATTTATCAGTGAAGAGCCTACCACCCCCAGAGTCAAGCGAGAACCTGCAGATGGCGATGTGGCCATGGCAGATTTACCGCATGAGAGTCGCGATGAGACGCCGCTACCTGCGCAGCGTTTCAAGGCGCGAAGGAGTGTACTCGTCAAAGATCCTCGAAGCTTGCTACGAACAAAGGAGGAGATTGAGGAGTTTGACCGACACAATGAAGATCTTGAGGCTTTGAAGGATATTTTGACACCCGATGAGCCTGCTACAGTGGCTAAACCGACCACAACTACTGGGGGTGGAGGTGAAGGCGAAGGCGAAGAAGGCGCGGAGCCTAAGGAAGAAGTGAAAGAGGGCGAAGAGCCTGTTGACAAGAACGCCGGCCGCTTATACCTGATTCAATTCCCACCCTTGACGCCCAATTTGACCGTGCCTGGCGGAGCAGAACCTATTGAAGTACAGGATGATGTTGCTACGGAAGATGTCACAGTGGTACAAGAGAATGCTCTAGGCGAACCGGAGGTCAAGCAAGAAGAAGGCGAGGGAGAAGAAGATATCAAACCGGCAAGAAAACCGCCCGGAAGACTCGTGACGGCGACTGAGCGCCAACTCCCAGCTGGACGAGTGGGACGACTGCATCTCCACAAGTCCGGTCGGGTTACTCTGGACTGGGGCGGAATCTCGTTTGAGCTGGACAAGGGCGCCAATGTCAATTTCGTGCAGGAGGCAGTGATTGCGTCTACGGGGTCGATTGCCGGCGAGGAGGATACGGGGGAGCGGGCAGTGTGGTCGATGGGGCAGCTCAGCGAGAAGTTCATTGCCAGTCCCGAGTGGAACAGGCTGTTGTAGATAGTACTCTGAGTAGTAGATAGTAGATACCGCGTAGATAGACTGAACGTGTCAATGAAGAGAGAAAGAAGACGTCATGCAATCTCAGCAAGCGCTTCCGGATTGGGTTAGTCTCGACTAGAGCGTCCAAGCACTGAGCCATCCGCGCCGCTAAGCCTCTTTGGGCTAGCAACCGCCGCGGCTGGCCCAGCTAGCGCCTCCCAAAGCGGCTAGACCCGTGGGCTAGCACAGAAATCCCTGATTTTGCGTCTCCTTTGCACTCGGTCTGTCACTGCTTCGCTCTATCTACGGAGCATGTAAGCTGAGAGAGAGCTAGCACGGAGTACGTAGCTCCACTACCACCATGCCTTCATCTCCTGCTCTTTTCTTCTTTTCTTCCTTGCTCCTGCTTTTCTGAACTCATTCTGCTTCTTACGCGCCAACGCGACCGGTTCGTGTATTATCTCTCTGATTGATTGTTGCCTGCCCCTATACGAAGTCCAAATGTCTCTGTAATACGGAGAACGAAGCTGCGACTCCCGTCCGGATTGATTCACCGTGCTCTCTGACCGATTGGGTCGACAAAGCCTTTCCAATTGAGTTTGCGACGACCCTGGGTGTCACTACGTTACCCCGGGAAGGATCAGTGAACGTGTCGTCAGTCTTACCCAGCGCCTCGCTGAGCACTCGACACGGACGGCTTTGCCGTGCTGTGCGTGCTCTCGCCACGACTCCGAAAATCGTATATCAGTACATATATATATATATATAATACGACATCGACACGAAATGAAGATATCGAATCCCCTTGCCGTACTCCTCCTCACCACCGTGGTATCTGCAGATGGTCCTACTTCGAAAAGCGAAATTGGGAACACACATCATGTCGCTCAACGATCGCCTCCGGTCATAATCACACGGACACAGGCAGTAGACTCGATACATGTCATGGCAGAAGACTCGCTTGCACATACCCATTCCTCCGATCGATGGCTGGGTCCGTTGGTTGGCTTGAAGACTTTTACCCAGGACATTGGTGCCAGAGTGACGGTCCGTACTCCGCGGCTCAAAGCTCGGAATGAGGGTGCGTTAGGGCAAGCGCCCTGGTACGGGATGGCCTTTGGGCTGGCGTGCACGACCCTTGCGGCGCTGATGTTGGGATAGTCCAATACGTTTGAACTCGACTAGTTCAAAATCAACTGCACCACGCACAACAACGCATCACTTAAGCCGAATGCTTCACGACTCTCTCCCTCTTGACAAGTCTGATACTTGCGCATATATACCCTAATACACCAGGCGAGCAGAACGACCACATCCGGCCCTTTACTTAATCCCGCAAGACCACCGCACATACAGATGTCTTCTGTCGACGTCGGCTCGTACATCATTCGCTTCTTGTATCGATATTCATAGAAATGACTCCGCGCATCGCTCGGATACTCGGCAGTCAGATATATTTTATCTTGTTACTACGTCCTATGTTTCTCTATCACGCCGGCTCTTGTTTACCGAGCGTGCTGACTTTGATGTTTATAATTCAGCCAACGACCTATATTGTATAATGTTGGATAATGTGGATGGATTTATGTTATATACCATATGATAGATTGCGAAGATACGAATATACACTTATGAGACAACACAATGCTTAAACAATTCTATGAGATAATCTCTGATTGATACAAACATACGAACAATGGTAAATACAATACGGCCCCCGCAACTAAGCCTCTTTTACAACGCTCTGATTCGTCCCTCCAGGTTTCAGCTGCCCATTTCATACGAGATTCATTCATCTTCCATCAAACGAGACAGTTCGGAGAATTACTGGTATGACAGAGTACGAAATGAAGTGAGGCCGCGCGAGTAGGTCTGACTCTCTGTGCAAAGCCTTTGTTTGTTTCGTCTCTTCTTCCTCGCTATTGTCGGATGCATCTATTCTCTGGTTGATGACATCTCCACGACATCGGACTATCATCACATACAGATCAGACTACATTATCAGCAGAATCAATAATATTAAGAGGAGAACTTCAGCCAAGATGGAGGGGGAGTTGGACGACTATCCGCTCCACGGCGAACAGCCCGTCAACATCCGGCAAGAACTAGGCATCATGTTCGGCTTCATGGCAGCATGTATCCTGACTGTTGCCGTATACTACATATTCTGGCAGGGTAATCTCCCATTCTACACCATATCATTCAAAAAAAAAAAAGGGAATCTACTAACCGGTAGACTGAGTAGCCTCCCAACGCCGCGCCGCCGCCCGCGACGAAGCCCGTCGCAAAGATCTCCGAGCCCGTGGCTTCCATCACGAACGAGGCGGATACCATGACAAGGCCCTCCATCGATACGCAAGCCGAGACCCGATTGCGCAAACACAGGGACAAACACTCGAATTTCTTACGGAGCCGGATCAGTTCAAAGATGAAATGCACAGCCACAGTCGCAACAACAGTCATAGTGAAGACGGCATTAGTGATAGCAACACCATCATTGGCGGGGAGAAACATAGCGACAACGGAGGTAGTGCAGCTGCTGGTACAGGACTGAGGATCAATACGCATGAGCATGACGCCTGGTCTGGGAATGGGAATTCGAATTCAATTCACAATGGGAGTGCGGTGAGTAATCGGACGCCTTTGTCGATGATGAATGCTACCATGGGGCAGAGTGCGAAGGATATGTTTTGATTTGAGTGTCTATTTATGACTTATGATAATGAATATCTATCTATTCTATACATGGAATCAACATTAGGGTATATACTCTAGAAGAGTAGGTCAACAGTAAGGCTTGTCAAACCCACGACTCCATCTCACACTGCCCATAACAACAACCAACAAGCCCAATCCAACTCCCATACTAACAGCAGCATACAAATACGCCCATGCAAACCGCCGTCGTCTCGACGTTCCAAGCCCAATGGAAGTCAACTCAGCAACCCAGGTGCTTATCGTCGTCGTCGCGCCGCAAAAACCATCCATCACACCCTGCAGTACTTGACATGACACCAAAATCGAGCGTGCAGTAGCCTCCAACTCAGCAGTGGTGCTAGGGAAAATCGATCCTCTGGTCGGTGATGCCAATGGATCAAACGCCCATGAACTGAGCGGTGCTCCGATACCAGCTACATGCTGCAGATCGTAGCACATACCCAACACCCCCGTCCCTATAATATTAACCGCGAACGTTCCAAGGGGAAAGACAGGGATTCGCGCATTCAATGCAAGAGACATATAGAATCTGAACAAACATCCAAGCGGCGCAAAAACGATGGCGAACACGGCATTAGTCCGCCATGCATTATGCGGTGGCCAGATAGCCATAAACACTGCCCCGAGCCAACAGCCCCATCCCAATAAAACGACAAGAGGATCAAGAACCTTGCGCGTAAACCGGAAGGGGATGGTTGGCGTCAACGAATCAAGCGCAAGCGCAAGATGGCCACCGAGGTAGAACGCGGCTATACTCATTGCCACAGTGACAGCGAGCACCGCAACGACAGCCATGAAACTATCCCCCTTCGCGCGACCAACGGTCAAACTGCCGGTAGTCGACAAAATAGACGGATCCGCCAAATCATCCGACAGCGCCAGAAACGCATCACGCATAAAACTCGAGAAACTAGTGAASGAGCCACAAAACCCGGTAGTCAGGCCAATGTAGAGCGGTATCGATTTTTTGACGGTCTTGTGCTTCTTGAGCCATCGTTCCTGCGCGCTTGGTGTAGACGATTGTCTGCGCGGTTGTTGTTGTCCAGACTGCAGCTTTGTAGCATCTTCTACAGGACGGCCCCATTCTTCACGGAAAATATTTCTGTCCTCGATGAAAAAGCCCATGAGAATACACCCGCCCACGTTCGCCCATAGCACGCTTGTAAGAACAGGGGCGCCGGGATACGTCGTCAAAGCCTGCACACCTAGTCGCGCAAGGGTTCCCCAGATCGCGAAGAATATCAGGTATGAAACAGTGTATAATCTTGTACCCCATGCTGATAATGGCGGAAGAGCCTCTGCCGGCGGTGCTGCCGCTGCCGGTGGTTGCTCGCGTCGTTCCACCGGTGGCTCAGACGTGACTTCTGCAAGTGCTATGCCCTCCTCATAGTAGCGTTCCTCTTCTTGTTCTTCTCGCTGTTCTTCCTCATCTCGAATTCGTTCACGTCTTTCTTGTTGGGCTTGTTCATCGCGGTGTTCAACGGATTGTTCTGCGGCGGCCTCTGATACGGGCGCAACGGCGTCTCCTTCGTCTGCAGCTTTTTCATGGTTGTTTATCAGATCATGCGACGGATGCGACATTGTGTTTCTCTCTGGCCAAACTATCCCAGAAGTCAATTTGTGCTCTGCTCTTCTCTCAACTCGGCGCATAGTACCTTTTTCAAAAACTCCCCGCTCAGTTCCCAACCTCTGTACACCGCGAATATGATTCAGAAAAAAGGTCTATAAGTTCATTGTAAGGTAGTTGGTGTCGCCTGAGCTATACTGCATAGGTTTTATGTCTTCGTCGTGTCGTACCCATTTGTTGATGTGTTGCGCAGGTATTTGGAAAAGCAGGATCATTCTGTTAGCTTCCGGCCGTCGGCAGGTTGTCCTACTCTACGTATGTACAGTACTACTACCCGATTGAATTTTGCGCAGTCTCAAGAGTGTACACTACAAGCCCAAAGAAAAGTTCATCCCCATTTTTTTTTGTTATTTGTTCCAAGACTATAGTACAGACACTATCAAACTGTTAACTTGCGATGCATATAATCAAAAATCCATCAATTAAATTCAAATCAATCACAATCAACTCAAAACAATAAGCCAACGCATATACTTCAGCAATGCTAACGACAAAACTGAGAGGAGACTAGTGCTTGGATATAACCCAAAGCAATGCATAAATATCATCTAACGACGCGCGCGCAACGTAAATCAATCAAGCAAAACAGTATGCAGCAAATAAACAAGGTATCAAGTCAGGTTCGGCAACGAAGAAGATAAAAAACGACAACAAACTGTAGTAATAATATTAAATGGCAGAGCCAGAATCGAAGAAACACACAGGACCAGCCGAGTGTAGACAATTGTTGCCTTCGCTAACCATCAAAAACCGAGAAGACGCACTGACCGGACTCCTGTGAGCTCTTATGAAGACAACCAAATTGAGACCCAAACTGAACGCAGGCAATGCAAAAGGTAAAGGGGAATAATGAGAGACAAGAAAGCCGAATAGGCGAATACCAGCCAGAGGCCCAACAGTGTCGTAATCGCAAAGACACTATACCGCCCCCATGCCAGTCCACTGTCCATTCCGAGTGCCGTATTCCAATTTTGACCGATGACCCAAATAGAACCAAACAATATCAACGAGAGTAATGAACCGAAACGTCATCTGCGACGGTTCGATGCAAGTCCAGTGACGAGGGTCACATCGTCTTAGGATTTCTCCACGTGTTTCCCAGCGCCCCGAGACCAAAATGAACGACAATGAATATTATAACTGTTAAAAGATAACGGTTATCAAGGCGAAGCGAATGAATAACAAAGGAAAGTAGTTGTCTATCGTTGAGTTTGCGGATAGACGGAAATATTAAGCGATTTGTCGTACGCTTAGTATGCGGTGCCCACGCTGGCAAGGCTCTTGGTAGGCATAGGATGCAACGGCTGGTCTTTGGCGACCTGTAATGAATCTTCATAGCCAACTAGAGCCTGGGCGTGGAGCTTGAAGGATTCGCCCATGAGCTTAGTGAGTCTAAATCATAGTTAGTTATCTTTGAACAAAGGAAAGAAAAAAGATGACACATACCCCCAAACGACAACACCATCAAGAATGTTGCCCCAAACGCGAGCGACGGTGGAGCTCAACTTGCCAAAAGCGTCAATGGCATCATCATCGAATAAATTGCGAACCTTGCTGTAGATGGCAATCTCGGCTTCAGTGGCAGGCTCCTCGTCATGTTCCAGGCGATAAAGCCATAAGCTGAGGATCACCATAAGGTCCAAGCCACAGAGAGGGTGCTCGACGCTCCAGTTGGTAGCGGACGTCTTAGCAACCCAATTGATACCTTGGACGGCAGCAATCTCAATGCATTCAAAGCATTGTTGGATGACATTGTTCATCTCAGGAGATCGTTTCACCTTGTCACGAGCAACCGTCATAGCCGCAGCGACTTCGTACGAGGAATGGTAGCGGAGGGCTTCCTGAACAGACTTGAGGTCCACTGCCAACCGGGCTCGTGTGTTGCGGTAGATGGCCATGGAGTTAAAGATCAAAGGATGACCCTTCTGAGGTGTACTCAAGGGAACCACAATGGTCTCCGGCTCGCACAGCTCAAGTGAGTTCTCCCAGGTCTCCAGTGCGAGGCGAAGCTTGTACTCAGTAACCACATCCTGGAGCGCCTCGAAGCTACGTTTATGACTCCAGACTTGAAGGAAGAGGGCGTTGATCATGACTCGGGTAGCAAAGGCGCTGTATCTTGTCTGTTCACCCTGGAACAATCGGTCGTGTGCTTCACGAATGTTGACCGGGATAACAGTGCTCAAGGTGCGGTGCCATGAGTCTTCGTCGGTTACATCGAGACTCCACAGCGACTCTGACGATGGCAACTCCAAGCTATCAAGTTCATCCAGGCTCATGGCAGGAGTGTGATTAAAAGTCAAAGTAAGCATGCCAAAGAAGATGTAGACGGCATAGTATGTCCGGCGGCAAGACTCGTCTTCAATCCACTGGTCACGAGAGGGCAGACGACCTTCGCGAGCCTCGGTGCGCAGCTTCAATTGATAGCGATTACCAGCGACCATCTATTGAAATTAGTATCACACATGACCTAGTACCCGATTGCAAAACTTACATTGGCGAGCAAACTCTTGATCGAGCAAGTCCATTCAAGGCCCTTTGGATCTCCACTCCAGCTCTCGAATATCATATTTAGCAAAGTACTTTGCATAGCCCACAGAGGGCACTTTCGCGAGTCAAAGTTGTCCTTTTGTTGAAGGAACTGGTTGACGAGGACCTTGGACCCAACGTGCAGCATGAATGCATGCTCTCGTTCAAAAGTGTAGAGAGCACCGATGGAAAGCACAGCCAAGAGAAGAGGCGGCGAAGCTTCGGTAGGCTTGAATGATCCCTGATGCAAGAACGGGAGGTGGTGGTGGTAGAGGTTGAAGTAAGTCGAAAGATACTTATTCAACGACGCGGTAGAAGGAAGCTGGAAGCCTTCTGGTAGGGCCGATACGGTGTCCGAGTTCTTGACATTTTCCACGATACGTTGTCTCTCCATTTCATTGACAAGCTGAGGCGCTTTTGGCAGAGTAAGCGCTTGACTAGGACCGGGAGAGCGACGGTAGTTGACTGGGCTGACTGGGCCGGTCATTGACGGGTAAGGCGACAGCGCATTGGGGGTGGAATTGCCAGACATAGGCAGCGAGTCGACAAGCGAATGCAAAGAAGGCGCCAAGGTGTCCCGAGCCGACATCATTGACATTTGGTGGCCGTGCGAACCGGTATCCTGAGAACCGAACCCAGTCATATGGTGCTTTGTCTCGGTAGGCGAAACCAAAGAATCCCAAGGCATCTGAGGTAGCGTAGCATTTCCAGACAAATACGAAGCATGCTGGTCGAGAAGAGAACCACGATTGGGAGAGAACGAGCGATCGGAACCAGTGCGGTCTTGCACATGACCAGTAGCGGCAGCAGCAGCCTTATGTTGGAAATCGGTCATCAACATGGCTGCTGTTTCAAGGTCGACCATACCATCACTGCTTGCTTCGATCTGCTCTAAAGTGGCGGGATCAATAGTAATAGAAGGTTTGGGAGGGGCAGCGGTAGTAGGCGGGCTCTTTTGAGTACCTGCGTTACCACCACGTCTGCGACCTTCGCTGACGAGAGGGATGCCTCCATCCTTGGCATGAACGGTACGGTCATGACGGAGAAGCAAATCTCGACGAACGAAGGTGCTGCGGCATTTTAAGCATTTAAATGGACGTTCCTTGGTGTCTAAAAACTCGATTGTTAGCATGTTGAGGTTTCATAGTTTGGGAACGAGCAAGGGGGCATACGAGATCGCTCGTGTCGGCTGCGATGTTCACTGCGACTGAAAGCACGATTGCAAAATTGACACTTGTATTTCTTCTCTGGTACAGAAGTCTTCTTGGCCGGCGAAGTCGAGGCCGCGGAAGGAGCCGTGGGAGCCATCTCGATGTGTGTAGGACGAAGGGCCACGGACAATTATTCTTGTCAATATGTTGAAGGTGACAAAGAATACGACTGCGGTATCAGCCGGACAGAGGGCGCGCACCGGGTGTGAATGAGGTTTAACGACGTTGAAGAGTCGCGTTGCTGTCTGTTCATTCCTTGGGCGGGGTGAGCTGTGATGGTGCAAAACTGGGAAACGGGGTTGATCGGATGAGGGGGTATGGGAGAGGGGAACTGGGGAAGAAGCGTCCAGCCACAGGCGGACAGAATAAAGATTAAGGATGAGTGGTCGAGCAGGACGACCAGAAATGAAGAGATGATGCTATTATGGAACTGTATATAGTCCGGTATGTGATGGGAGGGGAGGGGGGGAGGAGTAGGGAAGATGTTGAAACCCGAAGGAAATAAAATAGGATGGAAAGGGAAGGGAGAGAGGTAAAGAAGGACGGAGGAGAGGCAGGAGGGAGGGGAAGAAACGAAGTGAGTGGAATTTGACGGGCGAGCTGGAAAGAGCGCGTGAGTGAGTGTCTGTAACAACGACAGAGGGGGGAAGGCGGGTCGGCCGGTTGTTGGCAGAAGGACAACGGGGCGATCGAACAAGACACTCACCAGACGATGATGCCGCTGGTGGAAATAGTATTACACGCGTGGTATTACTTACGATTAATATAACGCGATTACTGCACCCATGCGCTGTATGATGTGTAATAATACAGACGCAGGCGTAATTCCAAGACGCGCGCGTGTCATTGTCTTGTCTTTTGCGTGTGAGAAGAGGCCGAGGAGGGGCGCATAAGCGGGCCATGGAGGGGAGAAAAGGGGGGGCATTGGTATTTCAATACAGTTTGATTACGTATCTAGTACGACAGCCATGAACACGCACCAGTCAAGCATGGGGCCACGCACTTAACTAAGCCGGGGGCTGCCTGGAAACTTACCAGATTGGCCGTAGTGTGTCGTGTTAATAAGTCATGTCGGCCTCAGGCTTCGATAGGAACGGGACTACCGTATGGTGGTCCGCCGTTGTAGCGGCGTCACCAAGTCAAATAAAAGTACCAGGCAAATCATAAACCTGATTAATACAGATACTGGCCATTCTTTGATCTTGAGAACAAGAACAAAATACGGAACCAAGAAGAAGAGATATATCTGTCATCTTTGTATTGGCCATTCCTACCCCTGTCATGCCACGCTACGAAGGAAACAGCCAGATTGTATTGATCACTTTGGATGTCTCCGAATAACTACGTATCGTTCGGCGTCTTGCTCACCTAAGATGCAGTAAGCAGTGAGCACCATAGAGTTCACCTCGACCTGTGATTCCACACCACCATTACTATATATGTATGTTTGATTGGCATCCACGACGGCTTAAGAAACGACCAAACGCGCCATCGCCCCTTCCCTCAGCCCACATGGCGGACCTGGCAACCGTCATCCCGGTACAACGGGTTCCTTGTCTGCTATTTCTAGCCAGCCTGGTTTTAGCTGCATAAACTAGGTGCACTAGTACACAGTCTAAGACTCAAGGAGTCGGACTACGATGGTATATTTTGTGGGCTGGATTTGGAATTTTTGAAAATTTTCCATTGTGCGTTTTGTGAATTTGCCGAGCTTGTCGATAGTATTCAGTCCTGCTGTTGGCCTCGGTAATGGATGCAATCCGGGGGTTATAGAATATACCCCCATGTAAGTCAAAGCATAACAAGATGTCAAAATGAATGCTGGTAGTTGCGCTCAATTTCCAACTGAGATCGTCCACATCGATGATCTGAGACTCCCCAATATTCTTCTAACCCACCTGAATCATGAAGCATCGATCATGATACGTACATAAACCGCAATCTTGGATACATCGGGAGCGGGGCCGCGCCAGAGCCCGATCGCTTGGCAGCCGTAACACCAAGCAACCAAGCACACGCACTTTGCCTGGCGACAATACGTCCATTACGATCCAATACCCGTGACGGTATCGTTCGTACGTTCTGGAAATAAGGCCCAAAACAGCAAAACCTGCCACCAGCCCACTATGCCCCTCCTTCTGGCCCCTCCTTTTGCGGCTGGKTTGTTTGCCAGCCAAACAAATAAGCCCCCTTTCTGGCTTTCCGTCCAGCCCCGGCTTGTACGCAACGAAACAAATGAGGCGTTCAGTAGGAATCGCTTTCTGTGCCAGTTGCAACCCTCCCAGTCCGTTAGAGGCCGGGCCACGAACCTTCTCCCACGCTATGATTTACAACTGTGTAGTCGACACAGGTCTCGTGGCCTACTTGACTTATTATCCTGATGGCAACTGCGGACCGAGTTCCTAGGACTCGAGCAAGGTTATGCCGGCTACAGTGCGTACGTACATAACCCAAACATCATTCATGTGATAGTTTTGCTCTCCCTTACCAGTTCAGATGCGAATAAAAACAGACAAATAATTGATACGTATTTGCCCCTCTACCATCAACTCCCCTCCCCCTCCATGCCCCTCCTTGATGAGTAGAGATTTCTGACTTACCATTCCATAATCGGTTTTAGAGTGCTCGTGATTGTCGACGGAGTAATTTACAGATTCGGGGACCGATCTGAGTACTCCGGGGATCCCTTGCCGTATATTAGTGCTAATATAACAATACATAGGCATGCAGTTGAGAGTACATGTCAGTGAAATAATTCTACATACAACTTGCAGTAGTCTGTACAGTCAGCGCTGATATGAATAAACTTCAACCAACCGAATAGCAACCAGCAAACGGATGACGGAAACGCAGCTGTCCAATCGCAATCGCAATAATTCAAGGGCGACCAGTCAGATTGCAGATCAGTCGACATTAACCAGAAATGTCACCGACTGGATGACAGTTTACAGAATTCCATACAAGCTCATACGCCGGATACAGAATTACAAAGGAACAAGAATCGTGTGGCTTTTGTGGCTCACTGGCTGGTTTTACACTGACAGAAAGTCTCGAGCCTCGACAATTCACATAAATCGCGGAGTATTTCCTGTCGATGTCTTTCGACCTATTTACATCTTCTCTTGCCTAGGTATCCCTTACTCGGGTTGACTGACATGGTAGCACTTACTAGCTGTACGGATATTCGGCTTCGTTGTTAGGGCTAAGCGCGTCCTCGTGATTTCCCAAGGCGTTGGAGAATTGAGACAATGCCACGTAGCCGAGCCACATACCTGTGGCTTTGTAGTTGTTCACTAAACGATGAGATAAGGAGCTATAAGAAGTGATTACCATACTAGGCAAGCATGATGCCATCATGTCCGCATCGCATCCAGGATAAAGCAGATGGTTCCTGTTGATCATCGCTGGAAAAGTGGATTGCTCGCTAGTCAGTGCCGAGTACTCAATCCGGGTACGACAATACATACACGTACGACGCGTCGGTATGCCATGATACTAGCTCGTATCCAAGAAACGTTATTCATTGTTCAGATTCAAGGTTTGTCGTTCGCGATCCGGACCTTTCGTATGTACTGTACTGACTTGGAAGTCTGTACTATTACGTCGATGCAAAGTTCAGACTATGTACATACCCGCTAAACTACGCAACAAGGTACCAACGCAGCAAAGACATCCCATATTCACGGAAAATGTACCAACAGGCCTCACCGCTTTGATTGTTGTCTATCTTCATATTGATCTCTGAAAATAAACAAGACTAGAATTAATAGACTGTAAGATTACGTAGTACGTACGCGGTGAGTCGTTGGCCCTAGTCGAGCGTACTGGGTCCTTACAGGTCCAGCCCCTCGGTTTTTCCCGCTGGCGCAGCGGACCGTCCCTCTTTCCATCCGATCCATCACCCATGGATTCATGCCATACGTACTTCATACTATATTATTACCTATTCTCGGAGCATATTGGCGACAAACATTATCTATCAAATTATCACAGGTATTTACTCATCGGACCTCTCGCCTCTGGCAAGGATTATACATATGCTGTGTGCGGGACCTGACCTTAGTGGAGTCTATCTCCTGTCATGAATCATTCATCCCAAGTCAAGAGTCGAAACCGTCAAATCATTCAATCGGTATGTATTCGTGATGTAGTATTGTGCCCGATAGTCTAGATTTGCTCGACAAAGTCGGTCAATCAATCCCGAACATGTACGGGGTAGACTCAGTAGAGAGGTGAATACTTAGCATCCTCGATACACCGACAAGTCAACCGAGTCGGTGAAGAATTGACTAAAATGCTAGCATCTCAACAGTCCACACGCTATATTAAAAATGCTAAGTATATAGTTGACAATATTCGATGCCTTACTGACCGCTTCTCTTATTCCTTGATATCTTCTATGTGATGMGAGTTGCATTTTTCTAATCTTAAATCGAAAATGCCATGCAAACAATCTGCAACTCGCGCATGATTAAAACTATTCCCACTTTAGGCAATTCGTACACATCCTTGGCAAACTTGCTTTTTTGCCCCTTTCCTCAGGCTCCTTACTCAAGAGCAAGATCTCCCCCTTTCATTTCCTTACCAGGCAAACAAGCCACAAAACACCCATCGTTTGAGAATTCGGAAGCTTAACCTCTTCTTCGGGACACGCCTTTGCTGGATTCGTCAATTGGAGTCTCCGGTGAGGATCCTGCCTGGGCCTATTCTATCGAGCTAGAAAATGAAGAATATTCTTTTGTTCCGACACTCCGTTTTCTAGTGTGGGATGTTGCAAAGAGAAAGGATGGTCATCCCCGTTGAGTTAGATTACGAGTGGATCTTGGCTGGGAAATGAAGCTGCTTTACTGCTCTAAAAAGTCAAGTACCGAAAAAAGGGGCTTGAAGGGAGTTCCCGGTTCCCCGGCGCCACTGGTGTCGACTTAAAGGTGGACTCTGTTGGTGAACGACTCACGAATAAGTTTTCCTAAGTCTGAAAAGCACTCCCAAAGTCTGGACATGGGACTTGACTCGTTTGGGATAAAAAAGACGTCGATCGAGGATAAATGCATCCCTCGAAGACTCGTCGGTTCTGTGCAGTAGGTTTTGTGTTCCGTCAAAGAACAGCAGAGTCTACTCATTGCACATGGTCAAAATATCTTAGTACGAAATACTAACATGCTCATCCATCGAGAAACAGCTTAAGTCATGCTGTGATTTCAGTATAATGTTTTTTTATTAGATTATCTGGATCGAAATCTTAGGCTTGAGGTATAATAGTGGAAGCATTCTAGTAGACTTATCAGATGGCATTTTGTATCTTCTATAAATTTCGATCTACCGTTGTACACTAAAGACTTTTTCTCCCCCAAACCAAGTCTCGTCCACAGTCGCCTGCAACAATTTCTCCTTCGACCACTCCATATCAACAACCACAAAATCCGCCTTCAACCCTTTCTCTAGCTTGCCTGTAATCTTATCCGCAAAGCAGGCGTACGCGGCACCCGTGGTCGCCGCCGTGAAAGCAGTAACCAGCGGCAGAGCGAAATGCGGATTCACAGTCTCTTCAGAATCGGGCAATCGAGCGGATCGTCTAGTGGTCGCTGTATATACGTTTGGTAAAGGCTCGAATGGTGCTGTGGGCGAGTCAGATCCGAAGGCGATCGGGGCGCCACCATCAACAAAGTCGCGATATGCGAATGCGCGACGACATCGATCATGTCCAATCAATGAAGGCCATGCTCGTAGGATATCCGGGTCTGAGTGTACCGGTTGCACTGATGCTGTAACACCTAGCTTGCCTAATCGAGCTGCGTCTTCGGCAGTCGTCATTTCAAGATGCTCGATGCGGTGTCGACCATCGCGAGTACCGTGAGCCTCGAGCACATTCAGCACCATATGCACGGTTTTGTCTCCTATCGCGTGTAGAGCACATTGAAGCCCTGCCTTGACCGCGCGACTGACAACAGGCGCTAATCTCTCCTCCGGCCAGAGAGGATCACACGAGACGCCGTTAAGGGCATACGGCTCGAGAAGTGCTGCAGTGCATCCATCAACTACTCCGTCACAGATGACTTTGATACCTGCAATGCGGAAGTCGGGCGAACTTTCCAGATTGTACTCGGCATGAAGCTCAGTTGCTCTGTCAACCTGCTTCAGATCTGCTTCCGAGTCTGCGGATGGCACTATCAGCCAATGGGCAGCAATACGCAGATTCAATGTCCCGTTCGGCTGCTGCTGTCGCAAGACGAGAAGTGCCTCCCATGTGTTTTCGTCCATGGCCATATCAACAAGACCAGTGTATCCGGAAGCGGTATACGCGCTAATTGCGCCCTTCAAAGCATCCAGTTTCTCTTCCATTGAAGCAGCACGCGCAAGATGCGGCCAGATCACAGCAAAGACCACGGCTTCTGATAGAAGACCCGATGGCTTGCCATTTTCATCGCGATGAATGGTGCCACCCTCTGGATCGGCCATTTCATCGACCTTTAATTCCTGAAGTGCGGCAGTGTTGCACCATGTTGAGTGCAAGTCCTTAGCATCAATGAAAATCGGTCGTGGGTCGAGATCATCCAGCATTGACGCCAGAGCCTCATTGTCGGTCATACTCTGCATCCATCCTTTGCACAAAATCCGAGGAACCTGTGGATTCTGTTTGGCGTACACGCTAATTCTCTCCCGGATTTCGCTGAGGTCCTTGCAGCCGTCCAGGTCTAGCTTTTGGAGCGCCTGGCCGAGAAGGAGCAGATGCATGTGCCCATCAATGAAGCCAGGAAGAACATATCTCTTCTTCAGATCCCGAACCACAGCACCGTTCTGCTGAGCCTGGGAAACCACTTCGTCTGTTGACGAACCGACGTGCACAATGGTGTCGTCCTGGATCACCAAGCATTCCGCAAAGGACGCCTCGTCTACCTGTTCCGTCCCCTTTCCGGTGAAGAAGTGCCCGTTGGCGAAAATAGTCGTCATTTCCGAAAACCCTTCGAGCCTAAGAGTTTCCCCAGAGAATAGTGAGAGGATGAAGTCTCGTGTTGTCTGAAGCGGGGGTTTTCTTATCTCCTTATCGGTCGTTGTCTTGGATGTGGGGTGGTCGCCTATATGGCCCTGAGTAAAACTGAGTCATATTTATCACACAGGCAATGGCTGATGCAATGTTCAAAGTAGGTGGAATATTCATATTGAAGGTTGATTGCACAGCTAGGATGTTCGGGCTCTGACTCTCGAGTAGCGAGTGGTATCCCTGCCATATAAGCCATGCCGGCGCACTTCAGACTCCCGGTCTTGAATGTCTTGTCGATGATCTCAAATCAGACCAGTACAATACCACAGGAAGTATGTACTGCATCTTTGCACCATGATCACTGGGGAAAGTATTAGCAGAACATGTGCGCCTTCTCATCTAATTCCCGCCTCCGCATTCCCCCGAGATATAAATCGACCTTGATCAATTGATACGGGCCTTTAATGGTTGAACAAGCATATTGTACAAATTTGGCACCATGATTATCACAGATGCCGGATTTCACCTTCAATGGCTATTATATTTCAGCGGACTCATGTACTAGTAATATGCTCCACCGAGGCGAGATCATGATGATCGTGCGTTCGTTTGGGCAGCTCAGGCGAGATTCGCTCATCAAGTTCATCAAGTTCATGATTTGTGTTGAAGAAAGTAAGCTACGGTCAATGAGCTTGCTTAATGGTATCTTAAAACTTAATTGGCAGTACGATTACGTCGGTAGCATGCGAGGTGGGCTTTACAGATTCAGAGAAGTGATTTGGCACTCGCATGTAAGTATTGACATTAAGTATGGCAAGGGAGTTCTGGAGCTTGAAATGGCGGCTATCAAATCACATATTGTTCGTTTATTTACATATTTACATGTGTGCATATCTATTTTGAGTAAAGAAATGTATGACAACCTTGATCAGATATTGTCGCTAGAACCGACTCTTCCAAACCTTAGGGTCAGGCTACTTTCGTGTCTTTTTTAAGGTGCTCAGGTATGCACAATTTATCACTTCCAGTTAGGTGTATCCACCGCTTACAGATTTTCGAAGCATTGGTGTAACGTTATGGAGTAGAGCTTTGCCGCAGGCCTGCCCTAATATTATATCCTCAGATCAATTATACGTCCAATACAACCAACGTAGGAAGTCAAGGATCAAAGACCAAAATCTCACCCATTAAATTAGTACTGAGCCAACCCCGCGACTGAAATATATGGGAGCTTGATTTTCTGGCAAAGCCGACTCATCACAACTTTCGATAATGTGCGAGGACAAGAGGAACTGTTACCCAACCCAACGGAGCTTGAACCACCAGAACTACCACCACCCATCGAGGCAAGATCAACCCTCAAATGCAAAGAAGTAAGAGTCTACAATGTCCCATTTTAGTACAACATAGAGATTTTAATGATCCCTTATGACATGGTACATCGAATGTATAGAAACCAGGTCAAGTATCTCTCTAGACTCTGCGCTTGGATGAGGGTAATCGCTGTGGAAACTACAGATCTTTGAACCCACAACTGGTTCTCGGGAATGGTATGAGGAGTGGAAAAAACGCGCTGAATGGATGAGAGATTGTAATGATCATTGAAGCGACAGCATTGGCCTGATTCTCGGATGTTAGGGTTGGTAGATCCTTCCGCTTGCGTTGGAAACTACCATGTCAATCATAACCACCTTGATAAATTCATCCTTCATCCCTAGATGATGTGTACTACGCTTGTCCTTGTGTAGACACAATCAATGGGACTATTGTGCGTTTTCGGACTGGTCAGGTGAGGAAAATAAAGAAAAGCAATTCCTCGGGATGGTCCCCAGCATGATATACCTCAAAAAATGAATATACAAAAACATAATTGGCAGGGAGCAGACCTACCTAGGTATGATTTACATTGATGCCGAGGTAACTGTTCCGATACATCGAGATGTCCTGCAAAAAATGACCATCTGACAGCTTGTACGAATTTGTTGACATTATAGGAGCAGAATGCATACATACTGTTGCATACATAGCATATACACGTACTTATTCTCCGCAGCGTAGATAAACGGATAATGACCAATCTCGCGGTAGATTGCAGGCGAATCCTCCGGACTATAATCCTAGCAAGTCATCCATGGATGTCGGGCATACATCTACGACCGATGCATCATGATGTATGCGTTAAATTCTTTGACGTGCCTTGGTTGATGAATTACCGCCAATATGATTAAACATACTTTCTAAGAAGTCACGTGTTATATTCAAATGAATTCGTCCCAAAATTGGAAATTTTGAACCGCTTCTTGATTATACTAAGATGCAAGGAATATCGGGTAAATACTTGTAAGTTTTCAAGCAGTTCCTCAAAATTTATCCAATCGAAAAAAACACAAAGCACAGAACATGAAATCTGCATCTACCGGTAAACTATTGAACGATAGTTCTCCGCATGTTGGTCGATCTTGTTCGCATAGAGAAGGAATCGACGCAAAATGGATAGATCCTTGCCTGTATTGCAGTGAAACTGTCAAATGGATAAATCTTAACGGCTGTAAACAATAAATAAGAATACATGCATCCGATATTCTGGTCCGTGGCCCTTGGCTCTTGGTCAGGCAGAAAAAGTCTCTTGAACAAGCAATGATCATCTACACTAGAATGATTTACGGAGTCGACTTAACTACTTACTGGATAGAGTAAATTTGGCCGCGGCTCGTAGCGTAGCCTCTTAGTGAACACTCCATGGAATCATGTGTACATGCACATCGGCAGCCTCCGAATGTCGTTATCGACGTTATCGTTATCACGACGCGACGTGCCTAGCTCTGCTGTCCGGTCCAGGAACAGATAGGAAGGAGAGTGAAAAGAGGCGTCGTTGGCTTGTTCTAGAAAACACACAGAACGAGCCCTAAGCCGCTAGAATATATTAGACACGAGGGCAGTTCTAGACCGGCAATATTCGGATGGTAGTACGTACTACCTAGTACCTACTAGTGCTAGATGTTGATTAGGTTACGAGAGGACTGTGCAGAGGGACTGTAACCTCAAACCGTCGCGATTTTATACGTCGTATGTTACGCGGGTACGAGAATGCCGAGCCCCTGGATATTACATAGTACCTTCTCAACACGACGACGCGTATGGCATACATACATACATACATACTAAGTAAGAGCACAAGCATCGGCTGCACAGTGCACAAATACGAGCCTCGCATGGCGGCCATGACGCAGTGCCATGCGACACCGGTACATGTACCTAGCAGAGTGCACAGACAGATTCGACGCAACGACTGACCTTGTCGTATTTCTACAATGTAAGCATGCCTGTCAACTCTTGAAATGAATTCCACGGAATTTGAGAGTGTCGTGTAGCGAGGCGGACCCCGATGTATCACAGTCATGCCATGTTTGAGATGTATCAGTGTGATACCTTGAGCGTTGAGGGTCTGGTTTGAGACAGTTTCGGATGCCGAGATGATAACAGACTCGCCGTCAGAACTCAGAAAAACTGCTGGAGAGGAGCAACACTTGACAGCGCCAATACGGAAAAAAACTCCGCAAGGTCGCTACAGAGTGCCCTGTATGTTCGTACTTTGTCCAGGTTGGATGATCAAGAGGAAGAAGAGAAAATGCCGCGGTCTAGACTAGCTGACTCCACCAATCAGCTGCCCCAGTAACACTCGCGACGCTGATTGGCTGTGTCGCCAGGGAAATGTGTTGTTTGCGCCAGCAAATAAGCGACCGCTACTGGGGTTTTAGTATACTATGACTCTGCATATTTACTCCTAGGAATTAGGATTATTTTATACTTTACACAAGTTCAATAGACGGGTGGACACTGGAACAGCCATGAGTCGTTCCGCACAAATGGGGTGCTATATACTAGCGCGTGTTATGTACTACGGAGTATGGCGTACTGAAGTTTCAACGTCGGGTGGGACCAATCCAAAAGTACGGGGTGCCAAATCCGTATTACTTCCTACATCCATAAGTAGTACTCATGGTCTGAACGACGAAGGTACTCAAATAATAGAAGAGGACATAGTCGGTACCCAGTATTGAAGGAAAATATTGTGGCACCTTCTGAGAGTATCGACAAGTTTGACAAGACAAGTTCAACGACGAGCACAGCCCGGTGACAGAACCAAACGGTCCCGTAAAATACGTATCACTTGAAACAGCAAAACACAAGCCAAGCATCTGATATCGTACGCTCAGTCGCTCACCTGTTGACTTCTCTTTCTCTACGGGGTTCCTAGTTCATCGGATTGCAGGGTTCAAGTACCGGCACTCTGACTCTTCTCTTTGTGACGCCGAAAAGGTCTGCCCTGCTCATTCTTGTGATGCCTGGACAGCAGTGGCAATTTCTGCCAGAGAGGAGTGAGTCAGGTTTTCAACGACTCCGCTGTCAGTTCGATCAATGCACATGAAATGATAGGCGTCAGTCAAGACCAGACAAAAAGCCAGAACAACGAAATGACAAGTCGAGAGCCTCGGCGCGAGAGTATCTCATGTTAAGTACGTAGTTGACTATCACATTCGAATGGTCAAGTAACTACACAGTAACAGACAATGCGATGAGTGAGTACAGCATTAATATCGACAGTAATACTATACTTATCATTCAATAATGTGGAGAGCACCCGTACGCAGCGTAACTTACAGCCGGCGTATCGGTACGGTAACGTGTAAGTTCTGCCGCGCTTGAGCCCACTTTTTCAGGCAGTCTGTTCTCGCCAATCTCTGTGCTGCGTCTGCTCTTGCCTTCTTCGCTCTCGCTCTTCCCTCGCAGTCAGTCTCTCTGACACTTCTCCTCCTTACCACGACCTCCTCCTCTCAGATCTACATTCCGCCAATTTCAACCTCATGCTGTGAACTCGCTCTTTTGGGGATATTCAACTCTCTATCCCCTTCAGCTAACACCTCTATAACTCAACGTTCATTCTGAGTGCCAGCCGAGGCCGCCCCTCATTCCCGAAAGAGCCACCCCCAATCTGCAACGGTGCACGTTACCTATATCTTACAAACGCAACGCAACACCACCACACCTGCTGACCCGCGACCGTCGACCTGTGCCTGTGTCATCCGTTCTGTTATCAAGTCATGAGCACTCGATTGTCAAAATTAGTCCTTTAGTGTTCTAGCGAGCATATTCAACCTCATTGGACCAGCCAGTCAGATCGATACATTTGCTACTGACTACGTACTCGTACTCCGAATCATTTGCCCTCGAAAAGGGTCATGTACCAAGGTGGAGTGGCAGAGCCCTTGGCTTTGGACGCTCACCCCGGATTCGCTTTCAAAAAAACTGCTGCGTATGCTGCCACCTTTCGCTACGAGACCGACGAAGAGCGTCCAGACATGGCAACCCATTCCCCTCTTCGCACCAGTGGTGGTCGCCAACGTAGTCACTCGATCCAAAAAGACATGTCCCAGGCCTCTCCGCAGCGCCAGACCTCCCCCATCAAACTAGCAGCAGAACCGCTCCCCGCACTCTACGTGAAAGCGCTGTATGACTACAATGCCGACGATCGCGCCAGCCTTAGTTTTCGCCAAGGCGATGTTATCCAGGTCCTCAACCGACTCGAGACGGGATGGTGGGACGGCGTCATCGGCAATGTTCGGGGCTGGTTTCCCAGCAACTACTGTACTATAATTACCAACCCAGACGAAATAGAGCATTACGCCTCCCATCGAATGATGATGATGATGGCTGACCCCGGCGATGCCAGCGCAGAGTCAGGTGCCGAAGACGAATATGAGGATGACCAAGAGGACGAGTTCGACCTAGAGCACCATTCCCGCGATTCGCAACCCATCCTGCCTATTGAAGGTGTGCCTCCAATGGACCAGGAAGAAGCCGCATATTGGGTGCCACAAGCCACCGCAGACGGTCGCTTGTTTTATTTCAACACTTTAACCGGAACGAGTACTATGGAGCTACCATTGGAGAACCCGTTGTTGGCAAACGAGACTGGCCCACGCGATCGTAATAATTTCTTCGTCCCAGACCAGACCCGCCCGCCACCAGAAATGATGGCTCGTGGTGTCGAGCACGAAGATGATTACGACGGTTCTGGCTCAGAAGGCGAAGGCGAATCATTGATGCTGGCTTCTCGCGATTCGATCTCCCGAAGACGTCGATCACTGGCAGATGATGTCTCACCTGCCACCTCCATGGATTCTCTGAATCCATCACCTGTCACCAAATCTTCTCAACATACTACAACACACTCTGGCCAAGGTTCATACCTTCACTCTAAAGACTCGATATCGACATCTATCGCTACGTCTAATGGATCTTCAATACCCCGACACTTCGTGGATGACACACCTGGCTCTCGAATTGGCTGGGCTGACTTGCTCGAGAACATGCGTCATGCCATCGACGCTTACCGACAAGTTGTTAGAAACGGCGACCGCAACGAATACGTCCGAAAAGCAGAGGATATTTCAGACCATCTTCGCATGCTGCTTGCTGCAGGTTCAGACACTACAGACAACCACTCCGGAAGCCCTTCAATTATTTCACCAAATCGTCTCCTGTACCCACACTTCCGAGACATGATGTCGAAATTTTCCAAATTGGTTCTATCTTCACACATTGCCGCTGCAGATTGGACGAGTCCTGATTCAGCCACGAAATGTTTGCAAGAGGCAGATGGCGTCTGGCAGGGAGTTTCCGGATATGTTCAGGTCGCTAGCCAACAGCGCGGTGACAACGTCAACCGTATCGTCCCCGGATTCGTCCTTAACAGTTCCACAGGTGGCCACTGGCAGAATAATGGTATTCGAACTGGTGAATCAGGTGCCACCTCTTTTCTGGATCCAGATGGTCAGGATTCCAGCCAGGAACCTTCCGTTCCGCTGGATGCTGCGTTGGTTGATCAGATTGACTCTATGAGAAAGGCCATCGTACTCAGCATTAGAAAGATTGACGAACATCTAAAAATGGAACAGAAGACCATTACCCCTCGACAACATCAAGCGTTGAGCGACGCTATCTGCTTAGCTGCCCTGAGCGTTGTCGAGAAGTACAGACCCTGGATCGCCACGATCGAATCGATTAATCTAGCTCCATTTGGTACAAGTCTACAAAACCCACAACTAGTCGATTTTGGTCTGCAAAAACAGAGGGTGTATGAAACTATGGCCGACCTCGTACTCAGCTGTCAAGCCGTTTCGGCTCCGCTTGGTGACGAGTGGGCCGAACTACGCAGAGATCCTATTGAGGATCGTCTCAACAACGTGCGAATTGTCGCACGCCAGTTAGAAGGCACCATTTCGCAAATAGGATTCTCCTTGTCACTTCTCCAAGAGCAGGTCCCGCAGGATGCCAATGGCCAGACCCATTTCATTGATGATAATGAGGCCGGCGCTGCGCCAAATCGCGAACCAGGCAGACGACGGGGTACTACTTCCTCAGTGTCGGCCGTGCCAATAGCAGCCCTCACTATTGATGACGACGACACACAAGTGCGCCGAAATATGAACAAAGCACAGCGATTCTTTGGTCAGGCTCCTCCTTCCACAATCACGAGAGAACCTCTTCGCGAACCAGTTTCATTACCAGAGGAGAATCCTTGGTTCTTGAACTTTGATCAAGAAGGCGAGGTTTTCTATGATAACAAGGCCGATGTCCCCACACTCAAATGCGGTACGCTGGAGGGTTTGGTTGCTCAATTGMCCCGCCACGACAAGCTAGATGCCTCTTTCAATAATACTTTCTTGCTGACGTATCGCTCTTTTACCACTGCTGCCGAGCTTTTCGACAAGCTCGTGCAAAGATTCAGCATTCAACCACCTTATGGGTTAACCCCTGATGAATTGCGAATGTGGATTGACCGCAAGCAAAAGCCGATCCGATTCCGAGTAGTCAACATTCTCAAGACGTGGTTCGAAAATTACTGGATGGAAACGAATGATGAGGCAAACATGCAACTTCTTCGCGACGTGCACGCTTTCACACAAGATTCGATTGCCACCACCAAAACTCCAGGATCACCACAATTGTTGAGTGTTATTGAACAGCGATTGCGCGGTCAAGATACTACAGTCAAGAAGCTTGTTCCTACGCAGAATATGGCCACGCCGACACCTATTGTCCCGAAGAATATGAAGAAACTCAGATTCCTTGACATTGATGCGACTGAATTTGCCAGACAACTCACGATAATTGAATCGAGGTTGTATGGTAAGATTCGAGCAACCGAATGTTTGAACAAGACATGGCAGAAGAAGATTGGTCCTGGGGAGAGTGAGCCGGCTGCGAACGTCAAGGCTCTGATCCTGCACTCTAACCAACTTACCAATTGGGTTGCTGAAATGATTCTAACTCAAGGCGACGTCAAAAAGCGCGTTGTCGTCATCAAGCACTTCGTCAATGTGGCAGATGTGAGTTGCTCTTGCCGCGATTGTTGGTTATTGAGGATTAGCTAACGATTGATTTTAGAAATGTCGCGCTCTTAACAATTACTCTACGCTTACGTCTATCATTTCAGCACTGGGAACTGCCCCGATTCATCGTTTATCCCGAACATGGGCTCAAGTTAGCGGTCGAACTTCGACTGTCCTTGAACAAATGCGCAGGCTTATGGCCAGTACGAAGAACTTTGGTGAATACAGGGAAACGCTACATGCGGCAAATCCGCCATGTATTCCATTCTTTGGTATGCGGGAAAATACAACACTGGTTTTGAGCTGCACTGATTCATTTTTTTATAGGTGTATACTTGACCGATTTAACTTTTATCGAGGACGGTATTCCATCACACACGCCATCCGATCTCATCAATTTCAACAAACGAGCCAAAACCGCCGAGGTGATACGCGATATCCAGCAATACCAGAATGTGCCTTACCAATTGCAGGCCGTTCCTGAGCTGCAAGATTACATTTTAAGTAACATGCAAGCGGCAGGCGACGTTCACGAAATGTATGAGCGCAGTCTGGAAGTGGAGCCCAGAGAACGAGAAGACGAAAAGATTGCAAGGTATGGTAAAAGTAGCACTGATTCCTCTTCAACCGCCATGACTGTTTCATCATTTCTCAATTCGATGCGTTGATCATGTTCTACTAACATCTGTCACTATACACGGCGTCTTTTCTTGCATTGATGAGCTTCATGATCCTGACACGACCGATATTTTATTTGCACTTCCAATCATATGTGGCCCCATTTACAGCCGCTGTCTATTATAAGCGACGTATGCGATCATTCGAAAGCAAACTTTGTTTAAGGTCGCTTTTGCAGCTATCGAAAATTGATATGCTATGAATGTCATCGTATATGCCGGCATCTCACGTTTCTTTGTTCATTCTTTTCTTTTTCTGCTGATCTCTTCCATTATTTCATTTTCCTCTGACTCCACTATTATCATCTTCTTATGATCATCTATGGATATCGCAGAGACTAACGTTTTTCCCTCGCGTAGACTGCTATCGGAATCAGGCTTCCTCTAGAGCCCTGACGATCGAGAGTTAAGACAAACCGGCGTGTTCAAAATCAGATATGCGACTGGATCTCATCGACAACAAATCACAGCAATGCGGCACTCGGGATCCCTGCCAATACTACGAAAAATAGTATTACAGCATCCTGCAAAATGATCCTTCGGTGGAGTCTACTTTCTACTTTGAGCTCGCGAAATCCGGGTGGATCGTTCGTTGTACGATGGCTCGCCGGGACGTTGCGGACTGGCGGAACTAGGGGCGGGCCCGTGTCTGATCAGCGTGCCGATTGAGCGTTACATGCGACGCTGACACGTTAGACTGCTCCGGCCCGCGTTCTTGTTGGAACTCCGGTAATCAGACTAAACCGGTTTACTATATACACACAGAACAGTAGCACACCGCTAGGTCGGCCGGATAAGAGATAAGCTAGCTTGTCTGCAAGATCCTGCGATAGGCCCAGATTCGAGCTACGAAAGTCTCGATGCAGCAAAAGTCTTATCGATTTATTATCTACAACAGCTGACGACTTTGTCTCTGTACTGAGGAAGCCGAGTCACCGTTATGCGGGCGAATTTGTTGTACATACACATATTCTTTCTCATCCCGCCGAGCATCACTCTGGCTCTTACATATTGACGTCTTCTTTTCTCTGGACATATGACTTGCACCTTACACATGTCGCTTGAACTCACTTTCTTCGTCGATCCTTTTTTTCTCATTCTTGTATCTATCATTTTGATTGATCTGTCTCATGGTTGAAATTTTAGTTTTTAGTGTTGGAGTCTCGGGATCTTGGAGTACGAGATGCTATGAATGGTCGGACATGGTTGCTTCAATTGGTTTGGTGTTGGTTTGACGGCTAAATAACTGCTTATCTTATGAATGACACGTGATGACTTCTTCATCCTCTATCTCCCTACAAGAAATTTTCATAAACCACATGTTCATATGCATCGTAAATCGTAGTCGTGTGTAGTCTATTTGTATTTAAGCTGTCTCGGGGATATTTTGGAAAAGCCCCTTCTTAATGTCAGCAGCTACTAGGCCACTAACTTCCTCGGCAACAATGCGATTCCCGTCACGAACAACCTTGGAAATCTGTTGGTCTTTGACTGGGACATTTCTACCGCCACCTGCAGCAACCCCATCTAATGCTCCTCCAAGTAGCCCTGATGCTCCCATACCTCCGCCGCCGCCACTTCCGATTGTCTTTGCGGCTCGTTTCACTTTCTGGCTGAGGKCCATGATTTGCTTGCTGCCGTAGTCTCTGGTAGTGAACAGCGGACTCTGACTCAACGTTGCGACCCAGTACTTATTCCAGAGTAGCGACAGAAGCTGCGTATCTAGCGTGCTCTTGAAATGCGACACGTCCAGCGAATAGTATTGTGAGGCATGTGCGCCGAAGTCTTCCACTTTGTTGAGCGGGATACTCTGATACTCATCATCCTCGCTCGATTCCTTGGGTGCCGTATAACCCTCTGGATACGTACGGAAAGCGCCGATCTCGACTTTACCCGCGGATATGGTACGATCGGGATCAATAACGACGGCCACAAATGGATCACTCATCTGCTGCATCGACTGCGTTGAGACATCGATACCAGAAAGCCAGCATCCATAACCAGGATGACTATGATACCAACCCACTGCATTCTCCATACGGCCAGAATCTCGGCAGGACTGTAGGTATTCAACCATGTACTCGTTTGCATCGCCCTGGGCGTTGACTCTAGTCTCTGTGCCTTCGACAGGTAATCGAAATGCGTCGGTGACGATGAATGTCTCGGATGCGATGTATCCTTGCATCAGGCCCATAACCTCTAGCGATCCGCCTGATCGTGCGTGCATGACCATTTTGAGCAGAGCGACGGCGGAGATTTTGACATTTTTGAAGTAGCGTGGGTCAGCGGCCCAGGGTTTTGTGTCAGAGAGGGCGCGGTGGGCATCGGCGTCATAGTTGTAGAGAGCATCGCGGCGGGGGTCTATGAGTTGGACGACATTCTCGAGCTCTGTCGTTGTCAGTTGGGTATCTGATATCAAGGTGATGAAAGCTCACCCCACGACTGCTGTGCAGTCTGCATAGTGGATGGAGACCACACAGTATTCTTCAAGATAATAACGAAGTCACCCTGATCAGGTCAAGTTCTTACAAGAGATGCAATGATCGAGGAGTCTCAGTCTGGTCAGCTTGTGAAGACAGCTCTATGAAGCTGTTGCATGGAAAGTGACGGAGTTAACCTAACAAAGTGTGGAGCAGGCCAAAGCAAGTGGGGGGTGAGCCTTATTGCCTGGAAGCATAGACACCTTAAAAGCAAGGCACGAAGGCACCATGGCACCATTGCGGGCACACTCAGTGGTGGTTGCCGTGACAACAGCGGGAAAGCAGCCATCACCAGCTCCTTCCAACTTCCAAGCCCTCTCTGTGACCTCTCTGTTCCTGTCCATGTCTCAACATCACAACTCACTCTCTTTCACTTCTTCTCTTACGTGGATGCGCACTCTTACACTCTTCACAAGAGAATCACTCGACTGTCCCTGACTTTCACCCACATGGAGGGCAATTCTGATTGAAGCACCCACTCGAGTATTTGTTTTCGAACAACATTCGCTGTTCCTGCGCATTCTCCACCATTTTGTCCACTCTACTATACGCCACGCTGCGATTGCAGCCAGATCCGTACGCAATTGGCCTTCTTCAATTGAAGCTTTTGGACGTCGAAGTATATATTCATACTCACCATGTCGGTCGACACGAGTTATTTGACCACCCAGGTCAACAATATCATCGATCAGTTGCATGGGATATTCGATGATATTGGTGTACCGAACCATGAGAGAGAGACTCGCGAGACAGAGGTAAGTACCACAATCAGTCTGCCTCATTGTAATGCCATCGTCTAACGTCCACTTCAGCTCTTCGCCGCCCTGTCAGATACATTAAACAACCATTTACGCATTGTCAACACGTGAGTATACATCCTGACCGTATATGGTTGAATCACGCTAAAACTATGGCTTTATAGTGAGAAACAAGACATGATTGCAGAAGCCGAACACCTTATAAATACAATTAAGCAGATGGAAGTAGCGCTTGATGACCAAAAAGCAAATGGTCAATATGAGCTCGACAGCGATCTCCAAATCACTTTCCCCCTCAATCGCTGCATTGTCGCATTGAAAGAAAAGTACTCCGCAATCAGCAGACTACATCGCGAGCGTTACGAGCAAGTCAAAAGTATGTCGATCCCAATTGGTTCAAGACTCGATTAACAGACGCGCTGACTTGCACAGAATTGGTTGAGGCTCTCGAGTCCTACTCTTCACACTTGGAAGCGTCTTTTGTGAAAATCCCTCTTCCACCGACAGCGCCCAACGCATCTATTCCACCCAACTTTGACCTCTCTCCCTCTTATGTCACCAAGTTGGACAATGAATTCACTCGCGTCTACGAAGAATATAACAAGCGTGTCCACCTGGTCAAAGTAACATCCGAAGAGATTATAAAGCTGTGGGCCGAACTGGGAACTCCTCAAGCACAAACTGACTCTACCATTGTCAAATACTACCGTGACGCTCCAGAACAACTTGGTCTTCATGACACTGATCTCGCCAACCTCAAGAGCAAGCGCGACAAGCTCATGGATGAGAAGAGGAATCGTGAAAAGAAACTAAAAGACCTAAAGATCGCGGTCGAAGGCTTGTGGGAGCGCCTCGGGGTTGATGAGCGCGATCAAAAGGCGTTTCTGGCAGCCAACCGTGGCTGTGGTCTTCGCATTATCAATGAATTCAATGAAGAATTCAATAGACTCCAAGAACTCAAGCGTCAAAACCTACACTTGTTTGTTGAAGACGCGCGTTGTCGCTTGCAGGAGTTGTGGGATAGCTTGTACTATTCCGAAGAGGAAATGTTGGACTTTACACCTGCTTTCTCCGACGTCTATAGTGACGCCTTGTTGGAAGCTCACGAAGCCGAAATTGGACGACTTGAGGCTATCCGAGAGCAGCGTGCCCCTACTCTTGACCTCATCACCAGACACAAAACTTTGATCGAAGAACGAGACGCCCTTGCAGCATCCAGTCAAGATGCATCCCGCTTGATGGCGCGCGGTAACAAGGGAGAGAAACGCGATCCTGGCAAGCTCCTTCGAGAAGAGAAGATGCGTAAGAGGATTGCTAAGGAACTCCCAAAGCTTGAATCAGATCTGCGCAAGATGCTCGAGCAATGGGAAGATGAATTTGGCAGGCCTTTCCTGATCCATGGCGAAAGGTATCTTGATGAGATCACGCCAGTGGCTTCCAAAGTTCCTCCACGATCCAAAACTCCATCGGTGCCGCCACCAAATTCAGTCAAGTCCAAGCAAGCAAGCACGTATGGTACAGGAAGTGTTCGCGGGCCTCCACCACCTCGATCTGCAACTAAAACGCCAACGGGTACGTTGCGACGCAACGCACCACAGACAGCAGCTCCGTATTCCACTCAAGCACAAACCAAATCTCCGTCTAAGATTCCTGCTCGTGTTCCACTAGGAAATATGCCTCATGGCAACAATTCTCCCGAACGCCGTCAGCCTCCAACTTCGTATTCTTCGAACACCATACGAGGCAAGGTGCCACCCCGTGCTCCTCCACCAAAAATGCGCGAACTATTCAATGACCCAAATGAGGATTCTGTAGCTCCTAGTTACATCATGGAACCTTCTCATTGCGAAAGCATGATGTCTGCTCGAAGCGTACGCCCCGTTTCTCTCGAGGACGTCTATGATGACAGACAGCAACGATCGATGATCAACAAATCTGGTATTTCTCGATCGAGGACAGATTTAAGCTCACATGGTTCATCTCAATCTCTTCATTCCATAGCATCCCGTGAAATGGCATACCCTCCGCAGAACCCATATCTCAACCGCCAGCCGCCTCCACCAGCTACAGCAATGAGACAAATATCAAACTCAACGGTCGAAACAGCCACCTCTGGTTCGGAAAACTGGGAAACTTTTGACGATGTCTCAGAGCCGGAGACTGATGCCAGTAATGTCTATTATGCCAAGCTTCGTGCAGCTCATGGAAAGCGCTTGGCTCCTGAGGACCAACATGAAGAGTCGCTCATGGGCAAAAAGATGAGGGGCATCCGCACAGTTGGGTCCGATGAGCGATTTCTTGAGCATAATGGCCAAATGGTGAGGATTGAAGGAAGTGATGGAGGTTGGACCGACGACTTGGATACGTATTGAGCTATAAGGAACGAATGTCGATGATCTACGATATTTATGAATTCGCAATACATATATGACATGAGTTTCTGGCTGGTACTGAAAACGATCGTTCGGTTCATGCTACGGCGGATGATTTGATGTTATTACGGCGATAAAGGTCATTCACCCTCGATATCACCATCTTCTCTCCTTTTCGGGCGAAGGCTTTCCTACTTGGCGCATTTCTTTTGGCTGGTACTGGAGTTTGCGGCGACCGAGGAAAAAGGGCCCAGACATATACATTTCTTCCCTTCATGTGAACACTTTCTTTCATACTCTTCTGGTTAATATTGGTTTTTGATTCATGTATTGATTATTCCCCTTCGAGGTGGGTTTGTGTTGTCTTTGGTTTCGGCCTTATCTTTCTGTTTTTCTACTTCCATTTCAAATAATTGCGGCTCTCTGTACAGGGTGCCTGTGTGATGTTACTTAGCCTTTTATACCAGCTCTGCAATTTGGTTTTCAAGAAAGACTCCCCAACAAGTAAAATAGGAGTGGTACCATTACAAACATGGTAGTAAACCTAATTGTCATGAATCATAGAAATACAAGTAAATCGCTGCTTGGCATGAATGGATGCTTGCTCGAGGAGTAAAACACAACCACAGAAGTTTTGTAATTCCAGAGTGCTCAATTGCACTTTCCAAGTGACGGAGGTACTACAAGGCTGAATTTTCTATCTTGTCTCGTCGACCGTCTCGCATGTCTTCTTCTGGAAGTCAGGGGCCTTCTTACTGCAGCTGATATTGAAAACCCAACTTGTTCTCGAACTTCTATTGAGCACTGCCCTCATCCCATCGAAGTTGCTGTTAAAAATCACTCCCTTAATCCAGCTATATTCAATCTGACCGAAGACACCTTCAGACTGGTATTCGAGCACCTAGATCCACCAGACCAAATCTGCCTTTCACTCAGCTGCGAGCCACTATACAATCTCTTCCGTCCTGTTTTGGATAGACGAAACGGAGCCCTTGCGGCGTTCTTTGATAGAGAGGGCCATGCGCGCGCTGAGTTCCTGGTTCTGCCTCGGGGTTTGCAATGGCTATTGTGTATGGTGCGTCTTGAGTTGCATCGGCGGGATCATTTACGCCAATTGCCTCGGGGATGGAAGGGGAGATGTACGCTTTGTGGTTCAGTCTAGAGACATCATCAGGGAGTTTAGACTAGACTGATGATTATTGTTACCTTTGTTATAGTATGCGTTGCGGTACTCATTCGAAACGTCACCAGCAAAAAGCATGATCCTACAAACCCCTAAGTAGGAGTTTTGTCCTAAACGTAGCTATAGGGCGTTTATGGTAGTCTATATGTACGTGATGGCCAAAATTCGTGATTGGTTTGAATGACATTTGTTGAATGTAGAGTGTTATCAGATTAAATTATGATACGGGAGAACTTGGCTATAACGAACTGAACACCGCTCCATATTAATGTTGATAGTTAGCTCTAATCTAAAGTCGATTCGATAATCAAACTCCTCAGAGAATAAGTATCATAACATCTGAAAGTGCTACCCAGTCCCATTGAAAATTTCTTGCTACAAGGCCAATCCAAGGCCAATGTGTGTGTGAGTATATGGGTACAAGGAGAGAACAATCTCGGTATGAGGCTAGACTTTGACTAATATATTTCGATTTCCTCCAACAGAACTCATCACATATGGAAAGCGGCATTGCAGACAACGAGAGAAGTAGATGCCCGTCAACACATCAGATGTTATTGGTAGGCAGCTCAACACGTAAACAGTAGTACCATTAGTGGAAGCAGGCAACAAACCCATCTATGATTATTCATGAAACAATAAAAAGGTATCTTCGCTAAAAAAAAAATCTTTCCTGTTTTCTTCGCATAAGATTGGCGACTCTCTCTAAGATAAAAAGAAAGAAAATATTCAATTCGAAAGATGTCACGATTTCAATTCTGCAAAAAACAAATCACGTCACCAAGACGACTCTTCACTCGCATATATCTGCCACGTCTAGTCAGGTCCCCATTCAAGGACCTAGAAGTGAAACATATGCATGCTGTAGTGTTCTCTTATCTCATTCGCCATTCCAAGGTTCGGTCTCATATGCAAAAGCCTCAAGTCCATGAGACTCACTGTCGCCCCCCTATCTTCAATCTAAACATCGATATCTTCCGTAGACTACTCGATTACCTCGACCCAATCGATCAACTCTGCTTGTCAGCGACTTGCAAAGTGGTATTCGACTTGCTGTGGCCCCTCATGCAGAAATGGGTCGGATGGAATGAGCACACCCAGTCATGGCACAAGTATTCGCAGGAGATACACCACGATGAGATTCAATTCTGCTTCGATCTTTCAGTTGGAAAATATGCTCCCTGCATGTGTGCGAAAATTTTTGCCCAGGATACAGCATCATGCAGAGAGTCAAATGTAGGACAGACATCGACAAATTTCAGATGCAGGACACTATGAAGAAAGGAGCACCATGTCACAAAGACGAGTCGCATGTACGTTACCCATGCTCGTGTTGGAGACTTCTAAAGGACATGAAGAAGAGGCCGCCTGTTCTGGAATGCCGAGAAGGACATCCCGTCATAAACCTTTTCGACAGCCATACGAACAAGCTTCTAGACAGTATTGGATTATGTTCGTTTCAACCATGGCTCTTGCATAATTACAAATTAGGCCGGTATCATATGCAAAAGTACCCTTTGCTACAAGCGAGTGCAGCCTTTTATCTTGCAGTCTCGACTCGCACCAATAAGCCAGGACTATTTCTGCTTGTGAATTATACCACATGGGTGGATGACCACAGGTCCGTTGCCATTTGCCCACACAATTTGGTATCTGGAATGTACACATCCCGTCCCAGATTGTATATGGATGGTCCATGTGCAACGATTTTTGTGATTGAACCGTTCGTTCAAGAGGCCGAGGAAGGAGGGTGGTTTGTCAAGTTTTCGACCGCTCGTTTTTTGAGATTGTTTTGACTGTTCGATGATCACAGCTTTTTTCTATCTTACACGAGACCCATTATTGTACATATTCGCAGTCCTGGAGCATCTCAATCAAGCTTTATTCTCCCTCTTCTACTCCGATCTTGATTCCCATTCAATTGAATAGCTTCCGTTAGTCGTCGTACCGTTTCGTCTCTACCTAGAACTTCCATAATCTGCGGCATTCCAGGACCGGGAGCGCCAGCAAGAAGAGCCCAGCGGAGATAGTGATAGAGCTCTTTCTTGAATGCCTTGCTTGCATATGGAATACAGTCAAGGTTCGTCCGATGGGTCTCAACGTTCCAATGACTTTCAGGAACAAGGGTTAGAATTGTTGCTACTGTCTGCAGGGCGACAAGAGGCGGTGTTGGGTCTCCGATCTCGAGATCGCTTTGAGTTAATGTATACGGAGTTCGATCCAAAGATGATGTGAAGAAGGACCAATTGCGGTCCAGGAATTGAGCTGGTGTAGTGAAATGGCCGCCATCATATCGAAGGAGGGACGTGACGGTCTCCTTAACAGGCAGGCTGGCAGAAAAAGCATTAGCATCCAAATAGTTCAAAAGTGAAGACGTCTTCGATATAAGCAACAAGAAGAAAAAAAATACAACAGCTGGGATTCGCTGGTGGACTACTAACCAGCCGGCGTGTGGCTTAAGTACGGCTGAGCGGACGGGAAGCCCTGTTTTCCACACCCTATGGTCGTATGTGCTAGATAATTTCAAACAATGGGTTATATCGGGCACTTGCGCAGGCATTGCTCCAAACAAAAAAGAAAAAAACATACTTAGCTCTGATATTCCCTCGTCCCTCCGCTGCTTCTGTGACATCGCCCACCAATTTCTGGAACTCGGGGCCATTCTCAGCTACACATCGCTTTGTGTGTGCTTTTTGAAGGAACCACATTTTTTCGGGGCTGACGATAGTGTTCCCTTTGGTGATCTTCAGATTGAACTAGAGAGACAAGTATGAGTGCCAAGAACTGGGTGGTGGAATGTACTTCACGGTCAACATCTTACAAGCTCTTCCATATCTTTCAAAGAAAAGACTTCTGACTTCTGGTTATGCGACCAGCCTAACAAGGCGGCATAGTTGAGAAGCGTAGAAGGCAGGATACCGCTGTCTCTGTAGAAGGAAATGTCAATATTTGAGTTGCGTTTGCTCAGCTTTTGGCCGTTCAGATCGACAAGAAGAGGCACATGGCCGAATTGGGGCGGCGTCCAATCGAAGGCATTGTAGAGTGCGACATGCATGGGTGTCGAAGCCAACCACTCCTAGCTCCGATATAAGCCTGATATACCTCTCAGATAGAATAGCAAACTCACTGTTCCTCTGATGACATGAGTGATCTTCATGTGGTGGTCATCCACGACATTGGCCAGGTGGTATGTCGGATTGCCATCGGACTTCAACAGAATAGGGTCATCGTAAATACGATTTATTGTCTTGAGAAACTTCTTTTGACCATCTTGGTTTTGTCCTGTCGTCCCAATTACGAAATCTTTGAATTTCGGGTACTCGTCCGCTTTCAGCCGGACAACATGTATTTCTCCCTTTGCCGCCCTTTCTTCTGCCTCTTCGGCAGGTATGTCAACGCATTGGCGATCGTATCCGAGCGGAAGGCCGGCCTGGTTGCGCTGCCTGGCAAGGGTGTCTAGTCGTCCGGCGCTACAGAAGCAGCGATAGGCATGCCCGGAGTGAACGAGATCGTTTGCATGTTTGTGGTAGAGAGCTGTTCGCTCGGACTAAAACGACAGTTTAGCAAAGTAATCGTTGAGTCGGAGAACCCTACGTACTTGTCTGTATGGACCATAAGGACCGCCAACGATAGGACCTACAAATGTCAGAAGCACTGATCGACAAAGCGCATACACGTTTCCATCCAATTATCATACCTTCATCCCATTCTAAAGCAGCCCATTGCAGATCGCTATACAGCCTTTCCTCCGCACCCGGTATGGTTCTCTTCTGATCTGTGTCCTCGATACGGAGCAGGAATTGTCCGCCAGTACGTTTTGCCAGGAGGTAATTGAACAAAGCTGTGCGTAGAGAGCCTAAATGCAGGTAACCGGTAGGAGAAGGCGCAAAACGTGTTCGAGCAGGCTCGTCTGGAACAAGCTTCGTGTTGCTGCTACTGCGGACAGAGCACGGAAGTTGGGAGCGGGATGCGACAGACGAGTTGGCTCTACATTGGAAGCAGACCCATGACGGCGGCTTTGCGAATACCCCAGGACGCAATTTCATCATCCTGCTATAGAACAGAAAGCAGGACTCTTCCTCTCTTGCCAAAGAAATGATGTTGGTCAGGGTCAATCAAACAATTGGCCGAAGCTGCGAGTCTTGGCGCGCGGCATCGCAGAAAAAATTCCGCCCGGCAGATCCCTCTCCGTATCTTATCAATGTTTGCAGCCCACTCTAAACAAATACTTCTTCTCTTCCATTTCTCTGTCTTTTCTATTGTCTCGTTCGGTGAAGCGTACTTTCTTACCAGTACATTCCGACCATAGCTGGTCGATAAAACAAAAGTTCGTCCAAACTTAGCTTTCTGTTGACCACTTCTGACTTACTTTTCAGTGGACGGCGCAGGTATTGATCTCTATGGTAAGACCGCTCTCACTCCTCTGTCGCTACACATACTCACCGTCCAATAGAAATTCTCGAAGTTGAACATGGCGCATCAAAGGATGAAATCCGAAAGGCATATCGCAAAGTAAGAACACACAGTGACTCGCATCTGGTCTAAGCCTAACCCATCAAACCAGGCGGCATTAGCGAGCCATCCCGACAAAGTCCCCGAAGCGGAGCGAGAAGCGGCGGAGATCAAGTTCAAAGCGGTCCAGCAAGCATATGACATTCTTTACGATGAGGACAAACGCCATCTGTACGACACGCATGGTATGAGCGCTTTTGATGGATCAGGAAACCCCGGTATGGGTGGCGGACCGGACTTGGACGATATACTAGCCCAGATGTTTGGAGGCATGGGTGGTATGGGAGGTATGCCTGGTCACGGAGGAGGAGGACGACGACCGCCCAAACCTAGAAAGAGCCCGGACGAAGAAACAAAATACGAAGTGAGCCTGGAAGATCTTTACAAAGGAAAAACCGTCAAATTTGCCAGCACCAAAAACGTGATCTGTGGACTTTGTAAGGGAAAAGGTGGAAAAGACAAGGCTGTTGCAAAAGAATGTTCGACTTGTGGCGGACAAGGTAGGTTGTTGCTTCAACGATGATTAATGACATAGCTAACTCCGTGTAGGATACAAGGAAGTGCTTCGCCAAATGGGTCCCATGTTGACTTCGTCTATGGCTCCTTGCACTGTGTGTGACGGACAGGGCAGTTTTTTCGCCACAAAAGATAAATGCAAAAAGTGCAAAGGAAAGAAGGTCACGGAGGAGAAGAAGATGCTTGAAATATACATCCCTCGAGGAGCCAAGTGAGTGATTATTTATCTTTGCTATGCGTTCGTCGACTAATTATCCGTCATTACAGAGAAGGAGATCGTGTCGTTTTGGAAGGAGAAGCGGATCAAGTACCCGACCAAGAACCAGGCGACATTGTGTTCCACCTTGTTGAGACCGAACATCCGATTTTCCGTCGAGCCGGTCCTGATCTAACTGCTGATCTCGAAATCACTCTTGCCGAAGCCCTGGCTGGCTTCTCTCGGGTGGTGCTCAAACATTTAGACGGACGAGGCATTGAGATCACCCATCCAAAGAAACCAGGCGATGTCCTCTCCCCAGGACAGGTCTTGAAAATCCCCGGAGAAGGAATGCCACTCAAGAAGAGCGATGCTCGTGGAGACTTGTACCTGATTGTCGATATCAAATTCCCCGATAAGGATTGGACACCAAGTCCTGAGACCTTGGAGAAACTTAGAGAAATCTTGCCAAAATCAACACAACCACCAATCACAACCGAATCCGTGGATGAAGTCGACTACGAATCCGATGCTGATATTGAAGCATTCGGTCAGGGCGACCCCCGAGGAGGTTCCGGATGGCAAGACGATGATGAAGAAGGCGAGCCAGCGCAGTGCGCGACTCAGTAGATAGACTCTTGTGCTTTTTGAGACTACGCGACGATGCACATCAGCATTTTTATGATTATCATTATTTGCATTATGATTTTCTGAGCTTTTCGATGCGACGATTTGTTCAATGATGACTTGTATACACTTATTGGTAGACTTTGAGGACTCCACTCTATTTGAATGACGATGATGCTTGGACGACATGACAAAAGTTTCTGTTTATGTTCCAGTCGTTCGCGTTCAAGGTTCTTTCTTGTCGATAAGTATTCCTATGTGTATATATGTGATGTAGGATAGAATGAGCCTTTAGTTTACATCGAGACATTTCTGGAGCATGGGTATATCTAAAGTTGGTCTAAGTTTTCGAACACTTCATAAGGAAGGGATTATCAACTGTCTCGCACGTCTTTGTAAATGAATTAGGAATATTAAATTGGTCTGACGGTTGTTTTAGAGTTGATGGTCTCTTTGAAGATATGTCGCAACCATTTTTGGAGACAAACCCTCCCCAATGCTTACCGAATATTGAGATTTAATGTTGGTATAGATATTATACATGTAGTTAAAGGTATGAGTCTAGATCTGCTTGACTATCAACATCGATTGCAAATGTGAAGTTGTTTGTCGTACTTTCAGTCGGACCTGTGTATATTAATATCACTCGAGATGGCTTCTACCCATAAATCAAGACTGTCTTTTCAATCACTCGGAAACATCTCTTCGAATCAACAATTCAAAGACCTTCCATTCCAAAGCTAGCCCTAATCGCCCCAATTTGGAAAGTTAACCCGATTATGTAATGCAAAATCGGAGCATCTCCGCATCGCCCGAGGTCATTCTCCAACTCGGACATCTTTCCGGCTGACATTTTCTGTCGTTTTTGTATGACTGCGACAATGGCTACGTGCTACATAAATACGAGTTTCTCTCTCAATCCTTTGACTGTCGTTGATCTAATTGCTTGTATTGACCAAGACTTATTTATAATAGACCGCTTCATATCCCACGCTCAGTGAGAGAGCTGTTGTACCCCCGCGTCGACTCCCACGCAAATGACTAGATAGTGGATACTACTACATAGTCACCGGTGATCATAAAAGGTGTCGCATGAATCATCATCGTTGATAAATAGCTCTCCTCCTCTTCCCCGGATATTAGATTCTCATATACTAGAGATCTTGACAGAGAGCTTCCGCAATGGGCTGCGACTCAAAAACAAGCTGTGAGGGTTGCTCATGCGACGCCCCGCAATCACCCATCAACATCGAGGATTGTCAGCAAGAACTCCTGGCCTTGAGAAAACGTACCCAACAACTAGAGTCTACACTAGCAGAGCTCAAGATCCACGGCTCGTTAAAAAAGAAGTCTTCATCCCCTCGCGAACTCCGTTCCCGCAAATGGTTCGGTCCAGAAGTCAACCCATCCATGGGCGCCATCTACATCGAGCGATACCTCAACTACGGCATCACACAGGACGAACTTACATCCGGCAAACCAATTATCGGAATTGCTCAGTCCGGATCCGATCTCGTTCCCTGTAACAGATATCATCTAGAACTGTCCAAACGGATTCGTGAGGGGATTCGTGAAGCCGGTGGTATCGCATTCGAGTTTCCTATCCATCCGATCCAGGAGAGCTCGCGACGACCGACGGCTTGTTTGGATAGAAATTTCGCGTATCTAGGACTTGTGGAGATTATGTTTGGGTATCCGTTGGATGGAGTGGTGTTGTTGACGGGATGTGACAAGACGACACCTGCGTGTCTAATGGCTGCTGCTACAGTGGTGAGTATCTTTTTGCAATGAAACAGGATAAAGCCAAGCTCATGGTTCTAGAACATCCCTGCATTAGTTTTCAATGTCGGACCGATGATCAACGGCTATCACAAAGGTGAATTGTCCGGCTCGGGTATGGTAGTCTGGAAAGGTCGTGAACTGCTGGCGGCTGGCGAAATGACTCGTGACGAGTTTATCGAGTATGCCGCAACTGGGTATGTAGCATCGTTCTTTGTGTACTGCCCATGTTAACAATGATTAGAGCACCATCTGCTGGCCATTGCAACACTATGGGAACAGCATCCACCATGAACGCCCTGGCAGAAGCGCTCGGAATGGCCCTCCCCGGTTCCGCAGCCATCCCAGCCCCCTACCGCGAACGACCTCAATGCGCCTATGAGACAGGCAAACAGATCGTCGAGATGGTCCTCACAGACCGAAAGCCAAGTGACATCATGACCCGCGAAGCATTCGAGAACGCAATTATCGTCAACACAGCCATCGGAGGCAGCACCAACGCTCCTATTCATGTCACGGCTATTGCCAAGCATATGGGTGTTGATCTCTCGGTCGAAGATTGGGATACAGTCGGATATGAAGTTCCATTACTACTCAATATGCAACCAGCCGGTGAGTATTTGGGTGAAGAATACTTCCGTGCAGGCGGTCTTCCAGCTATTATGGCTGAATTACTTGATGCCGAAAAACTTCATCCGGATGTCCTCACCTGCAACGGACGTACAGTTGCAGACAATGTCCGAGGCAAGCATTCATGGGACCGCCGCGTGATCCGCGAATACAGCAAGCCAATGCTTGAAAATGCGGGTTTCCGTCACTTGAGCGGTACACTCTTTGACTCAGCCGTGATGAAAACATGCGTTATATCCCAGGAGTTTCGAGAACGATTCCTTCAAAATCCGGATGATCCAGACGCCTTTGAAGGGCCTGTTGTCGTCTTTGATGGTCCTGAAGACTACCATCGACGCATTGAAGATGAGACGACCCCTATTGATGACAAGACCCTGTTGATTATCCGTGGCACGGGTCCATTGGGATATCCCGGTGCCGCCGAAGTGGTAAATATGCACCCACCCGGCCGACTTTTGAAAAAGGGCGTTCAATCCTTGCCGTGTATCGGCGACGGTAGACAATCTGGCACATCGAGTTCGCCATCAATCTTGAATGCAAGCCCCGAAGCAGCAGCGGGCGGAAATCTTGGTATTTTGCAGACCGGAGATCGGGTCAGGGTTGATCTCCGCAAGCGACGGGTGGATATATTGATTCCGGACGAAGAAATTAAAATTCGACAAGACAAACTCAATGCTGAAGGAGGATATCAGGGGCCGGAGAGCCAAACTCCGTGGCAAGAGATTTTCCGAAAGGAGACTGATCAGCTTAGTCAAGGGATGGTTTTGCGGGAGGCGTTGAAGTACCAACGACTTGCGCAGAAGTGGGATGAGCCGAGGCATAATCATTAGCTTTACAGTATGTACAGTGTAGAATTTTTGCAAAAGACACTTTTTGAATGCACATCATCGTCATTGATAATCGAACGGTCGAGATAGCCAAGCATACAAGAGGTAGAGTGATGTTTTGCATGTGTAGAGATCAGTCCACGACGTCATGGCACTATCTGACTTGCACCTCAATGCAACAAACCAGAAGAGGTACATCGCGCCATCCACTATTGCCATAGCACATTCATCTATAAATACTCCTCTCAAAGATAATCGTTTCGTAGTATGGAGTATGGAGAGGACCCACCGGCACTTGCTGGGTGAGGCCCACTACAGATGCACCATTTCCACATCTCTTCTACTTCATATATTGAGTATATTGATGATTCGATGCATTTGGTCTGATTTGGATATGGGGAAATTGTCGGGTGGTTCATGTGAGTATTGCCGACAAAAGTGGCGACTCAAGAATGGCTGGCGGACAGCTTCATTCCTGTGGCGGTTTGCCGACTCAAAAAGTGCGTCTAACGCCGCATAAAATCGGATTAGGGAGTAATGGCAGGCATTCCTTTAATTCTTGCGTAATGTCGTTCATCTGATAAAAGCGACCGATGATGTTCAGACACTCTTGATAGAGTCAGACAGAGCGATAGGAGCATTCCCTGTCCTTAAAACGGGAAACTCAGGAATGGCCGATGCACCTCTCTCGTTCAGGGAGGACATGGACCTCGCCCACAAGTTGCGAATGTCGGACGCGAAAATATATCGGATCAAATCGATTATTTGTATGTTGCACAACCTTGATCCAAGACTATTGTTGAATGTCCGGAGTAAGTCAGGATATCACCAAGATAGACAATCCTCGGTGAGCTGATGCTGCACGTCAGACACGAGAATGATACGGGATGTTCTCATACGGTAGACAGATATATGCGATCAGCAATCAGCACGCAGGTGGGCCGCCACACATGTTGTTGATCAGCGTGCCTATTTTAGCCCACAGCTAGTACAGAGCTGGGTACGTTAGTAGGCTAGCTGTGATGTACGTAATGTGCATCAAGCCATAAAGTCTCCGAAACGCGCTCCACCGAGTCGGTGTGATGAGAGCCTGTGGTAGGCAAGGAGGATGGGCCGGGTCCACAATTACATCCAGCAGGACGGTTTTCTTGGGAGTCTTGGACCGTTGGCGATATTGAATAATATTGAGCAGCCAGTGGGCAGTCAGAAAAAGAAAAAACCAATCGTGGCTGGATCTCGGCATCGGGGAGGTGGGAAGTGGGAAGTAGGGAGTGGTGGAAGACCGTACAGAGTAAGGACTAAGGAGCTGCCGTGGGTCGGAAGCGGGCCGCCCAATTAGTGCCTTGGTGCCTTGGTGCCTTGATAGCCGGGCCTGGCCTGAGCCACGCAGAAAATTTGATATCCCACATTGTTTCTCCGCCTACCAGGCACCACTCCGTATATATTTTCTTTTTCTCTCCTGATTCTGCCCTTGCCAGCTCAACGACAAAAAATAATCGCCAGGGCTGCATGTTGTCCATCTCCCCTATCGTCCAGTCATATCCCGCCATTCGGCCATGCTCTTGATATAGCCCGAGATTAAGGATAGCTTGTCCTTGTCCATCATCTGGCGGTGACTTTCAGACTTACACCAGCTCGTCTTGTTGAACTCCATTCTCCTGCTCCACCATTTATCTGGCCAAGTCCTCTCCATCTTTCTTGCTCTGCTCGCCCTATCTATCTACCATTCCGCTGGTTATCTCCATCTGCTTCTAGGCTATACCTGGCCAGGCAGACAACTCCCCTTACTTCTTATATAAATTCCAGTGGCTTCTCTGCTTCTTAACATCCTTCACACCATGGATCTCACTCAATAACCCCGGCGGCTGTCACAGCCAACACAAAGTAATCACACTCGTGCTTGACTCACGACCAGCACAATCCACTGTGTCATTGTCACAACACCTTTTACCTTTTCAGTCTACCAAAACTTTTCTCCTTCGACTACGTATTTCACACATCCAAATCATCAATCAACACAAAGACTCTATCAACAATGGCTCCAAACATCTTCATCTGCCTCCGGAACGTCATCTGCCCACTCTACTGGTTCGACAACGGAGCCCGGGTCCATGGCCATCCTACCAAGGAGGAACACTGGGAGTCTCCTGTTCCTGGCACCTACCGCTACATCCCAGAGCGAGGCTGGCACCTCATCCGCCGCGACGGCGCTGAAGAGGACGAATCCGAACCACGTCCCGTTGTCTACTGCCGCATTGTCCATCGCTATCTCTTTGCCTCGGAGATGGAAAAGCGCTGCCGTTACCACCGCGTCACTCTGAGACAAGGCGACGAACCTTCGAAATGCCTCTTCTTCCAACTCGATGACGGTTTCACCTGGGTCATTGGTTGGGATTCGCGTGGCAAATTCATACCGGGCCCGTACCGCAAGTGGTGCTACGACAAAGAGAATATGACTATGCGCCGAATGACATCGGATGAGGACAGTTCTGCTGCTTCTTCGCCTATGACGTCGCGTACCAGCAGTGTTGTTTGAATTTCTGTCCTCGAGAACTTACTTCGACCACTCAAAATTTCTTTAGCATGCTATTTTATCTATCAGCAAGCGGGTTCATTTCATTCGGGTATTAATGTGCTATTTTGAGCGACGGCGTTATGGGAAGCCAGCTACGAGCATGGCGTAGACTATAAAAGGCGGGATATACTCTTTAATGCAATCATTTCTTCATGAGCTGAATGGTAGACGATATACGTACATACCAATTCATCACAACTTTGAACTATCCCCTATATACAACTTCTTCAAACCCTCTCGTATACTATCGTTCATCCCACCGCTACTCCTCGGCTTCATCGTCTCCCTCTCCACAAAAACATGAGTAAATCCACCCACAACATTAACCCGCTCCTCCCCAGCCCTGAACACACCAACCTCATACATCACACTCGAAGACCCGAGCTTGACAACCCTCAATCCCAATTCAAGCACATCGGGGTACGCAACAGAGGCAAAATAATCGCAATAAGACGAAACCACAAGACCGATCTGGTTGTGTTTTTGGGCTTGTTGTGGTTGTCGATGCGCAGGATCAATCCCGCAGTGGGTTATTAGGTAGTGATTGATTATGGAGTCGAAGAGGAATGCGTATATGCTGTTGTTGAGGTGGCCATACATGTCGTTATCGGACCTAGAGACGTTAGTCGGTATCTTTCTTGTGATTGGAAGGAAAGCTACCATCGTGTCCGATATTCTAGATGAAATGGATAGTCTGCTCGTGTGCGAGACTTTTTGGCATTCTTGTCTGCCATTATGGTCTCTGTAGCTTTGCAAAAGATTTATGTATCTTACTCCATTCAATTATCACTGATCGTTTAAAATTTAGTGGACCTTACAGAAAGATACAGTTCATCGGCCGACGTTAAGCAAAGCCGAGGTCCGGAATCAACCAGACACCTCAATGGCCAATCAGATCGTCAGGACTGTAACACTAGATATCTTTGAATCGTGCGAACATAAATAAACAAGCTTTTTAGTGCTATGCTACATCCTAGGTATTCATGTTCTACGAGAATTTGTATCTTGCATGCTCAGCTTCAGGGCCCTCTGCAAGTCTTCATCGTCTCCATCCTCTTCCGCTGTAGCATGGCCTTTGCCTTTGCTTTGATGGTGCGCTTCTAAGAGACTCTGCTTCTTGACATACTCCAGCACGATCTCTTCTTCTGTCCTTTCTTGTGCCGTTTTCTCTCCGCGTTGACCCTCGAACCTACTTTGTGAATGCCCGGGATCATAGGAAGGAGGTTGCTGGCTCGATGACCCGGCCGCCTTCCCTGCCATCTCGTCGGATTCCCGCTCAATCTCATCATCACCCTCGTCCAGACTTGTATCCGACTCCCATACACTACTGCTGCTGCTACTCTGCCTCTGCCTCTGCTCTCTTAAACTCTCCGCCATGACTCGCTCCAACTGCCTCTCAAACTCCAATGCTTCGCTTGCTTGTTGTTGAGCTTCGGTTTCGCTGGCCGCTATCGCTTGGCGCAAACTCTCCTGCTCTACCTGGTTGTCTGTAGCATCGTTTTGTTGGCGCTGAGACTCATTTTCTTGGTCCCCCCCTTCCGTACAGGCACCTTCTCCTACATGCCTACGTGAAGTCCCTTGGACTGGCAGTTGGACGATTTCGTTGTCTCCAGCCAATTCATACAATTCCTCAGGGTGTGGTAGGACACTCTCAGGATCTAAGTTCGGAGCAGTCGTGCTGACCGAAGTCACCTCTGCATCCTCCATGTTCTCCTCTTGCTGTGCTTTCAAAACGTCTAGCATGCTCTCGTCAGGGTTGCGTTCCTTTAGGTATTTCTGGACTATATTCCACCGATCGATGACGTCTTGCTTTTCTGTATCGGAGCTTTGCAGCCACTCCTCGTATCCCTGGGCCACCCTAGATGCAACAATGTAGCTTTGCACATTGCCGCCGAACAACTTCTGCATTTCTTTGTGTACACCCTTCATGGTATGACCGAGGACACCAGCAAATCCCGCAGTTGGCTTGGTAACGAATCCTCCGAGCCCTTTACCAATCCCTTTCAGGAAACCGCCAGGGCCCTCTTTCTGCGCACCTTTCCAGGGCTGAGTGACCAGGCCAGTAACGCCATCGTMCCAGCCGTACCCAAACTCTTTTCCTACTGCCATGACGCCTGATTTGAAATCGCTTACTTTTTCCTGAGGGCGCACTGTATTGTCGCCCCAAAGCTTTGGGAAATTGTGAAACCCTTTGGTCAAGCCCACGGAGATTTCCATAGGGATCTTCGCAGCCGACTTTACGATACGTCCGAGGCCTTTGCTCGTATGCACGCCAGTCTGGCGCAACATGTCACGATCCTTGCCGAAGTCGGATTCATTCCGGCTGCGGGCTCGTCTTCGGCCAGCATCGTCTTGCTTGGGATTCGACTGGCCATCCAGTGTATCGGAGAAATGGCTCGATCCGACGTTCGAAGTGGAAGACGAGAGACTTGGGAAGCTTCCAACGCGAAAAGGAGACTCTTGCACGATCAAGCTCGAACTTGGTCCTGCCAAGGTCGATCTTTCATTCACGAGTAAGGTCTTGCTTCTCCTTGCGATTGTCGACATTGATTCTTGCGACTGCCGTCGAGACCCAACCGGAATGTGCAAAGGTTTCAACGTCTCCGTAGGAATTTCGGCTACCCCCATCGCCATGCCGCTGAATGCCCTGAAACATGCCGCAGCACCTCCAGATATAGGATCCCATGGACCTTCATCAGTCTCATACTCCTGTGGCCTGAAGAGCTTTAGGTCATGGAAATTCAAAAGTTTTGCATTTGCTAAAGTACAGGCAGCAAAAGCGCTTAACCTGATCTGAGTGCGCTTGATGCGCCACGTAGCTGGCCGAGATGGTGCGAGCATGCAACGGAGTCGGTCAGCCTCGAGATATTGATGTAACAATTGAGCACCCATGTCGCTGCCTTTCTCTGCCGCTATCTCGCTTGCGAGCTCTTTAGCGCGTTCCAGGCTTTCTGGCTTCAGACAGAAGCTGACTGCATTGGCTAGTTTATCCGCTGTGAGTTGTTTACGAGGGATAGGGTTGGGACCGGCGCCTGCTCGCGCGACCATGGCGCCCCAGAATGGCTGGTCTCCAAAAAAGGGAACAATAACAGTTGGCCGACCTGCAGCAATGCCTGCTGCTGTGGTTCCTGCGCCACCATGGTGAACGACGCACGAGACCCGCTTGAAAAGCCAGTCATGCGGCACGTTACCTAGCACAAAGATGCCGTCCGGGATACTATCACTATTCGTATCCATGCCTCCCCAGCCTTTGGAAAATACCGCACGCTGGCCAGTCTTTCTCACTGCCTCAATGATAAGCTCCATCATCGCATTTGGATCTTCCAGCACGATACTACCGAATCCTATATAGATCGGGAGCGGACCAGCGTCGAGAAATGCCTGAAGATCAGGCGGTGGGCTGTAGTCAGAAGCCGATTCAAGAGAGTAGTACCCGGAGATAGATACATGAGGACCCCAGTCTTTTGGTTTGGGTATCAGAGCTGGAGACCAGCAGTAAGTGTGAGGGACTTTGAGACGATGGAGCATCCCAGGGCCCCATATTAGACTCACGGGATCCAACCCGAGACATTTTGCGCGAAATCGGTTGATGATATCACCGAGACCTTGCCATTGAAGGACTTCGATCATAACATAACTTATGTAATTAGTGAGTTGAGGGTCGGCATTGGTGGACTGGATATTGGCTAGCGGATGGGGAAAGGCCTGGGTGGGAGAATATGGCATAGTGAACATAATATGAAGAGGGATTCCCAGCTTCTCTGCACAATGAATGTGGGCAAAGCTTGGAGGGTTGGCAATGATGCAGTCTGCGACGAAAGGCCTTGCCGAGAGGTCATCGTCAGTAGCACGAAAAGTCATTCCGTCGCCTGCTTTGTAACATGATCTCCAGCAGCCCTGAATATACTCGGCAACATCTTTCCTTCGCTGGTTGATATCTCCACTTATCAGACTGCGAAATCCCGGCATCAGACTGGAATTCTTGGCCATGAAGGCCATTAGCTGGACCGGGTCGCCGCCAATACTGAAGAATTCCAGGCCATTCTCCTGCACGAAATCCTTGAAATTGGGATGAGTTGCCAGGCGTACTCGATGGCCGTAGGTATCTTTTAAGACTTTCCCCAGGGCAACGAAAGGCTGCACATCTCCACGTGAGCCTACGATCTGGATGACGATGTTCAAGGGCGGGGGTGGAGGAACTCCCTTTTTGCCTTCTAAACCAGGGAGTATATAAGGGGAAGGCGGCGGGCGACTATCTTGGACGCTTTCAACTTGTTGACGTAAAGCAGGAGTAAATATCTGGGACAAACGGCGGTTGACCTGATTGATGCGGATGTTGACACGGCCATCATCAGTGACACGGGCACTAGTACCCAGGCCGTTCTCCTCGCTGTCAATTTCGCCATAGATATCACCGTAAGCAGGAGGAGGAATTTCGTCCTCGGCCGGAGCGGGATTGACGAGGTCAATTTTTGCCAAGGGGGCCTCCTGTCTTGTACGCCTCTGAGCAGCAGCGGCGGACTGAGCTTGCTGAAATATGGACTGCTCAATGACGGTCTCCGAGAGGGATTGATCCTCTACTGGGGAAGGATTGGTAGCCATGATGCCGGTGGTATAAGACACTTCAGCAGGCTGGCTTCAGTTCGATCAGTCATAGCATCACAGTGTATTTTGAGCGGGCGACCGATCGATGGATATTTACCACAAAGCAAGTGGCTGAGCATGTAGCATTGAGAAAGATTGATTTTCCCGTAGTTACTCCATAACAAGGCAGCCACTTTCTACTTGATCATCTTGCTGCTAGACAGATGATAGATCAGCACCTATCCATGGTGGCTCTGATACAGGGCAAGGAGTCCGTTTGGGGAATTAATCTGCCTAGTTTTTTCAGCTGGTTCAAGAAAGTCCCATCATGGACTAGTCGCTGGCGTCATTGTTGAGAGTATCCTCAGGAAGAGACCTGATTAGAGTAGTTGGAGATGAAATTGATGATAGGGTCATTGAGTATATTCGTACATGCAAGAAGCAAGTGATCTTTCACTCTGGAAAGACGCTTCCCCGGATAACCCTAGGTAATCCTAGGTAACCCTAAAAAGAGCACTAAGAAAACCCCGCCAGGTTGAAGTTGCATTCTCTCAACATGATTGGCCGCTCGATTGGCCTCAAAATATATTTTCATTTCGAGGAACAATATTCCGACAGCATATTGTTCGAAGATAGTGCTTGCCATTCGACGATAGATTAGCACTACCGACACTCGGCTCGAGTCATAGCCGCCATATGACAAACTGAGTTTCGTACACAAATGCGCCGTTTGTGGTCGCTATCGCTATTTACCCAGCTTCATCTCCGTAATTGAAACCGCACCAACTATGGCTAAAAAAGGGAAACAAACCACCAAGCCCACTGAAGACATTAGCGCATGGCCGGTCAACAACCCCGACCGCTATTACTTTGAGGGCGGTCTTCGAAGGGTCAAGCCATATCACCATACCTACAACACCTACTGCAAGGAGCGATGGCGGGGTAGGACGTTGTATGACATTTTCACGTCCGAATTCAGAGATCGCACGCCAGAGTATTATGTAAGTGGACGCTCCTCTCGCCCTGTGGGATCGAAATGCTAACATCGAAGCAGAAACAAGCTATTGAAGAAGGCCGCGTCCTCGTCGGCGGAAAAGTCGCGAACCTCGATACTATCGTCCCCAACGGCGCAATCGTCTCGCATTCCACCCACCGACACGAACCGCCCGTGAGCTCTCGTCCCATTGGAATAATCCACGAAGATGATGACATGATCGTAATCGACAAGCCCGCTGGAATTCCCGTTCACGGCGCAGGCCGATACCACTTCAATACCATCCTCGAAATCATGAAAGCTGACCGGCCCGGTTTCAAACCTCTTCCATGCAATCGACTGGACAGGCTGACATCTGGCGTAATGTTTATCAGCAAGAATCCCAAAGCCGCAGAAAAGTTTGCCGTTCAACTTAAGTCGCGCACTTTGCAAAAGGAGTATGTAGCGAGAGTCGGCGGGCGGTTCCCTGATGGCGTTGTGCTCTGCGACCAACCCATCATGTCGGTTAGTCCCAAGCTGGGCTTGAACAGGGTTCGTGCTACAGGCAAGGAAGCCAGGACAAAGTTTCGTCGCATAGCCTACTACCCAGCTTCAGCAAAGACTGATGCCGAAATTGCGTCAAAAAACGGTGATCTMCCTGCCACGCCACCAGCTACAGCCTCCGAGGACGAAGGCTACAGTATCGTGCACTGTCTCCCTCTGACAGGCCGTACGCACCAAATTCGCGTCCACCTTCAATTTCTAGGATATCCCATCTCCAATGACCCCATCTACTCCAACAGGCGCGTCTTCGGACCCAGTCTGGGCAAACACGATGACAGCGCCGAGAACGACGGTGAGATCATCGATCGACTCTCCAACATGGGCAAGACAGAATTAGCAGAGACAACCGCTTATCGTACCCATCTCACATGCCCGCCCGTTGTAGCGCCGGACACAGATCCGCAGGTGATCGAGGCAATCATGTTCCGTGAACATGAAGCTGCTGTAGACGCCTATCACAAGCGCAAGGGCGAGCGTCTTTCTGGTGAAATTTGCGAGGAATGTGATGCGCCGCTCTACACAGACCCCGGTGTTCATGAACTTGGCATTTTCCTGCATGCAGCTAGGTATGCAGATAATGAAGGGACATGGAAATATAAAAGTGCCCTACCAACATGGGCTTTCCCACCGGAAGGTTTGGAGGGACCAACTTCGATACCTGATTGGCGTGAGCCTAGCGAAGGCGAGGAATTGATAATCAATAATGGATTTGCGGGACCTAGTCCTGATGGTGGTCAGGACGTTGAGACCAAGGAAGATGATGTCCTGGCCCTTGTGCGCGGAGTCGGAATGGTCAATCTTTCACAAAAGTTGAGGGATGGCCAGGATCTGACAGCCTAATAGACATTTTATATATTTCCTTTATAAAAAGTTCGTACATAGATAGAAGGGTTAGAAAAAAGTTACATGTTACGATTGGCGCAAATCACACTACTGAAGCAATCACGCAACAATGTAATGCATTTCTTTTATCTTTGAAAAATTTTGGAATTGTCCGGTCCTAATACAAGAACCTCTCTTGTAAGTTGTGACAAGAAACCGTCATTTCCCCCAGACCAAGCCTGCTCCGTTTCCTCATAAAAATTGATTGATATTTGTCGATCGATCACTCATGCTTTTTTGATAATGAGAAATAGTTTCCCTCTTCCCAGACCGACCATGGGAGTAGTTGATATCATCGTTCAAAGATTCCTTGACGAAGGAAGCTCCGTAAAAACCGCAACAAGATCCCATTCATCCATTTAATAAACACACTCCCTCTCTCGGCTTTTTTCAGAAAGGGAGATTGAGATGCAAAACCCCGGCAACGCGCGAAAACAAGAACAAGGAAAAAAGATAATGAGATGGAAAATCCTGTTCATGATGCATTGCATTAAATAATCTATGCCTCGGTGGTAACGCGGGCCTTGGCGTTTGTGACCTTGACACCGAGAGCCTTGGCCTTAGCCAGAATGTCAACACGCTTGCGGGAGGACACGGCGCTGGCGATCCTGTTGTTTGTTAGTAGAGAGACAGAATCACTCGTGTTGAAGAACGTACTCAGCGGCGTAAGTGCGGTTGTGCATGAGGAGGAGCTCAACGTCCTTGGTGTTGTGGACAAGGAAAGCCTTGTGACCAGAGGGCATCAAGTGGCGGGKCTTCTTGTTGCTACCATAACCGATCTAACATTCTCATTAGACATGATCCCAATCCTGGCGAAAATTTGTTCAAACGTACCGAGGGCATGGCAATGGTACCCTTGAATCGTCTGCGGACACGGTTGTCGATACCCTTGGGCTTGCGCCATGATGCGGGCACGCACTTGAAGGTGTCGGATTGATGGCGGAAGAAGCGCTTTGTGCCTGTAATCAAGATCCTTCATCAGCCGTTTATTCCATTTATTTTTCTTGGTCCCAATCGATGATAGAGCTCCTCAAATCCTCCTCTTCTGTATGCTGGCGACGGGTAGAGTACTAACGCTTCTTGACGATCGGGATATGGGATTTGGCGGCCATCTGTAATAACGTAACACTCGTCAATCGAATATTCTTCCAATAACCAGACAACAAGAATGATAAACGAACCTCGTCGGTGTCGTGGGTGTCGGCGTCGAGAAGTTGTCGTGACGGGAGCAAAATTCGAGATCTCGAAAAATGGTAGGCCCCAAAGGCGGGTTTGGGTGCTCTTTCCGCACTACTCGCTAAGCGAAGGGCGTGCCCTAGACTATTCCGTTTACGGAAGCGCCAAGACTCCTGGACGCCTTAATGGCAAGGCAGAACATCACATGACCTACCTAGCCAACAACCAATCAACGGGCAATTACTGTTTATTGGTGCAAGTGGCTCCTTCCCGCTGGACACGCTAGACGCGTCGGGCGCTTGCCTAATGAGTCTACTCTCTCTGTCCGTCTGTCTGAGCATCCCCAACTTTGCTTTCTCTCACGCATGTCAATTGACATCGCGACTTCTGCTTTCTCTCTTTCCTTTCGTCCTTACTGATCGCGACCACCCCCAGCTTATCTTTACTTCGCGCTCTATACAGGCCGCTACTACGCCCGACCTAATACATCAGGAGATATTTATACACCATCTGATGATTCGCTAACGTCCTGCGCCAGCTTCCCCGCTCTTCTAGCAACGATGCCTGCGCGCACTCGCCATGCTGTTACATCGACGGCCGAGGTCGTCGAGCCGGAGGAAGAGCAGAATGGTCTCCACAAACTGCGATTCAACGAGCCCTTATCATGGCGCGTGGGAAAATCCGCCATTCCTGTCGCCGATTTATTGAGCCGACTCCAGATCCTTGCGCATGAGCTATCAACAACTGAACAGGATGATATTGACAAGGCTTCGTTGAAAAAGGTTTCTCAAGAACTGGCAAACGGTCATTTGCTGGCCCACCGCGACAAGGGAGTACGTGCTTGGGTCACCAGTTGTATCGTGGATATTCTACGTTTATGCGCGCCGGATGCCCCCTTTACCGGAAATCAATTGAAGGTGTGCCATTTTTCTCAACTACTCCGGCTTCAAATACGTCTGGTGATGTGCTAATTGTCCAGGATATATTTACGTGCATCGTAACTTCAATCATTCCGGCTCTCGCAGACCCCTCGAATGCCTATAACACGCAGCACATCTATGTCTTGAACTCACTGGCCGAAGTCAAGAGTATCGTGCTTTTGACTGATCTCGACGCCCCCGATGCTTTAATTTTTCCTCTATTCAACTCATGCTTCGACATCGTGGAAGGGTCTTCGAAGTCTTCCACCGGAGAACAAGTCGCAAAGAATGTCGAATACGATATGACTCGCCTGCTGGTGACGGTTATTGACGAGTCGCCGACCTTGGCACCAGAAGTGGTCGATATCCTGATCACACAGTTCCTTCGTGTCGAACCGCGCGTCTTCGAACAGTCGGGAAAAAAGGCCAAAAAGATCGAGCTCGACCCGAGCCAGGACACCCTCCTTCTCAAAGACTACCCAGCAGCCTATGATATGGCCAAGGCTATATGTCATGCGTGCCCCGAAAAGATGACAAGCTACATCAGCCAATACTTCAACAATGTCATTATCGATGCGTCTGCCCCGTCAGAGACTGCCAACGGGTCCAAGAACTCGGCAAACCGCAGACATAGCTTAGACGAATCAGACGATGAGACTGAAGATATCAAAGAGCTTGGAAAAGCCCATCGTTTGATTAGAGAGCTATGGCGCGCATGTCCCGACGTGTTGCAGAACGTTATTCCGCAGTTAGAGGCAGAACTGTCAGCGGAATCGGTATCTCTTCGTCTTCTTGCAACCGAGACTATTGGCGACCTTGCCGCTGGCATTGGATTGTCGGGTCCTCCTCCAGCTCCCCCAATGGACCCTGCACAATATCCGCCTGTCACCTTGATAGGATATCCGGAAACAGTACCCCAGCCGAATGTACTCCAGAAACCATTAGCACCGAAGCCTTTTGCCCAAGTGCATTCATCTGCATACGAGAGTTTCCTCAGTCGTCGCCAGGACAAGTCTGCTTCGGTCCGCTCAGCATGGACTACAGCCATAGGGCGTATCGTGCGTACTTCTGCGGGTGGCTCCGGCTTGAGCGAAAGTGACGAACAGTCCCTGGTGAAAAGTCTGGCCAATATGCTCCGTGATGCTGATGACAAGGTGCGACTAGCCGGCGTTGAAGCTATTGGATCCATGGGTTTCACAGATATTGTGAACAAGCTGGGCGTTGCTGGTGGCCTCGGATCGGCTGACTCGATCTTTTCTATCCTTGCTGAACGTGTCAAGGACCGAAAACCGACCGTCCGGGACCGCGCGATGAGAGTATTCGCAAGGATATGGGCAGTCGCTATTGGTGAGATCGAAGAGGGCAATGAACAGGTTCTGTCACTTCTCAAAGATGCACCATCCAAAATTTATGACGCATTCTACACGAATGACCCCGAGATTCAAGCTCTCATTGATCGCGTGCAGTTCGAGTACCTACTTCCCATCAGCTATCCCGGCTCTAAGTCAAAGAATAAGGGCAAAGATGTCGAAGGCACGATGGACAGAGTTCGAGTACAGCGCATTCTCACTCTTATCAAGAGTCTCGATGATAAGGCCAAGAAGGTGTTCTTTGCATTCCAGAATCGACAATTGAACATAAGAACGGCATTGAATGTGTATCTACAGGCCTGCGAGGAATACAATGTGAGTCCTAGCCCAGAAGCTTATATGAAGAGTGACCTGACTAATGCACTGGTCTAGGGCGGTATCATCGAGAAAGATGAAGAGCGAATTAAGGCTCAACTTGGTAGAGTTGTTGACCTTGTTTCAAAGTCCCTTCCAGACAGCACTCGTGTTTCGGCGGATCTATGGAAGTTCGCTAAAACGCATGACCGACGAAATTATCAGCTTATACGCTTTGCTATGGCGGCGCAAAGCGACTATCGGACAGTCACCAAAGCCATCAAAGAACTAGCCAAGAGGATACAAAGTGGAAACACTCCGTCTTTGCTCGATACACTCACCCCGCTGCTCTATCGTGCTAGCTCCCTTGTATTTAACAGGAGCCATATTCCAGCTATCATGGAATTTTCACGAACCGATGATAAGGGACTTGCACTTCCTGCCCAAGAAATATTGAAAGAAATCTCGTCCCGCAACCCGGAAGTGTTGGAAGCGCAAGTGCAGGAAATGTGCAAGGACTTAGAAGAGCAGGCTCCAAGCGCAAAAACACCGGATGACTTGGGATCAGAAGAGATTCTAAAAGCCTGCTCTGGTTTCGCCAAGAAGCTGCCCGAGAAACTCCCTAAAGAAAGAAAGTTCCTGCAAGCTCTCAATGCCTATGCTCTATACAGCTCATCTCCTCGAGCCGCGAAGCACGCTGTATCTATTATTATGGCTATTGCGGATAAAAAGGAGATGTACGCCAAAGACCTCGTGCAGAAATGCGTCAAAGACTGCGAATATGGCTCSACTCACTTCTTGACGCGCTTAGCTACACTTGCGCAACTTAATCTCCTTGCTCCCAAAGAAGTCGATGGCGAGAGTACTAAAATCATATCTATTGCAGTTGATAAAATTCTACTTGTGAACCGATCAAAGCAGCCGGACTCGGGCTATACTTGGTCAGAAGAGCTTGATGAGGAGACAAAAGCCAAACAATGGGCACTTAGGATCATTGTTAACCGACTGCGAGGAAAAGACGGCGCAGAAGAAGATGAGTTTCAGAAGCTTGCCGAACCAGTTTACGGTATTTTGAACAAGCTCGTTGCTGGCGAGGGTGAAATCTCGAAGAAGAAAGATACACCTGATACTCAGAAACCTCGATTGCGCCTCGATGCCGCCAAGTTGCTGATGAAATTATCCGCCTCACATGCATCGTGTGACCAACTTCTGTCACCAAAACATTTCAATTCGCTGGCTCTGATTGTCCAAGATCGCCTTCTACCTGTGAGATCCGGTTTCGTCAATGGATTACGAAAGAGATTGTCTCAAAAGTCTTTCCTAAGTGTTCGATGGTATACTTTACCGTGCTTACTTGCGTTTGAGCCTAGTATCACTTTAAAGGACAGCACCCTCACGTGGCTTCGCTCACGGGCATCAGGTTTTTCTCGTCAGATGGCAGCCAACAGCAAAGCCAAGGAACAACAGCAACCTGTGATGGAATCTATGTTTGCGCGCCTTCTTTCTTTACTCGCCTATCACCCCGATTATCCTCCTGCCAGTGAAGTCGCCGAGACTCGCATGGCTGAGCTGGCAGATTTCTCTCGATATATCCTCTTTTATCTGTCTGCGGTCGCGAATGAGAACAACATTTCTTTAATATTCCATGTTGCGCAACGAGTCAAACAAACGAGAGATGGCATCAGCAAGTCTGATGAAATTACAGAACGGCTTCATACGTTATCAGATCTAGCGCAGGCAACCATCCGCCGGTTCGCAGAGGTATATGCACAGCAGAACCGGATTGGGGGTGCAACCGGCGGTGCAAGTATTCTTCAGACATACCCAGGCAAATTGAGGCTTCCTAGTTCATTGTTTGCTGCCATGGCAAGCCACAAAGAGGCACAAGAAGTCGCCGACAAGAATTTTCTTCCAGAAGATATTGAAGACAGTCTTGATAGTATTGTACGGGCGTGGATGCGGCCGAGGAAATTGACTCAGGCGACCATCACTAGTAAAAAGAGGAAGAGCGAACATGCCGAGACAAACGGTCAAGGTGAAGTCAAAAAGGCCCGCAAGAAGTCCTCCACTACACCGCGAAGAATTTCCACATCTGCAACTACGAAAATACCACACAAGAAGAGGGCCGAAGAGGACGAGTGGGGCTCTGATTACGATGGAGATAAGAAAGCTCTTGCAGCGGAGCGAAGGCGAAGCGGCCGAGGCGCATCTAAGAAGATTAGCTATGCTGATCGTGATAGCGACGAGGATGACCAAGAGATGGAGGACTTGAATGGAGATGAAAATGGCGAGGAAGAGGAGGAGGACGAAGACGAAGCTAAAGAAAGCGAGGCGGAAGACGCTGCCAGTGCGAACGATGACGAGGAATTGAGCGATGCACCAGAAGAAGACGAAGACGAAGAGGATGAAAAAATAGAAGAAAAGCAAACAACATCAAAGACAAAGGCAGCCGCAAAGAACGCATTGTCTAGTCCTACAAAACCCGCCAGAACCGAGACATTACCAGTGCGACGTTCGAGTAGACGATAATCGTCTTTCTCCCTGTCAAGTGTACCATTTCACCGCTCGATTGTCTGTTGTTATGTATGTTTATGTCTATACTCCCGCATCAAAGCAAAAGAAAGGGTTCAGTCAGTCAGGATTTCCAACTTGTTCAATACCCATCTGTCTTTCTTAATTTTTCATGTTTGTTCCTGAAATTCTGCGAATGTATTTGTTTAAAAGTGCGAGTGTTGCGATTGAATCATACTACATTACAACAATACACATGTCTATTCGAATAGCTGTGTATTTACCATTTTAATGTCCATGAACTTATGATGCAATAGAATGAATCGATGTATACGACTGTACTCTCTCCATATGTACTAGAATTGTGTATAATACTAAAGAGTAATATTCAAAAAAAAAAAAAGAGAGAGAAGCAGAAAGAAAACATGAATGAAAGAGGGGACGTTTGCGCTCAAACAGATACAGATAAAGGTGTTCGTAATGAGGAATTGTTTTGTGTATCTTTGACAAATCCAATTCAACACGACATCATACACGGTAAGTAAAATCATCCGTCATCATGCCGGTGTTGTAGCGGCATTACTACTACCACCTGCAGCTTTGGCAAGTCTTGCTTCGACACGTTCCTTGTGTTGTCGATTTCGTAGATGGACCTCGAAATTCTCGACTGTCATGCCCGGACCGGGTGTGTATAGTTTCCCGGGACAATCGAGACATCGAATGCGTGGCAGGTACTGATATTTCACTTTGCCGTTTGATGGTGGGCCATTCGAGGTTGCTACGGGCATCATTGTTGTTGTATCCACAGCAGAGTAGCGCATGACTTCTTCGAATTTATCATTCGGATATCCCTTCTTGAGATTCTCTAACCCGTCTATGAGCCAGCTTGGTGCGGCGGGCTGATCGACCGAGTTAGTACTTGTGGATCGTAAATGCAAGCTGTCAACTTACAGGTGGCACCCCGGACTGGGGAGGATTGGGAGCATCAACGGCTCCAATTTGTGATGTTGGAGTATGTGATTGCGGGACTCCGCTGGTGCTGCCCGGCCGGCTTGTGGATGCGTGTTGAGGTTGAGTGCTGGGTGGAGGCATTGTGCTCTGGATGGGAGTGGCTAGCTGAGGAGTGCTGCTTTTTGATGCTGGTACCTGGACTGGGAAATTCGGTGTCACTGGGCGTTTGCGGTTGCTGAGGTCCGAAACTAATTGTCTAAATCGATCTTTCGTGAATTTAAATGTAATCACGAGTTTCTCGGGTTCTTCTGAACTTTCCTCCCGGTAGTCGCGCCGTCGTGATAGTCGTGGCTCATGATGTGAAGGCTCTGGTGTAGCAGATTGTGCAAAGTTGGCTCGCATAGCTGCCTGTGCGGCAGATGCCGCTCCTCTCATTCCTCTTGTGCGGGCTGTTCCTTGAGCTAGATGCGTGCCAATAGCTGGAGAACCAACCGAAGAGTCATCGCTGTCCGACAAATCGGAATCATCCAAGCCATCGCGTTGTCCAGCACCAGCACGTCTCGTTCGTCCACTTGAAGATCTCTTAAACAAACGAGTCTCTTCGAGAGAAGCGGCGCTATTGGGTATCACAGAGGAAACAATCATTGTACGAATGGTTCGTTGTCGATCTTTAAGATCAGGTAGAGCAGGACCGCCACGGCGATTGACAGAGCGTTTCTGTCTTCGTTGCTCGCGCGATATCGATACTTCGGTGCGTTCCAACTCGGCTTCATTGAGCTCGTACAAGTAAGGTGTGAAGTCCTTGGCAGCCTGGAATGGGCGGAAAGTAGATGACATAGGAGAGGGTAAAAAGGCGGTTTTGAGATCTGGATCATCGACGGGTCGTCCGTCGAAGGGATGTGCTGTAATGTACAATGAACGAGTGAAGAGCTGCACTTGTTCTCGAATTGAGTGAGCAATGGCTGTTGTAAACTCACCCGATAAAGATAGATCGTTCGTCATTTGTAAAGCAAAGTCCTCCGGAGAGTTATATGGATTGTTGATCTCCCATTCGAATTGATCGACCAGGGTGTGCTGGCCAATTGTAATATTGAGCTTAACGAGAATGCGCATCTCGTCATTCTTGTATGCTTCGTATGGTAAATGAGGGTCGAGAGGATCCTCTTGCATGAATACATGAGGGAAGTAATCGCTTAACTGTTCTTGAATACTCTGCGTGATTTGACGAATAAGCGGCGCACATGCTTCAGGTTGAAGCCCTAAATCCTCCACAAGCTTTTCAGCGAACAATTCAGGAGATACGACTCGGTCATGGAGGTTCCAGGTAAATGTATCACGAATCTTGACCTTGTCCCAATCGCAGTCTAGTCGGATTGGAACCAAATCTTCCCGAAGGTCGCTTTGTGCCTTGAGATCTCTTCTCGATATACGCAATTCCCTAGTCTTTTTTCCACCTGGACGACGTCGATTGGCAGGATATAGCAATTGAGGGTGTTGATTCCTTAGATCCGTTCGTGCATTGCCGTATCCCTCATAGCCGACACCGTAGATCGCAGCAGGATTGAGCTGATGTTCGCGACGCAACGCCAATAGATAGTCACGTTCGGCCCTCTTTTGATGAAAAAGCTCCTGGCTTTTGTTCCGTGTAGCTTCTAAAGCATTGTGTTGAAATTCCCGATACACATACTGTTCAAGGAGTATCTTCTCTGCAGGTGTCTCTCGCACAGTGACAGACGCATTTTCTTGAGAATAGGTCGAAATAACAGAGCCCGATCGTGAGCGTTTCCGACTCGCGCTAACTCCGTTGGTTCCATTTGTCCCATTGGATGGCTGTTGTTGCTGACCTTCAGAGGAATTGGATTTGGTTGGAGAGACACCCGACACGGACAGCATAGCCTTTGCGTTTTGCTTAGATTCAGATATAGAATCTAGCACCGGGCCATTGGTCTGTTTATCGGGCGATCCATTGAGCGCTTCAGGTCTAGAGTTATCGCCGACCGTAACAGCTTGCGAATCTTTGGTAGCGACTGGTTGCAGTGAGTCGCCGGTCGATACGACTGGACGTGACGAATCCGTCTCTGACGCGTCGGGTGAAGGCATAGCGGTGACCAGCAACGCGAAAGCAGATGAGAGGACGTATCACTCGTGCGAGACACGTGGAAAGTCGCTCGCGATTGACGGGGAATGACAGCGGTCCGTGCCTACAGACGCATCGTTGATTGTCGGGAACCTGTTGGAAAGACGATGAATATGTCAGCGGTCAGTTGTTCGTATTGACAGCCGTGGCCATCGCTATGATCGCATAATCGACACGAAGCAGGTGCAGTGACCACTCGAAGGGGTTAGATACGCAGGATACGCGCCAATGACAACCGTGCGGCTAGGGATGCAGCGATCTCATTTTCTCTCACCATCACGAAGACTAATAGGGCAGTGACAATGAGAAAAGACAATGGGTACGTACCACAACCAGAAACGATCAAGCGCGCCAACCAACAGCAGGCGAGATGACGATAATAATATCGGAGTCTTGCCGAATATCTAGCCAGGTATCCAGGCTATGAGGGCACAGGCAGGAAAGTATGGCTGGGTCTGGGGGAAAGGTGTCTGGACTGTGCCGCGAGTCCGAGCTGGCGACTGTAAGTAAGCCGTAAGGTAAGGACAGACACTCGGGATGCCGGGCCGAAGAATAAACGGAATGTGAGCGTGAAACGTGAAAAAGTATGTAAAATACTCGATACTAATCGTACTGTAGTATGACTATGCAAGTTTGCAGTGGTGAGTGGCTGCTGATTTGTCTGGTTCTGGTAATGGCCTGGGAAAAAAGAGGAGAAAAGAAAGGGAGCCCAGCCGGGGGGAAAAACCTTTCAGCCCGCCGCCCAGTGGCCCTAGCCAATTAGCCCGTTACGTCGCCGTTTCCGGACTGCCAGTCTGTGACAGAGCCATATACACAAACATGGCCGTGTGAGGGCACAACTACATGAAGGACTGGGATTTTTGGAGGTCAAGGAAAGTTGAGGATCGTGTGTTTCTTTTTTGACAGCTTGAAGAGGAGCGTTTCGTTTGGTAACGAAGTAATTCCATTACGTGTATTGACCTTGTCTGTATGCATACAGTCACATTACGGTATTTCTCACTGCTCCAGTGGATCCCGCTCTGTCACGGGAGTGAAGATCATGTGACGCGTGTGGCTGACAGCCACACGCACGATATCTTTCAATTGTTTATTTACATGGCACTCGACGACTTCTTCAGATCGATTTAATACAATCAGATCAAGCTAAAGATCAACCAAGACGGCATCGACTACCACCGCACGATGATCAGAGTTCCAGACTCCATCGTCAAACCGACTCGCCAGGACAGCATATCCAACGGATTCCCAAGGCGGCGGTGCGGAAGATGTCTTGTCAACAGGCCCTAGCAAGATATAGTCGATTCTCTTCTTCGGCTCATCTTCGTATCCAAACCCAGTCCAGGTTATGTCGTTACCATAGCGTTCCTCCGCCTTGGTGAGTTTCTGGCTGTCGACCAGGAGCGAGTCCTCTGCCGTTAAATCCTGGTATGCTTCTTGGTCTTCTTGGCTGTTGAAGTCGCCTGCGAGGATGACTCCAGAGATTGTCTCATCGTATGATCCGTCTAAGTATCCATCGATTTTACGACGAATGATACGGGCTGCCTCAAATCGGGACCGGGGCCCTTGGTCGTCTAAATGGGTACTTAATACAAGCAGAAATTTGCCAGTGGCCTGATGCTTAAAAACTCCAATCGTTACGATGCGGGTTGATGCTGCATCCCATGACTTCGAGGGCTTCTCAGGCGTCTCAGAGAGCCACACGGTTTCCCAGTGGTGCAGCTGCCACGTTGCCGGTTTATACAATATCGGCGAGTATTCCCCGTTCTTTTTGCCATCATCTCGGCCGACTCCAATGTAAGCCCATTGATCCCCTGATTTTGCGGATTGATTCAGTCCGTCAATAATGTCCTTCAATTGGACTTGGAGAACTTCTTGTAGACAGACGAAAGATTCGGCAACGTGTCGGGTGTTGTAGACAAGCTCATTGAGTAGCAACTGCTTCCGCTCTGCCCATGGCTTTTCCCCTCTAAACGGCTGGGAGGTAGCATACCGGATGTTATGAGTGAGGATGCGTATGGGGAGATGTGCCTTTTTTGACTTCATTGCGAGATTCTAGGATACTAGGTTGGAATATACGTGAGTGAAGCTTGTTTCGATATCCGTGCTTGGGTTGTAGAGGAAATCAAGTCAAGGGCGCTACGACATCATCCTATGAGTAGAGCCGGGGTATCGTTGAGCATGTCATAACTGGGGTAGTGCTTCTTGTGTTGTTGCAAAGGGGAGTATCGTGCTGTAGGTTTCAGAGCAACAACAATGACGTTGATGACGGTTGGGGCGATACGACATGCCTTCCCTCTTCCCTTCCTGCCCCACACTTCCGTCCGCCGCACACAAACCGTCTCGACCCCGCCAGAGCACATTTTGTCTCTTCGATCTGGGAATAGCTCGTGCACACGACCTCAGCTATTCTTATTTCGTGTTCCCTGTTGCTGCTGTTAGCTCTCGTCAGCTTGTGATTTGGCCATATCTTAAAAGTTGCATCTACTCTAGCATCTTCTCCGCGTGAGAGAACATCTCGTCGCAATGGCCGAGAACACCGAGGTTGGTAAGTGGCTGGTTGCTCCGGATTCACTTTGCCTGTAGCTATGAGCATAGACTGACTGTTCGATGTCTAGACTACACCCTCAACAACCCGGATACCCTCACCAAGTACAAGACCGCTGCTCAAATCTCCCACAAAGTGCTAGAGGCCGTTACAGGTACTTACGGATGCTTGTTTGGTCATTGAAGCAATAGTCTGACAGCTCTTTTTTCTTCACTGTAGGATGGAGCGTTGAAGGAACTAAGATCCTGGAGCTCTGCCAGAAGGGTGACCAGCTCCTCGAGGAGGAGATTGCCAAGGTTTACAAAGGAAAGAAGATCGCCAAAGGTTATTCCTTTCAATCTAGCTCTTAATAGGGCACGGCTGACTGGAAAACCCCCTCTTTAGGCATTGCTCATCCCACCACCGTTTCACCCAGCTCATTCGTGACTCCGTACACACCACTTGTTTCGGATGCCGAGGAAGCTGAGACCACCATCAAAGCCGGTGAGGTCATCAAGATCCAGCTCGGTGCTCAGATCGATGGGTTCGGTACCATCGTCTCCGACACCATCATTGTCGCTGGCAAAGAGTCATCAGACGGTGTGGTTGAAGGCCGCGAAGCCGACCTTATCCATGCGACACACTATGCCAATGAACTCCTTTTGCGCTTGATGGTGCCCCCCGGACTTTTGGCCTCGGGCACGGATGAGGAAAAGGCAAAGGCTGCTGCTGAGAAGCCTCCTACCCAGAGCAAGATTTCCAGCCTTATCGAGAAAGTTGCCAAGTCATACGACGTCAATGTCGTAGAGAACACCACCAGCTGGCTATTCGACCGCAATGAGATTGAAGGCACCAAGAAGATTATCCTCTCCCCCAACGGTGGAGTTAAAGGTGAAGGCTCACCAGCAGTTGGTGAAGTCTGGGGTGTCGAAGTCGGCCTCAGCTTGGGCTCAGGTAAAGTAAAGACATTGCCCCAACGCCCTACCCTGCATCGCCGAACCACTACAACCTATATCTTGAAGCGCCCAAGCTCTCGTCAAACCTTGTCTGAGGTTGTCAAGAAGTTCGGAACGTTCCCTTTTAGTCTACGCCAATTGGAAGACGAGAAGGCAGGTAAAGTTGGTATCGTCGAATGTGTTCGAGGTGGTGTCATCAGGCAGTACGAGCCAGCCGGTGACTCGGACAACGCCGCCGTCTCTCGCTTGCTGAGCACTGTTGGTGAGTAAACTTTTCACTTAATACGACTGACAAGATTGCTAACTGCTGAATACAGCCATTACCAAGAACGGTTTGACCAGGCTAGCAGCTCCCCCCACACCTGATCTGACCAAGTTCAAAACCGAAAAGAAGATCGAAGATGAAGAGATCTTAAAGATCCTCGAGCAGCCTTTGGCCAAGTCTACAGGATCTAAGGGAAAGAAGAACAAGAAGAAGAAGAAGCCCGCCAAGGAGGCTGCGGGTGCAGAGGAAAGCGATGCCGAGTAAAAGAGGCATCGCATTTTGCTGTCCTTTGATTCATGATATGCTGTCGGGGATTTACCAATTTTTGGTGTATCCTCCTCGGAAGGAAGACGCGTTATTAAAATGGTCATCCGTCAATGAAATGACAGCCAATGTTATTGCAGGCTTGGAAATGATGCCGTTGGTTCGGCACAGTAGTCGGTCGCAGCTTAGTAGACTGCGATGCATGAGACAGTACATACCATGCATGCATGACAATAAAAGAATAAAAAAAGAATGAAATCCATTGAAATTTGGTCCATCAGACTCGTTAGTACTACATATAGTTGCGTTTCACCTTGTAACTAAGTGAGAAACGCAAGAATCGTCATATTATATATACATATAGTTCTCATATAAGGTTAGGCCTTTTGTGAAAGCCGAGTGTATGCAACGCAACTCATACTGCCAACCGATTTTTACCTTGGGTTTGAAATGTATTAAATAATCCACGAAAGGAGAGTGGTAGTGTTGTTGTAGTAGTGAGTGTTGGTAGTGGTTCTCTCTATGCCAGGGAATGTCGGCCGATTTTTGCCGCTCGTTTTTCACATCCTCGACCACCGCACCTTACTCAGCCTACAACTTTCCCCTTCAAACGCCCAAGTCGCACTCTCCCCCAAAGAACCAACTCCTCGGTCCTTTGCGTCTGTCTCTTCTTCATTGAACAAATCTATTCATTATTCCGTCTGCCTTTGCCTACAGCGCGTGTCATTCCCAAGCCTACCTAGTCTTTGCCATGCCCCTTAAAAACTCCCATCATCCTTGATTTCCAACTCTCCTGCCGACTTGCTGTCATCGTTCTATCGGCATCTTGTATATTCAAAAAGCCCTGTAAATCTCTACATGTTCTCCAAGACCCTTCGTCACTCTGACAAGACTAATATTTTCCCCGTCCATCTCCTGTCTGACCTTTTTGTCTCCATCTCCTTATCGCCGTTTGTCATCATCTCCAACTCTCACGGCGTATGTGCTACGCTCCCAGCCCCCATCATTCCTCTTTAAACAAACAATTCTCCTCTCAATCTATCAAGACCGGGTGTTTTTTATTTGTTTGAACCCCTCTTAATACATAAAAAGTTATTGTTGCGCTTTCAGTCCGTCGGAGTTCTCTTCCCATTCTCCTTCCAAACCCGCGGCTGGCTTTCTTACCCTTGACTTTCTTCTTCTTTCTTTCTCTCCCTTTCCCCTTTCACGCCACAAACCACCACTTTCATCAAATATTGACCATTCCCAGTGTCGGTGAGTCATATTCCCTCGAGTGTTCGAGTTCACCGAGCATATCTCGTGTATCTGGCGACGGTGCTCTTCTACTTCTTGCCACTACTTTCCCCGCATCCCCTCGGTTCTTCGAGTCTCTGCTGTTCAAGACTTGCAAGCATCCGACTTCTCTACTACTCTAAGCGTGGCAGTCAATCTCTTTTGAGGCCAAGACACGTTTTATCTTTTCTACTTGAGGTACCACTGCAATTTTGGCTATCATATCAGCCTGACCTTTAGGTCTTCTGACGGGTTGAATCGTGACCGTCTACAGGGGTTATCGAAAGAGCAGCGCACAACAGAGATCAACCTCAAATACCAAATTATTGATTAAGCTGGGCCATACAATCAGAGGATTCTCGACCGTCTTTTATTTTTCATCATTTTCTGTCTCCTGGAGTCACTTTTCACAGGAGACAGCAGAACCCCTGAACCCCCCTTGACTTATTGAGATGTTGGAAAGTCCTCATACCTGAACTATCATCATCTATTTCCTGTATCACGACTGGATCTATCCATATTTCTACTATTTTACGCATTCTGCGCTTGCCAGCAAAGAGTGGTCTCGTTTGGGGGCAGTTTTTCTCCTTACATTTTTTCCGGAAAGGGTTCTCTGGGCGAGTTCCCGAAAAAGATCCAACTTTAGTTCCCCGAGCTTCCTCAGTCCTTCCTCCTCCTTCAACCCGGAGGTTACGCGCGGGTACACCACAACCCTACAGCAGAGCCTGGTGCTTTTGCGTCCAGTTTGTGGTCCATTGTACCAGTGAGTATTATTTTCGACCGGCTCTTACTATTTCATACAGTGCTGACAGACAATGCGTGGAGGCGCTCCGCGGTTCTTTCTTAGACCACTTTCTTGCCGCTCGGTTGGCTTTAGACGAAACTGCTGCCACCACCATGGCTCCTCATTTGCGTTCCAGTTCTCGCGCTCCCTCGAATAATTCTCGCCCATCTACTCCTACAGTTACTCTACCACCAGCAGATTACTTCTATGGAGACTCCAATCGACCGCGCAAACAGCGCCGTACCGGCCGCAACTCGCGCGTCGGTGTTGACACTCTAGACGATTCTCGTGAGGCTACTACAGAACCACAGGATGTTTACACGAATAACCTCCCGCGTCCTCTTACGGAAAATGGAGATCAACCAAATCGCCAACCGCAGGTGGTTGGAGCGGATGGGAAAATAAGCATCGACCAGCTCATTGCCGATTCGGACTGGAGTGAGCCTGCCTTGAGGGATGCTCAGCCCAGTTACAAAGACTATACATGGTCCACTGCATGGTTCGGCAATAATCCTGCGCTGTCCACCATGAAACCACTAGGGCAGCTGCCCAACGCAACTGACAAGCGCAAAGCTGGAATCAAGGCGCCCAAGCCGGCAGTCAAGGAGGTCAAAGAAAATAACAAGAAGTTGTCAAAAAAGACCGCTAGCCAAGCAACCAGCACACCTGTAAACGAAGTTGTCACAGACGCATCTGACCCAACATCTTTACGAATGTTCACATCATCTGAACATGATGTTGAGAAGCTACGATCAGTGGTGCAAGCCGCATTGCATGTTGCAGAGGATAAAGGTGACCGTGCAGTATCTCAAGGCCTCCGCGAAATGTGGGCTCAGGGCGCCAACGATCCTTTTGTGCTTTCAATTCTGGATAATGTGATGCGAAAGAACCCAGACGCAGAACAAAAGACTATCTTCAAAACCTATATGCGCGCTGCTTATAAAAAGATACAGTCCAATCTGCCTCCCACCGAACCTACAGAACCAGAACCAATCAGTCGTTCACTCTCTACCAACAGCATTACTTCTGTGTCTTCAGCGAACTTGGCTGATGCAGCAGCAGCTAAGCCTATCATGGCTTCAACTATGATCGAGAATGGATCTGGCGCTATTACTAGAGGACGCAAAAGGGCCCGCAATTCGGAGGTACTTCCCACTCCGAATTCGAATGTGGATGACGCATCTAGTCAAAAAAGATCGATAGGAGAAGTTTACGATGGAGTAGAGGAGACAGAGGATGCAGCAACGGTTGCAAAACGCACTCGCCGTGACAATTTCCCCGTTGTGGCAAAACCAAGTCAAATGAGGTCGTCATTAGGCAGGGAGAGCCCAATGAGCGCCACGGCCCCTAGGACCAGGAACAAAACGTCCAAATCAGCGAACGGGCCAGTCTTGAACAATCATGCTGCGGACGAAGGCCCTGACAATAATGATTTCTGTCGACAATGCCAACGCAGCGGTTCCCTACTTTGTTGCGATGGATGCGTAAATTCCTATCACTTCTCGTGTCTAGATCCTCCTCTGGATCCTGCTCATCCCCCAGAAGGAGAATGGTTCTGCCCATCGTGTCAAATGCGAAACTCATTTGGGTCTCTCGTCAAGAATATCAGGGACGTGGAACATGATTTTCAGCTTCCACTTGGTATACGAGAGTATTACCAAGGCGTGGCAACCGGAAAGGGAGGCGTTTATCAGCAGGTCGTGGCCAACCTTCGACCTGGAACTCACGGTAGGGGTAAACGGGAGGGCAAATCTGAGCAAGAATATCTTACCCGACAATTTGATGCAAAGGGCAAATTGATTGTTTGTATTGCTTGCGGCTTGACCTCGAACGGTGTACGTCCCTTAGTCCAGTGTGACTATTGCCCGTGCTGGTGGCACATTGATTGTACCGACCCGCCGTTACCAGGCCCGCCCAAGCAGCAACAATCTAGCGAAAAGACCTACCATAACTGGATGTGTCCTAACCATATCGACCACGAGCTTTATCTTGTACATACCGATAACGGCTCATACGCTGGCACGTCTCGCATTCGTCGTCCCCGAAACCCACGTGTCATTGATATTGATGTCTTACCTGACGATTCAGAAGTTGAAGAGCTACAGGAGACGGAAACACAAGGGATTGTTTATAGAGTTTCTGAAAGTGGATTGAAGCTCAATTTCCTAGAACGTGTTAAACGAGAAAACCTCGAAGCCGAGGTTCGTGCGTCAGCCGCAGCCCAGTACAGGGATTATGCCTGTCAGAAATTGGACCAACTTGTTGAAAAGGCAACAGCATTCTATGAAAAAGCAGCCGCACCGGAACCTACACCTATTGCTGAAGCACAAGCTTCGATTTTGACTTCACGCTCAGAGGCAGACCGAGAGGCGATTGCCAATTTGGTAGCCTTTGCCACGGAGAATCGTGATGCTCAAGCCATTCCATCTGAAAGAGTTGGCTTTCTTGTTGATGCGTTACTTGCATCTTCGGAAGATGGAGCGCCAAAAGCTTCGAGTGAACTTGACTCTCTTCAAGCGTTGAAAGACTTGATTGAGCGCCGCATGGGAGCACTACAGGCTTCTMAATGAGMAAGCCGATTCTCATAAAAGACGTCAGACATACCGGCGTAATAAACATTCATGTACCATAGGCAGTAAATACTGCATCTTTTGAATCATTTTCTCTGTGACTCATTTGTCTCCAGGTCACCACAACCCATGGAATTCCTCCTCCGGAATTCACGCGGTATCTCATCTATTTTCTTACCACACATATCACAGTCATCATTTTTATCAGCAAAAACTTAAAAAGGCGTCGGGATTCCAGCTTGTTCTCGTGAGTTTCTTTTCTTCTATGCGTTTCTGTTCTTTCCAGGCATCACTGGCATATAAGCCGCTTGTTTTGGTTGTCTTTTTTCTCTTCCTTTGTGTGTTCTCAGTCCTATGCTCAGTCCTCATGGTTGTCTTTTTCTGCGCGCGTATATGCTGTTTTCTTTTTGGGTAGATTCTTTTAACTACCTTACATGCCTCAACTCATGCCTCATCTCATTATCATCTTTTCGAACATTGTATGTCAGCCGATGATTGGAAATGAGAAGGCTCTATCGTTGGATCATTATTCGCTCAATGACTTGCGTAAAACTATAACCAAAATTCATACTGTTGTTATACAAGACGAAATGCTAAACCACCTAGTCACGTAACCAACGAAAACAACCAATTTAAGGAGAAAACTAGATACACCACATTATTGAACATGTTCTTTCCATCATATATCAGTATATATAGTCCCATTTACAGGAACTTCTTTGGCATGCCATTGCGTCGACGCTTGTAGTATACATATGCACCTGCGAGAAGGAGTTGAAAGGCAATCACGACGCAGATGAAGAGACCCATGCGTGGTGTGGTGGCGGTGATCACTACCGATTGTCAGTTGTGCTACGCTGAGTCAAGAGTGAGGTAGACTTACTATTGAAGATTGATGTTTGCAAAGCTTCAGTCAGGCTATGGTGGGAATTTTCAATGGCCTTGTGGAGTCGAGTAAACTCGTTACGGTAGTCTTTTCCTACACTGTCGCGTTGTAGATCCGATAACATGGTCTCGATGCGGCGAAGACGTTCATCCATGGCGTTCAAGCGAGCCTCATTCTGCGATGAAGAATCTGACGACGAAACAACGGAACCAGTTGATATCCTGTTGAGAAGCTCTTGGTGACGTTGATTTATGCTCTGGGAGATTTGAGAGACTTCTTGACTGATTTGTTGAATACGTCCGTTCATATCGTCCAGTGAACCAAGGTTGATATTGTTGCTTGTCGAGCGAGACTCAATCGGTATCTGTTGCTGCTGCTGCATGGTTTGTTCCGTGAATTGAGCAGTAGCCTTAGCACCCGATGTCACGACAAATTTGAAAAGCTCAAAAGAGTCTGGATTATCGGGTGTGGCAGCAGTCACACCAAACTGATTGCCGGCCGGGAGGATGACTTTTGGGGTTTGAAAGCACACCTTATCATCGACTGTGACTTGAAAGAGCGAGCTGGACTGTTCGATCTTTATGACGGACGGACGTCCAAGGTTGCGGTACGCATAGTCACAGTGGCCAAAGGCCAAGCTGTCGACATTGCTATGCTGGTTGTAGGCAATTGTGCCATCATTCAAAAATCCACGAATGCTTCCACCCTAAGACGACTTAGCCGCTTGTATATAGATGTTGAAAGAAATGAGAGATTCTTACCCTGCCTCCGTGGGTGTCGACTGTCAAGACAAATCCATCGAATTGGCCCACTGTGTAGATGCTTGAAGCACCAACACTCCTCTCGCCGTCTTTGACATACCATAATTGGAGGTTGCCGCTTCCTCTTTCCTCACCACTAGCTCTGAACTGGAACTCAGAGGTCCACTCTAATAGAGAGAGACTGCATCAGATTAGACATAGCACATACATAATGAGTAAAAAAGGTATACCTATTTTCAGCCCATATGGAACCTCTTGTGTGTCCGGGATACGGGGGTGTTAGAATAAGTTTGTCCGACAGCTTGACTTGTCAGTTTTTAATTTCATGTTCTTATACACAAAGAACGTACTATTTGCGGCTCGTGGCCTTCGCCCTTGATTCTCCAACCCGGAAGACTTTCTCCACTTGGAGAAAACCTGGATTTGGGCATCAGCAAGTGTGCGGCAGCAAATGGCGAGAACTAACTTACCTTGAGTCATGTCCAAAACTCAGTGTGTCAATAATAGATTGTGCGCCGACCGTGGTCAAGAACGCAAGAGCAAAAGAGTACTTCATTCTCCCTGACAATTTTTAGATCTTGTCTCACGCGACTCGTTGCCGGAGTTGGGCAATAATATTCAATTGTCAAAATGAAGTCGTGTGGATCGGGCGAACGGTTAGGATTTTAACAGAGTGATAGTCTATGAGGAATCCTTCTTCTTTCGATTCGTCACTGAAGAGACAATGCTAGTAGCTACCCAGCCAGCTACAAGCACAATAACGCAGATGCGAACCTCCCTGAAAAGCGAGACGACAGCTGATGAGGACTCGATGCGGTGGACTACCTCGATATTCAACGGGGCAAGAGTATGACGAACAGCAACGTCCGACATATCCATAGGAAGGGAGAGAAAGCTTGAGATGTTCAAAGGATGTTGAGTTGTTGACGTCCAAAAAGTATCGGCCCGTCAGCCAATCAGCTTCTTGACAGCTTGGCCTCTGCTCTGCGGGAAGCCGCCAGGGGAGCTCCGGTCACGTGCTCCGGCTTCCAATTTACTTTTGGGCGGCTTCTGTCGTCTTACAGCTCCCATTGTACTTACGATAAATCAAGCTTTCGTTGCGTCGTGTTGACCTTCTCATCGCGCGATGTGCAATTGACACAATGCCTGATTTCTATCCCTCGTTAGCGCAAACCGCCCTGGTGGCGGCGGCGTTCAAGGTGCTTCTGTTTCCTGCATAGTATGCACTTCTCCGCGCCCCCCGGATTTTTCTGAATACTTAGTTTGACATCGCAAGCAGCAAATCTACCGACTTTGAGGTTCACCGTAACTGGCTTGCAATCACTCATTCTCTCCCGGTACAAGAATGGTATTATGAGGTACGATCGGGAACATCCCCGAGGACAGCAACCCCCCCGCCTAACCTGTTCTACGACAGAAAACATCGGAATGGACCCTCGATTMCCCGCCGTTCTTCGCTGCGTTCGAATGGTCTCTGTCGCAAATTGCAAAATACACCGACCCCGCAATGCTGGTTGTGAATAACCTCAACTATGACTCATGGCAAACCATCTACTTTCAACGTGCCACCGTTATCTTTACCGAGTTGGTATTGGCATTTGCCTTAAACCAGTCAGTGCTCCTTGCCCATATCACAGGAAAATAGAGAGTTAACATACACGATAATAGATATGTCAAGTCCGTTCCGAGCTCTAGCAAAAATCTTGCGCATATCGCAAGCCTCTCGATCCTCCTCTCGCCGGGCCTGCTTATTATCGACCATATTCACTTCCAATACAACGGGTTCCTTTACGGAATTTTGATCCTGTCCATGGTATGGGCAAGAAAGCAACCAACAATGCTTTACAGCGCAATTGCGTTCGCGGCGCTATTGTGTCTGAAGCACATCTACCTGTACCTCTCGCTAGCCTGGTTCGTCTACCTCTTGAGAGTCTACTGTCTGGACCCGAAGTCCGTGCTGCGCCCTCGTTTCGGAAATACGATCAAGTTGGGAATCGCCGTTATAGCTGTCTTCGGACTCGCATTTGGTCCATTTGCCTACTGGAATCAGCTGTTTCAGTTAAAAGATCGACTGTTCCCATTCTCTCGCGGGTTGACTCACGCCTACTGGGCTCCCAACATTTGGGCGTTGTACGCATTTGCAGACCGTCTTTTAATTCCACGTACGAACTCCTCCGCTCAATGAATGACCTTGAAATGAGATTAACAAGGTTTAGTTGCTCCACGGCTGGGTCTGCCTGTCGACTACGAAGCCGTACTGAGCGTGACTCGTGGTTTAGTGGGAGATACCTCATTTGCGGTTTTGCCAGAAGTCACAAAGGAACAAACATTTGCTCTTACATTCATATTCCAGCTGGTATGTTGCGACGCGCCGACATATACTTGTGTTCTTTATCTAATTGTTTTAGCTATGTCTTGTCAAACTTTGGGTGCGACCTACATGGGATACTTTCGTCGGGGCGGTCACTCTTTGTGGTTATGCCTCTTTTCTGTTTGGCTGGCATGTGCACGAGAAGGCCATCCTCCTCGTCATCATTCCCTTCAGTCTGATTGCACTCAAGGATCGACGATACCTCGGTGCATTTCGACCGTTGGCAGTTGCCGGACACGTCTCTCTCTTCCCTCTTCTTTTCAMCGCGACCGAGTTCCCGATCAAAACCGCCTATACAATCTTCTGGCTCATTTTATTCCTCTTTGTATTTGATCGAGTGGCACCCGTTCCGGAGCGACCTCGAGTGTTTCTCTTTGATCGATTTTCATTTCTGTACATTACTGTTAGTATCCCGCTGATACTGTATTGCTCGCTCTTCCACCAGATTGTCTTTGGTCTGAACCGATACGAGTTTGTGCCACTCATGTTCATGAGTGCATACTCGGCGGTGGGCATTGTAGGCAGCTGGCTCGGCTTTATGGTGGTGTATTTTACTAGCTAGGCAGATAGATGATACCCATGTGCATGCTCTGATTGATGAATGACTGATCTAGTATTTCTCCAAGGACAGTATGCAGTCGACTACTATGCGTGGGAGGTTCCGCCAATGATGAGTGCCCGATCCACCGGGACCCGCCTCTAACCCTAAGAGGACTAGACGGGTGGCCCCATAGCGCATCGTCCAGCGTTCCGTCAAATCTTTCAATTTTCAGACGAAGCCCACAACACGTCGACACGTCTCGGTGCCAGGCTACCCTGAGGCCGCTGGACGACGAGAAAAATAAGCATGGTATTGACCTATAGTGCAGTTATTTTTACAACGAGTTGATAGCGATGGATACATGTGCGACCGCTGGCGCGTAGACGTCTGCCCTGAATTAGGGTTTCGTCGAACGTTGGGCAGAGAAGTCAGATGACGATTTCTTTGTCAATTACAATAATCAGATGAGGGGCACAATGGCTATCTTCAGTCAGCGATGAAGATGAGTCTGCGATCATGTAAACGGTTTGAGTACCTCTTCGTCCGTTGTCTCTGAAGGGGGTAAGCCATAGCGTAGCTAATGCTTACAATGATGACAGCTTGCAAGCCCTCTAACGACACGCGACGACCACCACGCTTGGATATTCATGAAATGTCCTAGCTGAGGCTTTCTCGTTTGTCTTCCAGGGCTAATACGATGAGTGACCGTCCGTAGAAGGACGCCTCGAGCTCTGACAGCCCCTGACAAGATACTTACTCAAATAGGAAATAAATGCACTCAACGCTCAAAGAGGAAATATAAGTACAAGAGATGCTCAGGTACTCTCTAGCCATATTTAAGACATTGCATGCGAAGAGGTGAACAAGCAAGTAGTAAGCGTTTGGTCATTTCCTTGGTAGTAGATCCAGTGCAACTGTAAAGTCCTAAATGCCGACGCGGAGGGGGCTGATGGGGAAATTTCTGATAGAGCTACTGCATGTTACTACAGAAGATCAAACTCAGTAGTATGTCTGATTCTCCGGTTCTCCAATTCTTGACGATTCGAAAGAGGGTAAATACATTGGCGAGCATGGTGTCCGTGAGCACAGCAACCGGCCAAACAAATAATGGGGGAAGTGTAGCCAAACAGAGAAAAAGGCGCGGGACCGGTTCCCCGGCGCGTGTTAGTGCGCTCATCCTCGCCCGCAACTACTTCTCCTCGTCTGGCCCAATGAGCGGCGCCCGGGAGGGTCTGTACGTAGTTTCCTTCTTGGCCTCCACCCACGCCCTCAGCTTCCTTCCTAATGGGCGCTTTTTTCTTCCTCTCTTCTTCCCTCCTCCTCCTCGACCTCCCTCAACAAAACAACACCTCCTTTATCACCATCATCAACAACCACCACCATTCCATCTAGCCCTACTTTCAATCTCCACAAAGCTATCGATGCGCATGCGCCCCGCTCGCTTCAAGAACGCGTTGACTCCGGCCTCGTCCACCCTCTACCTAGCTTCCACCGATTCCGTGTCGCCGCCGAACCACAACGCGCTTTTCCAGTAACCACCATAGCTTCCTCGACTGCTTTGTATACTCATTGGCTCCACGTTTTTCGAACGCGTGCGGGAAGCAACAACTGTACGTCGAAACTTCAATCCGGGTACATCCATGTGGAATAACCTCTGTTGCGCTACGAAGCACACACTCGAGTAGACAAAAACCCTAACATCCGGATGTTATAGAACCGCAATCGGAGATCTTTTTTGACTACGCCGTTACATCCAATCTATGTCGGGGGATTGTTGTTGCCTCCGGCGATAAACCACCATGGTGCGAATCGATTAGCCTCCATCAGCCGAACAGCTAATAACCAGCTTTCCAGGTGTTATTCAAGAGGAAACCCGTCCAATACCTTCCCCGGCCCACGATCGAAGATGATAGCTCAGAGGTACGAGTGTCACCTTGTTGGAAATACCGGAAAATGTCAGCCATACTGATCAAGTCGGTCTTTAGGTCTGGGTCATCCCCGAGACCAACGAGGTCTTCATCAACTATGAATCCTTCCTGCATAGGATGGACTTTTACAAACAAAGGAGGTTTATTTGCGAGATAACCGGTCATTCGGGGTTAACATTTTTCGAGGCGCTTCAGAGTGAAGTACGCATACGACTTTCAACCTGTACCTCTTGCTGGACGGATTCTAACAATTCGTGTAGGCGACAGAGTCTCGAGAGCTCAATAGCGCTTTTCCGGATGCTTTGAAGGAGCCTATATTGAGGAGAGTACAATTCTCAACTGTTTCAAGAGTTGATCATCTCGGTACATTACCTACTTATTCAATTCATGATTTTTTAGCTAACTGGCGCTTTGCAAACAGTCGATGAAATTTTTGAAGTATGCCTCGACTAGTCGGTTACTCGGATTCAAAGCTAATACATTCTAGGAATTCAAGCAAGACTTTTACCCCGGAGAGCATGTCACCACGGTTTTGGAGGATAACACCCGTCTGCACGGCATCATTCGAGACAAGATGAGCATTCCGAGACAGTACTATCCGGACGGAGGCGTGAAGTCGGAGGCATATGCACGGTATTTGATCAGAATCGACCGCTCGCACGAAGAAGCCCTCCTTGATCAGGATCATATCACCCGTGACCGAAAGACCTTCTCCAAACAAATGCTGCGTGCTTTCATCAAGAACAACACCACTCGTGAATCATGGAGCGGTGCCCCATGGCTAGTCAAACCAACTATTGCAGAGGAGTATAAGATTGAGACCGAAGTTCCCAAGCATCTCCAATACGGTGCTCGTGTCGCTGAAAAGAAGGCTATGAAGAAGGCGGACCAGGAAGGGCATTTTGGATTCTTTTCCTCAAAGAAACTGCCCGAGCTCAAACCGGCCACCGGCAACGTCCCGAAAGTCAAGCTTACTCCCCAAGAGCTGGCGCGGAATAAAGCCGAACAATTCTTGGAGTACCAACGCTCACTAAATGGTGACCCGTCTTTCCTGGTTACGAAGCAGAACGGCATGACGGTAACCCGTCATATCAAAGATCTAGAGGTCGATAAGAAAATACCAATTCCACCCACAGTCGTCATCAACACGGCACCTCCTCCACCTCCTCCTCAAGCTCCGAAGTACCCAATGGAAGATTTGGAAATCAAGTATGATCCCGAGCGAAGAACTCGTCCGAAGTTGAGTTTTGGGGTCGATTCTCTTGCAGTTATCTCGGACGACAGCAATATGTTACAGAACGAGATCAAGCCCGAATCAGTCAGCCACTTCCTCGAGACTTGGAATACATTGAATGTGTATTGCGAAGTTTTTCAATTGGATTCGTTTACTTTCGATGATTTCGTTGAAGCCATGCGGTTTTCCTCGGAAGAAGCAACCTGTGAACTGTTCGTTGAGGTCCATTGTGCAGTCCTGAAAAAGCTTGTCAACGCCGCCAACGACGACGGGGCAATCCAAGTTTCGTTGCCTGACTTACCACATGATTCTTCTGATGAATCAGGATCCGAAGAAGAAGAAGAGGAAGAAGAGCCAACTCCTGAACCAGAGCCAATCGTCACTCGAATGACGACAAGAAGTAGCCTGGCTAAAGCCGAAGCTGCTAATTTACAATCACAGCTTGAGACGAGTAATGGGGCAGATCTAGGACAACCTCTGGTGCATCGGGCTGCATCGTTGTTCGAGAAGTACGATTGGATCGACAAATTGCGGAAACGCGATTTTCGCCACGGTGGATGGGAGTTGATCATGGCCGGGCTTTTCAATCAATTATCTGTGCGACCGAAGATGCAAGCGATCTGTGAAGAAATATTGAAACATCTTACACCTGTCGACATCGACCCAACACAGGAAAGTGTTAGTCAGCAATACCTGACTCTCGATGTCAACCTTCGCATCCGTGCACTACAGATTATCTGCATGCTTAGCCTGGAAACCAAGGCGATTAGAAACTACCTGGAGGAATGTAGCAATCAGATGACAGAGTTTCGTAAGGAGAAGATTGAGCACCAACGAGCTCGGAAATTACTGTGAGTGCATGAGAATCAAACTAGGTGACCTAGGCTAATATATTGTGGCTTTTTAGACAAGAGGAACTAAAAAAGCTTAATGTCGAGAGGAAAGAGCACGAGCCCGAGCCGGAAAAGGAAGAGAAAGAAAAGGAAACCGACAAATCCGGGAAGGAGAAGGTATTGGAGGACGAGAATCAAGACTCTATGCTAACTACGAAATCCGAGGATGATGTTGACACCGATGAAATTATGGATACGGAGGACGATAATCCCCGTGGTCCATCACTTCGTGGAGGAATGGACCGCATTCTCGAGCGCAAACGACGACGAGAAGTCGAGAAAGAACGAAGGGAACAGTTGGCGAAGCAGCCAAAGGGATCTAAGCAATACCAAAGAATATTGAAGAAGATTGACGAAGTGGAGACCAAGATCGCAGGATTAGAAGATGAGATTGCGGTGATCGATAACGACTTGCGCGAGGCAGATTGTCCAAGAACAAGATGTTTGGGCAAAGATCGCTTTTGCAATCGGTATTGGTGGTTTGAGCGTAACGGTATGCCCTATGAAGGTCTACCGAACAGCTCCACTGCCCATGCAAAGTACGCAAATGGTCGATTGTGGGTTCAAGGACCTGACGATATGGAACGCGATGGGTTTTTGGAACTGCCGGAAAGTATCAAGAAGATATATGTCAAAGAGCATCGCGTCAGTCCAGCTGAGCGCAAAACTCGTGAGGAGGGAGGGACAAGTCTGCCGGATGCTCTACACTGGGCATTTTATGATGAACCTGGTCAGGTGGAAGAGCTGATCAAGTGGCTTGATCCACGAGGTTTCCGGGAGGTGAAGTTGAAGAAGGAGCTTACAAATCAGAAAAAGATTATTGAGAAGCACATGGAAAACCGCCGAGAATATCTGACACACACCGCAGACAGAGCAGAATCCGAAGACATCCCGGCCAAGCGTATGTCTACTAGGACTAAGACCTACGTTGACGACGGAAAACACCGATGCCTCAAATGGAAGAACACGACAGCGCTGAATGAAAACGGACACCTTCACGTCGACGCAGCTCGGCCTACGAAGCGTGCCAAGAGAGCCACAGATGAGCCCAAAGAACTGAAGGCGGCTGGTAAACAGGCGAAGCCTTTAAGTCGCCAAAACTCACGCTACAAGTCGTGAGGCTGGGAGCGAACATTTCTTCATGTATCATACCTGGATTTGCGGCCATATGGGCGGTTTTTAAGTTATTGAGGTTTGTTGCAGGAGTTGGAGATTTCTATTGGGCTTATACATCATTGGACACATGCATACAATCTGGCGCATGAGCAGCTGCAATTGAGCAGAATCGATCTTATAGACGTCTCCCGAAGGTGTTGGGTTGGCATGTTATTGCATCTGTGCGGGCTTGATACTGGAGTTTGGCTGGGAAGTTGGCTCGCGATGAGTAGAGCGTTGATGGTACTATTAATATTTGAAATAAAGACACACTCACTATCACCATCTACACAAAATCAAGGATAGGAACGTGGTAAATCATTCACACTTCCGTAAGCGGAAATATTGCGCATAATGGCAGCGCAATGCCAAGACTTGCCGCGTCTTTCCGCAGTGGCTCTCCCTCTCGGCACTGACGGGCCACGGCTAAGGCTCAGAGTTTACCGGCGGAATGGCAACTCGAGAAAGCCCGACTTGCCTCTCAACGGTCATTTCTACCCCGGATCTCGAATTGGACCACATCGTGGTTGTCCCTGGCACAGAAGATTATTACATCTGGCATATATCAAAACGCATATATCAGAGCCAAGCCTATCGTGGTCGCCACAAGCGCTGTAGCTAAGCCGAGTCCAGGCGTTTCTGATAGCCGAATAAAGCCTTCTTCCGAAAGACATCATCGTCACCGCGCCACTCCACAGACACCATTCTGTGCACCCCGACACACAGACAAGCAGAATAACCGTGTGAATACCTCTTTAGACCATGTGCAACTCACTCCACTCTTATAGTTCGATGATCACTTTGCGCAAATAAGAATCACACCAGGGAATAAGTGTTCACGACCGTCGGATACAGTCATGGAGGTATCCCGACAGGCCTCCTCGCTGCGCTCGTCCGGGATGGCCAAGAATTCAGAAGACACCACAGCACCGACTGCGGCAGATAGACTCAGATCAAAAGAACGAGCGAATGACAGCACAATAAATGATGTCAAAGCAGTCGATAAGCGCAGCCTCGACTATGTTTTGCGGAGTGGTCTGGCAGGAGGATTAGCGGGATGTGCTGTAGGTTTAATATGTCTCTTTCTGAACTGATCAGTGTGCTAATCCAGATCGTGATAACTAGGCCAAGACAGTCGTTGCTCCCCTTGATAGAGTCAAGATCCTCTTCCAAGCGTCAAATCCACAGTTTGCAAAATACTCCGGCAGCTGGTCAGGTCTGGTCCTAGCGATGCGCGATATACACAAATACGAGGGTTCCCGGGGTCTTTACAAAGGACATTCAGCAACATTATTACGAATATTTCCGTACGCCGCCATCAAATTTCTAGCATATGAGCAAATCAGAGCGGTCATCATTTCATCCAGGGATAAAGAAACGCCGTTTCGCCGTCTGATATCCGGAAGTTTGGCCGGTGTGACATCGGTGTTCTTTACATACCCATTAGAGGTTGTACGTGTGCGCATGGCATTCGAAACAAAGCGAAATGCGCGCTCGTCCTACTCCGCAATCTGTAAACAAATATACCATGAACAGGCCTCTTCGCGACCAGTGGCTGCAAGTACCGGTGCCAACCAATCAGCCGCAATGGCTACCGCTCAAACCGTCTCAACATCCATCGACGCCGTCACGCCGCGGTCTGGCCTTGCCAACTTCTATCGCGGATTTGCTGCTACCATTCTCGGCATGATCCCATATGCTGGAATATCATTCTTGACGCACGATACTGTTGGGGATGTACTGCGTCTTCCAGCTCTTGCTCCGTATACTACGATACCTAACTCAGACGCCCCTAGCAAATCGAAGAAACAACAGGGCAAACGTCGCCTGCAATTGACTGCATCTGCTGAGCTATTCTCCGGCGCTGTAGCAGGCCTCATGTCACAGACATCAGCATACCCACTTGAAGTAATTCGTCGACGAATGCAGGTCGGTGGTGCGACGGGCGATGGCCGTCGACTAAATATTGCTGATACAGCCCGCAAGATCTTCTTGGAAAGAGGCTTCCGAGGGTTCTGGGTCGGTCTAACTATTGGATATCTCAAGATCGTGCCTATGAGTGCCACAAGCTTCTTTGTCTACGAGAGGATGAAGTGGTATCTTGGTATATGAGATCGATCTTGAATGTTTAGTGCATGTTTGTATTTTTTTGCTCAACAACGTTCTCATGCCCAATCGACAGCGCATTCAGCCGTAAGTTGCATAAATTTGCAAGACGCTTCGACAACGCCGAGACCACTGGCCACCAAGGACGTGCAGAAAACGAGCGAGGGCCAGTCCATAATGCAGCGGTATATCTCCGCGAGCGCCAGATTTCAGAGACTACGGCCTCTACATGATCACTCCAGGAGTGAGTGGATCTTCTCATTTTCGACGAGAAGATAGTAGATATGATACCCCATCTCAATCAATAGAATATGATTCTGAATGCATGATCCTGTACACAATGCATATATCTACGAAATAGAATTTTGTAATATAAGTCGTCTACAAACACAAAGATCTTCAAATTTTTACGCTTCGAACTAGTGTGTCTGGTAAAGTGAGCAGTATGGCGTCTTAGTATAGCATATTATATATTAACTAACAAGTAATATCAGAGATAACTCGTTCAACACCAGGCTTGTCTGCTTAGAAAATCTTCCCAAGAACTCTCTTCGCATCTGCCCCAATAGTACCAATATCTTCATCCTCTTTCCTCAGCTTGACTTCATTCTGCCTAAATACCCGACGAATCTGCAAATCATCTGCAGCACTCGCATCATTATCACCATCATTGGCTTTCGCCTTCTTTTTCTCTTCTCTCTTCTTCCGAATCCCCTCCACAACTTTGCCCTTCTCAACGCCAGAGAGAAATACTTTATCTTCCTTGCGAGCACGCATATCTTCGATACGCTGTCGAGCTTCGCGCTCAGATCGTTCTCGTTGTACTTGCTCCATCAGATCTGCCCATTTGAAGCCCCTATCACATCTCAAATTAGCATATTCACAAACCTTGAACTCGTCGAAATACGTACCGTAGATACTTCATATTCCAGATATCATCATGATACCAGCCCCCCTTCTTCCCACCAACAATATTCGCATTGAGTGTCTCCGCGCATATCTTCGCCGTCTTCTTCGACTCAAACTCCACCCATCCATCGGAGTATGTTTTGCGCTTATTATTGCGTCTCCCGCTTCCACTCGTCGAATGTACAGCAGGAGTCAAGAAAACTTTCGTAATAGGTCCAAACCCGCGCTGAATAAGTAGCGTTTTGAGGGCCATTGGTTTCAAATATGGTGGTAAAGAGGAGAGGTATACGACGCCCGTTTTGTTCTTTTTGGGTGGCTTGACTTTGAGTGGTTTTTTGAGCAATTTTTCGTTATGTGTCTTTGAGGATCCTTTCTCATGATTATCGTCATCGTCGTCGTGCACCGATTTTTCTTGCTCGTCAGCGCTTGCTTCAAGATCATTGTCATCGTCTTCCAAATCCGAGAGATTGTTATCGCTATCTAGAATTTTCCGTCGTTTCGAGGCGCGAGTTTTCGATTCCTCTGCAGCTTCGGAGTCGTAGCCATTATCGCTCTGATCGTTGTCACTCTCGTCGATATCGAGGAACTCGTTCCGCTTTCGAGAAGCCATTTTAATTATTCAACTTATTGTTGTCCTTTGAATTGCTGTTGGTGCAATGGCGAGTGGCAGAGAAAGTTATTTTTCGGGGTAATTTATCACCGCTTTTTTCTGCCGGCATTTCTATTTGCATTTGACGGAGGCTGGCCAATTATCAAAAGGCGGTAGACAAGGTGTATTTTGAACTCTACAAGAATATTGGAAGCTACGTTGCAATCATCAAAAGCACTCGAAAATCAATTGAAGGTATCAAGTCAGTATGTACTTTTATATGTACTTTCCATGAAATGAACGCGAAACGCCAAACACCTTGATATCTAACCACAAATGCACATTTAGTCCATTCATTTCTTCATGATATCCGTTTTTGGTTGCCAGAAATTTATTCCGCGTCGTCCATATTCAGCTCGTCGAACTCGTCCAACAATTCCTCCATGTTGATCTTCGGTGCCTCATCCTCGCTGCTGTCATCAGCCATCTCATCCTGCTCCTCGACAACATCCATTTTCTCAGGCCGGCGGTTTTCGTTCTTAGCCTTGTACAGTGACAATGTGCTCCGGAGCTCCTGATCTTCCTCAATATCACGCAAGAACATCTCGAAATCGGCCTCCAAGCGATCTGCGTCTTGTTTGCGTGCGGGCTCCTCCTCTTCGTAGTTCATACGCTTGAGTTTCCAGTTGCGTGACTTGGGCTTCTTCTTGCGAGCATAGTATTTCCTGACCAGTACAACGTCCGGTATCATAGAGCCGTATTGACTGCTTTCATGGATAGCGTCGAAATTGGGGTCATTGAAATTCGACCCAGTCAAGTGGTAGCCCATTACAGAGTCACCAACGTGAAGGATACCACCCAGATGTGTTCTTGTGAAGTAAGTGTTGTCATTCACGCCCATCTCTGAAGCGCGCGCGACCGTGATCTCGGCCAAGAAGAAGCGTCCCTTTGACTCGCCCACGGGCTCGATATCCATAACGACAAACTCAACGAGTTCCTGCACGTCGGCCAAGTTCTTGAAAGGCTGTCTCCAGTATACGGGTGCTGGGACTTCAGCTGTTTGCAATGTATGGGGATCAAGGAGACTGATTGAGGTGCCAACTCGGAAACACAACGTCAACGGATTGATGTTTCCCAGTGACCTGGCGAGTTTGATCGGAAGGGCAACGAGATCATCTTTACAGATGGGTATCAACTCGACGGAATATGTGATTTTATATTGTCGTACCGAGGTATGAATATCCATGGAAATAAGCTCCTGGGACTTTTTGATGCGAACGGGTGTCACAGACTGTAGGAAATCTGTCATTTTCTCGGCGTGGTTTCTCTGTGAGAAAAAAAAGTCCAAGCCGTCTTTTGCTTCTTTTATGTTGATTGTGTCTCGATGGGCGTTGTGTTTGAGCATTAACTGTTCGAGGTAGAGGAAGCTTCGCTTATGTGGAACTTTCTGACGGATTTGGACACCTAAACAGAGAGCAGTCAGCACGAAAGGCTCCTACAGACACGACGTAGGGCAGCACTTACAAGCTCTCCAAGAATGGTGGGTGAATGATTTGGCGCAGTCAGGACACTGCTGTGTAGACACCACGTATTCAACCTCGAAAGTCTGCTGGAGAATCGTGCCTTGGAATGCCTCCTGTTGTATTGTAATCTTGACCTTTATACGTCGCGAGTGCGGTTCGGTCCAAATGAAACTGGCGTCGATAATTCGGACTCTGGACAAGCCCCGGAGTTTTCGAAGACACAGTGCAAGTAACTCTCGCGACTCGAGTGCGGCACTAACCCAGGTGTTTGGTGGTTGGAGCCATCGCTATTGAGATGTAAGTATGTTGTATAAAGTGGCTGTATTCCCGAACCAACCTCGCAATCACGACAGAAATGAAGAGCTGATTCACGTTGAATATCTTGGCTGATATCGACAGTAAGTTTTATACAATCGTGGCATAATGCGCCTAATCAATGTTAGCCCCTCATATCATAGATCATCTCATTAGGAAAACATACCAGCTGATGCAGTGCCATCTATCGGAGCGCCACAGTTGCAACATAGAATACTAGGAGAAAAGTCAGCAAAAATCGTACGTCGAGCAATGTCTGATACTCACGTTGCTTCTGGTTGCTGCTGAGCATTATAATCCGTAATCGGGACACCGGGGTCAAGATCCATCGACATTTTGAGGAAGCCTTAGACGAATATATTGTTTGATGGAGAAGAAAAGCGAGGATCTCGCCTGACCTGATGAAAAAAGTAGCAGACTGCTAGTAATTAATCATCACATATCGCGGGCAGATAAGTTTTGCCCCGCCGAGGAACAAAATTTGTGGCAGCGATAAATGTTTGCAGTGTTTGCATCAGTCGATTACCCATCGGTAGTTTGCACTGTTTGCTCACCTCTTCAAGCCAAATTGACGGCTGTTCATCTTCGGGCTCGTTTCTTAATCACAGTGGCTACATCAAACGACCAAAATGGCTGCTGCTTTGATACGGAGCGCACGATGTCATGCATGTCGCCATGGCGTGCTCCAGTCATTCGTGCGAGTCTCTGGTTTTACCTTTAGTCAGACTCCACGATTGTCAGCCGAGCTGCAAAGAAGACGATTCTTCTCTACTCCGTACCTAAAAGTCGAATCAGCAAATCACCCTTCGTCCGATCGAGATATCGTGACTGAACTACATCATGACGTACCAGTCCCAGACGAAGCCACGAACTCATCCCAACATGTGCCGTGGTATTTGCAGGTCGAACCAGTCATTGAAACAACCCATCCGCTAGCCAGAAAGCAGCAGATTCCGGATGTTCCTGAAAACGCGCCCCCTATTACACGAGAAATACTGCAACACCTCTTACTCGAGATCGGCTTGGATGACATGGTTCTACTAGATCTACGAGGAAGAGATCCCCCGCCAGCTTTGGGAGGCAATGTGATCATGGTCATTGGATCTGCCCGAGGTGTGAAACATTTGAACGTTTCGGCAGATCGATTCTGTCGATGGTTGAGATCTACATACAAGCTCCGACCGTATGCAGATGGCTTGCTTGGACGCAACGAACTGAAGATCAAGCTTCGACGCAAAGCTCGCCGTGCTCGTCTTGCAAGCAGTGCTGGGACCACCGCGGATACATCAGACGATGGAATCACCACAGGCTGGATATGTGTAAATGTCGGCAGTGTGGATGATCCAAGTATTATCCAAAATATGAGAGAAGGGGGGTTTGAAGGATTCGGCAAAGTTCAGGGAGGTACAAGGATCGTTGTCCAAATGTTCACAGAGGAGAAGAGAGCCGATGTCGATTTGGAAGCACTCTGGACCCCMAAGGAAGACGCCAAGGGCCAAGCCGAGGGAACCCGTTCAGATTTGGTTGAAGAAGATTACCAGGTGCGTTTACAGTCTTCGACGGCTACCGAACACTTATCTAACGAACCGACCTCCAACATATTCAGGTCACCACCTCGTATCGATCTTAGCCAAAGACGAAACTTCTCCACCAGCGTGAGACTCAACTCAGTTAATACAGATGGCAACCTAGGATCCAACTACGATTTCCCAGATGTTGGAGATGAATCAGATGAACAGGATGGCGAACTCTCTTCCATTCTGCAAAATCTCAATCGGCTGCCATTGCAAGAAAAAATAGAACAACTAGGAAGCGGTCCGGAAGATACGAATTCAACCGAGCTTCTACGAGAATGCTATTCCTTTGCGGGGAATGATCCAGACCGAAAATCTACCCTTCGTTTGATGCTCGGTGCAGCAGCGGTATCTGCTCAGCATCCAGATTACACAAAAGAATATTTGTGGACGCTTTTTTTGGAGCACACTGCCTCCGGGTATAAAATCAGTGAGCCACTAGCATTCGAGGTAGCATCAGCTTTTCTCGTTCCGCGTTTGGAGGGTCAGGAACAGAAGAGAACAATCTCAGAGCTGGTGGATTTTGATATCGAATCCGCAATGCGTGTGATGGATAACCTATCACTTAACGGAGCGTCTATAATTATGAAACATCGCGTTTATAACATGATGTACAGAGCTTTGGTACTCAGCTTGGCCGACGAGAAAGCTGTGAACGTCCAGCTCAAGGCTTTGCGAATACGCACTTTGATGAGTGAAATTGATTTGGAATGGCATGGTACAGACACCCGGGAGACCATGCAGCTCAGACTGTTACTGGGCGACGTAGAGGGTTTCTACGAAATTTGGCATGCGATCGCTTTCAATGAAGGCTCAAGAACAGCTGACGATTATGAAGTACTGTTCCGGGTCCACGCCGAGGCTGGACATGCGGTCAATGCGCGAGAATGTTTGGCTGTTTGGATCTCGATGATGGAAAGAGAGATCCCTCGAATTAAACCTAACGCTGGTTTGATCTCTGCTATTGCAAGATGTGCGCATGTTGCAGGCCAACATGCCAATACATTCCGTCTAGCATCGGTTTCACGGGAGTGGGAGGAGGTAGAGCCGTTGATTCTAGAGGAGATGAAAGCACTCGAGGAGTTGTCTTGATTGTATATTATTCTGTATACTTTTATAGCACTGTACATTAATTCAAATATAGCGACACCGTTTTCCGTGATCTTGACATGACATGCGGTCCCGAATTCCAGAAATACAAATAGGGTTAGGGTTTGTGACACGACCGAAAGTGTCTCCCCTCTTGAACCTCGGCTCGCCCGACGTCACGTCTAAACAGTCTACCCGACTTACTAACATCTTTTACCTTCTGTGTTTCATGCAACTCCTGAACAAAACTCTGGTCTTTGCTTATCACTACAGTATAATTTACTGTCGTCATTCTCGCAGTCTGATATTCGAGGATGTGAGGCGAATCAACGGCCACTGACCCTTATCCGCAAACATGGAATACGCTTCCAGCGTACAGAATGAATTGGACGATTTGAAGCCCTCGCTCTTTGGTACGTCGCAATTTCAGTACGATACGGGATTGAATATATACTGACGTTCTTAAAGAGCTTCTCGCTGAGGAACAGCTCTCTTCGCTCCTTCCCCCATCAATCCGTTACCTTTTAGCAGTCGCAACCCACCGACATCCTCGGTATCTTCTACGGATTCTCAACAACTTTGATGAGCTCTACGCGCTGTTATCACTGATAGTAGAGCGTTACTACCTCCGTACCTTCGGCGGCTCATTCACCGAAAATTTCTACTCCCTCAAGCGCGAACGTGTTCTCTTCACAGAGAATGGCGAGGTACCTCGAGCGCAGATCGGTGCTGCGACAGCAGTTCGAGAAACCCTCAGACTGCGGACGTCTGATGTCTGGAAGAATCTAGCTATTATGGTTGGGCTGCCATATCTTAAACGAAAACTCGATGAAAGCTACGACATCCATGTTGTGCCGCAATCGTCTTCTCTGCTCGGTGGGCCGAGATACAATCGTCACAACGATTTACCACCCAATGCGACACTCAAACAGCGCATGATGTTTTATTATAAATGGTTTCTACGAAACATATATCCGTCCGTGAACGCGGCGTACTACTTCTCCATACTGGCATTCAACCTTGCCTATCTCTTCGACAACACGAAATATTCTTCACCATTTCTATGGCTGATAGGAACCCGCATTCGTCGCCTAGGACCAGCCGACCACCGTGCCATCGCAATGACTATGCAACCTAAAGCCGGTGGTAATAACGCTCGCCAACGTCCCGGGTCAGGTCTGTTAGGCCTCCTGAGCCCCCAAAACATATACCCCCAGCTTCTACAATCATTGCGATTTTTCCTTCCAGCATCAATATTCGCTCTCAAATTCCTCGAGTGGTGGCACGCAAGCGACTTTTCGCGACAGCTAGCCCGCAAAGTCACCGAGACCCTTGATCTACCAGCTCCAGTCGTAACTGGTATGGTGGATCCTTCACTAAAGAAGAACGCCACGGCAAATACAACATCTCCATCCCCGAATTTAAAACCAGCCATCAAAACTTCTCCATCCCGCCGTCAGCCACCAATATCATCGACATCATATCTCCCCATCTTCACAGTCCCTATTCCGGCTCCAGATTCAAATAATGCAGGCGCATGCCCTGTGTGTCTCAACCCGCTCACAAATCCTACCGCATGCCAAACCGGATATGTGTTCTGCTATGGTTGCGTTTTTCGATGGTTGAATGGCGACCATGAACGACAAATAAATTTTATGAATGGAGTAGACGGAGGCGCGGCTTGGGATACTCATGATGATGAAGTGGACGACGAAGATAAGCGTCAAAATAATGGAAAAGATAAACCGGAGAATAATACTTCTGCAGACTCGAACAAGAGTCGAGAAGGGAAGTGGGAGAGTGGCAAGGGCAGATGTCCTGTAACGGGACGGAGGGTTCTGGGTGGTACGGATTGTCTGAGGAGAGTCTTAGTTTAGGCTAGATATCGATGCTCATATGGATATAACATATATAATATGTATAGAATAGTGAAGCAGAATTGAAAAGAAGCTTCCACTCGTTATATACGCTGTTTGTAACAATGTGCACCACCGTTTTGTATTGTCACATAAGATGCATGTCACCTAGGTAGGAACAATGTAGGGTGTGCTGTCGTTGAAAATCAAGTATGGCTTCTCCTCCGCAAGCTTGAGAATGGTCTGCGAAAACAACGAGTTGGCCCATGCGAACCACGGTCTTGTGTAGTCAGTGATGTTGTTGACATTGATGGATTCGTGAATAAGTCCTAGACGACTCGAGTTAACCACGAGGTTGATGCACTCCATGATCTCGGTGTCGTTGTCTGTTGTCTGGGCTTGAACGAGAAGCGACATTGGCCATGCAGTTGTTAGCCCCGCTGTAGACATATGATTAGCTCCCCAGATCATTCAACAAAAGGAAAGAAATACTCACCATGAGGACCACCGATGCCATGGAAGGCTGATCCGCTCAAATAATAAGGATTGCCATCGGCGCTCAGAACCATTTTGCGAGTATTCTGATACGTTTCATCGTCCACATCCAGAAAGCCTAAGTAAGGAAGGGCCAGCAAAGAGGGAATGTTGGCATCGTCCATCACGTTGCGTCCTCCGTATCCGTCAACCTCAAACGCAAATACTTTCCCATATGTTGGGTGCTCAAAAACTCCTTGGTTCAAAACAGCCTTGCGAAGGTTTGTTGATCGCGTACGCAAGTCTTGGATGAGTGTTTTATTTCCACCAATTGCTTCAAGAGTATCGGCAGTTCTTCCCAATTGCACCGACATCATGGCGTTGGCAGGAACGAAATACCCAAAAATAGTTGCATCGTCACTCGGGCGGAAGGCACTACGGATTAAACCGACGTTTCTATTCAGTGGATTTCCTTCGCCGGTGAGACTGAGGGTCTCCGTTCCCAAGGTAGTCTGTCGCTGCCATGTGTAAACATTGGTGACAAATTGCCCGTTGCTGTCGAATGTGGGTTGTGCTTCCTTGTCGAGTGTCTGTAGAACGGTGTCTAACGCTGTGTACCATCGGTCTGATAGATACTCAGTTGACCCAGTCGCATTGTAAAACTGGTTTCCGAGCGAGAGGAATGCTGCCAGTGAGTCAAGTTCATATTTGCACTCGTAGACGAATGTGCGGTCATAGTCGGGAGTAACAGTGTCAATTTCTGTATTGTTGGTCGCGGCAAGACCGCTTGGAGATGGCGGCTGGAATGCTCCACAGAATGGGTAGTTGATGATAAATTCGGACTGGGTGTTTATAGCACCAAGAATTAGCTGATAGAGGGCTGCATCGGACTTTGCTAGAGTCTGGTAATTCATGACTTGGTTCACACTATCACGCAGCCACTCTGCGTCAATGTCGCCAGTGATGATGAATGACTGAGCTCCCGGCCATGTCGCGTTAGAAGCACGTTTTTGCACGGAGTCTGAAGAGGCATTGACATGCCATGCAACTGTGGTATCCAATGTGTTTGGCAGCGCATTGGTAAACAACATAGCCAGGTCCGGGTCCACGAGCCGCGAAGTCACGTCAGTAATGACCTTTTCTACGGATTCAGACACGAATGTCCGACACTCTTCCGTTGGACGTTGGAAAGGAAGGTGGAGTGGTCCATCGCTGTACGGAGCGCTATACAATTTCGTCAATGTTTTGTTTTGTCAGACCGAGGCGTCATTTGAGGGAATCTTACTGCGGAGATTGGGAGTAATCGGTGTAATCAGGACAGTCTCGACGCGTCAGAGCCGATTTATGCTGTAAGGCTGCAGCTTCTGCTCCGGGGATGACAGAGAGTGCAATCACGGCCACTATGGCCGGTGTCATAGTTGATGCCACCATGTTGTTTATAGCGTGTCGAGCAAGGAACTGAAGCTGATTACGAAGAACCCAGAACAATGAGCAACTGGCAGAGCCAATGTCCGGTATTAGGCGTACTGGTGGGTGGACTATCAAGAAAGGACCCAACAGCAGCGATCAGCACTTTAAATAAGATGGAGAGGAAAATCACTGGGCATCCCACGCGAACACAACCCTGGAGCTGTGGTACGACACTGGCATTCCGAAGGCCGAGCTAAAGCGGGATGAAAGCTGGGGTATGGAGCATTGGTAGGATCGTCGTTGTATATCGTCGAAGGCGCACTAGTAGATATTGAAAGCGCCACAGCAGCGGGGAGGAAGCGTTAGTGGCTGGGAGTGGTAATTCTGACGATGCTAAAGAATCAAGCCTTTGTTGATTTGTTTACTTGGGGGTTCTAAGGGCAACTATGCCGAAACGGGGGCCTAGTCGGCCTGAGGCTCCCCCGCGTCTGACGTCGGGGGAAAGAAGCTACAGAAGGAAGGAGCGCACCCGGGACATAAGAAGGACAGAGGGAAGGAAGGACTGTTGCAGATCATCCTGCGCCGATGCAACCTCACGCTCCAACTTCCAACATTTCCTTCCGCTATACAACCCCGCTTACACTATTCGGACTTTAGAGCGCAACAATTGACGATACTATCTTGACATTCAACTATATCGACTCATTTCTTGGAAAAGAACGACATGATATTCCCCTGTCCCGCCTTCTTCCCCGCTGCACTAACCGCAGGTTTCTTCTTTGGCGGTGGCGCTGGTTCATCTTCCGAGAAAGACTCCCACGCTGGCTCCTCGACCGTGACTAAGAACGTTTGCGTTAGCCAATAGCCTATATCGATTGAGACTCAGATTCTTACCAAGATATCCCTCGTCATCCTTGACCGTCTTCTTCTTCATGATCTTCCTCTTGCCTCTGCGTCGCCCGCCTTGGACGGTCACTGTTTCCTTGGGATCCGGCTCCGACCCCGGCTCCTTCTGCGCCTCTGTCTGCTGAGAACTTTCGGCTGCAGATTCGACGAACGTTTCGGTGGCATCAGGCATGTCTTCATCTAGTAGGCATTAGCAACCGCCGGTCTTCGGCTCCAAGCTAACATACCATCGTCATCCTCCATCATTTGCTTTAATTTCGCTTCACGCTCTTTTCGCGATTCTCGATTCGACATGGCTTTGCTCTCTTTGCTGTCTGAGAATGGGTCCTCTGCTTCTGCGTCTTCGGCGTCGTCGTCATCATCGAACATGCCTATTTCAGGTTAGAATTGAAGCTATAACTTCTTAGAAGAGATCTCACTTTTCTGTGGGACACTCTCGATTGTCTGAGAGTGGATATTAGCGGCAGCCAATGTAAGTTGATTATCTTCAAGAGTATTTACCGATTTTACGCTGGAAGCAGCCGAGTCCTCCTTTTTCAATTTCGGCTTGGCGTTTGCAAAAGAAGAGAAGAGATCACCCTTCCTACGGGCGGGTGCCTTTTCCGTTGTTTTGGTCTGTGTCTTTTGCTGTGACGACTCTCTTGACAAATCTTCAGGCTCAGCTTTAGGCTGCGCAACTTCTTTCTTTGGGACATCCTTCTTAGCTGCTTCAGCCTTGGGAGGAGCTGGCACGACTACAGGTACAGGCGGCTTGCCTAACTTTCTCCGTTTGACGTTCTGATTCTGAATCATGCCCCATTGCTTGCCTAGCTCTAGAGGATCCTCACTGCCGAATGATGTGAGAATCTCCCGGTTAACGTCAACCAGGGCGTTCAGATCCGGAAGGTCGTCCGACTGCAGGCTGTAAACGTGTATCATTGAAATAGACTCAAATGTAGCTTTGGCATCTGCAAAATCATATTCAACTCTGAAACTTTTTGATATCTGCATAGGTACTCACCATCTAAATCTTCTTCTCTCGCTAAAACAAAAACTTTAGTGCGCGTAGAAGCTTCTTTCTCCTCTGGCTGAGGCATGGAGCTCATATACGGGCTACTTCTCATGACTGTATCTTCTCCATCCTTGGTCCCTCCATTTGCAGCTGGGAATTTCTGCGTCGCTTGAACCCCACTGATCAGATAAGACGCGGATATACTGTTGGGCTTCTTTCCATTTTCTGTTTTATGAAAGTCAAACAACATCCTATATTTATCAGCAACTGAAGTTCTTTTGCTTTCAAATGAAAGTCAACTGACTGCTTTGCGAGATCGCTGTGGACTTTCAAAGCTCGACTGAGGAGTCGATACGTAACCTGGGCCTATGTTAGTATCTTCGAAGATTGCATGAATATTGATCATACATACCACACGGCGCTCATTAAGCACATTTTCAGCCAGATATCTTCTATAATCTACCGCCATTTGCTTTCTGATGTTGTGGTCGATGATTCTTGATAGATAGTTGAGTAAAGGCAGGAGCGGAGGAGACGCGTGCCGGGCCACTTAACGCGTCGCAAATCGGAGCTAGTTCTTGGCACGCTTATTGCGGTCTCTCTCGGCCTTCTTGCTCAACGCCAGACTGTCTGTTGTGACTGATTTCTTTTCTAATCAGTTTTTAGACTGACATACAGATGAACCGCGATAATGGACCGACCCTTTGATATACCAGACTCCACGGACTGGCTAAACTCCTCCCTCCCCGTCGTTGCGCCACTCGAATCCGCACTGCGATGTCAAATCTGCAAAGACTTCTTCAACAACCCCGTTATCACGTCGTGCTCGCATACGTTCTGCTCTATTTGCATTCGAAGATGTCTTAGTAGCGAAGGGAAATGTCCGGCCTGCAGGAGTTCCGACCAGCTGCTGAAATTGAGGCGCAACTGGGCCGTTCAAGAAATTCTGGAAAGCTTCCAAAATGCTCGATCGAATATTCTTGCTCTCGCACGACAGCCTCAGACATCAAACTCAACGGAAGAAAACCAAGAGGAAAATGGTGAACTGTCACATCCGGTGACTAAGAAACGGCGACTGAACCAATCCGACGATACTGCTACCGTTTCTGCGCAGCCTGAGATGAGAAGGACAAGATCGCATGGAAGACAGATTGAGCGACAAGTTTCGCCGATGGAGCCTGAGGTTATCGAAGATAGCAAGGATGAGGACTTTGTCCCAGGTAATTGTCATTTTCGCATCTTGCTAGGAGCATGCTGACACTATCTGCAGATGATGGCTTGGTACCTTGCCCAATGTGCAATCGTCGGATGAAAGAAGCATCCGTCTTCAACCATTTAGATAACTGTAAAGGGCCTGTAAAAGGAAGCGCCGCAGGCTCTCAAAATCCTTATTCCCGGTATGCTGTTCAAGAGCCCGATAGATGGGATTTGGACTAATACTCAACAGAACGCCGCAACACCCATTCCGAACCCTACAAAACAAAAGTCCCGCCAAACCATTAGAGCGTCTTCCAACACTGAACTATTCTCTTCTAAAAGACAATATGCTACGCAAAAAACTCAAAGACTTAGGCATCCCGGACTGGGGCACGCGGCCTCTGTTACAAAGACGTCACACTGAATGGATGAATTTATGGAATGCCAATTGTGACGCCAAGAATCCAAAGACGAAGGACGAACTCCGTCGAGATTTAGATATCTGGGAGAGGACACAGGGAGGTGCTGCGCCGCAGTCTGGAGTACCATCGGGACCAAATGCGGTGATGGCGAAGACTTTTGATGCGGCTGCTTGGTCTGCGAATCACGACGACGACTTTAGGCGATTAATTGAGAACGCGAGGAAAAAGAAGGATATGGCCAAGCAACAGTCGCAAGACCAGGAAAATGCCAAGGACAGTCTGTCGTCAAGTCAACAAGATAAAAATGTGCCGGCGAGTACAGTCAATGAACCAAATAACGAGCCATCTGCTAGTCCGGAGAAACCTGAGCTGGCAGGAAATCCGCGGCGAACATCTCAGTTATATGCACTTCTTAACGAAACACCAGTTGGCCATACTCCAGGCGGAAGCAACGACTATCTCCCCAGATGATCCGATGTTGAGATCCTCCCAAGAGGAAATAGTTGATACCACTTTGTCGTATTTCATATGAGTTTCACACTGCATGGCGGGAGTAATGACTGTCTCGCAAGATGATATGATATTGATGCCCTCCATGAGAGGAAAGAGTTGATACCACTTTCGTCGTATTTGATTAAAAATACACTGTACATAAGTTTCGGATAGGGACTTGCCGTCTCCAAGCATAAATTTATTATTCCTTCGCATTGCTACTCTGCAGGCATAGGTTGTTTGGTTTCTAGTTTCTCTTCTCTCTCGGTCGCCTTCAAGTCATTCAACGACATGGTCGAAAGCTGACCAATACTCTTTGCCAATTCTGAGTCGATATCCTCCATTGTTTCTGCAGCTTTCGACTCTTCTGCCAATCTGGCAGCCTCCTGCGCAGCTTGTTCGTGGGCTTCCAGCTGCGCCAATCTCTGTCGTGTAGCCTTGGCTTCTGCCTCCTCTCTTTCGCGTAGTTCTTTGGTCTCGAGTGCATCCAGTTCACCGTCGATTTCGCCTTCGTCAATGACAGGACCAGCCTCATTGATGATATTGCCAACTTCGTCAACCTTGGACATCTCCTCCCGCAGATTCTCAACGACATCCCCGACTGTTTCGATGCCACCCATCTGCGCATGTAGATTGCGAAGAACGCCCGTGCTAGCTTGCATAATGCGCACAATCTCAATCTGATCTGCTGACTGCTCGATCTTATTGTATACTTCTTCTAGCTGGTGCAGTGTATTGGCGCGCTGGGTAAGGTTGTGTTCGGCGATCTTTTTATTCTTGATGGCCGAAAGGGCGGATATTCGATTTCTGTTGGCGAGTGCTTTTTTTGCACTGTAATTCAGTTCATTAATTTTCTGTTCAAGCCGGGATACTTGTTCGGTTAGGGTTGAGATGAGGTCCCTCATATGGGCTATAGTTGTATCTTCGGGAGTGATTGGGGATTTGTCATTGCCAGTGTGGAATTTGACCGTCTATCAAGAAGTATTAGTAGATTGTTCTTCTGATTGTCGTATTACTTTGAAAACTGCTTACCTTTCCATCATAAGATATGGCGTTGATATCTCGTGAAAGGTAAATTAATAGTGCCTGCATGTCATTATCGGAAAGCTCGGTGTCGTCTCCTAGTACAGTACTGAAAGTATCTGTAAATCTTTCTTTGGAGTATATCCTGTCCAAAGCCGAGGCTTTCTGACCACCTTGCACGTGCAGTACTTGTTTGGCAGCCTCCTATATCGGCCCATGAATATCAGGTCTACGAACGTCAAAACAAAACTCAAAATGGTGTGTGCATACCTTGAGGTTATCCACAAGCACTAATATCTGAGTGCGAATCTTTCCAGAACCATTTTCCGTCCCAACCACAAGTCCCCTGAGCTGTCTCAAGCTCCAATTCATGACGCTCCAAGGGCTCAGCACTCCGGGATCGAGGACCCGCCACCGACTGGTCGACAAGCTAAAGTTATTTGACTTGTAGACTTCTAAAGGAATCATATTCCGTTTCTGAATTGCCTCGTCCTAAGTGATATTGTTAGTGGAATTAACCCTAGCATTAGGAAATTTAAAACAATCTGGCCGTACAAAAACACTGGCCAAAGCCACTGGCCTGCCCCATTCTGGAGACTTCAACCTGTGTAGAAGATTCTCGTCTACAACCAGGACTAGATGATCGCGTTTTTTCGTTGGGAAATTATGGGCTGTGACGTGGCCAGTACGCGCCGCGTTCGTAAGAGCCTTTTCCCAAGCCACAACATTCACAGCGTATCCATCCGGGTTTGTATTTTTCTGTAGGGCAAAGTCTGAGTATAAGGATGGTAATCGGTTCCTAGCATTCGATGTAAATTAGCATGGGTTTAACAACATGAGAGTGATCTTGCATACTTTCTGAAAGCATCTTCATGCGACAAGATAAATCCCAGGAGGTCGCTCATGACGACACCGACCTGATTCGCGGTGCCGACCACAGAAGGAATCGCGAGCTAGAATAGTCAAATAAACCAGGGAAATAAAAGGAAATAAAGATTACTACATGCGTCGCAGGGGCTCAACGCAGTTCTCTATTCAAAAGTGGTCATGGTGGCAGAACGGAAGATTGTTGTTGGGGCTGCATGTGCTACAGCAACCTTATCGATAGCTAAGATAAGCCGCGATATCAAGCAGCCCCACGTGATTGTTACGTACTATGTTGGTATCTTTCTTCATTTGTTTCCTTCAACACATGCTAACTGCAATTGAAGACGCCGCATTCTTCATACACCTCGTCAGACTTCTCAACTTCCTCCCCGATGGTTTGCAATGCATCTCGGCATCTCTGAACAAAAGATACGATGCGACCGCCGTGTCTGTAATGACCTGAAAAGACTGGATCCGTTCTCCAGGCTTGCATGGCGTCTCATCTGCAATCACCTAAACTAGTCTAGAGCAGAGCTGTCATTCTATTCCCATTTTGAACTCTGGAGAAATTTCTCCAGTTTGTAGATACATGCGCTCCGAAACGGCGCCCTAGTAATTTATATGGGGTAAGGATAACACACTCCCCACTGATGACTACTTCCAGAGACCCAGTGAAATGTGCGAAAAGAGATACATGTATATCTATAATTCATCCAGCCCGTGATCTATCTACAATCGTGGTATATGGGCTCGTATGACGCCTGCTATCCCTCTTTTCATTCAAAATCATCATCAAGCGGGTTGGAGTTGTTTCCGTCGTGTGGCATGGAGCTAAGAGGAGCAGCATCAAGAGGACCGGTATTCATTATTAATGATTTGCGATTCGTTCGGTGGTCCAGCTTTTCACTAGTCTCTTCTGTTCCCAATTCTTGATCAATCATCATTTCATCGGCGGTATTGACGCCCTTTGCCTCAAGATATTCAAGCTTGACAGCTCGCTGTAGATTTTCAATGAACGTCCGCATCTCAGGCATAGGGACAATGCCGTCTTTATCGTATAGTTCTGCATATAGACCATCTGCGTCCTCTAAACAAACGGAGGCGAGTGCAGGTTTACCAAGTCTCAGCCAACTGTCAGTGGCAAGTACACTCCACATAGCTGCTTTTCTGTGTCGCGCTCCCCATTTGGCACCACCAGTCGTTGTCTTTGAAGCGTAACAAGCCGAGACGCGTTCAGTTAGAAGTGCTTGCCCAATTGGGCCAGTGAGGCCCAACTCTATGGCACGCATTGCCCATTTTGCCGCACCTTCAGTAGCAGAACCACCTCTGGACTTCAGCAGCTCAAGAGCAAGTCCAAGGCAGCGCAGAGTGCTGACCGTGTCGGAACACCTAGTGAGATAGGAGTAACATGCTGTGTCAATCATCTGGTCAACTCCCTCGAGTTTACTTCTTGCAGCAGATGTCAGAGGATTGAGCAGTGTGCTCATTGCATACATTTCATGAGCACCAGCGTGATATTTCCAAGCCTTATCATTCGCGTAATCCGAACGGATCAAGTCATATGTAGATGCAGCAAGCTTATAGTCCCGTAACATAAAGGCAAAGTCTGCAAGCTTTCGAAGGACAGCCTCCGGCGCATCATGTTTGTAGAAGCCATGTAGTGTATTATAATTTCCCGTCATGCCCGAGGATGTACCGGAAGAGGTCGATTTTGAGCTGGAGCCAAAGCCAGTCCATCTCCTGGACATTGACATGAACCTTCCGCTGATTCCTCTCCGCTTTGATGCCACTTGGTCGTTCCAGAGTGCAACTTTATTTTCCATAAAGGGTATGACAGACTGAACAACAAGTTCACGCACCAGAGAATTTATGGCCGATATGTCGCTCTCAGAAAGATAATGAACACCAGTCCCGAAATCTATCAATGCGTCTATGGAAAGTGTCAGCGCGGCAGGGTCAATCGAAGTCATAATTCCTACTATTTTCGTTCAAGCTTGAAAGATCCTCATCGGGGGACAGCCATTCGCATGACGGTACTTCAAGACTATCGTCATCAGTGACCACGCATTGATCACTTCGCAATCTGAGAAGGTGGCAATGTAGACCGAAATGGCGTTTCATCTGATCGTAAAGCTTGGTGGATTCTGCGATATCGCTTCGGTCTTCATCGTGCACCAAGACATAGTATCGGAGAAATTCAGGATGCACATAGGGGGCCGGCGCTGTATCTCCTTGGGTTGTTTGGGCATATAACTGTCGGAGTGACTCGAGGGGAGCCTTATTATGCGAACTGATAGCGATCACGCAGGCTACCGGATGTAAGAATGTTTCATGGGGTGTGGGTTGGTCTATAGATAGGGTTCGGCGTAGAAGCAATTGGTACAAAGGAGATGCAAGATATTTGTTCGTAAGCGGTACCTGACTGTGTCGTGACAATCTGTTCGCTGAATCGTCCGTAGAATCGAGCCGTCGTTGCAGTACCTCTTCAAGCTGTACTAATGGCGATGTGGGAGTAGCATGACTTCCGCTGTCACCGCGTGGTGTTAGATTCACAAAGCGAACACCATAATCTTCCCAGGTACGGCTCATTCCAGTACTATCCCTAATGACGACCTTTCCAGTGATGTTCTCGCCGAAGGGTCTAAGAACTTCTCTCAATCCATTCTTGAATCCCTTTTGTCTTATTAAATCCTCTGTATCGTCTGAAGCGAATACACCGACCGCGGGAGAAAAGGATCGTATTATTAGAGACCTTGTATTATCAGAGCTGTCTGGCAGACTGCCGAGTGGTGAACCCAGCGATAACCGGTGGGGGAGAGAAGCGGAGCTTGAAAGTCGGTTGCTGGGAGAGGAAGAGCGAGACTGAGATCCGCTTCTGGGAGGAAATGGGGCTCGGGGCGAGCCTATGATCGAATGATCTCGTATCTCTGAGCTGAGCGGCCGAGAAGAGCTCTGCACGGAGTCTGCATCGTATCTCGACTTTGGCACGGCGATAGGGGCTCCTGAGAAGGATGGCGGAGGCTTGACCGGTGCTGCATCTTCTGGTGATGTCATGGGCGCAGGTAGGAGTCCCTTAACGCTGCGGAAGTATTATAAGCGGACAGGAATCGCTTCATCTATGCATTGGCGAGAGTAGAAAGACTGATTGCGCAAACATGGGGAGCTGAAGATGTGAAATGGGGGAGGATGTTGGATGGGGTTGAGCGAGGAGGAGGTTTGCGGGAAGGAAGTTGCCCTGGTCAGCCGTCATCAAATTATCTTGCCGACCGAGCTCCAAGATCAGCACCTTTAAACAACTTTGTCACCTCTTTCACTCAATTGTTCTGCCACTCTCCTCCTAGATACACCTCGTCTATTAAAGAAATCATCACTATCACTTTCAACGCCGTATACCACGCTCGAAATCTTCTATTCGACAACTACCGTGCCTACTACATTTTTTCCACTGACTCATTCGGTTGCCTACCTGCGGAGCTTCGATCTTTATGGAAAGCTACAGTAACGAGTGATTACCTATAGAGGGCAACGCTGAACGAGAACAACTGGACAGAGGAGTGAGTCACAGTAGTCACCGCGAACGACAACCTTTTCGTGACTTGCTTGAACGAAGAACGCCCGAGAACCATTCTCCACGCAATGCCCGCTTGATCCTTATGCTGAACGCTCGTTTGCGCGCATGGAGTCCTAGGATTTGCTCTCACTTCCGGATCGACTATCATAACTTGTCATTGACTTGTAGTTCGAGGTTGGCCGCATATGGCAGACCTTTTGATCGCGAGTCTTCCTCTTTAACAGGCCCACTGCACATCTCTTCTATGCCAACACACAAACGGAAAAATCCGAATTCGGATGGTGGATACAAGCTTCGACGAATTAAGTTCACACAGGTGCAGCCAGGCAAGATGGAAAGAACGCAAATGAGACGGCGGTCTCTACCGACAATCAAACTTACACCGCTCGAGGAAACCATACAGAGACTTTTGCTGGACTTGAAAGGATACATAGAGACAAAGGAGCAATCTGATAGCCATGCGGCGCAAGAAGAAATGGTACTGCGGTTCACAGGTGGCTGGGTACGAGACAAGTTGCTGGGTGCTGAAAGTCACGATATCGATGTCGCAATCAGTACAATGACCGGCCTGCAATTCGGAACATACCTCCAGGAATATCTGGACGAACCCGAGAACCTGGAAAAATACATGAACAACAAGGAGCTTGCATTTACCGACGAGATGCTAAAAGTCCACACGATCAAAGCAAACCCGGAAAAATCCAAGCATCTCGAGACTGTGACCACAAGATTGTTCGGTCTGGATATTGATCTGGTTAATTTGCGAAAGGAAACATACACCGAGCTCAGTCGAAATCCACAGGTGGAATTCGGTACAGCTGAAGAAGATGCTCTGCGTCGAGACGCCACTGTCAACGCGTTGTTTTACAACTTGAACACGTCCATGCTAGAGGATTTTACTGGATTGGGACTCGATGATATGGAGAAAAAAGTGATCAGAACTCCACTTGAGCCATATCAAACTTTCAAGGATGATCCCCTGCGAGTGCTTCGGCTGATTCGATTTGCAAGTAGACTGGGATATCACATTGATGGGAAAACTCAGGAAGCTATGCAGGATGAAGAGATCAAGAAGGCATTTGAACTGAAGATTAGCAAGGAACGTGTGGGTATCGAAGTGGAAAAAACCCTCCGAGGTAGGTTTTTTTAAAGCGAAGTAGGGACATTCGCGATTAGCAGTACTGATTTCTCATCTAGGGCCGGACCCCAGAATTGGCCTGAAGTACATAGATGACCTTGGGCTTTATGCTACTATCTTTGCGAACCAACACGATGATGTTGAAGCGCCAACGAGTTCATGGTCTCTAGCCTATGACGCCCTCGACCGACTAATCAGCCCGATTTACAGACTAGACGAGATGCAGCAAATCAAGCACATTAAACAAGTCCTTATTCGAGATGACGAAGATAAGAATGAGCAATTCTATGCTTGGGTTATGGCTGCGTTTGTCCCCTGGGTCACCGTTCCTGCTCGCAAGCCAGGCCCGAAAAAAGAGAAGCCGCCTATTATAGCAAGGGCGGCTGAAGTTGCCCGGGACAATCTTCGTATGGAGAATAAAGTAGTCAATGCCTTGAAGGACGCAACGGACTTCTACAAAGACGTCAGCTCTTTGAAATCATCGGTGATTCTGAACGACATCCCTGGCACAGCTGCCGAGGTTAGACAACATGTTGGGCTCCAAATCAGATCCTGGAAAAAAGATTGGAGATTGATCGTCTTGATGGCCTTGCTACAGGAGATTGCGGCGGGKTTCGAATCGCGGAAAGGTTTGTTAATACATTACTTAGCCATAAATGACACCACTGACTTTGTGCCAGTTTTCCAAGAATTCGATGCTTTCCTCACATATCTTGAGAACGAAGATCTTCTTGAAGTGAGCGAGCTCAGGCCGATTGCGAATGGCAAGGAGATTTCCGCTGCGTTTGGACTTCCCAACGGAAAATGGCTTGCTTCAGCTCTGGAGATGCTGATTAGTTGGCAGCTTCTTCATCCTAAAAGTTTCGATAAAGAGGAGGCGCTGGAAGTGCTAAAAAGTCGTAGGGCGGAGTTGGGCATATAATACACATAGATACCTTGCAGTACTGGCAAGTCATATAGCATTATACTGGCGGTACTTTTTTCACATTTACCTAGACGACTTATGGTTGGGATTTCTTCAATCATCGATGGATGTATATACTATGTAGACGGTATTTGACCAATCGAAAAGTGTGTTATACAAGCGCTAGTCCTAATCAAGTAAAGATACTCAGAGTTGATGCCTCAGGCTGTAAGGCAACAAACAGGGCATCTACCAGGCATATCGGACGGAGATTTTGATTTGCATTCAGTCCGTCACATAAACACACCTCCACAAGCATATGGCCGGGTACTTGGTCATTCTTCAGGTCTTTATACTTTGAGTATGACCGGCTCCTTTGACATCCTACTTACGACTAACTCATTTGAGACTACGATCCTGTTGGAGGGCAAGTCGCTCAGATGGAGCATCTCCGTGTGGCTGCGAGAAAATCCATTCAAGTCGGAAGTCTGAATGGACCTGTCACACTGGACGAAGATACGAGCCATGTCTCTGAATTGATTAGCCTGTATGCTTTATGGGCGGACGTGTCTGCACACATTACCCACGAATCATACGATTCTGTGGTATGCATGACCGTGGACTCGGCTTATATAAATATTCAATTATACTAACTTGCTGTACCAGGTAAAAGAGAACTTACTGGTAATTCGATATGTCCTAGAAACACATCCTCGAGAGACACCTTTGAAAGAAGAAGACAAGAACTCAGCCGAGGCAATTTACGCCTGGCTGGCTCAGTTATCTTTGCCATCATCCAAATTCGCTGCATCTCTAGAGGCAAGCTATTCAGCTGGGAGTAAGATGTGAAATCTCAAAGAAACCTTTCAAAACCTAATATGGACACAGAAAATGATGACTGTAAGCTTCCGGCTACCCTCAGAGACCAGCAAACCACATATACCCTTGCCATCTCATGCATCAAACATCTCAACGGCATACTTCCAATACTGGAAGTCACGAATTCAGAAAGAATTCTCACAACTCTTTTGAGTTTCACTTCACCGCATGACCCCTGGACGACGAATACAAGTCTTCAAGACGCTGTGACAATTCTCCGATCATACATGGAATCGGAAACACGTCTCAAATGCTGGCATATCCTAGAACGTATTTGTGAGTCAAGAATAAGACCAATATTCGCCAAAACCAAAAATCCTGCTATAACGGCCAGTGGTCGTAAGAATCTTCATCCACTACCGCAACCAAGGTTTGATGAGAGTCTTTTTGATCCAAAGACCAAGCCCTGGAAGCACAAGGACGTTTACGCGACGACTGTCTTGGAGTGGATACTCGCACAATACACCGTAAGTTTTTCTTATATTATGCTGCATGATATCAAATTAATAGCAGTGCAGACTTCAGATATCAACCGCTTAGAGAACCAATTCCACTTCTATGTTCCACCGATACTGTCTCTAATTGATGACGAGAGTTCATCTTTCAAATATCGCGGCTGCAATCTTCTGACTAAGTTTCTCACACCAGTTAGAGCAAGTGACTCTGATCTTCTCAAACGTACAAACTTATCCTCGGTGTTCGACGACGCAATCACCCCATGTCTCCTTTCTCTACCGACCATAACCCCTGAAGACGAGGCACTGCATCTTCTTGGAGTAGCATACCCTGCTCTATTACTGACACTAAAAACTCGCTATCATGTTGAGGGAGATTCAAAACTTCGTCAAACTGCGACCGAACAAGATGATAAGAAAGCATACATAGGCCGCCTCGTAACTCTTCTACGCGACAACGTCATTTCATCATTCCACCACGTCAGCTCATACTCCCCAGCCTCCGCGAATGAAGAGGTCTCGTCTCTCGCATCTTTCCCCTATCCAGGTCTATCAGCATTCCTACTCGACCAGTTGACGACAATCATCCAGGAACTCGGTATCCATACCACAAAATACCTGCAAGAAATCGTCCCGGTGGTTTATAGTACATTGTCAAACCCGTTCGGCACAGCATTTGTACCGTTACTTCTTGCCGGTCTTGCGAGCACACAAGCTGCCATAATGAATGCGCATCCACGCATATGGCGGTATAGAGGAGATCTTTTGGCCGCTATATGTCAATGCTGGATCAGCGTCTCCCGAGATGAGTCTAGCACCAAGGACTCAGAACAGAAATTGCAGTTACGCAAGGTTTTGCTAAAGCTCCAGGGGGCGGTCTATCTATTGAAACTAAGTATGCGGGCGGTACGCTCTACAAAGACAGGAGGTGAGGAGAACTCAGACTTGGTTGAGATGGGGGATGAGGAAATTGTCAACATAGACGACGACGTCAAGGGCCTTGTTGGTGCGGATGAGCAATTGAAGGAACTGCTCCAGATTGATATTGATGTAGACCCGGAGGATAATCAATTCTTCACATGATATCACTTGGTTGCTACTCAATATATTTGTTTGCACTTAGTGAAATTTCAACGTAATTTAGGTATATCAATGCTATGCGAACAACGGGGTATCATTAATCAGATTCTATGGTCGGCAAGCCATCATCAGATGCTATAAGAGCAACGAGCAAATATAGGTATCACGCATCTACCCTTTGTTTGAAGAGACTCTTCCCCTTCAACCACTGCCTGTACCTCTTATACCTTTTCTTATCATAATCCTCAGCCACCACTGTCAATCCTTCATCATTCACGCTGAGAAACTCGACGTAGTCATTCAAGTCTTCTTCGGCAATATACGTGTCTCGCATCCCACCAGTATTAATACCATTAGCCTTATTGACATACTCCAAGAACTCGAGATTGGCGCCTTGTTCTCGCAAGGTCAAAGTGGTTCCGAGATCATCATCCGAAGTGACGACCAAAGGTACTTTGAGCGGATGATTAATGTATCGTTCGTATTCTTCGGCTTCGGCTGAGGTGACAGACGGATTCAGGGAATCTGATACCAGCTGACCAAGAGTCCACTGGGCAATTTGCGCTTTGCTTGGGATGGCCTCTGCCCCGTTATTGCCCACTTGAGTGGAGGATTCGAGTGATGGGAAGCGCGAACTCTGATCTGGAGACGTCTTCATTGCAACACCTTTCATAATGCCCGTTGATGGGGGCATCTTCTCTGCAGATGGTGGTTGATGTTGCCAAGTATGGATATGCTCCATGACGTTAGCCCCGTGAAAGGTTCCACTTGACTGATCGTTTAAAACCTCTGGCTCTTGGATAGTCACTCCCTTTTTCTGATGTGACGATGTCGGTCGCTGTTGAGCAGCTGCACGCTCTCGACTTGCTGGTTCGTGCGGAGGAAGTCTGACAACAAAGGGGCTCAAATCATATCGACCACCTTGGGTGGACCGGAAAGGAAGATATTTCATCGTCGAGTTGAGTCTTAAAGGGTATATCTTTCCGAACGAGGTCACTGATGTTGGACGATAATATTCCACCCAGTAATCATCGTAATATGATAAAGGGTTGTCTTTGGCAGCAACAGGAGGAGGACATTTGGTGTCTTCGTTGCCTCTTTTCAAATATTCTGGTGTGTACCAAGTGATATAATTTGGGCGTCTCAGTTTGGACCACGTACGTGGGTCTGCGTGGTGAAGATAGTAATCTGTAGACAAGTCCCAAAGCATAGGCTGGCCCTGACTAAAGATGTAGTTTCCGAGAAAGAGATTGTACGCCTCTTGCCGTTGAGCATCCAAGAAAGAATTATTGTAATATCTCTTGAAACTCTCGACCATATCGCGGGATTGACTCGTCCATTGATTTGTTTTGCGGTATGTCGCCATCGTGTTGACCAAGTGAGAGCCACCATATTGGATGGCAATGGTGTCTCCATGGTCATGCCACATATTTGTAAACATGTTGACTGCATCAGTATCATACTCGATTTGTGTTCCTTCTATCACTCCGAGGGCATGTAATTGATAGCCTAGTGCCCTTTTGCCAATCACGAATTGAGCGGCATTTGTTCGATCCAAGCAGTCAATGCAATTTGTTCTTACAACACCATCTTGTAGCTGTAGGCCCGATTCCTTGTCATCCCCGTTCTTGAAAAACCCGGTAATGGGGAGAGCGTCAGAAGCAATGTTCTCCAATGTGTCAATGACATTTTGATCACGACTCTTGGAGGCACGGCTCATATCCCAAGCCTTGTATATTATCTTCCTGTCATCTGGTAAAAATTGGTTGAGATAACTTATAGCGTTGGTAAACTCTTTGAGTAGCTTTGATTCTCTTGGAGTTCGCTCCCTCGCTTTGATCAAATTCAGGACGTACACAGGCGCCCCATAGCGTTCGAAAAGATTGTCGAAATGCAAGGCGGCTGCCGAGTAAAAAGGGTCAACAAGGTTGAGTTCGATATCGGGTTTTGGACTGACACCAGTGCTGTCTTGAGTCCAATATAAAGGAATACTTCCACGATGTTGTACATATGAGGTATAACGTGGGTTTGCGTAAAGTTTAGGTCCCGGTGAATGAAAGGAAGTAGTCGTCATTTCTGATACAATCTGCTCGGTCTCGACATCATTGGCGACATAACCTAAGTCATTGGCTCCGCGTTTCAGAAATCGCGCACCAGCAAAAAATCTGGATCGGCGTGCGATGATAGTGATATATACTGATCGTCCATAAACCGAGAGAACCGACTGATCGACGTATCCATGTATGATAGGGAGACACCAATCATAGGCTGATTTGAGATTGGCGACAGCGGGGCTGAGTAAGTGATGGTTCCATACAAACATCGAATTATGATCATATACGGGTGGTTTCTCAGGATCTTCCTGAAGAGATTGACGTTCTCGCGAGATGTTTCGCTGCAGGGTGCGTGTGATATCGTATGAGTTACTAAAGTAGAACGATCGAGATAGGTCGAGATTATTCAATATCCCTATGTAGCGAGCTTCCTCGGGATTTCTTTCGAGCTTCACACGGGACGAAGCGGTTGTTATCAGCGGGATTAGCTCCGTGCCGTCGATTTGATAGATAAAATGACCGCCGATATTGGCCACAGAGCTTCTCTTGGTAACCAGTAACATGTAGTAAGCTGAAGTAAACCGTATGAAACCAAGTAGTGCCCATGCGCTACATCTGAGTTTCAGACCGCCGGAGCTTTTGTTGCCATCCTCGATCGTCTCAAGTAGTTGGTTCATCTCATGCTTGCTGTAGACGATGTCATCTTCCACGAGATTCAGATCATCTGAGTCAGAAGTCCGGTCAATCTTCAGGACTCTATAACGAGTATCGAGCTGGTCAATTCCAACCAAGTAGTATCGTGTGGCTGTTTCGTAGAGCGTGAATTTGTGCATGCGCACGATACCCTCCTCGCCAACTTTCTCATAGAATGATCCCTTGCTCTTTTGCGTACTAGTCACCGGCGACCCCGACCTATTGAACGAGGGAGCCGTTGGTTCTTCGTCAACACCACCACCAACAACATCCGCCAGCCTTTCCTCTGCAGATAGCGCTGGGTTGTAAGATAATTGTGGGAAGGAAGGTTCGGATGCGGCATCGTCTTCGAGTTCGTGGTGTATTCTCGACGAGGCTGGATAGACGTTCGGCAGATCACCGGTGGATTCTGCTGGATAGCCTTTGTCGAGTACAGTGTCCGAGACCGAGGCTCTTAGCTCTTCTGGGGGCGCCAGTGGCTGTTGGGATGTGGGAGCATCGCCAGCAACAGTATGGGCACTGTTGTTGGCTACCCGCAGAGTGTCTTGCAGGCTCTCCATGGCAGACGCTTCCCTGAAGCTGACTAGATTAGATCAAATCATCTTGTCCAGAGCGATGAAATGTTGATGTTGTTCAAGGATGACGTGGGGCGAGTTGGGGAAGCTGCGGGACACTCCAGGCTTGGCAATTTGCGTCAAGTGACCACCCTCGACAATATTTCTAGCTCTCTTAATTATTTATTGCTTCCTTCCTTTTTTCTGTCTTCAAGCTCAAAATATAGCAGAAGTATAACGCTAATATCAGAAAAGGCCTGGCGCGCTCAGCCTTCCAGGAAAAGAACAGACCGACCAGCCGAGGTACATTTGCGATGATGCGACGGCGTGCGGAGGAGCTTAGATGACAAGCTAATCGCCAACCTCCATCAACAAGAACGCATATGAGAGCTATATAAACGAGGAACTGCCCATCGAATTCCTGCAAATTCTGTGTTATCGCCCCTGCTCGGTCTTATCGTTCAGTATTTGTTTATCATAGATTAAAAATGGCACCAACTTTTTATCCAGTGACCGCTCCCTACAGCGAGCCTCTGCTACCGCAACTCGACGTTAAAAATCCCTATTACACCGAGACTCATTACAATCTACGCAAATATGTTCGTGACTACGTAGAGAAAAGTATCATCCCATACGCCCAGGAATGGGAAGAGGCGGGCCTGGTTCCAGAACAAGTGCGCCTCCGTCACTATCAGCTCGGATTCGGCATTGTACACCCCCTTACCAGCCCCGAAGATGCAGCCAATATAGCTCTTCCGGGTGGAGTACTCCGTGAGAAGTGGGATACTTGGTGCTCGCTCATCGTTGCTGACGAACTGACCCGATGTGGATTTGTCGGCGTTGTTTGGGGCTTAGGAGGAGGCAATAACATCGGAGCACCTCCGATTGCACGATTTGGAACACCAGAGCAGAGGCGACGCTGGCTTCCAGGTGTGGCCAGTGGAAGGATTCGGTTTTGTCTTGGAATAACGGAGCCAGAAGGTGAGCTATGTTCTTCTAGTCGCTTGAACCACGGTCTAATGACTTGTAGCCGGATCGGATGTCGCAAGCATCACCACCAGGGCGAAGAGAGAAGGAAACCACTACATCGTCAATGGTGCCAAAAAGTGGATTACCAATGGTATCTGGGCCGATTACTGCACTGCTGCCGTACGTACTGGGGGTCCGGGACGAAAGGGAGTCAGCGTCTTGGTGATTCCTCTCAAAGAGAAAGGCGTGACTCGCAAGCGTATGCATAACTCTGGGGTGAACGCTAGCGGTAGGAATCTATGCTTTCGAGATTTGGCCTCATCTGACAATTGCGCAGGCTCCACTTTCCTTGAGTTTGACGATGTTCGTGTTCCAGCCGATCATATTGTAGGAAAAGAAAATGAGGGTTTCCAAATCATAATGTCGAGTAAGAACACTGCAGCCAGTATTTATTGGAAGCTCTTCTGATTGTTTTTCTATCCAGACTTCAATCCGGAACGCTTGTCACTTTCTTGCGCAGCTCTTCGATTAGCACGAGTCTGTATCGAGGATGCCTTCAACTATGCAGTTCAGCGGGAGACATTTGGAGCACCTCTGATAACTCGGCAAGCAATCCAGTCCAAGATAACCAAATGTGGTATGCTCATTGAGCCCGCTCAATCATTCCTGGAACAGCTGGTATATATCATCGAGACTACCAAAGATCGTCCCGATGCAGTCAACATTGGTGGTATGACCGCATTACTCAAAGTGATGTCGACAAGAGCACTCGAGAAAAGTGTGCGCGAAGCCCAGCAGATCTTCGGAGGGGCTGGTTATAACAAAGGAGGTAAAGGTGCCCGTGTAGAGCAGATTAGTCGCGACGTTCGTGTACATGTTGTGGGAGGAGGTAGTGAGGAAATCATGTTGGGCTTAGCGTTGCAGGAGGAAACCAAAGCTTTGAAGGCACGAGCAAAGGCACAGGCAGCCAAGCTTTGATATTCCCCCTTACAGGACTTCCGAGAGATAGCTACGCTAGCAAACAAAAGACCATTAGTTCGGTGTCATACCAGACCTATCGTAGACAGCTTGAACGAACCATGATTCTTGAAAAATTCTATTCATATCTTCGTCATCATCCCAGAATCTAATCTCGAAGCGATGGCTCATTCTCTATCATACAAACAATCTCCTGCAATGATTTTCGAACATCCTTACAGCTCCACCGCCTATGAGAATCAGGATGAAGCATGCCCTGAATACAAGTAGACAGCGACTCAGCAACGGATATACCATTGACAAGTTTGACTCGACCGCATTCAATCTTATCCTCAAAATCGTGAGGCATCCGGACGGTGCCATCTCGCAATCCGCGACGAGTCAATTCAGACAATACCAACTGTCGTTCCATCTTAGTGCTCAGACGGTAAAGCAGTTCAAATAGTATAACGCCTAGTGCAAACACGTCTAGCTTCTCATCGATTGAGTATTGGCTCGAGTCCAAATTTGAAGCAGAACCCGGTCTCGGTGGACAGTAGAATTCCGTACCGACGTGTCGGAGTCTTCTCCTTGGACTTTGTCCCGTCTGAACAGCAACCACGCCGCTGGTGACCGTCGTCTCCGCACAATGCGAGATATCTGCTACAAGGCCGAAATCTCCTATGCGAGGACGGTACTGATTTCTGATAGGCTGGTCATTCACACCGCGACAAGAGTGACAGCCACTTTCATCATCCTCACGGACCGAGAGAAATATGTTGGCTGGTTTCAAGTCACGATGGACAATGCCCTTTGAGTGAAGGTACTCTACTCCTGATAGTATGCCAAGGAGTATCCGTAGGGATGGGAGGAGATGGAAGCAATGACAGGCTGATGTTGAACGGTGTTTAGGATTAAGGAATGTGCTCAGGGTTAGAGGATGTAACGACATTTGAATATGCAGGACGACTGTCTGATTCTGCGTAGTCTTGTCTCGGCGTGCAAGCTGGAACTTTGATGGATCTTCGCTCATATCGTTTGTAAAGATGTCCGTGCCCGTAAAATCGCTTGTTGATGTATAGTCGTGTGAAAGCACTCCCGCTTTCGGGATGCTGAAATTTCTTTGGATAGATTCAACATCTTCATCATCATAGTCTCCACTACTCAGGATTGTGCTTTTCTTTGATAATGACGACGCATTGGTGAAGCGACTGTCCCGACGTGGGCGAGAATTTGACCAGGCACTTGTTCCGTGGCTGTGAGAGTCCGATTTGTTGTCATCGTCGTGTTCACCATCATTACTAGATAAGCCGAAAACAATTCCAAAACTTTGGTCCTCTTCTGCAGGATCATGCTTCTCTTCGGATGGTTCCAATCCGATGTGTAGGTTTTCTGCTGGGTCTGAAGGTGCAGTCTCCGGTAATGCATGTCTTTCTTCTACCCAAGCGCCAAAATATCGAACAACGTTTTTATGTTCCAAACGGGCCAATGTCCTAATTTCCTTGAGTATGTGCTCCAAATGCTGAACTCCCTCTTGCTGCAGCATTTCCAATCGCCACTTGCTCAGTGGTATTTTTTTCACGGCGTAGCTCTGGCCATCAACATGGTGCCGCGCTTCATAGACTTGACCAAAGGATCCACGACCTAGTAGTTTGACTTCTAGAAATTCCGAAGCGTACCTGGATCCGTGATCGATTGTCGGCTCGAATTTGGTGCTGACCAGCGCCATGGTGCCTGGTTCACCTACAGGGACCTGAGGAGCTCGTAATAAGTTGTTCAAATGCAAAAAGCTTTCCGAGTGGCCTTGATTGACAGGAGGACCTGGGTTGCGTTTTTGCACGTTCCAATGACTGCTACTTGAGGGACCTGGCTCAATGGCGGCTTGGTAGATTTTGGTGGTGGTGGAGATAAGAGATTGAGACTTAGTCAACGCAGGCCGAGCGAACTCAATGTCTCCTTCTCGAGAGGTCGGCCTCTCGGATGAAATATCAACTTTTGCGTCTCCAATGACTGCGTTGCCTAATATGTCGAGGTTGTCTCGATAATACTGACGGATCCTTTCCCAATCATCATCTTCAATACCACCGGCTACGATTCCATGGGTGGACAGAAACTGTGACTTATAACGGAACATTTGCTTTGCCAATTGCTTAACCTCTGGAGAATCCCGGGTGAACCGACCAAAAGATCTGGGCTGTGCATTGAGGAATTCGGCAGCACGAGTAAGACAGAAAAACTCTAGTAAAGCCGACGTCATTACAGATGCATGTCCATCGGCATCGAGATCTAATGCACCTCCCAGGATGTTGTCCTGTCCTAGGCGTCCCGGTGTAGGAAGGTCATAATCATCTAAAAGGAGTTCATCTAAACTGGCGGCTGCATCCGTCGGTTGCCCGGCACCGACATGGATCTCTGGCAGACTATCATTGTCACTTTCTTCCGAGCTAGACTCCGGATCCGAGGATGAGATGTCTGCCGCAGACCGAAACATGGACATGTTGACGTAGAGACGCCTAAACGGTGTAGCTTCTGTCGTGTGTCATGGAAGACCCAGAAGAGGCAGAGTAGTTGCTCTTCTACATCAAAAAGTAGCCTAGCAATCCAGTGGACCGTTATCTTTACACTGTGATAAAGTCGAGGATATATTCCAAACGAGTGACAAATCGTGTGATTCAACAGATTCAATAGCTGGTGGCGATTGCGAGGGTTGACTGACGTTGTGCTCCGCCGAGCATTACTTGACCGACATGTCGAAGATTAAGCAGTCAAGTCTGCCTAAATACGTGCAATGTAGAGAAGGGAGAAAAGTCACACAGTCGAATGACCGTTAAATAGGAGGGAATTGATTTGGATTTGCAGGAAGGCAGCGACACAAATGATCTGGCGATGGGGTCACGTGTGTGCTTAACCAATTGAGTCATTCTTTCCCCCTCAGTGACCCACCACAGCTCTCCCTCTTGTTCTACGTTGTGGTTCCTACCGGACACTTCTCGCTGGATTTTGTGCTTATTACAGTGCCTCAGCGCTATTGGCACTGCTGAATCTGGTGCAGGCCATCAAAGGGCGCCATAGAAGTCAAAAGAAATCACCGTCTCGTATTCCATCGAATTCCACGCCCTTCGCTCGAGTATTTTCGACGAAACATTGTTGAGAAGCTGTGACTGCCAAGCCCAGCAATGGACGAACCTGAAATGCCAAATGGCACATTTTGACTCGTCCGAAAGATACAGATAGTGGAGGAGCAGATTCAGTGAAGCAGCTCATGAGTTACTGCCGCTCTAGCCTTCTATCGCTGACCATCTACATACTCGATCGGCTACCATTGAGTCAATAGATTGGACTCTGTTTCCGAGATTTCACCTGAGCTGAGTCGTCCTCAAGGCACTAGCTCAAGAGCCTCCATTGGCCATTGGATATGTTCCCTCCAAGAGACGTCTAATCGGTCGTGTATCGATTGTAATAGTAATCGAGGCCAGCTTTCTAACCACCATCGGTCGGATACTTTATGAAGTAGTATACAGAAATGGGCCAACACCACCAAAGCCAATGGCCGTCGATCTCGCAAGAGTGAAAATAGCACTGGCTTGATGACGATGGGCCATCTGAAAACAGACAAGTCCTGGTAGCCCGAGTTGAGTCGCTGGAAAACATGTGACAGTTCAGAGATGGCTTCTTCACATGCCACTGCTTCTTGAATGTTGAGCCCAGTCCTTGTCAAATCCGCATTGAGCTTATAAACCGGAGCGAGCTTTGCTTCAATGTCTGCGGGCGGGGACTGCATTTTCGAAGATCGCTTCCTAGAGGAGAGCATATCCGTAACCCAACTATCTGAGGAATTTTCCAGCCATCCTCTCGATGTTTGGAGAATTTCAGCGATTCCCCGACACAAGGTACTGATTTGTAGCATCTCGTCGATCGGTGACAGAGAATGCATTCCTGAGATTTGTGGCGAAGCAAAGGCAAGCACGGTCGCTATACTTGAAAACACGAAGAGCGCCGCACTATTCGACGGCGTAATATTGTCCAGCTCCTTCCTAAATAATGCCAGTGCCAGTGTCTGGTGCCCCGCAGCGAGCTCATCGTATTCGTTGACCCGGTCACCGTTTTTGTTCAGATACGCTAAATGTAGGGCAGATAATGCTAGAACCCCGTGCATTAGAAACGGATGCGACAAGGCGATCTTGGGGACCTCTTTCTGGAAGGGTTGTGCAAATGCGTCATCCTGGGAGATGGATTTATAACTTTCAAGACAGTAATGATGCATCAATTCCAAGTCGCGTAGATGTAAGTCTGCTGGGAGACTGCCATCGCGTCGCGGATCCAATATTAACAACGGGTCGGACTCGGCGGACACAATCGATGGCGATGTTGTGTTACTTGACATGCCATTCTCGGTCGTGAGAAGCGTAGACTCGTCGGGAGTTGCGCTGGATGCGCTCGGCTGTGTAGCTAAGTTCTGGGCTAATAATCGACTCTTGACCGGCGAGACAGAGTAGGCACAATCTATGTTGTGTCTGAGACAATTTTTACAAGCTGGTCTCTGCTCATCGCACTATACTCAAATCAACACGATGACAAAAGCACACCCAGAATGCTTAATCTACCTTGATCCGCCGTTGCTTACATTGGACACAGCCCAGTCTGCTCTTCGTGTGCGTTCGTCGAGATCTCATTATTTTGCGCTTTCGGTCACATCACATTTGCGTGTGTCAGTTGAAGGCATCGTAACCCATACTACCCCAGAATGGGTGTGCCACGAGTCAAGTGTTGTAGAACAATAATCTTTAATGTCTCACAGTGTGGAGCGGTCATCGATAAAAGGGATCTTACGACGGCCGGAGAAACCAGGCGCCACTAGTCCGTATGCAGTTAATTCATCCGCCTATTTTTTTTCCGTGGTTTTTCGCGTGAACAACTCAGACAAGCAATGAACACAGCGAGAATAACTAATCTACATTTTACTGGGCATCCTCATGGCACCATCGAGTCGAAGTACAGTGCCATTCAACATGGAATTAGTGACGCTTTGCATCACCAAGCTCGAGAATTCCTCCGGGTTCCCGGCTCTGACCGGAAACTCCATCACCCTCTCCAAACTCTTACGAGCCTTGTCAGGCAGCTGTCGGGTCATTGCACTGTCAAATAAGCTTGGTGCGATTGTGACTGCGCGAATTCCGTGCCGCGCAAGGTCTCTGGCCAACGGTAATGTCATTGAGGCCACTGCTCCTTTGGAGGCGGCATATGCGACTTGACCTGGCTGTCCGTCAAAGGCAGCGGCTGAGGAGACCATGATAATGACTCCTCGCTCACCATCCTCTGTTAACGGACTGTTCTTGACCATGTGTGGCACAGAAAGGCGGATGAGATCAATTGTTCCTCGAATATTGATATTGAGGACGAAGTCGATGCTCGACATCGCAACTGGCGACTCTGTTCTTGCATCATAGATCTATAAAGTAAAATTAAGACATGCCAGTATGCCAAATCAAATCACGAACTGACCTTTGCTGGCAAGCCAACTCCAGCCGCTGCGACAACACCAGCGAGGACAGACCCGGTTTGTTTGATCCATTCAGCAGTGCTATTAACTGCAGTCTCAAGGCTTGATGTGTCGGTCACATCAGCCTGCCAGAACTTTGCTCTTTGTTCCCCGAGTTGTTGGATGACAGCGCTGCCAGCGTCCGCATTCACATCCAACAGCGCAACGTAAGCTCCAGCTTGGTGTAGGTCGCGGGCTGTAGCCAGGCCAAGCCCGGAGCATCCGCCGGAGATAATAAATGTGCGACCGGCCGGTTTCATTTTGTATCTGCTTTCTGTTTACTGTATATTCGGGATCTTTGTATACGACTCGGAGCACTAGTCGTGGAGGAAAAGAAGCCGATTTGGAACGGGAGTCTCTGACAAGGTCATCTCGTTACTCGTCGCGGGAAAACCTTGGAAGCCGAGGACCGAGGCCGATCATTGGTCATTGCAGGTGATTTTATACATATCTAGAATAGCTTCAACTCGACTCGACATGGATTTCGTCTCATCTAACGAATTCATCTTCGGCTTGGTCTTTTTGCAATACGCTGATCGCAAACCTCTGTTGCTACGTAGGGTCCAGGAGAATGTCGTTCATTAGCGCCCCTGCTGCTCGTTCGCAAGCCGGACACGAGTACGCACACCTATCATGGCACAAAGAACCCATAAGTAGTCCCGCAATGCCTGTCTGAAGTCGACATATCAAGGCAAGCTCTTCGCCTGCGAGACCTGCAAGCTTTGATTTCATGGATTGATACGCAGCTTTTCAAAAAATAAAGAAGCTACTGAAATGGAGACTTGAATTATTACGATCCGACTCCCACCGGCCCAGAGTTAGGGTTTACTTCGATGGTGAACAGTTCCGGTGGAAGAGAGACATCTCCGACTTCCGACTCTCCGGAACTCGAGTGGATTGCATGTCGTTCACAGACTAGTCCAAGTGCCAGAAGCATTATTAATTGCTTGGAATGTGCACACACATATATCCCAGCGTCTTTCCACCCCAGGATTTCCTCCTGTGAAGAGTTCCGGGGTAATACTGTCCGCATGCGATACACCTCATCAACTCTCACAACGTGGTATAAACAACAAAAAAAAATGAAAACCTGACATTCCACAAGATACTCTTTCAATCACCATACTCAGTCGATATCATGCCATTTGAGATCGTTGAACAAGACAGCGCGTCTTCTACGAAAGGGCCGACCGAAACAATGCGTGAAATCCACTCAACACTCGATGCCCTGCGACTCACACAACAAGAAAAAGTGCTCCTATATGCATTAATAGAGCCCGAGCTTCTCTCACCGTCTCCGAAGAATCAACTGATGGACGTCGACAATCGAACAACAATCAAACAGAAGAAACAGCCTCTTTCACATGCACCAAGGTATACCGCAGATGTCGCGAGTGACCTTCCAAGACCGTTTGGAATGTTGATAGAAGTTGCCGATATCGATCGAGCTTGGGAAGAATGGAATCGACGCTCGTGAACGCCAGCAACCGCGATTTGCGTTGACTTTGCTTGGTTCTCATGTACGATGAAATGATAAAAATGTTGATGAACAAAGACAAACATGTGAACAATTCAAGGAGTTGGATTAATAGGAAGACGCTAATATGCACTGGATCTCCTATACCAGAATCAAGACTTCCGGATTACTTGAAGACTTGGTGAATTGCGTGCATTTACCACCGGAACGGATTACAGCCAGCCTTCACTGGCTAGGAGTAGATACTTGGCGTTACGATGCTTGAAGGTTAATCTATGAACATAGCTACAGCCAAAGAACCACTAATAAAGTCGTAATCATTTTTGGACAACGAGCGAAATCTTCCGAGCCCAATACGTAGCGCTGATCTCTCCGCAGTTCCCCGTCACTTCCCCGCAATGTATGGAGTTATGTCAATACTTCACTCACCACTGCACCTCAAGGCATCGCCGAGCAGGATAAGTACAAAGATTAAAGGCCTGGAAGAATTCTTCGCCAAAGGAACATATAATCTCCCAGGGTTTGCATCAATAAATAAATGGATGTGTAAACATTTGGGCGCTTCACCTTACATAATCGCGGCATATGAATGCAATACTTCCGCATCCACCCTTTGGCTGATCTTCGAATTTCCGGTGGAGATCAAATTCGTCGGAAGCTACCTACATGATCTTATAGGCGTACTGCACGCAGCTGGAAAGAAAAATATGACCGGGCATTCTTCAAACAATACCCGGAAATCGCCTCATTCGATGACCAGGGTTTCGCGTGCATGTCAAAGATGCCGCCGCCAAAAATTAAAGGTTGGTCTTTACTGTTTTAAAGGGTTATGTGGATATGATAGACCAGCACCGATGTTAACTGGCCTTGTATTTGCAGTGCGATGAGGCCCGACCATGCACAATGTGCGTGCGGTCCGGGGCTTCTTGTCTATCTCGAGATCTTGCGAGCGGTCGTAGATCCACAGGAAAGCGAATTACACGACGGAAAAGTGGCACACCACCACCGCCAACTAGCCAGGAGTATCAGACGCACAGTCGCTCATACAGACGCCAGCGATTTGGTGCTAGCAGTTCCACCGTTGGTTTCGCCGTGAACATATTTGGAGAATACGCGGCTTCCAACTCGGAGGATATTTCCAGCATACCTGGCTATGCTAATCCTCTAGAGCGACCCCCGAAGAGCGATTGGACTTTTGAGAAGTTATCTATACCGCCAGTAGTTGTGATGACCAGCTTGCTCGAGGCATACTTTCAACATGTGCACTGGTTCATCTTTCTTTTCCATGAGGAAGAGTTTATGCGTTCCGTCGGCCCTCTACTAGGCCAGTCTGCATGGCAATCAAAAGACCGAGGCCGAGTTATCATAGCATTAATGATGGCGGCACTAGGACTTCAATGTGTGATGCACGATACCGAGTGGGAAGGCCACTTGCTGCTCGCTTCGTCATCTTTGCAGGCTATTCGCCTTCGAGACGGTTTGATTGCGGAAGTGAGAATGCATCTCTTAAAGCTGATGGATGAGTGTAGCCTCGAGTCAGTGCAGGTGCCCCTTCTACTAGGAACTTATTACATCTACTATGGCTCCCCGGTTCTCGCGTGGAATATGCTTGGTTTTGCCGTGCGTGCAGCTTATGCTTTAGCATTGCATTGTGAAAGTGCCGCACCTCTCCCTGATCAGGTCCAATCTCAAATTCGTCTTCGGACATGGAATCATGTAATCGTCGCGGATACATTCACGGCTATGATATATGGTCGCCCAACTTCGTTAGATACTGCCTTTTCTGGCTTTCAGGAGCTGATTGAGCTTGACGATATCCGCTTACCGTCTACTATATCGAACACTTTACATGACCCACACTTGACCGGCGTTACCTTTCACATTTTAAAATATCGACTCTACGAGATAATTCGGACTGGTCTCAATCTATTTCGTTTGATGAACCTGCAGAATCCAGTAACTCCTGAAGTATTCTGCCGCCTGGTTGAAGCAATCTTGCAAATTCGTGCGTCTTTAGAGTCTTGGAAAGCGGACCTGCCGAACATATTCGAACGAAACACAGGAATTGACGAGACTGTGCTGTTATCAATGACCAAAAATGGTCATATTAGACCTGGCACAGCAGAATATCAAGCTTACAAAACTCTCATTCTGCAGGCGCAGTCCTTGCGGGTGACCTATGACAGTGCTGTCATTTTCATAAACCGCCCTCTATTGGAGTATAAGGTTAGTCCCGAAACTAGGGAGGCGGTTGCCGAACATGTGCCGGTAGTTCGGGCATCATTGGATTCATGCCTTAATGCTGCTCTCAGTATCTCCCGCATCTCGGCAGAGTGTCACCAAAATGAATTCAGTGTCTCCTTTATATTGATGAACTACTTCAGTGCCGGGGTGATATTATGCCTCATACCAACAATACGGCCATTTAGCACTGCAGCAAGCGAGGCAAAAACTGGACTATTACGAATAATTCGCACTAGTCGCAGGCTACAGGTCCAAAGCCAGATTGCGCAGCATGCAGAACAGTTGCTTACTCGTTTGTTGAAGCGAAGTCATGAGTTGGAATTGAATAATGGACTTGATGGTGCAAATACCTGTGAGCTTGCGGATAATGAACGTCGGGAATCGGTGACTCATGCATCGCCTCCATATTCTCCGCAACCGCATTCAGATACAAGAAATCACCAAGAGCCACACGGCTCTTTCGTTCCCGGAGAAACCCCCAACGAGCTAACACTAAACCCTTCTCTGGGCCATTTTGCTACTGGGACCACAGCTGCTAATCCAGAAGATTGTGAAAGAGCCGCATTCTCATCATCTCTGAGGGCTGGAGGTAGTTATGAAGCTATGCCATATATACCAGAGAATGATCGTTATTACGTGATGGATCATCATGTTGATGAAGCTCTTGGCTCCTTTGGCCAAAGTCAGTTGGTCCCGAATCACTTGGAACCTAACCTTGAGGTCAGCTAACATTGCCATTAGTGCTCTTCAACCTCGTGCCGAACGATCCCTATAGTGCTTGGAACTGGGGGAACGGACCTCACTGATTCCAGGTTTTATATCAAATTGATCTGAGAATTACTAACACGGCTAGCAGGTGGTTGAACAGCAGATGTATCTTGTCTCATGACAAAGCTCAGTTGTGTTTTCGGATCGGTTGGCTAGGTAGACAGTCGTACCGCGAGGTAGGGTATTATAGAGTTGTCTGCAAAAGTAGAATACTAATCGGGAAATATAATCAAATGCTGTCTAACAATCTTCTACATGATAACTTGCGATGATATTTGAAAGAAGTCTCGCCAAAGTACTTACAGTCGTGTCGAGCTTAGCTCTAATTACCCAAAAAGAGGAAGCCGTATCTTTTAGCCCTAACCCTAAAGCAAAGCCAGGTCACATGACAAGCGACGCGTAAAGTGGAAGTCGCGGTATCACGTCACAGGCGCGACACGGCAGCCCCAGAAATGGACATTCTTCCTTCTACATTCTATCAGACAGGCAACACCCGACTGTCTCTTTGTATTTTGCGGGACCCATAGCTACACTTATGGGCATTTGGCACGACTTCTAGCTATTTTATCTATATTTTGTTCGCCTCTTGGCTCACAGCACATTCGCCATGACCGAAAACGGCCTGAAGTCGCAGAAGCGCATTCTCACCGATGCCACGATGACCTCTGGAAATCTACTACCGAATAACACGCCCAAAAAGCGTAAACTCGATGTCGACGAACCTACAGTGCGCTTGAATGTGCCCCCTCGAAGCAGTGCTCCCAAAAGCTTCGGGTCCAGTCAGATGCAACCAAAAAGTCGCTTCGAAGAGGATCTCGAGAAATTGACGCAAGACATAACCGGCTTGAAAGAGTCCAATGCAGAAAAGGATCAACAATGGGATCGCCCACCGCTGGGAGATTTCGATCCTGCAAAGGATAATTTGTGCTTCCAGCAGATCGATGTAGAAGAGGGGGACTCAAATGGTCGTACTGCGGTCAAGCTCTTCGGCGTCACTGAGGTTTGTAGTGTGTCATGGATACTAGCTGGGATATTTTCAGGCTCACTGTTTTGCAGAAAGGGAACTCCGTTCTTCTCCATGTCGAAGGCTTTCGCCACTACCTTTATATTGCTGCTCCGGTCGGATTCCATCCCGAGGACGTCAAACCATATACCGCTTTCCTAGAACAGAGGTTCGGACAGCATGAACGCATGATCCACTCAGTAAACCTAGCGCAGAAAGAAAACCTCTATGGCTTTCAAGGGAATCTAAAGTCTTGGTACATTAGAATCACGGTGACCGATCCGAAATATATCGCCAAGCTACGAAACGGTCTCGAAAAGAGTATCGCGAACTATAACTACAAAAGACTCTGGCCTTCGGGGGACGATGGTGGTATAATGACTTTTGACAACATTCAATACGTGTTGAGATTCATGATTGATACAGGGGTAAATAGTTCCCTCAGTACATTGAACAAATGGCGGGATGTCTAATCTTCAAACCAGATTTCAGGAATGTCCTGGGTCGAAGCCAAAGCAGGAGACTACGAACTTGTGCCAGAGGCAAAGCGACAGTCAAATTGTCAGATCGAGGCTTTTATGCCGTATACCAGCCTCATTGCACATTCACACGATGGAGAATGGGCAAAAATGGCACCCTTGCGGATTTTGTCATTTGATATTGAGTGTGCTGGTCGAAAAGGAATCTTCCCCGAACCGAACCAAGATCCTGTCATCCAAATCGCCAATGTTGTCACTCGCTATGGAGAATCAAAACCGTTTGTCCGAAATGTTTTTGTTTTGGATACGTGCAGTCTGATTGTTAATACCCAGATTTTTGAATTTAAGGACGAAGCTAAGTTGCTCGCGGCCTGGCAACAATTTGTTCAAAAAGTCGATCCGGACGTTATCATAGGGTACAACATTGCAAACTTCGATTTTCCCTACCTACTTGATCGCGCAAGACACTTAAAGTGCCAGCAGTTTCCCTTCCTCACGAGACTGCCTCAAATCAAGTCGGAAGCCAAAGAAACGAACTTTTCTAGTAAGCAGATGGGGAATCGTGACACGAAATCAACGAACACAAACGGCAGAATCCAACTCGATCTTCTTCAGTTAGTTCAACGGGACCATCAGCTCCGAAGCTACACCCTTAACTCTGTTTGCGCCGAATTCCTGGGAGAACAGAAAGAAGACGTTCACCACACCATCATCACAGAGCTTTTCAACGGTACTCCAGACTCCAGAAGACGCTTGGCTGTTTATTGCTTGAAAGATGCCTATCTTCCACAGCGATTGATGGACAAGTTGATGTGTCTTGTCAATTACACTGAGATGGCTAGGGTCACAGGCGTGCCTTTCAATTACCTGTTGTCACGCGGTCAGCAAGTCAAGTTCATCAGTCAGATTTTCCGCAAAGCTCGAACTGAACAACTGGTCATTCCCAATTTGAGCAAACAGGATGACGGAGATTATGAGGGAGCTACGGTCATTGAGCCTGTTCGAGGGTACTATGACGTGCCCGTAGCGACTCTCGATTTTGCCTCTCTATACCCGTCCATCATCCAAGCTCATAATTTGTGTTACACCACCCTTTTGGATAAACGAAAAGTAGAGCATTTCAACCTCAAAAAAGATGAGGACTACATTGTTACACCTAATGGCGATCTGTTTTGTACTACCAAGGTGCGGAAAGGGCTGTTGACGCAAATTCTGGAAGAGCTTTTGGGTGCGCGTAAAAGGGCCAAAAAAGAATTAGCCGTGGAGAAGGATCCATTCAAAAAGGCCGTCTTGAACGGTCGTCAGCTTGCTCTGAAAATTAGCGCCAACAGTGTGTACGGTTTGACAGGTGCGACTGTTGGCAAGCTTCCTTGTTTGGAGATTGCTAGCAGTACTACTAGTTACGGTCGCCAGATGATCGAAAAGACGAAAGCTGAAGTTGAAGCAAAATACACTATTGCAAACGGCTATTCTCACGACGCTCAGGTTATCTACGGAGATACCGACTCTGTGATGGTCAAATTTGGCGTTCGGACGCTTGAAGAAGCGATGAAGTTAGGTGAAGAGGCTGCCGATTATGTGTCTTCGAAATTCATCAAACCGATCAAACTCGAATTCGAGAAAGTCTACTTTCCGTATCTGCTGATCAACAAAAAGCGTTACGCCGGGCTTTACTGGACCAACACTAAGAAGTACGATAAAATGGACACCAAGGGTATCGAAACTGTTCGACGAGACAACTGTCGACTGGTACAAACAGTTATTGAGACGGTATTGAATAAGATTCTGATCGACCGAGATATCAATGGCGCGCAAGAGTAAGTTTTGATCCTGCTGGCATTAACCAAGATACTAATATATTGTGCAGTTATGTCAAGAATATGATATCTGATCTTCTGCAAAACAAAGTGGACTTGTCCAAATTGGTGATCACCAAAGCTTTATCGAAATCGGACTACACTGCCAAACAAGCTCATGTTGAACTTGCTGAGCGTATGCGCAAAAGAGATGCAGGTTCTGCGCCAACACTTGGTGACCGTGTGGCCTACGTTATTGTCAAGGGTGCTGGAGGATCGAAAAACTACGAAAAATCCGAGGATCCCATCTATGTCTTGGAGAACAACATTCCCATTGACACCAAATATTACCTGGATAATCAATTAGCCAACCCCCTCGGCCGTATCTTCGAGCCTATTTTGGGAGAGAAAAAGGCGGCACAACTGCTCACGGGCGAGCACACTCGATCTATTTCTGTCGCTGCACCCACCTTGGGCGGGCTGATGAAGTTTGCAAAGAAGACGCAAACCTGTATGGGTTGCAAGAAGCCTTTGGTCGGAAAAGATGAAATGGCTGGAGCTGTGTGTGAGAATTGTCGACCGAGGTTAGGTGAGCTGTATGCTAGAACGTTGAAGAAGACATCGGATCTCGAGGTCCGGTTTGGTCGTTTATGGACACAGTGTCAACGCTGCCAGGGCAGTTTGCATTGCGAGGTCATCTGCTCAGCGCGAGATTGTCCTATCTTCTATATGCGCATGAAGGCCAAGAAGGACGTTGAAGATGCAGAAAAGGAACTGATGCGGTTTGATCACGATCTCGGTGCATGGTAGTTTTATGGAACGTTTACCTGTGTATATCTTGGCGTTAGAGAGCTGGAGTTGATGTAACCACGATACTGGGAGGAATGATTAATTGATTGGTTCTTGTAGGAGCTGTACGATGTGTCCATGAATACATTAATATTGCACGTAATCAATTCCTCTCGTAGCTGACCCTAGTAGGTACGTACTAGTTCTTGATTCGGAGAAATGACGAAATGCGGGGATAGCGCGATGTGGGTGATGCGTCACGCCACAAAAGGAAAAGTGCAAACTATTTTGCTTGGCATACTCGTTCTGTCTGCTTAATTCCAACTTCATCTCTGACTTCGTTCGGCCAAAACTGATGATAAAAGCTCTTATTCTCTGATATTTATATGAATACGACGGCACCGATAATGGAGCATACGAGGTCGCGTTCTGCGCAAGATGCAAGCGAAAAGAGACCCATATCAGAGGTAAAAACTCCGAGCTACACGGATTTTGGAGATCTGACTGACGAACTGGTCATGATACTGCTGCAGGGGTTGAGTGCGCATGACTCTAGCTTATCATCTCATCTGCAACTTATAGAATCGCTCAAAGCCGACTTGACATCACAGAAAATCTCGCAGATCCTAGATAGTGCGCAAAAGCTGGTTGATGAATTTGCGAAATTGAAGACTCAGCTTGTAAGTTACGGTCACTTGGCAATCAATGAGACTATATACTGATACGTAAATTTAATGATTAGACAGCTAGCGGGCAGGAAACGACCAGCGAAAGACAGAGATTGAACGCCAAAGCGCCCAGCGTACTCAACAAGATGAACGGTAGTAACCCGAAAGTGAAAATGGTGGAGACGGCGAAAAGCGGAATGGCAACAGAAAAAGGAACAAGCAAAAAGCGATCGTGGGACAATGACTTCTCGGAGGGACTGGAATCGGGCATAGACTACACGATCAATCAATCGTCGCGGAAACGACTGAGAACCACGCGAGAAGTATCCGGAGAGCATGACGCTGTAGAAGATTTTGTGCCTGTTGCGCTTCAAAAGGACGACATTTCGGATGAGGTTGAGCGGCGATTGAGACTAAAGGAAGAACGACGGAAGAAAATGAGTGCCGAGCCGGAGAAGAAGAGGAAACGCGACAGCACTTCGTCGAACAATGGAATCGCAAAGAGTAAAACAAAGCGCTCTCGGGATGTCATTACTGGGGAAGTAGACGGATGAACATCCGCCTGTCTGTTAACTCCCCGCCTACACCGTCTGGAGTCGCAATTGTCGGTCCTTAGCAAGTGTTGAAAGTCCTAGAGCCAATCCAACAAGCAGAACTATCAATTGGCCAAAAATTAGAATCAATTGGAATGAATTAGACAGTCGCAAGTGTTTGCCGCCTGTCGTTGTCTCCAATCATCTGCTCACCCGTTCTTTGTGGTTGCGGATGCCTGGGGTCCCAAACTCAATGCAAGGCACCCCAGGCCGCAAGACTCAATCCATCAAATCGTTATACGACAGATGGCCCGATGCCTCGATTCTGCCTAGGTCGAATTGGCTGCTATATTCCTGTCTATCAGGCGACGATCATCAATCAATGGTTCTGGTGAACTCAATTGAAGATTGCCTGTGTGTACTTCATATCTCATGGAGTCGAATTGCAAAATAACTCTTAAAGATATGACCTTAATGATCGGTTCAAGGGCATCTTTCGAGCAGGCAGCTAAGCAGGCAACAATTGCCTCGTCGAGACTCATCCATGCATTGGCATGCAACGCTGTCTACAAATGTAGCCTTCTTCTCCTGTCCTCTTCCTCTCTTCTTTCCTTTCTTCTTCAGACACACTGTGACTGTATCGCACTTGAATTGACTTAACGGAACGGTTGAAACAGATCGAAAGAGACCCCGTGGTTGGTAAAAGCTCAAGATAAACCGGGTTTTATGCGTGCTCTGTTCAAAACCTCAAAAACGCCCAAAAAAAAGCTGAGAGGATAAATGCTTAATTGAATTTTGATATCTGGGATCTTGACACCAACGCATTGTGCTAAGGTACTCCCGACGAATATACCTTCCAACAGCAACAACTGCTACAGAAATACTGAGCCTCAACCAAAAAGTTTTGTTTCCACCTCGCATCTCCAAAAGCTCAAACTGCGGACTTCGAACGCAAAAGTCCCATCTTGACAACATCATTTTCTTTGAGACGTCCATCGGACTCTCAATCATATCCGACTACGGGTCGTTCTCAAGACTCCCGAGTCGACTTAGCATCAAACCTTGATCCAATCAATCAATCATCCTGACATACTCAATTGCCTCATCGGCAGGACACTTGCAACTCAATCAATCAATCCACATTTGCAAGCATCTGTTATTCGGAGGGCCCCCGGTCTCAGATCTTTCTAAGCGAATTCTTTCTCTGAAACAATTTGTGTCCTCGTCCGAATGAATCCAATTTGAAGCGAACCAAAACGAACCAAAACATACCAAAGCAAGCCTATTCTGCAAACAATTTTCAATTCAAGCAATCTTCAGTTCCTTGATCTAATGGCTCACGTTCAAAACCGCTCCAACAATTACCGCCGTAACGGCAATAACAACAATTTCCATCGACGAGGTCGTCGTTCTCATCCATTCCAAAGACAATCCCTCCTAGACGTTGACGGGAACATTGTCATGGGCGGCATGGAAATTGCAGCTCCATCGCGTGCTCCGTTCAACCGTCCAAACCACCAAGGACAAGTCTTTCGTCAAGGACCAAACTCTGGCCAAAGACCAAACTGCAGCCAAGGATCAAACTCTAGCCAAGGTGGCAGAGGCCGACGCAGAAACCGCAACCGAAACCGCAACCGCAGTCGCAATGGCCAAAACGGGCAAATCGTCAAGCCGGACATGTCTCCTGTGAATGTCCATGCCCATCCAGAAGTTCTTTCGCACGCTCATCCACAGATGCTGACCCAGTTGGACTATCAAATCTTCCAGGGCCAAGCAGAGCCGAACTCGATCGCCCAACACCATCAAATCCCCGCCTTGCAAGTTGCTTCAGTCCCCGCACCCGACTACAGTTGGAGTTCGCCCATCAAATACGTTCACATGAAAGGTGAATTGACTCCAGTAGACAACTGCGGAGACGTCGTTATGGGAGAAGCTCCATCTCTCCCTACAGTTTACTCTATTGAATGTACGGCAAATGAGCATATGCTCGTCATCGCACTCAGCGAGGAGATGGGAAATCTCCAACTTTTCAAGTGAACATGGACTCGTGATTCCGTTTCACCTTTTCACTACGAACAATGGATGAGAATAGCGCGCTCGTGATCGTGCCATCCACTTCAAATCTACAATATTTTAATATACTCTTATATATACACCTTCAAGGGACGCCTTTAGTGGTGCAAGGCTTTCGGGTTGGAATATGGACACTGCCCTAGAGGCATTTTTGAATGGCTGGCAGGGCCAAGGCCTGCAGGGGAAGATTTGATTGATCATGTCTATGACATTGACGTTACTACCGGGAGGTTGCCCTGGACCTGAGGCCCGCGTTTATGTATTGTTGAGATTCGCTTATATGTGATGAAATCTGGATTTTGTACCTGTTGCCTTGCTTCAATGGGCCAGGGTATTGCTTTGTTGCTTGGAATATTTGAAATATTTGGAATATCGCTGGATTACCACGTGAATGGTGTTTGGGACGATACCCGGAGTTGACTGTGTACCAGCAACCCGAGCTGGACTTACTACATACTAGGATTCTGACTTGATGAAGTTAGTCAACATTACTGTCTGTGTGAAAATCAAGTAGATCATAATACTCATTATTATTACTATTATACAATTTTGTCGACCCCCATATCCGTATTGTACACGCAGTAAATATTACTTGGACGAACGCTCTTTCTTCTCATTCACTTCATCTCTCTTCTTCTGATCGTTCGGCTTTCCCCAATTCCACACGTCCCAGATATGATCCATAATCAAATCACCATACCCCTTCCCCTCATCCAGAGCCTCCTGCTCCTCCCGCAATCTCTTCTCCTTCCAATTCTCTGCCTCGGAGCCCATCCAGATCTTTTCCGGTATTGACCGGTCGTCGAACCTCTTTGCGGTCTGATATTTCTCCAATTCTTCTTGCGTTTTGATGGAAGACTCTTTCGCGGCGCGCAGTTGTGCTTGCACCTGTTGTGCTTTTTCAGTGGGGAGGGTATTGAATAAACTCGAGATTCCCCCGTCGCGGGTAGATGTCGGCTGAGTCGAGACCGGCGAAGTACCGAAGTATTTCACCCCGAGGTCATCAACCAATCCCCGGCCGTGTGGGTTGCTGTCCTTGTAGAGATAATTGGCAGATATGCCAAAGGCAGCGGAGAGGGCGGCGGTGTTCAAGTCGAGTTTGCGCGGGGGAGCGGCGATGAGGATGGGGGCAGCGACGACGAAGGTCCAGGCGGCGTAGCGTTTGAATTTGGCGTAGTCATTTTGACGGGCTGCCTGCAGTGCGTTGGGGGTGGTGTTATCGGAGGACATGGTGTCCGTAAGAGTATGAGGTATAATTTGGTCTGGTTGGAATGTTCTCAATTGAAGCTTTGCGGGCCCGCTCTGGGCGAGCTTGGCCGGGCTTCGGAACCTCGGCACGGTGCGACACGTGACTGGCTGTCTATATTTAGGGCATATACTCCGTATTGAGTATTGTGTTTACTGTTTATTGTAGTTACTATGTAGTAGTACATAGTATTTACTGTATTGTTGGTACGTACCGTACGTATTCCGTAAATCGGTGTACATACGTAGTACGTAAAAAACGTTGTAGCCTGGGGCTGACGTGGCTGAAATTTCCTCTCTTTTCAGACTTTTCAGGCTTTTCGGATTGGTTGGTCGGTTGGTTGGTTGGTATTTCCATTTAATGTCTGGCGCTTTAAATGGAACTTTTTCAGACTTTTCACACTTTTCAGACTTTTTTCAGGCGCAGACAAGAGCCCACTCATTCAGACGATTCATCCCAATCGCCTGCTATGTACAAGCATTCGCGGCCTCTCCTTACAGCAAAGCACCTCGCTGATCATGCACTGGCCTGACGTCAGCTGCTTAGCCGCTGTCTCAGCCTCGATCCAACCTAAAACAGATTCATCATTAATATACTCCGTGGATAGCACGCACTGATACTGGCCAATTATAATACTGCTACGTCGTATCAGTAGGATCCCGGCAGGCCTGGCGGGCTGACAATAAATTGCGCATGAAGTCTCTGACGTCGGTGTGTGGCTGAACCGTCTGGATCCCCAGGCACTAGTTTGTTACTAGGACGTAGGAGTACGTAGTATGTACTGGGAGTGGGCAATCACCAGCCGTATGGCCACTATAATAAAGCTTGTCCCCCCTTTCGGTTTTTTTCCTTCGCGACAGATCATCTCACACACTCACAGTCTCTCTCTATATATACAATATACAACATACAATAAACATACCACCCTACCGGTCACAGAAAAAATGTTCCAAAACGGTTTCTTCGGTCTCTTCAAGTCCTCCCAGCAAGAGGAAGAACCTCGCACCCAGCAGGTAACCTGGAACGCGTCCACTATGGCCATGGAGCAGCCCGCCAGCTATGCCGGCAGCCAACAGACCGCCGCTGTAAGTCTACCCACAACTCTTTGGTTATTCTGTCCCTTGAGTGCCATACTAACTAGCATTGAGCAGCCCTCTCAGGAAGAGCAGCAAATGAAACTCCGTGGTGGAGCCGGCTGCTGTGATGTCTGCTGCGGATGGTAAGTGATACTCTGCGTACCTAGGTAAACTACACGCACACCCGCTAACTATATGATAAGTTTCGCTGGTCTCTGCGCTTTCGAGTGCCTCGAGGACTGCTGTTAAAGCTGTTTAGTCTAAAGACAACTACCACTTGCTTATTTACGCACCTGTCTTTATCTCACCTACGTCCATCTACTACGATACCAATCCGTTAGCTTGATCAAATGAATTGATTCAATTGAAAAGTCCTTTTAAATTATCCTAGTTGCAAATTAGAAGCGCGAAAAAGGCAGCCACTTCCCCCGCAATGTGATAACAGCCCAATTGTTTCCATCCGCATCCGTCTCCTTTTCCACTTTGGTCGAGAATGAAATCGCACTCATAATGCCATCGCCAAATTTCTCATTGAGCACAGCCTTGTACGCGTATCCGTAGTTCTGCACAATCTCGTACAAGCGGTAGATCAACGGTTCCTTGGGCGGCATCTCCACCGACCGGCCCCGATCGGGGAACCCACTGAGCTGTGCTTCGAGTAAGTCGTGCGGAATATCGAGTGCCTTGGATAGATTGGTAATATCCTCTGGCGAAGCTTTGGCTTGGCCATAGAAGATCGCTGCAGTGGCTACTTCGTTGCGGCCGATCTGCTTGGAGACTTCTTCGAAGCTGTATTTCTTCTTGGCCTTAGCGGCGAAGAGAGTCTGCGATGATGCCGGGAGGTAGGGATGCTGCGAGGCCTGTTTTGCTATCAATACCCAATAGTGAGCTAATATTGAGATATCAGTTAGTACTTACATCCAATGTTGCGAGGTTAAGGTGCGCCATGTTGCAATGCTTAGTAGATAGAATTCAGTAGACTAGGTGCTTGTGTTGAGTAATTGAGAGATGGAAGATCTCGTACAGATACCCCGCGGCAGATGTCATCTTTATATAATGCGCTATGCTCCGACAACAGTTGATATCTCTTCATTTCTCCATCTCACATCTCCAATTCTTGTTCAATTGAGCACAAATCAAAAGTCGTTGTTCCTAATCCGGTGTCTCCATATTGTACTGCTCTCACTGCTGATTTGTCGAGTTGGTGCCTCCAAGTAATCAGCGTGCGGAGTACTCGTGAGAATCCCCGCACAGCAATCATTTTACTTATCGTGACACGCAGAATGCTGTCAACATTTCCTCGGAAGTAACACGATCTACTCTGCCTAACGTATCGATCGAAAGATGCGAAACGCGACAATACTATTGTGTATGTTGAGCGGCCAAGAGTCACAGCCAAGATTGTAAGAGGACTGCGCCACACCACCTTCGCATGTACCTTGTTAGTACCAGCAGCCACGACCACGTAGCTTGATCATTCCGAGACTATTGCCGACGCGTTCACTGCCACAATCCTCACGCAACAGCCAATGGCTGACTCAATGACAAACTGTCAGCGGGGTCTGAGACACGCGGGAGACCGGATGGCGGGGGGAGACGACTCGTCCCTAAGCTGAGCTGGTAGCACGTTTTCGTAGCTGCTGTTTCATGTTAATATCTGCGTTGGCCGCTGTTTTTTTCATCCTTGTGTAAATATTCATCGCTTTTGCTGAGAAAAACCAGAAAACAAACGATCAGCTTACTGTACAGCGATGTCGGGAGGGCAAGACCCACTGGCCTACGGTCGCTATTACGACGGTCGCGATGGCGAAGCAGAAGGTCAACGAGGACTGAGCGACTCAGCGCGAGGATTTTTGTCAGATGGATTGAAGAAATTCAAGGATCAATACGGGACAGGTCACGGTGGACAAGGACAGCAGCAGCAGCAGAGCTATTACTCTGGGTCGGCCACGGCGCAGCCGCCGTCGTACCAAAGCGGCAGCTACAACCAGCAACAACAACAACAACCACCTTCCACCAGACCACACAAGCAGGACAAACTCTCCAGCTTCCTTGACAAATTCGAAGAAACTGTCTCTGGCGTGGGCTCGCAGCTAGCCCAGAAGATCGGAACGACCATCGATGCCGACGCCTATGCCGGCTACGGATCAAGCAGTAATGCCAACTCCAGGAATCGCTTCGGCAGCTTTGCGCCGGCGCGGGAGGCCAACGACGTCAAATGGCACGTCGATGGCTTCACCTATTTCTGGGCTGTTTCGAGGGCACTCGAGACTGCCAGAGACTCGGTCTGGATTCTGGACTGTATGTTTTTCAGCTAACCTATGACCTTTCGAGAATGCTAATTGTCCATGGTTGTAGGGTGGCTTTCGCCAGAGCTATATCTACGACGTCCTCCGGCCAAGAACGAACAGTATCGTCTTGACCGCATGCTGCAAGCCGCTGCCCAACGCGGCGTCCGAGTGAACATTATTGTCTATAAGGAGGTTGAGGCGGCTCTATCATGTACGTCCTCCAGTAATATCATGACAATTAACATGCTGATCTGACTTTCGGCAGTGAGCTCTGCTCATACAAAACAAACACTTGAAGCCCTGCATCCTAATATCGCTGTATTCCGTCACCCGGACCATATTCCAGACGTCGCCGACATCAAGAACTCTCTGACAGCCTCGTTCCACAACTTGTCCCTGGATGCGGCAGGAATCAATAAGCTACCCGGCGAATCACTCAAAGCACTCTACGGTAGCAAGGGCGACACAGTTCTATACTGGGCTCACCACGAGAAGTTATGTCTGATCGACGGCAAAATTGCGTTCATGGGTGGACTTGACCTTTGCTTCGGACGATGGGATACGAACCAGCATTCTATCTCCGACGTTCATCCTAGCGATCTCTCCCAAATTGTCTTCCCCGGTCAAGATTACAACAACGCTCGAGTGCTTGACTTTCAGAATGTGTCTCATTGGCAAGAGAATCAAGTTGACAGAAAACGAACCGGACGCATGGGATGGTCCGATATCTCCATCAGTCTACGCGGCCCTGTTGTAGAAGATCTCAAGAGACATTTTGTAGAACGCTGGAACTACATTTATGACACCAAGTACCGCGAACGCAATCAGCAAAAGTACCAGAGACTGGACTTGTATCGGAGACCCGGCGACAGTCAACTGCAGGGTAACCCCAATCCTACCTCGCAAACACCCCAGCCACCTCAACAGGGTGCGGCTCACCCAGTGCCCCCAAATCAAGGTCAATTGAATTCGGAGCCTCACTGGCAACAAGCACATGCACAGCTACCGACACAACAGCCAGGTCAATCATACTACCCACCACCCGCAGGCCAAGAGCAGCAGTATCCTGGACAACAATATCACACCCCGCCTCCTACACAGCAGTACTACCCGCCGACTTCTCCTAATCAGGGGCAGCAGCTTCCGCCTCCGCCAAATACTCAGCAGCAACAGCAGCAACCACAATGGCAAGGTCAGTCGCAAACCGGTAGTCATTCATACTACCCTCCGCCGCCACCAAGTCAAGAACACCAGCAGCAGTCATCCTATTCTGGCTACTCAAGCACAGGAAACACTCAACCGACAGGGCAATACTATCCACCACCACCCCCCGCCGGCCCTACCCCATCGCAAATTGGCAACCCCAATCCTGGCCAGTATCAGAACACTCCTTCACACTCAAGTTATGATTCCGCACAATATAGCTCGCACTCATCAAATCCAGCACAGACACCGTATTTTCCTCCTCCACCCGGACAAGAGCCACAACAATCACAGACGCAGACACAGACACGGGGCCTTTACGAAGAAGACGGCACTCGAGGAATTGGCGGTGGCTCCGGTCGATCTACCACTGAAAACGTTCTTAGCGATGTACGAGGCTTCGGCCAGTCCCTTCGAGGGCAATTGGCCGGACAGGTCCATCAGTATCAGGACCGCTATATTACCAACTTCGGACGCACCTACGGCAATCAATCGTGTCAGGTGGTGCGAAGCGTTTCGCAATGGAGCGGAGGTATTCCGACGGAGCATTCGGTCCAAGACGCGTATATTGGTGCTATTCGCAACAGTCGTCACTTTGTGTATATTGAGAATCAGTTTTTCATCACAGCCACAGGTGACCATCAAAAGCCCGTTCAGAATAAGATTGGCGCTGCTCTTGTAGAGCGCATTCTTCGAGCTGCTCGTGCTGGTCAGAAGTACAAGGTTATCGTGGTCATTCCATCTGTCCCGGGATTTGCGGGCGATTTGAGAGACGACTCGTCACTTGGTACACGTGCCATCATGGAGTACCAATATAACTCAATCAATAGAGGAGGGAATAGTATCATGGAGCTGATCGCCAAGGAGGGATTCAACCCGATGGAATACATTCGATTCTACAACCTCCGCAACTACGATCGTATCAACACCAACAGCACCATGCTCCAGGCGGAAAAGGCCAGCGGTGTAAACTACGAAGATGCGCGTAAATACCACGACGCTGCTGAAGTGGGATATGGTGGCTATGGCTCTGGTACTCCTGCTAAAGGTTATGACACTACTCAATCGTACGATCAGTATCAGCAGGCAGCAAAGGCCTACCCTTCCGCAACCTCTAGCCGTTGGGACTCGGTTGCTGAATGCTACATGCTAGGTGGACAGGATATCCGCTCAGTTCCGTGGGACAGCGATCTTCCTGAAATTGACGCATTCATTACTGAGGAGCTGTATATTCATAGCAAGGTATGTAATCGATTCTTCTTTGTTGTTTTACATCGCTTGGTACTTTCTGTAATCGCTAATTGATATATGAACAAAGGTTTTAATTGCCGATGATCGAATAGTCATTTGCGGGTCAGCAAACTTGAATGACCGCTCGCAGCTTGGAACACATGATTCCGAAATTGCCCTGGTGATTGAGGATCCTACACCACTAGAGTCCAGCATGGATGGCCAGCCATTCCAGGCGAGTCGATTTGCCGCTTCTCTTCGACGTGAATTGTTTCGTAAACACCTGGGGTTGCTTAAACCTCAAGACTACACGCAGCCTAATGCCAACTGCGAGCCAGTCGGAGTCCCCAATGAGCTTGATCTAAGTAGTCCAGAAAGCCAGGTCGTTGCCGATCCTCTGTCTGACACGTTCCAGAGTCTATGGAACTCACGGGCTCGGACGAACACGGAGGTTTTCCGCAAAGTATTCAACATTGTGCCAGATGACTACGTCCGTAATTGGGATGCCTACAAGGAGTTCTTTGAGTACAACTTTCGCAAAGCGGACATCCAAGCTGAGGGTAAGCGAATTACGAGGCCCAGCAAGTACGAATGGGGCCATGTTGTTCGGGATAACTTTGCACCTGGGCCTGAGGGGGCACAACAGGTCAAAGAGCAGTTGAGTCAGGTCAAAGGCACATTGGTTGAGATGCCGTTAATGTTTTTGATCGAGGAGGACATTGCTAAGGAGGGCTTGACCTTGAACGCGTTGACCGAGGAGGTTTACACATAGTCGGACTAATCAGTGACCGGATAACGTGGTATGACATCCAATTTGGTAAATTTGGTCATATAGTCATAGTTAGTTACTCATGAGAGAATCGTTCATTGCATAAACGGTCGAAACGATATATTCCCTGTACGAGAATGAATGCAGGCCCAGAACTTCTTGAATAGTGTCTTGGTTTCTGGTATCCAATAAATAGGAAGCAAACGACCAGGACGAGAAACGATAGGGGCAGTTAAGCATAAAGAATCGATATTGAAAGAAAATACTGAAACAAAAGGATAAGAAAGAATACACGAGGTGAATGTAGAGTCAAGAATATTAGTTCGAAGTGTTATTACTATTGTTCTGGTGGCTCCAAGCCCTAAGTCGCGGGTGCGGATTGGCCGTGGCTGAAGAACAATACTAAGCAGAACATCATTTTGGCCGACCTGAATGGCAGCGCGAGAGATGGGCCTATCGTCACAACATTAACTAGTCTTGAGTATGATACGGAATTCTTTATTTGCTTCGAGAACAATGGATGGTTATTGGTGCAGTCTATGACATTGTCTGATGCCTTTCCCTCATGCCAGTATCCATTAACGTAGCGATGCTTCAAGCGAAGAGATGGTCCGACTCGAATTTCCGCAATTCTTCATCCTCTCTGCCATTCTTCAACTCAGTTAGTGGCGCTCAGACAAAGGGTCATCCCTGTCATCCACATCTCGCTTACCGAAGTCTACCCAAAGCATCGACGGTTTCGTTGACTTCGTTCGCATCCTTCGGGGAGTCCCGATCTCATCTTTGACGACATAAATAGAACAGCTCATCCCTTCTTTCTGCCCCAGAATCTCTTCTCTTTCACTCATCAGCATACATCTGAGATCATCGACACTCAAAAAGATACTCAAAGTTAAGTACGTTTCATGGTCTATCTTTAGGTTTGGAAGGAAGGCATCAAAGCTGATGTGAAAAAGCGATTTTTGAAACCACTCATATCTTAGCAAAATGGCTCCCAAGTTCAACCCCCTCGAGACCGGTATGTCGAGAAATTATATTGTTGCTATTTTTAATTGAAGAAAGATGGACGCTGACATCTGTGGATTGGAAATATAGTCAAGGCTCCTTCTGGTCCTACCAATGGCTGCGTTATTCTCTAAAGTCCTCTTTTGGCGGACAATGTGACTCTCAGGTATCAAGGTAAGCATTTGATCTTTGGACTCTCAAAGAACGAAGGCTCTGATAAGACTGTTGCAGACAAGTCAAATCATGCCTGCACGCACGTATGAGACGAACATGACATTTCGACGTCATTTCGACGTGACGATCCACTTCTTTTCACTGTTTGATATTCCTCCTTAAAACTGAAAATAAAGCGGGAGCTTCTCGATTTATTTTTGCGATTGATTCGGCCTTTTCCGACAATGCTATACAGTGCGATCATGATCTCTGATCTCATATATCGGACCGATCCTCTCGCATATGATCATTCCGGCGCCTTCACTGAGTTATCAGCCAATATACATATCCCAATCGCCTTATTCGCAAGCCTGGGAACTGCAGGATTCTCAGTGATGGCTTCGTGATATCGTCTTTCTTTGCTCGATGCTGCCCTCCGTTCTTGTGATATATTGACTCTTTTTTTTTTTCGCTATCTTGCTTGTGATATAGTTTCATTTGGTTCAGTGCCGGCATTGTTGATCAACCAAATCGTGTATATTGAAGGGCCTCTTAGTATCCCGAGGTTAATGTACATAATCGACGCTCCTTTGAGTCAAACAATGCGTGTGTAGTTATCTTGATTAATCTTCCAAGTGTAGTTACGTAGAGAAGCTCAAAAGCATGAAATGTAATAAGTCATGGGTATATAGTAAGAGGCTATGCCTTGACCGCTTCGTCTCCGCCATCTCTGAATATTTCATTCAACTTCTCATCAACCTGTTCGATTACATGAAATAGCAGTCCGACAGACTGCGCCATACCGATTTTACACATATCCTCGCCCACCACGGCTTCGATACGCCCATCGCCACCATTCTGCACCAAGTCTTCTTCGAATGTGCGACATGTTAATTTCAAGGGTTCGAGAAAGTTCTTGCGGAATGAGGGATACTCATTCTCTATCTTGAGTAGTTTGCGAAGTTGAGCCGAGCTGATAATGACATAGTATAAGTTTAGCGCGGCATGAAGGTAAGGTGCGAGAGATTGTGAAAAGCGAATCCATGAGATGACTATTCCTGTTGACATATCAAGAGACCGAAAGACGGAAGCGTTGTAGAGAGATGCCGAGATTTTTGAAAATTGTTGTGGGTCGCTGAAGATGTTATCATTTTCCTCATGTGTCTTTGCTGGCGTCAATATCTCGTCTTTGAGCCAGCCTACCGCGCTTTCTCGTGCGTAAGATAACTCGTCCTTTTGTATAATATCCTGTATCAAATTAAATCGGGATGTCGGTGACGGATTGCTATGCACTATGACCGCTGGAATGTTCCGGAGACCATTGTAGGTCTGACGACAGCTGCACCTTGTCAATGCTAATACCAAAGTTTGAAATTGCTGATCATCCGCTGGCGTCTCGACCTCTTTCTGGGACGAAATTATAGTAAGTGCTAAGAGCGCATCATGAAGAGCTTGCGCCTGTTCGTCTGGAGCCTCATCGGTGATTCCATTACCGACAAAATTTGACAAAATCACTTCCATAGTTGGATATATCGGGATACGTGCCGTTTCAGCACCTTCAAACAAAGTGGCAGCTGAAGACCGCGCAGCCAGCAACAGCAAAGCACCATGTCTTTCCAGTGGAATTTCCTTTACTGACTTTGGTGCCTCTTCAAAGTCGAGAGGTGGGGGATGAGATTCTGCTGGGGTTGAAACGATGGCCAGGAGATCTTCATCTTTGATACCAATGTCCCGTGACAGGGCCTGATAGAGTCAATCATTCTGAAAAGGAATTGAAACAGCGAAACAAGGGATAAACGCACGCAAATCCTTCCAACTATTAAATCTCGTTCCTTGAGTTGTTCATCCTCTGTATACATTCGAATCCTCGAGTTTTGATCTGTTGAGGATTTTCCCCGTTGATCTGATTTCTCTAGCAATCTCAATGCAAACCATAATCCAGATTTATCCGGAGTCGTTAGACTGAGCATATACGTTTTCAGAACCTCGATCAGGCCAAACTGTACCAACTTTTGTTGCACTGCTGTATCAACGGATGCCGTTGGTTCGTCATACACAGCTTCGGGGTCGGGTGCAGATGCTTGTGACACCCGTACCGCAGAAGAGCTGCTTGTTCCACGAGGAGGTAGCGTAGGTCGTTTCGACGGCGAAAGATCGCGGAGAAATTCTAGTATCGCGTTGGTTGTCTCATTTGTCGGCATTGAGCTGTAAGCTTCTAGCGCAGCTTGTAACGACGTTGCGATGAAACGACTGGGGTATTGGGTCTTGATGCGACGGTGAAGGACGGACAACATAGCAACCAAACAGTTGAATTGCATTACATGTCGAGGAACTTCCGTTGTCTCCAAGGCTTGCTCGCTCGACTCATCCTCGCTCTCGTCGTCATCGCCAGGTTCTAGCTTCATTAAGCTATCTGACACCCTTAATATAACTTCTCGCGGATTTCCAAGATGGGCCACATCTTGTAGGCAGTCTTGCGATTGTGGAAGCATGGGCAAAAGAATCTGGACCAAGTCCCAGCCGATGTTTGTTGTCAGGACCTCATCTTGTAACAACCGATGCAGGGTCGGTAGACGGGCAGGGGTGAGCTGGTACTCGAGTAGGGTCAGGTACGTCAAGTAATCGGTCGCCGGGGGCAAGGCTTTGATGAGTGGGTCATCGCTTTCGGAAGCCATGTTGAAGTATAGCAGCGCTATTCTAATCAAAGTTGAGGTTGTATGAGGAGCAATGCGAGGATGGCTTAGCAGGAGACTAAGAACTATCACCCCGCACAAGGTGGACCGAGCCAACAAATGACATCAGCGGCAGTTGCAGTGCGGGAGAGTCGATATTTGTATATGTACAGCCTTGTATGGAAGTAAGTATTTGCAGTCGGAGCGAGGAGATGTGTAGAAGGAAGAGAGTATGTAAGTAGTAGAGATAGTGCACTGAACACTTCCAAGGTTGAATGTAGGGTAATTGGCCCAAGGAAGGTGCAACCTCCTTCCCGAGGGGTCAATTGGTGCCTGAGGGATTATTGTCACGGGTTCTCTCCAGCCCTAGTTTGTTCACGATACATCGATGCATCTAAAATGCACCACAAATATCGTTTGGCGCACAAGGAGACAGCGGGAATCTTTAATTTATCCGGTCGCGATAACTTCGATTCCACGTTCAGTCCCCAAGTCCTCTCGTTCGGTATCGTTAGCGATGCTATGTACAGCACGCTGCTGGCCTGGCCAGCTGAATTGCATATACCAAACGCCGTACTCCGTACTGTTGTCGAACTTTCAGGGTTGGCTTCCGACATCTGGAGTCCTGAAAATAAATAGGGATCTACGACTACTATGGTGGTTGAGAGGAATAGAGTTAGGCTGTGGCCCACTTGGCCAATCTGGCGGTCGAGCCCCGAGTACGATCTTTGATATACTTTGTATATATGCCGTAGAGCTTACATCAATGTACCAGGTAGCAGGAAAATCTTGACAAGACTACTTCACAGTATGCAACCAGAGATATTTTGTGTTTCTAACTCACCTCCAAACTGAATCTCTTCACCCAGCCATTGCGTCATTGCATAAGGTAATTTTTCTCTTGGGCGCGCTGATTCGCGCTTACGTGAACGCCAACGCTCCGAAGCATCCGAACGCCCCATCTGAGCATCCGACATGATGCATTCGTCTTTGGTCTTGACTTGTAGAAATCCAATATGCAAAAAAGAAAATTCCACCTGATGGAATGGATCATGGAACGGGGCGAAAGTCTGAGAGGTCGGTGTCTGCTGATCAACTTATTTGATAGCTCTTTCCCATCTTCACCTCTTTCCCACCTTTCTACCCTCTCCCTTCTGCTGCTGCTGCCCAAGACACAGTCAGCTCCTAGCTTCTAGCTCCTGGAGGCCGTCGGAAATAGCTTCTTCGGTGCTTATTCATCCCACTAATCGGCATTATTAATCTGCCTTCGCTTCGTGCGTGCGCAATTTCTGAGCTTTGAGCCGCCTTCTCCAACTATTGCTATAGCCCAGTCGGTCACGATCTCAGTCCGTGAAGCTTGTCCAGCTTACCGTATTTCGCCCTGGAACCTGCGAAATTCCCTCGAGTTGCTTCGCGTATTGCTTATTTTCTCCGGCCACCTGGTTGGCTTTAAAAATAGGCTCCGCTGCCAGTGCTTCGTTGTTTCTTGCGCGGAGCTATAACCACGTCGCGAAGCTGGGCATCGTCGTTGAGCACAGATTCAAGAACGTCATCCCTCCGATCTCTGTTCGCAAGTGAAGAAAACATGGCTACCGAAATGGGTTCCTTTTATACACCTTCCACGACAGCCCATGTGTCGCAGCACTCGTCACCCATAGTCGATGAGCTCATCAGTAAGTATTCGTCGTCCATGAGCACAAGCTATCGCACCGCAACGTCGCACGGCAAAAGTCACAATTATGTTCGACGCTGCGTCGATCAGATCCGTCTACTATACTATCGATATGAGGTGACATTCGGTGTCTACGTCATGACCCCCGGAGAAAAATTTGTCGCAAACACTTTTGTCTTGGTGTCCCTGTTGCTGCTCATCTGGGCCTCTCTTCTCTACTTTCCACAGCTACTTTTCCGGAAGATAGGACGTATGACCTGGCTTCTTACGGGTCACAGCGAAGATGTGACTGCGCTTGCTGGCATCTTTGAGCAGAGTTATCTCAGTCCGACGGCAGCAGCTGCGATCCCCGCAAGTTCCATGGTGTCTTGATTGCGTGCGAGTTCCTTTGAACGATGCTCCTGCCACTGTACAACACTTGTCTTTGTTATTTCGCGCCGTGCTGCGATGATACCATGTTCGAGCTGGATTTTTGCTATTCCTTCGCGCTAGAAGCATTGCAACACTATATGGCGCCGCGGGCATTGGATGGCCTGTCATTTTCATCTTTCTTATCTGCTTTTGAGTACCCTTTATTTGGCGCAAACCCGAAGTTTTCTGCACTTTCTCCTGCTCTTTGCAGACGGCTTTCAACAGGAGAGAATGATTAATGCATATACAAACGAAACGTCACGAATTAGCGGATGGATGCCCTCTTTTATTTGGCGAGCCGACTATCATTCTATGAACATAATGCGAGGAGGATAAGGAGGGTGGTACCTAGTCTTGAAGGATTGATTTTGCATGGGACGAAATCGGACGGACACTGAGCGTGGAGGATTGGGTGTACTAATAATATTTTAATTATCATTGACAGCCCTCGCTTACTACTCTGCACTGAAAGCCCTTCATGGACAATTACTTATCATTAACTACCACTCTGAGAGAAACGCTTTACTATCTGATTTTTATTTTTTCTGCAACCAAAAGCTAATCAGTGTAACGCGTTGGACATGAAATTGCCTGAAATCAAGGCATGATAGAGAAGCATCAAACAGCCAAAAACACCCCGGTCCAGAAGTATATTCCGGCATCCTGCCCATGCTCAAGTGCAACCCCATTGAAATGCGATAGATAGAAACTTTGCGTAGAGATTGAAATAACCACGGCCGTCAAATTACAGATGATTATTTCAGAAGATATAGAGGTGCAATGTTGATGAAGAGGTTAACTTAAAATACGAAACAAGGGTATCTTTCTATTCTCACTATTGACTCCCTCCGCCTTTGAATATGCTTTCGGTTCTGACCGGCTACTTGCTCGAGTAGAGAAAAGGTGTAGATGAAACGGCGGCTAGATTATGATGAAGTTGATGTGGTCGTTAGGTCCAGATTTCCTACGCTACACCAGTTCTTGATGGGCTATCAAAGGATGTTAGCTCCGGAGCTTCACATGGTGTACACGCCAAAAGACTTACCAGGCAACTCAATCGGTAGCACCAAGAACAGTTCGACTTGGGGTATTTATAAAAATTCGTCACCAACAGGATAAAGCCAATGATCACAGCGACTAGAGCTCCAGCGCGAACTAGCCACCACGCCCACCAAAGCGGTTTCCTTCCTTGAAAGACACCGATGAAGCGTCCAGTGGTCATTGAACGGTTCGGCTTGCTGTTGTCAGAATTGTTGTTGGTGATGTTGCTATTATTGTCGTCGTCAGCGGGAGGAGGACCAGCGCCACCGCTCATGACCACATATGGTCTACGCTGAAGGCCGATTCGTTCACGTATATAATTGGGGGATCGCATCATGCAGAGACCCATGGCTAATCCCATGATAAATCCACCAATATGAGAGAAATTGTCGAGACCGGGGAGCAGTCCCAACACAAATGAAACGGCGATTTCGATGATCAGGAAGATTAATTCGACCCATGGGCTTCTTCTTTCGCCCCAGGTGTACAGGAGATCCAATAGACTTAATGCAACCAGCCCAAATAATGCGCCCGAAGCGCCAGTTGACGAAATACCTTGCGCTGCGTAATTACCGCCCATCACAAACCCAAAAATGCCGCTTGAGAAATAAACCAGTGCGTAACGCCACCATCCAATCCTCCTCTCCATATCTGCCCCGACAGTCATTTGCATAAGCATATTAAATCCGATGTGAATAAGCCCGGCGTGCAAAAACATAGGCACAATGAAACGGAACCACTGATTGGGTTCCGGCTGGTCGTCTAGAGAGCCATTTGGTTTAGGATTCGGCACACCGCTGAATCCACATAGCTCCGACAGGGTACACTGATTCATAGAGGAGCTGGCGTCAGATGAAGTTGTGTTTGGGCATGGCCAACTGATCGTTGTGTTCGCATCTTGGACACCGGGGATATTCTTCATGCACGCGACAAAACGAGAGCCCATATTGATCTGAACGTAGGGAGACGGTCCGATCATAGGGTTGAAGCTAGGGTGTATTTCGATGGGACTGCCAGTCAGTTGGGCTAAAAGATGTTAATTAAACTGCACAATATTTCTCCTTCTTAGAGCTAAGCATGTGTACTTACCACTATAGATCAATTCTCCAACAAATACGCCAATGTCGACTGCTGTCAATAACCATGTAACCCATGGAGTCTTCTTGCCAAAAAATCCCCCTTTCTGAGTCCGCCTTCGCTTTTTCCTTGTGCCCATCACTGGATCCATTGGCATTCCTGCGTCGTAATTTGTATTTTCATTCATCCAGTGTGAACCAGGAGCCTGCGGCGGCTGGGCATTTGCTTTCAGCGGGATGTCTTCTCCATACTGGTCAGCAGGATGATTTCTCCCGCCCACAAAAGGGGTATCATCGGTGAAGGAGTTCTGACTGTATTGGGGCTGATGACCGTAGTTGTCGGGATGGGAATTGTAGGGTGTTTGCGATGCTGTGGAAGGAAAGGCATGTAATTGGTGTGAATCGTCTACCGGGCTCTTGTGGTTGTAGTCATCGTCATGGTAGGAAGGGGGTTGACTGTGAGTAGGTTGAGGTCGGAAATCACCATAATAGTCGTTGGCAGCCATTTTGAGATGAGGTCGTTGCTAATGACCCAACAACGGGGTAATTGGAGACCGTGATCAGCGAGAACGGCGAGACTCTCGTGGAGCAGCTATCGTAAATGCCTATATGGTATGTTGTCGTTCGAGCACTACTTCGGGAGCGGATATGAAACGCTGGGCTGAGCACTCTGTAACTCGGTCGATGCGCAGTACTCCTGAGGGTTTGCAAGTGTATACGAAAAAAAGGATGCAAGTGAAATGAACGACTGACTATTGAATGAGCAATGGAATAAATGATCGAAGAGAAGTAAAGAGATGATGAAGAAATAATAAGATGAGACAAAGTTCATGAGTTGTACGGAATACGGAGTAAGAGGGGCGGTGCAGGCGTCCCTGACCCAGACCAAACAGCCAAGCTGATCCGCCGCTAAGCCGCGTAACGTATTCTTAGCATCAGGCTGCAGCCCAGCAATGTAGGGTAGCTATGTGATGTGCGTGGGATGTGCTCTGTGGATATTTCTCGAGCATGGCGATCGATGGACTCACTTGTTGACCCAAAGGATCACTACTTGCTTTGTATATGCGTACTGCATGATATGGATGGTATGTAATATATGTAATTATGCATGGATGGATGCTCATGAAATCGTGGCTGAACTCTGTGTGAGGCTGAGAGGGAGCGACGTAACGCAATACGTACATACACAGAGCCAGTCAGCATCCGTAATGTCAGACACTAGTGGGCTCCCGTACGGCGTACTACTCACACCGTTAGCGCAATACGTAGGAACTTGTCGCGGACTCGTATTATTAATAACAACAATTCGTCCGAGATCCCGAAACATTGATACAACACTCAAAGGCTGCCGTCAATCAGACACAGGCCCCTTGACTACCCATGATGTCTGTCACCACCTGATCTGCTTGCACTATCGACGGCAACGGTACATGTGCGTGGTTCGAGTTTATGTGATAGACTAGATATCGCCGCGAATATTCACGTTATCGTCTCGTTCAGCTGGCATCCTCGGGCCACTTGTTACCCCGACGCAACGGATGAAAAGGCATGCGCTTCTACGACACCAGCTCACTTTCGCTCGTTTCGCTCGAGAATATCGACCCCTCACCAAAGATAGAGAAATCACCAATTGAGAATAGCGTTTACAATTCCTAGTAAATGGCAACCTCCGGCTCCCCGATACTGTCCCCCAGACGACGGGTCCGCTCGCTGGCCCGCGCTGTTGAGCGAACATGTGTCATAGTAGCTTCATACTTTCCTTTGGCATTCGTCTATGGCTTGACTACTTGGGCGGTATGGGTTGACGCTGGCATTGGCTTTATACCTACAAAAAGCAGATGGTTAGGTGTGTTGCGCCCTCGCCAGCTCCTCGATCATGAATTAACCACTTTCTTTGTTTCAGGTTTACCCAGCTCAGCAGTAGGGATCATTTTATATATATTGCTGAATCTATCGTATACGGTTGCCGTATTTACGGATCCCGGTTCACCCCTCGGTTCGTCGGATAAACGCGGCAGCGGCCGCGGTCAATATAGTCATCTTCCTACCGCCGAAATGCCCGAATACCAGAGCTATACAGTCAATAGACATGGCGGTGCCAGATTCTGCAAGAAATGTCAGTGCCCGAAACCTGATCGAGCCCACCATTGCTCGAGCTGCAAGAGATGTGTTTTAAAGATGGATCATCATTGTCCGTGGCTGGCCACATGCGTGGGACTCCGCAACTACAAGGCATTTATGCTCTTCCTTATTTACACGTCAATATTCTGCTGGGCGTGTTTTGCGACAGCTAGTTTATGGGTCTGGGACGAAGTATTGAATGATGTCGTATACGCCAACACTTTGATGCCTGTGAATGTTATTTTACTCGCCGTTATCTCTGGCATCATCGGCTTGGTGCTGACCGGCTTTACTGCCTGGCACATCAGCCTCGCTGTACGAAATCTAACTACCATCGAGTCGTTAGAGAGTACCCGATACCTTTCCCCTCTACGCAAAGCCCTCGATCGCCAACGTGGTGATTATCAAGCAGCTCATGGTCAGAGCGCTGACCATGCTACGAGGAATGGTGGCTTTGGCCAGCGACTACAGGGATATGGGCAGCAAATACTTGAGGCGCATGCCAATGCTATTCCAGGTGTGACCCGTGCAGAAGAGGGCGAAGAGAGGCCTTCACCAATCGCAGAAGCCCAACACGGCCACTCTCAAGATTATATGTCGTTCCTGCGGGAATCCAACACTCACGGCACGCCCGCTCAAAAGGCCTTACATCGTTCATATGAAGATCTAGAAAGGCAAAGAGAGCGTGAGCGATATGAAGACTACCTTGACTCACGCGATAGTGATAATATTCCCAGTCCCTTCAATCACGGATGGAAGCAGAACCTGCGACACTTATTTGGCGACAATCCGTTCCTCTGGGCTCTTCCTATTTGTAATACCTCGGGCGATGGTTGGTATTGGGAGCCTAGTCCTGCATTCCTCGAAGCAAGAGATCGTATCAGAGAAGATCGTGATCGCGAAATGTCACAGTGGTTAGAACGACAACGACAGCAATCTCATGATCATTGGATGAACAATAACAATACAGTTCAAACTTCGACCAGACCGGTACCCTTGCCACGCTTTCCCAAGAATGAAACCAATGTTTCTCAGCCGAATTCTGGAGTTTCAATGACTACTCTACGGCCAAAATCTCCACGAGTCCATCATGAAGACAGCGAAGATGACGAACACGATTTGAATTCGGACGATGATGATGAGCTACAAAAACCGAGACGAGGACGGAATGGCCATTCACCCGGGAGCAAAGCTGATAGAGTGCTTGGTATCTCTCGAGATCAATTTGGAAGCCCGAAAGATGAATGGCGAGACTGGGATTAGTTTTGCTGGCTATGTACATGTAATTATTTTGGCGCAAATATGTGTTTCAAGCTTATTCACGATGCTACTACATATCTGTCTGGCGTTTGAAATCCTATTTGAGGTTGCATGTGTAAATATATATTGGTACGGTGGAAACGATTTTTTTTTATTTGGCTATCACAAAGACCCTGGAAATATGCGCTAGGGTTAGAATAAGTAGAGGGGTTAGGGTTAGTGGCATTACGTATGCCGGGAGTTACCCTGGTCACCGCTATCTTCCTAAATGCCAGCTGGTCATTCTTTCCAAGCGACTTGTCTTAGTCAACAACATCCAGCCTCTTATTTTCTTCTTGTCTTATCCTCTCATTCCAGCACACCGTATATCCCACGAGTCGCGATTTTAAAAACACTCACTGCTGGCAGTTTGGAGTCTGCAAGTCGCCTATTACCGTCACGCTATCGCTTGAGGGGAAATTGCTTGAGGGGAAATAGATCACATCGTCCAGCCATTCGCCATACAATACCTAGAAACACAGCCATCAGGAGTCACACTTCTCATAAATCCCAATTCCCCATTCTTTCTCGTCATCGCCTTTGATCTGAAGGACGGGTAACTGCCTGCATGCAGCAGGACCCTGCGCGAAACTACAAAGTCACGCAAGGATAGCCACATCAGCAACGAATAAACCATGTCGCCCACCATCCGGCGATTAATGAAGGAGGCGGCAGAACTCTCAGAATCTTCGCCTTCCCCGTCTCCACATTTTTGTGCACACCCTGTATCTGACTCGAATCTATTCGATTGGCACTTCACACTGGCTGGCCCGCCAGCTCCGTCACCATACGCCGGAGGAATCTACCATGGCCGCATTGTCCTGCCACCGACATACCCATTAAGACCGCCGTCGTTTCGCTTTCTGACACCTTCCGGACGTTTTGAAGTTAATCGCGAAATCTGTCTAAGTATCAGTGGCCACCACGAGGAAACGTGGCAGCCTGCGTGGGGGATTCGCACTGCACTGACAGCAATACGGAGCTTCATGGATGGAGACGCCAAGGGACAACTAGGTGGTTTAGATGCACCAGAGGATGTCCGGAGGATGTGGGCTGAGAAAAGTCGAACATGGAGCTGTGATTGTATGAACGGAAAGACAAATGAGCAAACTCTGATTGAGTGGCGCGCGATCTGTTCGCAAAAGGGCATATCCGTGGACGACCAGGATCGCGAGACCGTACCCAAGGAACTGAGGATGAGTTACAAGAAAAGTTCTCCAGAAGGTCAATCGCAATCGTCGTCGGTCAATGCAACTGATATAATTGAAGAGTCCACTGCACTTTCAACTGAAGGCAATGGAAATTCAGCAACCACTATAAGCTCGGCACAGCAAGAACCCTCGCGATCAACCTTAATAGATACTCCAACTCGTAGTCCCCAGGTTCCTCCATCCTCTGAGACTAACACATCCACAACAACTTCACAGTCAACACCCACAGCTACGGTAGCGACGGTGACATCTACAATTACATCGCACAACAGCACAGTTGGCAGATCAGTAAACACACAAACAACCTCCTCTCAAGATGGGCCCTGGCTGGACCGAGCCATCGTCGGCGTTCTCATTGCCCTGATATTTATGATAATGAGACGGATCGCTGTTTCAGAAGATGTATAACCATCCAATATTATCGGCTTAAATTCTCCATAATAGTATTCGACCATTAGCTATACCCCGTTACAGTTACATTCCTTTGATAGATGAGCGTTCTTGGTCGAATCCGATTTTTTCTTCAGATTTCATGTCGTGACATTTCCAATCAAATTTGTATCATTTGCGACATGAAAGGTTGTTTTGAATCCGCAAGAATCAGAACCCTGGATTTCACTCATTCCCCCGTTTCTAGTCTATACATGGATAAGCTATTTATACATATTTAATCGATCAGAAGAGAAAAATATAAAATAATACAAGATCGAAAACCAATTAGGCATTCCGCGATTGATCAAGCCCAGATCATCCACCAGTACTCTCTTACTGACCAGATACCCTGATCACCAGCACCACCTTCGTTTTCAGCCAATCCATTCTTCTCAAGCCAGACAAGCACACGTTCGATATCCCAGGGTGCTAGGAATTTCTGGAGTTGCTCGTGAAGATTGACATAGTCAATCTTCGGCCGTATTGCAAGAATACCCACTATTGCCGATACAATGGACTCCCATAAGTCCTCGTGCACGTTGCCATTGATATCCAACCACAATGGAAGCTTTGCCAAAGGCTTATTGCTTCCGTTGCCACTCATAAGACAATTTATTTCCTCGTCTTCAATAGGCGGGTAGCGCTCACTAGTTTTGTTCCTAACAGGATTACCATATTCGTATCTGCCGCTGTCCGGAACGACATCCACCTGGAATTTGAAAATTGCTTTGTCCAAAGTTCGTGTTTCATAATTACCTTCAGTGAGACCAAATGGATCTGCAGGAGGATCGTTAGGAAAGATATGCACCCGTCCTTTGGCTGCCAACGCCATGACTGCAAGGACTTCTCCATCTGATGCATCATATTTTATTTGAGATACCCCGTCGCGTTTAAAATCATCGTCAAGCACACGCTTGAATCTTGAGGCTTGGTGGAGGATTTCTGAGTCGATCGCTCTTCTGCGTCCAAAGGTCAGATGAAGGTTATCCGTGAAAATGAAATTGCGGCCCGGAACAACACGGCCACGATTGACATGCGAAATGAAGCGATCACGGATGAGCTCCTTGATTGCCTCTTCGACAATCCCATTCGAAAGCCGCGATAATTTACTGCTGGCATCGTTAGCATCGTACGTTTCTTCTTTGGCGACTATATTTGATAATATCCAGCATTTGGCTGCTTTCTTGTCTTCATTTGGATTGCGACTGGCGTTGTCCGCAGTACTCAGCTTGCTCAGAAATGGTCGTGAGGCAAAAAGTGACTCTCGTTTCGCGAGGCTCAATGCAGGATTGGACGTATAAATCATTTCGAATTCATCAGAGACTTGATCTATGCGATGTGCGAGGTCCTGTACCAAACGTGCCCGCGATCCTGGCAACATAGGTACATCTCGAGCCGAAGGTGAGTAGTACTGTGCAGTTGCCCATGTGACTGCCGCATCCCAGTCATAAGATGCCATGTTATTGAAGTTGATAGTCGGAATTGAGGAATTCTCTTTCCTATATTCAGCGAGTAGTTTGACCCGAAATTCATCCTGCATCTGTGCGAGCTGGCGTCGGTCACGATTCAAAAGCAGTCTACCGGTCATTCTGATTGCTTCTGGATCTTCTTGCGGAAAGGCCTTGGTCACCAAATCCCAATCCACAGTCCTGCCAAAAGTTCCTCCAGCGATAGTTCTAACGACAACTATTCCGTGTTTGATCCGTTCAATCATCGAGCTGGACAGATACTTCAACCCTCTGCGTCTTCTCCTTACTGAAGCCGAGCTGGCCTTTCCTTCAGCCTGATGATCGTAGAGCACTTCTTCTTCTTCTTCTTCCACTGAAATTGATGGCTGAAGCGCTTGTGAAGCAGTAGCTTGTATATACAATTCTTCTTCTGTTGGTTGCTGAGTTTGAGCGATGGACCATAGCTTCGGTGCATTCTCGGCGGACGCCTGCTCTCGCGACGTTACAGGCTTGAATATCGTTTCAGGAGCAATGGAGGATCTGCGTTGTCGTCTTCTGAGACTTGGCATGGAAGACGAAATCTGTCTCGTTTCTTTCTCCCCTGCAAAGCGTATATTGCCGACGATCGGTGCTTGTTCGAAGGCTTCATTGACAGTGTGGTGAATGAAGCTAGTGTCATCTTCTGTGGAGTCTGGATAGAAAGCTGAATCTCTCTCGGCGTCATCCAATAACATATTCCTTAATTCCCATTGCGAAACATCTTCAAGGTCGCCCAGAAATCGATCATATCGGGAATCCGCATATGTTCGTTTACGTCGTTTGACTTCTGAGAGTGGTCGATCTGACAACGTCTGACGCGATCGACGTTTAATTTTTGTAGACGGGAGAACATCGATATCCGTAGGTATAGATTCTTCCAGTGGCTGTCCTTCGATTTCAGGAGGCGGCCGAGGTTGACGTTTCATGACTCTCTTGCTCACCGGCCGGGAGAATGAAGTGATACCTTCGGAAGTGTGATGTCTGCCTTTGTGCTTGATACCCATCAACCGAATGGGCTTTGACAGTTGTTTGTGTATAGCCTGCTCTTTTCTTCTCTCTACTGCTATGACAGATGCAGGCTTTGTCCGTAGGTTGACGGTTATTGCGGGCTCAATAGGCAACTGTTTGGTGTAAATGCCTGTCGGCGCACCACTGAGACCGCGTAGGATCCTCGTAATATTGGCGTCTACTTCGACATTATCTGGCACATAGTAGTTTGACTTCAAGACCTCCTCCTGCATTCTTGTCACCAATGGACTAGAAGGACTAAGTTCTGGTGTCATGACGATACTGCGGGTAACCATGAAGCCTTTTGGACCTTTGCCACTGAACGTTATCTGTCGTAACTTCCCACTGTCAACAAGATGTTTTACCACATTTCTTATCGTTCGTGAATCCGGCTTCTCAGTATGCTTGAGATGCTTCATCCACACCGTGGAATATGCGTGCCAAATTTCACTTCCTGATGGAAACGCCCCTCCAGCCTGGTTTATAATATCCATGATAATAGTACGCCTCAAACGAGCAACAGAACCTTCTTTGTCCAAACGTCGGCTTTTGGAATATATGACCGGGGTTGGAGGTATCGCATCATGTACGGGGCCAGAAATGGTAGCTTCAGCTGTATTTTCTATTGCATCTGATAGAATGGTTTTCGAAAAATGCGTAGGGACGTCAGGCTCCGACTGATTATTCTCAGGGACACGTCTCGCCGCTGGTGTCGTAGGCTTTGCAGGTAGTCCTTCAGCTTCCAAAATGGTAGCGTCCTGTGTTTCAGGGGCGTTGGGGTTAATTTTCGGGGATTTTGACGCAGTGGACCTGGATGCGGGGATCACCGATGTAGGTACGACATCATCCTGTTTGTCAACTTGAACTTCAGGGATTGAAGAAGCGGATTCGCGATTTGTTTGGTCTGATATATGCATCGTCTCTGATGTCGAATCGTCTTTTGAGATCATGATTGACGGTTCTTGGCAAATGGCTCGTGCTGGGCGCGAGACAGGTGTTCGTAGATTAGGAGCATAAGAAACATCTGTTGCAGCTCGGGGAAGTGATTTGAGGTAACCGATGAGACCGGAGCTCCTGAAGATTGCGATTCGGCTTTCCTTGGGACGCCCCTGACGTTTGCCGGCAGGTCGTGCTTTTCCTTTGGCCGTCATATAGACCCCAGGAGCATTTCGCTCCATCAGCCGCACGGCTACATGTGTCCAACTTTCGTCTAGACCGAATGCTGCAAAAACCTCTCTGGCAGACTTTTCACCTTTCTTGAGCTCCGCTTCGATCTTTTCTGCTTTCGTCATTGGCGCATACCTCGGGGTCTCGACCAAGGTCTCAACGACAGGATCCGGCAGAGATTCGATCAGTGTCTTCTCAACCGCTTTATGGGTCGTTGGCGGTTTGAGAAAGGACCGATGACCCGGGAAACTGTCTATATCACGTGGAAATACAGCCACTGCAGTCTCATGTCAGTAAGGTCTTCCCGTGACCGGCTGAGAAGGGCTTACCAAATTCGCCATTTTGATTTGCCATAGGGACAGGATCGCTTTTAGTGGTTGTATAGCTGGCAGGTCCCTTGAATGACACCACACAATAGTGATCACGCTCGGTTACTCCTCTTCGATGAGCTTTGAAAGGTGCCAAGCCGTCTTGGTCCGTCGTGGGCAGAGTATCTGGGGGTGGCATAGCAAGCTTGGAGCTTTTAGTGTCTCTCGGACGAAAAGTCACCGCTTCCCAATCAGCGCGGCCAGTTTCGACTAGCTGCTTAAAATTAGAATATGAATAGTGAACGTAATGTGTCACCGTGCCATTCAATGCAGTGTCTCGGACGATGGCGCTACCTCTGAGATGCGATGGTTGGGAAAGCTGCCAACACTCAGTGATGCGATTCAAAGTGTTTTCACTTGGGCGACGAAAGACTTTTCCAAAGCCATCTCTGATAACTTCGGCATTAGTTTTTCCTGCAATGCCGCTTTCTTTAATAAGACAAGCAATGATGTTTGCAAAATTTGCATCGGGGGTCCATCGAATGAGTCTGTGGTCATAGGCCTGTACGTCCGCTTGTTCTTCTGCTTCTTCGTTTTCTTGATCCGTTGCGGACAATATAGTCTTGTAGTCACTTTTGAACAACTTCAAGTCGACCTCTGTGGGTTCACGAACCAACAAAACGCAGGGATGTAGAGTATCCATAGTGTCGTGGAACTGCGATCGTGCTTTAACTCGTTGCACACAACCGATAGCCTCAAGTTTCCGAACCGCTCTGCTCAATATACGCCGTCGCCATGTGTCACCAAAACCAAGCTCATCTTTAAGGTCACTCCGAGCTATGATCTGATATTTCTTGAGGATGCGGAATATGTCCTGACAAAAGCTATCGAAGTCAATCATGTCCTCGGATTGTGCCGACTTGGCTGCCGGCCCTTCGGCGTCACCATCGCCAAGATTGGCGAACCTTGAAAGCGTGCACAGGCTAGTTTTTGCCGACTTAGCTTGCACTTGACGTTTGTCGATGTAGCCCTTTGTCCTCAATGCGTCGGTCCGTTTCGGCACTGACCGAGCATCCTGGCCACTACGACGAACCAATTCGGTCTGCAAAATTCCCTGAGACCGGTAAGAGGCGATTATAGAAAGCAAGAAGAACTCGGTAGCTGGGACTCTAGATTCGTCCTTTTCGTGACCTGTGAGGGCTTTCCAAGTGCGTTCCTCGGAAACAAAAAGCCGAAGTTCCGAGTTTGCCTCCGCTTCAGATAAGCTCAGGCCATTGTGCTCCTTATTCTTGCCGACGGAGACCTCTGGGTTCAACGTCAACCACTCCCAGAGGTCTTCCTGTAGGGCGCGATCCAGATGGAAAGCCGTGTCATGCCCGGGGTCGGATGACTTGGAATTATAAAAGGTTTCAACCAGACTCCATATGTCCGCCAAGGGGGTTCCTAAGCGAGATCAGCGCAGTCCAGCCACGGGGGCAAAGGCGGGAGAAAGTGGATTGCATGGGTATTGCATGAATGTAATAGAGGTAGGAAGTTGGAGAGATACGGAGTCAACGAGTTGAGTCGCAGAGACACGTGATCTGCCGCAACAGCAGGAAGGAGGGAAGGGGAGAAGGAGGGAAGGAGGTTCTTACCGTCGGTGCCGCTGATGGCAATTTCAGTCAGCAAAAGCTCAATGAGTTCGCGGAGTGCCCCGGCCATCGTGATGAGGCTCATCAATCCATGGAAGAGTTGCGAGTTTCTTTCCGTGTATGCGCGAACTTTTTTGAAAAAGCGAGCAGCCGGAGTTTCGAACGCGTGACGGATCGATGAAAAAATCCAGGAAAAAAGGGAAGCTCGAGGCGGCAAGACGCCAAGACCATGTCTGGCTCTAGCCTTTCTAGGTTAGATTGTTCCGGTTTGCCCCGCCAATAACGTATGAGGGCGTAGATTTCCTGTTTGGGCCAATCTCTGCAAAATGTTCGAGTATCGCAAGCAGAACAAAGCACATGTACACGATAATCTAAAATGTGATTATACTTCTACTCGGGCTTATCAGGCTGCTGAGGAGGCTGGCGAGCTACCAAATCAAGTGAAGGGGCACGTATCATCGCGTGGCGCAAAGCGGTAGTACTACAAAAACGAGGAGTCTCGACCATCCTCGTATGTCAATAATGCGCCTTGAAGGGATCAAATTCCACCGTTAGGACAGAAATCAATGGAGAAGTGAGGACAAAGAAAAGATCAAGCAGAACAAAGAGTAGACAGACTGCTGAGGGTGGGGAAGAGCGCGGCTCAGAACTCGAGAGTCACAGGAGGTGAATAGGTGCGAGATGCCACCTGTGTGACTATCTCTGCTAAAGGCCAGACGTATCGCTAGGCTTGTTTCTTTCGGTTATCATCTCTCCAATCGCAGTTACCTCAGCAAGGTGTTACTTCTAGGTTCATTAGTGTTCGTCGTCGTACAGAAAACACATCATACCTGTGTAACCAACTTAGGCACTTGAAAGCTTACTTTGAATACCTCTGATACTCAGCTCTTTGTGAACGAAGGATTGCACGATATCGATGTGTTCGGACAGCTGTGGATGTTCAAAGGATATGAATTAGTCGCGCTGCTCGTTAGTTAATGGAACTACGTGTAAGTAGCTGGCAGCTCGAGCGCTTCTAAGCATCTGCTTCTATTACCGGTTCAGGCATGGATACCTTTCTCGTATTGCTGCCATGAGTGCCTCATCCTCTCTCGCAGGGGTAGGACCGTCAAATGTTAAAGAATCACCAGGAAACTTGAAGCATTGCGCTACAAAATACCCTCGCGAGATTAGCCGACCACGAACTATTGTGATTAGCAAAGGAAATGATAACATGCAGCTGCATATTGCTCGAACATTGGTTACCCATGAGATATGCTCCTTTCACTCATATCACTTACAGCAATTTTTGACAGTGAAACATTCCATTGAAATAATGTATGCAAGTGTTGGTAATGATGGCATTGCATGTACTTGCATATCCCATATATGTTTGTAGATGGGATAAGATACAACGTCAGTTCAATAATGCATTAGATCTAGATGCCCAAGCTGGATCTGCTTGGGGCATCGTCGTCTGCTAAATTTCGCTATGTTTATAGCTGAATGATATGGACGTGCGTATATTACACATTTATTAATGAGCAGCCATGAGATAGTCTCCTCAGTTCGGGTTGAGTGTGCCAAACAAGACTCCCTCAAAAATTCAGGGCTGTCAGGAAGTAGGGTGAGATGATTAACTTACAAGCTCCGGTTGACTTAGGCAAGAAGTATACTGCAAGCCCGTACTCAGAGCAGGTGATGCAAGACTGATGCATTTCATGCGCTTGATAGTAGGGGGAGGTGAGTTTTAATTATTTCTTCTTCGAATCTCAGACCGCAACTTGTAGCCATAGCAGAAGCTTAGGATCATAGCAAGGCAGGCACGTTACCCTCTTTGTGCATGATATCACTATTGGGTTAGTTGAGATTATCTTGATGTCTCTTTATCGACTTAGTCTTACCTTTGGTGATACTATTCGACCACGGGTAATGTTGTTTCTATAGTAAAACTGTTTTGTAATTTTGACGTGCATGAAGTATATGTAGTCCTGGAATGAAAAATGCGGTGAAGCCAGAACGCGAGCGTGTTGGACTGCAGCGAGTGTCGTGCGATTGTTTTCATTCGCTACATAGATAAAAATATATGTATGTATATTGTGCATCAAAGACTTGCAGCTACATGCTTCTGATCGCTGATCTGCATGTGGTATTCTGGATGGGCGTAGCTAAAACTATGACTAAAGAATGTCAATTGAATATACTTCTACTTCGTTTCCAATGAGTCTAACCATTGTCATCAGAATAAAAAAATAATAACTAAAATGCTAATGTTGAGGATTATATCAGAAAAAATGCAAACGGAATGGTGAAGTTTCGAATGAGAACCAATTATTCAAGTAGCGGTCCCGTTACCCAAGTCGTCAGGTCTTATTACAAGCTCCTTCATTTTAATTTAATCGGCATCTCGATGGAATTGGCTCATATGACTCTCCACTAGCAACCCGAAGTAATCAAGTATGTATGCAAGACGAACACATTATTCAGGTAAAGTGAATATTCCATATCAATCAGTGAAGATATGCATATCACACAGAACTACATATGCTGAAAAGGTTGCATCACTGAGTACCCCAATATTACGTGACTCGCAGCGTCACAGGCCCGCCATTGCTAATAGATCTTCCAGATAAATACGAAGCAAGGAGTTTGGTGCTGGATGTTGATTTCAAAGCAAGAAACCCACGAGAGCGACCAGACTGACAGAATGACGACTTTGTGCAACCACGCACCTGTTTCAACATGCGAGTAACTGATGTTATGGAAGTGTATCAACACCAGCCACATGGAAAGTGACTAGGATATTGACGAAAATAGTTCCGTTTGTGTATTTGAATTACCCGATTCTATTGCCGACTGAACAATTGAACATGGCCAGGAAAAAAGAAAAGTGCCCGAGTCTTTGGTAATGTCTTGGCCTTCTGACGAATTTAATACGAGAGCTCGCTTGAAGTAGAAAAGTGGAAGAAAACAATCCACATTGAAATCTCGGCCGATCTCCGGTAGGATGGCAATCGATGCATGGCGTTCATGACAGCTGCAGAGATTCTGAAGAGACATTCAGATCGAGCGAGATTCCGGTTTTGTGTATGATATTAGTGAAATATCACTTGCCACTACTTAAATCTTATTCCTTTTTTATTAAACGCGTTTACCTGGCTATTAATCTGAGATTTACTTTGAAACTACTGCAGGAAGCGTCCCCGGTGGGCGTCACCGCCCCCATCGATCTTCAACATATATCTAGCCAGAACGGTGGAAACCTGAAGGAGAAGATAAGTCAGTTGCTTCTTTGCATGGTAATTGTAGCCTATGATATCCCTGTTTTAATTCTGATGAGCTGAGCGATAACTCCTGTCAGTAAGATTCATTAAGTGTCGATGCAGATACAGCTAAACAAGTCTGACATTACAAAGTTGGCTGACCGACATCTCCCGAACTGCCGCATCGACGACTGCCTGATGAAGATCCATTTTGTGTTTTCCCTTCGATTGTGCACACCATTTCAACTGCTTTGCCGCCTAGGGAAAACAGCAAACAAGAAGTGATGAATTGAGTCATAGGCAGGCTTTTTCGTACTCCGTACACACGGGGAGGTCGCATGAAGAAAAAGCAACGAAAATAGAAATGTCGAAATATGCCTTCTCATTTAATGCGAGAGGGTAGTACGGTTCTTGCGCCACATATATATTTTGGTCTAAGCTCGTGTGCAGGGGGGCCCCGGCTTCCGAGCGAGGGAGAAATGAGTGTCAGTGACCAACTTACGATTCAACCAGACCCCTGTTAGGCGGTCCTGATCCTGGTTCAGCGAATGCTCGACTACTCCATGGATAGGATGTTCCTGGAGCGCTGAGGTCTGAATTCTCAACTGACTTGGATGGTTTTTGACGGCGAAAGACGGCACGGGAAGTGGAGCCGGCCGTGTGTTATTGGATGCTAAGGCCTCCTCTCTTGGAGTTCGTTGCTTTCGTTGCTTCTTCCTTCCATTATTCCTAGTTCTTAATGCTACTTATTTGCGGCGCAGGACTCCGCAGGAGAGGGCTGACATGTTACTACATTGGGCCACTGAGTTGGCAGATTGGGTCACAGCCGTAAACGAGGAAGAAGGGAGACTGGGCAGCGGACATGCTGAAGAGCTATATCATGGTTGGTATTAATCTGCTAATAAACATGTTGCTCTACTCCCAAGAGATCAAGAAGTTTTATAAAGGGTGAAGCCTTCGCCTGTGATCGATCCTCTCTGATATTTCTGCACTTCGCCTCATGGTTTGCAATCCAATTTACCATTCGGACTCGAGACAACTCAGGTTCTAGCCAAATCTGTGCGGCAACTCGGTTGATATTATCGAAACATCTCTTCCGTTACACTTAGACAAACAGAAAAGGTAAGAATTTTCTGAGCCTCTGCCACGGCGCAGACAATGTTATGCCCCATAAGCCCTGGACTAGGATTGACTAGGTTAGCAGCCGCCGGAAAAGCGTCACGAGCCGCTCCAAAACAATTTACCATAAGATCGATCTTCTGTCGACATAGCATCTACAGTACAGTGGTGTACTTCTATATCTAGATATATTGTGGAATTAGTATATCGACGCAAACATTCCTAAGCGAGAGAAAAGCCCGTCATGCCCGAGTCGACTCAAAATCGCCCACCTGCCACGGCCCCGGTGGGCTCCAAGCACCCTTCCTCCTCCTCTCCACCTCAGATTCCCGATCTGGAAGCAATGAGACAAAGATGGGACGAAAACCTAGAAGCGGATTTCGCAGAAATCAAAGAGATACTTCGTGAGTGTACGATGCTACATACCGCCTAACACCGAACATTTTCTCACATCCCGTTTGAGCAACATACAGGTCGAGACAGAGATGCGCACGCACAGCAACAGAGCGCCAATGACGCACACACCCAATGACCTCTAACTCGCTAGTCCTTGAGTAAAATTTATCACCGAATATGGCTTGGTGTTTTTGGCAGAGACCTGAGGTTGTTATCAGACCATGGATGACCTTTTGCTGAACTTGGCCAATGGACAGATTGCGCCACAGCTTGTATTGCTGTGACTTCGGACGAGTCGAAAGGGTTAGATATGACTCTGCGACACTTCAAATCCTCTGGAACAAGCAGAAGATTAAGATCAGGATAGAAGTGTAGAGCTTATCTTTTCCTCTTCATCCTCGTTTGATTCGCGGCTATCTGATAACGGGGCCAGTCGAATTTATTCGGCCATTACTCCTCTACTTTGACTTCTTCATTCCTATACTTTCAGGCAATGTACTTATCCCTCGATGAATTCTTCCACACCCTTCATGCTGTTAGCTTCGTGGACCAGGGTCTATGTCTAAAGAAGTGCTGTTGGATTTTCCGGGGTGTCTTAGATTTTTGTTCTCTTGCTCAACATCAAACACAATAGAATACTCGATAGTGCGTAGCAGAAAGCCTTTGCTCTAAATTACAAGTCTTTGGCTCGTCTTACAAAACTGTTGATGATGTAGTAGCAAAAAGAATATTATATCCGTCTGACCGTTGTAATTAACACCAAGTACACATCTGGTCCTTCAATTAATCTACCCGAGTAATTGATGTATGTGATTACTGATAAGTGAGCATATGCAATGCTGATCGTGATCTACAAAGAACCTAAAATAAAAATTGGCGTACTATGCATATATAGTCAAAACTTGCATGTGTCATGTTTCGGCGTAAGGACCTATGAGGTGACTCGATAGTTTTTTCTATGTAACGCGATCCTACGAGCCCTAACCCTATTCCCCTAAGGATCCTCCGTTATCGAAATTACAGGCTATCGAGCTGAATTAAGGCAGATATATGAATATGCATTGGATATTACAAGTTATTCTTGTACGCAATTTTACAAAAGGGGCTTAGGCCTCGGGATTCATGTCTGAAGCATTCGGCAAGGAGTGCTGCTAGTAACATCCTAATGTCCGACATGATTTATGGAATAAGGGATATGTTTCTCCGTATGATATCAAAATGAAGGACATTTGGACTCCGAGACTCCCAGAGAAATTTGCTTTGTCAAGACAGCCTTTGCATGGGCCAAAATATTATTAAGTGATGTATGCCTCTCATTTAGCACAAATGATTGAAACTCACAGGCCTACACGTCTCGGGTTTAAAACTACTATCCAGTATAACCTCTGTATCCGACTGGTAAAATAAGCGGGTAGACGATTGCATAAAAGTCGGCATATCACATGCATTGATGTACAATTTCCAGTTGTGTCTGTCACTGACATGCGAGAAGCTGTTGAACTTGACCATTACTCGCATTGATGGCGGGGTACGTACATAGACTAATAGTATTGAACTCTTTTGCATTTATATTGTAATGAAACAGCTGAAGATTCGGACAAATATGGAAGAATAATTGCAGGCCCAGGCAAACGATCATCCCGCTTTCAGCACACAGGCAGGTATGACGGCCAGAACAACCAATGAAATTTCCTGATGATAAGACGTCCAGTTTGTAACACGTTAGTAAGGCACTTCTCTGTACTTCTTTAAAGTATAATCTAGACTACCTGCCTTATTGGGGAGTCAAAGGGGTAGTTGTCGTGCTATTTTAGTGCATTGCCTCCAATTGACGCTTCAATGTTTCTGATGATTTGTGTGATCTAGATACGATTCTGCAGATTGATTGTATTTGACAATGCATTTTTCAGAGATGCGATTGACAGGTGAGTTCTTTCTTGTTTTTACTTGAAAATCAGTCTCCAAGAATCTCTATTCGATCCAATTCTAGTATTTAACGGCGACCTGGAAACATTAAAATGTCGGAAACTTCAGGGTTGGAGAAGATCACGGTCATAGCATCTTGTTCTGATCTTAGTGGGGGACAGAGAGCCGAGCTTCGAGGAGTTTTCGTTCCATGACTCTATTCAGACTGCTGAATGGAAAAGTGTGATTGACATTCAACTCCTTTTCGCAGAGTCAAACATCGGATAGTTTTCATCGATCAACCTTCCCAAGTCATTTGCATGACATCCGAACGAACAAGACATCCACACCCGCAAACAACCTTCCCGACATCCACTGTATATGTAGACGAGATGTGAACTTTCCCACCTGTTCGTATTCCCGGTTTTGCGCGTAACATTCACAATCCCTCTGCTTCAAGTTGCGGTGACTTGCACACTGACAGCCCCCAATCAGAGGACAAAAGTCGGTGGATTCTCTGCAAGGGTGGATAACAAATACTCCGTCCAACCAATGATCGGCGGTGTGGAGCTGCAATGCAAGTCACTGAAAAGTGATATGTCATTTTTTTGTATTAATCTAGATACCGCTTTGACACCATGGCGGTTTTCGTGTCTGAACTGAGTAGTCTAGTGATATTAAAGCAGTTGCAGTGCATAAGGCTAGGGAAACAGACAGGAGATTTAGTGGGACACAGGCAGAATGCAGCCAATACGGGGTATGCGCTGTGTAATTTCTATGAGCCATGTGCAAACGGAGGATTATATTGCAGCATCAACTGGTATCACCAAGACAAACGTACATGAGTAGTGATGAGCACTGTTGTCATATCCCCTCACTTAGCTTGGTAGGGTCTCGGATCTTAAGTGTGAAAGGAAGGGTTTGGGTCTATTTTCCCAGCACTTCCCCGCCCCTGATCGGCTGATATTAATTGCGAGTCAATAAAAGATATATATAGGTGTACTTGATTTCAGCTTTCGAAAACCTAGTCAGCATCTACTATAACTATCATTGTCGGTTCCTGTGTATATGTGTACGCCCCTAGTCGCTTTCCAAGGATCTGTTTAGGAAATATACACAGTTTCACCTTGCAATTAAAAATGGACGTTGTATCAATTGGACGATTTATGCTTTACAGCCTCAGCCTGTTCTTCATTTACAAAATTCTTGCCCAGTTCAAACACATCAAACGGCCGCCGCTCCCACCGGGACCCAAGGGCAAGTTCCTGGTTGGTAATCTAGGCGATCTACCTCCGCCCGGGCAGCAAGAGTGGCAGCATTGGTTGCGGCACAAAGATGCATACGGTACGTTAGGAGTCACTACATGGCTAGTTGATCCATTGAAGTCTCATACCTTTGGTTTGATTAGGTGGCATTAGTTCCGTCACAATCATGGGACAGACTTTGGTCATTGTCAATGACGTTCGCTTGGCGTTCGATTTGCTGGAAAAGCGCTCAGTCAAACATTCATCTCGGCCAAAGCAAGTCTTTGCTGGTGAAATGTAAGTTTCCCTTTTCGCCTTGATTTTCAGAATGATTGTTAGATGAAAGAAAAAACTAAGGGTGACTTCTTCCCTTTTCCTCTAGATTGGGCTGGGAAAATTCACTTGGGCTTTCACCGTACAACAATCGATTCCGAGCTATTCGAAAGAACATGTCCAAAGTGCTAGGTTCGTTGACTGCGTCCGCACGCTTCAACCCTCTTCAAGAAAGAGAGGCCGGTCATTTCCTGCTTCACATCTTGGATGATCCGACTAACCTCACCGAGCATATCCGAAAGTATGTCTCTCTTCGAATCATTGACTGCGAGTCGAAGTCACTAACCCTACTGTTGAAAAATAGGGAGGCCGGCTCCGTTATCCTTAAGATTGCCTATGGATACACGACAGAACCACATGGCAGGGACCCGTTGGTAGAGTTGGCTGGTCAAGCCATGGATCAATTTGCGCGGGCTGCCGTTCCTGGTACATGGCTAGTTGATATGCTTCCGTTTCGTATGATCCCAATATTTTGGAATAATAAAGCCAGACATTAACATCTGAAGCAGTAAAACACTTGCCGGATTGGTTCCCTGGAGCTAGATTCAAAGAAATTGGTCGCTTGTGGGGATCCACGCTGTCCGAACTCACCGAAAGACCGTATGCTTTTGTTAAGCAGCAGATGGCGGACGGTGTCAATGAACCATCTTTTCTGTCGGATTTGCTCCAGCAACCAATTGCAAATGCCGATGATTTGTTCACTGTGAAATGTTCAGCCATGTCCTTGTTCACAGCAGGTGCAGATACTGTAAGCAACCTGTGCTGATTTGAGTATGAGATGACGCTAATTAAAATAGACCGTTTCGTCGTTGTCATGTTTCTTCTTGGCCATGATTCTATTTCCAGAGGTCCAACAGAAAGCGCAAGAAGAGATTGACCGTGTTGTTGGTACTGGTCGTCTCCCCGAAATTGCAGACCGGCCGAATCTTCCGTATTTGGATGCAATGGTGAAAGAGGTGCTTCGTTGGCATCCTGTAGCACCAATGTGTTTGCCGCATATGACCACCGAAGACGATATTTGTGAAGGTTACTTTATCCCAAAAGGATCATACATCATGCCTAACGTTTGGTGAGTCAACTTGTGTCAACGCACTCTATTTGAACATAGACTATGATGCTGACTTGTACTTAAGGTTCTTTACGCATGATCCAGCTGTCTATCACAACCCGATGCAATTCAAACCTGAACGTTTCCTAGCCACCGAGAGACATATCCCGGAACCTGACCCGCATACACTAGTCTTCGGCTTCGGACGCCGGGTATGTCCTGGCCGTTTGCTAGCCGACACTGCCCTATTTGTCAATATAGCACAGGCTCTATCCGTCTTCAAGATAGGAAAAGCCACTGAAGATGGTCAGGAGGTTGAGCCAGTGGTAGATTTCCTACCTGGTGTTGTTAGCCACCCGGCTCCATTCAAAGCTTCAATAAGGCCACGATCTCCGCATCACGAAGATCTCATAAGGAGTATCGAACAAGCACACCCTTGGCAGCAGAGCGATGCCAAACTAATGCAAAATGTCACATTTTAGATTGATCACGAATATACCGATTATACTAGGGTGTCAATGTAGTCATTTTGAGAGATTTAATTTAGCGAACAAGTAATATTTAGAGCGATAATACAAACTAATACAGATTACTATAATAGTCGATTAGTCAAATTTGATATCTATCTGCTTCATAGTGTCCAAGGCAGGCTGTTGCAATTCATTTGGAATGACAAACGATGTCCCTGTAAATGATCGGAGTCAATTTCTATACATAACAATTATGAGCTGTTTTACCAGGTTCAGTTCCACCCATGCATGTCCAGTGACGTCGGACAATGTGATACGTATTTTCTCAAGGTCGAGACATCTACCGCGGATCACCCCTAGTCTTGAGTCTCCGATTAGCTAAAGACAGGCAACAGCAAGCCATGCGTGTGAGATTGTCAATTTCCGCAGCCAATGTCTACCATCGACATTGATCCACTTTCGGAGAGTATTTTAGAGTGTGGGTGATCTACGAAGCTATGACACATATGCTATACAGTTTATGCAATGATCGAATAGTGGCTAGACAGGTTATATATACTGCACTGGACGTACTTTTAGACTCAAATGCGTGAAAGCGTCGGTAGGAGCCTTATAACCTGTCAAACCGTGGGAATTGTGAACCCCTTGCGCCGGATACAGTCCGCACCACTAGTTGATGTTGACGCCACAACCGGAAGAGAGTGCCTTGCGTCAAACAAAATATGACATGTCTTCTACCTATTAAAATGTTAATGCTAAATAATCCGAGGAGTAAAGAGCTCTTGAATGTTCCAATCAGCTGCTAGGAATCTGACCTCGTATGCTGTTGGGTAGGCTATAGTTTGATTACCCAACCCGAATTCGAATAGCAGAACGGAGCCTCAAGATACATCATCTGTGCGCATGGAACCCTGACAAGACGCATAAATGGAAAAAAAGAAAAGTCTCCTTACAGTGATGTTCGCTTTCCCCCTCTTTGAATATTTAGAGGGACTATAGCCCCTCAAACAATAGATATATAAAGGTTCGCAGAATATTTGTCAATCGATGGATAATGCAAGAGCCCCAATCGTATTTCGACAATCAGCTCACCTTGGGTAAAAGTAATTTCTTTGCGAAAAGGTCAAAAAACTCATCAAGAAGCGACGATGAAAGCTGTTTTCTCGATATTGGCGGCCTTTTCGCTAGCACTCCTCACTTGTGCTAGTTTGCTAGACGAGATGCCGAAATGTGCGGTAAGTCTCTGATTCATTTCATGCAGTCACATTCCGATTACTTCATTTTCTAAAATATACACATAGGCCACTTGCTTCGAAGACTCGCTTCCGCTCTCTCACTGCTCGTCCCAGGACTTGACCTGTCTTTGTGCAGACACGGCATTTCAAGGTGCAGTTCAATTATGTGTTGGGAACGGAACCTGCACACCGAAGGAAATTCTCAGTAAGATAATCTCAGACCCGAAGGACACTTACAAACTATACTTAAGTTGTGACATCAATCTAATGTTGTTTGCAGCAACCACTAATGCGACCTACGCGGCTTGCGAGATGCCATCTCATGACATCAGGCCAGTGATGGTTGGTATCCCGGCCGCGTTTGGAAGTCTGACGATAATTCTCGTCTTACTTCGGATTTACGCCCGGGTATTCATCAACAAGTTCTTCGCTTGGGACGACAGATTTATAATACTGGCCTTGGTACCTACCCTCTCCTGGTCTCCGTCATCTTCAATAGGCTTCGCTGACATTCGTAAAATAGGTCTTTGCTTTGCCCTTGAATTTCCTTCTTTTCCCGAGTACGTATTCTGTTAGGGAAAGAGTTGAGATGGTTAGGTTAATTTACTTTTGTAGTGGCCAGAACTGGCATGGGCAAGGATATATGGACCATACCCTTCGACAATTTGACGCAAACACTGAAGGCGAGTACTGGTTCTTTCTGCAACTGAGCCATTGATTCTCTGCGGCGCTTTATCACTGACGATTCAAGTATCAGGATCTATATTTTGCGGAGGTTTTCTACATGATTTCGGAGATGTTCACTCAGCTTTCTATTCTCTTCTTCTATCTCCGTGTTTTCGACTCAACCGTATTCCGCCAGTGTGCCATTGGTATATCGATTTTTGTGGTCTGCTTCGGAGCCGCAAATACATTTTCTATGATATTCCAATGCACGCCGATATCCTTCTTCTGGGATGGTTGGACTGGTGAATATGCCGGAAAGTGTATCAACATCAATACCTTCTCGTGGATCCGTGCCGCGTTTGAAATCATCATTGACTTGGCCATCATTTCTCTGCCAATTCCTCTCCTTTTAGGCCTGAAGTTGAACTGGCACAAGAAATTGCAGATTTTGTCCATGTTCTCTATTGGATTTCTGTGAGTAGCCTTCCCGTGACCATTTTGTTAGATTTTTGTCATACCTAGAGTCAAACTAACGATAATGGGACAGAATTACATTGGTCAGCATCTTACGACTTGAGTCCTTGGTACGATTTTCTAAATCTACTAATATTACCTGTAAGTCTTGGGATTTCAACTCCACGTCCGAATACTTTTTATTCTCCATGCTAATATTACCGAAAGACGAAAATGCTCCCGCAGTCTACTGGTCAGTCCTCGAATGTGATATTGCCATTGTCTGCGCTTGCATGCCAGCACTTCGTATCATCCTAGGAGCTATCTTTCCAAAGTATTTTGGCAGCAACTTCAATTCAGTCACTGGAGAATCGCGTCGAACTACACGCAACGAGCAACAATCCGTGCCCAAATCAGACCCAGAAGCCGACCCTATTACAAAGACGATAGCCTCATGGACTGTTGGTCCCGATGATCGCAGCCGGACCCCGTCTCCGGTAGAAATGAACAACATCGAGCCTGAGGAGACCAAACATTAAGAAGACTCGTCTTGGGAGTGTCAATAACATCGGGATGTCCATTGTATGAACAGATCCGGAGATTTGTTCCATTAAACACCCATATACCCATATATCCTAATACTTGAAATTTTATCATTCTTTTCCCTATCCTCTCTTACAATCGTTTGAAAGTATATCACCTGTCAACATGCATCATGTCATAAATTAGTGTACCACATTGGCTTGGTAATGTGCAAAAGAAGTCTTTCTTGAAATGGGGGGTTTTTCTTTCTTTTTTCTTGCAATTCCTAGGCTTTACAAGTTGCTCTCGCTAAGGTACACGAGTTTTGGTTTAACTGACAAATAATTACTTGTTCACCCAAAAAGACATGCATTTTTTCAGTACTAGGTACGGAACAAGTTTCCCGGCACTGTATGCACATTGAGACTTTCAAAAAATTGAGATTTATATTGTATTGCGATCTCAGAAAACCCTCAAGCCGAGTGACCGGCGTATTGTGCAACAGTGGTTCATGATGGAATAAAATATTGAGAGGGCACCGGTCGAGGGAATAATATCAGAACATACTTGGTTAATATGGGATATGATCGCTATACCACGCCATCCCTAGTCACTTTGATCTTAGCTCCCATAACTTTTATTAGCTATAACCCTGACTGGTCTGACCAAAGTGCTTTATTTTATCAGAAATATGACAGATGCCAATCAAACAAGATGGAAAGAAAAGGGCGAACAGACTACATAGCTCCTGCATTTCTAATATTAGACTTCTCTGAAAGAATTGCCCATTTGCCTTGTACCCCAATGTATGTATTGGCGATATATGATATTTCTTATTTACTTGATTAAGGCACTATCTATCGGCTATCCGACGTAATTAGTCAACTTAATCCACACAGTGGGTTAGACGATCTAAACACCGTTAGAAATTAGTGTTAGATACTTCCTTGTTTAGATTCCTAGACTAGAAAGAAAGAAAAAGAAGACTACCTATATATTTTTAATTTCGTATAGACAAAAGAAATTTACGGTAATATAGGCAAGAAAGCTTGTAATTCTCTTTCTCGTAACGCTGCCACTTTATGCCATAATCTACTCTTTAGCGACTTCAGCCTCGTGAGTAGCTCGTACCTCCTTCTGCTGCATCAGCCTATCGTTCTCCACCTTCTTCTTAACGCTCCTCCACTCCAGTGACACCGCCCCAAGCACACTCAAACAGGAAGGGACCAAGCCCGTCTTGAACACCTCACGCAGTGCTTCATTATAGTCCGCCAGTCCTTTCTGACGCATGTCCTCCGGCAGCGAATCAAGCAAAGACGTTGCACCCGACGATATAACAAGTTCTCGATTAAAACCGGGAACCCAGGAAAGTCTCTGCACAAGCTGATTACCAAGCACATTTTCACCAACAGATACAAAGACAGCCGCGCCCAGAAGCGTTCCAAACAGCAACAGAGCTAATCCAGTGGGTATATCCTTTTTAGGTAGAGTGACTTGTGCCGCGAGATTGGGCACTTGAAAGCAGCATCCGAGACCAATACCGTATATTATTTGATAGCCAACCCATTTTGCTTCCTCAGTATCTAGTTGAAGGGTTGTAAACAAGCCAAAGCCAACAGCCATGACGCAGGATCCCATGATTGCAAGGGGCGTGTAGTATCCGATTTTGGAACTTAGGAATCCGCTACCGATTGATACGGCGACCATAGATAGCATTAGAGGCAGTATTTTGATGCCGGATTGTGCGGCACTGACGCCTTTTATTGATTGGAACCAGACAGGGAGGAAGTATACTGGAATAGATGGTTAATTATGAGTGAGGTGGCAAAGAGTTTCACTAACCCAGTATATAGTTCCCAGAATTCATGCACAGCGTTGACCAAAACCCGGCAACGAGACTGCGCTGTTTGAAGATACGGGCAGGAAGCGTCGCCGTTGTTGGGCAGAGTAATTGAACGGCAGCAAAAGCAATCAGAAGCGCCCCTGAAAGGACAAGCAATAAAATTATGCGCCAGTTACTCCACTGAATGAGAGGTCATCAGTTAATCATATTCCAAGATCGACAGGGATACTGTCAACTTACAGCGTACTGTTGACCGCCCCATTGAAGCGCCAGCAGGAGGCAGATCACACCAGGCATCATGAATCCGGTACCCAAGAAATCAAGTTTCAATAATTTGGCAGTAAAGGGAAGTTTGGTAGTCTCTCGATCCGGGGTATCGAGCAAAAAGAAAATGACCACCAACGCCAGCGCGCCAAAGGGTAGATTTATATAGAAACACCATCTCCAAGTCACATTCGACGTGAAACCACCACCAATCAAGGGACCGGCAATCGACGAAACCCCCATGAGCCCGCCGAATAAGCCTTGAATTTGGGGACGTTTTTCCACAGGTATGACCAAGGCAATACATACCACCTAGTACGAAAAAATCGTTTAGAAAGCGGGTATGAACCGGAGTATATTTGAATAGGATAACTCACGACACCAGCAAATATACCGGCAGCACCAACACCCGCAATCGCCCTTCCAACAATAAAAGTAACTGAATTCGGAGCAGCTCCACAAATAGCAGAGGCAATCTCAAATAATAGTATACTCATTAACAAAACCTCTCTAATAGGAAACAGAGTGTATACCCTGCCATAGAACAATTGTAGTGCACAACACGTCAACAAATAGGCACTTCCGTACCAGCCTACATCGGAGAGGGAATTGAACTCGTCGGTGATTCGGGGTATGGCCTGAAGTGTCCGAAAACTGAGTCAGAACAATAAGTATCATTGCAATTGGTTCAGAGAGTTCGTACAGTCGAAATAATTGTGCGGTCCAAAGCAACCAGGAACATGCTCATGAGAACCGAGACTAAGACGAGGACAGTCTTCGTTGCTGACCGTTTTTCCGGCTGTGTAGGAGTTGCCTCCTTGACTGCTGCATTGATAGATTCTTCGCCCTCAAGCTCAGTGCTGGTTATGTCAGATTGCTGGTCCCCAGATGCCGCTTTACCTTCTGGCGACGTTGGCTGCCGAGACGTCATGGTGTTGGGATTCGATGCTTTTCCTGCAATATTATAGTACAAATAATGATGAATATACAATTTCATGACTTGAAATAGTCGTTTTTCGAAAGGGCGAGCTGGACCTTTTATACAGGAATTTTTTGGTGGTCATCGGGGCCGAGCAGCATTGGAATCTTAGGGCATTGGCAGCGTCCTTTCTTTAGAAGTATGTATAATCAATCTTACAACGTATCTAGGGCACTCACTCTATCTACATATTTGTAATTCTAAGCTTCAAGATGCATGAGTACGGCGTGAGAAATAATGAGTCCATACCTAATTAATATTGCACTGTTTTTATTTAACCTACGAGACCTATCAACTTCTTGTATATAGATTATTGAACAACGACGCCAATAAGCAAACTTTGGCACATTCTCATACTGCTGTTACTATTCCAAAATATCGTTGTTTCCTCAAAAATAAAATAAAAACTTATCTACATGTAGAATTACAGTGATTTACGATGGAGGTATGGTGACTTTGATGCCCGGGATTTCAAAGTCCGAACGGAAAAGAAACCCCGAGACGGGGCCGAGCCCTCCTCAACTTCCTCCATCAATCATCCACAATTTTCTTTCGACTCGTGATAAATAAAACAACATGTCGACAACACCAGAGCCACCATCAAAGCGCAAATCACAACGGATGCTCTCGTGCGTTCTCTGCCAGAAACGCAAGGTGAAATGTGAACGCAAATTCCCATGCGCAAACTGTGTCCGGAACGGCGCGCAGTGCGTTCAAGCTTCGCTTACGCAGCGGAGTAGCCGCCGACAGTTTCCGGAGAGAGAATTGCTCGAACGAGTCCGATTTTATGAAGATTTKCTGCGGCAAAATCATGTCGATTTTGATCCTTGGTCTGCCGAAGTTCCAGAGCTACGTGCACTCACGCCTGCTAGTCAGGGTAGAAGCTCTGATGTTGCGCGCCCAAAGGCATCGACTAGCAAAGAGCCAAATAAATGTAAACAGGTGTATGCATAAAACGAGCTATGCGAGCTCAAGTATACTTTGACTGATTTATCCGCAGGGAACTTTGGCATATATTAAGTCAGGCCGTACGACCAATCTCTCACTTCTACTGAACACCTACGTCGACTGATTATTCGAGCAGATCCTAGAAAATGACAGTGATGACCCCATATGCAACAACGACGCTGTCCGTGACGCCATCATAAAACACCTGTGGGATCTCTCCTACCAAAGCGAAGGCAGTGAGCACCTGTTATTTGGTTCACCATCACCATCGCCATCACCTGAAAATCTCACTTTTGTGCATCCATCCCAGATCCAAATTCTAAAGCTTTGGCAAGTCTATCTAGAAAATGTAAACCCTCTACTCAAAGTCACGCACACAGTGACTCTGCAACGGCGTATTATTGATGCAGCGCTCGATTTGCCGAATGTGCATGCTCATGATTCTATATTGGAGGCACTCATGTTCAGTATTTATTGCGTTTCGGTTCTGAGTCTCTCCGAGGATGAGTGTCGCGCTTTGTTTGCATCTGCATCTCGGAAAGATGTTTTGTCACGGTATCAGGCTGCATGTCGGCAAGCGTTGATGAAGTGTAGAGTTATGGAGTCGAGTGACCGTGATTGCTTGACAGCGCTGTATCTGTATTTAGTATGTCACCCTCTCATCTCTTACAGATATATCTATATGTGTGGATATCATCTAACTGGGCGTCAGATCTCAATTGCGTCCGAAACAGACCCCCGATCTCTATCCTCCATGCTGGCCATAGCCATCCATATCGCACAACGCATGGGGATCCACGACGAAACCGCCAATTCAAACTCCGGCTTTTTCGAAGCCGAAATGCGTCGTCGACTGTGGTGGTCGCTTGCTATTTTCAACAACCAAGTCTGCTCCGACATAGGCATAACACCATTTGCCTGTTCTTCCTGGGACTGTCAAATCCCTCTAAATGTGAATGATTCGGAACTACGACCGAACTCGTCATCACCAATTACAATGCAGGACGGACCAACCGAAGCTATTTTCACAGTGGCGCGAAGCGCATTGTACGATTTTGGGCGTTCGTTTTATCCCAATAGGATTACCCGGTATAGGATGAAGAATACCTTGCACATCAGCTTATTATCGGAAGACCCAGATGAGGAACACGAATCAACCAGAAAAAAGTTAGATGACTTGTCTGTTCTGGAGAGGACTATGGAAGATAAATATCTTTCGTTTTGCGATCCAGAGAATCCGTTGCATTTTCTTACCATTTGGACGACGCGAGGCTATATCGCCAAACACCGACTACGAGAGTACTATTTTTCCATATATTTTAGTTCATTGAACCATGACGACGCAAATAGCGGCAAAAATGAAGATGCGGAAGCGAATGTTGGTGCAACCGTGGCAGCCCTGAAAATGCTCGACTCAGATACCAAGATCATAACGACACTCTCCGCTCAGAATAATAACAATTATAAATCACAGTTCCAATGGTTTTTTCACTTTGAATTTCCCATCCTCGCATATATACACCTTCTTCGAGAATTACGCAAGTCTCCTCTGGCGCATGCGCATGCCTGGGAAGCCTTGAATGAGAACTACAAGGCCCGCATGACCATGAATGTTAACATGAACGAAAACGCCAATACTGATGAGACACTCAATAATGCCGGAAAACAGCAAAAGGCAATTGTGATTGTGTTTTCGAGGGGTGTTTTGAAGGCGTGGGAGGCGTGGGAGTCTGCCACTACAAAAACCGCCGGTGCTGGTACTGTCGACGGTGCCGAGGTCATGCCATTGCCGTGGATTGTGTCCGATGTGAGGAATAGGTTGGCGCAAATGAAAGCACATCAGCCACATCAATACCACCACCAAGCCAGCGTCGATATGGTTAATGTCGATGGTGCCATGCTCATGCCGGAAGTGTTAGAGGAGGTTCTGGGCACGGACGGAATGGCCATTGATATGGACCAGTTCTGGGATACAATTGACTGGAATTGGGTATACACGCAAAATTAGTGCTTATAATCTGCATGGTTATTAATTTTTATATTACGCTACCATTGGTGCTGCTGCTCTTGGTAGTCGATTCATTCGACACCTATAGACGCTATCTGTAACATTTGGACGGTTTCCTCTAGAAGACAACAATTAATTCATTAAATACCACAGTGAGAACTATTTTGACCATCTTCGTACAGTTCCCGCACTTTCTCAGTTAGAAACCCAGAGGAACGGCATATGTCGTCCCTGCACCGGCCCTGCAACGGCTATGGATTGGAGCTAGTATCATACTAAAATAAATCTATAATGGCACTATTTTAAACGAAGTAAGATTACCGCTATTTGCTATTGCTCAGAGTCGTCTGTTATTAGGATTTGCTGTACTGAAATCCGAGTATAACAAGAGCCATATAAAACCAATCATAGTCCTTTTGTGCAACGTCCATCCGAACAAGATTTGTAACCTATTTTAGACAGACAACAATACTTGCACTTTTGAAGCTCAAACTAGAGTTTCCCTTTCTTTTTTGGAACCCTGTCCAGAGAATCACTGGAACGGAATGATTTTTAAACCAGTCCGGTGTTTGTACAGCTATTTACATAGGTACTTCGCTCTTCCATCATTCTGAGATATATCAATGATGTCACACTATGAAACGCCGAGATAAACAAATGTTATTGATCAATACTCGCTGAAAAAAAGGCTTGATATTTACTAGCGGTCTTAGTCAGTTCATGTGTGAGTCCCTTACCAAAAAGGAAACCATCAATACAGAAATCGACACTTCCGATTCTTTGCCTGATCGGAGTCACCTTGGCCCTTAAAAGCCCTTTATTAAATAAGCACAAAGTGGCCGTTCAAGACAAACGTCGTTGAAGTGGATGAGCGTAAACTGAGGGTTGCAAAAAGAGCTTATTTTGGTTGTATCACCGTCATTTTTTGCTGTCAAAGATAAGAATTATATCCACGGTTCAGGATTTGAATTTCTTGAGCTAAGCCTTTTTGAACACTATCAAGTTTTACGTTGCGGCGTTGGCCGCTCTTTGTGTAATCTCCTCGCTGACAATCTTTTTAAGATTTTCGACGATTGAGACCTCGTTGACAACCTCAGCCTCAGTCCAGAGGACTTGTTGTGCAACTGCTTGCCATATCATTGCCTCGGTACCTGGTATGACATACCACCCGTTGTTTTCAGCGTAGTCGTACAGGGAAGTTCTGATGTTGGGGTGGTAACACATTTCTAGTAGAAGTCCTTTCTCCGCCGCACTTTGTCGCCCAAGAAGCTCTCTGGTAATGGCGGATGATAGTTTCTCGCCCTCTGTCTGTGGAGGGAAGTCAGGGATGGCGCTGACAACGTAATATGGAGCAGGAAGTGTTTTCGCTTCTTCAAGAGAATGCAGTGCCCGTAATTTTCCGTTGAATTTGGATCCCGAAGTTGTGGACGCATCGCGATTGAACCAATCTATAAGTTCATCTGTCTCACTTTTCAATCGACTGACCAAATATATCTCCGAAACACCCATAAGATAGTGCAGAGCGTATATGGCACTGCGAGAAGCACCACCTCCCCCTACCACCAGGGCAGGTTTATTCTTAGCGTCCGGAGACACCAAAGACGATGGAACAGTGCTGAAAGATCTACTAATACCAATTGTATCCGTGTTGGTGCCAATGCGCCTTGGCTTGCCGGTAGTCTTGTCTCGGCGTAAGAAAACGGTATTGATTGCTCCTATCACTTTGCCTGACGATGTGACTTCATCCACATGAGACATGAATGTGACTTTGTGTGGCATAGTCACAGCGGCACCAATGCAATTCTCTGCCGGATCGTCCAGGACTTTCAGCAAATCACTCGGCTCTTTCGACTCCAAGAGGTAGTATTGCCATGGTAGATTCTTGCCGTTGAACAGGTAATTCTGGACCAAGGGCGCCATCGAGTGATGGATGGGGTATCCCAGGAGAGGGATTCTCGTTTTCGTGTCTCGCGCTGCTGAATCGCTGAAGAATGAGGAGCCATGTTCGTAGGACTCACGAAGAGCGATGGTGAGATCAGAAGCCATTTTCGCGATTTCCCGGGCTTTCGTAGAGTGGTGACGTTCCTTCGCGCTTAGCTGCTCGCCTGGTGAATAGAAGACTGAATAGAAAGGAGGAAATATATTTCGCTGGTGTCTTCTGGTGTTTCGACATATACATGTACAGCGCAAAGTTATGAAATGAGAAGCTTTCCTTCCCGTTTTCCTCCGTCGGCCGCCTGGACTGCGGGATGAAAGGTTCCCCGCCGGCTGAGTGTTTCGCCGTGCCAAGACTCGTCCTGTCCATCTTCGCAGAGTATAGCAGACTAGCATGATGTGCCGACTTCTTTACTCAGGGACGTCTGGATTCATCCTTGCTGTTTCTTATTGACGGTGTCTGCCTAAGAATCGAAGGGTCGGCTGCAAGCAAAGTCGTTTGCGAAACATGCGGACAATCGGATATCTGAGTACTGATCAATCGAAAACATGTAGAACTATAGTATCACAGTAGATCACTGAGCCCCGTCGACAAGTCGCAACCGGACCGGCCTTGAGGCTGGCTTCGGCAGCCCTGCTCCGACGACAACAGGGGACATGGGAATGGTTTTTCCCGAACAAAATTCCCTGATTCGTTTCGACATGCGACGGGCGCTCTATAGTATCTTATTTATTTTCATTTACGTTCCTGTCATAAGTAAATCATCTCGCCCACTGATAATTCATGATCTGCCACCAATTCATTCTCGGAGCATTTGCACAGCGTCATTTGAGCCTTATACCTGTTAGACAGCGTTGACCCCATATCTGTATTCGTTTTCATTATAGCCGCTTACAACGTTTTCCTGGTCGCATGTCGCCGGTCAGACAAGAACAGTCTTGAAAGAACACACAGAAACACATTTACGATGCAGTGTGCCCCAGCGATATCAACCATGTCCCTCGGGCGCGCCTGGGTGCACGACATGCCGGGAAAGCTCCAACAAGCCGCCGAAGCCGGCTTCGAAGGAATCGAACTGTTTTACGAAGACTTGGAATACTTTGCAAAGTCGTATGGAGTCAACAGAACACACGAGGAGAATTTAATAGACGCAGCAGCGGAGATTCGTCGCTTATGTGATCTCTATCGATTGACTATCATCAACCTACAACCTTTCGGCTTTTATGGCGGGCTTTTAGATCGCGAAGAACACAAACGCAGAATCCAAGAGATTAAATTCTGGTTTAGGCTGGTCAAGATACTGAGAACAGACCTGATCCATATACCCTCGAACTTTCTACCTAAGGAGGAATTATCAGACGACATGGAGCTTCTTGTCCGCGACCTGACAGAACTTGCCGATCTGGGTCTGCAGGAAAGACCCCCTGTGAGATTTGCTTTCGAAAGCCTTTGTTGGGGAACCTATGTTGATACTTGGGAACAATCATGGGAAGTGGTCGAAAGAGTGAATAGAATCAATTTCGGTTGTTGCCTCGACACCTTCAATATCGCCGGCCGGATATGGGCCGACCCAGCAAGCCCGTCGGGGAAAACTCCGGATGCAGACACAGTCCTCAAGGCTTCCCTTAACCGAATGCGCGCGACTGTTGATATTAAGAGAGTGTTCTTTATCCAGTTAGTGGACGCTGAGCGCATGGAGGCGCCATTAGTTGAAGGACACCCGTGGCATGTCGAAAGCCAGCCACCCAGAATGTCTTGGAGCCGCAATGCAAGGCTCTTTGCCTATGAAGCCGACAGAGGCGGCTATCTTCCCGTTGCTGACATTGCGAGGACCATCCTGAAAGACCTTGGATATAAAGGCTGGGTGTCCATGGAGCTATTCTCTAGAACAATGGCCGATCCCAACCCTTCCGTTCCCGCTGACCACGCAAAGAGAGGGATCGCTTCGTGGGAAAAGCTGAGGGCGGATATTCTCGATTCCGATGGTCCTTCTCATCAAATCGCAGGACGTCTTTGAGGGCTTCGCACCAACAAGTGTCTAGGTATCAATGTCATCAGCGTCCTATCAATTCAAGAGCCACCTTGTGTGCCCTGAAAAGCCATAGAGTCAAAGTTGAGATCATTGCTAAGAAAACCAAGGTTTTGAGCAAAGTCGGCGATTTCGCCATCATATCTGTTTGGTGCCTTAGTAAACGTAATACATGATGTTTGAGGAAAGTGTTGATGTAATACCTCCTTGGCAAGACCATCGCTGCAATGTCTTCAAAAATGATATCTAGATCATCTCTTTCGACAGTAGTATCGTCAGGAGGCAGATTAGTGGTCAAATTTCTGTCACTGACGGGAGTCTGTGGCTTATATTCACGTTAGCGACAGCAAAGAGTAAAAGTAGTGCCATTGAATGTTTAGTACGAGGTACTCACATAAACTCGATCATCGGACATAACGGTTTGGCCACCTATCATCGATGGTGACACGGTGGAGGGATGGCCAGAGTGTATCTTTGCAACGTTACTTGTATCTGATCCTATCGCTGGGGGGTGATGATTGTATGCTCTTGAGCGCTCAGAATTGTATATTTCCTGGAAATTGCCAAACAGCTGAGAGAAGCGCGACTGAATGGCCGGGCTTATGGCTAGCGGGGCCAACGTGTAGGATAAATCGACCCAAGACTTCAGTTGATACGCAAATAGAATCAGGAGCGGATTTCTATATAATGCATGACCAAGATCCAAAGCTTGAGCCAGGAGCTCTATACTAGAGCTGATTGTCTTATCAATTAGTAGTTTATGCTGGAGTCCAGACTTGCTGGCCTCTTCAAGGACAAGTAAAAGAACAAAATTGTAGGTTAGATGAAGAACAAAGAGCGGCGGGTTTGCTGTTCCAAGCTTCGGAAGTTGGTGATGCTTTCTTAGACTCGAATACCAGTTTTGTAAATGGGTTATGAGTGCATGCAGCTGTTCTCTGTCAAGCTTACTCTCCCCGCGAGGGGGGATCCTACTCACGAGCTCACAGGTCATGTTGAAAGAGCTTATTGTGCGAAGCGGTTGTCGATCAAGGTTCATCAGAGAGGGGTCAAGACTTTTGGCAGGTGGAGAAAGCTCCCACTCTTCCAAAGCGTTTTCATCCAGATGACCAATAACTGAATACCAGGTGTTTGGAAAGAATGAGGTTGTCGACAAATACGCCGATAGTATTTGATCTAGGTAAAAACACCCATGCAGCGTATGATAGTATCGCTCAGAATTTTGTCGTTCTTCAGCATTGGCATCTATTAGCATGGTGAATGCTTGTAAAAGCAATAGCCTGGACGTGTTAAACTTTTCCAGTCCAATATTGAGAAGTGCCAATATGCAAAGCGCCTGAACACTGCCGATAGAAAAAGAGTTCTCGCTTCTCATCAAGCAAAACCTGACATATGTCTGAATGCTGTTCAGATGGATTGCATCGAACCGGGCGAATTGATCAGACGCGATGGCCGAAGTGTAACCCACAATCGCCCACAAACAAAGGCTGTAGTTGTCCGAGTCGCGTTCAGCGTTGTTACCCGTGTCGTCGCGGTAAAGGGCTTTCAGGATCATGCGACGCTCGACGATCGGAAACCAACAATGGGTGGTTTGAAAATAAAAGTCTACAATCTCTTGGATATTTGGCGGGTAATCCGGAGGTGGCAGATCCGCGCAATACTTTAGTCTTTCAAAGAGATTGACCTCGCCCGGTTGTTGATGGATTATTGTGTCGACATTTCGCAGTTCTGGAAGTTGAACTGTCTCTGATGTCAATCTGCTTCCTATGTTGTTGTCCACCGAGCTTAGCAATTGGTCAAAGTCTTTCGCTAAATCGGAAGATCGCCAAATGTCCGACGCGTTGTCCAGATATTCGCTGTCGACAATTCGCCCCGCAATGTTCTCTCTCAAGATCTTCCGTAGCGTGTACTCTCCGTTGGGAAGAAACTGTTGGAACAGCCCGAGCAAGGCTTCGATGCCTCTGACATAGCCGGTGGGCAGCCCTCTTTTCTTCACAGGGGTTCCGTACGTGCACACCTTTCCCAGATTATCACACGTTGAGCAAGTAGGCTGGGCGCCATCGCATTTCGACTTTCGTTTGCGGCACTGATCACAGGCTTGGTTGATTCGCTGGCGTTTCGAAGAGGGGTCCTGTTCTGACATGGCGTGTCATGATGGTGAGCCGATCCGAAGGGAGGGGCCGAGTCGTATGATCTAAGACTGTTCTTGTTCTTGTTCTTGTTCTTGTCAAGATCTCATCACTTACTAGTGCCTACGGAAGGTACAAGGCTGGCCAGGCAAGCGCACGGAGACCGGGCAATCGCTGTTCCGACCTGCGGACCGGATTAATGCTCCTCCGGGTGGATGCCTTAGGTAGGCCTTACTCGGAGGTGGCCGTGGCTCACTCCCCCATTTCCTTCCTAGGCTCCTGCTCCTTCCCCAGCTTTTCGGTAACGATGGTGTCCTCTCGCTGACTATAAGTCATGGACACCGCTTCGCTAGACAGCCCTCGTCGCAGTCCTTTCGGCCCATCGCTCTTTAGTTCACGGAAGCGCAGTTTTGATCAGACCCAGTTACCGCAACAAAACAATGGCTCTTCGCGCCGATCCACTCCCACGCACATCCATCCCCGCGTGGACTTGGAGCGCCATTCCAGACACATAGTGTCCCTCTCATCGCCCAATAGATCGCCAAGTCTTGAGGACCTCGAGAATCGCTTGTACGAGTCGCCGGTATTAGCTAGGCAATATCATGGCGACGAGAGTATCATCCTGGTGGGATTTCCTAGCGCAGGCAAGAAAACGCTGGGTCTCATAGCCTCGGCTGCTCTGCGGAGAGAGTTTGTTGATTTTGACACCGTCTTCACGGCAAGTTCAGGGCTATCGCCCCGAGAATACATCGAGGCGCATGGAGCAACTGCATACCGGAATCTGGAAGACGAGGTAACCAGTGAGGTATTTGGCTCGAGGCAGAAAGGTTGCGTTCTTGTCGGATTTTTTGCCATGGCAAGCAACCGCCAACGTCGACTGTTGAAATCATTATCAAACACAAACCCCATTGTACACATTCAACGGGATCTCGACAACATAATTAACCGAACGGATTCGGACAAAGATCGGCTCTATCGAACTTATCAATTAAGTGAGAAGATACACCGCAGATTTGCCAATTTTGAGTTCTTCAATATATCTCAGCCATTGATGGACGATAAAGCACTTGGACCCCTCAAATTGAAAGCGACCGAGGGAGAATTTATCCGCTTTCTCAATGGTATTTTTCCGCAATCTGAAGAGCCAAAGGCACTTGCCAATATCTTTTCACATCCGTACACTTATGCGCTGCAAGTTCCAATGTCATGGTTGGAAGACACACAAGCCGACTACACGGAGCTTGACTCTGGAGCGGACGCAGTGGTCATACTGGTTGAAATTACCCTTGAAAATCAACATGAAATCTTCTCTCAGCTATCACAAAGAGTTGCAGTATTAAGAAAGTACTGCCATGTCCCTATTATCATCGATCTGGAGATCTCGACGAAGATGAGCTATATAGCTCAAGCCAACTTGTTGGAACTCGTTGTGCGGCAAGCACCAGAGGTTATCGTTGTTTCATTGGACACGAGAGCAGCTTTAGCCAAGCAATTACAGCTTGCAAAGTGCCATTCTAAGATCATTGGGAAATACCACCACCCTGGATCCGTTTCAGAATACTGGAACTCCACTACTTTGCCAGCCGTCTTTGACAAAGCAAGCTTACTCCATTGTAGTGCCATAAGGCTGACTGGCGAGGCTCACGAGCCTATTGATAATCTTGGATGTGTTAAAGTGATTTTAGAGGCACAGAAATTCAGCGACTTTCCGGTGAGCTGCTATAATACTGGGAAATTTGGACGTTCATCCGTTTGCTTAAACCCTCTTTTATCCCCCGTCGTCCTCCGGTCGCAAGCTACGAGTCGCGGGGTCACCCTCGCAGATGCTCAAAAAGCATTATATTCCTCCTTCTGGAGATCAAAAAAATATTTTACAGTTTTTGGACAGAATGTTTCATACAGCTTGACGCCAGCTATGCATAATGCTGCGTCCACTGCATGTGGAATGCCTCACATTTGTGATTACGTTGAAAGCGATCAACTGGCTCGCATTCGCGAGGTTTTCCGACGTGACTCACAGGGCGGGCTTGCTATTGTATATCCATACAAAACCGAGGTCGTGCAGATGATGGATGAAATGAGTCTTGATGCCAAAGTTATCGGCGCGGTCAACACCGTTGTTATTGAGAGCATTTCGACTGGCCAGGATAGTTCAAGATTATATCTCAAGGGCTACAATACAGACCATATTGGAATTCGTACATGTATCGAGAAGAATCTCTCGCCTGCAAATGCAGTACGATCGCAAACGAGCGCGCTGATTATCGGCGCCGGCGGTATGGCTCSTGCTGCCATATATGCCTGTGTCAAAGCGGGKGTCAAGAATATTTGCATCTTCAACCGAACTGAAGCGAATGCTCGTAGACTTGCGGATTATTTTGCAACGGTTTATCCTGATTTGCGAGTGGCTGTTTTCACTACCCTCGCCACCCCATGGCCTGCTGATCTGTGGCAGCCCACAATTATCGTCTCTTGTATCCCTGCACACAAAGTTGGTGATAATGACGCCCCAGACTTTCTAATCCCGGAACAATGGTTAAGTAGTCCGACCGGGGGTGTTTTCGTTGAGGTGAGTCACTGATTTTTTCTACTGTTCCATGTCATCTATTGTAGACTTCAAAGTTGCTGACCACCTGCAGTTTGCTTACAAACCTCTTGTCACCCGACTGATTCGCGATATGCAAGCTCGACGGTCGCAAGGGTGGATTGTCGCTGATGGTCTCGATGTGCTTGTTGAGCAGGGTATTGCTCAATTTGAACTATTCACGAACAGACCTGCGCCTAGCCACATTATGCGACATACAGTACGAGAACAATACTTCATTGCCCAAAATGCTCAACGCGACGATGAGTCTGCAGATACTGACTGAACGCTGGGGCTTGTCCATCCTCGAAGCATCTTTATTTACTCGTTATGTTTGCTGTCTTTGAGAGGGAGTGTGTATGACGCCTAGGATGAATAGTTACGACCTGAATGACGAAGTGCCATATACCCCCTGATGGTGCTAATTTGCGAATGCTATGATTACATATCCCAACAACCAAGATACGTACTGCTGACTTGTCCATATGGTCTTCTAATCCATATACTGCTAGTCTTTACAATAGGGATCTGTAATGAGGCGAGTAAATTATCGGCGAACTGCCCGGTGGGTCGATCGGGGTTTCGGCCGGGATTTCCTGACAACGGCAAAGCATTTCCCCGGGTGGGCGGGGTAGTGACGCTCACCATTTGACTTCAACATAGTACCATGCGTCTATTCGCGCACACTGCCCAGGGGGCAGAAATATATTCCTAGATTGTATATTCTTACTATATCGTTAATTTTGAGAGGAGAAAGAGAAAATCGAACTCAAACCTTCACGATACCCATTCAGTCACTTGCAATGCCGACTATCTTGATCCTCAACGGTCCTAACCTCAACCTACTCGGCCTTCGAGAACCTCATATCTACGGATCGACTACGCTACAAGACGTCGAAAACACCTGTATCGAATTGGGCAAGCAACACAATGTTACAGTGGAAGCATTTCAAAGCAATCATGAGGGCCAATTGGTCGATCGCATCCACGAGGCTCGGAATAAGGTGGACTTGATCGTAATCAACCCAGCAGCATATACACATACAAGCGTTGCCATCCGAGATGCTCTCCTTGGAGTATCAATACCGTTCATCGAGGTTCACATTAGTAATGTTCATGCCAGAGAGCAATGGCGACATCACAGTTACTTTTCAGACAAAGCTGTTGCTTGCATCGTCGGCCTAGGGACATTTGGGTACGAAGCCGCTATTCAGCATGCGGTACGGAATCTTCTTCCTAAATATACTCCGAAATAATAGGAAGATGCCTTTCCGCTTGGGCGACGGCCGTCAACTTTTGAACAGTTCAAGAATCCTTTTATTCGCATACAAAGAAGGCAATCGTGGAAAGGTCATCAATAAACATTCTCGTGGTCAATTGGCGCAATGTGGCAATCGGGATTGTGGATAGTTGAAAAAAATTCATGACGCATGGAATAGCTACGTATGTACTATGATCAGCGTTCTTTGCGGGGTCTTTCTCTCTATACGCAGAGTTTTCGTAGTACAAGCGCCATTTCGAGCACGACCTTGTAACAAATCATTATTGAACTGAATCAAGGTTCCTTTATATCAGGATTATTCTTATGGAGAAACAAGTCGCCTAGAACTCGGAGCTTGAGTAAACTGTACTCTCAATTTCATCTGGATACGACAGCCCGCCTTGTCTCCAAGTTTCATCAATTGTCCTTCATCACTGTAATCATTTAATCCCATGGAAACAATTCACTCTTAATTTTGCCATCCCAGAGACAACGTCTTACATCGTCAGCTTCCCAATACATGCACTTTATCTCCATCAAATTGGGATGATTGACTTCTCGAACGCTTCTACGGCCCTCGACCTTTGTATTGTCGTTCCGGAGAATTATACGATATTTCCCGGGTCGAAACGATGGAGCATCAAGCTGAATCTCTCCACGGCTACCCTGTATACGGATAGGGAGGCCAGCACTATTCTGGCCGTCTGGATCAGTCGAGACTCGCAAGTTGGCGAGAGCAACAGCCTGCAATTTCCGATTTGCGATGTTATTGCGTATAGTCGTGGGGAAGGTAAGAAAAATCGACGATGCTTCCTCTGCGCGGATCAAAGAGTTCAATTTAACCTGAGCTGCAATCGCTGCCGGGGGCTTGCGTTGTGGTAAAGGCAAGATGTGGTAAAGGGATAGGAAATCCACGTCAAGCTGTAAATTCCCACTTGTCCATGGGTGCCAATATTTCAAAGCGCGTATTCCAATATAATACAGTGACTTGCGGTTCGAATGGATCTATCGAAATTTACAGTCAAGAAATGCTCCGCCGGCCAATCCCTTGTTGAGCATCCTGTGCTCAGTTCCCCAGATTTTCTCGACCCCGACTCCAAAACTTGTGTCTACCAAATTTCGTAACACCTCGCCGACAGTTTCACGGCGGATGTCACTCATCACATCTTTGGTAATCGACAGAGATAGTGTCCACATAACCTCCGTTAGAATGGGTTCTTTTTCTGGCTTCGTCGCATAGTGCTTCTGCTTGGTTGGCATTAACCGTCAGTGGCTTCTCACACATAACGTGCTTCCCGGACACGAGTGCCAACATAGCATGCTAATAATGATGAGAATGAGGTGTCGCTATATATACCACATCAAAATTTTGATCGGACGTAACTCCTCTGTTAAAATTATAGCATACATATGTGGCTGGTAACTCGAGTCCTGCAATAAAATTTTGTGCCTTCTCTATGCATGACTATGATACCACTGCCGAGACAACATGGTCAATATCTCCATCATTTTGCAAATTCTGGGTATGTAATAGATCCTCGGCGAATGCTGTTCCTCTGGCATCAGAACCAGAGACTATTCAGTGCGTGTTGTCAAAATTTAACAATGTTCCCAAAGGACACTTGCTCATGGCCATGTTGCCAGTACCTGGCATATTTTGTTGAGCCCTAGACTATATTGTGGCATAATAATGATACGGCAGAGAGTAGTTTCTTACCCATAAGTCCCCATCTCACAGTGAAGGACTGATGCATTTTGAGCGAAAATTTGTAATAAATACTTTCTATGGGTCCTATCGTCGTTTTCTTCTGGTAATGGCCACAATCATTCGATTCCCCTCCCATCAAAATTGGGTGCTCATGCTCAGATTAGAGCTGAATATCTACAAGAAGACTTCCGCATTTAGTTCATCTGGAAGGATTTTTCATCTCATAGACGCCCACCATAAGATACCCTCATGTATTTATCACTAACACCACAAGTCACTAAAACGTAGCATGACGAGCAGCTTCGAAAGAACATTCCAGGTTGTAATACCCTACGTTGTACATTCAACCCCCAATGCGAGCATCTTCGTGGAATTCGAACTAAGGTAACCATTAATTGACGGCATTGCGATGGTAGAATTAAATCATATAGATGTTTGCAATGTCACGTTACATTATTTTCATTACAAAAGATGTGTTAGAGTTGTGGACAGAGTGGATAATGGTGAATGTGTGGGTGATTGGTGGAGTCTGCCTTATTGAGCCATAATCAGGTTGCTTACTTACTAGTACAATACAGGATCCTTATGGTCACATTGTGAGATCACTGATTACAATTATTTCAAAGGTTTTGAAGTCCTTCCTATCCTCTAGGAAGCACGCAAGCTGTAACAACTCTGAAGGTAGGCTGCGACCATTACCTAATATTAACAAGTGTACCAACATCTGCATTAACAGACAGCCTTGAGAAATTCATTCCATTGAATAATTTATGTAACATGACTAACTTGACCATGCAGATCTAGCTAAGCAAGCTTGTATATATATACACATCTTTCCTCCATCAATTCCGCCTATTCCAAACACCAAGTTTCTCAACACCCTATTAATCTTATCAAGACCCAATATATACACCCGGTAAAATGACCACCACTACAACAATGACTGCTTCCACTACAACAAGTACCCATAGGCCTTATCTGGAAGCTCTTCAACGTGACGGATTCGTGGTTGTGCGATCAATCCTCACACCCTCTGAAGTGGCGACTTTGCGTGAAGCAGCAACCGAAGTCACTTTGCGAACACGAAATGGTAAATGGCCGTACCTGCGCTCTGTTCCCAAGCAGTTTCCACCATGGCCAAGCACTCCGCCACCATCATCCGAGGGTGGTATTTGGGGAGTTCAACACCTGATGCATCCCGAGATGCCACATCGCGAAAAGTTTATTAAGACATACTTTTCGCCCAAGATTCTCAGTGTCGCGGAAGAATTATTGGGACTTTCGGCCAGCAAGAAAGAGGCCACAAGCAATGATGCAACACATGAAGAATTGCTAGTCATGGAATTATTCAATCTTTTGGTTGCACCAGAAAACATACCGTTTGAGCTACGTTGGCATCGAGATGATATTTCAGAAACCGTTACACCCGAACAAGAGCTCCAGCTACTCCAACAGAAAAGCCCAGAAGGCAAACAATCACATGCACAATATAATCTGTCGTTATGCCCCGACGCATCACTGATTGTGGTACCAGGCTCTCATCGCCGTGTGCGCACTGATATTGAACGAGCGGCAGATCCTTACGAAGCGACTCTACCAAACCAGCTCATTGTTCGTCTAGAACCTGGTGACGCAGTCTTCTATGACAGCAATATTTTGCACCGTGGTATTTACCAACCTAAGGTCGAGGGAGGCGAGGAAATCCGGCTCACACTGCACGGTAGCCTGGGCTTGAAAGACCGCAGCGGCAATTCAGATAAAGTGCGAGCTACAGCTGTGTTGCAACACGGTATAGGCTTCTGGATTGACCGGGAGGATGCTTCTTTGGGAGCAGGTGAGCGAGCGGAGAAGATGAGGGCCAATTTAATCAGCCTAGGAAGGGGTGAGAATGTCGGATATTCTCTTCAGGGATAGATAGTTGGAGCAGGATCCAGCAGGGGTTAGGGTTAGTGCGCATCATGTGATCAGCAATAAATCATTCGTGATATGATTGGCCAAAAGACTGATCACAGCATGGACAGCCCCATTTTCTACACTAAATTTATGTAACGTTACAATTTTTACCCCTTGACTTTTCTAATTCGCTTTTTCTGCTTGTTGTGGCACTGGGCTTGACCGGGTCTGTCTGGACTAGAACAGAACGTTCATAATCGAACGCAACAAGCTACTTAGACCAAACATTTGATGGATTCGCATTTGTGGAGATTCTTATGTTGTGCCAACCACATTATACTCCCCTTCTATAGCCGGACCTAGTCATGAGTTCAGTGATTATAGACCAAACGAAGCCGATAAAATATCATCGCATCAGCCATTGTTCATACTTTTGTGATGGTTGTCAATGACTATGGCTTAATCCACCCATATTCAAATATTAATGTCATATAGTTGCCTATGCAACGGTTGACTATTGAGGGTGCCGGTCATGGCGGACTCTATGGATGAGTAAGTGGCATAACAGCAAAAACTGCATGGCTCTCCTGATTCCGAAACTGACATATTGTTTCTCAGGCAAATTGGCTCTCTATTGTCAATGGGATTTGAGGGTACTACAATCACACCCCATGTCAAGTCCCTTATTGAAGACTACCGAGTGGGCGCCATATGCCTTCAAGCTAAAAACCTTAAGAGTAAGCCTTTGCAGTCCTGATCATATCTCACAAAGTGCGCAAAATTGCATTTCACCTTTTTTTTAACCCGTCGAACCCCCTAACCATGTCGAAGTTGCATGTAGTTGAACGATTAGATCGAATTTCCTAACACATTTGACAGGCGCCCCACAGGCTATAGAGGTAACATTCTGAACGATGTTCGATCGAGTACATATGTCTGGATCTCATAGGCTGACATCTTTAACGGTAAAAGCTTATCAACTCACTCCAGAAAGTTGCATATGATGCTGGATATCCAGAACCACTTCTCATTAGCCTCGATCACGAAAATGGAGGGGTCAACTCAATTTTTGATCCTGATTATATTCATCAATTTCCATCGGCCATGGGCCTAGCTGCCTGTCGATCCCGAGAGTTGACACGCTCTGTATGTCGCGCTGCAGCCAAGGAACTTGCCTGTATAGGGGTCAACTGGCTTGTCGGACCCGTTTTCGATGTGCACTCAGATGCAAAGCCACAACCAATGGGGGTCCGGTGTTTTGGAGAATATCCAGAAATCGTAGCTGAGCAGGCTTTGGAGTCTATGTTGGGATACCAGGAGGGTGGACTTCTAACGTGCATCAAGCATTTTCCAGGATTTGGAAATCTTGACTTTGTAGGATCACCAGCTGATATACCAAATGTCTCTGGTACCTTCGATCAGTTGCTGTCAACCTCTTTAGTACCGTTTCAAACTGCGATCGACAACGGAACAGACTCGATCCTGGTTGGGGCTTGCGGAATGCCTGATGTCAATGATGCGCAGATTCCTTACTCATGCTTATCCCATGCAGTTGTCACTGGCTTATTACGACGCCGCATGGGTTTTGGTGGTGTAATTTTATCAGACTGTCTCGAGATTGAGGCGTTATATGAAGGAGTTGGGGTTAGCCAGGCTGCGGCAATGGCAATCAATGCTGGTTGTGATGTGATCATGCTATGCCAAAGTCATTCCAACCAGATCGAAGCTATCCAGGGAATTAAGACCGCCATTGGATCAGGATTGCTATCCAAAGGTCATGTTCAGGCTGCAGCAGGTCGTGTACGAAGAATGAAACAGCGGAAACTGTCGTGGGACAACGTTTGGAACCTTGGCGGACTATCCGCTTTGGACGTGATGAAGCCGGCACATAGACTGTTGTCGCGGTCGGCATATGATGCTTCTATTACACTGGTCAGGGACTTGGGTCACTGCATTCCTTTGGCAAAGAATAGTGCACCAACTGATGTGCTACTACTTTTAACTCCATTGGTGGAACCATTTGAACGACCATCCAAAAGCGAGGAAGAATCGCAACAAGCTTCGTCCACATCTCCAACCAGCCCATCAAAACTGGTCAATATAGCGAGACATCTCAATCACCGACAAAAAGGATATCTAGAGGGTGAGAGTACTTTTCAAGAGCTGGGTGTTGCCCTGGCAAAGAGATGGCGTGGCAAGGTAGTTCACACCTCATATACTGCAAGTGGAATTAGTCCACTCCATGAACGGCTGGTTTCGGAAGCATCAGCAGTAGTCTTGCTTACAGCTGACGGCGTCCGTAATGTCTATCAATATGGCTTTACGAAGTATATAGTGAGTCTTTGTCAAGGAAGTCAAAACCAGTCTCCAGCGGCCTCGTCCACGATCGGCCTCCCAGAAAAGCCTTGTATCGTTGTCGCAGTAAGCTCGCCATATGACTTCATGAACGACCGACAAGTCACAACATATCTATGTACATATGATCTGACAGGTCCACCTCTGAACACTCTTGTGCGTGTTCTTTTTGGAAAGCTAAAGGCTACTGGTCTTCCTCCGACGGCACGACAAACATCTCCACGTTCAAAAGTGCAGAGGCAACTATGGTTAGTTGAAAAATTTGACTTTGGACGAGATGCATTCCCATTACAAGAAATGTTTGATCAAGTACGTATGGCTGTTTCGAATACTTTTAGCGACCCGGAAGCTCAATATCCGTCATATTGTTTTGAAACATCTCATTATCAAAATAGTTACCAGCCGCTGTTTGAAGCAGAGCATTTCATCGTCCGTAACAGCAGTACCCAGAAGATTTACGGGTTTTGCGCAACCTACTTCAACCAAAACCTTTCGCGCGGTATTATTGCCGCCATTGTGGTATCCACAAGTCACAGAGGCAAAGGCATCGGTTTTTCATTACACCAATATGCTATGCATAGTCTGGAACAACGCCGTGGGATTGAAGTAGTGCAGTTCGGGTCGGAAATTCCCGTTATATTCCCAGGTATACCAAATAGGTTGAGCACCCATCAACTGGGTCTTCGAAGTTGGGTTAGGAACAGGTACGTCCTCACTTGGGGTCATTCATGGTAACTCGAAACTATATCTTGCTCGTCGCCTTGACTTTCCTAGAGTGCTATCTCTTGTTGTCACTTGTTTCGCTGGGTGCCTTCATAATGCTATACTTATCAATTTGTTTCTTTATAGGGGCTGGGATGTCGGAAACTGGGATCACCACGATTTCTATGCGATACGCCTCGTGAATGACTGGCAACCGATCTCAACACCGGAAAAGATTGCTATTGACAACGGATTCTTTTATGACACCGTTCAGACCCAAGACCACGAAGAACTGAACCAGCACCTGCTCATTCAGACTTGCTTCGGCGCCGGTAACTCATTACTACGCCACCCGGTCGTTTTATCGGAGCTTTATCGGTGCGCCCAAACTGACACTCAGGGATGCAAAATTCTCCTAGCGAGGGCCAGAGATGTCAGAAATTCACGAGGCTCGACTGGGAAGGGAAAGATTATAGGTTCAGTCATACTATATCACGCATCATCACAGATGAGTAAATACTTTCCAGTTGAAGATCGGAAGACCGGCGGCCTAGTCGGAGTAGTTTCCTCGCGCGGCGTTCAAGCCGTTCCGATTGTCGAGGGCTTGATCCTCAAGTCCCTTTCAATCCTAATTGATATGGGATTCAATAGCGTACAGACATTTATCGTAAGTTTGAGCTCCATCATATTGCCTCATTGCTGGAAGTGCCTTGCCTCAACTTTAACTCCGCACCTTTGATACTAATAGTGGTACGCATTTAGGTGGGAGATCCTGTTTMCCCGCCGATATTGGTGAACCTCGGGTTTCAAAAGGTTTCTGAATTTCTCAGTATCAGCAAGAAGGTTATACCACAAGCCGCAAGGCGTCTTTCGAATGGTCGTGAGTAGGGTCGACATTTTAATTACACGCCATGACGCGTGTAACACCATGAATCCGCACACATTGTGGAGCTTATAGCTCTATGGTAGCACTAGTACATGAGCTTTCTCCTCTTGTTTTTGCCTAAGATTTCCAGAAGACAGTAAATCCTGGCCTGGTTCTGATACCAAAGCAAGCCGGAAGCTTGTCATCCTCTGTATTGTTAATAATCGGCACAACGATGCAGGGAACTTGGGGTCCGGGGAGGGCTGAAGAGGTGAACGTAAGAGCTGCTCTATCAGAGTGTGAAGAAGCAAAAACGTCGTTACAAAAGTCCTGGGTGCTTTGAGGCGAGATAGTACGAGTTGCTAAAACACTAACTCTTATACAACGCAGAATTTAACGGTATCCTTGAAATTGTGGTAAAAGGAAAGATTTCCCTGTATCAAAGCTGTCAGGGTTATCTCAACGACGCTATAGAGCAAGTTGTAAGCCACGGAGGGCATATTTCTTTCATTAAGTAAAGTATTTGAAACATGCAATACGGCTTCAAGAGTTTTCCTGTATAAACTGTAGCAGCAGAAAGAAGTTTTATCTAGACAAGCCAACGCGTTGTAAGTTTCTTGGAAATTTCCGAGTTAGGCAAGATCCCATTGTTTTCATTCGTGTCTTGATTGCAGCTCTCGGTCGAAGCAGCAGAAGATTAAGGTTCCAGCAGACTGCAACCTTGGATTAGGGGCCAACGCCAGCGTTGCAAGGGATTGGTTAAACCCGTAGGCTCCATATTTTTACTTCAGGGAGCTGCGACCACCTAAATGTAACTAAAAGATTCAACCCCGACCGTCGTACTGCGGGTATGCACTAAAATACGAAACGCTATCTATAATTTCCGCTCCGTTCCGTCCCCAAATTTCAAACCATAACCCACGCTGAGCCTCAGATTGCTGATTGCCTATTCGGTTCCTAATCTCTAATGATAAACCGCCTCCTTTTCTTTTGCACGACGCGTCATTAATATCGCTAAGGATTTCTGCGCCCGTGCAGCAGGTACAGAGCGCGCAACGGCGGTGGAGACGATGCAACCACCGTTGCTGTCTTGAATCAGCGAAGCAGGCTGATCACGATGTCGGACCTCGACTTAGTTGATAATTTGGAGGAAGATGAATTGTCGGAGAATGGAATGGTATCCGACTTGGGTATTGTCGGTGCGGTGCAGGATGGGGATGAGCACACACCTGAACTTTTATCATTCGAAGCCCATGAACAGTTTCAACCAAGAACGGCAAGCAACGAAACCTACTTGACATTCCAACCTCTCAATCTCTCTCAATCCCAGGCTTTCAAGGATTTGGTGGATGTTTCGTTAGTCTCAAACATAAAGATTCAGGCATATCTACGGGGTCGATTCACACATAATGACGAAGCAAGTTTACCCAGCACTCATCGCGAGAACGCTGTCGATATTGCTAATGGCACTGATGATAAGGACACGATTGGTCTTATCTTCTATCGTCGCAACAAGTTCAAGGTTGTTGGAACAATATCTGTCCCGACCACAGTTACCAGTGTCAAGCATGGGATGTTCAGAGACTCCCGAATAACTGGTCTTTATGCCGAATTGGATGCCATAGAAAGCCTCGAAGGTGTCCCGGTGCGCCTTATACACACAAATCCAAAGCCAAAAATGACATCAAAGTCATCGCAGTTGGACCCATCAATTGATCAGGGCGGTTCTAGTCGAATTTTGACGCCACGAACAGCACAAGGCCTTCCTCGGGTTTGCCTTTGGCAGGATAAAAGTGACCAGGATGGAGACCCTAGCCCAAACACGGCTGAGGACAACTCAGGATTACCTATTCCCATTTTCTGGGACAAACTGCAATTCCGTCATGCCACAGCAAAGAAGCGTGGTACGTGGCAGTACTTTTACCTTCGGGTAACAGTGATAGCGATACTGAAAGATGGGACGAGTCATGCACTTTGTCGGAGCCAAAGCTCAGCAATAACTGTGCGCGGGAGATCACCTCAAAGCTTTCCAACGCATGTAAGCAAGTCAATGAAGACGAGCTCTTCAACGGGACGAGGGCCGCAAGCAGCCACAAGGAACCAAGATAGCCACAAAGCAACGGAGTGGAGCAATGATTCTGTTAACTTTCAACCCGCAAACTACAGCTCTACCTTTGATTCTGTTCCCAGTAATCTGCTTTTCTATGATTTCTCTGATCTGGGCATAGGATATAATGATCTTCAATGGCAGGATGGGGATGAAAACGCGGGAGAGCTCAGTACACTGAATGGGTATCTTGACAGTGAAAATCTCATGAACACCTCTACCAGAAATACCCAGAGCATGGATCCTAGCAACAATCTTTTGATCCCATCTTCTGAAACACATCTGCTCCCAAGTGTCCCTAACCTCGGTTCAATATTCAACCTACCAGATTCTTTGTCTTCGTTATCTGCAAATTACTCAAGCTCACAAGATGCTCACGGTGCAACTTTATCTTCGTTCGCGTCTATGCCCCTGAATAGTGGCATGGATGAAGCGGGATCTTCTTCCCTTATTTCACCTAGATCTCTTGAGAATCTGGGTCGTAAACCTACGTCTTCCGAAAAGCCGAATACCATGGACGAGGATGAGAGCGATTTCACGGATGACGAGCGTAAGACCTATTCTTATGAGTATATCCCACTATCTATCAATGACTGGACAGTTCCAGTTGACGCAGTTTATGTAAGTATCGAACTCTTATCCTTGCCTGATTTTCTATACTGGCTACATACTATGCCTACTGAGAAGGAAACTTACATGAAACTCAAAGCGTCCGCATGGAGTACATGCCAGGAAGGTACCCAACACGGAGAAGTCCGTAATGAAGAAACGATACTTTATTTCGGCGAAATAGTACATAATTGAAGTACGTCCTCACAAAAGAATAGTGCCTTCCTGCAACAAGAGAACGAGTGAATAAGAGAACTCAGACACTTGCATTCCATGTAAACCTGAGGATATCTCTAGGAGAGTTTGTCGGGACTAAGAATTTTATGATTACGGCAATGTTACTTTCGGGAACTGTTTAAGGGTTGAATGCGAGATATGATCGCATTAAAGGACTTGATACGCCTATAGCTATCAGGAACGTGTACTTGAACTATGCTTGAAACATTAATCTGGAAATTAATCAATATATCAATGGATATTCTTTACGATACAGCAGCTTTAGAGATATGTTCCATGTAGATTCAAGAATGCTTTTACCAGTTTACCTTGACGCCTACAGGAAGCGCCCACACTTGGCTATCAATCTCGTACTGACATGCGGACAAGGTTGATTGAGTGGACTCGGTTACGCATTGCTTGTTCAGTCTGTTCGTCAAGTAACCATGGACTGAATAATCCCACTGCTGAGCCAGATCGACAGGAATGAGTGCACACGGCTCCAGCTTTGCCTGTTTGCCACTCGCTGTGAGACAGAGACTGGTGTCAGAAAGGGGGCTGATGGTTCCCACGAGTGGTCGAATATGCCACACCTGCTCATCTGTGCCAGAACAAGTGTTGAAAGCAATTTGGCCGGTCTTTCCATTTGAGCTCGTGGCAGTGAGACAATTGGATGAAGCGTCGTTGAAGATGAGGCCAGTTGGAGTAACAAGATCAGCTAGTACCGTCGATAGGGAGATTCGATAGACTGCGGTAGCGTGGGTAGCTAAATCTTTAATCTCTAGGCTGTCTCTGAATACAGAAGTCTTGCCAGTCCAGAGATCTTTTGCGGTGTATTCAATCTTGATACCCAGGACTTCCTCGACCAACCCCAAGCGAGGTACGCTAACTGCTGTACTAGCTGTGTCATTACCCAAGTTAAGTACCGTTAGCAGGCGATCGCCGTTATCCAGGCTTTTCGTAAACACATCGAATGTCCCGTCACGGCTGACTAAGGTTGCTTGCTGAGCTAATTTATCTTGATCGACCGCAATCAAATCAGCATTTTTCAAATACGAAAGTACATCCTCTGGCAGCTCTGGAATCCAGGCGCTAATGATAAGGGGCGCGGAAAAAGACGACCAAAGAGCGAACTGAGACTTCTTTTCGTCCAGAGAAAGGCCAGGGTGATCCGCAATCAGAAAATCTGGGTCATTGTAATATCCAGGAACCTGATAACGTGCAAGTAGGATCTCATAGTTGTAGTTTTGCATGATGCTTCCCCATGGACTCGTAACGCCATCCCACGAGGTCGCATTCAAAGCATACACTATAATGTCAGATGAGTGTCTTGCTAGTTCTCCATTGTATGGCATGTAATCCATGGTTGTGTACCAATCGGTCAAATTATCGGATCCGGTGATCCATTTTGAAAAGTAAGCAGGTGCCGACTGCGAGAAGATCAGTGGCGCAGACATGTTGGTGAAGACTTCATGCCAGGTCGAATACCGCTTTTGATATTCGGCTTCGGTTGCCGGGGATACATTACAACCATCGACTTTTAGATAGTCGATTCCCCAGGACGCAAATGTCTCTGCATCAATAGCTTCGTAACTATATGATCCAGGGCCGCCGCCGCAGGTGACATTCCCCGCATCTTCGTAGATGCCAAAGTAAAAACCACGCTCTTTCAAGTACTGTCCCAGCCAGGGTAGTCCGTGAGGAAATGTTGTTGTGTTCCAGGTCAAGGTGTTGTGTTCTGTGCGGGAGTCTGCCATCCAGCAGTCATCGAGATTAATACGATTGTAGCCGGCAGCATGCAGTCCTGTGGAGACCATAGAATCAGCCGTTTGAGTGAAGATGGTCTCGTTGATATCGCACTCGAAGCGCGACCAGTCGTTGAATCCCATGGGCGGTGTTGGCAGCAGGCCTGGGTTCTCAATTGAGGCGCTACATCTGGCGATCATCCAGCCGCTGACTGCGGTGACCGCAGCGACCGCCTGCAGCAGCGACGTATCTTTCCTGTAGGTATGCATTTCTCTCAATATTCGTGCAGAGAAGAAATACAGGATATGCAGAAGACTGAAGCGAACTTTGTGCCACTTGCAACAAGTGATGGTCTGTCCTCGCAGTTATATATCTACTTGCAAGAATCTCTCAATTAGAGTATAGAGGTAACTAACACCAATGTTGACGACGCACTAGTCTGCTATCGAAGTAGGCCATGTTACAATGTTGCAATCCATGCATTGCTGGAATTTATCATCTGGTCTATCGCGGTAGTGTACTATAGTAAATAGCTAGCGTTAGTCGCAAACAGAGTAGTTACTACGGAGTTGGCATGTTCAAGCTGGGTTGGCTACTACTACATAGTAGGGATTGTTCAGTGTTTATCTTGGGAGACGCCGAGTATGGGGAACGTTTGTCTGGGCCCCACACTCGAGTTATGATTGGCCACTATTTGGAAAACCAGCCCGCATTTATAGCTGATCCACCAATCATATTGAGAGATGATCTCAATTCAAGAAGGGCAGCTGACCAATGACATTATTTCACTCCACTAAATCCCCCGTTGGTGTGGGGCTTCACTCGGCTTTTATCTGTATCTTGGACCAATCACAACTCTGCGTTTCAAAAATACCACCATCCCCCTGAACATATCAACACATTTTATATTTCTCTGTCCATCATACTCTCAGCTCAGAGTAGCCGAGCCCACCAAGACCAGAAACTCATCACGCAGCAATGCCCTCCGAGACTCTGTCAAGCGGGCCAAAGCGGCGGCGGATCCGGTAATTTGGCGCGTGTGGAGCCGGGGGAAGATAGCGAGAACCTTAACGCGAAAAGTGTAACGTAGCAGCTTTCCGCATCTAACATTTCTCGACTTGCGCATCTAAAATCTTGTTACAGTGTTGAACCCCCAGGTTGATAGCCATCCCGCGTTACTGCTATCTCCAAAGCTTATCGCTCAATGCTCCACCAGATACTCCGCACAGTAAGCGGACCGTCATGGCAAGGGTGACTTTGTTGCAACGAGTCAATGAAAAGGTCTAATACAGCTATCTCCTCCGTGAGGAACGAGAAATCAATGGACTTACGCTGTCAATCCGATGCCAGGTGGTTTTATCACGATTTGACTGTCTTATCTGCGGAGTTGCATTGATCATATATTGACCAAGATAACGACCCAATTTTTACACGCGATTGAGAACGGTGATCCTTTGTACCGTAGCTGGTAGCTAGTGTCGAGCTGAAAGGGATCTATTGCCGACGCCTGTAACCCTAATCCTTCAGGCCAACATTAGCCCTAAACCCTAAGCCCTAGAGCTGTACACTCGACGTCATGGTGATGAAAGCAACGTATTGACTCAACAACCAAAAACGTCAACAACAAAGAAATTTCCCCTGAATCCACAAGACAAACTCATTATACAGCCATTTTCCAATTTACAAGTAGATTTGCGACTGTGTGCTACTTACAACGACGAAGGGGTCGTCACCAACAGACGACATGGCAGAAAACAAGCCTCCTCCAAGACGCCAGCAGGTACCGGCAGCGTCCACCACTCAGGTGCCAACTGTCGGTACAGTCCACAGTTTCAAGCGACTCTTATCATATTCAGACAATTTATCGATTAATGGACAAACCGCCAACCCCGAAGCACTATCCGCTGCCGTCACGTCGGACAAGAAAGAGGAAGGCCATCGCAACTCGGAGAACATGGTCAAAGCTGCACTAACTGAGCTTCTTAACGATGAGGATGTCAAAAATAATCCAGCTGGCAACAAATCCGTACAGAATCTACTCATGAAGACCGAGAAAGAGTGGAGAAAACAGCGCAGAAAGACGGTACATGAGCGCGACCCTGACCAACCTCCGAAGTAGGCGGATGTATCCCAACTACGTGCACAATATCGACGGGTTTCACAGCTGCCCGTCTACTCTTCAGACACGGTAATTATTTGGCCCCAGAACACCCTGCTAGTAGTTTGAAAATCAACGGATTTTGACATGCTATCCAGTGTCCCAAATCGGGAAACGAGAGTCCTCCAAAACGACGAAAGGCGCCCGCAATACCCGATACCTTATCTGTGAGAGATGAACCTTTATCTCTTAATGAAAGCAATTACTTGCTGGATTTGTACCCTACAACTCACTTTGCCCTCAACGAACGATTCGGCGAGTCTGGGCTTGCAGGAAGCACATTGATACATAATCTATGCATGTGGAAGGTATCAGTACCCGAACAGATTGAAACCGTTGTGATGAATGAATATTGAGATTCAAAGCGTCATATTTACAAGGGATCGGGCCTCTAAGTGATGGTCCCAATCGTTGTTTGAAATGAAATTGTACATTTCTTTTGTGAGCGGCTGCATGAGTTGAGCAATGATTAGCACCATCACGTTGCTACCTACACAATTAATAGATAGGCATAACCTTGTGCTTTCTGGTCTGAACTATGGAATGTGCTCGACTTGAAGAATATCGAGCAATTAAGAACATCCAGTCAAAGCGGCGTACCATCTTCCTACCGCTGACTGGACAAGACACCCCGCTTATAACAAGCTCATGTCTACAGCAAGACAACGGACTGATCTAGAGCGGTTCTGAGAATAGTCATCATCTTATTAGTGAGAATGTTTCTGGTCATGAATATCTTCTACCAAGCCCTCCTTTTGCCGTTGTGGCTGTTACCCGAGCAGACTCGTCCATGTCCTCCCAATTTATTGGTGCGACTACAGTCCCTGCCACGTTGACAGGAAATTTAATGGTATTAGCAACAAGATGCACGATCTATCTTCACGGATTGCCTAATAGTCCAGGACCCCCCGCCAGCGCCTCTAGCCAGGGATTTTAGCAAGAGGTCGACCTTGTGTGCCATTTCTGAACAAATCTAGGACAGACGAGAGTCGGAAATGCTGTGGTCAGGCCAGCTCGAGTGTATGTTTCGCAGACTTCGAAGACGACGCGTAGTCTTTGACTACCCCTGCAACTTCGGCCATTACTTCTGCAGCTCTACCAACCGCTGCAACAGGTGGTGCAGTTTCAAGCACAAAGTCGGAAACGAATGCCAGACGAATCCACAATAAGCAGCTAGAATTGGAATCCAAAGAAGTCTCTTGGGAAGATGTAGGTCTCATTGTTGATGATGAACATGTAGGTAGTCATCCGTCCGTAACAAACGCTACTGTCAAGCGTGGCTTAGGAGCGCTCCCATGTATGCCACGCGTCAATTCTTCAGCAATAGATTCAACCAAACCAATTTTTATTTCATGCTCTCTAAGTAAGCGAGGAAAGTTGCGAATCTGTGAGACAAATTGAGACCATAACAAAGGAGAGGAAATTGGCCAATCAGAACGGACAGTCTATCTCCGAGATGTGCCGACGTGTTCTCCGTCAACTCCGACAGCTTTTCTGTCTTCCCCCTCTCTTTCCGTAACATCCCTTTATCCTACGCGACCAACGCACGCGATAATGCAGTCTTCGCTCCCTTCAGCTCGGACTTCGACATCTCCGAGGCCCAGCTCGCATTCAGTCCAAGGAAAGCGAAAGCGCAAGACCCTCTCATGCTATGAATGTAGACGGCGAAAACTGAAATGTGATCGCGAGGAGCCTTCGTGTAGCCGCTGTAGAAAAGCCGGACAGCCAGATTTATGCTCCTATGTTTACGATGCTTCATTGCTCTCCACAAACCGACAGTCTTCGAATACGCCAGGCTTGCTTCCGCCGTCATCTTCTCTCTCCCAGCAGCTTCATCCTTCTCCGCGCGGTATCCCCTCGCGGAACCACGTTTCAACACCGCGAGTAGCCCCCCAATTCCTTGATATCAGCGGCAAGGAATATGCACCGTCCACTTTACAGGCAGTCCAAAACCAAGGAACTTGGCAATTACTGGGAAATCTTTCCCTTGCCACCAACGGTGCAGAAGCTAGGCCTGCTATCAGCGGTGACACGACAGATGTCGCTGCGGGCGCCCAGGAGTCGATCCCGAAAGAAACTGTGATTTTTCGCGGAGAAAATTTCCGAACTCAATATTACGGCGGCAGCAATGCAACCAGCTCTATTGCTCATGTGAGGCTCCATTGTCGTTGAATAAAGTACAATCCTAACTCCGCACCATGACAGTTTCCAGAACTTCGCTCATTTATGAAAGAGACCATTCACAGTCAGACGGGTTTACCCCGTGTTCAGCGAGAATTAAAGTCACTACAAGTCAAATGGAAAGGTATCAGAGTCGATGATGCATGGTTCCTGACCCATGATGAATTGCTTCAATTACTCCCTGACCGAGAGACTGCAGACCGACATGTCAATCTGTACTTCGACACTGTTGAAATTACCTATAGAATACTACACTATCAGAGCTTCCAGGAACAGTACGAGCTGTTATGGCAAGACCCAAAGCAGGTCAACTCCGCAGTTGTGATCATCCTTCTACTCGTCATGGCGTCTGTTGACGTCCTGTTTTCGCATGAACAGCCAAGATATATTGGTGATAGTTCCGTGTCTAGGGAGCGCGCAACCTTCTGGATCGAGGTGTCTGAGAAATGGCTGGTGCGCCAAAGCTACAAGCACGCGTATCTCGCAATCTGGCAAATCCGCTGTCTAATTGTATTCGCCAAGCAGATCAATGTCGTGAAGAAAAAGCGCATCTGGACGGAAGCTGGAACACTATTAAGGGAGGCTATGTCTGCCGGTTTTCATCGTGATCCTAGTGTGCTAGGAGAGAAGGTTTCTTTCTTTGACCAGGAAATGCGCAGGAGACTGTGGGCTACCATTATAGAAATGGAACTACAGATCTCAATCGACCGGGGAATGCCCTCTGCTTCCGCTGGTATTCCTTCGGACACGGCTACTGTACTCAATGTTCATGACGAAGAATTGGAAAAGAACAGTCGGCCGACATCTAGATCAATTCGCGAGTACACCTCGACCTCCTATCTCCACATTTCGAGGTCAAGCTTTTCTCTTAGAGTGTCTTTGAATTCAATGATAAACGATCTGAGTTCTCCACTAGTCCATGAAAATATTCTTGATTATGAAGACATGATCACAAGAGAACTTCAAAGGCTACAATCTAGTGGAGTCAACCACAGACAGGCGCATGAAAACAAGAGGAGGACCATGGTAAGATCATTACTCGACATTCAATTGCGACAATTCTTAGTTATGCTCCACGCACCTTTTGCACGACAAACACAAACAAGCTCGAGATATGCCTTGTCTAGGATCACTTGTCTTACGGCCGCTGCGGAGATTGTTAAGATGTATTCGGATCTGATCGCGGCAGGGAATTTTGCCATTTTGCTGCAGAGAAATGATTACTTCCGAGCTGCACTTGTGATATGTCAAAGCACATACACGGACCTGACCATCAAAAGTAAGTACTACCCAGTCGGTCCCTCGCTGAGAAGACTATCTACGGATCGACTTTATTAAATGGAGAGAAACACAGATAATTATTTCATGAATTCGAATAGCACTATGTTTATCCAGTATTTGGAAGATGTTCTTGGAATGTTGGAACATCGGATTTCGCAACATGGAACAGGTTATACCTACTACTGGTACATTTCGGCTGCGTCTGCATTCTTGCGATCTGTGTTAGTTCCGTCCCAAAGCACAGTAGAAAAGGAAGGCGCTATAAACAGAGTCACGAGACAGTATTGTCGCGTACTAGAAGCACAGCAAGATATAGACAGTGCCAAGAATATAATAATGCCAATGCATTTGCGAAGTGTAAGTGCAGGTCCCTTGACCAACCCGAGCGAAGTCAAGAGTTGCTATAGTCGGTGAGCACACATCTGACTTTGATCTAGATGAAGTCGGCTAGAAACGTGGAGCTTTCGAATAATAATGGCGAATCTGCTGCACTTGAGATGATTCCCGCAGATGACTCACAGGTATAACCACTGCTTCAATTGCTTCTTACCATCATTTGCTAACCAATCATCTTGTAGCTTATGGAATCTCTAGAATTGCCGTTGGATGAATTCTTCTTCGGAAACCCATCCGCTTGGACTTTCGAAAATCTCTGGAATACGATGGACTGAGAAGTTTTGACCAATATATACACTTTATTCCTTTAGAAAAATCTTATCAGGAGGATGAACTAATTGTGAGGGATAATTAAGGACCAGCAGGTACTTTTATAGAAGTCTTTCCAGTGATTTTGTGAGAATACTGGCTGCCTAAAATGGTTAGCCCTTGAAAGAATAGCTTGATGTATCTATTCGCAGATAACATTGGGCCAATTGATGAATGAAGCCGAATATTGTGAAAAGTCCAGAATTCCCAGACCATTGTGGGAATTTCAACAATGTGCACATTTTACAGAAAAAACCAGCGTGTAATAATAACACTAGCTTTAAGAGTGCCCCATGCCATACACGTCTAGTCTATGCATAGGCTACCTAGGTAGGTTGGGGTTAAGGTTAACCATAGCCTACTGGAGCTATTTGGTTTGGTAATGAGAGTCTGATTTATCTAAATCTGCACTGAATATCATACAACTAACGTTTTTCAAAGTCGAAGAAATATAAGTATTGTTTAATATATGTGAGCTGGGTTAGGCACAAATTTAGGTAGCATGCAGAATGGCCCGTTTCAAGACAAATTTTGGATTGAGTAGCGTGGGTAACCTGAAAACAAATACTACTACTAGATCCACCATCCACGTTCTTGGTTGTAGAACGCTAAGTGTTGTTCGTGTGTGATTCAACAAGTCGGCAAACTCATAACTATCGCTGATCAGTATGTAACGTGATTGGCTACTCGCATCTCGCAACATTTGCTTGGTCGATCATAAGTAGCCATGCCGAGGTTATTACCACATCGGGTAATTGACGATCGTGACGATCATGAGGTCTCGATCTTTGACTTCATTATAGCAAACGCGAACAGTGGCAAAAATTCCCAAAACAGAACAGCAGATATTTCTAGAGCCTCAGAGATAGTTTCTCGGTTCTCGAGAGTCGGTCCTCGTTCTTCGTAACCTTCTATTCATACTACCGGAACTATTTTAGTACCATGTGCAGCCACCTGCGACACGTAGTCATGGTTAGACTCTTTATCGGCCGTAAGTGTTGTTTCTCTAGCTCATTCGACGGCGGAACAGCGGCGTCGAATAGCTTTGTCAACATCGCACCCGAACATCAATCCTTTTGGTGTCTTTTCCATTCTGTATACATCATGATATCGTGCTCTATGCGAACATGTGAAATTACGCCACCTGGCTCTACGTACCTTTGACATGCCTTTCGTTTTCCTTCTTTTCAAATTATGTCAAATAAGTCATACTTATTCAAAATCGTTAGCTATGAAAACCCAATGATTATAAATAGTGCGTCAATTAGTCGCCTAAACTCCCAAGTTTCTCGAAAACAAAGAGTAATTAGATATTATAACGCCGTACTTTGAACTTTTACATCGCCAGTTACATATAAATACTCCAGTCAGACCTCGAACCCTTACTTAGATCTGTTCATCGCAACTCGCCAATAGCACGATGTCAAAATCTGACTCGAAGCCAAGCTCCACCATCACGAACATTATGCCACGGTATTTGCTGGCAATAATTCGTCTAGGACAGTTCGCTTTTGGTGCGGTATGTGAATTTATTGCTTTTCTAGTCTTCAATTTGACTCTACTAACATTGATTAGGTCGTGACCGGGATTATTGGTTACTTCATCAGCTTGTTTGACACAGACGACGCTGGCTTTTTGCTGGGACGTTGGATCTACATTGAAGTCCTCGCTGGTCTCTCAGTTATTCTAGGACTTGTCTTTGTACTCCCAGCATTTCTCTCATTCTTCATTTGGCCTAGTATGTGCATCCCTCTTGCATGAATATTGACAGCAGCTAACCTACTCATAAAAGTTGATGTGGTAATTGCTTTGGCATGGTTTGCGGCTTTTGGACTTCTTTTTGATGCCCTTGACGGAGTTGTTTGCGGTGGCTTTGACGGCCTGAGTCCCGTGGATGGAGGGAACTGTTCCATTTGGGAAGCCGCCGAGGCATTTACCTTTCTGTCCGCATTCACCTGGTTGGTCACAGGTTTCTTTGGTCTCTATCTGGTATGGCGTGCCGAGTAAGTCTCTTAAATGTCAAGCATAATTTCGTCATATGGATACTAATATGCATGACAAGTGGACATGGCGCGAACCGCTGGCATCAAACCTACGACGTCTAATTCAATATGGCTTGCTCGCGATTCTAGCTGAAACCTCTCGTAGGTTTCACAGAAAATTTACGGCGATACAAAACATCCGAGAAAGATATTTGATCAGTGATGAGTCGAAAATAGCTCTTCGTAAGATCTCGATCGGAAATGCTCTCGTCATTCCGTCAATGATGAATGACACCATGAGCGATATCAGGGAAGCTGTCCATGCTAGGAATTTTTGACATAGATGAATTTCGGAGTCTGATTTTACGGAATTAATACCGGTATACGATAGATAGATAGACCATTATTTTATGTAATGATTAATGAGAAATGGCGATTACAAAAGCATGATAATCGAACTCTTGATGCAATCTATAACCTACCAGCTGCTTTATGATTTAAAGCCGACATTAAATCTTCTCATAAGAAATAAAGCTAATTTACCCATAACAATTCCAGATCTCAGGATATAAATGTACTCTGTAGATAAAGATAATGAGCTAGCAGTATCTCCTACCAAATAAACAGAAGAGATCAGGGGGGGTATCCACTTACGTTTCTCTCTCTAAAGTGATTCGTGCACATACTCCTCACTGCTGGTTGGATATCATATCAGTGCGCAATCATGAAGGTCATCGAGTCGGCACTGACTGACAGTCGCTTTAGGGTTAACAAGATCTACGGTCAGCGCCACCGATATGTGCACTGTCCGTCCATCGGAACCCGCCGTTAACAAGCCATCAACTGATAAACCCCAAAGGATATTTATTTAGTCAAACCAATCATCGATTCAACCATTATCATAAAGATCTCGCGCTTGATTTCAGCACAGATTTAGACCTCTAAAATCCATCCGGTGCTATCGTTCTAGCACTAAGTAGCTCGATAATTAGTTTCGAAGCGAGGACGAAGCCTTGAGTGTTAGATACGTATGCGCTACAGCGGCAACCTCCGGGTTCTTACACACAATGTCATAGCTAAGTAGAAATTTACATGGGAAATGAGTATTTCTATATCAAGAGGATAATGTTAAATGGATCTGATGTGCCACGATCATGGTGCTATACGCTCTTTCCGGTATTTAAACTGCTAGTACTCTTCACAAACCTGCGCAGGATGGTCCTCTCAAAGAGAGTCTCAACTGTCAATTTAGGATCGAGCCTGCTTCGAGATGTCTGGATATTTGCAGTGATTTCAGTCGTTGTAGTTATGCTTAGAGTTGCGTCCAAAGCTCGATTGGGGACGTTTGCACTGGACGATGGGCTGATTATTTTTGCAATGGTTAGCAGTACCAATCGATATGACACTGCAGAAATGCCTTATTAGACTACGCTTTCTAATCCCCATATCATTCTAGTGCGCAGCTTTGACCGGATCAACAATACTTACCATTGGAATCGAAAATGGGTATGGTCAGCAAGTATGGGATATAAGCCCAGATAATGTTTCTACAGTCATTATGTATGACTACTTGTCGCAGACATTCGGCTCAGCAGCAGGAGCCATTGGTCGGATTGCTTTTGCACTCTTCATCATTAGCGTACTAGGCACGAGAAAGGGTCATCGGACTGTGCTATGGGCTTTGATTGGAGCACAGATCATCATAAATGCTCTATTCATCCTTATTATATTCCTGCAATGCCCAGGGCATGCATCGGCGATATGGAACAAAACTGGGGAAGGAAAGTGCTGGGATCTACGTGTTCAAACCTATTATGGGTATTTTCAAGGCTGTCAGTAATACTCAAACCCGAGATAATCCAGGACTGAAACTGTGCTATGACAGCCTTCAACTCCGCCACAGATCTCTATCTTGCATTGTTCTCGGCATATATTACATGGAACTTAAAGCTTGATGTGCGTGTCAAATGTGGGTTGGTAGCTCTTTTAGGCCTTGGAATCTTGTAGGTATTTCATCAATTTCTTTTCCATGCGGAGTACCAACTGATAAATGTGATTGCTATTAGTGCGATGATAGCCTCTATCATAAAGACCGTTCAGATACGTGTTCTTGTGAGTGTTGACAGTGACCCGACTGTTGCAACAGTCAATTTAGAGCGTTGGCTCTATATCGAAACTTATCTAGTCATCATTACGACTTCAGTACCCTTTCTCCGATCGTTGATCCGCACGACAAAGTTGAGCTCTGAAAACTCCTATATGACTATACAACCATCTCGTATTGCGCCTTCTCGAGGTATGGAATTATCCGTACGGTCCGGAAATCAAGAATCGATTAGCGCATCCAGTGACAGGGGGGCTATCTTACAGAAGACATTCGGTGGCAGTAGCTCTATCGTTGGAGATATTGCAAATGATGAATTTGTTGACTTTGATTGTTGGAAACACGGTCATCGATCGGTTTCCTGTGACAGTATCTCTAATGACCTTCCATAAATTGTTATATACACCTCACATGTGCAATAAATTGAAGCTTTGTTTATAGGGTCTTGAATATTACATTGATAGATTATACCTAAGCATGCTCTGTTGGTATCGGTCTTGTGATCAGCGTTGAAAACGAGGCTTACATCCAGGTATCGTATCGACTCCATTCTTGATCAGAAAAAGTAAAATAACATCTATATACAGATTTGAGGATGACACAGCCAAGAGCTATATACAAATGCAAATATTTCTTCAGTAAAGACCTCGGGATCGCTAGTTGAATTGTTTCCCACATTTCTTCAAGCCTTGATGAGGCCGAATTTGAACATACTCTCAGCGGATGCCGTGATTGCTTGCTCATTGCTGTACTTCCATGTCCACCCCAAAACTTCTTTAGCTTTAGCATTGCTGAACGCCTTTTCCACTCCCAAATCTGGTAGGATGAGACGAGCAACTGGGAGGAAGATGGCAACCCCGCGGATAAGGAGGTTTGGTAGGACAATAGTTGGCACTTTATTGGCCTTTGATCCGAAATTTTTCTTCAGAATTTTGGCGACATCCAGCAAAGAAGCAGAACCCTCGCCCACGCATAGGAAGCGCTCCCCTTTGGCATCTGGATTGGTCATAGCAAGGACGTGCATATTTGCACAGTCGCGTACATCAACTAGACCAAAGGACACGCGTGCGAGGCCGGGAGTATTGCCCTCCAAGAGCTCACTGATAGTTCGTAGACTTGTACTTGCATTGGTGCCCAACGCGGGGCCCATGATTAGCACGGGGTTGATGACTGTGAGTTGAAGTTCCCCGCCTTCTTTCTTTATAAAATCCCATGCAGCACGTTCCGCCAAGGTCTTGGATTTAGCATAGGCCTGGACCTGGTTGGAATTGAGGTTGGTCCAATCTTTCTCAGTATAAATGTGTGTCTCTGAAGTCGAGCGGGAATGGCCGCATTCAATTGCTGCGGCACTACTCGTTAACACGACGCGACTGACAGTTCCAGCATCGCGGGCATTGCGAAGTACACGCAACGTGCCTTCACGAGCGGGTATGATCAGATCATCTTCATGTTTTGGTAACCCATCTGGAAAAGGAGAGGCGACGTGTTGAACAAAGGACACGCCCTTCATAGCATCAGCCCAGCCATCATCCTCGAGGAGATCTGCCTGCACTACTTGGAGGGAAGATATTTGTTCCTCGTTTGTAGCAGCCTCGCGAAGCTCCTTTTGGATTTCGTTGGCCCGACTGAGGGTACGCACAGTGGTGCGCACGCGAAACCCTTTCTCAAAGAGGCTGGCAATGACCCGAACTGCGAGAAAGCCAGTACCGCCAGTAACGAGGACCAGAGGCTTATCGGACATGTTGCGCAACTGTGCAGGCCGTACAGCTGAAATGGTGTCTGATTTGTTTGTATTTGGTGGGAGAGTATCCACGGCGATCGACCGTGTGTGAAGAAAGGGGGCTGAGCTGAAAGTGAGTTGCAGGCCCCCACCAATACTACCCAGCTTTGACTGAATAAATAAGGCTTGGCGAGTACTAACGTATCTTGTAGTACTTGATGCTGCTACGTACTTAGCTTTTCAATGATCAAAACTTCGCCCTGAGGTATGTCGAACTGCTGTCGACTTATTCATCGCTTCTTCTGCAGAGTGTTTGAGTGTAATGCAATACAGGGAGCGGCCATGATTGCGCCGGCTCGAGCTGTTTATCACACCGAATTACAACGAGCTTACCGCTTCCCGCTGTTACACGCTAGTCCGAAAGTAGATCTAGTATCCATAGTAGAGATATAAAATACTTTTAATTGGCTGTGCAGTGGTATTTCATCCAATCAGATCCGACAAACTGCACGTCAATCTCCATATAGTCCCGCCACAGATCCAGAGCTAACCGCTTTTAATCTAGCTGTCTTTTTCCTCAGGAACATTGTGACACAAGTACTCTTTGCGCGCCTTCACCGTTCAATGAGAAAAGAGGCGTTTAAGTATACTACGTACTACGCAAGTCAACATCACCAGACTGATGCGCTGGCTGTAGATGCACACAGCCGGTCAATGCGAACTCCTGGTCATCTTTGTTCATCCTCCTCCCAGTGTCCCCAAACACACCTACATAGTGTACCTGGACCTTGATGCGTCCGGTACTATCCCGACTTGTCTGCCAAGACACAATCCTGCCCAGTCGCAGAACATTTTCGGCCGGTTGACGTTTTGGAACGATCATAAATTTCAAGTGTGTACCCTCGAGCACTGCATGATTATCTACAGAAATCCTCCTCAACCCCACCAGATTCAACGCGCCACGTAAAACTAGTGCCACTAGTCTATAGTAGTATGCCTAGATAGTACTCCGTTCTGATAAAGAATTGCCAGCCTAGCACAATTGATTGGACAAGGTTGATGTCCGGACCGAGATAACCATAGAGATCACATTCTGAAGTCATTTATCCTACACTGTTCTTGACTCCCCTCAATTCGTAGCCTGTGGATTTTATATTATTTCGGTTGATGGGAAAGTTGAAATTTGAGCAAGGAAAATTTCCGAGCTTAGTTAAAACAAGCAGCTACATCAATGCGCTAGGTGACGGCCTTCAACATGGAGAACCTACAATGCTCATTACCATGGTCAAGCAAGCAATGTCACACTCAAACAGAGTCGGAACAAAGACAAAGACGAGTACCGTTCACCATATTGGCAAAGACTGGCAGCCTAGCCTTTTTCTGTGTAATGCTATGGTGGTGGAACAAAGTATTGTCAATCCCTCAGCATGCAGGGGCATTTGATCGAAATAGTATACAAGAAGTAGTACAACCAGCTAGACAGAMCTTCCGATGGAACGATATCATACCCAGCGAATCTCTTCAGTATACCGACTGCTTCTCCTCTTTTCTCTGCGCGCGACTTTCCGTGCCTCTAAACTGGAATGCGACATATCCTGAAGATAACACTCCACAGGCCGCAATAGCTGTTATCAAACTCCCTGCCAGAGTACCAGTCACCGATTCACGATATGGTGGATCGATCATTGTGAACCCTGGGGGCCCAGGAGAGTCAGGAGTTTACCAGGTTCTCACAGATGGGACAAATCTTCAGACCGTAGTCGACTCCAGTATATCACCTGAAGCAGGATCAGGAGAAGTTGAGGACGATGCAAAATACTTTGACATTCTGTCCTTCGATCCGCGAGGTGTAAATAACACCACACCTCGGCTCCGATGTTTCCCCGATGCGTTCAATCAGCAAGTGTGGCAGCTCCAGTCACCCGATTACGGCTTGCTATGGCACAGTGAAAGTATCATCGGGCTTGAGTGGGGAAGGGCTTCTGCACTTGGGGCTAGTTGCTCAGCTGAAGAAGAGGACGGTGGTATTTTGCCTTATTTGAACACACCACAAACAGCCCGAGACATGCTTCATTTAGTTGAAAAGGAATCGCAATGGCGAGAAAGGCAGACTGTACATTTTTCAAAGTCCCAGTCTGTGCGCTTGTCGCAGTTGGAAGTGACTGGTGGCGCTATGAAAAAACCACACCATCCCAATGATGCAAAAATCCAATACTGGGGAATGAGTTATGGAACATTACTGGGCGCAACGTTCGCCGCCATGTACCCAGATCGGGTTGGCCGACTGATTCTTGACGGCGTTGTCGATCCAGCGGATCACTATGCTGGAAATTGGCTTACTCAGCTCCAAGATTCAGATCATATCATAAGTAAATTCTGCGAGTATTGCTTTCGAGCCGGCCCTACTAAGTGTCCTCTCTACACTGGCGACTCAGCAGCAGATATCGAACAGAGATTCACGAAAATCATGTACGGGATGAAAGAGAATCCAATTGCTGTGCTTCCCATGAATTCTAGCAGACAAAACAGCATTGGCCCCGATATGATCACATATGGCGATCTTCATCTCCGGCTACTTTCAGGCATGTATTTCCCGTTTACAATGGCAGAAAGCCTATTCACCTTGCTTTGGGAAGTTGAACAACAAAACACATCTGCGGCGCAAATAACTGATCTGTTTCTACGGAAGCAAGCACTACTTACGCCATCTGGATGCCATGAACAGGAGTTATCTGATCCCGATATTCCATATGTATCTGGCATCGGCGCATTTCAGTCTATTTCTTGCATGGATATAGGTGGCTCTATGAATCTCACGAGAACTGGTTTCCGGGATTATTTAAAGAAGCTGCAAGGTCAGAGTCACTGGATCGGGCCTAGTTGGGCACGAAACAAATTATCTTGCGAGGGATTCACAGTGAAACCAGCGTGGAAGCCTGATTTAGCATTCAAGACCCAACAGTGGCCTAATACATCCAACCCTTTGCTGCTTATAGGCAACACTCATGACACAGTTACACCTTTGAGAAATGCACGTCGCGTCTCCACTTTATTCCCTGCGAGCATTGTCCTGCAGCAAGACTCTCAAGGCCACTGCTCACATTCGAGTCCAACTCTATGCACGGGTAAGGTGATACGCCAATATTTCCAGACAGGCAAATTACCAGAGGAAGGAAAAATATGTAAACCCGACACCTTGCCATTCCTCGGTTGTATAAAAGAAAATAAAGGGTCGATAGGTAACTGTGATTTCTCCGACGGGCCGGATGCGAGGTTGTGGGAAGCATTAGTAGAACTGGCAGATCCTTTCAAGCTTAAGCTGGAGTCAGATGCCGCTAGTTTCAGGTCTTATGGTAGTGGTATTTGGTTATAGATGTGACTATCGAGTTGGCATATTTCATGATAGTCGTCTGGAACTACCTGGAAACCTGCTGCACATACCAGCCAGTAGTATTCTGTGGCTAATGGTCGCTTATACATGGAGCATACTACCCACATGGCTATTTAAATCAAGAATAGCGCGCGATCACATTTTTCAGTACATCCTGTCAATGCAGTTGGAACGTATGTAGGTTTTCAGTGCTGTATGCACTCCGACTCTCCGACCCTCCGACCTCTCAACCGTAAATGTCCGACCCTCCGGCTGGAGTTAATGATTTTAATAAAGTCTTCAATAAGTCCGGAGAGTACTTCCACTTAGGTCGCAGATTTTGTTGTCGAATAGTAACTCACGCCAAGATGGTATTTCCTTTGGCCTACGTCACCAGACACGGAAGGGTGTATATAGAATCTCAATCGAAATTCAATGGATTTTCAATACTCGATACCAGATGACTTGACACTCTTTACGTAAGTAGTCGCTTTTCAATGTTAATATTCATTACATTATAGGAGAGATTTCAGTAGGGTTAATTTGGCTGAGCTACATGCTCTGCTGTATAGACATGCCCAATATTCAGTCTTGTAAGATATGAATGACCCGTCTGTGAATATCATCATCCATTACTTCCTCCCTCTGACCCATAGCAATAGCAACAGAAGTGGCAGGGTCCAGCTCCTCGCTTGGTAGACCGAGGATATCATTGTCGAGACCATGTATGGACTCAAAGTCACCACCACCGTTTGGATAAAAGGTACGACTGTAAAGGAATTTTACAAATGCATGATTGTCACCTCGCATGATGGAAGTCTTCGAAGATCTGTAGCGTTCTACAGTGGATTCATGGGTGATGGTCCAGTCCGCGTCATTCGTACCCGTGACACGTTTGACACTGTCAAACATTTCTCTTTGGTTTAGTCGAAAGCTAGATATGTAGACAGGACTGTTACGAAACCGAGAGAGAGTCACTGAGTTGTCATTTTCATCCTCAGGAAGTTCCTTCAGGCTCATTAGGCTGGCAATCGCCCTGCCACACTGTGACCAAGTGCTCGTGTTGATGGGAGTATTGCCACCATCGAAAAAAACAAGAGATCGCTTCTTGAAATCAAAGCCATAGCGGTCAGGCCCGCCACCAAGACTGAATTCGTACCAAAACCCGCAAGCCAGCAAGATGTATGAAGTTACACCGAGACTTTCAACCTCGGTGCAAATTCTAATTTTGACATCCGCTAAATATGTATCTTCACAAAGCTTTTCATTCGCAGGATCATGTCCATACCAATTGGGTAAGATATAAGATACACCAGCTTTAGCTGCCGCACGTATAAGCCTGATAATAGTATCCCTTGGTGCTGTAACTGACATAGTGATGATCAATGCTTGTTGTCCTTGAAGAGCTCGGACAATCTCCGTATCATCATTGCCGCCATATTCAATACGCTCCACTTGAACCCCCGATGGCAGCTTGCTCGTGCTATTAGGCCGTGAAATCACTTTCACGACATGTTGACCGGTCTTTAGTAAAGCTCCAATGATATGCGTTCCCATACGACCGCCAGCCTTTTTGAAAAAGTTAGAGATGACTGCGACAGTAGATGAAATTTCGAACGTACCCCAATGACTGCAACGTTTTCGATACAGTTTCGAAAACTTCGTGGTTGATCCTTTGCATAAATCTGCGCCATGGTTTCCCTGCAAGGGGTTGATCCTTTCTTTGCAATCAAGCAATCAAATAAGATAAAAGTAAACGGTCTGATAAGGTAAGCGAATAATCAAGATAATCTTTCAGTTGGAAGATTCTGACCATTAAATAAAGCCCTGCTAGTCGACTCCTTGCACTGCAATCCGGAAATAACGGAATTACCTAAGAGAGGAAGCGTTTGGTCCGTACATTCCCCGTGGGATTTGGTCATTAAATCTATACGTGTGATAGTGTCTACTAGATGAAATATAGGAAATTCTTGATGCGACTTTGAATATGGAATTAACAAAAGTAAAGTCCGGTAACACCTGCTGGGTAACTAGCCAGAAGACTCGGAGATATTGAATATGACGGGTCGTTCTAACATAATTTTTACCAGAGAAAATACATTCGCACATTGAGAAATCCAATATGAAAGTCCGTTTCTGGACCTCTACGAAATAAGTTTCGAAAAATAAATAACAAGCATTACCATAATATTAGTCCTGGACTATTCATAGCTACTATCTCACAAATGCTGCAAGCTGTCGTGGCTGCAAATCAGAAAGGATTACATACATGTATATCTAATTATGCTCACGCCATGTTACCAGGCTTATTCAAAACTCCATGGGCTTCCAAGACAATACATGTAGCCCAATTTCTACAAGGCAACAGGTGGAATATGGATTCCTCTTACATAGAAATTAGTATATAGTGAGGTTTGAGGTATGTTTATCTTTCCTATGCCTTGTCATTCAGGCATTCGATAATCCTATCCCGCAAACTCTCGGTACACGTGTATATCTGGTTGACTTTGAGGCCAACTTCCCCTGTAATAACATGCCACTGTTCAATCGTTCGCTCCCTGGAAGCTATAACAGATATCATGGTCACATCCACTTGAGTTGCGTGTCAGTGGATCCAATGGCGGGGACTACCATATCATCAATGAGTATCACAGAGTCAGATACAAAAGTAGAATTGATGTGCTTCAGAACATGGATCGCCTTCTCATCGGGTTAATCGTGCATGATGTTGCGGGGGAATAGAGCCTCACCCCTGTACGAAGATGTCAGCAATGAAATGATCAAATACAAGCATGGAAGGATTATTTATCTATGCATCAGACCTAACTTTGATGGATTCGGATTCAAAAAAGTTATGTCGAATGGTTTGAACCCCTTCCACCGGGGAAAGCATGGGCAATGACCACATATAGAACCTCAACAATAATCTGATTCAAGACTTCAGACGGGAGGCGCTGGCGCAGAGCGTTGCTCTGATCGCCAATAACACCTCCAATATCAACGGACAGAGTTTGTGTAGGTTAAAGATCCCCAATTTTTCCTCCAGTGGATACATATCTAGCCATTGACGTATTCCCTAGTGCTGTGCTTGCATGAAGCAATTGTAATAATCATAGTTTGCCGGCAATTTTTGCAACCCTATAAATGCTGGAAGATCCGTACTCAAGTCTTTTGTAAAGGAGCTTGTATCACGATTTTCATATCTTTGTAACTGTTTTCTTTCAATAAGTCAGGTAACGCCCAAATGCAGGGAGCCATGCTGTTGACATTAAAATGGTGATATTTTTAGCACAAATCATAAGTTGAATTAAGCTTGCTATAACTATGAAGGAAGGCCTGGACGGCCTCGATTTACTTGTGGTAAACAGTACTTTCAACCCCTGGATCACTACGGTGGATAGTAATGTTGTTGGCAGTAAACGTATTCCTCGTGGTTTCCTCGATAGTTCCGAGAGATGCCAGATAGCGTATAATGCGTCCTAATGGTATAGTAATAAATACCAATACTTGTTTTATTTTGAGTTGCGGATCGAACACGTATCCTTTCTTTGTCGCTGCTTTGACTGCCACATGTGTAGTCGGAGGACTTCAGTAACTGACCGAGTAGCAATGGAGATGAATCAGTTTTTGTGGCCAGTTCCTCAGCGTTCATAACACCCTTGGCGTCGACCAGTAGTTTAAAAATCATCAAGTCAACCTCAACTAGAACAAAGGGCATGCGTTGATGGGCTCACTGCAGCGGCATATCCTTGTCAGTATGCTCGTTCCGACAGGAGGAAGAAACAGCCGACCTTGATATTTGCAATGACGGCTTCGGGTTTGTGAGCGGATCTTGAGGGCTGAAACCACCCCACCACGGGGCATGTACAAGAATAGTGTCATTCGCGCTCGCAGTTGCCCTAGAAGTGGTAGTCATAAGAAAATGGTTGACAAGCTTGATCAAAGCCATTATTCAAATTCGTATTGAGAGAGTACAAGTGAACTTTTCAAACACAATGATTATACCTGGCGCAGACTTTACATAATCCTCCTGAATCTAATGAGCAAACCTTCTCAAAATCCTAAAAGATCCGACACTCTCTTCTTATCGACTTCATCTTGTTGTCCCCGACTCATAGACACATATTGTAGACGACGTATCCATGTGCGGTGTCAGGCTCGACATAAATATAATCAGCGCGACCATAGCCGTTCATACTGATGGCAGTTAGTAGGTGTCCCAACACAGTGCTAGGTATATCTGAACTTACTTTGCAAAATGAATACATTCTCCTCTCATATCTCCTCCTGGGAAAATTGTCCCTTGGCTGAACCAGCTAAATTCCTCGGGACCGTCACTACCTAATCCGTCATTAATCCAAGCATCTGCGGCTCCAGAGACCGGGTCTAGCGCAAGAAAATCCGCGCGTCCCTAGAAATATCATTAGCTGTTTCATACATTGTTTTGAGGGGTGATCCTTACATCTCCATTAATATCCGCAAAGCGAAGGTTGGCACGCTCCTTTCCTTCAATAGACTTTATAAGCCCGGCGGATTGAAAGTTGTTGAGTCCATGATTTAGCCAGCCAGTTACTGTTCCGTTCTGGCTTATACATAGAAAGTCTGCCTTGCCATCACCTATCGCAGACTTTAGCTCGATATAAATCGTTCAGTAGGCGCGTGACGAATGACTACATACCATCAAGATCTGCAAATCGAACAGATAAATCAAATAAGCCAGTTCCATAATGCTCATGGCAGTCAACACCGCCAGAAACGATCCCCATATCTGTAAAAGAAAATGTATCCGTCTCTCTAGAGTAGTCATTCCGTAGCATATGAATCGAGTTTGATTCTTTATCAACAAGAAGAAAATCGCATTTTCCATCACCGTCAACTGGTCTTAGTTAGCTATTTATTCTCCCTCAAATTGGACTGTGATTAAGACTCACGGTCAGCCAGGTGAATGTCCTTTCGAACATGACCAGACATCAAGGATTCTGTTCCAATCAAAATATGCCCATACTGTCCCCAAGCTGGGAGCATATGGTTATTTGCATAGAGCGTCAAATTGCCAGTTTTACCAATCCACACATAATCATCTTAGGGATACATTAGCTATATGCAAACAATATAGAAGCTGTTACCACTTACCTGTCCCTGAACCCCGCATATCGCAGTAATGTACGCCGTCCCCTTTAGTTCTGGCTCCACCATAACCCGAATTACCAAGTAGTCGCACAGGAAAGAAGTTTGTGTCATCATTCGCTGATGATGCTGGTCCAGTATTGTAAACTGTTGTGTAATCTGCGCCTTGAGCATCGTACTTTGGAAAATCTGTATCTATAGTGAAAGTTTTGTTCGTTACTCTGCCCAGCTTCACGTGAGACCTATCTTCTATTTGTTCGCCTAGTCCAGTTCCATCATGCGTGAGCAAGGCAGGTAACCAAACAGGACGGTAACTGAGATCTGAACCGCGCTGGTTTATTGAGGTATATATTTGACCGCTGTTACTGACCCAAGCCCAGTCAGCTCTCCCTATAACTTGTTAGCGACTCAAAAGACATATTACTATAAGAAAACTAGACCGTACCGTCTCCGTTAATGTCAACCTGCAGCACGTCCATAGTTATTAAAGCTTTCTTTTCGATTCAGGAGGTTGCTGTGGAGGACTTACAAACCGAACTCCATTTATGTCTCCCATTGTACCTCCACTCATAACAACTCCCATATCCTCCCAGATTGGCGTTGTCTGACTTGTCCCAACATTCCTCCATCCGTGAGCATTGCCATCAGCGTCGAGACCTAGGTAGTCAATTCTGCCATCGCCATCTATATCTGCTAATCTGACCATATCACGTGTATAGCCTTGTCCAGGAAGTATAACCCCTAAACTAATCCAGAAAGGATTCGTAAAGAGGTCAGCTCCGATATTGGTGTTTATATATGCAGAGAGTGTCCCATCAGAGGCCAGACAAAGGACATCATCACGGCCATCTCCATCAAGATCACCGAAATGAAAACCTTCTGTATCGCAATCATCCATTACTGCGTCAGAATAGGACTCAGTATAGTTTGAGAAGCCTTTGTTGCCTGTCCCGTCATTTAATGCTATCCCAAAATGACCTGGAGACAATACGTAAACGAAGTCGTCAATGCCTATAGAGTTTTTAATGAACCATCCAGATCAACAATTTTCACGTATTTACCATCGCCATTAAGATCTGCCCACATAGCATTTTCAACCTTGAAGCTCACGCCATTGTAAGGGAGGGGATGTATATCCAGAAGACCATAGGGATGCCCTATATGACTGTAATGTCGTTAATTGTTTTAGTTTAAGCATAATATGAAAGTGGATATGATGGAGAAATTTGCATGATAAATAACGTACTGATAGTTGCTATCATTAACTCCTGATCCCTTTAGAATCTGCACTGGACTGGGAAAATTTGCCGCATTCACTTCGCACGTTGTGCTCGTACCCAAAGTATTAGTATCGTTCAGTCCTGGCACGGCTACTGGTGGAGTCAACCAGCAATTAGAATAGACTTCTTGTATGGCTTTGTACCATAAGTTTGCCATCACTTCATAACCATCTGCCACCATCTATCAGCTTATAGAAAAACAGGCTATCATGTTTTTAGTAGTATCGCTCTGAACTTACAGTCAGTTGGATGAGTTCCGTCACGAGCGTTGATCATCTCAGTTGTGATACTAGACATATCAGCAAGATAAACTAACTTGCCCTGAGCCGCTAGCTTTTCGACCAAATTGACGTATTTCGGGTTTACTTGCTCAGTAAGAGCCTGCTTGGTCGCATTGCGATTGACTAATAGAGTTGAGACTATAATAACCGTGCCGGGTATGTTGTCTAGAAGCTTATTAACCAGGTCTTCCATAGTCTGATCAATACTGTTGATTTCATAGTCCTGTGCCACATCATTTGTGCCAGCGTTGATGAGGACAAGATTGGGAAGCATGGAGAGGTCATTATTAGCTCTATCACTAATCTGATCAACGCGGAAGCCAGGCCTGTTAAACATCTAAAATTAGCATATCTCTATTAGAAACAAACACAGTGACATGAGTGGGGTTACAGTTATCTGTGACATAGAGCGCGAAATATCTCATTGCAACAATTTGTGATCATCGCGGACGTCCTTAAAAAGGAGACCATTCTATCTGGATAGAGAACTTACCAGCCTTCATTGTCATTGTCTCCCATAGTCCCGTGCTGTATTGTACCAACCATATTCACATTGGCACCATCTATCATGGTGTTAGTACGTCTTTTGAGAAAGGCTGCAAAAGTATTTGAACTCACTGGAAATAAGTTTATCACGAAGGTATTTTCTGTAACCGTTACCGGAGGGAGACTGCTGACCCCAAGTGATAGAGCCACCAAGAGGAAGTATACGTAGCATCTGGGGGTCAAAAGTACCACCAACAGGTACACAGGTGCCGTTACCTTTGGTCGCAGGTCGGGTATCTTCAAGAAACTGATTGAGGACCAGCTCTCGAATTGCAGAATGGTAGGGAACTTGAGGATGGAAAAGCTTTGCACGCCAACCAACGGTATCTCTCCAGAGATCATACCACTTGTCATTTACTGGATCACTACTTACTGCAGCCACTTCGGTAACATTAACAGCATCCCAAAGTGCATCTTCAAAAGCTGAAATGTTTGGAAACCTAGCACCCAGTGCTGATATGTCTAGCCCGTCGGTTATTTGATTGGTGGCGTTTATCATGATTTGTAGTTCGGGAGAAGGATCTTGGTCCTCATTTTGGTTATACGGATAGTGAAATAGCCAAAGATTCTCATTCTTTTGGTCTGGTTCTTTGATACCAGGCTCGCAGAATCGATGACCATCCAAAAGGCCATTAGCCTGGATATCAATGAATTTGACATTTGAATCTGCATTCAAAGCTACAGCACTTTGAATCGCTGCGTTGAGCGCGCGGCTCATTGAATTATAGTCCTTTCGAAGGTCTGTGGTCATCATAATGTGTTCTTTGCCATCTGATACTGGATTTGCAGTCCGCGAGAATGTGACTGTGTCACACCCTGGATCGTCCTCGTTAAAGAATTCTGGAAAGCCGGTAACGTATAACCTGAAGGCGTCTCCAATAGTACCTGATCTGCCCTTTGTGACAATTTCCTTGATGAGATGATCAATATTGTTAACTAGTTCAGGGCTGTCAATCAGAGCGTGAGTTTCCTGTCTTTGTTGGTCGCACGGTTTCGTAGGCGTGAAGCCAAACTGGGTAGATTCGATGATACAATTGAAGAGGATGCCTTTGAAGTCGATATCGTTACCCCCGATAGACAGAGTTGCCATTTGTGGATTTCCGAACTTAGGTCGAGGGGCTGATATGAGTACATAATATTAGTTTTGATCAACTTACAAGTATAATAAGATAGTAAGGAACCTACAAAATTGCCAATTTGGTTGGTTTGTGGTGTCTTCATCGTAGAATTGATAAAGCTCGACTTCATCAGTAGTCGATCCGGAGCACACGACGTTGTTGAAGATGTGATTCAATGGTGAAAGATTTGCGTCTCCGTTCAAGAGTACTGGGTAGGCTTGATCATATCGTAGACATCGTCTTCCATCCACATAGTTTCCAGCACCCACCCCAGATGCATATGAATCTCCTAAAGCTGTCCACTCAAAGTCTTGAGAGAAAGAACCTGAAAAAAAGAGAAATATGAACAAGTATCTCCACATGGCTGGTGATTAATTCTCGGGATCTGTTTCCTGTGATAGCTTCAAACCTAATGAACAACAGGACTGTAGAGAAATGGAGCACAGCTTTCTTTATGATTGAAGATAGTTTATATATCAAAGACCAAGAACTTCCAGCATACGAAAGATACAGGCAGGAATTTTAATTGCGTATGATACTATCTTGAATCCAGGGTTCGTAGCTCAAAGCCTTCTCTGATTACTGGTACTTCTAAGGTTGCATTGAATAAAACCCTAGTCAATTCCTGACTCTTAAACCAGTACTGGTTCTAAGTCTGTCTAGTTTTGGAATTGCATGGGTTCCACATATCAGGAGGCCCAAGAATATCTACGGCACGAAAGATACGAGCGATAAATTGTAATACGCTTTGTTGGTACGATGCTACCGTGAACGCGGATTAGCATTTGAAACCCTTGTCTGTTTATTGGTACTTCTAAGGTAGTATTAAATGAAAATCGTCGTGAGTTATTGGCTATCTGAGCCAACATTGGATTCCAAATTCGTAAAGTTTTCTAACTGCGTGGTTTCTGACTATCTCATATCAGGCCCTCCATCCAACATTAGACCCAAAAGAAGCTGGGATGAGTAGTCTGGTCTCTCATATTCTACGATTAATTGCCTCGTGTAGATAAGTCACGGTTAACTAATATTTTGCCATATTTTGTCGATGATGGGTGGTTGGAAAGAGTCCGAACAATCTATTTTAGGGACTAATTACGGGACCATCAAGGTCTGATATAACGTATTTGTGAAGTTCTCATGGTACTTTATTCCATCCACTATCTAATTGTTCATGACACTAAGTTCGGGTAATGTGACTGTTTCAGAGCCTTTAAGACGATAAGTAGGTGTATTTGTAACTCGTTTACCACAATTGGAGAGACTATAGTGCTTAGGCCACACGTGAAACGAAGTTGACATCGTTCAATGTCAGCCAAAGTATGGAAGCCCAACCATTCTAAATTTCCGAAATTTCACTTCACTCAATATGTATCAGGTAGGACTATTGAGAGAGTAAAAATGACAACAAAAACCAACAACTGAATGCCGGTTCCCAAAAGCAACTTCCGGCACTCGAGACGTCGGACGAAAGATTACAACTATCTAGTTTTCTAAATCATTTCTTTGTTGAAGGGTTGAAAAGCCACAATATCTGACTAGCCATTTCATTAGCTTTCGAGATACCGGCCGAAAATATCTTATAATGATATTAAAAAAAAATGTACTACGGTGGAAACCGAAAGGGTCTGGAACCGCTTTAGACACCAATTTAGCGCATCTATAAACCAATCATAAATAGTTCTAAGGTAAGACTTCTCCGCGGTTAGCTACTATGGTAAAAGTACAAGGTAATGGGGCTTATGCCCCCGTTCCTCGGGACGCCACGTTTATAAGCCGAGAGACCCTGTGAGCCTACGCCGCACGCCAGGTCTTAGAATGCTATTGTTACTATTGTAGGGTGATCAACCGAAACTATAGCGTGTATGTGTATTTGGCGGTGTAATCCACTGTTGGGAATAGATTAACACCTCAAAGATTTCAAGGCACGTTCAGAAAACTTAAATCACTAAATTAGGAAGGCTGTCACTTAGGTATGAGCAGAACTATATTTTCAGCTACACCAGCTGCCGTTTTGTTCCCCTCTGATCTGTAAAAAACACCAATATATAAACAAATTGGTTCTCAAAATCACAGTGTTGATCCAATCAATACAAGGAAAAGCGAACTAGATTCCATCTCTACTAAAATGCTTCAATCTCCCCGATCGAGCATCTCATTTCGCAATGTAACCTCGATTACATACTATCAGACATAATAATTTCTAGTTCGATGTAGCAGGCCTACTCTAGCTTCTACACGCCATTGTAGTCACATAGCAATAAGTAGAGAATGAAGAGGCTACCCCAATCACATTCAGATGTACTCAAATATCGAATAGCTCAAAGACTGGTTTATGTCATGTCTAAGGTCGTTGGCCTACTTTCAGTCTCTCCTCTCAGAGAGAGTGGACTGACTATATTAGACCTTATCTATAACCATTCAGAGACTATACATGGTCGGTTAACTCACTTTGAAAGCGCCATTCCTTGTGATTTGGACACTAGAATATCTATTCATTTCTCAATGCCCAGGGCTTCCGAGTAGCACGAGTATTTCAAATTGCAGTACCGAGGTCAATCTCGAGCTAAAATAGTCGGAAACGGATACCCAGTCATCATTTGGAAGGTGAAGTAATTAGAAAGATCCTATGCAGTTTAATTTCTGGAATCTGATATACATTGACGGGCAACGGAGGAGTCGGAAGAACGTAGTGACTTATTGATACTATTCCATCCTCATCCTGGGATTGGAATCTCACGAATTCAAGCTATCAAGGCTTACCTGTGGGTGCATCCTTGAGCACCTGCACAGCACTACTCAGTGAGCACCCACATAAACCCGCTCTAAACGTTACAAAGAGTCCTAGAGGGCTGCAATCAAGTTTTGTTGTAGCAGTGACTCAATTTTGTGGTGTCCCTCCCCACATGATTCTAGACTTCATTCTCAATGCTACGGATAGAAAGAGAACAATCTTATAAGATCTAAGAAACAGAAGCGAACTAGTCAATGGATGTCTTGGATATCAGGTTGAATACCCTTGTCGTCGCAGAGCTTGCGCATTGAAACAGCGAAGTAATTTTTTTATCCAAGGATTGGTCTGTAAGCTGGTAAAGCGGAAAACCCTTCTGGAGCGCCACGAGAACATATCAATAGCAACAGTGATCTGCCAAGCATTGCAGAATAGCATCCATCGTGCGGCGCGGCGCAGCAAAGTCTTTGATATAAGACCCTGAACTGCATGACTCTGACTCGTGCTGTATTTATGAATTTTCAAACTAGCCACGCCAAGGCCCGTAAAATTCGCCGGTACAGAACGTCTTGGCGTTGGTATCGATGCGGTGTGTGTCCATGTGGCGCAATCTAGGTATGTGCATTTAGTTCGCTGTGGAAAGAAGTCTGCATCAATATCAATTGTCTCAGCCCGCTAGAAATCTCGACTACTGTTTTTTAAGGAGATACTAGCAACTATGACACCTGAGCTACTATCCATAGCTAGCTCTGATGCCGATGTTGATAAAGTATACCACATAGCCGGAATCACTCTAACAGTTCAAAACAAGCCCAGCGAGTCTGATCTAATCGGGCCGCTTACCTTGAGCCGCGGAAACCATTTCTGAAATCCGAATGTTGGGAGGACCAGGAGCTAGGGCGTACATCCTAGGACATATTATGGCGCTGCTACCGAGTGCTGCCGAGCGCTAACGAAACTCAAAATCTTGCGGCTATTTGCAGTCGTCAACTACATGAGGCTTCAATAAAAGAGTGATTGCATGCATGTATTAGATACTGTTAGTACATTTGGTAAAGACATGCCGTTCGAACCGAAGTTTATCCGCTAGCTCCTACCTCTGAGATGGACGCTCAGAGGCAGGCAGTCGCAGTCACCTGCACGATCTCTGTATCCCTGCGTGGGCATCTTATCGAATCCACAAGAGTTATGTCGGTGTGTCATAGTCATTTGGTTTGCACTAGTGTCGGAATGGTGATATTTGCTACTAGGCGTATATTCGATACTAGGCTGCGGCTGAGAGCCTCGCCATCCAGGGTCATTCGTGAAATCATGGGATAGCATGGATTGAGACGCAGGAAATATATGGCGACCGCTTTATTTCATTCGACTTCCCAAAGCGCCGTCCATTCAGTACGGTCCATGGACGCTAGGTATTTACTGAATTGGTTGCACGAGACTGGTGGATTGCCAAGTATTTTCAGACAATGTACGGTTCTGAACTTGTTGGAAAGAGATTATTTGTTTGTTTACTTTTTTTTTTTTCCAAACTGAACTTCAGATATTTTTGAGTGTTACTATTCTTGAGTACTCAAAAATCAAGGTCCGGTGGAAGGTAAAGCTTCTACCATCATACTAATTCTATCAAAACGACTTTCCTTCTGGGTATTTGAGCTCGAATTCTCCATCTAGACAATAAATTCTCTCTCCTTCCTTCGTCATTGCATCGAATTTCACAGTTAAATTTGCCTATTTTGTTAATTTGAGATATATACACATAGAAGAGAAATGGTAAACGTACTTCACCCACAAACCAGGGCACATAATAATGAAGACTTATTAAGGCGAAGCCTTTTTCAGGTGGACATTCCTTTTCTCGGTTTGGGTCTGGTTGCTCAATGGTTTCCATTATATCACAGAACGGCAGTGTGCCGCTCAGCCCTGGGTTATTGGTTGAGTTGTCGCGTAAGTCACGAGCATACCAATTCCAAATTGGATCATCTGAGATATCTGCAAGAAACGTTCCTAGGGCAGTTAGTAGATTTCCTCAATGCACTTTCCGTTGAGCGTACCATATATGTAGATGTCAAGATTTTCTTCGCTGAAATGCCAGTGTCAGGTTGAATCGAGTGATTTAGAAGGTAAGAGTCTTACACCAGTGGGGGTGTTGGATCAACTATGAGTTGTTCGATTTGAAACAGATCTGTATTGCGAGATTCGGCGCAGAACTTTAGATTCGACCCCCCAGGGATTACTCCTGGG